TGGCGAATTGGCCCTTCTTTTCTCTCTCTTTTTTCTGACTTCATTAGGCACAGAACATTTGCCGCAGCTGCAGAATTAACTAAATTCGATATCATAAATGAGCCAGTTAATCTGGACTCACTCTTATAATAGCGAGATTCCCCGACCAAGCTATATCAGAATTTGTTTTGTTTCGATGTATTGTTATGCCGTCTATGATATCAGACAGCGCATAATCTATTGATACAATCAATACCAATGCAGAGTAGAGGCTAGTAACAAAAATACTACATTACAATCAATACCCCTGCAGAGTAGAGGCTCATAACAGAAATACTACATAATCTATTTCAAAGTTAGTAAGAACCTAATAGAAGTATTCCCCGATTCTGTAGATTATTAGCTGTTCTAATCCTCTATTTCTAAGACGGCAGCTTAATTCATGCATTGCAGTGGGTAATTTAAAAGACAATCTATCCGTAAACAGGATCGACATCGCCTTAATTGTAGAATAAAAAAGGCTTACTAGAAAGTGGATCATATCTTTATAGATTATAGAGATTTAAGATTATTTAGTTTTTCTGAGTCTTATAGTCTATGTCACGGTCTCACTGTGGGGTATACGACAGCCGGAGGATAATCACTGCAGGGAGTCATGCCCCAGAGAATATACAACGGTCTCGGAGTATCAATGATATATATCCTTGCCAAGGGGCCAAACAGGGTTCCCGAGGCTTATATTAGGTGGTCCCACTCAATTATTGACATGCAGAAGCTTAGCAACGTCCACCGGACTATATATCTTGGCAATATACTGCACGTGGCACCAAAGCCAATATATTGATGTATACACCCCGAGATCCAGCCTGAACCGTTGTGGCCCTATGGGCTCGGCCCCCCCCCCCCCCCCCTAGTTAGTGAAGGATCTTGTTCCCTCTGTAGCGCTTTTTTATCCGCTCGTTCAGGTTTGGACTCGTACCCTTAGCATTCCAACTCAAAGACAGCATAAAGGCTCAGCAAACATCAAAACTATGATTTACTAGCGTGTTTTATGTTACTTCACTCAAGACTGCATGCTCATACTACTGGCTTCACCATGCGAAGTAGCAGCCATGCCGCCATCGATTTTCAATAAAGAAGTCTTCGTATCACTTGGAGATTCTATAATTTACATAGACTTAGGAGGGTAGAAAGTAAAAAGCTTCCCCACACTAATGTATCCATTTCATCGCGTACTACTCTCACTTAGTAAAGGAACTTGAAAAGTCAAAGCTTAGTTTTTTGATCCAAGAGCGAACAGTGCGCAAATTTAGCTATGAAGGGAAGAGAGACCCTATCGGATCTACTCGTCCTAAAGAATAAAATATACCAGTATCCACATTCCTTTTTTGTAAATAAAATTCAGAGTCTCATGATATTAATTAATTATATCTATAATCTAAGAGTTTTATTCAGGTCAAGAAACAAAAAAACACATGTTCGAGTCAACAGTTTTAATTTGTCAAGAGTTGTTTATACGCGACAAGAAAAGAGGGAAATCAAGATTAATATGATGGAGTCAATAGATTGATTAATTAAATTAGATTACTCAACACACATTCGGTACTTGAACTGATGCACCGGAATAGCAGTCTGCAAGGACATGGAAGGGGACCTCGGGACTTGCCTGGCAGAAACGAAAGGGTAAAAGCCAGTCTGGAGGAGATATATTTGAGCAACGATGATGCCAGGTCGAAACAGCATATAAGGTATGGTGATGGCGCGTTTTTACTAGAGCTAATATGAAACCCTTCTGTGAAGCCTGAAGTGGATTTCCTAATGGTCATCTCTGCAAAGGTCTGTAGTAATTTGAAATGCATAGTAGAAACTTCTACAAGCTACTATAATCTAGATCATTTAAATAGTGACTTTAACCCTGAATAGGAGATTGATTCGGAAGAACCATTGCAGCAGCTGACCGTTCTATAAGCGAATGAAGTCCCTATATTCATCTTTGCAAAGATCTAGCCTCACACTAGCATGCATGGAATCAAACATATCTTTGAGAAATTGCTCCGGTAAAGCATTTCAGGCAGCTTGTACAGCCTCACGTAATCGATTATAAGAAAGCTGCTCATCAATTGGATTTGTTGCTGGATCCAATCCCACATTTAATTCCATATAGCTTCAATTGGATTGAGATCCGGAGGGAACGCAGGCCAATATACAGGAGTAGAATATTTGAGGTTGCTAGTACTCTATATTATGCAAGCGGTCAGACTGTTTTTGCTGACCGTCTGAAGGAATTAAATCCTTGTTAAGGCCTCCCGTATTAACAAAACCACCAGAGTCAATCATGGTAGTTCTTACTTTTATACTAGCTCTTACTTTAGACTAGGGCATATAACCTGTCATCTTAGAGTATAAACATTTGCTATTTAATGTGTTGATTTTCCCTCGACCTTGTGTTACTTGATTTCATTATCCCATTAAAGATTTCTTTCTCTTACGGCCACAGTATATACGCACGCTACCCAGCTCTGCCTCGGCTGTACGTTCAAAGCACTATTCTCACTTCACTCTACGTGACACTCAAAATGCAGGCTCTTACGACAGCCCTCGCTGTTTTTGCTACTGTTGCCGCTGCCTTCACTCTACCTTCACTCTACCTTCCGACCTACAGAACGGTGTATATCACGCCTACTACGACAAGGACGGGCGCGAGGTTCATGAGCTAGTGCAAGCTTTGGAACCTGGCAATTCCACTCTGCGACGTGGAATAACCGACTCGGAGGAGCCCTCTCTCGCCAAGAGGCTACCTGGGACTCCACTTCTAGAGTATTCCTGTGGCTGTGGCTTTACTCTCGACCATGGTGACTGCGATAATTCTGTGACTGGCCTGAAGAACTTTCTGAACGATCATGAGACTACACAGACTGGGTGTTATGACCTTGTGCCAGAGTCGAGCGCCTACTGTTATGTCAACAGTGTAGTTACGTTTCTTTGCAACTGGAGCACTGAATATGGTGTCTGTAGCTCTGATGTTGGTAATAGCTTAGCAGCAGTCACAAACCATTGTGGCTGGTATATTGCTGGAACTGAGGCAGCTGCAGCCTGGTTTCCTGATCTTGATGGGAGTGTTACAATCGATAGTTATTATTTTACCGGCTATATGCGGTACAGTGCCGGCTTGGACTTTTGCGGTGCTGATTTCCTTGCAGGTGATAACGAACATTGCTGAATGATAGACCTACGTGGCTGGCGACATACAACTCTGTTGTGCTTTACCTCAAGAAGTTCACTATGTAGGTAGAGCGAACGTCCTAAGCTTAGTTAAGGTTAATATTTTGCAACTGTTACTATTTAATTTTCTTTACCTTTTGATTAATCGATTGACTGATTTATTATTACTTTAGTTAGTTAAAATCAAGCTATGCAGTATTCTGTACCCTATGGCTAATTCCATCCAGCCCAGGAAACAATTATAATCCTATCTATTAGCTAACAAGAAAAAGAAACAGAGAAATCTCAGTATTAAGAAATTGCAGACTAATATATGACTAAGTCTAGCCAAGGTCACTTGTATTATATGCCCAGGATATAGAGAGCAATCCGCAGCACCATTCAATCCACAGCCTTACAAGATATGAGTCTGTATACTTAGATCACCTATTAGAATATATATAGATAATATCCAAAAGATATCTAAGTAACATATTAATATAATATAAGTTAGTGTATAATATATTACTAGTTATATATCCTCCACAGAGGGCCTATGACACTACATGGCAATACCAACAAACGCCTAACAGTTGGCATGCAGGTGATTAATAGAACGGCCTAATTTCAATGAACAAGTTTATGTATATAAAGCCTACTTATCATATAGTTGAGGAATAGCTGTTCAGCTTCCTTCTAAATCAAGATCATTGAAAACAGCCAACACAATTCTCATGTTGGAGCACCAACCATGAGGTTTATAACCACAATTATTATCGCATTCGCGCTACCATGCATAGCATTGACACAAGGGCCTTGCTACAATCAGTCTGTAAGGTCGTGTTTTCATGCAGTACCGTTTATCTCTATAATAAAGTGCTAATTTGACAAACTGCAGAGTCGATCCTGATAATGATATTAGGAACTATTGTTACTGTCAAGGCAATGGTATGTAAAAGGCCTTTAATCTAGGCACGAAAAGGTCTGTACTGCTAGCGTTCAGTTTGAAGATTACTGATATCCCCTTAATAATTTGGTCAATGCTATTTCATTAATGACTCCACCGATTGTGACCCTCCTGGGGCTCCAATATAGCTTATGTCTTGAATAAAAAGAAGTCCGAGCAAACAGGACAACGAGAATTCCTAACACAAGAATCAGAGGACTAAGGATACACAGGAAAGAGTAAACATTAATGACATGAATAGATATACCAGGCAATTATGAAGAGGCTGACCATTTTATAATCCTCTCAGAGGGGTAAAACCAAGATCAAGAATGGGTTTCTTCGTCGTTCCGGGTTCTAGTTGTTGAGGCATAGAGGTTGATATACTTTCCGATTCTTATCCTGTGATTCATCTCTTCTACTATGTTTACCTGCCACTCATAGTTGGTAGCATTATTTTTAGGTGGGGTATCGGGAAAAGTTAGAGAGATGTCCTGGGTATTTCGATTCTTAGGCTTCAATGAAAGCTCTCAGCTGGTCCTCACTCCAGCCGTCAACACAAAATTTTTAGATAAGGGCTTCCTGCATTGCTGTGAGGTTCGTCATGTAAATTGCACAATTGCTGTCACTCTATCCATGAGCACGCAAATAATGGTAAATTTTATGCTCGCTAGCAGCCGAAATTGGCGTCTTTACAGGGTTCTACGTACCTTCGAAACGTATCCCCTCCTGGATAAGATTTGAAAATCTAAGACACCACACAACCCTTGTCTCTCAGTCCATCATTGGTCACCACCTAGGTCGTGTAGAGAGGATTAAGTGGAACCATCCATCCATGCTACGGTCCAACTCATTCTCATCAGAATGTGAAAGATTACAGCCTCCATTTCCAATTCGCCCTCCCATCCGGCCCAACCATTGCCTCAAGCCTAACCCACACCACCGAGAACGCAGTCGCGAACAACAAAATAGTAACCAGCAGCGACATGCCCTCATACATCCTCGGTGTTAGCGCCCCTGCTGCCGTCGCAGACCCACGAATCAGCAGCCCACTAACCGGCGTTCCGATCATTGTCGCGATTCCTCGGAGCATATACAAAAACCCATTCACAGATGCAAAGTTCTGCGGCCCAAACAGTTCAACCAGACTAGTCGGAAAGAGAGCGACGTACGCACTGGCGAACACGCCATAGAAGATGGTGAAAGCGATAAACAGACCGCGAGAAGCTTCCTGGTGCGATGCAAATGGTAGAAGTGTAGAGGGGACCCAGAACACCAGCGCTGAAATGGCACTGATGATTGTCGTGAGAAGCAGAACGTTCAGCCGCCCGTATCGATCGGCTGCATAGCCAATGACGATCTTGCCAATCGCATTACACGCATTGCTGAGAGCGATAAAGTTTGCACCAGCAGTGTCGCTGTACCCCAATGTAGACGCATACGTCGCAAAGAAGAAGACAGGAATGTAATACGCAGCACCCTGAAACATAGCTCCCAAAGCCTGCGCGACAAACTTCCTCGTCCTCATAAGCCTCAAATCAACAAGCGGAACCGCGAAGATATTTCTTTGTTTTTGCGTCATTTGCGCCCTTCGCTCAATCTCATTCTGAGCTTTGCGACTCGGTTCCCACGTCATGGCCGCCCCGGCACCAGTATTCAACACAAATGAGACAGCTCCCGTTAGTCTCAACGTATTGCGATACCCCATCGCATCAATACACGCCTTCAGCGCAGGCGCCCATACCAACCCCCCCACGCCCGTCCCCGACAATATAATCCCCATCGCCAACCCCCTCCTCTTCCCAAACCACGTCGGCGCAACAGTCACAGAAGTCATATACGCCAAACACGTCCCCAAACCTAACAGTACGCCCTGGGTAAGCGCGAAATGCCATATCTTTGTCCCAAAACTCGCCAATATATGTGCTAACGTGAATATCGCGGCACCCATTAGACATACTTTGCGTGGAGAAAAGGATTTAGACCACCCGACGGCAAGAGGTCCGCCGATGGTCATAATACCTACTGCTATGGTACCGATCAGATCGATTACAGCTGGGGAGGCGTCGGTGAAGGGGGTGTCGGGTTCATGGGAAAGGCGTTCGTAGAGGGCTTGGTAGATGCCGAAAGAGAAGTTTATGCCGCAGCAGGTGAAGACGATTATAAATGAGGCGATGACTATTATTGTTGCTTTGCTGGTTTAATTTGCTCAGTTTATAGCTAGATATTGGATGAGCAAGGGGTCTGACGTACGAATCTGAAATTTGTTCATCCGAGGTTGTTGGGACTGGCTCGATGTCTTGCTCTTGTTCTCGGTCTAATGTTGGAATTCGACTGAGTGATATAGCTGGTGAATTATATCCAGTCTGGGGTTCAAGAATTGACGACGTCATGTTGACTGTATCCAATCAAGCTTACCACACTGAAAAATATCTAGATATAGGACTTTAAGACTACCATCCGATTTTTATAAATTTATATACTCGAACCAAAAGTCGGATGAAAATTGTTCGGGCGGATACCGTAAGATATGAGTCAGGCATCGGCCCGTTAGTAATCCGATCTGTCGGCTCCTAATTTAGTTCTTAGGGCTTCCGACCCGATTAGGAAATGATCACGCCAGCTGCACGCTATCTTGGATCCAGGCCTGGAAAAGGATCCGTGAAGTGATAGAAGCCTGTTAAGAATGCTTTCGATATGGGTAATAATATTCATAACAAATTTTAATTTGAAAATTTGGCTGTTTTTTTGCCTCAATTTAATAGCCGAGGTTATCAGTAACATCCATCAATATCCGTCTTAAGCCTTCATCTTCTACATACCGTCCTGAATAGTACTTCTAGTTGTAGAGTCAACCCTTGACATGGAAAAGTCTCGTAATTCAAGATTGAGAAATCTCCACATGCTCCCCAAGCTCTAAATCATCCAACTTCGCCGCTTTACCAGCATCGAAAGCAGTAAGCGCCTCGCCATGAGCCATGTCACGCTCAAAAATGGCACCAATCTTGGTCGCAGATCGATCCTGAAAGACCCATGGCGTGCGGTCAGGGGTGAATAAAAAGTCCATTTCTTCTAAAGTCTTGCCGGCGGATTCCTGGCGCGGGTTAGTAGATAATGGTGCAAAGGGGTATGGCAATGAGGAGGACTCACGGGGTAGTAGAGAAAGACGACGATGGCCATTAGAAAGCAGAGAGCCATGAATATGAGATATAATTTCCATCTGCGAGGAATTTAGCATACCATGCTGTGGCCACCACTGTCTGGAGACTTACGAAATCTTATCCATGGCCGTCGGAATGTACAACGCGAACCAAAAGTTCTAAAAGCAATCAGACATTATCTACCCTTCCTAGAATATAGGAGAGAAACATACCACAAACCAATTAGTCGCCGATGACATCGAAGTCCCCCGTCCACGCATATTCATGCTAAATAGCTCCGGCGGATAAACCCACGCAACACATGCCCAGGTCAACGCAAAAAACATCACGTAGATATACACAAACGCGACCGTGGCGTTGGAGGCGTTGTGGTCTGCGAAAGTGAAGTTGGTCTTTTTGGTGAGGGGATCGTAGATTGGGTCGCCTTCAGACTGTCAGCATGCGTATCAGGATGGCAAAGGGATATAGGACTCACCTTTAGTTTTCATGATTACTCCGATTAGCATCATGGCTACTCCCATGCCAACACCGCCAACAATCATAGGACGTCGACGGCCCCAGGAGTCCATGTAGTACATGTTTGGTAAGGTGAAGATGTTTAGTATGACGCCTTGAAGACCGTTGGCGAGTAGCGAAGCAGAGGTCTCACCGAGACCGGCTTGTTGAAAGAGGAAGACTGCGTAGTACATAATTCTGCATCAAATGTTAGACAGCTGTCAAACTAGACACACCAAGACTTACACGTTGATACCAGTGACTTGTTGCCAGAATTGCTACACCACATCAATTAACCGATGTACCCAAGTACGCGAAATGAGACAAGAACATACCACCCCAATAGCCAGCCACGTCCTTCTCGCCTCCACCCCAAACAACATCGAAGCATAAGTCGTCGGCGGATTACTCTTTTCCCACCTGAGCTTGGCAATAATCTCTGTCAACTCCGCGCGCACATACGCATCATTCGTATCGCCTTTCGAATGTAGTCGTGCAAGCACTTCGAGCGCTTCCTGCTGTCTGTCTTGCTGCACGAGCCAGCGCGGTGACTCTGGCATAAAGTACATTGTTATGTGTAACACAATTGTGGGGATCATCTGTAGACCGATGGGGAGACGCCATGCAGCTTGTCCGTCGATGTGGCTGGTACCGTATTGGATCCAGAAGGCGATCAGGATGCCGAAGTTGATGAAGCATTGCTGGACAGAGATAATGCGACCTCGAATTCTACTCAATTTAGTACAGAACACACGGAGCTAGTAAGAGGAGGACGCACTCTCTAGGCGAGATTTCACTCTGATAGTTCGGTACCATCATCGCCAAACACCCATTCCCAATCCCATTAATGACACGCCCAGCCACCAAAGCAGCAACATTATTCGCAACGGTCGATATAATAATACCAATCGTAAAAATAGCAGATCCTAACAGCAAAGTTCTTTTCCGGCCCAGCTTATCGGCGAGAAAGGCGCCCGTCAGCAACGACCCCGCAAATGCGCCGGCTTGGATGGATGCGGTAATTCCACCTTGGAGGAAATTGCTGGGATAGTTCATGTAGGTGAGGAATTGGGGCATGACTAGGATGCCGCTCATGGAGCCGGTGTCCTTTGTGTGTCGTTAGTACGTGGATCTGGGCAGGGGATGGGATGAGTGTATATACATAGCCGAATGCAAGGCCGCCGGTACAGGGCGCAATGCCATACAGATAAATCGTCTGTTAATAGTCAATCAATAAAATACTTGTTACAAAAGTATGCAATCGTCAGCAACTCACCCAAGGGATACCCATTGTTGGTACTGCTGTTTCTCACGACATCAGCGCAATGGCATTACATCGTAAATAACCCCAAACCACACCTTTCGAAGAGCTGCTCCATTTAAATATGTTCACCAAGTAGCTATTTACCAGTCCACTAGGAAAATATGCGGGGTTATCCAAGCCAGAAAGTACCTACCTGTTCAGGTAATTTGCATGCATGGCTCCCCGTGGGGTTGGACGATCATCGTGCTCTAATTAGCCAATTGGTCGATACACTTCTGGAGGGTTTGGAACACAGAAAACATTTACTTGTTATCTGTATCAGCCAGAGATATATGCCCTGACATGGAGTATATTAGAAAAACAAGGTTAACGCTGAGGCTCTAATGACCTTTCGAGGCGTATTGTGGCTCATATAAGCTCGTGGATCGAAAAGTCTAAAGAGCATGGATGGACCTCATTGAATTAACCGTGTGTCTAACCGTATTGGCGGAAAATTCCCTTGGGTGCATAGAAGAGCACTTTAGTTACCCTTTCATAGCGGAAGAGGTATTAAATGAGCGTGGCTGTCTGGATCGAGCAATGCTAATATTGTGAGTATGTATTTTCGTGTCATGTTTTGTCTGAAACGACATCCAGTGTCGGTCTCAAATGATAATCTCTATAGCATCTCTGTATACACTTAGCTACATGTAGAACCTCTCGTAGGGTCTGCTCAAGCAGATGGCTTAAGATTTACCTTTCATCAAAAGCAGATACACAATGCTAAGAACTGCCTTGCCTAGCTTGACTTATCGGTCACTCCTCAATCTCCTTCCACCTCCGTTGTTTGCAAATGGTTCGTTATAATTTGCAGTTAGCCGAATGAAGGAATATCTAACCGGATTGGGAATAGATTCGGTGTTGACTTTTGAGGCACACGATGGTCGTGCAACAGCCGCATGTGCAAAATTTTGTACAGGGATTGTAGAATGACATGTTCGGTTGCTTCTAAAGTAAGGCCGGGCTGAGCGAACCATTCGGATGCGCCGGATAGATACGAAGCATCTATATTGGACTACTATGTAGTAGTTGACGGCAAACGTACGTCCATTCAGCCTGATTAGGCTTGGCACTTAACACTTCGTCTTACATAGTAGGCCAGCTGTTCATCGCATGGATAGAGCGTCAACTGTTCTCGTGCAAAAGATAAGAAGAATGAGACCAAAGTTTGATGCGAATAAGCACTTGCCAAGAATGGTATGCGGGTACAGCCGAACGGTGGAGATGCAGCAATTCAATGTTCGTATGTACTACTATGAAAGTAGTATGGAACCATAGTGTTAGGTGGAGATACATGTAGATACCTGATAGGCTATGGAGCACTATCGAATGAATAATGCCTATGTCTTTGGAGTACGTAAATGATAAGCTTTGCCCAGCCTATTAGCATCCAGCTCTAGCAGCTGCCATAGGCAGGGTAGCATCACTAGCCCGCTGATCCACCAGCGAAGACCAATGGAACCCCCGAACAATATACTTTACGGGGTACTGACTGCTCTATCTGGAAAAGTGTCAATACTCTTATCGGAGATGCCTGGTGTATTTCTATCTGTGCCATCCCGTGCGAGGCTCAGGAGAACTGCAACTTCTTCACATCTGTCAAACATCGTCGACGCTCGCTGACGATGGAGAAGACTCACGCGACGGCTGGCGGCTTGCCGGAACCATCGCCTACTGCAAGCGCATACATCAAACCGCAGCATCGGCCTCCGCACGATAACACAATCACTTTTGAGGAGTACCACCACTATGCGCTCAAGACCCGCGACAAGGAGCTCGCTCTCGAGGCTCCCAAGCTGAATTGGCGCGAGTGGTTCTCGAGAAGAAAACATGCTTCCGAGACCGAAACGCCTATCGGAGGTGTAGTTACGTCAGATTCTCCGGCGCAAATTACAAGCCCGGCTGAAAAAGGTACCGCGGATGCAGAACAATCTAACAGAGTTGGCATTACCGACGAGGAGTGGGAAAACGCAAGCCGAGCTTTGAGAACTGCTTCAGCCGGAGCATGTAAGACATAAATTCTATTATTGAAAATTAGTGCGCTGATTGAGATTATAGGCTTCTATTTGATCACTACCGATATTCTCGGGCCTTATGGCTCGGGGTTCGCAATGGGTACATTGGGCTGGGGACCCGGTAAGTCTACCTGAAGCTCCGAATTAAAACAACAATTCCTAATAGACAAGCGCAATAGGCATCGCCTTCTATACAATATTTGGCTTCATGGCCGGTTATTCCGGATACCTTGTCTACCGCGTCTTCCTCGGAGTCGACAGCTACGAATTCCCCGCACGCAACTATGGAGATCTTGCACTTAGAACATGGGGCACAACTGTTCGCTACATAACCAACATCTGCCAAGCTCTCGGTCTGCTCTTGATCACCGGTCAAGTTACTATCCAGTACGGCGAAAACATCTCACAGGTCTCTAAATTCAAATTATGTTATGCCGTCTGCCCAGTCCTGTTTGTAGTGGCTGGKTTCTTTWTCACCCAGATCCGAACTTTACGATCTTACGGTTGGGTGGCCAACTGCGCAGTTTGGTTGAATTTACTGGTCATTTTCATCTCCATGGGTGTTATTGCCAACTCCCCTCCAAACTACAGAATCTCTGTCCTGGGATCCGCAGGTAGTGCAGTTGATGCGACCACCATCACGCCTGATGCAAACGGCGTCTACCCCCCGATCATTCACTACAATGGCTTACCACCAAACTCTCTGGTAGGCTCAATCAACGGCCTCTTATCCGGGGTTCTGGCATACGCTGGTGTCCAGTTATTCGTCGAATTTTTGGCAGAAATGAGACGTCCACAAGACTTTATCAAAGCCATGTGGGGCGCTCAGTTCTTTATCTATACTGTCTACCTAATCTACGGTTGCTTCGTCTACTACTACCAAGGTCAATACAGTTTCAACCCCAGTTACCAGGGCGTCAGCATCTACGGCTGGCAAACAGCAGGCAATATGATCTCTCTTATTGCTGCCCTGATTGCCGGTGGTTTGTACGGTAACATTGGTATTAAAGTCTTCTACAACAACATTTTGCTGGATTTCCTAAAAGCGCCTCCTATCACTACGAAGCGCGGCAAAATCATTTATGCGATTTTGGTGCCTCTATGGTGGATCATTGCATTCATCATTGCAGCCGCTATTCCCGACTATTTCGGTTTTGTCAGTGTTATTTCTGCTTCTATGCTGTTGAATCTGACCTACACCTTCCCTCCGCTGTTTGCTCTTGGGTACGATATTCAGAAGAATTCTATCCGCACTGAGCGCGGAGAAGGTTTCGATGTTGCCACGGGACAAGTGACCCGTCAAGAGTCGACTGTGCAACGATGGATCCGCGGCTTTTTCAGTGGTGGCCTTTTCCAGGTCAGCATAAATATTTGGCATGCTTTGTACTTTTTGGCATCGTTGGCTATGTGTGGATTGGGAATGTATGCGGCTGTAGAAGGTAAGACCCTTTATCTTTACGAGATGTTTGCGTATGAAACTAATCAGAAAAAAAAAACAGGTCTCATTGTGGCTTTCGAGAATCCGGAATTGAACTCTTTCTCGTGCAGGTCACCTCTGAACCTGGATGCTTGATAGTGTTCAATCGCAGTGACGATCAATTCTGTTCTAGGTGTCATGAATATCTCATATTCCAGGATTGAGTAATAAAAATCAGGCCGATTTATGTCAAGACTTGATGTCAATGTTTGAAGGGATATACGTTACTGTGGTAACTGGCTCGATGTACATATCCAATGACATACTTTTGTATCTACATGTGAGCTTATATGTACATCAAAATATATACCATTCAAGATAACTTGTATACTTAATATTTACCTACCTAGATACGTACTTGATTTCTCATGACGCGCCGAGCTTTCTATTTCCGTTTTAGTGCTCACCCCATCACTATTTTTGCTCCCTGAGTAGAACTTAGCACGCCCCTGACTGCTGTAATCAGATCAGTAAGCTTTATATAAGTTTATAGGTCTGAAGTCTTTTTGGAAGGCAAGAACAAGATCTAGAATATTCGCCAGACTAAACTGCCCTGACCCATTGGAACGAATATCTGAATGGCGAAAAGTGTAACGCACTCTGGCAACAACTACGAGATCCCACCATCGCAACGTATTCCGATTCATCAAAAGTCCATCCGGTAGAGCTACTCACGATAAAACCAAAAATTCTTGATAGTTATAAGAAGGATCACTGTATAACACTTTGAATACTGTAGAACTTACAGAAGTCAATCTTTTCTATTTTGGAAGTACTAGTATTAGAGAGCCTGTCTCGGATAAGATTGATTTATCTAATTTAGATTGTTCCTTTTCTGAGCAGGCTAACCACCAAAGCAACCGAATTTTGTCTAGTATAAGGATGGCCTAGATTAAATATACGATTTACACCATATAGAGTAAAAATACTTGTGAGGTAGGGGATAAATCCATCGCTCCAGACCAAACCTGCTGTCACAATTTCAGAACATTTCAGCGCCATGCGGTGCCCAATACCGTATTACGACCGACAAATATTGTCACCGAAGTAAATATTGGCAAATCCTTACTATGTAGTAATGTCTTTCCCTAATAGTGCTAGTTCCTCCTAGTGTCTTGCAAATTGACTTCGTAACATAGGCTCACTCTGTCTGTATTTGTACTAGCGTGGGTTTTAGTTACGCGATCTGAAGGAATAATTATTATCCACTCCACAGAATAATCAAAATCAATAAGACTTGACTGACTGCCTATTCAAGCAATCTCACAAAGTCTTCCTGATTATTTCTCTATCCAGAGTTCCAGCACTAATGAATCGCAGGAAACTTTATGTTCCTGACGAGATTCTTCTCCTTATATGTGACCACCTCGATTTTGATAAACGGAGCTGCCTTCAGCTTCTCCTGGTATGCAGATACTGGTATGATTTATTCTTTGCCAGAGTTTATAGTTCGATATCAATTTGGGGTGGACAAGCGGCCTTTCTTACTCGCTCCATTCAACTCAATCCTAAAATAGGCCCTGCTATTCGATACCTCGACCTCAAGGGCTGGACCTGTTACCAATCACCAGAAGATAGCAACATCTACGAGCAGGCCCTGTTCAAAAATGCCGTGCAACGGGMAAGCCACTCTCCGGAAGAAGCTGCAGAATGGGAAAAGGACCTTAGAGAAGGAAACCAAGACGCATTTTTAGGTTTATTGATACTTTCTCTGGAAAACGCTAGGACGTTATCTGCATATCCTCCTAGGACAACTGAATATTTCAGACGAATGCTTTCTCGGGCAGCATTCTGCGAGAAACCATTCGATACTAGGAGTTCATTACAGCGATTGGAGGATGTTCATATCTACAGCGAGGACTCCAAAGACTTCAATATTTACTTCGAATCTCTCCCCTTCTTTCACCTTCCTGGAATGCGCAAAATATCCCTGCAATCTGTCATTGAAGACCACTGGTCCGAACCAAATGACCATCCTGCCCAGAGACCTGCCAAGGGAACGTCACCAATTGAAGAGATCAAAGTCAACCGGAACTGTAACGGTAGTAACGGCTTCAGTGATTTTATCACGTCATGCGCGAATCTCAAACGCTTTGAATACCAGCATTCCAACATGGTGATCTGGGGGGAGAGCTATATTGACTTCCGTGCCCCAGCCTTTTATAACCCACTTCTCACGCAGAAGCACAGTCTCGAAATTCTTCATTTGAATGACAGGGGGGAACACATGTCTTCCGGGTTCAACGAGGGCCCTAAACTACACAACAGTAGCCTTGGATCATTAGCAGAATTCAAAAATCTCAAGGAGCTGCGTATTAGACTGCCCAATTTACTGGATTTCAGCTCTTCAAACTCGCCCTCGCTGAATGATATCCTCCCTATTTCTTTGGAAACTCTCACCCTCGCGAACTGCAGAGACAAATATTTCCCGACGCTTATTAGGGATTTGCAAGAGCTATTACTTGAAAAATGCTTTCCATGCCTGAAGAAGCTAGAAATTCAGCCGTCCTTTGTCACACTAGCGGAGCCTGGAAGACTACAAAGGCCGCTTCCTCCATCGCAGGGGTTACCACCACCCAGAGAAATACCTTCCTCTACTTACGAGCAGTTTGATTCCGTGAAAGTAGCATGCGAAAAGGCAGGAATTCAATTTTCTCTGTATGATCCTCAGTTTGCGATGGTGATCCATGAATCATTCTTAGAGCATTTCGATTACTAGGTGGAACTAGTGAAAAGGGGTTGTTATTGTGGAACTGTACAGATGACACTGTGATTGTGTATGACGAGATATGAAMCCCCCTTAATCTGGAGCGCTTGCTAGCTCATAGGTGCCCTTGAAATCGGAMAAGCCTATAAGCATATCCAGAATGATTTGTATACAATATGGCTACTTCGAACTTCCAATCGGTATCCTGCTTTACAAAGCAAATGCTGCGACGGTTCAGTTATATAAACGTGCATCCTAATGGCTAAGGTTGAACTGGGAAAGTTTCGAAATGGGATAGCAAATCGAGCCTCAGCCTCCTCTTAACCAGCAGTTTCATTAGGTATCACTCCGACAAAGAAACAAACCAAGTGTGCAAGCAAGGTAATTCATTACATTTACCATGATAACGATGTAGCTTAATATTACCTACTAGGGACTGAGCAGCCGATTACTATTCTAAGCACTTTTGTCACCATCACTTATTAAATCCATTCCCTACCTACGTACTTTATTTCTCCCGACGCGCCGGGGCTTTCCCTTTCTGTTTTAGTGCTCACCCCATCGCCGCTTTTACTCTTTGAGTCGAACTGAGCCGCTTAGCGTCATCACGTAATAGACGTTAACACACTTAAGTTACGGCATAAACCCACAAGTCGACTTGTGAAGTCACAGTGATCAAGTCCAGCGAGAGCGCACAGCAACTAAGTCTCTAGAAACCTATTTTCTAATCCTCTGCCTGGCGATGCGCAGCTCGCATCGCAAGTCGCGGTTTGGCTGCAGGGAATGCAAACAACGGCACACAAAGTGCGATGAAACGCATCCGTCCTGCAACAACTGCACCATCAGCAAACGCCAATGTTCATTCGCCCGCTCGACTTGGTCTCCGCTGGTGCAGATACAGCCGCAGAGGTCTGATGCGCCATTCGATGGCAATATTGGCTCATCGGATACAATAACGTCGAATGCCAACTGCTGCGACGCTGCTTGTCCTCCAAGCGTTAGACACGACCTCCTTTATGAGGATTACAACGTAGTTCACTTCCAGCTCCTGTACCATGCTGAACACAAATTGAGCCTTGACGCCCAGCGGTTCATACCCGAGGGGCAGAAGCTTTTCCAGAGGTCCGCAAGAGAAGCGTTCACAGTAGCGTACCTCATGGATGCTCTTATTGCGGTTGCAGCGGCTCATAAAAGTACGCTACCGGGAGAGGACCAGGACTTCTACCATACCGAAGCAATGAGGCTAATGACCCGGTCTCTGACTAAATTCAATGCTCAGGACAAAATTACTGAAGATTATGCCATGGCGGCGTTTCTGTACACCATGTTGCTTGGGCAACTGGTCCTCTTCGACATATTCTCTCAAGGAGAGGATTTGACCAGCACTCTAGATAGATTCGTGCATTGTATGAAGCTGCACCACGGTATACGCGAGGTTGTCGCTCCAGTGTGGCATAAAGTCCAGCCGATCCTGGGCCGGTGCCATTTAGCAGAGTGGGTGAGCGACGGCATACCAAATTGGGGAGAGGCAAATTCTGAATGTTCTCCGCTGTGGCAGCTTCTTAGTAGGAGCGACGTCAGTCCAAGTTCCCGCAAGGCCTACTTTTCTTCTATTGAAGCACTGCAGATGATGTTCGACTGCACACGCGGGCTGCCTACGAACCGAATGGCGGCGGTCCAAGAGTGGCTGGKACGAGTTCCTATGGACTTTATGGATCTCATAAGCCAGCGACGGCCAGAAGCTCTTATTATACTCGCGTATTACGCCATACTACTTCACAATGCCAAGGACTTTTGGGCTATCGGTAGCGCTGGAAGATTCCTTATTCAATCAATTACAAGCTACCTCGGGGAGTACTGGCTACAGTGGCTARAGTGGCCGAATGAGGKAATCAACGGGCCACCATCCTTGACAGAGTAAATACCGTGCCCAAATCATAACAGATGATATAAAATTGAATCCCACCAAATAAATGCCATGGGACATTCGTCTATTATAATAGATATGGATTAGTTGGTAAACCTCCGCTGCACGCTGCCATGTGTCTAAATTGATGCTACGACCAGCGACATGAAAAGTTCGTTACAATGTTCGGCTCATAATTAAGAGAGCGAATAGTGTGTGACGCAGTATTGGCTGAAGAAATTGCACAGGCGTATTTGGGACTTCTAAATGGGGCGTAATCAGCGATTTCTCATTCACGGAGTAGTGTATCCATGGGCCCACCCGTATTTGATGCGTTCTCATTGGCGTAGAACACGCGTAGAACGAGTTTATTTCAGAGCCCCGGCTTGCCCCTTTCTCCAAAACACGATAGTCGGGGGATGTATTCTGCGATTGCTTTTTATTGTACCGTATTTGATGCGTTCTCGTTGGTGTAGAATACGTGTGGGATGAGGTTCATGGAAAGCACACCAGATGACCTTAAACATGAAGCATTACAGACAGGAAGCAATGGATATATCAGCTAGGAGCCGCTCCCTTTCTCTTGCAACAACGTCTCTTGCCAGAGGTACAATAGTGTGCCCAAAAAATATCCCTTTCTACGCTCCTGATCATGGCCTTCACCGTCCTCATCTCTGGCGCAAATCGCGGCATAGGAAAGGGACTTCTTCAGCGCTATCTTCTTCAACCAAATCATGTCGTTATTGCGGCCAACCGCAATCCATCCCACCCGACTTCTCAGTCCCTGAACGACTTGCCCAAAGGTGAAGGCAGCCGCTTGATAATAGTCAAGGTTGACGCCATATCCGAGACTGATGCCTCTGACGCTGTTGAGGAGCTTCAGAATTCTCATGGAATCGAGTATCTCGATTTGGTTATAGCCAACGCGGGCATGTCGACCGTCTGGCCTACGGTTGCTAATCTCAAGATTGCGGACCTGCAAGCTCACATGGCGGCCAATGCGTATGGTGTCATCACACTGTACCAGGCGACCCGTTCGCTCTTGCAAAAATCCAGTAAAGAGCCCAAGTTCATTTCCATTGGCTCTAAGGCCGGTTGTATGAAGTGAGTTATTCTTGACTCTGATATATTGAGAAGAAAGAAGAGGAATGTCGGCACGTGAATCTCACTGACGGAATGGTAGGGACCAACCTCCTGTTCCAAATAGCGCGTACGGGCCGACCAAAGCGGTGGTGAACTGGCTGACCGTTAGAATCCACGCCGAGGACAATTGGCTTACTACCTCCGTTATTCATCCCGGCCTAGTCGATACAAACCTCGGCTCTACTGGTATCCGCTGGTTGATTCATGAGAGCGGCTTAGAGTTTGCCAAGTGGCTAAACCTTGAGAAGTCTATGATCAGCGTTGATCAATCATGTGATGGTATGGTCAGGGTGATTTCTGAAATGGATAGGGACAAACATGGTGGCAAGTTGGTCTCATATGCTGGTGAAATTTTAGATTGGTAGAAACGCTAGTATATGACTCTGTGATGGACGAAGCAGTGGAACTCCCCTTGCGCCGGCCCCATCTACAGCGGACTAAATGGAGAATTCTTTACAAAATTCGATTTTTGATTCTGCCGATAGGGAGAAGAGGAATTAAGATAGAAAGGTTTATATATATAATCCGGTTGTAGCAAACTACTTGGTACCCCTCTTTGCCAGACTATATAAAATAATTGACTACTTCATAATATAAATTAGATAATGAGGATGTAAAGAGTATTTAGATAGAATACTAGGTATATGAATAGTATGAAGTAAATATTAAGTAGCTGATCATGTTTAGTGAGTAAGAATTTGAACCTAAATTTGATTATATGATGACGCTGAGCTGCTTAGCAAGCGTGAGCCTGGACTGAAATCTACTTAGTGAGTGGGACTATAGTCTATGAGCGCCCTCACAAAAGTGGTGGCAGCTGAAAAAGCAAAGTCCCTGGTAAGGAAAATCAAGTTTGTATAGTATACCTACGTACTTGATTTCTCCTGACGCACCGAGGCTTTCCATCCCCGGCGATTGAGACGGAACTGTCTTTGGTGAAAGCGTTGTTTGACATTAATGTGTTCGGGCCCATGGAAATGGTGAAGCAATTTAGTCCACTATCGATATCAGCGAAAGGAATGATAGTCAACCACAGCAGTTTGTTTCCCTGCTATCCATGCCCACCGTTGAATGACTACTCAAGAAGCTGAGGTGAGGATTTGCAGGTATGACCAAGACTATGCCACATCCCATGACAGCCGCCTATAATGCCTCGAAAGCAGCACTATCTCAATATTCAAACATGATAAGGTTGGAGCTTGAACCCGTCAATATAAAGGTGATAGATCTAGTCACTGGGTGAGTCGGCACGAGATTAATCGGCTTACCAACACTGAAAGACATGTCCATTAACAAGCCCCCAGAGCCGGCTCTACTAATAGGGCAAAAGAAGCAGGTACGAAGCCTTTTTCACCGAAAATGGTGCATGTCCGACTGACGAGAAATTTTTTGGAAAGAGAAATGCAAAAACCAGACGTATTTGCTAACGCAGTCGTGAAGCACGTTTTTTCAACTTCGCCGAGCCCGTGGGTATACAAGGGTAACGTTGCTACAATGGCTTGGATTGTCTCGACTTTGGGTCCTAAATGGGCTTTTGTAAATACTGCCATTTCAAATATATATCCAACGTTAGGTAATCACATAGAGTGCTAAGTATTGCCGTTCCAGGACCCACTGACGAGGCGTATGACTGAACTGGAAAAGTTTGGAAAAGAGATAGTAATTCGAGCCTCAGCCTCCTCTTAATCCAGCAGCTTCATTAGATATCACTCCGACAGAGAGACAGACCAAGTATGCAAGCAAGTTAACTCATTAAACTAACCTGCATATCACTAAAAGCAACTATGACAGAAAAGGAAAGAATTACTTGGGTATGACCTTATACTAGATTAACTAAGGGCCGGTCACTGGCAATAAGTGAAAAGAGAAGACAACAGTATGGAGCACGCACCAAGAGTTATGTGAAGATAGGAAAGGTGTACCTTTATCTCTGATAAGAAGATGGTTTACAAAACGATATTTGTTGAATATAGAACATCTCGGTGGATGTGATGTTCCGATAAGGGAGTGGGTCTGTATATATATGGTACATATTCCTCAGCTGATTACTTATAACAAAGTTTGAATTGTTTCTTCGAGAGTGCATGTAATGACAGTCTTGGAGCCTTGATGTCAACTCGGAAAAGAATTTGCTTACCCGTGTCCAATTGAAAGTAGATGTAGATGCTAGATTGAAATTGGGCCGATCGACTCGCCTCGGTTATTCGCGGAGCCTAAGACGTTCAATTCAAAATGACTGCACTGCGCAAGCCATGCCCAGCTCATTCTTTTTTTTTTTTTTCAAAAAATAATAGAAAAAAAAAATACATATACATCCCGCTTCTTTCATCGTCAACCATTGACTATTGACTTTCATCATGGCAGCCACATTGCGAGTTGGCTTCATCGGTCTCGGGTTCATGGGAACACCTATGGCCCTGAACCTCGCACGCAGATTTCCTCTGACGGTTTGGAATCGCAGCCCGGGTAAATACTCAGTATTAAAGGAATCAGGGGCTTCTATTGTTGAAACACCCGCCAAAGTGCTTGAAGCATCGGACATCACCTTCCTCATGCTTTTCAACTCTTCCGCCATCACATCGATATTGAGCGTAGAATTCAAGCGAGCTTTGCGGGGCAAGATATTAGTAAATACAGGCTCTGTTGAGGTGGAATTTAGCAAAAGCCTTGCCCAAGAGGTTCAGGAGGCGGGCGGTGATTATGTCGAAATGCCAGTCAGCGGTAGCAAAGTCCCTGCAGAACAGGGCCAGCTCGTCGGAATGATGGCCGGTGATCCAGAGGTTGCCGAGCGTATCAGGCCATACGTTGAGCCTTTAACATGCTCGGCAATTTATTGTGGACCCGTAGGATCAGGGTTGAAAGCGAAATATGCCATCAACACTCTGCTCATCACCCTGACTGTTGGACTCTCAGAGTCAATCAACCTTGCCCGTGCACAGGGACTCGATCTTGCAACGTTCAAAAATGTTCTCGATGCCTGTCCGATGGCTTCTCCATATTCAAAGATCAAAGTGAACAAGATCTTGAATGAGGACTGGGCACCACAAGCAGCCCTCAAAGACTGCTACAACAGTACGCAGCTCATTGAAGCAGCTGCGGCTTCTGCCAATACTAAATCGCCTCTCATAAGTATCTGTAGTCAACTTTACAAGGAGGCTCTTGAAGCGGGCCTAGGAGAAGAGGACATGATTTCTGTCCTGAAAGTCGTTGGGCGGTCCTCGGGAAGAGGAGGTTCCAATCATCCCTAAGCCATGGCATTTATGGCCGATTTTAAACATGTGCTATATAAGTTTCAACTTGATAGGATTGTGGTTCATTTTGCTAAAAACTTGCAGAGTAAAAGAATACGGCAGTACAAGATGATCGTATGAGAAAGATGGCACTAGACGACAGAGATATTCACGCATAAATAGATATATCTTTATATTTGTACATCTGTACCTCTACATACACTATCAATTTCAACATGGATCCGCCAGTTGAACGTTAAGCGCTCCGACTCATAGTGTGAAGGGAGTCCCTCTTTGACCATCCTAACTAGTTGAAAGACGCAATCTTCATTATGCTTCCGGGAGTGAGTAATGTCCTATCTGAACGCTAGCATACGATTACATGACGAGAATTGGAAAAGCATGAATATAGGACTAAATTGTATGCTTTTAGAGTACTAGAAAGATCCTAGCAACATAAATAAAGCAGGAACTTGCATTACAAACATTAAAGGTGCGAATTAGTAAACACTTAAATGAAACTGCTTATAACTAAACTTGAGTCCTATACTTATACCGTACTGTACCGTAACGGTTGCCATAACGTGGGGCTTATCTTGTTATGTGACCGTCGTCAACTTTAAATAGCGACGGAATTCTCCTATCGGGAAACTCCTTGTTTACATTAAACATTAAACATTTGTCTATCCAAGCTCAAACCATGTCCGCCATAGACGAAAATGCCAATTTAGAAACTTCACCCTCATCACGACCTTACCGGTCGCACAAATATCCTGCTTGCGATTTCTGTCGCAGACGCAAATCTCGATGTAGTCAACAAGCATTGAACCAACCATGCGTGGAATGTGCTATGCACCGGGTACAATGTTCAAGAAGTAGTCTTCCTAGCGAGGCACCCGTCTCAACGACAGCGGAGAAAAGTCGAAAAAGGCGGAGAAGGTCCAATAAGGCACCGACACCGACGTCGCGTCGCCAGTCGTCATCTCCTCCAGTTTGCACTGCTGGTGATTATCCTCCTCCGCCCTTCAATCCAAACAATGCAAGTCGAAACCAATCCACCCATATTGTCGGCCCCGCAATGGCCCGTGACGCCCAAATCCTGGAACACTATATGTCCCCAGCTTACAACACAACGGCATCGTGTGCTCGGCCAAGCCCGTACAGTGTCTATTCTCATGACCCTCGCGATCCGGTAGTGTATATGAAAGTACCTCGTCATCGCAATATAGCACCTTCCGGAAATGGTACCGCCGGGTTTAGGCAGTATGAGGTGATGGAGAAGATTCTTGAGCCCTTGGGCCCACAGCTCTGCCGTGCGTAAGTTGTATTGCCTTCCACTTACAAATCGCTTGGTTTCTGAGATCGCTATTTAGGTATTTTGACAATATCCACCCACCATTTCCTATACTAGATGAAAAGGCAATCATGGAAGCGTACCCCGAGGAAGGCCTCCCATATACTCTAGTATGTGAGCTCTACGCCGTGTCACTGGTGCTATGGGGAACTTCCAAGGCTATATCAGTCACAGGACGTCCTGCTCCAGACGTTCGCTACATGTGGAATCTGGCTGTGAGTGCGATGAATGATGATTTTATAGCACCTGACCTGTCCACTGTTTTCTCATGTATCCTCGATCTCCTTGGTCGACCCACAACCTCAATCACATACAATGCAGTGAATGTGGGACGCGTCGTCGCCCTGGCTCAGAGTTTGGGCTTGAATCGCAATCCACTGAACTGGGATTTGGCAGCTCGGCAGAAGAACTTACGTATTCGGGCTTGGTGGGGAACACTCATTCATGATCAATGGTAGGCCATGTTGTGACCTCACTTCTAGACTGTACTTGTGTCTGACTAGATACAGGGCGAGTCTTTCCCACGGGACCCCGCCTCATATCCACCGTTCACAGTGGGATGTCCCAGTGCCAGCTTTAGACACATTAGGGGTGGATTCCATCACGGAAGAAGAGACAGTCTCTGTCATCCGAGTTCAAGGTGCCCTCTCGTTTATATCACTCTGCCAATTAACCATGATCTTAGGAGAAATCCTGCTCTTGATTTATACACTACAACACCCAGGCTCAGATCATACATTTAGAACTTTGCGGCGTCATGAAACGGCACTGGATGAATGGGAAGAGAAACTACCCACCTGGCTACGTCCTGGGAGTAGCTCCTTTGATAGAAAAGCCACTGGCGCCCTGAATCTGCAGTTATGCTACTTGGTAATAAAAATGTGTCTTTGGAAAATAGGGCTCCTGGTACGGTTTTATCACTAGTTTCCGTCGATTTCGGCCGTATTTTGACGCGCCATGAATTTAGGAACTTCATCGGTCGGACGCGACTGACGTCAAGGACGACAAAACGTATTATCAATCGCGATGCCGGAAAGCAGCATGCGCTGTGATAGAGCTTGTTACAAGCCTACAAAAAGATGAGCTTGATGCTTTCTGGCTCCCTTGTAAGTTTCTCAGGATATGAAGCTCTAATAAAAGTATTGCATCACTAAAAATGTGACTCAAGATACTACGTATCACTTAAATTCAGCTGCGACACTTATACTCCGCTGTGCACTTGAAGCAGAAAAGCCGGAAACTGCACAAGAATGCGTTGCAAGCGCAAAACGTCTTATCGACTTCCTACGAATGGCGAAAGACGAAGCCAATTGGGATTTAGCAGACACATGTCTGAATCATTGCGAAGCCATAGTTAAGAAGTTGAGTGACAGACACAATCTAGCTACATGGAGAAGAAATCCCCCTGGAAATCAACATTCAGGTACAGGAAAATCTGGAGGCAATATCTTCCCACAAAGATATAATCAGCATGGACAGGGGCAGACTGGGGCAGCATTCGCCCAAACAAGTCAAGAATCTTTAAATGTGGAGTCCGGAATCGCAGGAGGTCAAGACGAAATTAGTCCGGGATTTATCAATCCGAATTTCTTTCAGGAAGTTACGGCTTTTGGCTCTCTCGCGGGTGGTATGGCTGATACTTCAATATTCTCTGACATGGTACAGATTCCATATGTGGAAGACTATCCGTATCGCAACTTCTACCAGTGAATGGCAGCGATCTCAAGTAATGATTCACCATACAAATCAAAATTAGATATGTACACAGACGCTATAAAGAAATAATGAGGATTACGCAAACAGGATAAACGAGCATAAAATTAGCGATGAAAATACCTCCGGCAGGAGTCCGTCATAGTACATATCGGAATTGAGGGTTCTGTTCTTCTGTCAACCTCTCTCTGGACAAAAAAGGGGGAAAGGACTTACCTCAAAGTCGGTTAAATCATGCAATTCATCTTCTTCTGAGACATCAATTCCTTCTAACCCAGTTACATTTGCCGCAGCAACATCTCTCTGGTTGTTGCGGTAAATGAAGAGCAATCGCAAAGAAATAGCCAAAACCGCCTGAGCAGACGAACATGCTAAAATGACTTTGCACCCAGTTTGGTAGATAGGAGCTTCCTTAGCTAAGAATGCATGAGGTCCGATAATATTTCCTATGCAATATGCCAGGAAGACTAGACCGATACTTGTTGTACGCTTTGTGTAGCCACCAAGATTCGTAGCAGGCATTTGTAATGCGAGTGTAAGAGAGCACACATAAGAGCCAACGATGTAATACCCAAACAATACTCCAACCTTATGCGTCTTATGTGACAGCTTCCACATTATGCAAATCCCGATGATGGTCGGAATCAAATAGGCGAACATGGCTATTGTACGGAAGTTGGGAATCCGAGATGCAAGGTACGTGCCCGACAGAACCCATAAGATCTGAAAAGCGCCGAACGGAATTCCTAATGCAACTGTTGTGAGTGGGTTGCCTGTCAAACCCTCGATAATAAGCTTGCTGAAGCTGGCGATACCGCCGTTTATGGTCTCGTTGAACAGCATGAAGAAAAACAGAATCCAGACCTGGGGGTCACTAAACGCTTCTCGAATCTGGTACCATTTGATTTGGCGGTTTATGATTCCTGTGCGATTGAGACGACCACGACCGATGAGGAGAGCTTTCTCTTCAAGAGTGAACTGTTTGGCAGACATGATGTCGTCTGGCAGCCACACGAACATCAAGAAACCCCATAGAATGGTGACACCACCGAGGATCAAGTAGATGGCCCGCCATACCGCGATAGTTTTGATCTGACCGATACCATACGTGAGGACGCCGCCAATCATTGCACCAAGACCGTTGCAGCTATAGAAAACGCCTGCTCGAAATGGTTGATCAGACCGTGCATACCACATACCAACAATCATCATAAAGCAGGGCGTGATGGGGGCCTCAAAAACACCGAGGAGAAATCGGCAGATTGCCATTCCCGGGAACGAGGTGCAAGTCGCAGTGATCATGAGCATTCCACCCCAGGCCACTATGTTCCCAGACACCACCTTGGCCATTTTCGTCTTTTGGGCAAGGTAACCCCATGGATACTCAGCAACAAGGTATGCAAAGTAGAAAATGCTTGCCAGCCAGCTGTATTGATTGCTTGACATGTGTGTGGTTTTGAACAGGTCAAATACCGAAGAATATGCCAATGCTGATTTATCAATATACTGAAGCATGTAGGTGCCTGCTAGAAGCGGCATGAGAAGCAAATCGACCTTGCGCACCAAACGCTTGTTGCGAAGCTTGTCACCAAGGAGCTCATGGAGGCGGCCATTCGTGATATTATATTCTCGCAGAAAGATTTCGCCTTCGTCGATATCCGTGATGACGCCGGTCTGAACGTCCTTGTCGGCGACAATGGAGGTCTCCTTGGGGTTGGTTTTCTTTTCAACGTCCATGGCTGGATTTCCACTATTGGACGCAATTACGTACAAGTATATCGAATGTTTAACAAATTGTTCAGCAAAATTGTCCAGAATAATGAAGCTGGACTAGACCATTACAGGATCAATCTACGTTCCACATGGGCTTCGCGGATTCCGGCGATTTATAGACGATACCCGTTAATGTTGAAATTCCCAGCCGCCAATTCAAAGTTAATATATAGATTCGATATCACAGTTATCATCTTATCTTGCCTAGCTACAACCAAATTGCAACTGATAAGTATGCTTCGTCAGTTGAGCGGGGGCATCTGCACAAGTCTCCTGATAACAGCGGAACTTTGAACTAAAGTAGAAAAAATACGGGACTGCTTGTCTCGGAAAACTTCCGAAACGTCTTTATATTCTGCGGTTCGGCACCTACTTTTGAACCCGAAGCACAATTATATCCGTTTGATAAGGATTAAATTACTCTGATCAGGAGATTCTTAGATCTGTCTGTGCCCGATACACCTTAGTCATTGCTCATAGTACATATTGATATCAAAGAGCGAGGACCTGGTATACAGTAATTGCAACCGACTAGCCATATCATGAGTTCAGAATCTGCATCTCCCTCCGTTATTTTGCCCCAGGGGACGGTTGTGGGAGTTCAATTGAACAATGGATATCCTCAGCCTGTGAATGCCTATCTAGGTATTCCATATGCCCTTCCTCCAGTGGGCAACCTGCGATTCTGTCGCCCTGTCAAAGTACCTCATTCGACAAATATTATTGTTGCTTCGAAATATGGCTTTGCAGCTCCGGGGAAGGCCTTGCTGATGGGAGGACCGACAGTCGAGAAAAGCGAAGATTGTTTGACTGCCAATGTCTTTCAGCCTATTGAACATGATACCAAACTGCCAGTCGCAATATATGTTCACGGTGGTGCTTTCAACAGAGGCTCGGCATCAATGCACGACACTGCATCAATGCTTGCATGGTCCGAGCGGCCTTTTATCGCGGTAAGTTTTGGGTATCGTCTGGGAGCTCTGGGTTTCTTGCCCTCTACTCTGTCCAAAAAGGAAGGCCTTTTGAATCTGGGTTTGCACGATCAGATTCTATTGTTTCAATGGGTGCAGGAGAACATAGAGGCGTTTGGAGGAGACCCAAATAATGTTACTCTCTTTGGCCTCTCAGCGGGAGCTCACTCGGTATGTAAGTCCTTTTTTTTAATTGCTGATTCATCTGCGCCAGTTAAGTCTCTAATAAAGCGGGGTGGGTAGATTGGTCATCATCTTCTCAACTATGACGAGCACCGCAAACCTTTATTTCACCGAGTCATCATAGAATCCGGTTCACCGACCTCACGCGCCGTTCGCCCTTATGATGCAAAGGTCCACGAGCAGCAATTCCAAGATTTCTTAAAGGAGGTCGAGTGCCCAAAAGATCTGCCAGAATCCGAAATTTTCCCATTCCTGCGCTCGTTACCCAGTTCAATTATAACGGATGCTCAAGCAACAGTGTTCGATAAATGGAACCCATCTCTGCAGTGGGCATTTCAACCTGTGATCGATGGAGATATCATCTCGCGCAAACCCCTTGATGCTTGGAAGTCCGGCCTGTGGAACAAAGTACCCATAATGACTGGTTTCAATACCAACGAAGGAACGATGTATGTCGATAAAACAATGTCTCGACCCGAGCAGTTTCGCAGTTTCTGGCACACTTTACTTCCGGAGCTTTCGACGGCAGATCTAGATACTATTGAAAAATTGTATCCGGATCCCAGCACTGATCCCAAGTCACCATACGTGGAGACTCGGCTCGAGCATGGCCTCGGGGCCCAATACAAACGTATTGAGGCTGCATATGGCCATTACGCATATGTGGCTCCTGTCCGCCAAACAGCCGAGTTTGCCTCTTGTCAGGGCGTACCAGTGTACTTATATCACTGGGCACTAGCCCGGACTATTGTTGGCCGCGCAAATCATGGAGATAATATGTACTATGAGGCCTATAGTAACAATATTACTACTCTGTCAAAATCACAGCAGGAACTTTCGGGTACTCTACATGCCTATATCACCAGCTTCATTACACAGAGTGATCCCAACGCCATATCGGGCCGATATGCTCAACGGCCGGAGTGGAAGCCTTATGTACCCGATGAGCCTGGAGTGTTGATATTCGGTCAGGGCAATGAGGAACTGATTGGAGGAGATGTGGCACCAGCTGCGGAATTCCAGGCTGATAACTGGGCTAGGGAACAAACCAACTTTTGGTGGTCCAAGGTTGAGATATCACAGCTCGCCTAATTTTAAATAGTTAAGGCTATGTTTTGTGTGGATAGTATTTCTTGTGTTTGTATATACCTGCCTATCGGAACATATTTGACACTTCTCGACGTTTCTGCTCTGATTTGTCACTATTCTCTCATTCAACAAAAGTAGTACCAGCCATTACATTGAGAGAACGAGTGTGAGATTATTAAGAGCTAGGCTTGATATCATACAGCCTAGAGCAAAATTAGTTTCACTAGAAAACACTCATTCATTCTTTAACGACCCCGCTGTTAAACCACTAGATCTAGATTTGTAAGTAATGCCTGAAAGTGTCGCATGGTAATTGGAGAACACATGGACAAATAGCTAGTGAGGCTTGCCACACATTCAATAATTGTCACAACATTTAGGAGCTGGTACATCCATTCTCACAGCCAGTTTGATGCATGTTTATTTTTGAGACTGCTGTGACTTTGATCTGCAATGAATATACAATCAAATGCTAGATCATCACAGATAGATCAGTGATTCATTCTGGTTGGAGTCCTCAAAACTGGGTAAGACAACAATCAATAATATCTTTGTTGGTCAGAGCGATCTCGACAATGCTTCAAAAAAATTCATATGTATATAAAAAGCGTAGATCCCCGCGAGGTTAGAAGAGGAGGTCAAGCGATTATTCTCGTGCATATCTATTATACACTAATGCTCTATCTTACTCTATATTCCCGATATCAAGTTCACATAGTAATCGGCTCGCTCAGCAAGTGTTCTGTAGCTCATAGCCAGGTTCGAACTATCGTTCACCCCTATCGTTACATGGCCATTTCTCGTCTGGGATATCTGCCCAATTGATATATTTGATGACAGCTACATCCAGCTGTCCATGCACAGTCAAATGGCTGGTTCAATTAGGTGCTGAGGACAGTGCAGAAGTGCGAGTTTCGTCAAACTCGATTTGATTTGCGGCTACCGGTGGTTGTCCAGGTAGAACGTTTGTAATACTGTATTGAAATCACTACAGCCGACTATATTGGCCATTTGATTGGTAGTCAATTTCTTGCTCATGATCATGCTGCGAATGAGCTCATGCTGAGATGCTGCCAGATTTAGGGCCATTTCAAACACATGACCAGCTTATCTACAAGTATCGTATGTGGGTGAAAGCGAGTGTGCCAATAAATTTTAATAGGCACTAACGCTCTAGTACTGGGACAGCAAACCAATTGATGAAAGTTTAAGACCGAAGGCGATTTCGAATTTCGCTGTATTCGCCCAGTGAATGATGTCGACTCTACCCTACAATTCAATCAGGGGGAACAATAGTCCTCCAAGCAGCCTCTTATTCGGATTCAGAGCAGGATTACAACCCGGTAACCATTGAAGAGATGTTTTAAACATCCATAACTAGGTACACTGATCCGCATCTCAATATCGAAAGTGGAGGATGCCAGAACCTCTGAATTACTTTACCGTGATTTTGACAGGTTAGTCGGAAGTGCAATATCTCACTTCAAAGTTCGCAATAGAAAAGCGGATACACTTCGTTCGAGTATCGGCGAATTATCATTATTTCTTACACTCTCGCCAGGCAGCTGTAATCTGGTTTAGACTAAAGCGACGGAGTTCTACCATGATGATTGGTCATATTAATTTAGTAAGATAAGAAACGTCAAGAATGCTTTTCCGTCGGAAATGAATTGGCCGTTACACGCTTACATCTCGGATACAGTACGTTACATTATTACATGCACTGGAGAATAAAGAGATTCATTGAATGGCGCAACAAGAAATGGAGATCGTATTCTTATTACTTTTCTATGAGTCTCACGATAGTCGAGTGGAAAATTATAAGAGGGCCTGGCAGGATCTCTGATTGTTCCTTTTCTTTTTCCTCCTTCCAAATTACACATTTAGTGTAAAGTTATTGAATAGAGAAAAAACAAAAAGATGGCTGGTTTCCAGCTCCCAGAGCCCTTTGCCAGCATTCCAAGAGAATCTTTCCTTTTTGGCCCTTCACCTATTCAAAAACTCCCTAAGATCACAAGAGCACTTGGCGGAAAGGTCGGTATCTATGCGAAGCGAGAAGATTGCAATTCGGGTTTGGCCTTTGGTGGTAACAAAACTAGGAAACTAGAGTATGCTCCAACAAGGACGCCTTCATCTTATCGCATTCTTAATGCTTACCAGTGACCAGGTATCTTGCGTCAGATGCATTAGCACAGAATTGCGATACTCTGATCAGCATCGGCGGCGTCCAATCCAATCACACCCGACAAGTCGCGGCTGTAGCTACCCAGCTGGGAATGAAGGTGGCCCTCGTACAGGAGAAATGGGTCAAGTGGGAGGACCCTGCGTACGACAAGGCCGGGAATATCCAACTCTCTCGCCTAATGGGCGCAGACGTCCGACTTGATCCCTCCCTCTTCGGAATCGAGCATAAAGAGACCCTTCAAAATCTCAAACAAGAGATTTTCGACAAAGGCGGGAAACCATATTACATCCCCGCGGGAGCATCGGATCATCCATTGGGAGGACTTGGATTTGCACGTTGGGCGTTCGAGGTAGAGCAACAGGAAAAGGAGATGGGCATATTTTTTGATACCGTCATTGTCTGTGCCGTCACAGGATCAACTATGGCAGGGATGGTAGCAGGGTTTAAATTGGCGCAAAAGAAGAATAACTCCAAACCCCGGAAAGTCATAGGAATTGATGCCTCTGCAACAGTGAAGCAAACCTTTGACCAGATCCTGCGCATTGCCAAGGCAACTGGAGTCAAAATCGGTTTGGGCGAGGGTGATATCACAGAAGAGGATATCATCCTTGATGACAGATACCATGCGGGCATCTATGGTGTTCCGGACCAGCAGACAGTTGATGCTATCAAGTTCGGTGCTTCGACAGAGGCTTTTATCACCGATCCTGTATATGAAGGCAAAAGTCTTGCTGGCATGATGGATATGGTGAGAAAGGAGGAAATTCCTGCTGGTAGCAATATTCTGTACGCGCATTTGGGAGGACAGCTTGCTCTGAATGTGTACACAGGGATGTAACTACTAATCACGCCAGTCCATAGTCAGCGTATAATCTTCAGTCATCTTTACCTTGAATGAGTATTATTATACTCGGCATAGAACCTGTGCCCACAAAACGGTTAGGGGTTTTTGAGTTTCTATTTATAATCTCTAATACCTGTAAGTATTGAACGCCAATCTCACGAAAGTTGATGAATTATCATTTAGCCTAGGAGATGACAGTCCAAAGTGCCATTTTAGCTATAGTGTATCATCCCTTATATAGCAATCTAGAATTTTTGTAATTCCTTCGCTTATTAGTAATATATACTTTCCTATTCGTTATCCCTTAATAATTCTTTTAGAGGGCTTGTAGAACAATGATAATATAGATAAATGTAAAGTAACCTGCCATCCACATGACTTGATAAGCCTTGACATGTCTTGACCCTTGAAGACCCCTTGTTTCCCCCTACAGATCTCAGTATCTCGTTAGGTAACCACGTTACTATTAGCAAACGCACCTCCAATAATTTCTCTGGCTCAAACACCCGAAAAAATACAGGTCTCTTCCCCAAGTGTAATCACTATGCCCATAGTTACAGGGATTGGTGAGCATACTATTCCCGGAAGATTGCCTCTTCATCTTGTCGAGCGAGCCAGCAATGGAGACGGCTTGGTGCAATACGGTAGTTCTAAGTCGGTTTCCGGGTTTTGATGCGGCAATCATGGGCGCACGCTTTTCCCTTAGCAATATAGAGGAAGGAAAACTGATTGGAGAACCTACTGGCGGTTGCTTTTGCTTCTATCGTTGATGTATTTACTTTTTTGGTGTCTAATGCCATTGGAACAACCGGGCTCAGCCTCTACTAGACGAATGCAATTGCCGAAATAGAATGTGCCTCAGTATAGAGGAAGCAACTCACCACACAACCTATGTTGACTAACGATGATAGCACTCTTGCACGAACCCAGATTCTCAAAATCCCACCTGCGGTCCTTGCTGTTCTTCTCTCCATCGATTTTGGCATGGTAGCAGAATAGGCAAAAAGTTCCTAAAACCCGCCCATAGCCATGTCTAAACAAATCCTTTGGTATATTAATCTGATCGTCTTGTACCGAGTTTCTTGGGAACTATTGCTTAACTCTACTACCACTAGCTTTAATATATAACTAAACACCTAGGGAGTAAGAATAAATTATAAAATATAATAAATAATTCTTAATAATAAGATTCTACTACCGAGCATATGGCTCGATTATGTGAACAGTGTGTAGGTGATCATGCTCAGTGAGCGAAAATACGGACCCAAAGTTGGTCATGTCACAATGCTGAGCTGCTCAGGGAACGTGAGTCCCTACTGAAATCTACTTAGTGAGCAGGACCATGAGCGCTCTCACAAAAGCAGCGGCATCTGAAAAAGGAAAGCCCCACCTGGCAGGAACAATCAAGTTCGTCTAAGTCACCTAGGTACGCAAATGCATTACACTCGGCAGATCTTAGGTTGCTGCTTCTTGAGCATGCCAGTCAACTGCGATAAAGTACTGATCAAAGGAGCCGAAGCGGTCACAACACAAGAATTCCTGATATGCCTGAGGAGAATAAAAATGAAAGAGCTGAGGTTGTTGTTTGCAGAAAATTGCAAAAACATATGCTGACACTATGCATCATCCGTGAATCGAACACGGGCCTCATCGATGGCAACGATGAATTCTACCACTAGACCAATGATGCTTCATGTATGGAGTGCCATCTTTTTGTTTCATAAACGCACCCACTAATGCGGGTACCATGAAACTATTTCCACGACAACTTTTTCTATTACACTGCGCAAGATTCACTCATCAACAACCTCAACAACAGTCCACGTAACACTCCACCTCCACCCCTTCCCACCACCCACCTTCTCCATAACCTTCCTACTCGCGACATTATTCCTCGCAACATCCGCATGCGTATACCCCAATTCTTTGGAGTTTGATCCATAAGCACCACTCCCCATGCCCCTCCTCATAATCTCCCTCGACAATGTAGCCGCAATCCCCTTCCCGCGATGCTCCGGCTCAACATGAAGGGTCGCAAGAGAGCCGTCGAAGGCCAGGAAGGCCCATGCAATTGGCACTTCAGCATTGCTGTGGTGATAGACTACCACGCTAGGTATGGCGAGTAATGTCTTCCTTCCCCGCGGGATATGTGTCCTCGATTTCACGAGATCAACATGCTCAGCTTTTAAGCCTTCGGAGCCGTAGAAATAACCCTCCGGAAGAGGGTTACTCTTCTCATCGCTGCCCGTTTGAAATATGTCTGGCGCAAATATGTATTTCACATAAGGCAAAGTGTCGTATCGATGAACTTTAAGCCCAGGTCGGAATTGAGCGTTGCGGTAAGAGTCGTTGGTGGTAAGGAGTTTGACGAGCCCTGTGTGTAGAGAGCCGATGAGGAAGGAGGGAGGGTTATGTTTGGGAAGTACTTTTATCTTTTGCTGTTGCTCCAGGCCATCCGGCTGGTCTTTCGAGTTTGAGAGATGAGCCAAATATTCAGGCATTAAGTCTGAATGAATGAATTGCAGAAGACTCCATATTTGCTTCCTCGCGATATCCTGTCTCTGAGGACTGATGGTAGAAAAATCGATGATGTCCTCCCCATTATCGTTGTTGATTGTATATTCGACTGACGGAACCTCAGCTTCTAGGCTAGAATAAATTACTACTTGAGTCTCATGACCAGCGAAAAGATTGATAAAAGCCGCTATCCAGGGTTCTTCGTCTGAAGGGTTGTTTGAAGATTGGGTTATGTTGGCGCTGGCTACATGATATGCAGTCTGGCGTGGATGAGTGCAATCATATTGAATGCGTCGCAGAATTGGTAGAGAGCTTGGCAAATGGCTTTCAAGTGCTGGGATTAGTGTTTCGGTTGATTCGTTGTTGAGGATGACGAAGCCAGAGCTTTCATTTGTTTGGATGGCCATATTGCTGTGTGTGCTCGGAATGATTCCGATGAACGAGATAAGACTTTTGATCTTTTAGGTATTTTCAATCAATCTCCGTTTAAAATTCATCCTTTTTTTCCGAACGCTTGGGAGTGTCTATGCGTATGGCTTGATCATCTTCAAATACGGACCGATGTTGAAAGAAATGAGTCACAGTCAATTAATTTAAGTTACCTGCGATTACGGAGCCGATTAATAAAGACTAGTCGATCTCCAATTTTAACCCTAACAACCCTAGCGATATACAGATTCGATGATAGCTATTCACAGCATGTAGTTATTTGTTAGAGGTAGTACCTGGTTTGAAATTTAACATAATAATTCCTGGCAACGGGTGGTTGGTCGAATATCAGGGGCTCAAAGCTGTGTAATGAAATATTGGGATCTATCGATCGCCAGTCATAAACAACGAAGAAGAGAAGTGTGTACAGCTCAAACAATATCTAGCCCTGAACCATTTAGGAGGGCATAGTGAAGTCTGCCAATGCTATCAATGACTCGGCATCTTTCATCCATATCTCTCGCAAATAAATTCTATCCGTCCTAAGTTCGGCCGTCTGTAGAGTACTGGCGAAAAGTGTACGAAGAACCTCATGATTGAAGCCATAGAGAAAAAAAGACGGCTGCTGTCAGAGTACTGATGAACGTGATACTTAGTGATATCAGGGGGATCTTCTCGGCCAGCTACAAGATGTGCTGTAAGCAAATGTGGATTGGGAAGCGAAATTCACCAGTAGTCAACCAGGGGTAACCCATTTATTCCACTTTCACATCTCGCTGTATACACTGGAGAAAAATCGGACCGGCGCCAACAGTTGCATGGGGAAAAATACAGCCTCGCCGTGAGAATCAATTGTAGCATAAGAAGTCGTAGCCTTGCACAGCTAACCTGCCCCTCCAACGCTAACGCGCTACTTCGACTCAACCTCATCAGTATGAAATCTTCTCAGTGACTACCCACTTCATTATCTACGGAAGTATGGTTTCATCTTCCTCTCATTCTCACTATTCAAATTTAGTAATATTCTAGCACTTGGTCGGCACAAGAACTCCTTTTTTGGTTGCTCATGCCCTCTGTTGCGCATTCGTCACTACTGTCAAGTTTCAGCCTTGCGACCATACGAAAAAGCGAGGCATACGCCTCACCCACATCAACTAATTGTCTCGATATATTACCAGATATGAGCTGAAGGTTCCTACCTGACAACATCAACATATCAACCTTGGGAGATACTCGTTTCCATATATAGGTCTCGGATTGACATTCATAACATGCAACAATGAGCTACTCACGAGATGACTACACGGTCGCATGGATATGCGCCTTGCCGTTAGAAATGACAGCGGCAAAGCTCATGCTGGAAAAAGTCCATGCTTTGCTGCCTCAGCTAGAAACTGATTATAATACGTACACTCTTGGGAGTGTTGGTGGTCATAATGTCGTGGTGGCTTGCCTGCCCTCAGGCGTTTACGGAACTACATCTGCTGCAATCGTGCTCGCCCATATGCTGTCGACATTTCCTTCCCTACGATTCGCCTTAATGGTGGGAATTGGAGGTGGCGTACCCAAAAGTAACGACATTCGACTTGGCGACGTCGTTGTTAGCTTACCAAGTGGCGCCTCCGGGGGTGTGGTACAATATGATTACGGGAAGGCCCTCCGCGATGGAAGTTTTCAACGCACAGGCTCTCTGAACAAGCCCCCACGGTACCTATTAACAGCAGTCTCCCAGATTCGCAGCGATCCTGAAACGTCACTCGAGAAAACAGTAAAAGAGGCGCATCAGAAAAGCGAAAGTATCCGAAAAGAATTCTCACGTCCAAGCAAAGACTGGCTATTCGAGGCAACCTATGACCACAATAGCATGAACCTCGACTGCTCGACATGCGATCAAACCCAGCTAGTGGACCGTCGACTGAGGGAAAGTGGTGAACCGCTCGTTCACTATGGACTCATTGCGTCTGGTAACCAGGTCATAAAAAATGCTCAGTTAAGAGACTCGATTGCCCAGAAGACAGGTATTCTCTGCTTTGAAATGGAGGCGGCTGGGTTGATGGACCAACTACCATGTCTGGTAATCCGAGGGATATGCGACTATTGTGATTCGCACAAGCATAAAGAATGGCAAGGATATGGAGCTCTTACTGCGGCCGCGTATGCGGCTCATCTATTGCATGCTGTTCCCGTGACTGATCACACGTCGTCTCGTGCACAGAGTACGTACTCTTAAGCCTATGCGAAGCCTGATCATTAACTCGTAATAGACGTGGAATTCACTGAAGAAGAAAAAGCATGCTTGCGCAGCCTTTTCATCACTGATCCGGAAGAGGACAAGAATTCCCTGAAGCGAAGAAAAGGTGACCGCGCTTTTGACACATGCAGTTGGATCTTTGACACCGAGGAGCTGCAATATTGGCTTGGACTCCCCACACATAATGACCAGGAGGAGCAGAATATACTATGGTTATATGGTAATCCAGGCACGGGAAAATCAACGATGGCCATCACGTTATCGGAAGAGCTTCCAAGCAAACCGTATTTCCAGGATGGAGGCAAGACTATCGCATACTTCTTCTGCGACTCGAGCTCAGATGTCAACAGAACTGCAATATCCGTATTGCGTGGCCTTCTCTATCAATTGATCAAGCGATGCCCGACACTCATGCTGCATTTGCTTCCTAGGTACATTGAACGGAAAGATAAACTCTTCGGATCGTTCGATGCTTTATGGACTGTCTTATTAGACATTGCCAAAATTTCCGACGGCATGGATTTCTATTACATTATTGACGCTTTGGACGAATGCGAACCTGATTCACAAGAAACCTTGCTTGAGCAGATTCACCAGACGTTTGGCAATCCCAATTCCAAAAGCTCAGCCCCATCAAATATACATTTTCTCATCACAAGTCGCCCCTACCATGAAATTCGAAGACCATTATCTGCTTTCCGATCTAAGGATTTGGCTACCTACGAGGAAGTTGCAAGCGATTTGAGAAAAGTAATCAAGGAAAAAGTTGAGGTCCTGAGTAAGCGGAACAAATACCCAAAGGCCTTGTCTGCTGATATCTCTCGAGTGCTGGAGGCGAAAGCAGAGGGAACATTTTTGTGGGTAGGCATTGCCTGCGATGAATTGGCACAAGTACAATCTAGGAACTCAATGAAAACCTTGCAGGCTCTGCCTCGTGGACTGAATTCTCTATATCAGAAACTCCTGGAAACAGCCATCACCGGGAGTAACGAAGGCGATGAACCAATGATTCTTGAAATGTTGACTTTCGTTGCCTTTGCACTAAGACCACTGACATTAGCAGAGCTCTCCGAGGCTTGTCAACTCTATCCCGAAGAGGAAGAGGACTGTCGGCTACAATTCACACAAGAAATTATTGATCTATGTCGCTTGATGATTGTGGTGCAAGGAAGTCATGTGCGACTCTTACATAAGTCTGTAAAGGACTTTCTGCTCAAGGGAACTGCAAATATCAATGACCTTAAAGCGAACGCAACATTAGCCCACCGCTGTCTCAATAACGTCTTACACAATGTAAGACTGAAAAGTACTATGATGCTCCCTGATGCTCGAGACCGTTTTCTTAGTTATTCAACTGTGTATTGGCCACGGCATGCCAGTCTTTCAAAAACCGAGTTCACAATCAATCGTGAACATGAGAACTTTTTTTCTTTGAGCTCTACTTCCTGGAACGACTGGATGGGTCTTTACAATTCTCTACAAACATTTTCCTCTAATAGACTAGACCTTGGATTTTCGACACTTCATGCTGCAGCGCGTTGGGGTATCCAGCAGTTGATCCAGTTTGCGATCAATGTCACCAATGCCAGTTCTCGACGCTTAGAGCCTACTAGGGAAGGAGAATCATATATTGACTCGGATTATGCAACATCCAAGGGTGTGACACCAATGATCGAAGCCGCAAGAAGTGGTCAGATTTCGATACTGAAGATTTTATTGGAAAGAGGACCACCAAACCAGCAGATAAATCAAGATGTGATGAAAGCCGCAGCACGAAACACTATACGAGGGGAGAAAATTGTGGCATACCTCCTGGATGAACACAAAGATCAGATCAAAATTACAAATGACATGATCAAGGTCGTATCACAGAACCGCCCTCATGGAACACTCATCATGAGGTTAATAATTGACCAATGCAAGGAACAGATTTTAGTCAACCCTTACTTAATAATAACAATCCTTGAAAAATTTGATGTCACGGTGGTGGCATTCCTCCTAAATCAGTACCAAGGGAGGTTGCAGATTACGGAGGGTATGATCGAGGCTGCTGGGCAAAACTACTCGGATGGAAATGAGATAATGACTTTGATGCTGGAGCAGTATAACGTCAGAATTCAGGAGAATCCTGGTCTGGTGTCTAAAGTAATTCAGCACTTTAATGAAAAAGTCGTGGAACTCATTCTGAATCAGATGGGGGATCGTATCGAACTTGGAGATGAAATATTCAAAGCTGCTGCTCGAAATTATCGGTATGAGAATGTAATGTTCCTACTTCTTGGCAAATATGGTGAGGAGATATCGATTGCAACGAACATAGCATGGCCGGGGGTTCCCTACATCTCTAATGTTGAATACAATTGCGCTCAAGGCAGCACAGAATACAATACTTGGCAAACATATGCTGCACAATCCGGAGCCTCTGCGGTACAGGCTTTCGTAGGATATTGGAGATGCATAAATAGAGAAGGTAAGGCAGGTTCATTAATGTCTCTTTTCTCACTAACAATTCTGTTAGCCGGCGATCGTTATTGGAATGTTCCTTTTCGGAGAAATCCCAATTTTGTTGCTCAAAATGATGAGATTGCCCAGATCAAAGATTTGGTCTTACGGTACACAGTGCCTGCTAGGATCTTGGTTTGTGGTCTAAATGGAGTCGGAAAGACACACTTGGCCTTAGAACTGGCTTATCGCATACGAGAACACGACCCTGAATGGTCAATTTTCTGGATCTCAAGCTCTAGTGCTAAGGTTATTGAGCAATCCTACATGGAAATAGCAAAAATGCTTGGATTCTATAAAGTAGAGCAAACAGAGGCCAAAAATTTTCTGACTTTTTATCTATGTCAGAAGCAAGCAGGGAAATGCCTCCTGATATTTGACAATGCTGAGAATATTTCCATATTGACGGAGTATCTACCTCGAAACGAGCTAGCTCAGATTCTCATCACAAGTCGAGCCGGAGCTTTGGTTCCAAGATTAGCAACTGATCATGTTATCCAGCTCTCAACCTCAAGTGTCGAAGCTGCACTTGACATACTGGAGAACTCTCTGGTCGATAAAAGCTTGCTTAATGACCAAGAGACAGCAAAAGCTCTTGTCCAGCGTCTAAGTCTGCTCCCTCTAGCTATACTGCACGCTTCGGCATATATCAACTCGACCAAAAAAACCGTTTCCCAATATCTGTATTTGCTGGAGCGACAATATTCGAAATTTGGACAGAGAAGTGGAGGGCCTGTAGAGCAAAATTATAGCACCACTCCAAGCCTGAAACGTATATGGCGGACTACTTTTCAACAAATTTCGCGAAAGAACCAGCTAGCAGCATACTACCTATCGTTTATGGCCTGTATGGATGGCGATGGTATTTCACAGTCTTTGCTTCCATCAGCCAAGCTCGAGAATAAACTGGATGCTATTGGCCTTTTAAAAGACTCCTCGATCATAGTGGAAACCTCCCGGGGCTATTTTTCCATGCATAGGTTATTGCGTCACGAAGTTCGGGACTGGTTGAAATCGGACCAGCGATTTCGACAAGAAGTTCTGAAGGTAGCAGACCACTTGAGTGATATATTCCCAAATTATACCACCAATAGGAGTATGCGGCGCGAATACCTGCCGCATGCTATGTCTTTGCTTGCCGAGGTTGAATTCCAAGAAGAGCAGGCGAGATATATCAAATTGATGCGAAGAGTTGGACACTGTTTACTTATTGATAAAAGGTACAGTGAAGCGGCAGCTTTATTCGAAACTATCATGACCATACAGAAGAACGAAAATTCGGATAGCAGCTATTCAATACTGTTCAGCGTTGCTGACTTGGCGCGGACATATAAAGAGCATGGTCGGGTCGATGAAGCCGAAGAATTGGAACTACAGATGGTGGAATTAAGTAAACGAGTCATCACAACAGAATATCCCGACACTCTGGAAATGATCCGCCAGAGTTTGGTACGTCGGCATCAACGGAGGCATGAGAAAGCCGAAATTGGGCATGGGCAAGAACTAAAAGATCCAGATAATGCCTTAGAACTAGAGCTTCCTGATACTCTTCACTATTTCAGTGATCTCGGCTTAGCCCTTGACCGTCATGGGAGACACGAAGACGCAGAAAATATGCATATATTGGCGTTTGGAGGTCTCTACAAAGTCCTTGGTCCAGAAGATTATTCCACTTTGACCGGCATATTCAGCCTCGCCTACTCTTTGCTCGCTCAAGATAAGAAAGAAGACGCATCTACCCTTCTGGAAGAATTCATCAAACTCCGGGGTAAGAGCCTGAAACCCGATCAAACAGCTATTGAAGATGCCTCTTTCTGTCGTAGTCATTGGGAAGACTACTGTAAGATGCGACTCTTCCGGAAACAGCAGCAAGAGCAGAAGATGATCAGCTCAAACGAAAAATTTCAGCTCATGGAAGATACATCAGCATCGACAATTACGACGCCACCTGTTGAACGACATTCAGCAAATCCTGCACAGAGGTTTATACGAGATCACCCCCTCCTACGAGCTTCGCGGAGTGACCAATCTGTTCAGGACGGTCTTGACTTAGAAGATGTTGATTGAACCGGGATGACCCCCTTTTTGCTCATGCCCATATAGAGGGGATGTTTATCATACATTACGTGATGATTTTTAATTAACAGATCCACCTGTCTCCTTTTCCCTCACTCATGTAAATGCCTAGATACGTAATTGATCATCTGAACCGGTAGGTACATCTATATGGCTCGTAAAAGTGTGACTGATATTACAGTTTCTGTCCATCCATGTGGATTGTTATCAATCCTGGGAGCGTGAGACTATGGCCGCAGGCCCAACATATTCCTTCCGTCCCTTCAACACAAACATCGCAAGACTAATTATGAAAACGCCTCCAAAGATCACTACGCTCCAGTTGAAATTGTCCACAGTGACCGGAAGATCGCTAGGCCACAATGACCAGAAGAAAGCAAAGCAGCAATATAACAGTCCGATGATGTTCACAGGTAAGCCCCATCGCCCCATATCCCATCGACGGGGTGGAAGGGTCTCGGCATGCCAGATCTTCCGATAAATCACGCAACTAATTGATATAATGTACGTATACATTAGTGCGGCCACATTCAAGGAAATGATGGCATTAAAAGCAGTAAGAGAGCCGATATTGATTAGCGAAAGCAAGCAACTGATGATACACGACAAGGCAATGGCGTTGACCGGGATCTTACGCCTGTTATCGACTTTTGAGATCCATTTCGCAAATGGGAGACCCTTGTCACGCGCAAAGGCGAAGGTTTGGCGAGAGGTGGAAGCATTGAAGAAAATGTTGCTAAAGATCACTGGTAGTAGAATGATTGCGGTAAGCCCGTTTACTCCTGCTGTTGAGACAGCGTTTTGAAAGACGTAGAGGAATGGGAAGCCCGTGGCATCGTTCAAGGCGTCTTCCACCGATGGGATAGCGAAGAGGTAGGCAATAAGTAAGACGATTGCCATGATGCCGTTGCTGAAATATCCCCAGGCGATGGCAATTGGTACGCTTCGACTTGCATCTTTGACTTCTTCGGACATGTGTGCAGTTGCATCAGAACCTGTGTGCTCAGTTATCAGCAAGTTCAATTCAACCCCCAATTTAATTGGTGACTAGGCACATACTCAACGAAGCGTATATAGCCGAGATTTGCCCGATCATCACACTCAGGCCCATGCTAGACCAACCTCCAAGATTTTCCCATTGTGTAAAAACAGCTTTTGCAGATTGATGAGGAGCCATGGCCCACAATACAATTACAATCACCGCCCACGACAGAATATGAAAAATCATCAAGAGGTTATTCAATATTGGCATCAGATTAGATGCATACACATTGAAGACGTAGATCACCAGGATCATCGCAAAAACAAACAAAGTACCCTGCCAGTTTTCCGGGGTGTAGTCCGGATTGCGGATGCTGATCAATCCCTGGATGATGGTTCCAGTGAGAAAGGATCCAGAGGCTGATCCGGCTTGCCATGCTAATACTGACATCCATCCTAAACGGAATAGATTAGCGATGAAGATGCAATGGGTAAAAGGCGGAAATTCAACCTGTAATATAACTAAGAAACTTTTGGTATCGGGGCGGGGAAAACTCGGAGACCCAGTGATACTGGCCGCCAGAGGTTGGTGCCCTATCGTCAAATGTAAACATCAACGAGTTTACTTAGATCGTTAAAGTTCAACGTACATGGAAGCCATCTCGGAAAGTGAAGCGATAATGAACCCAAATCCAATGAACGTCCAGACAAATGACCAGAATAAACCGGCCATGCCTCCATTCTCCAAACCTTGAGAGTTGGAGCTGAAAAGAATTAGCATTTTCACCTACTTAGATTTGTAGAATATTACTCACATGAGAAGAAATTCCCAGGTCGCCTGCAAGACAGAAGCGAAACTCAATGCAGCCAAAGGTCGTAGATTTCTCTGTTTGAGAATGTGAGAAATCGATTCGGTGAAATATCGATGATAGTGAGTAGACATGCCTTTAATTCTTGAACTTTTCCCATACGGTGCATGTCACCATCATCAAGGGCAGTCCCAATATAGGCCCCAGATTGGGCTTCTTGTAAAAGACCATGGTCCATAGCCTGTTCATCCACGTCTTGAAATTCTGGTCCTGGAGTTTTACTAGGGGCCTGCATGGTGGTCATCAACTTCTGAGTATACTAAGTAACCAAAGGAAAAAAAGTGACACGCAGAGAATGACAAGAGGGAAGATCAACTAACATAACAGAGATAACAAGGCCAATGAGAGCGCTACATCGGTTTTATCCTTGGCATGCATCCTCTGCCAAGAAATTCGTTAGATAGGAACATTTCGTTGTACCCGGTTGTCGGTTCGTCCGATCCAAGATCAGCTCGATTGGTTTGGGGACAGGGTAGTCCGACAAGCCTACAAGGTGAAGCGCAAAATGAATCTATATAGATTACTAATTTCTGCTTCATTGCTACGAAAGGGGTTGCTAGGGGTCAACGCTATATGAACACCACGGAATGGAACAACCTTGGTCCGAAGCACGTATGGCAGATGCGAGGTTGCTAGATGCCGGTGTCTGATACAGCATTCATATTGACGTTCCGACATCGCTGTAACTAATATTTGACCTTCAATCTTTCTTATAGATTAATTCGTTACAAACAGATTTTATTGTGGCTGGTCTACGCCCTAATGCGGCACTATTGGATTGAAAATCAACTTTTACATCAAACCAAAATAAATAAGTGGTTGTCATGACACAAGTAAGCAGTCATCACGATAAAACAGGCAAATAGACAGGGGATGGTAGCGGCCAGCCGCTGCGTAGTCACATGCTCCTTTGAGTCTTCACCTCGACCTCACTCTTACTCTCCTTCTTTCTCCTCTTTGTGGACTTGTCGGGGCTGAGGCTCCAAGGACGTATGGCATATATTTCAGACGTATAATAGCAGATTAGGGATAGTAGACCTTTCGGCTTKGCCACCAGGCATCATTATATGATGTGTGTGTGCTCAGCATGGCCATGATCTTGGGAACTCAAAATTGCTCATTTGATTTTTAAGACGTTTCAATAATGTCTTTCAGGTCTGACTTTATTCCCACCATCAGAGAAATACTCAGTATCCTTATAGAAAAGCGATTACTAAACTGGGGGAATTTCTTCATTGCTCCGCACATAACTGCTAGAATGCAGCAGAACGCTCCATGACTTCTACTTCAAACGATGCGGTCTGTGTCACTTCCAGTACTGTATACGACACTCCCACCGTATATCTACCTGGTGTAAGCCATGGACCTGAACCAGATAAGATGTATCCTCCATAACCTTCGCCGAGCGTTTCAGCTACAGCATCACTATATTTCGCCGTAACCACTAGTGCTGATGAGTCCAGAGGCTCACCAGTGATGCACGTGATTTTGGCCAGAACCTGTACACTTATTGAAACCAGGTCTGCACCACGAACCGCTGCATGGTCCGCCGGCGTCAGATTAATGACTGTTCCGTGTCGTATCACTCCTTGACTGCCTTCATATTCCGGCTTCTGTGTCCATTCTATAGGAGTCCACTGACCCGAGCTAAGACAGCTGGTCCAGTAAGGATGCAATTGCTCCTCCATTGGGTGTCCGGCTGGCGAGTCAGCCCAAATTTGATCCGAGAAGAAGTAATACCCCTTCCCTCGCTGATCGTTCGGGTTTGCTTGAAATACAAGGGGTGCCTCAGCATATGTGGTGTTCATAGCCCTATGGGTAATGCAGCATGCAATTAGCTGCCAGTCTTCCTCCGGAGCGAGGACCCGGCCGGACCGTTCCTGGTATATATCGTCTGTCGGGCAGCCGGACGCGTACCGAGTGACCCCAACGCCAGTGGATATCCGATCGCAGACAAAGCGATGGTAGTATCCAGTCTCCTCTTCGTAGATCATGCAGGCGTCGAGAGTGCCATGGTTGGGCCTACCGCTCATGACCTTCGCTTTAGTGAAGGTTATAAAGTCACGTGTGGTTGCATACAGCGTCTGGTTTCTTGACAATGGATATCGACGTTTAGGATCATTCGGATCTTCCGTGAAATAGGTGTCGACTGGGTACATCGAGGAGGTCCAGAAAACAACATAAGCCTCAATTTCCGGGTCCCAAATAGCTTCGGGGGCAAACGTCATGCCGGCCTCTGGGGGTGCCACAAGAATGTGTCGTTGATTGGACCAGGTGCGTAGGTCGTGGGACTCCCAGACCTCAATGTACCGACTACTGCCACTTTGAGCCCAATCCCATCCACGCCAACCATATTCCACTCCGTCCACGTTGAGATCGGTGGCAAGGAGGAAGAACCTGTCACCTTCTCGCGAGCGGATGAGGGAGGGATCTCGAACAGCATGTACTCCCTTAGTTGACGTGAGAATGGGCTGTCCGCTGTTGGCTGCTTTCCATCTCGTTCCGTCGTTCCCGACGCTATATGCCATATAAACCTGTTGTCCGCGATGACTATTGGAGCGAGCGAAATTGACCATTCCATAACTCGAGTATGGTGCCAACTTCACGGACGGCTGAACTGTAAGTTGGAAATCCCGACTGAAATCTACAGTGATCTTCGGCTCCGATTTGATTGCAACACTTGCAGTCAAGGTGACTTGCGCTGGGGCGGCTCCGACCGGGGGCCTTCTCACCACCCCAGGTGCAATTTTACCATTAGGTTTGTCAGACACAATAGCTGGGTCGGATGAGGTCCAAGTGATTTGCGTTTCTGGCAATCCGTCAATTGTCGTTGGTAGTGTGATGGAACCTCTAACGTCATCTACCTTAGGAATATTAATGCTTCTCAAGGCATTTTGGATACGTTCGCCAGTTTCGTTAGAAATCATTTGTTTTGTATAATCCATGGGTGCTAGATTGGATTCAAGTCGCCTTTGTAAATAAGGTTGCTGAAAAAGGAAGACCAAACAATGCCACAGGGAGGAAAGTCTTCAGTATATACTGGTTTGATGGTACTGTAGGAACGTATTTAGCCTAAATCCCGACTTTCACGGAAGGTCCTAGCTAGCCTAGTCAACTCCGACTCGAATCCGGTATTTGTCTCGAAATAATGGCAAAACTCATTTTGAGTTAAGAGGAAAATGAGGGATACTTGGAGTGTCACGAAAACACCTCAGTATTCTACCGCTATCCGCAATACTACATCCTCTTGATATATTATTAAAAGTGCGTTTCTGTCAGAAGAATTGATGGCGTTGTAGATGCTCTTTCATCCCCGAAAAAGAATGAAATATACCATACAACCAAGCACGGTGATAGTTTAGCGATCATATAAATCTAATATGAGTTTCTTATTACAAGAAAGCTTTTTTCACATGATGAGCGATGATGTGAAGCCATGGCTATATCGGAGAGTTTGATTTGCCTGCTTTTTACATGCTCCTATATAGCTACAAATTCCTTAAATATTGTATATGCACTAAATCATGCAATTAGGTGGGCCTGTGCATGAGGCGGCAGGGGACGGTATCCTTGTGAAAAGCCCGCATGAGGTGGATATACTGCGGATAACTGACAGGATAGAGGAACACACCAAACACTAAAAATCTGGACATGGTGTAGATTTGCAGACAGCAGATCGCTAGTCCAGGGTCATAGACATAGAAAATATGAGATGTAAAAGGGTTGTATTCCTTTATATCCAGATAGAATCCCTCCCGGGGTTTTCCCATGGACTTGACGCAAATGCGAGACCAGATGTTGTTGTCTATGTTTTATGATTGTATGCTATTATTTTTTTAGGATTTACCTGTAGCTGATACTGTGTACTAAAATGTTAAATTTAATCCATTGTATGTCATATAAACTCGAATTCATATTATATAACCAGCGAGAAAAAGACTGACTTCAAAATTGAGTGTCTATGGCAACTAAAACTGGCATCGTAGCCGAACCTTCATGGCTTACCTACATTTCAGCTAAGACTTGCTAGGTGTGGTACGCTAAGGCTGATTATATCGTGCACCTGCGAATATCTAGATGCTCAGATGGAGTCCCCGCCAATCATGGACTCCCTCCTACGGCCCGCAACCTCAATTTAGCCTGTTCACTGAATTCGTCTATCTCAGAGACAACTCGCGCAGTTTGAAACCGAGCTGATTCGGATCTTGGATGGCAAAGATACTGCATGACCATCGTTTGCAGTGAAGATAATGCTCGTCCCACTGGAAGGCTAAGAAGGATGATTGAATTAGAATTATGCACAGTCCACTCTATTAACTTGAAGGCGTTTGCATGATTTTGAGGTTTTCGATTGTTGTTTATTCAAAAAATGTTGGACCAACGTACTTCCACGTGGATATACAGCGCGTATTCTGCAACGCTCGAACGAACGCTCCGTAACGCTTTATCCACATGTTTCAGATGCTGGGAATAGCATCAACTATTTACGGAATACGCTCTCTTTGTGAAATGCCCTCTTTTTGTTCGTACAGTCATGGTTGGAAGCTTCCTGCACAGAGATCACTATGGGCTATCTTCCGTTAGTTAGTTCTAGAAATCAATCATCAAATCAACTATATTATTATTCCAGGTTCAACATTTGTAGGCTAGTTGGATCAGCCTTGCACCAATCCCAGCTTCGCGTTCTGGGACCGTGCTAAACCAACAAAGACCTTGTTCAAATGTTGAATTTCCGGTGGGAAGGGTAAGAAAGACCAGAAGAATGGATTGCCATCTTTCCTTGTGTCAAAATGTCCAGGTACACAAACGAACTCAAACAGCTCTTCTTTATCTATTCCTTGGCTTTGCTATATCCGGCCCATGTTTGCATTTCTTTGGGCTTTGATGTTCCTTTCGATTCAAACAAGAGATTTTTCAAAAGCTGTAAAGAAAGGATGTTGATCTTTGAACCACAATATCTCCTAAGTGAACTCAGCTTATGGCAAGATCAACTCAAAAGATTCTATCATGACAAGATATCCTCTCTCTATCTTTCTCTTTATAAACGTGGCATTGGTACATCCTGGCAGTTTTCCCATTTGATTTCGTAACTGTTTGCACTGCGTTGCTTACTCCTCAATTACTGACGTCTTCTTCCACATTGATATCTACATTCCTTAGGAGACGAGACACCAACATTCGAAACCATGGACAGAGAAACGACAATGGCCAGCTCGGGCAGACCTGAAACGGCATGGAGGGCCAACAAGAGGGCCAACAATGGGCAATTTCTCGCTGAGATCGACTCAAAACCTAAGTCCGAGGCAGGGGGACAAGTGAGTTTGGCATGTTCTTTTATATTTTCTTGAATTTTGAAGAAAGAATGAAAAGCTAACAGCCTATAAACGAATGAACACTACGATGCCATCTACTACAAGAAGGATGCCATCTCCCGCAAGAGAGGTAGAGTCAAAGTCGACGTCGAGCAATACTTTCGTAACGAAATCACAAAAACACCAACAAGTGAGGTCTGGAAAATGGAGAACAAAAAGCGGCGGATCGGGAACGACCAGGGTTTATCGTTGATGGAGAAACTTGATAAACAACTGGAAAAGATGCCCATCATTGAGAAGAAACTGGCGGAGCAGTTCAAGCAACTGGCGGAGCATAAGGAATTGGCTGAGACTCGGAACAGGCCGCACTGGCAAGTTCGCGTTGCTGAGCTAGAGAGACTCATAACAACACCCAATGCTGAAACCCGCTTTAATCGAAATGCGATTGTCCATGGTGCAGACGTTTTCAACGACTATGAAGCCCTGAAGAATATAGATCGGTCCAATAACCTTGCCCAATTCAACGCCGCATCGCAAGGATTTTTCAAGGCCTATGGGTTCCAGTGGGACTCTCTTAGTTACGACAAGCTTCGTAAAGCACCGAAACAGCTGATTGATATATTAAATATGAGAGGGAATGTGACTTTTCTTAGGTGGTTCTCGGGACATAAAAGAAAGGGAGGTCAGATACAATGGAGGTCTGACGAAGCTAGGCGTAAATGGGAAGAATCCATCAAGGCAAATGGAGTACCATATCCAGAGGATGCAGTGAGGACTGACTACGAGAAAGTCCAGAAGCCCTACAATAGCGTGAGAAACCACGAAATGCGCCGATAGCAACCTCTTTCCTTTTTTTTGTCTAGGTTTTTTTTTTGCCATGTCTTTTTTTTGTGTCTTTATGGATGATAGAGTGTCTGAACTAGCAGTTTGAGATGGATTTTATATTGGAGTTAAATACAACTAACTGTAGCCATGCACGATAGCGTCGCAGCTTCGAGCATGAGATTTTCCGATGATCGGTAGTTCTAGGATATATAAAGCTCTTCAATGCCCTTGCTATGTTTAGATCTTTCTTTTCTAACTTCTCTTTATACTTGGGATACTGCCATTGAAATGGGCAACCCAGTTGAACTGTACCTACGCAGGATCCAAGAACTAGACCAACTACTTCTAATAATAATTAAAAAACTTCTGTAGAGACATTTGCATATTAAGGACGGCTGAGCAGCGCGTCCTTCAATGGAAACTTGCGTCTTAAACCACTACGTCTTTTTTCTATAAAAATCAAAAGAATTTGTCAGGTACCTGGAGTCTATCCTCTAAGCATCATTCTAATGATTTTGCTATTTGGCTTGCATTTTAAACCTAGTAGTAATCTTTTCTACCTATTTTCAAAATAGACTTAGATTATTTTATTTCTCGTAAAAGTTGATAGCGAAGCTGTACTTAAGTACTTCTAAATAATATAAAGGCTCTTCTATACTAATCATATAATATAATTAAGATATATTTAATACTATAAAATAAAAATTATAAAATAAACTAAATGTGAGGAGGGGTTTGCTAGGCTAGATGCAAAGGATAGAGAAGCAACATTAGGTGCGCTAATTCAAAGTTTAGGTCTAGTTCTCAACATGTCTACACGAGATGGTGAGTGGCGTCCAGCTGTTAGTGACATATATTGCTTCCGACTGTTAGGTCGTTTACCTTCTTAGCGTGACCAAGCATGGGCCATCGCTCCTATCCTTGTACTGGACTAGGCGTCTAGCTTGTGCCATTCATTTCGGCCCTTTCAGCCTACCCCACGATTCTCAAACGTTTGAAAGATAATGGTGCAAGATTGATTGACAGTGGTTGTTTTCTCGGCAGCGATTTGCGGCGTCTCGCATTTGATGGTGCGCCCACAGAGAATCTGTACGGAGCCGACATTGTCAGTCACTGGGAGGTGGGATTTGTGCTTTACCGAGACGAGGATAAGTTTAAAACGCATTTCATCGAAGCCGACATGCTCTCAATCAACAAAGATGATGATGCTGGCAGTGGTGAAGCCACATCTTTGCAAGCCCTCCGGGATACAGCAGAAATCGTCTCGATTTCAGCGGTGCTTCACCAAGGGGACTGGGACGACCAAGTAAAATTTGCGAAAAAGGTGGCTGCTTTAACGAAGGGACCGGATTCTTTGGTAGTTGGTCATCAGATTGGCAATGTAGAAGCCAAGCAGATATGGGATAAAGCGCTGCAATTACATCATTGGAGATATACGCCAGAGTCTTTTGCGAAATTGTGGGATCAGGTTGGCGCAGAAACGGATACCGCGTGGAAGACGAAGGGTAAGTTGTTGTCTTTCGAGAAAATGGGCTGGGATCCTGAGGATAACAGGTGGATGGAGCCTGGAGATAAGGTGCACAATTTCGTTGTTACTCGATTGAAGTAGATGTTTCTTAGCATCGGCATTTTTTAGAGTCAATGATCACTGATTTTAATATTTGCTTATCCAAGAACAAATCGTTCCCACAGTCTCGAACATTTCACGGTTATCATCAAAAGAAGCCCGGATATCTTTGGATATCACGACATTGTTTGGTCGTTTGTTGATTTCCTAAAGCGGAAGTGAGGGTTCCGTGCGCTGGAACATAGACATCAACGGTGAACTCTGCTGTCCGGAGTCATGCAAATATTGTCATTTCGGCGATTTCGGTGAAGCATCGGATTTGGCACCTATTACACGCGTTGTATTCAAATGCAAACAGTTTTGGATCGATCATTTAAATCTAATGTGACACGAAGAAAGCCATCAATGCGTAGATTCATTATCATCAATTACAATAACATGTTTTCTTCCCTTAGACTGCGCAGCGTCTTTATATGCTTCGACACCCCTCTCAATGGGGACCAACGTCAATCCATCTTCAGCTGGCGGCTCCAATCCATCTTCATCGAACATATGGGCCAAACGTTTCATCCGCTCCGCCATTTCAGCTGGTTGATGTGGTATTGAATTAACACCGCAAATGGTATGATTTTTACGGTATAAATCCGTTAAACTGAGATCGTACTTTGGCGCCTGTCCCGTCGGTCCGGCTAAAACACAGTATCTCCCCCTTAAGGCTAAAACCTTCATAGCTCTGCTCATCAGCGTTGCGGATCCGATTGTGTCGATTATTACGTCAGCTTTGCCGTTTTCAAAGAATTTGCTGATCTCATGCAGATTGGGATCGCTGATGATATTGATATCAGCGACATCATCCCGACGTGCCGTTGTGACTACGCTGCAACCCCAGCAGCGGGCGATGTGTGCCGCCGCAGTACCGACAGCGCCTGTTCCGCCTAGAATCAGCACTCGGTCTGCGCGTTGCGTATGTGTAGCTTCAAGAGCTAATAGTGCCGTTGTGTATGGAACCCCGACAACAGCAGCCTGCGCCATGCTCAAGCTCCGAGGTTTCGGCATCACCGCATCCTCCGGGACGAGAACATACTCAGCAGCTGTGCCGTCGCATGTGAATGAAAGAGCATTGCCAGAAGTTCCAAAGACAGCAGTTCCGGGTGGTAAAGCCGGGTTTTGGGATTCATGTACGACACCGGCAAAGTCTCGACCGGGGATTCTGGGTTGAAACTCGCCGAATACGTTCATCAAAGCATTTGCGACATCGCTGGGGTTGACGCCGCTGGCACTGACTTTGACGAGGATTGTCGACGGTGTGAGGGCAGGGATGGGACGCTCTGTTAGAGCGAGCTGGTTTGTTGTTGATTTAGACTCTGGGTCCTGCGATGGGGAAGACCACAGAGCTCTCATGGTGGTTTATGCGGTTTCATCAAATTGAATTTTGTGAAGTTCAAAGATGAAAATGTTCCTTGCATTTCTGCAAGACTTGCTTATTCGATTAAGTCGGTGAAAAACGTCAATGCTTATTTAYCCCCGCCAGTCCTTTGCGGTCATTATTCGCCCGCCGGGAGAGCCAATTGATGATTGTCTAAACACAGCCACAATGGAGTCATACCAGAGAGGTAAAGCATTTGCGACCTAGATTTTAGCTGCCTCATATCCGCATACGAGCGAATGATCTTGCAGATAGAAGCTTTAGTCAGGGTTATTTCGACCATTGGCCAGGCTTTTACTTGAATCCAGTAAACAGTGCGGGTATCAAACGAGTTGAGATTTGAGCCCTGATCTCTTATTTGAAGTCGGACCGCAATCATAGTTGGTAGTTTTAGTCTTCTATGCAATAAATCGGTTAAATATGACGTTTTTGATCTTACGTAACCTAAATCCCGTAAGCAGTGCGACGTATAGATAAGGTAGAGTCGCCCATTAGGCGTATCTATAACTTGATCTTGGAGTCGAAAGTCTCTATGTATATCGAGTATACTATTATTGGTAATCATACGTGCAACAGATTAGTCAAATACGACGTTGACCAGCCCGGCCAACTACCTAGCGCTATAAACCAGGGCTATTTCAGCCTAGCTGTCACTGTCATGATCTGATTAGTTAGTACGTGCATGTATTCGCACATTTGATGACATCGACCCATCGTAAAGGGCAACTGGTATTATGGGTTAATGAGTGACAAACTACGATCTCACGCGGCTGAAAATTTTCGATCGCATGTGATGGCTGCCACCAAGCAAAGGTGAAGCGCCCAGGAGCTTCTGCCAGCGATTTGAAATTGGAATTTCATGAACATTGAATTGCTCGAGCGGCCACACAATTTGTAACCAAATGCTACTCACAGCGGAATAGCTCGAAGTTGAACTTCATAGAGTCTTGGGCCATGAGGCAGCTACATTACCCAGCATTGTCGAAGGATGTGAATGACGGCGGGCACTCTTTTCTCGATGATGATAACATCGGCATCATGTCTGCCGGTCACACGCGGGAGATGACTGGCTTTGACCTTTGAACTCGAAACATTGTCGATTCATCATACATGGACGATACTTTTTCCCTGAAAAGACAGCTCATAATCGCTCTTCAACACTCAACAAGATAAGACTCTCTCCCGGCTCGTTCTCTGCATCTCAACGACACAACAAAAATTGGGGCTGCCGTAAGAGAATGACAACAATTCATGCATGATTTTCCACTGAAGATGGGCTAAACGAAGTTGAGAGAGAATGATGTGTGAGAAACCACCCTCAACAACCCAATCCGGCTAGCGCACTTTCTTATCTTGTTGGGTCTCCGATTCCGCTCTCCGCATTCCCAAAAAAATTAAGAGTCATACCCAACCAACACCTTCACACAACCCACCAAAAGATAGAGAAGAACGGTCAATTGCATCAAACAGTACAATGGCTCAAAAGGCAGTTGCCGAGAATATGTTGTGGGGAGGACGATTCACCGGTATTCATATTCAGCCACCTTAATTGTGAAGAATACTAACGTCAACAGAGGGCCTCGACCCGTTGATGGTCCAATACAACGAATCCCTCCCCTACGACCGCATCTTCTGGAAACAAGACATCCTGGGCTCCCTGGCCTTTGCACGCGCCAACACCCGCGGCGGCATCCTTACATCTAACGAATTCTCCGAAATCGAGCGCGGCTTCAAACAGATCGCCGAAGAATGGAGCAATAACAGCTTCGTCGTCAAGGCCAACGACGAGGATATCCACACCGCGAACGAGCGTCGATTGGGCGAGATCATCGGCAAAGATATTGCCGGAAAATTGCACACGGGCCGATCGCGCAATGAGCAGATTGCGACTGACATGCGGTTGTGGTTGAGAGATGAGTTGCGGAAATTGGATTCATTCTTGAGCGATTTGATCAAAGTCTCTGTGGCACGCGCGGAGCAGGATATTGAGTATTTGATGCCGGGGTATACGCATTTGCAAAAGGCGCAGCCGGTGCGGTGGTCGCATTGGGTGTTGTCGCATGCTGTTGCATTTGCGTCGGAGCTGGGTCGTTTGCGTGAGGTGATCAAGCGGGTTAACAAGTCGCCATTGGGGACTGGTGCGCTTGCCGGTAACCCGTTCCAGATTGATCGGGAAGGTATGGCGAAAGAGCTAGGGTTTGATGGTATTACGATCAACTCGATGAACACGGTGGCCGACCGAGACTTTGCCATGGAAACAATGCAGTGGGGAAGCTCGTTTATGCTCAAGATTTCCCGCTGGGCGGAGGATTTGATTATTTACAGCAGTTTGGAGTTTGGCTTCGTCCGCCTTGCCGACGCTTATTCTACGGGCTCCTCGCTTATGCCGCAAAAGAAGAACGCAGATAGTCTCGAGCTGCTTCGTGGTAAGGCCGGACGAGCATTTGGCCATGTCGCGGGTCTCATGATGACCATCAAGGGACTGCCGACTACGTACAACAAGGACTTGCAAGAGAGTGTTGAGCCACTTCTTGACCACATCAAGACTGTCGGCGACAGCATCCAGATCGCCACTGGTGTTCTTTCCACTCTGACCGTCATCCCGGAGAAGATGCACGCTGCGTTGGCACCGGAAATGTTGGCCACCGAATTCGCCGATTACCTCGTTCGCAAGGGCGTGCCGTTCAGAGAGGGCCACCACATTTCAGGACGTGTCGTCGCCTTGGCCGAAAAGAACAATGTCCCCATGGACACTCTTACGCTTGAGCAGCTGCAAGGAATCGACAGTCGCTTCGGATCGGATGTGCAGGAATGTCTGGACTACGAGCGTGCCGTTGAGTTGAAGGATGCGATTGGCGGTACGAGCAAGCGCGCTGTCCGCGAGCAGATTGTTGCTTTGAAAGCAATTATTCAGGGTGATGCTTAACTTTGTCGTGACAGGATATGGTCGTTGTACTACTGTTTTGGGATACTACTCGAGGATAAAATGTTAGATGTTGGGTCAATGAAGCATTCTTCTAGTTCGTTGTGATTGATGACTAAGTGCTGTAGACTATTGATGCAGTCAGTTCAAGGCTGGATCGAGCAGGTCATACAAATAGAAATGTCGATGAGTGTCACCTTAGTCAGGATCAGGATATAAGACCGCACCTTCAAAGAATTGAGATGTACGAATATAATGCACAAACCATGAAACAGTCACATCGATAGTAAGCACGCAAATCCCTAGAATCCTGTATCGATTGATGTAATCGCCTAATCCGGTAACATGTCTGGTTTCTAACCAGTGTGTACGATTGCAAAGTACGTAGTAAGTGCTACCTCACAGCCCAAGCACAATGCGTACCTAGAGATCACCAGCAACTTCGACTTCAAAATCATCTCTCATTTCCAAAAAAAATTTAAATAATTACCTGGATGTTGATCCGACGCTTAGCAGAACACAGCACGAGGAACTATAAGCCTCAGCCCCAACCAGAAAGCTAAATATTTGAGTAGATGAACATCACACTCCATGTCGTTCCTGGACTACTTCGAGGATGATCATGTAATCCGATGATGTTATCCAACGGTCCAATATTTCCCACCATCAAAGCTTTTCAAGGTTTTCTTTCCTGTACATAGTGAACTGCGCATCGATCATCAATCTATTTTTGCATCCCCCGTATTCCAGACCTATGTAAACTTTCAGATGAATGAAGTCCGCTCTATTCCCGACCTACCTCAACACACTCAAAGTCTAGACTCTCTTTCAGCAGACTGAGCAAAGGTTCATCCTATTTACCCGATCGGGAAATATTGACCAATTTTTGCGATCGTTTCACGATCTGGAGGTAGCCTCGTCAGCCAATCAGCGGGGTTAGATCGACGGCTATTTGTTTATTGGATCCCGGTCGGTGTTTGAATAGTAGGAAGGGGCCACTGAGCGGGAGGGTAATATAGTTTAGGGCAATCGAGGAAGGGGAAAGTCGGGGTAGGAATACTTGCAGAGAGGACGTGGGGATCGGATTGAGTTGATGAATGTTGCTAAATGGAAAGATGGACTCAGCTTCGAAGGGGTACGAAGTAAGACTCGGCCCAAGGGATACGATGAGCCGTGCCGGATGCTCGGCGGCTGACTTTTTTTTCCCACGTAGTAGTTAGACCAAGAGTGGTTACACACTGTCGATCAGTTTTTGTATTTATTTATTTTTTCTTGTTAATCGCTGGGCAGATAATGCAAGGTGATCACGTTGCGATAAGACGAGTATTGGACTGACAGGACAAGTTGACGTCATGTGTCGTGAGGAACCTAAGACTGAGCACTATGATGAGTCTTGCTTTTTATGGCCGAGTTCGAGGCCATACTACATATGCAGCAGCCTACACGAGCATAGTATGACACAGCTCCAGTTCAGCTATCACATGCAAAATCCGCATCAGAGTCTCGATGAACCTAACGATACTCACCGAGAATATACCGAGACTACGTACCCAGACTATGTACCTAAGCGCCTGAACGATCCAAAATTAGAAGGCCCAATATTCAGCCACAGCCCAGACCGGACCCTGCATGATGTTCAGCCACATCACCGATTTAGCGCGTGTCCAGTTTTCGGTGTCGTAGCTAGTGTGGCTAGTGCAGAAAGCAAAGTCCTGTCTACGTACTCCGTACTATGCATGCAAGACGTGCGGCATTAGTACGGCGGAAACTCGGTGAAATCAATGATCTGCATACAGACCAAGAACAGAGACATCGTGCTCTACTACGTAGTAGTAGGCAAGGGAGATGTCTGACACGTGCACATCAATGAGCGGTCAAGCCACATTTTAGCCTCTCACCAGCCACATATGCGATCGTGATCACGGTAGCTAGACTGTTTTGGGGCTAGTCAGGACGCGGTGGGTCCGGCAGAGCTCGGTATGCCCGATCGCTTTGTGGGGTGATTGGCTACGGACATGTCCGTTCAGGTACTATGCAGAAAGAACATAGAAAATGACTGTTTATCAGTTTATTCAAGTTTTTGGTATCTGATATCATTAGTTTATGTAGTATACCTTACGTAGTATGTAGGTTCTCGGGGAAAATATCCCGATTCTGCCGACAGCAACATCACCAAACAAATATGCCGTTTGCTGCTTGTGAAACCTTCCAATCGTAGACGAGGTTAGCAAACGAGAAACGGCGCTATGTACATGCGATATGTCAGCTCTCACATCTGCCAGTACCTTCCTACATGGTACATCACAAGAAGGTACATATGCCCGTTTTATATGTATCACCTCGATACGACTAGCTGCAGATGCATTTGCATTGCACAACGACAAACGGTCTGTAAGACTGTCACTATCGACGGGTCATGTGTCACTCGTACATACTTGCGTAGCTACCTTCCTAAATCGATTAATAAATCGTTTCGTGTCTGCATACATATGTGTCTGCATATGCGTCTGGCGGGAATAGGCAGGAAATAATAATTCCTAAGTTCGTTTATCGTTTAGAGAGTGCATTCTTGAAGTAGAAGGAGAAACAGTCTTGTGTTACGGTATGATGTATGGATCGGCGGCGATGGTCTGGCAGCAGTAGTAGTATGAGCAGGACGAGTATAGGAGAGTCTAGACAATATCGTCTTCATCGTACCGTCCCGACCCCGTTGAATACTCTTCTCATATTATTTTACGAGATAATTGTAATCCAATATTAAATAATTCAGTAGATTGTAATCTCCAAGTCAACTAATTTGTACATGATATTCTTCCGAGCCTAGCCACTAAATGAATGTCCGCCGAGAACGCCATGCTGTAAACTCCACCCAATATATACCCGTAGACAAAAGAAATGCTCAAAGAGAAAGTATGTATGCACCGTTCAGACGCAAGAGATGAGATGCTTGAATATATGCGCCAAAAAAGAAAGAATAATTGAATAGAGAGTAATAAATCGCTCAGTTCGAGCGTTTCAACAACTGCCTCAGCCGACGTCGAATCTTTGACCGTTTTCGATTATCGAGACACAACCAGCCGTGCGGACTTGACGTTGTCGTCGATAAAGCATCGCCATTATCCTCCGAGCCGATTGAGGACGACGAAAAAGTGGTTATGAAGCTGGTTGGACTGCTAGGATGTTCGTCGTTGTCGTCGTTGTTATTATTGTTGGTCTCCTCAGGCTCTTCGTAGTTGCAGTGCTGGCATTGCATGTAGGGTAGCATGGCGACGTGCGGGTATGTCTGCGACAGGACGAGGTCGATATCTGACATTTGCGACGGGCGGCGGGAAGTGAGTGCGGGGTTCTATGTCTGTTAGTACAAGTCCGTTAGCACAAGAGAGGCAAGAGACTAACCCATAACTCGTAGTTGGTTTTATATGTCATTGTGTTGGTGCTGAATGTGTTTGTATTCGTTCGTTTGTATGTGTTTGGGTGATGGTGTTTGAGCAGACTTCGACGATGGACACGACTTTATACTTAACTTGCTATGAGTCGTAACAGATGGAGACGGAATCTTGAATTTAATATATATTCACCGTACACGACCAGAGCCCTCGTACATTAGTCCCAGATACGTCGGCTACGTTGTATGTATTTACCCCATCCGATCTAGATTTGCATCAGGGCTAAGATTATGTACATAGTAATATTAGTACGTAGGAGGATCATCCTGGCCTAGTGGGAGGGGCCCGATTGCCGTGACAGTTCGCTTCCTCAGCCTTCCTGGTTTGTCAACCCGCCCAGGAGCAAAAACCCGATCTGCCAAGTGAGTACTACCCATCTCCTTCAAGCCTCAAAGTCGAAGGATCATGGATCTTGTTCCTGGATCCTTTTGTGTCTGTCTGATTGGGCGATGGCCACGCACGTCCGAGCACCGCGCCAGTCCTGTTCCGGATGACGATGACTTCTTCTAGAGTGCGCTAGTCGAATGACTTTCCAATCTATTGAAATTGCTGCATAGAATGGCCGTCTTCCAACCTGATCAGATCCGCATGACCTCATTTGCTAAGCCAGATAAGAAGATAGATTTGGAATTGGAGTTTGTGCTTGTTCCTACATCGTTCTCTTGTTTAGTGCGGTCGCATCGTACGATAAACGACAGTAGATCGAACATGGTAACACTAACCGATCATCAAGGCACGGAATACAAGGTAAAATCATGACCCATGATCTAGGCATGACAATCAGGCCACGACCACAGATACCAACTTGGAAATTGGGTATTGGACGCGACAAACGAGTTTCGATAGCAATTACGCTAATTTTTTCAGCCGTAAGCCAAGGGTTGACGAACGGATGACCACTCCGTGTGTCAGCCAACCGAACCGCGATGCCCCGTGCGCGCTGAAGGGGAGAGAACTTGAGAAGACTTGAGTCTGAGCGGTGACTCTACTGGCAGGCGAAGATTGATCCCTGTAAGCACAACCAGAGCCTTGGGCCTGAACCTGAACTCTACTACATCGTATAGCGGGATCACTCGCAGGGATGTCCCCGGCTTGACTGCCGCAAACAAGATTCGAGTCAGTGCTGTAGAACGTGTCCTTGTGATGACAGTGATACGTATTGCTACAAATTAACATTATTATACGACTAGGTAGTACGTTTTACGTCAGGGATGTTATCAGTTTGTGTAAGCGAGCCTGCATGCACCCCAACAAACTGGGAGACATACCGCTGCCTACATAACAAGGTGTATTATGTTAATTTTCGTGACCTATAATTTGATCTTCAAACTAATAGAACAAATTCATACTTAATATGGCAGCCTTGTCCAGAAGCCCACGCAGGAATAGTCACAACACCACGATGACCACACATCGAGATTGTCATAATACGTCGACTAAGGATAGGGATAAATTACAAATAGAAGATAGCTCCATCTGACTCCAATCTACGTAGTAAGTAAATTAGCAGCGATCTCAAAGGGGTCAACTTAGTCAAAAGGCGATCCTCGGCCACGCCGGAGCAACAGACTTCCAGCCAATAGGACTCTGCGGCTTGGTGCTCCGCACCGCCATATATGTGGCGCGGATCTGTGGCTCGTGCATCCATCATCTGTGGCTTGACTCAATAGTTTGTCTTTTGGTTTTTTGGCTTCAACCTTTTTACTACGTATGTTAGTAGCCTCCTCTGCGATAGTCTCTCGATAGCTTGAGTTCTCGCGCTTGTCTCCGCCCAATCCTTGCCAAGCGTCGCCAATCCTGCCTCATCATTCGCCTGCAGCTTTCCTCCACGTTACCCCCCTGCTGTCGACCATCATGTTTGAGGTTAGCCCGGAGCATTACGATCCTGGAGTTTTTGCTTTGCGACTAACTACTGTAAGAAGTGGACATGGAGCATCACATCATCCTGCAATGGCTTCCAGCCGACCGTTTTTGGAACTGCGCGCCCAAATTTACTTGTCTTTTCAGTTTCTGGATTTAGTCCCACTTGTCTGTCTGTCTTAGTGAAGCGCATATAAGGACCACGCTTCGACCCCCTCAATAACGATGTTGCTGAACGACAGACTCGAATTAATTTTAGATTGTCTATTTCTTTCTCGTGACTGGTTCATGCTTCACTTTGTCGCTTTTCACTTATAGAGGTTTGACCATAGCGCTGTGCAGCTATAGGTTATTGAAGCGCATGTATGTCAACTTACGACTACAACGACAAGACACAAGTTGGACTGAGGGTACGACTTTGGCGTGGCTTGAGAACAATCGTCCACAGACGTGCCTCAGAACCCAGCCGCCGTTCGCATAGGTATATCCTCCGCCAGCTCGTTTTTGTATCGTGCTAACGATACTACTAGACGCAAAGAGAACGGCCATCCATCCACCGAAATGCAGGCTACCTCTATAACGACCACATCTACAATCCAAATGCCCGGCACAACTCTACTCGCTGACGACGGCAAACTCAATCCCTCCGAATGGTTCCCCATCTATCAGAGCTGTATAGACCACTTCGTGAACGTGGCACAGCATCGGCCCATCGCGCAATCACTCGCGGCACATGTCAACATTCTCCTCCCCTGTCAGCGAGGCGCCGTTCCCAATTCGGCCGAGTCATCTCAAACCCCTCGCCATGAATCACAACCGACAGTATACTCACTCACCCCCTACATCCGCCGCCTCGTCGCCACAGCCACCGACACACCAACAATAATGCAAGAACTCTTCGGCGCAAACTGGGTCCAGGGACTCAGCACAATCCTTGCCCAGGAGCGAATTAATTACCTCTTCGCCGCAAAGAGTGGCGGATGGCTACAAACAAAAGCGCAATACGACATCCTACCAAACGAAACGATTCCGTTCCTGAGGCCGCTGCGTGACCCGCGGGAAGAAGAGTTGAGGGCGGCGGAGGCGCGATGGAGTGAATGGTTGGCTATGGAGGATTGGATGGTGGGACCGCGCAGTCCGTTTGAGGAGGATTCGTCGGGGAATTAGTTATTTCCCGTTCTCTCTTACTCCATGCTCTTTTTTTGTTTTTTTCTTTTGTCGAATGACAAACAATTCATTCGTGCTGTAACTAGCGCGATGGATATGACTCATGTGGTGTACTGGAGTTTGTATTTGTTGTTTCATTCGGTCCTTTGAAAAGTCTCTCTCCGCACTCCGTCCGACTAGATGTTATTAGTCTCTCGCTATTTTTATCCTGTCACTTGAACCTGAAACAATGCTAACTACGAGATACATTAGTTGAAGTTGATAAGCACGTCCATATCTACATACTATATAGTCTTATGATAATTTCAGTCGCGCCGATATACATTCCCTTGTATTACTTTGGAAACAAGGCTAAAGGCCTCCGAATCAGGCAAGTTGTATGCCCAAATAGGCAATTAGCTTCGCGAGATCTTAGTCCAGTCTTCGGCGAAAGGGATGCATTAGCAGCCCTGGCGAGGCTAATTGCGTAGTCCGAATACTAATATAGGCGCGATATGCATACAGCGAATCATCAATCAGGAGAATCATCACAAGGTTTACTTTTGGTGTGCATAGAGTATGGCTAGGATCTTCTCATGGTCCAGAACTTCCCGATCTCTATCAAACTACACTGTATTGAGAAGGTACATCATATCTGGGCTAGTACTAATAGAATTTGGAATCTTTGAGGTGATCTTCTGGGTGGATCTTCATCTGACATCTTGTCAAAGTGGTATTCATTGTGGGTCGTCCCGTGTGGCACCCCTGAGCCCTAATTTTACATACTACGAGTAGAGCGTACGTATTTGCCCCGCTGTCCCTGGCCTGACCTGGCCTGGCCTGGTCGCCCCCTAATAAGACGTGGTGTTATGATTCGATTTTGGGTCGATTTGTGGCCTATCTTCATTCTTGGAAGAATTGATAATAGGTCAAGGATAATTTAGTATTGAGATTATCGAGGGATTCATATGAGGCTATACCGAGGTACTCCGGGGTGTGGTGCTTTCCGACCATATTTCGAACATTCGACTGTCCAAATGTTCTCCTTTCTAAGAGCACGTATACGCAAGTATGATGTCGTATGTAGTTTGATTCTCAATTCGACGTTACAACATCAGTACGGATATATTCTTTTCCATAAATCACATACCACACAAATATACATAAGTACTTCTAGGTAGCAAGAGGTACCTCGTATAACGGACCTAAGACCCAACAACCTGGAACCCGACCAGAGCGAGGGTCTAATCTGAGCGACCATCATAGCTCTCGTGCCTTCAAAGCCACCAATAAACAGCTAACACAGACTAATACGTAGTACAGCGTATTCGCGATATCTACCCAGATTCGTAGGGCCTCCTGACCAAACCGCCGGGTCAGCGTAGCGCCATTTACTCTGAAAACTTACTCCATAATTTATACGAAGCTTCACGAATAAATTGCCCATTCAGGTCCTAGCCGAAAATCAATTGTAGATAACCCAGCCGAATTAAAAAAAAGGGGGGGCTGAATGTATCACGCACGACAGAATCCGAGTTTTGACAGCTGTCACTTGAACTCTCTTTTCTTATTTTGACAGGGACTCTAGCTCCGTGCGGCTGGATGTGCCCCCCAACCTCTGGACTAGGAATAAAAAAAACAAGGATAACATCATCAACTAGCATCTGTCGCGCCACATTTGTTAAATCTAACTCGTTTTGGATAATTGGGGAGTGTGTCATTGGGTTCCGGTGACTCGGGAATAGATGATCATGTATTGTGCCCAGGTGGCCTAGGCATTTTGACTTTACCAGCAGTGTGGTAACGCACCTCGTGGAAAGAAATTGATTACGTTTTTAGCGCGACGCGTAAGTTGGGAAGGGCTCGAGACACACCCCTGGTTAGGTCTCTAGGCTATATGATACTTCGATATATATGCCCCGAATGGGCAGTACGTATGAAGTGATAGTTACATGGGGTTTGTTGCCATGGAGATAACATCCATCCAAAAAGGCCCAAAGTCTCCGAAGAAGGCTGGCTGATTTCTATGATACTAAGAGCGAGCTGAAGGGTTCCACTACATACGACCGAGTTCCAAGTTTCAATTTCAGCGGGAATGGGATGCCCAAGTATGGATTCATGAGTCAGGCAGAAGTGGGAAAGCGGCCTGAATGGGGTTTGAACGCATGCTTAGTAGAGATACTTGGAGCAGATAATTCTGTGAGTAGTATATCTGATTGTAGTAAGTCTATACTTGATGATTGATGGCACGAGACCCAAGGATCTGGGTCGATATCTGCGCAGGTCGAATATGATGCAATATGTACTGTCTAACTACAAACAGTAATTAGGGCCATTTATAGTCTTTTTTAGGTTGTTATTGTTGTCTTATTGACCACTGCAATTTCTTCAATAATTTCTTAAACCCCAGATATATCTACGTGGCAGAAGTAATACAGTCTTGATGAAGTAAGACTAAATACTCACCACTCAACATACCGCTCCATCACAAGCGGACCAACCTCCCCTGTTCTCCCATCCTCCCAAGCGTTCAAGCACCCCGCTCCATCATAATCTTCAAGACTTGCTAGAAACTGTGCGCCTGGCTACTTCAAAATCTCACCATTTTTATCCATTTTTCTTGCCAAGAGTAATTCCCGCGTCTTGTCTGGTATCCCAGGACCCTGTCATGGAGTCCAAAACTTGGGTTATCAAATTCAGCAACCCAGAACCCACCGCCGTTCCAAAACGATGCTCGTGGAAGCGATGGTCTTCCTGTTGACGACTAACATGCTCAAAGCGATAATATATCGAACAATAGCAACTCTAGAGAACACAGTGAGAAGTACGGGGTCGAGTCAGAAATGATATCTCCTGCTGTTGTCGAATCCCTGAAGACATTTGATATCAACGAATACTTGATCTTCTCTAAGTCAATGACTGAGATTGAAGGGCCCATTCGACGAGACATTCTCAACGAATATCTATCTATAACATTGATCAATTGAGGATCACCTACTCGAGAAGCGAAATTTTCTTTATGAACTCTGTGAAATGCTCATTAACAACATTGAGACCGACCGTGTCCTACTTAACCTCAAATGGGTGGCCGCCGTTATGATTACCAATGCCTTGGAACGTCATTACAGCGATGAATCTTCGAGGAAAGTGAGAATTAGCTGGGAGCTGAATAACTATGGTCATTTTATAGGGACTAGAGAAACTCCTCGGTCGGAACGTGCAAAGGATGGCGCTCTCTTTGCCAGACAATGATACACATACTCGTGGTACAGACGAGGAATTCGGGCAAACCAGGAAATGCCTACAATAGCCAACAAAATCACAGCCGCTACGATTGGGCTCCGATTCTCGTCGAATGGTATCCTTTCTGGTTCTCGGGGATCATCTCAACCAGAACCGCCTCACGAAAAAGAATTTGTTATCATAGACTCCCAACCAAAAGCAACTTCCTTTTTAAAGGGGCGGAGTTAATAGGACCAATCTGAAGTATGAAAACCATCGGCATTTTCAAACAGAAACAGGGGAAATGAGACTAAGTGAAGGCGAAAGCATGGAGATGACAATTAGTCTCTATTCAGAAGCAGTCAACTCTACTGTTCTGAATAAAACTTTGCACAAAATTGGACATACAATCAATTTTGCTCTAAGTTCAACGACACCAACTACAGATAGAGTGTACCCCGTCTTCATTGCTGAGATTTGAGATGGAAGGTAAACGTGCGAAGAACATTGACTCTAGAACTCTGACCTTGGGGTTTTATCGCTGGAATCCTTATTTATTAAGCCCGATAGCGGTCCGTGGTATTAACGAACAGGCCAGAAACAGAGAAAATATGCTTTCAAGATTGCTATGTCAAACGAGCAATTGATGAAKGATTCTTATAATGCAATATGATGCTATAGGCTCACTTTTTATATCGATGTCTTTGCTGGATTCTGGTAGTGTGAATAGCCATGACCTCGATTTATATCTTTTTTCGTGATGGTGTAGATCGGGGAATCGGTTGACAATTGCTTCGACTTGGTGCTGAGGCCGGTATAATGGCAAGAAGGTGCTGGTTTTTCTATCTTGAAGTAATTTCTTCCGAATCATACTGGCTTAAGATCAGTGGCAAGGGCATGCTCAGCTAAATAGTTGTCTAGGATGAAAAATATTCCACAGCTAAGCGGTGCTTACAAGAGCCCTGCTTTGAGTATCGTGTACAATTGTCCTTCATGCCTTTCCCATTGCCACTAAACACCAAAATTGCACATCAACCTCTCCTATGTAACAAAGGAGGTCGGTCAATTGTGCTATTAGTTCTTCAAGCAACTTTAGAAGAAGAAAAATCGACAGTCGAGGTAGACATAAAGGTACGTGGAGGACATGCTGCTTATATAGTAGCCCATCTCTTCATATCAACCATAATCGCCATGTGCATCTTATCGGCATAAATTTTACGCTACCAATATATATAGCACTAGGTAAGAGTCATATATTCATCAAGACAGAATTCAGGCTTGCGACAAATACAGCGCCGTCAAGGATTGAAAGAAGACCGATGCTCGGAAGGCTCTTCCAAATATTTCATTAGGGAATGAATACCGTATACACTGCTGGTGGTTGCAAAAATCTTAACAAAGTAGAGGTAACTCAGCTCGGTGCTCACGCTCTGCAGTACAAGATTGTATAACTGGCTGATCCCATCTGCTTCAACTTCTGATATGTGGTCCAAGTCGTTATGAAGTTGTTACTATTCGGTCGCGACTTCTGTACGTATGTAAACATCCTCTCTATTACCGGTGGTCTAGGTGTCAACTAAGAGGATTACTCCACCTTTTTGTTGACTGACAAAAACAGGAAATCTTTTAATTGGCCACTTGCCTTTTATTTCCTCTATGGCTGCTGCACGGCCAGAAATAAGGCTGTCACATCATTGTTGCTCATCGTACCTTTGGAGGGCTACTAAACTTCACACTGATGCATGCAGGCGTTGCAAGATATCCCATGCAGGGCGCAGCTTAGGCAAGGCTGATTTCCTTGTGTTTCTACTGTAGGGGAATTACAGCCTCGTCGAGTAGCCAACATACCAATCACACCGGCTGACAGGGGCTCAGGGCTGGTATCAGAGTCCTATGATGCTCCTTCCGCTGCTCCGGAGTTGGTATATTGTGAAGAGAAAGCTCTTCCACGTACTGACACTATCTTAAAGTAGATATATGCCGCGTAACCGATGTCATTTGGAGTACTGCTTTTTCCGTGCTAGTAGTGAAAATATGCAAACTTATATGTGTTGGTGTGGTGTGACTACAGGTAAAGTGAGCTGGCGGTGGGGTAAGACAAGGCCTGGCCCTACCGGTTTACTCCGTTGCCAGTGTGACAACCACAGATGTTCCCGAACAATATAAGTTCATCTCCGCAGAGGATCCGAGCCTCGGCGTAAGAAATCCTGCAATAGTCTTGTATTGTAACAGTTTTACATTAAATGTTACGGGACGCATTGTGTCTGAGACGGAGTTCTGAGAGCATTGATCATTCGCTGCTTGAGATGATGCTGGGTCTTCCTCAAAAAATCAATCTGAAATCCGACTGGGAGCTTGTCTGGAGGTCAAAGCATATCATCTGATGATTGCAACATTATGGTCTCATTTCTGTGCGTCTTATGTGCCTTGTACAGAGCCATCTTTTTAAAGGCCGAACAAGACAGTAATTGGCCAAATTTATGACCGAAGGCAATAGATTGTAGTGGTGTGTGGCAGCTAAGCACTGGGCTGACGGGGCTATGTCTATCTGAACAGCCGAAATGCTTGCTTATTTACAGGTTGAAGTTGCCGTCGATTTCGATAAATTGACCATGCTGTTATATTTTTCGAGGTAGATGTGATGGAACCTGATGTAGAGGCTCTTCCGATGAGTACGACTGATATTCATTTTCCTCCTACTGCACACATATCGCCCTTCAATCATGATAACGGGTTGAGATACCGGAGGATAGCTACAGCAGAGAGTGACGAGCATTCAACTGAACGGCATGTTCATCATTCACGAAATAATTCTTGGAATGCGGTACAAAGCGGAAACACCTCGAGGACCGATCCGACAGCGGATTTTCACGACATTATTAGAAAAGGCGTAACGAATAGTGGTGCAAAGCATTGTATCTTCATATGTGGCTCTAGCGGAAGGTCATCCCCAATTGTCCCCGTCCCGGTGAAAAATCAAAATAATGATGCCACATGGAAACAAATACGAGAGCATTTTTACAAGACTACGGGTCTATGGAAAAGATGTATCCCCTTCTATGGGGTCACCAAAGTAAGCGAAGCTAAAGTGAGTGTCGGATCAAGTTTCCTCTAGAAATTTTTAATCTTATGTATAAATAGTTTCGATTTGAAGGGAATCACGCTGGCAAATACTTTGCCAACGTTCAAATACCGTGCGAAGCTGAAATCGACAACATGTTCAAAAAGTTACAGCACAACATAGAAAACAACAACTTGAGGGTTGAAGCTCTTAAAGACTGGGAAAACATAGATATATGTATTCCCTGCGGAGTAGACCCTATGACTGGAAGCTATCAACATGAAAATAGCGATTGTCCAACGCACTGGCTGGATAATGCGGAGTGTCCTTACCTAATTTCAGACGAACTAAACGATCGATACCAACGATTATGCTCCCGGTCTTTACTTACATCCTGTTTTCACAACCCGGATCTTGCAACCGATCAGCAAACATTCAAAGGGTTTGTAATGGAAGATGATCTCATATACTACTACACGTAAGAACTGGTGTCCCCAATACCGTCTACATATATTTATACAAAGCTAAGTATAAACAGAACGATTAAGTCCAGCTCACAATACAAGACCCGTATCGGAGGAACAGAGTTTCTTGCTATACATATCCAGGAAGGGTTTTTGTTTTCTTTTGAACCATATCCACTACTTTTTACAATTTTTGCAATCATGGCTATACTTATATGGGGATTATTTACTATGGATTGGAAATCCACCTCTCAGATGGTGCTTACAGTAATCACCACAGTGATCTCAAATATGAGAACAGGTCAACTGGGAAAAGGGTAACTTGAGCTTTCTTTTGGGTTGATAATTTAAGCGACAGGATGGTGAAAAAGGACTCTACTCTTTTCTTACTACTCGTACAGCCAGCAGGCTGTATATGAGATCTCTTCTATCTTACTTACGTCAAGACTTCCAAACACTACGTTCGACGATTGTAAATTAGTTTATTCAGGTTACTCTACCAACTACAATTGAAGGAACCTTTGTGTCATTAATATTCTTCGCCATCTAGGCTTAGCATAATGACCAGCCACATAGATATTCAGAGAAGGGCTTCGCATCCGACTAGTACAATCGAATAGGGCTTGCCTTCCGTGTCTAATAGACAACACCCCAAAAGGACTCGTTAAGTGCGAGTAATGTCGAAAACGATTCTCTGATTTCCATACAAAAAACATCGTTTGGTATCCCTCATGGTATAGCATTTTGTAATTACAGTGCAATGGAAATCTCAATGAAATTACTATGCATTATAAGGATCTTGGGCAAAGCCCTATAATGCAACTCGCTATGCTAAAATGGGTAGAGAGATCTAAATGTAGCACCTATTTAGTTCCAGCTGGGAGAGTAAAATTGTTAAGTTTTATGATTACTCAATCTCTTTGTGCTTGCGTAGTTCGTCCATTCCTTTCTGCGAGATAGATAGTCTGTCTGCAATGTCTCTAGTGGCTGACATACGTATAGTACATGCATAGCAGCCATGTCTGGTGAGGGGAAGAGCGGGGCTACGGCATATACTTATCTGAAAATGGTCCTCTTCTCAAGAAAAGGTGCTACTAAACACTTGTTCATTGATTTTATCAATTCTTCACTTCCAGCAGAATAGTCTACAAGCAGCCCTTCATCATTTGAACATGGCATCCGGATTTCACACTTCATACCTGATTATTGGCGCTGGAGTCTTTGGTGCTTCCACTGCTTTACAACTCGCTAAGCAGTATCTACCGCCAGCTACAGAAGAGCCCATCAGAATTACTCTTGTCGACAGACCCGTCGTTCCTGACCATAAGTCTGCGTCCCAAGATCAGTCTAGAATCATTCGAGCTGACTATGCTGAACCGCTTTACACCCGACTTGCCCTTGAGGCCAAGCATCTGTGGAGGTCAGATCCGTTGTACAAGGAGTTTTATCACGAAACCGGTTTAATCTGGGCTGATATGAACAAAACCTGTTTTACGAAAGACGTGATCACTAATTATCGGCACCTTGGAATAGTCAAGAACGATAAGGACGCAAAATACCGCCTTGTACCCCCAAGCGAGATTCGTCGCCTTCAAAATGGAGTTTTCTCACGTGCAGAGCTAGGAAATATTGACGAATTACTTCTGAAAGAAAGTAGTGGGTGGGTTGAGGCAAACAAGACTTTAAAAAAAGTCATTGATGCAGCCGTTCACACCGGAGTAGTCAAGCGTATTGAAGCAGAAATCACCAGATTGATTTTTGATGATGATGGGAATGTGTGTACTGGTGCTCGGACTGCAGATGGCCGGATCATCACAGCAGATTCGATCATCTTGGCGACTGGAGCGGAGACGGCAAAGCTGCTCGTAAAGAGTGCTCCAGCTATTCCAGAGCTACATGTAGGCAGTCGTCTATCGGCAGCTGGACTCATCACAGGGATCTTGAGACTCAGTGAAAATGAAGCGAGCCAGTTACGATCTGCTCCTGCTTTTCTCATCGCTGGAGGTAAATCTCAAGGTGAGATGACCATATCTCCAGACCGATCAACATTACCTTGCATAATGGAAAACGAGAGAGACATGAACTAAAACGGAAAGGCAAAAGGGAAAGAAATGAAACTAACGGAGCTTGCCATAAAGGAGCAATTATTCCGCCCAACACAGAGAATGAATTGAAAATCACATGTGATATCAGTTTTACAAACACTGTCGAAATATCAAGTCAAGTCTACGTTTCGATGCCTCCAGAGGATCACATGTCAACTTACTCGACTCTGTCGGCCGAAATGAATCACGCGCTCGCCACTGTTAGAGAGAGTATTCTTGGTGATCAAATAAAGAACCATCATTTTGAGGACTGTCGGATTTGCTGGTAAGTATACACTTGGTGTAGTCCCATATCTCACCTATCGGGTGCAAATCACCTAAATGTTTTTCTTTTCCGTTTTCATTGATTCTATTCTTTCTAGGGATGCTATTACGCCTGATCAAGATTTCATTATCAGCGCTCACCCTTGCTGCAGAAACCTTTTCATGGCGACCAGAGGTTCTTTTCATGCTTGGAAATTCTTGCCTATACTGGGGAAGTATGTAGTGCAGATGCTTGATGACAAATTAGATCCAGCTCTCGCCCAACGCTGGTCTTGGAATCGAGAGTCTCCTGCCGCGGCCGCAAACGAGAGAATGATGCCAATGCGAGAGCTGAGAGATTTGGCCAGTAATCAGGTATTTGACAGTTGACTTTCACAACGCTGGGATCTGGAAGTGGAAGTGTTTGGCAAGTCCTTGGTTAAACCTTTCAGAAACCATGGTAAGACCGAAAAATAAAAGTTCTTCTAGGAGTCGTCGCTGCAACAAGGTAAACTGATCAAAAACAATTTTGATATGTACGGAGCGAACCGAGAAAGAGGGGGAACCGATATGGGAAGGATTAGCCGAGTGCCACGTCAGTAGTTCCAGGATCGCAAAGGAAATTCCTGGCCAGGCTGGAATTAAAGCGGCAACAGAGCGGAACGCAAATCAAGAAGCAAAAATACATGAAAACAAAAACATACAACAGCTGGGATTCACCCAACTACTAACCAGCCGGCGTGTGGCTTAAGTACGGCTGAGCGGACGGGAAGCCCTGTTCTCCACACCCTATGGTCGTATGTGCTAGACAGAGCAAAGCAATGGCTTATATTCGCAAAGAAGGAGGATATCTAGGTTATTGGTCTCCAAGGGCAATGCAATTCTTCGAATGAGGGACATCAAAGCCTCTCCCGGAGTTCGAAAGCTGCATCTCGGACAATAAATTTTTATTAAGTATCTATTAGTCTCAGTCTGGGTTTTTAAAGTATAAAGTATCCTCTAATCTTCTGAAATACAAAGGACTACACGTCTAAGTATCACAGGGTATATTTTTGAGTTATTCAATGGTTTATTGTCTGATCAATGACTAGAATGCTTCATGATGACCTGAAAACAACCCTCTAGACGATCTAGCTACCCTTGAAAATGTTTGATTGGAGATCTGCGCAGCATGAAATTTGAATAATCACTCGAAATATTCGCATTGGCTGAGGAGAATGCCAGTATGGAGACCTGGTCCAGCGCAGCTTCACATACAGACACAGAGATGCATCATGACGTTGATTTTGTTTCCAGAACATTCTACTCTACCGGAGTCCTTGCCCTCTGCATCCAAGCATTCAGGATGGATCAACGACTGAACCACAAAGGCGCGTTGTCCGCTATAAATAGACTAGGAGAGCCTCAGAAGCCGACACGGTGAAAGTCGCCTTCGCACTAGAGACAGTAGCCGTCTCAACAGTCTGTGTACCTTGAATGACGCAGGTTCCATTCGCGAATGTCTGGCCAGCAACAGTCGGATTGCTACCCTGGTCAACTCGGGACGTGGCATACGGAGCCGTGAGACGCTTTGCAGTGACGGTCGACGCAGAGAGGCCCGAAAGAACGAACGTCTGCGACGAACGTGTTCCGGTGGTATAGTAGTCGGAGTTATACAGTAGGACCTTGACGGGTGATTCAGAGCTGTAAATCGCATATGCTGCATAAGCCGTAGTTTGGCTGTCTAGTGGTGCGATGTAGTCGGCGCCGGCTAGGGCCATGGTTGCGAAATAAGCACCGTAGTAGGGAGCGCCCATGTCGTATCTTCCCCACCAACAGTACTGACCTGTGATGAATGTCAGTAAAGTATTTTCAGCCTTGTCCGAGGCATGAGCACTCACAGTTTCCGATAGTGCCTTGATGGAAGTAGAGAGCCTTTAGTTTAGAAGTTGATAAGTGACAAGCCTCTCAATGTCATATTGCCGGGGAAACAGATTTTACCTGTGTGCCCAGAATCACGGTCTGCATAACGTAGTCCAAAATCCAAAGGGCTGCTCCAAATGTCGGGCTGATGCCGCCTCCACCTTGGGTTGCTAGAACACTCGTCAGCGAATATTTCTGCTCTTGACGAGGGGTCAGACCTACCAGAATTTGTTTCGCCGAAAATATGTGGTTTACCCAAATTGGCAGCTGCAGTAATCTCTGATGGGAATCCACTGATCTGAGACTTGATACTACTATGTCCCATAAGAGTGGCCAAGTTGGCCGTGCTGGCTGACTGGGGATAGTTGTGTGAGCAATATGTCTTGACGTAGTTGTTCGCAGTTCCTTCAACCGCAGTCAATCCGGCTATGCTCATGGGAGAAGTGCCAAAGAATACTCCGGCCGATATTCTATCTGTTACGGACAAATTCCCGCAGACTTCATCCTGCCATTGAACCTCGGAGGCATAGTCAGCTGCAGCAGTCCAAGATGCACCGCCAGCAATGGGATCACTGCTCGTGTAGACTGCTCTCGATAGTTGGGTTAGCATCTGACACCTTGGTACGACACAGAGAGGAGAATTCGGATCTTACAGTTTGGCTCATTGCCTAGCTCAATGGCATACAGTCTAGTCGCTTGGCTTTGAGCAAGCTCTGCTGCAGAAATAGTGTTGGAGATATTATTTAGACGACGGTTGAGACCAAGAATTATTTCTCCGCCGTAGCTTGCGGCCAGTGAAATGAACGATGGCCCATAAGTGAGGGAGGTCGGGGCATCGGTCGCGCTAGCAACGGTATAGCTGACTGCCTGGGTCAATGACGGGTCATACGTGGCACGGTCCCTAATAGCCATCAATATCAACGCAGGCTTGAGATACGGAGCATTTTTTGAGCTTACTGGGTTGTGCCTCCAATTCGAAGAGGCGGCCATGTTCCCGTCAAGTCTTTCAGGTTCTCAAGACAGGTGGTGGTTGCCGTAACATTGTCCATGTACGCCGGAAAGGTAAAGAATTCGAGCCTTCAATCGCAATTAATGGAGACTCCTAAGAAGTGATAATGGTGATACCTACGAGACACCGACAGGGGCTGCTGATAATTGTTTACTTGAATTGGATGGCGGCGACGATGGAACAGTAAATGTCAGCGTCGCAGCTGCCGCACCCCATAACAAAAGGGACGAGGCGAAGATAGATTGAGCCATCCTTGCTTTCTTCAGACTCATTCAAAGCGTGTATAAACAAGAAAATTCATGACGATTCAATTTTGGGTATAGAGGACGATTTTATAGACACGAGCGCAATAATGTTTCTCTAGTATGTATGAGTCTGGGGAATCTGCACCCCGCAAAACATTATCCAAGGCATACTATGAGATGTGCTGGAGTGCAGCTATGGAGGAAACTCCATGTGACGATCGAATGATCTTCGTATTGTCGGCAACTGAGACGCGTAAATTATCCTGGTAGGAATGATGGCAATGGTAAAGAAGAAAACAGTAAAGCTACGGCAATTGAAGGTGATTTGTAGCTAATTTTAATTAATAGATATTTGATATAATTATGGCGCTAACAAGATACAAGTATCACGTCCAAAGGATGCACTTCACTAAAGTTTGCAAGTGTGTAATTGATGAACTCAATTAGGAAAATTTCCGTCCGTTCGTGTTGATTTATGCCGAGGAATAATTGGAGTTGATTAGTAGCAATAAACCTCCACACGGATTAGCCTAGGGGATTGGTGGAAATTCGGGGTAAAGCAGGTCGAAGCATTTGCCGGGGTAAGTGAAGCTGTGGAACAGCATACGCAAACTACTTTATTATGCATAAGACTTGGTTGCAACGGGTATTGAAGCAAATGAACGGTCAAGGAAAACGCTACTTATAGTTTTGTACTCATTCAATAGAGTGGAACTGGCCTTTACTTAGTTTAACCTGTGGTGGTAGGACGTAAAGAAAGTTTCAAACCTCGGGGGTAGTACTTTAGGTCTTCATTCAACAGTTTGTCATGCACAAAAGCAGATTTCATTGGCGTTGTGAGAGGTTTAGAAGAATTTTGAGATACGTAATGGTCTCTAATCCGCCTTTCAGATTATACATGGCGACCAGTAGCTAATAGCTGAAATCACCGATTCCTCAATCTATCTATATCTACCTAGGTATTACGTTACACTTCATACGACCGCGAAATATTTCCCTGCCACTTCTCTTATGTAGATAGTATCTATGTCCCAAATTAAGACGGAGTATAGACCAGACTAATATGACTCACTGCGCCGTGGTCTATCAACTGCCCTCCCGGAAATTGACTTGTCACCTCAATAGGCTGATCAAGTCTAAGCTCTACAATTTTCTCATTGTTGCTCCCTGGATGCCATGACACATGCGCAATATTCTTGACTCCTAGAGCAATCTTCGCGTCGATTGATTCACTCAGCCGCAAACGAGGCCTAAAGACAATTCTAGATGATCCCGGCGCTATAGGGCGAATCCCAGCCAACTCTGTGCAGTATTCATAAATTGGTACGCTGCCCCAGGCATGGCAGTCGGAACGTTGTCGAACGTCATCCTCTTCCCAGGTGGACAGATTATTGGCAAGCATGTGGCGCCATGGCGCCCACATTGATGTCCAAAAATCGTCGTAAAGTTTACCTCCAGCCTCAGCAAGTGCACGGAATGCGTAGAATCGCATCATGTATGAGCATTTGGAAAACCGCGGATTTGTGAAACTCTCCGAGAGAATGCCCCCACGTTGTTCAGGGGTTGCGGCCCCAGAAAGAACTGCGAAAATTTGGCAATGTTGGGAATAAGACATCTCATCCGCGACATCTGCCGTCGAGTCTGTAAAAAACTCCCCGTCAAAGCAATGCCTGCGTATACTTTCTAGGACCTTCGCGGCCCGATATTCATACTCTTCCGCATTGCCCGCACGCCCAATGTGCCGGAGAAGGTCAGCAGCTTTTCGGAGCACGTAGGCATACAGCATACTAAAGTATGTGTGACGGTTTGACTTTCTGCCAGACGTTGGCACGCCTTTATCAGGATGCTCCTCGGTAGCGCCCCAAGTTGTCACCCAGTCAACATATTGCCAAATCTCTTCGGGAATACCACTAACAAGGCCCAATTCATCGATGTGAGAATCGAAAAATTCAAAGACCCCGTCAATCCGTGGCACAAATTTACGTGCAAAGGATATATCACCAAAATACAAGAAATGATCGCATACTTGCAAGATCCAGTAAAGTGAAAATCCAGCAATAATCTGCTTGGAATGGGATGGAAACCGAGATTGGGGCAGGCCAGAAGGTGTTACTGAAGCGGCAAAATTGGTGATAGCTTGTCGCATCAATCGGTCATCACCAGACAAGAGATAGTGGAACAACCCAACCGAGCGTGTATCTCCAGAGTATCTTGCAGATCTTGTCAGTGACAGTTACTCATTTTGTGCCATGTTGGAAGACATACTGAAGTTGTTCATAGAAAGGGCAATCAGAATAACCATCAAACATGCAATTTCGCATTGTACGAATGGACACATCCCAGATTTCTTCGCTTTGCACGTTCCCTGGTTCTTTCCAGCTGGCTTTGACCGCCATCGGATAATTGACCTGGGTTGCCACAAACGACTTGAGCTCAACCGGCGCTTCACCCACAGCGATTTCAAGTCTTAAAACTCGGAAGGTCCTGAACCAGAATGGTTCATAGAAGCTTTCTGTCTCCGAGGCCTTGAGAACAACCTCATCATAAGGTCCTATGATATGGCCATGTTCGGCATCTAACCGATCAGCTTTGGACCGGAAGAAGGGATAGGAGCGAGGTTCGAGTTCGTAACCTTCCGAGTATGTCACTTTGAACTTGATATTTGAAGGATTGTTGGCGGCCTTGAAAGTCCATCTGATAAAAGCAGTTGAATGACAATTTGCTTGCATCTCAATAATGTGTGACGAGCCCTGCGGAAGAACCAAGGGATGATCGCCTAAGAGAAAAGCAGTCCAGTCATCTGTAGTAAAACTGCTTTCACACGCCCTGACCGTATTGACAATTGCCGGGGTCGCCTCGGGAAGGGGTATTGGGCGTGGGTTAAGAGCCCAGGGAGCGATATCCCCATTCAAAGTTTTGATACCGTACAAAACGGGTGTCACCTCAATACCTGGGTCCGTCGGAGCGATGCGTTCGTTGATCTAAACCCGGGCAGAATGAGTATGAGGAATATACGATAAACAATAAACAGCTGTACTCACATGTAGAAATACATCATCTGCCAATCCCGATGGAAATTGTACAGACTCGTCCGGAGAAGCTTTCCAGCCTTGGTGGGAGCCAAGGTCAATTGTGCGCTCGCCAGCCTCCTCCACATAGCCAACAATCGTTAATCCCGGAAGCGCTGTTCGTTCAAAGGCCATAGCTCCACGGGAGCACGCAAAGTACCGTAGTACAGAGAAGCGAATATCATTTTTTCCAGGCTTCAGGTAAGGCGCAATATCTAGCGAGTCATAATACCATATTAAAGGGCTACTTCTCGTAGGTCCAACAGCGACGCGCTCTCCATTGACAAACAATTTGTACCGCGTATCAGCCGAAACATATAGATTTGCCCGAGTTGGAGGCGAAGCCAAGGTGATCTGGCGCACGAAATGGACGATCTTGCCCACTGTATTCTGGCTGGAGGAGTCAACCCAGTTCGGAATCCAGATCCAGTTTGCCTGAAGAGCATTGATGATCTTATTTATTAGTTGACCATACAGTTATACTCATAGTTGCAAAGGTGAAACAGGTGACAAGTACCTTTTTCTCCTCTTTTGACACCATTTTCAGTTTGAGAGTTATTGATCTAGCGCGCCACTCAATGGAATTGAATGTGGGTGAGGGGAAAGACTTGTATTGTCCCGTCGGGTTAGATCTCGGGTGAATCTAGACCGAAGACGAGAGCTATGAGCCTTCCAGATAAGCTCACAATTCTATATATCCACCCCACCAATTACCTAGGTATATGTATTCTCTCGTGTTTCCCAAGGCTATCAGATGCTAATACGTCTCAATTGGCCACCCGGGGAGATAATACAGTTAGCCAAAGCGCACAATAGCCGACAATGGCTGCTTTGAACCATCACAAGCGAGGCCGCGGCCGATTCGGCACAGAATGGGGTTCAAGCAATCACTGATTGGATCTCGACTTACGCCATGATTGTAGTTATCGATCAATGTCTCACCCGTAGCCTAGCCGACGCCACGTGCTTCTTGTAGTATGCAATCGAATCACCTTTCCTTTCCCAACATCAGCCATTCGCTTCCGTCTATACCACGAGCAATTATTCGCTATGCTCGAACGAGAGGGTGAATTTGCGAAGAGGGGTGCTTCAGACACTGTAATTGACATATTGACTGATCATTTTTGGTATATAATGTCCGGTAAAGCTCTCATTATTGTAGTGATGCGTTAAATACATGAATGCTGAACTTTCAAGTTAAGAGCTCAGTCCCACTTTCGCCCGCACTCGGCTCGACATACCCCGTACCCCGGACCCCGGATCAAAGTCCACGTTGGATGCATGCCACAAACCATCCTAGCCAGTCGATAGGCCCAAAGTCTTCTCTCTTCGCGGCTAATGATATTTAATTAGTTTTATATCAATAGCCGATGCATGAGCCAACTGACATTTGTATTTAATGCTGCTTGAGTAAGGATCCCGGACTTTGGAATCCCGCAGATCAAGCGACCTAGATCAACAGTGACTGCAGATTTTGATCGCCTTCAATCAGCATGTCTCAACCCGAGAAAACCACCATTGGTGGAGAAAGTGAAACAGTCGAGCGCTGTTTCACTAACGATGACTTATCCGCTGCGCCGAACACCAAAGGCGATCTCCCTGTGATGCGCTCTGAGGTGGACAATCTTAGCGTCTGGGAAAGTCTTCGGCGATACAAAATTGTCTCTCTAGTCGCCATGTGCGCTGCATTTAGCGCCTCGCTCGATGGCTACCGTAAGCCGCAAACAGCAAATTCTGCTTCCTACTACGTTGACTAACATGGTGATATGGACGTGTCTAGAAATCAATCTCAATGGCGGGGKTGTTTCGAACAAAGGCTTTATTCGTCAGATGGCTAATCCCGGAACGACCATCATCGATGGCAAGTATGTTTCGGCATGGGGAGGCATCCAGTCCGCTGGTCAAACGGTCGGTCAAATTGTATGTTGCCCCTACATATCTAACTGCTAAAGGTCTTTGAAAAAGATCTAATCTGCGAGAGTCTTTCAGCTTCTCCAGTACGTTACCGAAGGATTCGGGCGTAAAATGGCTCTTTATGTCATCTTCCTCACCTTTGTCGTGGTATGTCACGCAATTTTTTTTTTTTCAGGACAACGGTAGACACTGACCGGTAACCCAGAGCGTCTTTATCGAATCTTTCGCCACCCAATGGGATCACTGGTTGGTTGCAAAACTCTTTTCAGGAATGGGCGTTGGCATGTTACAGTCGACCATGCCACTGTACCTGTCTGAACTTGCACCAACCCAGTTGCGCGGTCTTCTTATCAATGCATACAGCTTGTCGGTTTTATCAATCCTGCCGCTCTTTTGTAAGCATCTGCTGACGCTCTTGTGACTACGTAGTTGGTTTGTGATAGGTCAACTTTTTGCTTCGGTGGCCCTCAACCGCCTCAATGCGCATAATCCTTACGATTTCCGTACCCCGATCTACACGCAGGTCAGTGGAGGCTTGTTTCGTTTTTCGATATTGAGAGTACGTTCTTGTTACTAATATGAGTCTTTAGTGGGCAATGATTGGAGTTACAGGTATAATATTCGTCTTAATTCCAGAATCACCATGGTGGCTGGTTGGAAAGGACAAGTTCGACAAGGCCGAAAAGGTCCTACAGAATTGCAATGGTCGTGTTGAGGGCTATAATGTCCAGGAACAGATTGTTTGTATTTCCCTAAATTTTCTCAATAGATATACTTTCTAACCCATTTGCAGGGAATTATGACTGCCACAATTACTGTTGAGCGCGAGGCTGCCCGACGTGATAAACAGGAGGGCTCGATGGCTGTTTTCCAGGGCCGAAACCTTCTTCGTTTTTTCATCGCCTCTTGGCCCAAGATTACTCAACAGCTCGTTGGCCTGTCAGTATTCAATACATATGCTACCTACTTTTGTAAGTATGATCACCCTGTCATAGTTTTGTTGGGGGTGACTAATTTACTTGCCAGTCCAGTATGCTGGAAATAAGAACCCCTTCCTTGTGACAGTCATCCTGTCTTGTGTCCAGATCATTTCCATGATCTTCACTGCCGGGTTGACCGACCAACTGGGTCGTCGGCCTTTGACTGTTTACCCTTATGGCGTGACGGTGATTTCGGTCTTGTGCTTGGGAATCGTGGGCTGCTTCGACTACACCAAGTCAAGTTTGAGCTCTCTTCTGGTAAGTTGAAGTCTCAAGTCACTAGAGAATGTTGAGACTAACCGGTTGCTATACAGATCTTCTTCGCATGCTTAGCCACTTTTTCAACGACAGGTGCTTCAGCCATTGGCTATGCGTACGCAGCTGAGATCCCGCAGCAGCGACTGCGTGCGAAAACCGCCGGTTGGTCTCTGGCTCTATCTAACATGATAGCTATCATGTTCAGTTTCTGCACACCTCTGATGATCAATAATGAGGGTGGGCCTCACTGGGGTGTCAAGACCGGTTTTTTGTAAGCACCATGACCGGCAAGAGATTGCAATGTTCACTACTAATAATGAATCTAGCTTCGCTGCGACCGGTACGATTGCTGTGGTTATTGCTTGGTTTATTCTACCAGAAGTGACTCGACGGACACCTGGTGAGATTGATGAACTGTATGAATATCCCTCTCATCTACTTTGCCTACGAAGGGTGCTGATGACGCTTGCAGATTTCAGAAGAAGGTCAACCTCCGAAAGTTCGATAAATTCGTCACTGAGTCCCAAATGCGCACTGAAGTTGAACGATCTGGCTTTCCATGATGACCATGTACCTAGGTATCATCTTCAGCTATATTCGGTTACCATTTTGCGTATTCTCATAATGCCTGGAGTTTTGAATGACGGTATATGGCACTTGAGACTTTGTGCTTGAGAGTTTTCAATTGATGGAAAGCCTATATATCTGTTTCACAAGTATTACATGTAACATGAAGGTGCTCACCTCAATATGAGCGCACAATATGTCTCAGTGGTCTTGAATATTGCCTTTTACCCTGTGTACAGCGCAATTATACACGGTAGCGGATAACGAAGATTATCAATTCTTGTATAATGTATAATATTTTTGGTAAGTATTGTATTTATTTGAGGAGGGCGGCCTAAATGAGATTGTTGGTCTTCAGAGCCATGCCTCTTTAAATAGGGGAGACCTGAAAGCGTAAATTTCGCAGGGTAAATTTTGATTTGCTATTAGTCTTAATCTCGATTTGGTCTATAACCTATCCTCATATCACATTTTACTCAGTCCTTCCACCCCAACCGGTTCGCGATAGCTCTCACACCATACACAAGCCCCAACAGAACCGGAACCTCAATCAACGGCCCCACAGTCGCCGCAAGAGCCTGGTTACTATCAGCCCCATAAATGGCAACAGCAACAGCGATAGCAAGCTCGAAGTTGTTACTAGCCGCCGTAAAGCTCTGTGTGGCGGCTAGTTTGTATCCGAATCCTAGTTTGTATGTGATCAAGAGAGTACTGAAGAATATCACGGCGAAGTAAACGATCAGCGGTGCCGCGACGCGGATGACGGACACAATCTGATGGACGACCTGATGGCCCTGGGAGGCGAAAAGAACTAGGATCGTGAACAAGAGACCGATCAGGGACCATGGACCGGCCCATCTAATGAATACTTCATCGTACCATCTTGGACTGGCGACGGTGCGGAGAGTGAAGCGCGTGATGATTGCAGCTCCGAGAGGGATACCAAGAAAGACAGCGACGCTTTTGGCGGCAGGCCCGTAATCGAAGTCGAAGGAATCGCGGCTGATTGTTGCGATGAAGAAAACTGCTAGAGGAGCGAAGAGGACCATTTGTAGAATTGAGTTGATAGCGACGAGGATCGCGCAGTATTCGTTGTCACCTCCTGCTAGCCCGGTCCAGATCAAGACCTAGTAGAATGTCAGTACAGGGTTTGAGTATCTATATGTGGTGAGTATTTGAGACGTACCATAGCGATACACCGCGCCAATCCAACGAGAATCAAACCTTCTCGCAGCTCTGGCTCATCAGGTAGGAATGCCCAAGCCAATGCCAGCTATATCATTCCTTGTTAGCCGAGAACTAACTATGAGAGTCAGGTGTACGTACCATGAAGAAAGGCGCTATAATCCAATTGACAAAAACACTAAAAGCAATTTGTCTCCAAATCTCACGTTTGCGGAAGACATGATGCAAACTCTCATATCGAACCCTGCACAAAATAGGATACATCATGACAAGAAGGCCGACCGCTATTGAGTTAAATTAGTACCTCGACCGTCACCCGTTGTCTGCGAAACAACTTACCGATAGGAACAGATACTCCAACAAATTTCCCCTTTTGTAGCGCAGGCCCTGTATTGGGGACAAAGTTTCCTAATAAGATTCCAATGACCATGGCGAGGAAAATCCATAATGCGAGGAGGCGGTCAAGTAGACCTAGATTTTTAAAGGCGGATTGCTTGCTCTGGACTTCATTATGTGGATTTTCGTTTTCTCCGTGTTTTTCGACGTCCCCGGATTTCTCTGGGAGTGGCCCGTCAACATGGCCAGGGGGTAAATGAGACATGGTGGATTCTTATTGCAACCTGCAATTGTGTGCGTATAGAAGAGACGAAGCAATTCTACGAGTAGAAATGCTCGGCTGTCGCAATTAGTTGAATAATGAGATACCCAGCCAAGTAATACTTCTGCAGACCAGCGAATATGTATAAAAAAGCAAATAATGGTCAGTATATGTAGTCTGATTTTCGTCCATGCTTCCAATGCGGCGAACGGCAAAAATCCCCAGTCAAATGTCACCGGAGCGATCTCATTGGGCTAAAACGCATGACTAATCCACTGAGCTTTTAACCCTAACTTAACTAATTTTTCTTTTTTTTTGTTGCTGTCCATCATCCATGTTATCAGGTCAATGCTCCAGTCTAATCGCTGAGCCGAGGCCGTAAGTAATGTAATTCCTTCCAATAATTAGTTAAAATACCCTTTTCGGCATACGGCTCACTTTTCTCCCCGAAATTTTCTGCAACCTGTGGCTGGCTCAGCCTGGCTGGATGTCACCAAGAAGCGTTGATTGGATGGGAAGTCTTAAAGTTGAGCTATATACATGGGCGCCCCTCTACAAGTGTCCACATGTTCCCACCAGATCAGATATGACACATCCATAGTAACCAATTGATTTGGCACAACCGTGCCGGAAGTATGCATCAGGCTTGCAATAAATGATCATCTAGGATTTAGGAATTTTTTGAGAAGGCTGGCGTTCGTTTTGACGAGGAAGCTTGCATATTCCTTCAAAGTTCAGGTTAGAGTCACGTCTATACTTCGCTTTGATCTGTTTCGCTCGGACTCTACATCATTTTGCAAGACCCAAGTTTCCTGCTGGAAGAATACAGTCACGATACGGACGACAGACAAGTCAATATCAAAACAGAAAACAGTGAAATTAAGTTCGAAAAAAGAAAAAATGGCCAAACCCAGCGCTCTATTCGTCTGCATCCACAATGCCGGCCGCTCCCAAATGGCCGCCGCATTCCTGAGCCATCTCGCCGGCGACGCCATCGAAGTCCGCTCCGCCGGCTCGGCTCCCGCAAACACCATCAACCCCATGGTCGTCGAAGCCATGCGCGAGGAAGGCATCGACATCACCGACCAGAAACCCAAGATTCTGACGACCGAATCTGTTGAAGCTAATGACGTGGTCATCACCATGGGCTGTGGTGATGTTTGTCCCTTTTTCCCGGGAAAGCGGTATCTCGATTGGAAACTTGATGATCCTGCTGGGCAGGGAGTTGAGGCTATTAGGCCGATTAGGGATGAGATTCGGCGCAGGGTGGAGGGTTTGATTGGCGAGATGTTGAAGTGAGAATAATGTTCTTATGTGGCTATTATATTGATGTACATAATGACTAAACGACGGGAGACTTATTTGACATGTTTCATTTCATCCACTGGGATATTGTAAATAGTCTATTAGTATATTTAATAATTTATGGAGCACTATACTCCAGATACACCTGCGCATTATTTTTGATGCAGCCTCATCATACAAACAATCATGCCTTTCTCTTCGCCTCCTTCACCCTCTTCTCCTCCCGCTCACTATAACGATCGTCAAAAAGATCTATATGCGGCCTCATCAAAATCGTATACTTGACAAACTCCTCCATGCAATCCACCAAACGGTCACGGTTACCGCTGTGCTTGAGTCGTTGATCATCCGGTTGCCCTTCATCCGGGAAATGAGTATATGCCATGGGGATTGAAGATTGATTGGGGATTGTAAACATGCGCATCCAACGGCCAAGGATACGGAGGGAGTTTACTGCGTTGAAGGACTGGGAACCACCGCACACCTGGGCGATGGCGAGTGTTCGGCCTTGTGTTGGCCGCACGCTTCCAGTGCTTAGGGGTATCCAGTCAATCTGATTCTTGAACACTGCGGTCTATACATTATTAGCTTCGAGCTTAAGTATGATATAGTGGAGACAATACGCACCAAATTGCCGTGTTGCTCTGGCGAAACCCAAAGTTGACCATCGCTCCATGCACTCAGAGCACGCAGTTCTTGCACCTTTGAATGACCGTGATCAACATCATTCTTCATCGGTAATCCCTCCGGATCAAAGACGCGTACATCACAGCCCAAGCGAAATAGGATCCGGCTAGCTTCGTATGCCACGAGTTTGGAATACGACCGTCGACGTAGACTTCCATATAACACAAGGACTTTGAGTCTTTTGTTAGTCGCTTGTAGATCACAGTCCGCCAGATTGAGCACTTTGGTCAACTCCAATGCGCTAATCCAGTCCGTTTCAGCATCTTCACGGATAAATGGACGATATTTCTGGCGGATATCGAGATCGTCTTCTTTTTCGGGGATGGAAAGGCTTCGTCTGTCAACACACACGCCGTTTGTAGTTGCTGATGACTCGGCAACAGCAGGGTTTGCCATGCTTGAATAGGTATGGCGCCACAAATATCGACCTGAGTAGATTGCCGGGCTGTATTTCACTGCAAATGATGATCGCAGAATGGTATTCATCTGTAAGACGTATGTATAGAGCGTTAAACCCCCAAAATGCGCGCTCAAAGACTAGAGAAATCTAAATTATTCGGCAAAGAGCAAGTGGCACAGACAGATATGGAGAACTTAGAATGGCGATGAGTGTCACTGATAGCCTCTAATTGGCTAGCCGCGGCCGGAGAAAGGACCTGGACCACTTATCCCCCCGGCGCCGGATAGAACAGATTCCGATTGGTCGAGAGCAGCCCTATCAATCTAAAAAACCCTAATCTCGCTGCGATTTCTTCTTGTTTGACCATGCCTAGTCAGGATAGTACTTCTAGATGGTAAAATCATGAATTCCAGCTACAGTTCGAGATCTCTGACTTTCTTGTGACTTCTTGCCACATGACTTGGGTATGGAAGTGTTAGACATGTGTGTTGCTTAGAGTATGCGTGACGATCTATATCTGAAAGGCACTCGGAATCTCAATATTGGGTAGGTTCTGTGGAAATTGGTGGAATGTGAAAGGACGTAGAGGAATGACATGCTCGCTTTACATCATAGGCTGGCCGAAGAGGTAAGCCGATGCATCTGGCCCGTAGCTTACCAATGACGGTAGTACCCCACGAACATCGATCTTTGATACTATTTAGAGGTTAATAGCCCCTTACCTCGTCCCGTTCTATATCTTGTTGCGACTTGAGAATAATTATTTCTACTCTTGCCGATACCCTCGCAAAATGGCAGACACTTATCACTTAGTCCAGTCCAGTTATGGCGACATAGCTAAGAAAACTGTTTCCAGTCCGGAGCAAGATGGCGAAAGGAACATTGCCCTGGCATTCGGCTACAGCGAGAAGGACCTTCTCTCTCTTCCCGAAAAAACAAATCTAGGCTTAAGTTGTGGCAACCCTGTGGCATACGCAAATGTAAAGGAAGTATGTATTGTCACGAGTCTTATGAAAATCCTACTCAACTCGACTTGAACAGGGAGAGACCGTCGTGGACCTCGGTAGTGGAGGTGGTATCGATGTATTTCTAGCTGCTCGCAAGGTTGGACCAACAGGAAAGGCAGTTGGGATAGACATGACTAAGGTGACAATTTCATCTTGTTTCAGCAGGTCTCAACACTAATGTACGACAGGATATGATCAATCTAGCAACCAAGAATGCCAAGGCATCCGGTCTATCTAATACGTCTTTTATCGAAGCATCTATCACCTCCATTCCACTACCAGACTCCAGCGTGGATTGCATCATTAGTAACTGTGTCATTAATCTTGTTCCAGCAAAGGACAAGGGTCTTGTTTTCCTTGAGATTGCCCGACTGTTAAAACCAGGTGGAAGACTTGCCATCAGTGATATCCTAGCCAGAAAAGAACTCCCAAGAAGTATCGTGGATAATATGGAACTGTATGTGGGATGCATTGCGGGTGCTAGCCAGGTTGCTGAATATGAGGAATATCTTCGACAAGCGGGTTTTCAAGGTACGTGCTATATATGAGTGGAAGACGGTACTAAGTCAGTACATATAAGGGCTGAATTGTCGCTAGATATCTTGCTAGTCGACACCAAAGCAAACCTTAATCTTTATAAAGAGTCTTCCTACTTACAACAAAGTACATCATGTTGTACCCCATCAAGTTGCTCTAAGCAACCCAAGACCGAATCTGCAGATTTGGATTATAATGAATGGGCTGGTAAGTGAATTTACCAACACTATTTGATAGTGGCCATGCTAAATATTATTAGGCTCTTTTCAGATATATGCAGTTAAGCCTACCTAGATAGTACTTGAATACACACACACACACACACAGTGTTGTGTTTTTAACAAGCTGAATGGAATTTCATGAAATCCAGAAATTGATTATCATGCATAATCAATTCTTCCTGCTACATGCATCTACGGGTTTTGTTTAGGTAGATTGAAGGGAAAGGCCGATGGCAGTTTACTATTGGCTGCTTGTAGCTAACAAGCACCGCTAGGAAATTCTTCTAAGCGACTATATGTAATTAGGAGAATTTTGGAATAAACCTTCTACCCTTCTCATCTCCATCTTTAAGTTTGCCCATCATTCTTCCATGCAACTGTCACAGCCTCTATTTGATAAAGTCGTATTTCTTCCCACTAAAATAAGTCATTTCTCGTCCTGAGACATGCAAGTAGCCGCCCATAATTCAAATCCGTTCAAATGTTGTTCACCTTCCATGTCAGTGGATGGTGTAAAGATCTTGAGCAAAAAACCGACGGGGTCCTCCCTATTCTGATAGCAATATCCTTCTGAACTAGGACATTTGGAATGCTCGCAGCTTCCTGGTCTCGTTCGGCCGGTCCACGTCTTCTCTTATGTTGCTCAGCTCAATCAAACCATGGCACTCCAAGTTCAGCACTTTGACAACGACGAATTTACAGAGAGGTTGATTAATCAGTCGTCCTAATCTACAAGTCATCTCAGATCACCTGTTTTAGGCATCTATCGTTATTTCCAACTTAAGAAGTCCACAAATCCCAGCGGTTTCTGCTTGAGAAACACTTCTTCTTCTCCCCAACAAATATCCATAATGAACACATTCACTCCACCCAAACTCAGATCGATCGCCTTCGAAAACATCGAGAAGTCTGTGACCATTGTTCGACAGTATCACCAAGTCTCGACAAAGATTCAGAAATCACACATTCCTTACCTTCTTTCTCTAGTGTCAACTACGACAATTTCATCGAACTCGACAGCGACAAATGCCCATTCTCGAAGATCGGTCGAGTGACCTACCATTCATTCTCCGAGACTTTGATAGTTAAAGTCATGCCGGGCGAAGCACACGAGATTACTGCTCAGCGTTTCAATGATATTCTGGCTTACGCCCTCCGTGGCATGAATATTAGGATGGAATTGCGCAATGTGGTGGCTAAGACTATGCTGTATACAAGCTAGTACAAGCAATTTAAACCCATACTAGCAGTCAAAGTCGGTTATTCGAGTCACCACAGAAAGCTAAAGCCGATGCTCACAGGGATTAGAGTATCCTGATTCTCCTGTGAATATCGTTATAACAGCGATCTTTCTCGAGAAAAGAGAGAAATCGAGTTTGGTGTCGGGGAGTTGGACAACCGTATTTAGTCTGGAATACGCACACAATGGATAACTCTATCTTTGCTTAATGATGAGATGCATGTTCGTGGTACAGAACTACAGATGGCACAGACAGTACTAAGGATTCATCTCAACTACGACTTCGCATAACTTTCGAAAAGGATCTCCTACGACCGGCACAGTCACTTGACGAGAGAGACTTTTGATCACAGACTCTGAGGTCAAAGATTCCGCTTTGGACAGCATGAAAGTAATAGTACGTGGTGGTGGTGTGTCTGCTCCTGATAAGTTTTCCGAAAGTTAATATATTGTTTAAGTTGAAAATTTTCAAGGTTCACTATCCATCTTCTCTAACAATTTGACGATCTTCTTGGGTACGGTTAATAAACACTCTTGTGCGGGGTCGAGTTGTTACTTGGTAGACACGTCGACGTCTCCATAAGCGTATGAGCCAGAAGGCGGCCGATCCGGATCATGCCCCTTGGCGGACTGAAATGTCAGCCCAAGACACAGTCGTTCATCATCTACCTACAATTCTCTGGGCACTCGCTGAAAAATCGCTACTCTCTTCTTTCCCTAGAAAAACCCTGATCTGGCATTGTATTCGAACCCAAATCGCCTTCCAAGGCATCTTAAGGTAGCCTTTTTGCCTCAGAGCCTCATATTGCTTTTGTTGAAGATCTTGTCTCCCAAATTCAAATCCCCAGAGGGGGAAGTCTTCTCTTTGGCATACACTAATTGGACATAATCTCTCAGCTTTTTTCTTTGGCTTAACGACAATTATCATTTGCCTTGGCAAGCTCACGCGTTAGCTTCCATACGTTGAATTGGGCAAGCCACTCACTCTCTTCGCTTGTAGCTTTATCAACTACCTTTTCGTGTTCGAGAGGAGGTGTTTAACTAAGAGCTATGTTTTGCTCACATAGTACAATATTTCTCAAAGGCTGCTGAGCAGCTTCCTTCGCGCACTGAGCTACATATGAGCGTACCAGATCCACCTCAAAAGCGTTACCTTCACAGTTGTATGGCCATCCATCTTTCCGAAATCTAATTGCTTTCGTTGATGAGTCCAGTCGTTGTGGTCATGTTCTACCTATTCTGGCAACACCTTCAATTCCCAGTACCACTTTGCTATATCTCTTTAAAGCGCCACCAGCCGGTCTATCAGGAAAATGGTCAAATCTCTGGCTAAGACCACCCGAATATAATAGAAGGTACCTCCCAGCTGATGTCTCTACACCTTCTAGAGCTAGATCTTTGCATCCCTAATCTTCCATTCTAGGAACTCAGATCTGATGACTTCGAGAGCCGTATATAATCATCGTATCCTCATCATTTTTACCAAATACGGTCAACGCAGTGACGAACGGAAGTATCTATCCCCTTAATTCATCTGCTCCATGAAACCTTCTGTTCTTGAAGCCCACAGGTTTCGCATTCGCGACATATGCTCTCCATCCGTGATATTCGCAGATATGCTTCTCCGAAGAACTCGGAGCTGCAATGAAGGCCTGTATCAGCCACTAATGGTAGAACGATGTATAGAGATTCGATGGCGGGACTGGGGCCTAGTATAGTATCGCCATCATCGTAGTGGGATAGACTTTTGATCACATCGTGGGGCTCTTGGATAATTTCTGAGGCATCAATGTAGCGCATTTCAGCCGGAGTTTTGTATATTTCGAGCATGAGCTCGGCGTCCTCCTGTAGCTCAGTCTTTTTGGACCATCTGATAATTGGTCCATTTTGTCGGTTTCGAGGGCTTAATTGACGTAGGACTACACGAGGTTTAATACAGATAATTATTCATAAGAACTTCTCAGATAGCAATCAGCGACTACAAACTTAAAATTAGAGGGTCTTTGGGTGTTTTTGACTTAGATACATTATTTCTGAAGGCAATTAGGTAGACACGTACTACTCATCTTGAATTTAATTGAGTACTAACCCTCAAGTACGGTATGTAACTCTTTGCGCTGCATCCATGGCAATGCGGTAGACTCCTAGATGATGTCATAGATATTGGTGTATCTACACAACACGACCAAATAGGTGAAGAAGAAATTGGGGGAAGAAATGGTTGACTTGTTGTGTTATTAGTATCTCAGGTCTACGAAACATGGGACATTTTATTTTATGATTTCTGTAGATTCTGTCCCTTTCATTTTTGCATATCATACAATCTATTATCTATATATGCAAAATTAGAATGTAATAGTCTATTGAAAGAATAGCCACATTTGCTTCGAAATTAGGCTTCACATGATAGTTGTATCCTGCTCGTGGGACCCAGTCGAATAGGAATGCCCTGCTCCTGGCGGTCAATCTACTGTCGCTCGGTGAATGCAGGCAATCGACACGGAGTACTTGTATAGCATCCTTATAATGATTGCCAGGAAATAAAGTGAAATGACGGAGGTTATAGAACTCAAGTTCTGAAGAAATAGAAGTTTGGGCAGCACTACAACAAAATGAAGGTCGACAAGACATTGATGGAAAATCCAAGCAACCAAGCAATATAAGGCTGAGGTACCTAAATTACTAAGGGGTATGGCATTTTTACAGCCAATGTGGCGGGATGACCTCGATCAGGATTGGCGTATTCGTGGCGGGGKGATCACAATTGACCTTTGGCTTACAAGGTTGGACATATGTACGTAGTATGTATGCATATACTAAGCATTAGTCAATTCTGCGGGATCGACCGGAACCAGCGGGGACCAGAGGATATGTTCTTCAATTACCTACCTAGGTAACCAATTCGGGATTTATCCTTTTCAATCTATATCGAAGTTGCGCTATTCCGCCTGTCAGTCTTACATAAGCTGCGGGATATTTGCTTGTCTCTATAAACAAACCATTCTCCCAAGCCAATAACTGACTTGGGGCCAAATCCAATGCATCCATGTGATCTGAGCTCCGTTGAGTAATGTATATGTATGAAGTGTCGAATCAACTCGTACTTAGTTTAGAAACTGTTCGGTAATTGACTCAAATCCCCTAATTATGGCGTTACTCAGCCTATGAACCGACCCCAGTCCAAAAAATCAAAGCTTGTAGGCCTCTAATATATTTCGCGTGGAGTCGGGGGGCCAAAGGGGCTGAGACCCTTGAGCCTTTCGTTGGAAGCTACGCTCTAGTGTCTACTAGGGGTTTTAGTATTGTCTTTGAAAGAGTCCTGGCCCTTTGGACAGTGGGATGGATATCATGTATTCTTTCGTTGGTTAGAATGGTGCTAGAGACAGTGAACTCAGACATGGCAAACAAGGTTAAAGAACAGAATAATCCAACCACAACCACCACATAAAAGGCCGCAAGGAGATATAAACAAATGTATAATTTGCATTTTTAGTGCAGGCTGGCGTCTAACTTCCTATGTAGCTCGCAATGAAGGGAAGAAGAGAAAACGTGGGGTTTTAGTGGGAAATATAGGGAAATAACAACTAGTCGAGGTTGCTTACGACATATACTCTCCGATACACACTCTAGCTTATAACCTGGATACAAACGATACGTTAGACGCGTGGAAGGGTCTTTTAATCAAATGAGCAACGTCAAAATACCATGGATCTTTAGCCCGAGAGCCAATTTTATTCGAAATGAGTACTGTAGATGTATGGCAGCTGAACGAAGTTGTAACTTCGCAGGATTCTGGATGCATACCTGTCAAAGAGTGTTTACGCAAAGGGAGGGGTAAGAGACATACGAGGTGAATCGTCACTAATGCAGTAGATTGCATTTCAACCCTGCAGACTGGTGCTCTGCTTTTGTTGGAGAACACTGTGAGTGGACCCAATTTCGCTTATGTCAAATGTTAGGGAATCCGTTCTTCCATTATCAATGCCCTCTAGGGAAGTACCTAGGAAAAGCACTCACTCTTCTCTCTCAACGACCTCACTGTATTCCAGTCGACTCGGTCTTCGCCTTCTCCAAGTTAATTTGTACAAATGGATCAGCCTACAAAGATTCGCCGAGCCTGTGATAGGTGTCACACACAGAAATTGCGTTGCAAACGCATCGAAGGCCATAACACCTGTGTTCGTTGCGCAAACGCAAACTTGACCTGCATCTTCAGTCCACCAGGGAAGAATCATAAACAACATCCTGGCAGAAAGCAGTCCGTAGGTGCAGCACCCAATAGACAGAAAAGTGCTCTGTCGTCCACCCAAAACGACCCCGGCGTAGTGTCGAATGGGTTGATTGATATCGACAAGAGACCTGCCGATTATTCTCAATTACCTCCTGTAACTACATTGCAACAATGGCCTACTTCGCAGCCAGAAGATGATATCCTTCTAAATTGTAAGTATAGCTCTTCTTTCATCTGTTCCTGCTTTAATATCGGTCATTGGATCGAGGAGACGAACTCGAATTCAAGTCACGGCCATATACCTCAATCAACAAAGAATCGATTGTCATGAAAACTTTTAAAAGATTTCATAAGGACTGTTCTCATTAATCATACACATTCTACCTATGTTTCTTTTAATGACGCGGAAAGTCATTCAAGCACAATTTGAAGACATGTACTGATTGCTTTTCAATAATCAAGGTGAAACAACTCGTGGATTAGAAGGATATGACCTCGACGCTCTCGCGGACGCTTCTGACGTTGCGTTCAACATTCATTGGGACAATTTTTCCAACTCTTCCCTTCCAGAAATGACCCTATCTCAAGGAAGCACAGAGGAAACCTTGTTTGCTCCCGGGGCCATGACCTCCATCACTTCGCCCGCAACCTCTGGACCCTCTTCAGCCGGACACAATTTATTATCTACAGAGAGACTAAACCATATATCGGTTACTCATCCTTTGTCGAGGATTACATCTCCTCAGTCATTCTATGAAGATAACGACACACACTTCATACAACAGCGAAACAACGGTCAAGAGTTATTGGATGGCCTACCTATCGCTAGTCCGCAAGGCATGGCAACATGGGTTTCCAAATTGGCTGAGATCAACATAAGTCTCCTCAATCTTTCAACGCATGTCCCTGGTCCAGAAATCACACATAGTCAATATCCTCAACCTGGGAGTCGAAACGAAAGGGAACAAGTTTTCGCCATCGATCGAGCTTTTTTATTATCAAAACAGCTAATCGATCTCCTAAATCAGGTGTTTCCACGATTTGTGGACCGATCAAATAACCTGGACTTGGCGGCTTCTAGTGACATAAAAGCGTCGCCTAAGACGTCAAAACATATCAGAACTCTCGACCCTGCATCAGATTTGCTAGTACTCTCATGCCATCTACGAGTCCTTGAAATATATGGCAAAATCTTCCTTCACATTGAAAACTCGATTAAGCAGCATCGAGCCCCAGAGCAGATCCGTTTACCGGGCTTAGCTATTGGAGCGTTTTCCTTACATTCATCGTGTGGATTGCAGCTCACCATATTCATTCATTTAGCTGAGATCCTACTAAGTCGATTACGTGATGTTATGGTTCTCATGGATACCACCAGTGCCACGGGCGATGGTGCGCGGCACGAAACACAAGATCACGTATACAATGACCCTTCAGTCTCTCTAGATCAAGTGGTCGATGTCACTCTCCAAGCCATCAAAGCTCGCGAAGTGGAAACGATCAAGATTGTTCTACGGATGAAACGGTCTCTCGAGCAGTCTGGTATGTTATGACGGGCTGAAAAGTTTTCGTGTCGCTTATGCCTATCATCATTGTTGTTAAGGCCATGATGTGGTATCTAGAAAGGGCTAGATACAAGCATGCAGCTGAGGACGTTTCTAAGGTGGTAGTGGTATTGACTAGAAGTCGGGTAGATGTTTACACCATACACGAGGCTAAGACTTACAGATTCACGAAGCTTACTAGTCAAGGAATGAAAAAACAGTTAGATGTAGATACGATTTGACAACATAAATGGGATTTAGAATAGCTCTATTCTTCTCTGTCAATTTTACCTTTGCGTTCTCAATTCTGAAGTCTGTTCGATTAATAATGGCAATACGAATCACTGCACTTTCATTCGGCTATTGGGAATTGAACAGCATATACTTATGCTACTATATCCCCATCTACAGCACTATTCAAACCAATCAATATGCGTAATTAGTAAGGTGTGGGGTCGGCTGTTCATAAAGAAGTCTAAAAGTGTCAACTCTTCTTCGATCTATAGTTAGATCTTTGTCTAGTGGTCAATTAAACAGCCCAGCACGCCACACCTTAAAACACTAACTCTCTTAGAAATCTGGAAATTAAATTATATTAAGACTGGGTCAGCATGTTCTCATCAGCAATAGAGTGCGATTTCGGTGTCAAGACTTCCGCCGAACTCGCCGACACCGAACATCCATATCAATGTGGTCTGACGTTTCGCCGAAAATACGCAGAACAGTAAGAAGTAATCACTGATATGTATGCTCATCGGAATTTTTGATGCTTATTCAGAATTTGTAGTATAGCTGCTCACCGACAGTCATTTATGAGCTATTATTGTTTTCTCATGAGCTGATTCTCGTGCACAATGGAGCCCCGAAACCAAGTTAGCATGGCGTCAGCATATCTAAATAATGGCCATCACTACACGACACAAAAGCAAGACGTACTCGTCAAAGCTGGAGTCTCACATCCATCATATCGATTCACGGCCATTTATCTTCATCCCAAAGATTGAATAAGTGCAATATGTCCGAGTCGATTACCCTGCAGACATTTGGCACTGCCCTCCTCAGGCTCAGCCCCGTCATAATCTCTTCTGCCTCCTTGATGTGCGCCATCGATCAACAAAATGCATTCAGTTCATTTCTGACCCCCAAATTGTTGGCACAACCCGGCCATGTGTCTGGTCATCTGGTGACCGACTGGTTTCCAGCCTTTGCTAAGCCAACGAAATGGGTAATCATGCTGGCATATCCCTTTGCTGGGATTTTTGCAGTAGTGAATAGCCGAGTGCCTGGCCTGAGCCCTCACACCAAATATTTCTACTATGCTGGTGGAGTGCTCAGTGTTGCTCATTACTATTTCGGAGCCTGGAGCATGTACTGGAACAGCAAGATCTGTTCCAAGGAGAAGATGGGACAACGCAATGAAGATGCCTTGCGTGGATGGCTGGGCAACAACTTCAGACGGATGATGTTGGTGAATGTTCCTGCTTGGTTGATGTTTCTCTGTGCTACGGCAACCTTCATCAAGGTTTAATGCCATGTAGCAGACACTGGAAGGAAGCACAGAAAGTGATGGTTCCGAATGGGGAGAGATCTACAAAAACACAGCGATTGACCGTTTGCAAGAAACCAATTTTTCTTTTGGAGGTCCTATACGTCAATAATAAAGATGTATATATAGCCTCCAACTATGATAAGCGGGTCACTCAGGAAAAGGAGAATACTTATTCAGGAGAATAGTTTATTTAAGTTCTTTTTAGAAGAAACGTTCATTTTTTGGCTTTTTGGCAATAAAAATGTTCCATCATTATCATGGTGATTGTATAGTCAAGGCTCGGGGTAATAAACGAACGCATAGGCACGATATCTCGCCTGAGTATAGCATGAAGACTGTTGAAGTATAGTAATTCAATAGTTTATATCTGAATGCATGAATGATTACTGCATTGCGCAATGTTTTACAAGTTCTGCTTGTCTACGCTGTCGATATGCTCATTCCTTTCCTAGCGTATCGAATGTTTAACTTAAATTGTTTTACGTCTTACTGCGCCCTCACTACGTCTTATAAAAAATACCTTGGGAGTCATGTTTTCATGGAAAGTTCAATATTCAGATATACGACGTCGACAATCACGCTATTTAGATCATCTAATCTATCATTCATCCCCAATATTCCATTTTATATGTGAAAAATCAATCCCTTTGTCTTGAGCCTCCCTCCACTCCTGCCTCATCAATTCCCCGTGTCGCTTGCTACGCGGTAGTATACTGCACTGGTATGGCTTTGGAATACTGCCACTACCTTGCAAGAACCCAGCAGTCGTGAAGTCCAAAGGAATAACGTCACCATTTGCATCCTTCGCAAAGTCAATATCAAATCCCCAGAGCAAGCGTGCTACGTTTATGAAGAGACTTTTTTCTGCGAGGTGGATACCAGCACAGATGCGACGGCCACCACCATAAGAAATGTGATCTCGCTTGTTACCGTCTGGCAAGACAGCCGCCGCCGCTGCGCCGTAGGGATAGTGTTTCCAGCGTTCGGGCAGGAACTTCTCCGGCTCCGGGTAGACCTCAGGGTCGTAGTGGATGGCCCACCAGTTGGCCATGACGGTCGAGCCTTTGGGGATAAAATAGCCGTTGTACCAATCATCTTTTGTGAGATAGTGGTTATTACCAAATTTACCAATAGGTCGCATCCGCAGGGTCTCTTTGATAATGCCGCGAATAAATGGTAGGTTTGGCTCGTCCTGGTAGGTGGGAAGGCGACCTTTGCCTACGATGCGGTCGATTTCTTCATGAGCCTGTCGAATAGCGTCGCGGTTCGAGAGCAGCATCATGATACAATTATTCAAAGTGGCGCCTGTTGTTTCTGAGCCCGCTTCTAGCAGGCCGCCACTATGAAGAACTTAGCTGAGTTCATAGCTTGTTACGTTTTCGCCCGACAGGTGAAAATTTCAGGCTAGCAAAGATAACGTACCAAATCCAAGCGGCTTCATTCTCTGTTAATCCGTTTTTCTCATAGCTGTTGAGCAAGGTTTTGGCAAAGGAATGTGGCGCCGTGCCGTCATCAACCGATTTCTTCATTCGGTTCCAAAAGTCCATAAAAATTGCATTATCCAAATTATGATACTGCCGCCCAATGCTCTTCCAGTTGGAGAGTAGATTAAAAATCGGGTTCTTAGCAAGGACCGGAAAGTTATCGACTAAAAATGCACCGGGTCTTCGCACCGCGATGAAGCGGGCGAGAACTTCGTGCATCTTTTTTACATCCTCATTGTTCCCTAGAAGACAGCAATATAGAGCATTAGCAAATTCCCAGTTCCCCTTCCTTGTCTCTTTCAGACGTACACTTCTCTATCCGCCAGCCGTAGGTAATCTGGAAGATAACACTAGCTGTATACCGGCGGTTGTGCATGTAAAAGTCCTTTGGATTATCGAGCAAGTCGACGCTCAGCTGTTTTGCTTCGAATTTTTGAATAACAGAATAGTCTTCGGCCATTTTCTCGGTCAGCACCTGTTCCGTCAGTGACAATTAGTTGGTATCCTTTGTTTAATTAGGTTAGAATAAATGAGACCCTCACCTTGTGGAAGATCGTTCTCGACTTCCTCCAGTCCTTGCCATATGGCAGGTATACCATACGCTTGCCTTGGCTGATCAAAATAATCAATATCTTGTTTTAGAAATTATACCATGATTCTAAGAACCACTCACGAAGCAGTATCACATGCCATGGGCATCGGCTGCCGACTTGAATATATCGCTGATCGTTTATCATATAACTCTTTGACACTGCTCATGGAATTCAACCAAATAAAATCGGTTGCTCCGGCCCTAGTGCGAAATATCTCCCCATGTTCACGCGCCCATTTCTGCAAAAGGGGTGGTGCATTGTCGACACGATGTTGGAGAGTGTTGTTAATGATGGGCCATCCCGGCACCTGTGGCGGTAGATGCTTGCGGCGCTTGTCATGGAATGCTCTGTACCCCCCAAAAATGAGGACCGGAACAAAGATGAAGATAAGAAAAAGATAATTTGGCGCCTCAATGAGGCCGAGAGTGCGTTCCATTTGTGTAGAAGTAGCTATTTACAAGATTTGATGACCTATGATCGTATTCTCCTAATATTTTCATATTTTGCCCGACTTTAAGAGATCTTTGCCTACTTGAATAATCTGCATCAGAATACTTAATTCTTGTCTTCGGCGCCGTAGATGGGAGACTCAACTGAATTCTTTTCAGGCCAATTGACTAGACGAGGGGCTTCGGTGCTTACTAGTCGTTGCTAATTCGGTACTCCTTCTTGAGCTCTCTACCCCTCGCTGTGTGCTGAAATGTCATGTCTCACATCCTTGCAACCAATAAATTTCAGTATCTCTTTTCAAGACGTAATCAGGAGGCGCCGAATGCATAATGACAGCACGTCGCCTGTTTTGAAACCAGACAATGCCTGTCACTTATTAATTTCTCAAGCCATCGCCTTGACGCCTCGATCGGAGTTTAGTGTTATGTCCGGCCGGGAACGAGGTTGAGGGAGACAAAGGAAAAGACCCTAGAGTAGATTGATAGTGGGAGTAGAGAAATTATGTATAAGTATTATACATAGATCCAAAGCCACCCGGACTCTCAATTATCATTAGAACTCATAGTCAACCGAGATAGGAATTAGATCAAATACGAATCAACAAAATGGCCACCAACGACATTACCAAGCAGCGTCTATTGCGCCTCAGCATCTTCCACTACAAGTCTGAGAATAAGACTGAGGAAGAGGCACATAACTATGTCGCCGATGTGGCAGCTAAGGCTGCTCATATTCATGCCAAACATGGAATGCACTCTTACATCCAGGTACATTTATCCTTGAAATGACCGTCCAAAGCATGACAGCTTCGCTAAACATTGACTCCAGTACCACGCTCCCTCCGCTTTCCAAGAAGTGATTCAGAACATGAACATCCAGAACAAACGAGGCTGGACTATCGATGACCACGATTTTGCTGTCGAGTTCTACTTCCGTACCTTTGAGGAGGTTACTAAGGTCACTTTGGACCCTGATTTCCAGGCTATGCAGCAGGAGGAGGAGCCCTGGGTGTCGAAACACCACATTGTGACTAGCTTAGGATGGGTGGAGACTTTCGTACAGGATGGTAAGGTCGTTAATATTCAGGATGGAAAATCGACCTTCCCTCAATTCGCGGCTATGACTGATTTGTCAAGTCTGACCGGTGGTGGCGCACAGCAATAGAGGGATTATATTCTGGGTTGCACATTTTGATTCAGTTGTAAAGGAGAGTAATGGCTGGKCCTTCGGAATCAAGATAAGCAATCAACTTCCGCTGTGATAATTCTGCACCGGTACTTTCCATTTATACATCCATAAATTTATATGTACACGATAAACTATGAATATGGTGCTCGGAATATCAAATGGAACAAACGGAACAAATATAACGAACATGTTAAGTTTAAAGTACTAGTAAGTAACAATGAGTAGCTGTACCAACGACCGTGTCAATGCAGTGGGATACTTAAGTCAAGGGTTAATATCGAGCTGAGGGCTTAGAAACCTCGTATGAGTAGTGCTCTAAATACACCCAGCTTGATCTAAGCAACGGACTTTTCATTACAATCGATTGAACCCTTGAAAGCTCCGTAATCAGTATATAATTATATTAAAGTGCGGGTCGTATCTAACGAGCCTTCGATCCCTGATTCCTTACAGAAACCTTCCTGTCTACCAAGACACCTAAATTTCATCCATTCAATAAAAAAGTATAAGCTCCAGACGAATCTGCTGGACTCTGTCCGCATTCTGTCTTAGCTCGCGGGTTTATTTCCCCGCATTCTATTCCATTATAAGAAGAACACCATGGCCCGATACAACTTCCTTCCCTGTCCGATTTACCAACACGATCATATTATTCCAATTGATCTCGATGCGCAATTAATGCAATTAATGCATGGACGGACATTAAAGCTTAAGACCGCTTAATTCCTTGATGCGGAGACCCTTGCGAATTCAACAAAGAATGTAGATGGCGACTGATGGGCATATTAGCCGTTCTTGAAGGATTGGATGGGTGTGGCCGCCGAAGGCACCGAACTTGCATATGTATGGGGGCGCTTCTAGCCCTAGATCAACACTTACATCACACTATTAGTAACCACTAAGGCAACACGCATACACATACTTATACGCATTATCCCTGCACCAAGGCCTCTTCGGCATGAAACCCTCACCCCCCTGTAAGTATAAGGACCGCCGGAAGTATCCAATTTGTTTTTTTCCTAAGTCCGCTAAAGTCCGATGTTGGAAAGGGTAGGTTTGTCAACATGAGATTTTCGCCGTCAAGGGCCGATTACTGGTGTGATATCAGGAATGAATGACAAGAGTAATGAGTCTGATGATAATGTCACACAATCGGCAGATGATGAAAAAGCTAGCAACGAAAGGAACAGGATGTAATTGTCCTGGATCACAAATTCGTCTCTCCGTTATAACATGTATATAGATAAATTTGAATGAGAAAAATATCAACTTTTATTCTTACGACGGCCAGAAGTCATGGAAGACACTATGAATACCGAAAAGGAGTTGAGACCCAGCCCAGATATCGTCTCCCCTGAAGACCAATCGCCTGCACCGGTGCCTTTGTCTGAGGCAAACCAAAGCACAACAAGAAATTGGAGATTTTGGGCTGTCTTTCCACCGCTATGTATTGTCTCCTGGCTAGCCGCCCTCGAGGCTACAGCTGTATCGACTGCGTTACCCTCCATTACAAAGGAGCTTGATGCAGGAGATTTGTATATTTGGTTTGTAAATGGTTACTTTTTAACTCTGTAGGTAATCCACAAAATTCAGTTTCTTTACATTGGATCTCTTGCAATGCATAGCTGCTGACACGCACAAACAGAACTGCATTCCAGCCTCTTTATGGACAGTTGGCTCAAGTCTGGGGTCGTCGATGGCTGATGATCGGAGCAGTAGCCATATTCGCTCTGGGAAGTGGACTTAGCGGAGGCGCAAGCTCTGCTATAATGCTCCTAGTTGGACGAGTGATTCAAGGCATTGGAGGTGCAGGTCTCACGCTCATGACAGGAATGATTGTCAGCGATATCGTTCCTGTTCGAGAGCGAGGGAAATACATGTCTATTGTTTTCTGCTCGTTCTCAGTTGGCACGGGTTTGGGACCTTTTGTCGGTGGTGCCTTGGTGGAACGTGCTACTTGGAGATGGGTGTTTTATATCAACCTGCCTATCTGCGGTGCGGCATTAATTATGCTATATCTGTTTCTCCAAGTGCATCGCCCCAAGACTTGGACGGCGAAAGAAAAGCTGGTGCGGATCGACTTCGTCGGAAACGCACTACTAGTAGCCTCTTGTTGCTCGATTCTGATCGCTCTGTCTTGGGGAGGTGCCCGCTATGCTTGGTCTACATACCACGTTTTGGTGCCACTACTCCTTGGCTTTGCAGGCACTGGTGTATTCCATTGGTATGAGTCTACAAGCTTCTGCAAGGAACCTACCATTCCCTCGCGCATGCTGACGACTAGCCGTACCACTACAATTGTTATGATTCTATCATTCTGCCAATTCATGCTTTCCTTCTGGTCCGTCTACTTCTTTCCCGTCTATTTCCAGGGGGTATTGCTCGTCTCGCCTGAAAGAAGCGGTGTATTGCTGCTCCCAACCGCAGTTACAAGCCCTCCCTTGGCCATAATCGCGGGCAATCTCCTCTCACGAACCGGGCGTTACAAGCCTCTCCATATTGCAGCTATGGGCCTATTCACACTGGGTCTTGGACTCTGCATCAAGCTCGACTCGAATTCTGGACTAGGCGAGTATATCGTTTTCCAGCTCATAATCGCCGTGGGTAATGGACTCCTAATGTCAACTCTGTTGCCCGCTGCACAGGCCGACCTTCCCGAGAAGGATGTCGCCGTCGCAACAGCTACGTGGGGATTTCTTCGTTCCTACGGAGGGATCTGGGGAGTTGCCATTCCAGGAGCCATATTCAACTCGCAGTTTCAACATTTCCTTCATCAACGCGTGACCGATCCCACCATCTTGGCCCAACTAGGTCAGGGATCTGCATATGCCTCGGTCTCGGGGACATACGTACGTGGCCTCTCAGGTACGATTCGCCAGGAGGTGATCAGCGTCTACGGAGACGCTCTTCAAGTAGTGTGGATTGTGGCGACAGCATTTGCCGGCGCAACATTGTGCCTGGTGCTTTTCGAAAAAGAAATTCCTTTGCGCACTACTGTAAATTCAGATTATGGACTCAAGGAAAAGAAGAAAAGTGATACCTCTCGCGAAGAAGAGGGTGGGGAGGGTAATGGAAGCAATGGTAAATAAGGAGTAGGTGGAGGATAGACTAGAGTGTAGTCTTTGATTTGTGTGAGATGTGGGCAAAAGTGATCAAGAAAGGTGTTGGACAGTATGTATGCATCTAGGTGTAAATTTGCATTGTAGGACTTCGACGTTTCAGTTAAGTTTTGGACCGAGGAAGATAATATCAATCACTTCATTTATCCGTGACTATACTCACAAAACTATCACACTAGTATTATCTTTCCTATCATGTCAGAAAATAAATTTGAAGTGATTTTAGGTGAAAAGCTTTTATTGATAGTATGATGAAGCTTCTTTTCTTAACATACAGGAGTAATTAAGTCATCGGTCTTTCAAAATCGAGTACAAGTAATGGGCAGTGTGGAGACAAAATTGAACTCAAGAATACAATTAGGAGGATAGAATAAAGTAACAAAAGTCGGTTACCTATGACCGTAAGGAGGTGTCGTATTTCCTAGAAGTGATCAACAAGGGCATTGAAGGTCCCTGTCCAGACGTATGCATTGTGATCAAAAATTCCGCAACAAGCTCGTCGATTCCATGTTTTCTCGCGCTTTCTATCCACTGATCCAAATTTTGTGTTTGAAAGGGAACTCCTTCTTCCTTCTCGAGATATTCTTTCACGGACTCGACGGGGACGACAGTTTGACCGGACTCGTGATAGTATTGCACTGTGGAGAAAGAACCCGTGTTTTGAGAACGATTGTGCATATCTATTACTGTGTTGATGATGTTTTTTGCGACAGACTTTACGTCGACAAGGTCCATGGATCCTACCCAGCCAGTGACACGAGGTATCACCTTCATGAGCCGCGAGAAGCGCAGAATGTTGTTCATGATGTCCATGCTCGGTGCATCGGGTCCAATAATGCTGGAAGGACGATGGATCGACACCGGGATTCCGGTTTCGCGATTGCAGCGTTCCAAAAACACCTCGCTGGCCCATTTGGATGCAACGTATCCGTCGGAGCCATCTGTTGGAGGACGGTGAGCCGCCACAGATATCTCCCCGTAACTATCCTCGCCGCTTAGGTGAACGACGCCTGCAGTCGACACATAATGAAATGGAACAGATCGGCGAGCTGAAGCCATTTTAACAAGCTCCTTTGTTGATTGGACATTGGGCTTGCGCAGTGATGTATATGTTTGCATAAACGAAACATCCGCGCCGCAATGAATGATGGCGCCAGCATTGACAAAAACTCTCTCTTGATCTTCTTCTGAAAGACCTAAATTAGGTAGAGATAGATCGCCGGTGTAAGTTGTAACCTTTTCTGACGTCCACATCTCATTATTACGTATAATACCAGGTTCCTTCGGGCGCACGGCAATGCAGTGAATTTGAGCGACCTCTGGATGTGCCGAAAGTTGCTTAAGAATCCATCTTCCCAGGAAACCTGTAGATCCCGTGAGAACAATTTCCATAGGATAAGTTGCAGGTTTGGAATCAGGTTTGTGCAAATCTGAAGGGAGCGAAACTTCAGCATTCCAGTCAATGTGTGAGTGTGTCACAAGGTCTCCAATATCGTTGTCCAGACGACGAGCCAAAGTCTGTAGGTCGCTATTTCGGAACAGCTCTGATAGCGGAATTTCTCTATCTAAAACGTGCTTGATCTCCCGTTGCATCTTCAGTAGTAAGAGTGAGTTACCTCCAACTGAGAAGAAGTCCGACTGTTTCCGAATCTGCAGTTTAACTTTGGAGTTAGCCAAGACATCTGTCCAGATCTGCTTCAGTTTGACTTCTGTATCTGTCAACGAGTCGTCATCTCGTTGTTCCGCGATCTCGGGAAGAGACAGATCTCGAAGCGCTCGTCGATCTAACTTCCCACTAGCATTCATGGGAAGTTTATCTATCGGAACTGCCATTGCGGGGCGCATATATGATGGTAAAGGCAAAGACGAGATCAACCCGTGCAAATATTCATCTGCATTTTCAGGAACCTGGTCAACAGAAAACACAATAAACGCAATAAGGAATTGCTCTTGTCCCTCGCCCCAGGTACAAACAGCGGCGTTGGAGACCACTCCGGCAGAGGTCTGAAGAATGGAGATCGAAATTTCATCCAGTTCGATACGGATGCCCCTCAGTTTGATTTGAGAGTCACCCGCGATTCGACCAAGATAAGCAATTGAGCCATCCGAAAGCATACGTCCTTGGTCGCCTGTGCGGTAAAGGGATCTCCAACCACTGGCAGATGTGGAAGATATCGTGTCTGGTATGAATCTGTCCATCGTCATCTGCTCGTTGTAAAGATATCCGGCACTGACCGCCGGTCCACCAATGCAGATCTCTCCCACCCAGCCCACAGGCAGTGGTTGGGCCGACTCTGGATCTAAAATGTATACAGCATAGTTGGTGATGGCCCGCCCGATGGGGACTTTAGTTGTGTCCTGCAAAGCAATCGCGTCGTAGGGGACACTGTAGAAAGAAGAGGCGACGGAAATTTCACTAGGACCATATGCATTCCACACTTTCAGGTTTGGAATGTCCAGGTCGTGGAACAATTGTTTGAGATTGCTTGAAAAGGCCTCGCCACCACACATGGCAATGCGCCAGCTGGTGCAGCCTTTTAGAAACTCTCTACCATATTGGTACAGTATCAAATATTCTGAAGGTGAGGCAAGCATGAATGTAACGTTTTCTTTCCGCATGAGGGTTGCTATATCTTCCATGTCGCCGCGATTGCTTGTCATCACCAATGAACCGCCGTTTGCCAGGGCATAAAAGATCTGTGCCAGCGAGGCGTCATATCCAAAAGCGCTTTGCTGCAAGACTACTTCTCTCCCAGTGCGTAAATCCATTTCTTTGGAGGCAGCAAGAACATGAGTGAGGAAGTTTGAATGTTTTAACATCACTCCTTTTGGCTTACCAGTAGACCCACTTGTGAACATTACGAATGCTGGGCTGTCCGCCGCGGATCGATTGGGAACAGGCCTCGAATCATTGGCAATAATCGAGATATTGACACTTCTAATGGCGTATGGCATATTAGTCTGAATTTTGGAAAGTTGGTCTTGTGTACTGTCATGGAAGATAACAAGCATGGCCTTGGATTGCGTGACGATCGACAGTAGTCGCTCTTCGGAATTGCGTACATCAAGAGGAACATATACAGCGCCAATGCGCATGATTGCCAGTATCGTGCAGATAGCATCTGCCACTGGGTTTATTAGCATCGCGACATGAGAGCTTGTCGAAACACCGGCATAAAGCATTGCGTTGGCGATCTCATTCACTCGGTCAGCCATCTGCCGATAGGTCATCGTAATTGAATTATCCTTGATTGCGACAGCATGGGGCTGGCTAGCCACGAAGTTGTCGACGCGTAATGACAGAGTGTCATCCAGAATATTCTCATCTATTGGCCCCTTTCCCAGAGATATCGCAGTTTTCAAATCGTGCTTGTTAAAAAGCGGAGCATCTTGGATTTTCAGAGATGATTCTTCTGTAAAAATTTCAAGGAGGTGAATATAGGTTGAGAGAAACAAGTCACCACCGGCACGATCGAATAGGTACTGCTGTAAAGAGAGCGTAAGAAAAGCTTCTCCATCGTTTTCATCCACCGTCAAGATAAAGTCAAAGGGATGCTTGGCATCCTCATATGTGGACCAGTCCAGGTCAACGTCACCAATAGTTTTTTGACCTAACACACCCATACGATAGTTCATCACCACTTGAAACAATGGTGGTGATACCGAGGAAGAAGGAGGATTAATGTCTTCAAGGATGATATCGAAAGGTATACCAGCATGTCCTATAGCTGAGTAAACCTTAGAGCGAGTAGAATTCAACAACTCCGGGAATCTTGTCCCCTTATTAGCAAGGTTGAATCTTAGTGGTAGAAGATCAATCAGGAAGCCTATTGTATCAACGAAGGCTTTGTTATGACGACCAGCATCGACAATACCAATGACAAAATCATCGACCTGGAGAAAGCGATGGAGCATAACCTGCAGTACGGACAAATAAAAGTGGAATGTAGTAACTCTTGCAGCAGCACTACACTTCTTGATCTTGGAGACGAGGCCTCTGTCGAGATCCAGCATTATTTCGATGTTATCGTAGCGGGTGAGACTTTTTCGCGTGAAGGACTTTGCGAACGGCAGGATGGGCAATGGCTCTGGCGGATCGATGAATTCTTCTTTCCAGAACCTCCGGTGACTCATACTGATTTGGCTATCTACAGCATCTCGCTGCTGAACAGTAAAGTCAAAGTATTGACCAACGGGAGGAAGATGACTCTGTAGATTATTGGTGTAGCATTGATCGAGATCCTGTAGAAATAATTGCCAACTGACACCATCCATGATGATATGGTGATACCCAAATATAATGGTATGGATTTTTGGCTCATCTGTATGACTGCAAAGGGTGGCAATAAATGTATCTCCCAGTCCAAGATCGTAAACATGTTCTGCAACGAGGCGTTTCTCTTCCTCTATTTGTGTAGACGATTCAGCGAAGGGACCAAGAACAACTTTTCGTAGCTGAAATGGGGACATTTCATGCATCATTTGGTACGGCTCGCCCATGGTTGGATCAGTAAAGAAAGAGGTACGGAAGGCCGAGTTTCGTCGGATTACTGTTTGTAGTGCCTGTGTAAAGCGATCGACATCCAGCGAACCACGGAGCTGGTAGGTGGTCGTACAGTTATAGGCAGTCTTGTTTTCAAGATACTCATAAGGGAACCAGACTCGAGCTTGACCAAATGACATCGGCAATTTGCTACCCATAATCATGGACATCCCAGTATCAGGTGTCATGATAGGCTTGCTGGAATTTTCGCTTAATGGAGCACTAGAAGTGGATTTTAGGGCCGTTTCTTCAGGATCAGCATATTGTTCGCCACTCTTTATGTCTATCAGAACAGCTTGGCACACTAAGTTTCGAGGTTAGCTGTCTGTCCGAAATACTATAGTAAGGAAAACACCGGGCTGGTCGTAGAAGAAAGGAAGGGGGCATGCAAGATGAAGAACTTACATTCGTGAATACTAGCTCCAGACAGAATCTGCAAGACAGTGACGTCGAAATAAATTTCGTTTTGAAACCAAGAACGAATTTCCATAGCAACTAGTGAATCAACGCCGAGATCAATAATGACCGTGTTAATGTTTATTCCCTCGGCCGGTAGCTGGAGAGCAGTGGCCAGATACAGAGAGAACGCTTGATAGAGTATTTGCAATGCTTCGTCCGTATCTGTACCAGCCGACAAAATACGCTGTGGAAGGGACGCCTCAAGCTCATTTATTTCAGACGTAGCATCTTGAGGTTCTTCAAGAAGATGCGTAAATAACGCTGGTAGAGGGTTGCTTGAAGACCTTGGAACCGGATGTAAACCCAATGTAATTTCTGAGATGGAGGACGAGGCTAGCTTCCCCGCAGCTACAGCTTCGCCGAACGCCTGGTGAAGGTCCCTCTCAGATATCCTTTCCGTTAACTCATATAACCCAGGATGACTGGAACCTCCAACATCCGATCGACTCCCATACCAGGAGGTCAGATCAAGCAAGGAAGCTCCCAAACCTCTTGCTCTACGTCTTGCACAAAGAGCGGCCGTGTACTGTTCGTTGATGACTCCTTGTTAGCAAATACATAATTAAAACTGATGTGAACTATCGTATATCATACCATGTTTGAGGCTGCGGAATTAGTAGTTCCATCCGGCGCACCCGTTATCCTAGATAGTGTGGAGAATGCCACGAAAAAGCCATCATAAGGAGCGGAAAATACTTCATCCAAATTCTCAAGTGCAGCAGCGTGCGAATTCAATGCTGCTAAGGTATCCTCAAGACTACCTTGTTCCGTATTTGCCGGTCCCAAGAACACACCACCTATAGTCGGCCTTTTTCCATGTGTTGTTGCATACAGACTGTTAACTAGCTCATGTTTCCTGGAAATGTCTGCTGGAACTACCTCAATCGATGTACCCGCTCTACTGAGTTGCCGTATCCAGTAAGAATCTTCCAGGGAGGACCTGTATTACATTAGTATTCACGCCACATCGTTTGAATTGATCATGGGGATTAGATTACACTTTAGAATCCATCGTCAAGAAGATTAAGCTTCGCGCACCGTATCTTATCAACCACCGGCAAAGAGCTTCGCTGAGATCATTGGGAAGTGAAATCATGAGATAGGTCTCTGACGGGGATAAAAGATCCTCAGGGTCAATTGGTGTCTGCTTGATAGGGATGGGCTGAGCGTGCGTCCAATTCACCATTTCAAGGGGGTTCATGCTTTTATGAACCCTTTCATTTTGCAGATCAGATATATCAACAATCGAGGACGTGCTTGACTGCGCTATGAATGAAGTAGAGCTGTCTATATAATTGACTGCTGCGAATAGGGCTTTCCGAATAGATCTCCAATCTTCCGTTGTATGCACGGAGGCAGTAGTTGAGAGAATTGATTCTTTCCGGAAAAAGCGGCAGTTTCTCGGTAAATATTTCAACAGTTTATTCTCTAAGTCTGACCGGGAGGAAAGGTCGACAAATAGACCGGCGTCTCGGGGGACTAGAAGCCGGAACGCACTGATGAATCTTTTCGGGTGGACATGAACCCAGTCAACACCATTTCGTTTCCCCGATGAACCATCAGTAAGGTATACGAGACGCTGATTCGAGTCTCCTAATAACTGGTGGATTAATGAGCCCACGTTCTCCTCTGGGTCATATAGCACGGCCGTCTCTGAGTCCGCTATCTGCTGTATCACATTCTGGGCGAAAAGGAAACCTCCTATAATCGACAGAAAAGCAACTTCGGAGAGATTTCCTAGATTAACGTCGAGAACTAGCATGTCAGTAACCCTTTGATGAGATGCAATTGACTGGGCCACTGTGATAACAGTCTTCCCTGGTCGATTGCTCGTACCAATGCAAATATGAGCGAACATGCCGTTGATGCGAAAGGCGTATTTGGTGCTGTAATTGGCTTTGACAATAAGATGGTTTTTGATGTCACTGTCCATCCGTGGATGGGGTTTGACCAATTTTGCAATGTAACCATGACCATTCACATCGATATCCTTTCGAACCAAAAACTCGATCTCGTCTGTAGTTATGTCTGCATATTTAATGATGGTCCTTCGGGTGGAATTCAATCTATCATTGAGCTCACTGTGGGGGATCAATCTTGGAATTAAGATTCTCTCCTTCTCGAGCCGAATGTGTGTTTCAAATGCTGAAGGGAACACCTGTTCCTTGTCGACTCCTGAAATAACGAAACGCAGAAAGGCTTCGGCGATGAGTGTTTCTACCATTTCCAATGTGTCCAACTCGAAGAATTGAATGCGCAAGTTTGGATGCATGGCCATCATATCACGACCCAGACCTAACGACGCTGAATGATAGGCGTCTGATCTAACAAATGCTTGTGTGAGCCACATAGTAACCGGACTGTTGCTCAAGACATTTTTCAGCAGTAGCATTCGCTGCGTTTCGTTCGTGCTCATGAGAGGCTCCTCAAGATCTTGTAGGAAAAGTGTGCCAACTATATCAGAGCATTCGGAGGGGTCAAAATCCTCCAGACTCTTGAGGTTGACGACATTGATGTTCAATTTGCGAAGCAGTGCACTAACCTTGTCGGCTATAAGTGATATTTGCTGTTGCTGGCCGCCAATGAGGAGCAGTGATCCATAGATATTTGTTGCAAGATCCGATTTTAGCACATTGTAAGAGTAACCCATGCTAGAATTGTCGATCTGCCAAATGGATATTTCCGACTTGTCGCCCACAACGTTGGCATTTGGAAATCCTAACTCGATAAAGCCAGTGTTTAGGAGTTGGTTCTTCCATTCGTCACTCTGTATCCTATCATTTATCGACGGAGAACTTTCGTAGCGTTTCTGAACACAAATAATATAGCCCGGACGTCTTAGAAGTTTGAATAGAACATTGGATATTATCATATTGTAATCTTGTGGCAGATAGAGGGGAGGTTGGATCACCACAATATCATAAGCATCAACCTCTGGCCACTGTTCATCGTATGTTTGTCCAACATCTAGACTCAATTTCGAGATTTCTTTTCCATCATATGTCCTGCTTGTATGAATGAGGTTGCCGGACGAAGCCTCAATATCGGCCAGCGTATAGGAATTGAATGCGGAACCGAAGCCATCAAGCAGGGCTGACGTGACAGCTGCAGAATTTGTTGCAATTTCCAGAATTTTCATCTTAGGATCGCGATGACTAAACTGGCGGGCTACTCGAGATATCCGTTGTTCAGTACTCGCTAGTTCATCAAAGCCAACTGGTCCATTGGTGATATCTACATCCCAGACTTGGTGGAAGTAGAGGATACGATCATCGTTCGCAGTGGATTGCATCGTAGGCTCAAAAACAATCCCCTCCATTTGTATAACAGTTTGATGACTCTGATCAGCCAATTGAATGTCCGCAGTATGCGTTGAGAGATCTGCGGGCGAGGCGAATGATTCATTCGTCACCTGGGCGAAACTGTGCAAAAACCTTGACTCAGCGCTAGAGAATCGGAAATCAAAAGAGAATTTTCCAAATTTCTTAACAAGAAAGGGACTCCAAAATGTTCCATCTCCCGGAGCTGCAAATGCCGCCAATGCTGTCTGTATTGCGGCTTCGATCGTTGTTGGGTTGACCATAAATGTAGACACCGGCGACGGGGAGCAGTCCGTTACTTGAGCAGATGCATTTTCCAGACGTCTTTGCAATTTGGATAACGCGCAGAACGGACCCTGATAAGTCATACCAATCTCTTTCAATTCTCGGTAAAATAGATCTATATCCACTTCCTGTAAACTATCCTCGATATTAGGTACTGGCGGTAGATTTTGCACACTTTTATTGCCGAATGTAATAACCATGTTGCCTGAAAAAGCCGCCTTGACTTGGCCATCGTCACAAACATCAGCAAAGCTCATATTAAATGAGGCCATGATATTGTCTTGTTTGGGAAAATTGTTGGCATTCGACTTGTCCACCCGGAAATTGAATATAACCTCAACGCCATTAGAGTCAGTATCGATAACAATGTTGTCGTAGATTTGAACATCAATCAGATCCACCATGAGTATGTCCCTGCGATGCGGCATGGCGAAAGCTGCTTCTAATGCCATTGAACAATACACAGAAGCAGGAATAGTTATGCGATCTCGGATTTTTATTTGTTGAAGCCATGGAAGGGCCTTCACTGAGAAGACATTGCGCCAGCGCATCTCTGCATCGTTATCATCGGGAGAGCGACTTCCGAGGAGCTCTTTGGGGACATCACGATGTGAATAACGTTTTGAAACGCGTGATTCTCGCCAATATGTTTGTGTATGGTCCCAAGAGTATGAAGGGAGATTTTTTAAGACAGCAGGTCGCGAACGATGGTCATAATAGAAATAAGTTGCATAAGCATCAAAGTTGACTGCTTTCGAACCAAAGTGTGACCACATGTATGCGATGGCTTCACCAAAGGCTACTACATCGTCTTTCTTTCGATCTAAAACACCAGTATAGGGGATAAATTGGCCACCCGTCTTCTCCTTTAATGTCTGAGAGACTGACGCCTTAAGTGCCGGATGTGGACCGATCTCTAGAGCCATATCGAATGGGCCACTATCAATCGCTCGCTCAAGGGCTTCACGGAAGAGAACACTCCCTAACATATTATCTCGCCAGTACGAGCCGGCAAGGTCTTCAAGGTTTGCCGCAGGATCACTAGTGTAGACTGTAGAGATCCAGGAGCACGGGCGATCTGGCTTCAAGATCTGAATATTGGCGTTCACCATCGAGTTTAAAAAAGGCTCGGCACAAGCATTCATGTGAAAGGAATGGTAAGCATTGTCAACTTTGAGGATCCGAGCAAATTTGCCTTCGGACTCGAGCAGGTCACGCGCCTCTTCGATGGCACTGAGATCGCCGGACAATGTGACACTAACAGGGGAATTGCTTGTACCGATTACAACTCGGCCTTTTAGTAATGGCTGGTTAATGAACACAGAGGCTTCCTCAGACCCAATMCCTGCCGCTAACATTGTTCCTCTCTTTCCATCTCGTCCACCAGCATACTTTGTAGAAAGACCACGGTAGTAGGATATAAACATTGCATCGCGTGGCCGAATGTACCCTGCAGCGTACGCTGCTGCTAATTCTCCAGAAGAATGACCAATGACCGTGTGAAAACGCACTCCAATAGAATTGAGCAAGTCAACCAGGGCCATTTGTACTGCACTGCATAGAGGCTGAGAAATTGGCCCCTCCATAATTCGAGATTCGGAAGGCGGCTTGAGCAGCTCTTCCTTCAGAGACCATTCCGGGCCATCAGGAAGATCATGGAGATGTGCGTCTAGTCTCTCAATAGATTCACGGAACGTCCGATTTCTCAGTATAAGCTGTTTTCCCATTGTAGCCCATTGAGCTCCTTGTCCAGTGAATATGCCGAGTAGTTTTGGCGAGGCAATAGCCGGTGTTTCGCGGCCTAGCTTGATCGCTGGGTTATTGATCACGCTTTTCAGTGCCGTATCCATTTGAAGAAACAGATCCTTTTTCGTGGGTCCTGAGAAAGCCAACTTAGTGGGTAAGATTGATCTACGACAGGCCAAAGTCCAAGCTAATTGATGTGTATTGAGTGCGTAGTCATTGCGAAGCGCTTGATGAAATTTTGCAACGGTGGCTATCAACGCCTGCTCTGAGCTTGCGGAGAATAATAATGGAAGTGTAGGGTTTTCGATTTTCTCTTTCGATCTCTGTAGGTAGTGTGGATCATGAACTGCTGGTTCGAAACTTTCCACTATGACATGTGCGTTGGTACCCCCAAACCCAAAGCTATTGACGCTAGCACGCAACGGATGACCTGGTAGTCCCTTCGGCCATGGCTGCGCAGTTGTTGGTACCTGCATGTGACTATAGAATGGGGCAACTTCATTGCTAAGATTTGCAAAATGCTGGTTAGGGGGGATAACACCGTGTTGTAGGGCAAGAGATACTTTCAGCAGACTGGCTAACCCGGAGGTACCTTCTGTGTGCCCTAATACACTTTTGATCGAGCCGACATACAATTTTGTCACATCATCATTTTCTTTTCCTTGGACGTCTTGCAAATGACTTGAGCTGAAAAAGGCTTTTTCAATCGCTTCTGCCTCCCTGGCATCGCCCACTTGAGTACCCGTACCGTGTGCTTCAAAGTACTGGCAGCGTCCCCAAGGGGCAGTTGGATCTAGACCCGAACGCCGATAGACCTTCTCTATTAAAGCCGATTGGGCTTCTGAGCTAGGCATGGTGATTCCTCTGGTGCGCCCGTCTTGATTCACACCTGAGTCACGAATGATAGCCTCTATATGATCGCCATCTGCTAGGGCGTCACTTAGTCTTTTGAGGAAAACAACCACTATGCCCTCTCCCCGGGCATATCCATCCGCTCTATCATCCCACATGTGACATTTTCCCTCGGGCGAAAGCATATGAAGTGCCGACTCCGTAAGAAACAACTCAGGACTCAACATGAGATTGGCACCTGCAATACAGGCCATCTGGCTTTCATTTGTACGCAAGCTTTGGATGCCTTGATGAAGAGCAACCAAACTCGACGAGCATGCCGTATCAATCGTCATTGAAGGCCCCCTCCAATCGAAAAAATATGAGAGTCTGTTGGATAGTATGGAACGATGTGTTCCTGTAGCTGTGTATCTAGATAACACTAGTGGATCTCGCATGACGATATTATCGTAGTCCGAGCCAACTGTGCCGACATATACAGAAGTTGAGCTCCCTCGCATCGTCTGCATTTCGAACCCAGCAGACTCCATTGCCTCATATGTCACCTCCAACAGCATTCGGTGTTGCGGATCCATGGCTTCTGCTTCCAGAGGAGTGATATTAAAGAAACTAGCATCGAATACCGTAGGATCTTCCTCCAACCAATGTGCTTTTCTGGTATTGGTTGTTCCTTGATGTTCCGGATCTTGATTGTAAAATCCATCAATATTGAAGCGATTGGCAGGCACCTCTTTAGACAATTCTCGTGGGTTTTGTATAAGGCTCCATAGCCTCGATGGGGAAGACGCATTGCCGGGTAAACGACAACTGCTACCCACGATGGCGATGGGTTCTGATGCTGGCTGTATGTAGTCCGTAGACATTTTTGGTGGAATCTAAGGAGTCTATTAGACTTGAAAAAATAAGAAAAACGATCTATGAAGTTAGACAAGTCGATGTGACTGATTATTCCATTCGCTGCATAATCGGAGAGCAATTGGAATCTGGAGTTTTCAAGGGAGTGACCATTGTAACGACTCAAAAAAGGGAAAAAAGCCCTAGCCCTAAGAGGTTCCGAATGGCCTACATGGTACCCATTCCTAGCTCGGCGCTGATGAGTTTTAATCCACCGACGACGAGATGCAGTATCTAAGAGCCGAATCGCCGGTGCAGATGTTGCCGTATTGGGGTACGCTTGAGGTGGTATCATGTTCAAGGTTGCTATATAGGTATGTCAAGCCCTGATAGACAAATTTTACCAACCCAGGAACACGTCTCTCTCGTCAATCATTTTTGATCCCTCGTTTGCACGATGATTTCACAACGCATTCTTCGCCTATCTATCTACCACTACTTCAATCCGGACAAACCGGAGTCTGAGGTATACGAGTTTGCCACAAACGACCATGCAGTCAAAGCAGTCAAAATCCACCAGCAGCATGGTCTTTTGGGATATTCTCTGGTAAGCTATGATACCCTTTCAGCTTTTGTTCGCTACGGGGCTTTGTCCAATGGTAACTCATCATTGAACATTCAGGTTTACGCTCCCAAGAGGGCCCAAAAGCTGCTTTTCGACTGGAAAGAAAAGTTCAACCGAAATTGGGTGCTCGAAGACTACGACGCCGCGGTTGAGTTCTACTTCAAGGATTTCGATAGCATGAATGCGATTGCGCAAGACCCTGGATTCCATCGACTCCAACAAGAGGAACTTCCGTTTATTGATCAGAATCGGCCCCCAAAGGCAACATTCGGCTGGGTGGAAGCGTATATTGTTGATGGAAAAATCGTTAACATCAAGGACGACCGGTCAACATTTCCGCCGTTTAAACAGCTAGCTGACATTGTTTACCCGGGAGTTTCGGAGTGAACATGTAGTTGCCTTCGTATGTTTGTTTCTCCAATAGGAACAATAAGCCTGGCCGAAAATATTGTGGAGCATTCTTCTTAGTTCTCTTTAATAATGCCGTAACTAGCTGTTTATGAAAACCATTGATTACATCTTGAGGGCCGACACCGAAAACCAGCCTCCTGTAGTGCCGAACGACCCTAGCCGGGTAGTCATGAAAAATGAAACAAAAACAATCTAAAATCACGATCAGCAAGCGCAACATGCAACTTCCTTTGCTAACCGCACATATAATAGTTGAAACGCCGAGCCACAGTCTTATAATCAATTTATGTTTGCACCCGGACCTGCAGCCTATACAGCAGTCGGCGCCGAATATGTCTCGATATACGCACTAACCCTAAATATGCCCGAAATGCTTCCTTCTTCCAAGCTTACTCATCTTATCACAAAATGTGTCGCTGTCTTTCTTTTTTTCTATTTATTGATTTTGGTTGGATGGTTTGCAGATTCATTTTGTTTTCCGTTCATAAATAGGGGCGTGGAAAAATTCGGTGCTAGATCAACATTGATAATTTGACCTGAGTTTCAAGTTCATATACCTAACGTATACATAAAAATCATTTTTATCGATGGCGCCCAGCAAGCCCGCTACTGATGACAGCCAGAAGGCAATGTTCCACTTTTTCAAGTCGGAATGGTTTGATTTCGAACTTGTGCGTCTGCTCGGATTTGCTCCTTACGAGGGGGCAGAGATCGCAGAAGTGTTGCAGGCGGTTGGGTCCATCCGGGACAGTCATCCAGAGAGCTGGCATACCGCTTGGTTGCGTGCAGGTACTAAGACAGAAGCTCTGGCAGAGGAGGCGGAACGGACTGGAGATCGTGTCGCTGCTCGTCGGGCATACCTCCGCTCGTCGAACTATATCCGAGCTGCCCAGTACATGCTCTCGAGTCGGCCTGGTCATATCGACCGTCGCGTGCTCCCGACATTAGAACGTGCAATTTCAAATTTCCAACGCGCGACGTCGTTGATGGAGGGGGACGTTCGCATCATCCACATTCCTTATGAGAAAAAGGTCAAGCTGCCTGGCTATCTATATCTTCCCTTGGCGAACAAACGCGTGACAGAGAAGGTCCCTGTTTTGATCAACATTGGCGGTGGCGACTCTACACAAGAGGAACTCTATTTTATTAATCCTGTTGCAGGCGTCGAAATGGGTTATGCCGTCTTGACGTATGAAGGGCCTGGGCAAGGAATCGTGCTGCGACGCGAAGAGCTGACCATGCGACCTGACTGGGAAGTGGTAAACGGCAAAGTGCTCGACTTTTTGTATACCTACAGCAACGAGCATCCCGAATTGCAACTTGACCTCGATCGCGTCGCAGTGTGTGGCGCTTCAATGGGTGGCTATTATGCACTTCGAGCTGCCGCAGACCCTCGTGTCAAGGCCTGTGTGTCTATCGATCCATTCTACTGCATGTGGGACATAATGAAAGGCCGAATGCCTGAATTTTTAATTCACATGTTTGAAACCGATGGTGGTTTCGCACCTGATGGCTTTTTTAACGGTCTTGTGGGCTTCCTGCAATGGTCCAACTTCCAGGCCCGGTGGGAGTTCAATCATCTCAAGACAATCTTCGGCGTAGAGCAGCCGGCGGATGTTTTCCGCATGATGATGAGCTACACACTTAGCCGACCCGATGATCATGAATATCTCGAGCAGGTGCGCTGCCCAGTCTTCGTGACTGGAGCCGCAGCCGCCTTATATGCGAAACCAGAGTTCAGCACCGAGCGCATTTACAAGGCATTGGGTCATTTGAATGACGACCGAAAGTTCAAGTGGCTGGCGAATGACGCCGCCCAGGGAGGKCTACAAGCCAAGGTGGGAGCATTTGGATTGTCGGCTCACCGGACTTTCGCGTGGCTGGACCAACAATTCGGTATTGATCGTAAGATTGTGTTGAGCGATGTAGGTAGTCTTTCTAGCATTGATCAATGATCATTTTGTCTATGTCATTCACATTATAATGGCCTTCCGCTGTATCTAAGCCGCTTCTCATTGCAAGTACCAAGATGTCCAATACTTCCTTTCGCAATGAAGAAAGCTTAATATCTTGCATTATCTTTTCTTTTGAGAAATCCATATCATTAGTAGCATTTTGAACAAGTACTCGATACTGCTTTTCTTGACTGAAGTGAAAGTTCTGAAACCTAAATTGAGATTTGAGGACACATAAACATAACGTGAAGATCTAAATAGACTGCTCTAACCATTCCTCCTTTGCTTAAACATGCCCTTCGACCGCCTTCGCCATGTAAGGTTCCTCCAAATATGCCTCCTCTTGTTCCGTCAAAATCTTTCCTCTGGCTTGTAGCGCTTCTTCGATGCGCTTCACGCTAGTAAAGCCAATTACAGGAGCAGTGACTCGTTGGTTAAGCCATGCAAGAGCCACATCAGTCATATTCCATCCCCGACGGAAGGCTACAACGGCCACTCTATCAATTATTTCGCGGTCTGCAGAGGTTTGTCCGTAGCTGAAACGAGGATTTTTGAGATCATCGGCTGTCCGGGGAGATTTGCCAAACTGCTCGTAGGGGCAGGCGAGATGACCGGATGCCAAAGGGGCCCACTTGTAAGAAAGGTAGACTGAGTTAGTATGCTTGTATCTGCATAACTGCTTTATAGAAAAGGCAGACAGGAGGAAGCTGCTAAGACCACGAACCGGTAAAATTCCAATGCCATTATTCCGACAAAACTTGTTCATTTCTCTCTCCTCCTCCCGATATAATAGGTTATAATGGTTTTGCATACAGGTGATCTTCGTTAGGCCATTTCGTTCGGCGATGAATTGTAGGGTGGCCAGCTCATGTGCCCACATCGAACTAGCACCAATATAGTGGACTTTGCCCATTACGACGAGATCATGCAGGGCACGCATAGTCTCCTCCGGTGGAACATCCTTGTCGAAACGGTGGATCTGCAGTACATCGATGTAGTCCGTTTGAAGGCGGCGGAGAGACTCATTTACTTGAAGGAAGATAGACTTCCTTGAAAGGCCTACAGGTATATTAGTTCATTTCATAATTTCAGGTAAATAGTGGTAATCTGTCATGAAAACACCTACCATACTGATTCACATAATCTTTACTTCGCGCAGCCACCGGGGTCATGAACGCCAGGACATCATTCTCATTTCCTTCGTCAGCCATTATGCGGCCTACCTTAGTCATAATGACAACTTTTCTTCGCGGAATTTGGTATTTGCGCAAGGCGAAGCCGAGAAGTTCTTCGGAGCGGCCATTTGAGTAGACGTTGGCAGTGTCCCACTAATAATAATAAATGTTATATTACATCATCTTTTGAGAGGGAGTAGAAGAGACTTCCAGGGCTCTTTCGTACCGTGTTTATTCCTCGGTCAAACGCTGCCTTCAGCAGGGGGAGTGCCTGGAAACCATACAACCCATTAACATTTGATGGAACGAACGGGATATGAGGCAGATACTTATGCCTTCCATATAGTACAGGTAACATGATTTGACACGGCGCTATTAGAGCAAACGCAACAAAACAAAATACCTTGATTACCTATAAACGTACTTGCTCCTCATCAAGCACCCAATCCCACCAGTTGGAATTTCCAATCCCCATACAACCCATTATAGGGTTAGAGACAACTAAACCTCCAATCCGCTGGTATCGGACCTTTGTATCAGCGATTGACTGCTCGACTTCGACTGGTATGTTCTCGAATGGTGCCATTTTGAATATGATCTTGGATTTTCAGCCCAAGAATGGGTTATAGTAGAGACATGAGGCAAGAGCCGACAGACAAAGGAATTTCCATTATAGTGACTGGTAACTAGCTGTTCCGTTTTTAAGTCAAATAAATAATTTAGTAGACTTTCCTCAGCTCTGTTCTAATGGTTTACGACTTCGGTATATCCGATGTACCTCACTGACCACAGTTTCTTCACATCCGACCTTAAGGAATACTCGGCGGCGTTTCGGTGTCCCGGACCGGAGGTTCTTGCTAACGTCTAGACGTCTACCTTGGAATAGAGCCAGTAGATTATTAGAGACGGTCTTACATAAAAAATTCAAAGTCAACCTGTACAAGAATGGGCAATGGGTATGTTGCTCTAGGTACACTCTTCCACGTTTCGCACTGACTGGCACGTTCTAGATCGTATAATATTTGTCTCTTACTATAATTACAATTCTTAACCAGCTATCCGTATTTATTAATAGATTTCTGTGGCTTTCGAAATCCAGATTATCCTACCTTCCTGTTCCTACCGATATCATACCGCAGACTCTACAATTCGCATTTCCGCCTTCCACTACCCACCATACAATTCATATTCGTTTCGTTTTCTTGACCAAGCATCTCCTATTATCAGAGAACTTAAAACGTCAAAATCACGTGTTTAGGTGCAATGGGCTCCTTAAGATCACAGGACATGTCTGTGAAAACAGCTCTGTCGCAAAGTGATGGTCCAACAGAGGTTTGTGGTTCATTGAATCCCATGGTTACTCTCTCTCTCGCGTGTTGAGTCCTCCTGAACAAGACATAGATCCCCCTTCTGAAGAAGACGATCGGACAAGAGTTTGCGACCATTGTTGAGAGATTCCCAAACCGAGCCGCCATCAAGTCCGCCAACAAAGAGATCTCATACGTGGAACTGAATGAGATGAGTGATATTCTGGCCATAGCTCTTCTTAATTTAGAAGTCCGACCAGGCGACCGCGTTGCTGTCAGTTTGGGAAATTGCATTGAATATGCTGTGGTAAGTATGAGCCACAGTCTTATTTATTTTCTCATTAATCATGATACTAATACCATTGACCCAGATCGTCTACGCGTGCTTCAAGATAGGTGCTATTTTAGTTCCTCTAAACCCTGCATACACACCTTTGCAAACCATTTCAGCTCTGAATCATATTTCGGCGAGATGCTTTATAATCAGTGCGGAAATCACACTTCCTTACAAAGATCCTCAATCTACCAAGGAACTCCTCAACAAGATTATCTGCCCTGATCCAAACGTCTCAGCCAAGGTTTCCTCTCTCCGGGACATAATACTTATTGATAACTCTAGCGGACGGGTGGATATTACTTCGATGCCGGTTACTGCGGATTACTATGCCTTGTTACTTGCATACCGAGGGCAGCGTTTCCTCATCCAGCATCAGTTGCATGCAGACGACGTTATCAATATTCAGTTTACATCGGGAACGACATCCGCTCCCAAAGCGGCATGTCTGACCCATCGCAATATCTTGAACAATGGCTTCTTAGTCGGCGAAGGTATGGAGCTGTCCGAAAATGACATAATTTGCTGTCCGCCTCCGCTTTATCATTGTTTTGGGCTAGTGCTAGGGCTTTTGGCAGCTATGACACACGGTCAGTACTCTACAACAATGCTTGGATGAAATCATGACTTCTAAGCGATATACAGGGGCTGCCCTGCTGTTGCCTTCGGAAAGTTTCAATGCTAGAGCGGCTTTAAAATCAATCGCAGATCATCGTGCAACGGTTCTATATGGGGTGCCTACAATGTTTATAGCGGAATTAGATCTTTTGTCGGAGAAGTAAGTGATCTTATCTCGTATTATTTGCCGATGGGCTAAACTAGAGCTGTAAAAGCTAATAGTCACATATTCTCAGTCTTCTGCCAGCTTCCGCAATAAGAAAACTCCGCACTGGGGTCATCGGAGGCAGTTCTATCCCTCCAGCGCTGAGGATCCAACTACATGACAAGATGAACCTATCTGGCTTGACTAATTGCTATGGTCTCACGGAGGCTTCACCTATTGCATGCATGACGCGCATTGATGATCCTCTCGAATCGAAACTCGAGACAGTCGGCAAAGTGCTTCCACATACTTCCATCCGAATCACGGCCCGCGATGATCCTAATCAAATTCTCCCACGAGGTGAAAAGGGGGAGATCCAAATCGGGGGTTACTCAGTCATGAAAGGTTATTGGCGGGCTGAAGCCGAGACAAAAAAGGTGCTTGTCAAGGAGGATCATTTCTCTGTGCAAAATAAACATCGCGCCTCGTCTTCATCCGCATCTTATCCACGTTTCTGGCTACGTTCAGGTGACGAAGGTCTAATTGATCAAGACGGAAATATCAAAATCACAGGTCGCATCAAGGATATCATCATCCGTGGTGGAGAAAATATATACCCCGCCGAAATAGAGAACTGTCTCCTGAAACATGATCTCATTGGCAATGCTAGTGTTGTTGGATTACCAGATGCACGGTACGGAGAGGTCGTCGCAGCATTCATTGTGCCACAAGAGGGTGTCACGCCCATTGTCGAAGATCAAGACCAGACAGGGGACTTGCGCCTAGCGAAGGATGCGATTGACGGGCATCATACGAACAGCAACTTAGTACTCATCAATGCGGAAATAGTCCGACTCTGGATCCGTCAACATTTAAGCAAAATGCTGGCTCCGAAGTATGTTTTTTGGGTATCTCAACTGCCTCTTACAGCTAGTGGAAAGGTCGAAAAGTATAAATTGCGAGAGATGGGAGAACAATGGATGAGGCAGTGAATTACCGATATTGTGGATATATTCATTGTTTTTCTAGTCTTTTTTTTATTTCTATAAAATTCTGAAACGATATAGTAACTCAATCAGTCCATTATTATATGTTACCATTAGAAGATAGGCCATCAGCAGTTTGGCAAACCTGGATACTTGAACATGTTCAAGTATACCCGTTGGTATTTGCCTCTGAAGCATAATTTTGCTTGTTCGATCTTTCACTTTTCAAAACAGTTTTATCCAATTCGTACAAGGACTACGTAGGGTTTTTAGTGCTAGGGTTATGATAACCCTGGTATTCGGCGATAATTTTAAGGTCAACGCCGAATGCATCACCGAAGATGCCAATACCGACGAAAACTGCGTATTGAATATAGAATTTCTAATTATAAAAACTTCTTGTCTTTATGCTAATCCGTATAGTGGACGTATTTAGGGGGCAGATCTATACTTCGAATCAACATATATCCCAGGAAATCAACATTAAACCACAATAAAATAGCCGAGTGCAGAAACAAATTAAAAGTTTTAAACACCAATGATAAGAGTAGCCCGTAATAAAATGACATTTTGTCTTTCAACACATATCTAATCCTAAAAGTATTTGCTTATGCAGCATGCTCGTAGATAAAGCTAGTCAGTTTAATGTAACAGATAAGGCTATAGCATTGCTGTTGCTCTAAGAACTGATGCATTACACTCGCGTAGATCAGTGATCCCAGATAGACCCATAGTACGATCAAGATCAGTCAAAAGGCCTCGAAGGACCTCATGAGCACCGTGTTTTCCTGTGTTCATTAGCCATACATAGCAATAGGTGAGGGCATGACCTAGGAGAGCAACTTCTCACCTGCAATTGAGTAACCGGCAATGGTGGGCCTTCCAACTAAGACTCCTTTCGCCCCAAGACATAGAGCTTTAAGGATATCAGCGCCAGTACGCACGCCCGAGTCAAAGAGAACCGTCATTCGGTCCCCAACCGCGTCTACAATTAATGGTAGCATTGATAGTGAGCCAACTGCACCATCTAGTTGTCTTCCGCCATGGTTCGACACGATTATTCCATCACAACCCGCCTGCATAGCCAGTTTAGCATCGTCCGGGTGTTGGATGCCTTTGAGCACTATCGGGCCGGTCCAGTGTTCCCTCAAAAAAGGTATTTGATCCCTAAAATGCAACCTACTAAGCAAAGAGCGGTTGGGCATATGAGGCATTAGAGTTTGACAACTCACCAAGTATGAGGTACTCCAGATACAATTGTTTGAAGCCACTCACGACTAGCCAGAGGGATGTTATTTTCGACTTCTACTCCATGGACTCGTTTGAATTTCTCCCGGAAGACTGGATCAGAAAATGCAATTTGATTCCCTGCTCCATTGACCATTGGTAGATATCCAAGATCGAGATCAAGCGGTCTCCAAGCCGGAGTCCATGTATCCAAAGTCACCACTAAAACCTTGAAACCTGCCGATTGAGCACGCTGTAGCAAAGAAACTGTTATATCATCATCGCTTGGCCAATAGAGTTGGTACCATTGAGGACCATCACCACTCGCCTGTGACACCTCTTCTATTGAGCTCGTGGAGACTGTTGACAACACAAATGGGACACCAAGCTCAGCGCAAACCTCTGCGAGGCCAACTTCTTTATCTTGATGGAATATTGACTGGACACCAATCTTTGTACGGCTCAGTTCCTTAGCAATCGCGTTCAAAAACGCACCACCAACAGTTGTAAGACTTACAGGAGCTTGAATGAGTGGAGAGGCGTATGTCTCACCGAAAAGAGTCGTTTGCAACGTCCGCTTGGAGGTGTCTACCATCATCCGAGGAATAATCTATACGTGAACTCGCTTAGCGTGTCATTTACTCAATACCCAGTCAACTGATTCCCTTCCTCTGTTTTGATGAAAATATTCACATAAGAAGATGATCACACCTGCCATTGACGGAAAGCTGCTCTATTTGCCTCCTGGGTAGCTAACTCTCCTGCGCCTCCATGTACTATATCATCATAAGTCATTTGTGCACCCCACAAGCTTTCATTGGTACTTACAATATTGATACGACTTTAGACTGAGATGTTGTTTTGCCTGCTCCTCAACTCGAGAAGCATCGGTTGTCACTCGTGGGAAAACGCTATGGAACATGCCATTCTCATAGATTTCTCGTTGGTTACTTCGGTATACAGACAATAAATTCTCCAAATCTACAGGAGAGGACTTCATTGCTATAGCAGATTCGTATCGATCCTAAGCGTTTTCTTAGTTGCAGGGTATATGCTATACCGTCATGGATAAATTGGGGGTGGAATAAAAGTACGAGTTATTTTAGAAATATGTATGAGCTTCCCTTACCGGCGTCAATAGGCTATCCTTCTCTGAGAATGACGAGGGGTAGTATAGGGTTCTACTTGATCTACACCGGTTGACTGATGATTCTGCCGCCAAGGATGAGCCTCTTGTCGCTGTCATGGGTTTTTCGGAAGGGGCCAATATTGCTACCAGTCAGATCATTGATCAACAGAAACACCGTCACCGCCGACATGGTCATAATCTCAAGCATTTTATAGGGACGGACACTGATCGGCTTCCTTAACATGTTGACTTTCGCTTTGCCATTCCAACTTGCGCCGCAAATGACCCGCCATTTCTACTCAAAAATCACAAATTTTGATTCACTTAGGTGCCCCCTGGTATTGTGGTGAGTGCGTTATTCGGTGGTGTGCATTCTTCGGCGGTGTTTCGGCGATGTTTTTGATACCATTTATTTTCGGAAACTGATACCTTTTGATAAACTAACTCGATTGAGATAGGGACATAATTTTCTTGGGTGTCAGTCACACACATTAATATGTGATACATGGTGACCAGGCGTAAGAGCGTCAAGAAAATGTAAGCTACTAGCTACAGTATTATACCGATGATAGACCTAACATTTCTCTTATCGTAAGAGGTGTACACTGTGCTCCCCTTATCACCGAGCGACTTAATACCACCGAGTAGCACTGTAACCGTAATAAAACTGCCGAATAAAAGGCTCTATTTCGACTTCCTTTCCACAACTACCAAGTAAAAAATCCATTCTATATATATTTCGCTTTTCCACAGCGCGCTTGTTTCTATGGGACGTATATTTCAACTTCAATACCATGAGTGTACAACTCCGACTCCCACCTCTCGTTGCAGGAGATCATGAATGGCGTGTAAGTAAACATGACCCAGAAATCCTAGAACGGCGCGCTGTCGGCGCTGAAGTTCCAAATGGAACTGGAGAACTGACCAGAGCCGGTGCAAATGATCTCTATATCTGGGCTACGGTCCGATTTAAGGAACCCAGGACCACTCTGATTGCGTTGCGGGAGAAACTGAGAGAAGTCCTGATCCTTCTGCGATCTCAGCATCCGGAAATTGGATGCACCTATCGCTGGGATGGCGATAATAATCCTTTCATTCAGTATCGTTCGCTTAAGGATCTTCACGAAGCCGCATGTTGGGCGGATAATATTTTACATGTGCGAATTGGCACTGAAAACGGCTTGCATATCCGTGATCAAATCCAAGCAGAGAAGCAAGGAAACGAGGCCCCCAGGCCACTTGACATCTATCTCGTTGCCTCCATTCCTGATATCGACGCCAACTTGGGTAATACAAAAGTAGAATTGGTTTTCCGAACGAATCATCTGTCTTCTGATGGAATCAGCATCCGCCTTGTGGTGGGCGATATTCTCCGCACGTTAGGTTCGAGCACTTTAGTCGATGATATTCGGAACATCAGCTGGGGTGATGAGCATAAAAATCTGAGTCCGCCATTGTTGTCAATTCTCGGTGACAACCAGGCCACGAGTGGCCAGGATTTTGAATCGAGCAGTGCATCCTATATGGAATCGGTTCGTCGTATTATGGTTCGTGTCGTATCTGCCAATGCTTGCGCCGAATTTGTTCTAATAAAGACTCAAGAGCACTTGGAAGTTGAAGCCAAAAACTGGCCGCGCATCTCCACGTACCATCTTCCACGCCTTCTCTTTGGAGGAATCCGATCGTATGATCGGAGCCGTGAAAACGCGCATTGGGCGGACATTTTCTATTACTCATCTCGGCCATGCTGCAGTGCTCCTAGCTTTCCTAAAACATAATCCTCCAGCCGAAGACGTGCCGAATGACCAGTGCTGCGTGGTACGTAGCCCAATGAACGCTCGACGCTTCCTCCAAGAACAATATGCAAAAGAAGGGAAGGCGTACTACCCTATCTGTCTTGCGATGTCACCTATTGTGTATGACGACATCAAGTCTTATAACGTGCTAAATGCCACTCAAGATCAGATAATCGAGAAACTAGTGAAAGCGTGCAAGGTCACCAAGGAGACCTACGACAAGTGGCTGACGCTACCTTCATTGGTTCCACTTTCAGTCTCATTCTTTCACTTGGCTGCCTCTCTCATGATTTCGTAAGCTAGACGCTTCCTATTCTCGGGTCTGAAAAGTTGAAAGCGAATAAACAGCTTACCGCTCATCTTTAGAAATGCGACACCGCCGCCTACAAGCCCAGTCTGCTCTCCCTACAAGAACGTCACGACCTGGAAATCTTCTAACTTTTTCTACAGTTTTTCGTTAGTGATGGTATCAACGAGAAATACATACCGCAGGAGGTGAAGTCTGAAAACGAAGAGGTCTTCACAGTCCAAGACATCCGGTTCTTTACAAATATGTACTTGAATCTACTGTAAGTGATAGCCACCGTATCGCTTTACTGTGTACTATTCGCCTGACCTGAAGGATACTGGCAGAGTATTTCGACTAGAAAGCTGGAGGGGTCGATTGACATTGTCATTGAACTACAACGATGGAAACTATACCGAAGTCGAAGCGGCCAATTTTCTGCAGGATGTCGTCAATTTCATGCTAGCTATTTGTCAGTGAGTTGGACTAAAGCGATTAGACTCGTCTTTGGAAATTTCTCAAATCATTCGTAAACTCTTTCCCTCGGCTATGAAGGGAGACTCCTCGATCCCACTAAATTGATTTTTACTGTATCGCGAGCTGAGAATGATTAAAGAATAGAAAATCAATATAATTACGCTGAATAAGGAAGGTCTTGCAGTGGGAACCAAGGGACTTGAGTTCCGTCAAAGAAGCAGCAGAGGATGAGTGGATGTCAACGAGTTTATAGGGTATTGAGTAAAAGATCACTTAGAAAAGGCTTTAACACATTCTAGTCGAAAGCTCGATTGAAGTACAGCATAGCTCAATCCAGCTGACGACCTATTACTGATATCCAGGCTCTACTGTATTTCGCCCATCAACTTGTTATTTGATCGTCGTTCTCAGGTTTTAACTATGTGGAACGGTAGGGTTACAATTAACGGCTTAGGGCTAGAGCTCAATATTTTACGCTAGGCTAAATACGGAATAGTGCCTCTCCACGCAATGAGATTTAAGCTTCAGAAATCGGCGACGTCACTTTCCAGCCTGTACGTTTTCACGAACGCTTTTCAACCGACGACCATGAATTGACTACAAGCCCTTAAATTTACGCTATAGAAAACATACTGCTGTTAGGAATATCGGTCCGTGCTGGCACAATGCACTGATCTCCAAAGCAATGACTTCGAATCCTGAACAACTTCCAGATGATGGCACATTCTCCCTAATATCCTCACTCAGATTCGATCCCGACCTCCCCAGCGCCGCCAGCCTCTACGCGAAAGACTCCTATCCTGAACCGCGCGATTCTCCCTACTATCTCCTCCGCCACCACCAAGACCGCCTTCTCCAAGCCGCCACAAACTTCAAGTGGCCCCAAGCTGTCGCAATCCTGCAACAACCCCTAGACGCATTCGCCGAAACACTAGATACATTCATCCCAGACCGCAGCAAAGCATGGCGATTACGGATAGTGGTTGATACCGAAGGGCAAGTAACGGTTGACGTTCATCCCGCAACTGCCTGGCCGCTTCGATGCATGTTTCTGCCTACTTCGTTCAATGATTTGGAGTCTTTGAGTAGCTCATTTCCGTGGAGGTTGGTTGTTGATTCCATTGCGACTGCGCCATCGCAGTTGACGACGTACAAGACGACTGCGAGGGATCATTATGATGCTGCGAGGAAGAGGGTCGGGATCTTGTCTCCGACGGATTCTGTAGAGGCTTTACTATTCAACCCGCTGGGCGAGGTTATGGAGGGGAGTATAACGTGTTTATATTTCAGAAGACGGTCACATCATCAGCAATATGAAGAACAAGAAGAGAGTAGGACGGAATGGATCACGCCTCCGCTGAATAGTGGTGGCATGATTAGTGTAAGTAGACAGTATGCTTTGGATCATGGGTTTTGTGTTGAGCAAACCGTGCGAGTGGATGAGCTTGTAGATGGGGAGAGGTGTCTGATCAGTAATGGGGTTAGGGGTTTCATGCCAGCTATACTAGATTTGGGAAAGTTACAATGAGCCGCGATGCTCCGTTGAAAAGAATCCTTTCGCGCCGAATCCGGTTGGGAAGTTTTCATCAGCTTCAAATTCAAAAGAAATGAAAAATTCTCGGCGCGCTCCTGACCAGTGGATGCATTGAGCCGCTAACTGAAAAGCCCTTTTGAATTCGGCTGACGAACGACATACTATATTTCGGACAATCAGTCAATACTGCCAACTGCTGGAGTACCCTGTTCTAGACGGACATCATTCACATCAAAACCGTCAAGTAGGATCAGTCCAAAGAGTCCAATTTCTTCTTGGGGAATTCAAACACTCCATAATCACTTTCCAAAACTACACAGTAGCAATCACAAGTGGAAGCAGTTGAATCCTCAAAGACAGGCGTGGCATCGTCTCCTTGAGTTTTGCTTCGAAGTGAAGCACGTTGGATTTTCGCAGATGCTTATAGATAGAGACATTACTACGCTTAAGGGAGATACAAGGACTTAATCACAATTTTATAAAGTAGAGTAATCATCGAGTGAAATCATACAAATATACACTTGAGAAACCAAATCCAATTGATCACTCCGCCTCAAAAGTCTCCTTGCTCCATCCATACAACATTTTCAACCGAAGCGCAAGAAGAAGCAACCTATCTCCATGAATGACGGATCGATACGGACGATGAATAGTAAAGAACGTGGGCACATCAGAAGCCTCGCCAGGCACAAAGGTATACAAAGACCCAAGACTAGGCAAGATTGAGAACCCGGCTTCTTTCATGGCGGTGCCAAAGTCGAGCCATTTGACGGAGTATTCTGGTCCTGGCTGGGAGCCGGAGTCTGCTTCGGATTCTTCCAGAGCGGAGAAGATTGTAGAGAAGGCCTGTAACGTTCTAGGGGAAACTTTGAAGGTTCCTGGGGTTATATCCTCGTCCGTGTCGGAATGGGTGGAAGTCTCTGGTTTAGCTGTGTGGTTTGAATCCAATTTGATGTATTCAGATGGAAATATTTCAGGTTCGTCAGCTGGATCTGAGTCGGACAAGCCCAGCCCAGCAAGCACCTCCATAATAGTCGAGGTCGACAATTGGACATATGGACCTGGCCCAATGAACAGTTCGTCTTCGGTGGTTGTCGCCTCTAGAGACTTTTCAAGGCTGGCGTGCAGTGCGTCTGCAGATAGTTCCGGTTCCTCAGCCGGCTCCTGCTCGACCTCGCCCGTCTCAGACTTAGTAGGCGTATTCGGTCGAGCAGACGGTCCTGGGCTGCCGGATGATTTCGACTTAGCAGTTGTGGAAAGCACCTCAGATGCGTCAACTCTAACAGAGGCATCCACTTGAGAGAAAATATCCGATTCTGCAGGCATTTGCGCGTGGAACGACATTTCGAGATCAGTTCTAGTTGATGATTTCAGCGAGGCGGATTTCGATGGTTCTTTGGGTACTGGTGATTCGATACGTGGTATATCTTCAGGAGTTGTTGGTTGCTTTTGCAAGCAATCGAATGCTTCTGCTTCAGAGGGTGGTGAATAATAAGTAGGAACATCTTGGTCAGTCGATGTCTCAAATTCGTTGGATGTGTCCGGCCAAACAGAAGATTCTGGGTTTGCAGAATTTCCCCACTCAGTAGTTGTCTTGAAATCATTGAAATCAGTCGCAACTTTTGATTTGGTTTTAAAGAACAATGCCAATTTCCGACTCAGACTTGCAAGAGATGGATCGTAGGACAGAGCCAGGTCGGCATGTATTCCTTGACGCTGAGTTGTCGAACCGTAAGGCTCCGCCGATTTTGTGGACGAACACTTGCCCTTCGCCTTTTTCGGTCCCTTTACTTCCTGCAATTGAACCTCGAGATCTTCGAGAAACTCTTTGTTGAGATTCTGGTATAAAGCAATCATGGAGCCGCCTGCGTAATATTCGCTGAATCGATCCACAATGCTCAAGGCTTCTACAGTCGTGTCGGGATGTTTGAGATCATCGAGGAAAATGGGGAATCTACGAAGACTGGTATGTATCTTCAAAGGATCAAGCCTAGCCATGACCTCTTTTAACTTTGAAATGTATGTCAATCCCTTCTTGGCGCTAGCTGAGGGCAGTTCAAGCGACACGATCAATGTGTTGACAAGATTGATCGTCAGAGAAACTTCACCATACGCCTCGAACTCCCATTCTTCCAATTTGTCTCGCTCGAGAGGCTGATTGTGATGCAGCTGGGCTATCATGTTGTTCCAATGCACTGCTTGAATTGGACCGTTCTCAGGCTGACAAAGACGGAGAATGTAGTGTAGTTGCGGTTCTTCTTTGACTAAACGATCCGGTATGGACTTCAACACAACACGTGGCGTACCATTGTCAAATACCTTTGCGAGTCGTTTGAAATGTTTGGAGCCGCTGCCAATCTGGGCAAAGCGCTTAAAATCCTTCCGAACCCGATCATACTCGTAGTGACAGATATTCGAAATTTCTTGCAGGATGATATCTTGTTGAATGTCTTCTGACGGTTCGATGCGGATCTGACACAGAGCAGAAATAATATCCCAGATGGCAATGCCCATGACGGTGTTGTGAATTATCTCGAAGATAGCACAGCTGACATACTCGTCAGATGTAAAAGGCATACGTCGGCCCTTCTCGTCTGGGACAAGGTCCGGTCTAGTCGAGTACCAAAGATTGACTGCATTTGCAAGATAATCAGGATTTGAGCGATAGAGATCCCACTGCGCTTCGAAAGACATCTTTCGATCTACAGCAGCAGTGATAAGATCCTGCACACAGATTGGCTGTGGATTCTTCTTGTCGGGAAAAGCTGAGAAAGCAATCCGTGCTTCCTCTTCCGGCGTTATGTATTCTTTAACCCCGTCGTCAATAATGGAGCCAAGTCTTAGAATGTTGTCGACCAAAACACAGATATGCTGGAAAAGATAGCACTGCCGCTCCAAAATGAGTTCCCCAACGCCTCGAGGGACCACCATCCCCGCTTTGATAGCCGGCGCAAGTTCAGCAAGGATCTTCTTGTTGATTTCCTCGCCATTGATTTTGAAAACATCCCCGTATTTGTCTTCATCCAAGAAAAGCATAGACTCGTTCCCGACGTCATGAATAGACCGTACATCGTTGACGCGCATGCTCTCTGCGACAAATTGATGATCGCCCTTTGCACCTTTGAGGCCTATACGGTATTGGTACATTAGGCCTGTGACAGCGCGGAACTCGAAATGATTCAGGAAATAATCTGACGAGCCTTTGATGTCACGAACATTCATCTCAGGATACAATGCGAAAGCTCGGAACATCGATCTATCTTTGGGATCCTTTAGAACCTGGCCTTGTTTCACTCCGGCCCGGAAAACCGCCTCGCGTTGGCTTGGTGCAAAAAAACGCCAAAGGTCCGCGACTCGATCGCTATGAGTCGCCCATTTCTGTTGCAGCTCGGCGTGTTTTGACTGGAGATATACAGCTGTGCCGAATGTGTTGGCGTTCGTGGGTTTGACGAAGGTCACGACCATTGTTCGAATATCCCGATTTGAAGAGTGGTCCATGGAGTGATGAGACTTCAGTTAGCCAGGCAGGATGTGTGTGATGTTGTAGATTTCATGATATTAGTAGTGATTGAGTTGATAGTTCTTCTACCTATTATTTATCCATACTTGTTGGCATTCTAACCATTCCAAATCACCGCCTACGTGACGAATTATCAGGCGTGTTAGGTATAATTTGGCTAGTGATCTCATGAGTAACGGTGAAATCCGTCCTTTGCAGCTTTTTGTTCTGACTGCCATTATGATTAGTGTAGCCCTCCTGTCGTTCATCTGTTCTTGGGTGGTTGTCATGGGTGATTCTGTAATGAGCGAGATAAGATGTTCATGTCTATTATAATTGAAGGTGCCCTCCTGTGGCTCTTAGCAACTGCTATTGCTTGGGTTCTGCTCTAGTTATCCCTCAACTGTCGTTTGAAGATTGTTGTTGTCATAGCCCTACAATAGATAGCGGTCGGGAATGAGCGTGACTTAGAATGCGGAGATAAATAAGCTGGAGAAAGCATTGGCCAATAGGACCGCGTGGAGGTCTCCTGATCCACGTGAGTGACACACTAGCCCCAGACAGGAAAGGCCAGCAAAAAGAAGCACGAGCCCAAAAGCCCTTTTCGCCATCTACCAGAACCTCACTCGATACTACTCCATCATCTTCATCCCTCCATTCATCATCATTGTACTACTCCGTTAAACTTCCACCAACTCCTTGATCGGATATATTCTTGTACGACACCGAGGGGACTATGAGACACTGCTAGTCGATGATTGTCTAAACAAGCCCTCACCACGAACAATTGTAGTAGCAGCTACGAACGATCCGTCAATCAATGCTAACATGAAATTCTTCGAACTCGTTTCCACCTACGACTMCTCCTTCCCCGCCGTTTCTCTTGCGTATTTCCTCCGCTACCCGAATCCCTACTCGAAACATGTTTTGACATCCGATGTCATTGATCGCTATGTCGATCCGGAAACCCACCGCCTACACACGATACGATTGCACCTCAAAAAATCTAAGATTCCATCTACACTATTGAAGCTTCTGCCCAAGGGCATTGGCGGAAGCGAAAATTCGGGTCAATCGTATATCCTCGAGACGACCGTGGTTGATGCGAAGGAAGGATGGATGAAAACCGAGTCGAGGAACATGGAATGGACTGGAATTCTAAGTGTCGTTGAGAAACAGCACTATGAACGCGAAATGCCCCCCGAGGGTGAGAAGGTGAACGTACGAACTACTGTTACCTTCGTCTCTCGATTGGGTCAGTCGAAACTGCTTAGCCGATCCCGGAAAACAGCAGAGGATTCTTCGGAAGTTGACGAAGAGGCGCCCAAAAGAGGTATCTTTTCGTCACTGTCTACTGCGGGTATACAGCGGACAATCGAGCTTATCGGTGTCACTCGTACCCGAGATGCCATCCTCCGAAGCAAGGATGGCATGAATGTTGTCCTCGAGCGCCTCCGAAATGGCGGCATTGTCGCTGTTCTGGAAGGAATGCGCCGTGATCGCGAAGGTCTCCCTTCTACAATCGCAGCTGGAGGCCCCATGCGTTCAGATAGTACCACCATGTGGCGCCAGGCTTGGTTGGGAGGGTCCAACAAAGCCAATGACTCGACCCATGTTGAAGACGACGATGACTGAACGATAAGCATTCAACCACCAAACCGATGTTTTGAAACAACCCGAATCCTTACCATTGGAACATCTCGACTCCTCTTTTTGTGTTATTGCATTGCTTTTTTTTTCTCGGTCAATAGCGCGGCGTTATGGAGTCTACTTTCATTTTCGGGGAGGCTTCCCCACTTCTTCCAGACGAGTCTTCAATAACCGAAGTCTCGAAATGGTGTATCAACGATTACTTTTCTTCTCCCTTCTCCTTCATACAGTCCGGCAAATATACGTGCATCCACGATTTGTCGCGACCATTATTTTCTTCATGAGCAAAAACAGCATTGTCAGCGATTTATCAAACACATTTTTATCACCGCGATTTCGTCATTGTGGTGAACGGAGTCTCCCATGATTTTTCTGCTCACTGTATCACGTCAGTTTACTCTTCATTTGTATATCAGGGATGGGGCGACAGGAAGGGCAAATTGACAGGGAGGATTTACAATTAGTCGGAATGAGTGAACGATGGAGTTCATTTGAGACTACATGTCAACAACGGGGCTTTCGATGACCCCTTCATTAGTTGAAATTTATGTATGAGTACCTAGTGAGCTTTTGAGTGAATGTCAGAGTCGATTGATTTCATCATAATATCATCAAAGCATGTTTCCCATCTATTTTAAATAACCTTAAGCACTTTTCTGGTCCGAGCCGAGTCTTGTATCAACCTGGATAGGCTCAAAGACGATGCAATCCAACTCCAAAACGCCCTCTGATAACATTCAGAGTAAATGCCCATCTCTCCCTCTCCTAAATCGAGCAACGGTTCCCTCACCAGGGTCATATTTTTGGAATGCAAATTCCAAAACACAAGTCGACATTGCTCACTCATTCCGCATTGAACCGCTGGTGTAGCCAATAATCAGGATTATCATCCTCGCTATCTTCACCATTCGCTATAGGCTCATACTCGAAGGAAGCGAGCCCGACTTTTTTGCTACCAACTCGAGCGACAAATTCAACGGTCATGAAGTCTCTAATCACCTGACCGATCTCAACCTTCACTGATTCGGTTTCGTTCGAGCTTCCGGGAATATAGCTGATCGATGCCTGTTTTTTTCTCTTAGAAACCCTACCAAGGTCTGAGAGGTCGATTGGTAGATGACCAAGTCGTCTGACTCCTATCGAGATTTAGTTAGACGTTATGATAGATATTAAGAATGGACGAATAAATTATGCTTACCCTTGGCAGACTTCCAGACTGGGGCGTCGACGTTGTCGCTCTGGTAGATTTCAATGACCCCCTGATATCCGAATTTGCCGCCAACATGTAGAGTGGCATTCTTGAGCCATCGATACTGTTCACGTGAGAGCAACTTCTCGTTCTAAAGATAAAATATTATTAATCATAGGTAGTCTTTTGCATAGCACCGTGTCTTACTCTTTTAACGTGCCAGAACATCTTCTGGACCATAGTTCCAAGTTCCGGGTGTTCCGTAGCATCCTCTTCTCCATGCTCGTCTTCAATAAAGGGTTCTAGTAGCACTGTACCATAACTTCGTCTGGCTCGTCGACTTGAAATGAAGCTTTTGCCAGATTCGCGCATAGCCGCGCCGCAACAAATTGCGGACCATGGAGTAGGGGGTACGATGACCTGGGCGCAGGGGATGAATTCCTGACAAAAAGTTTTGAGTTGAGACTGAATATACTTGGACTCAGCCAGTCCTCCGCAGAGAAGAATTGCCTAGGAAGCAGATTAGAGAGCCAGCATGAGATCTTGAGATGGGTCTGGCTAACGGATATTGGAAATTCATTTTCAGCCTTAGTTCTGACGGCTTGTTCTTTGATGAGTCCTATCACATTTTCGAGAACAGGTTTGAATAATTCCGCCAAGTCCGTGCTGCAAAATTGAATATCAGTAAACCATCTCTTCATTCTTCAACTGAGATTACCTTGTTAAGATGACTTCAGCATCGTCTGCATCATAGTATTCACTGGTTTCCAGATCCATAACTAGTGGCAGGACATCAGTGTCCGTATCCATATCAAAGCGTCGTTTCAAGCTCTCAAACTCATTCATAAAAACACTTTTTGGCCCTATGAACTTCGATGGTTTGGTCGTGTATGTGCCTCCGAAGCGCTCCTCCATCATCTTCTGAAAATGTCGATCAATTGTACTTGAGCCACACTTAGCGCCTTGGGGAGAAGAAAGAAGAATTAACCTCTTAGAAGTGTTCCAGATGTATGTAAAAACATATTTCAGACTTACCGGATCCCACACATGCCTCTGCAACGCTGAACGGTTTCAGCTGTTTGATTGTGTAGGTGATGAGGTCCTATATCCCACATTAGTCTAGCTTCCAGATGAAGAGTAGCCAAGGTGCCACATGTATACATACAACGGTTCCTCCGCCCATGTCAACAATCATAACGTTTGTATCAAGCTGGTCAGACTGGGTCAGCATCAGTTGATGTGTATCTCAGGGGTCAAGCAGGCAAGAACGGGCAAACCTGGAATATGCGGCCACTTTCAAGAGTAGAATCATACGAATGAAATGCAGCTAATGCGGCTGCTTCAGGCTCCGCTATCAATGATATCGTATCACCCTCTCGTTGAGTGAATCCTGCCTCTTCGGCACAGGATTTGATATTACGACCCCCCTTTTCGTCCAACCATCCCGCTGGAACGGCAAGAACAAAATGAAAGGCAAGCAGTTCGAAAGTCGGTTCTCCTACTCGCGTTTTTATTTTTGCCATCATATGCTCGTAGAAAACGCGTAGGTAGTCCGTTGTAAGATCCCTGTAAGACATGTTATCAGGGCATTTGATTGAACCTAATCCTTCATATAAAAGCTCATCATCGAATTCTTCTTGGATCTGATTATTTCCAAGTCCTAATTTGAACCATGTATAGGTATGTTCGGAGGACTTTGTTCCGTAGCCCCATGCCGTGACTTTCCGTTGTGAAGGGTTTCTCATGTTGTATGAAATCATCGATGGGACTTTCTCTTGGTGTCCTGCGCAGTTTGGCCAGCTCTTATTAACGACGACATCGTTGTATTTTGTTCCGGCCATTGCAGTAGCAAATCCTAAAGGCATTGTTAGTGATCTGTATCTCAGTAAATTGGAAGTACATACCAGAGTACGTGGTGCCGAAATCAACCCCGATAACCATTATCGCTTTGTCCGACTTTGGTTTTGGATCTTCTGCGAGATTTGAAAATCAATGTCAACAATCTTGTCGACTAGACGCATCTTGTCTGGAGTGATGTACGATCTCATTATACGTACTTTGCTTAGTATTGGGTCTGAGACTCGGGAACTTCGTAGTCTTTCTGCGTTTATTGGGTTGAATAATTGGGGGACCTGCGAAGGTTCGCAATGAAGTCAGTAAGCGCGCACCGAATGTTCAAATCTTCTATTAGTACCTACCCATCTCCTCTGCTTTGTCTGTATTTGTCAGATAAAACACTTTTGTTTCGGCCATCCTGAGGTCGCATTAAGGATCCACCCTGTATGCTAATGAGAGGCCGTAAAACGTAGGTGAAGGATTTGAATATGGAAGGAGGTTTCAAGGCGAGCCCAATCAAGAAACAATGTAAAGTCCTTCGTCCGAGTCAAATGCTTGGAGCAAAGGTTGCTTCGATTCACGAGTGACAGATATAGAGACTGTAGTATTGGTCAGAGAAAGGTACAGAGAGATATCGTAATGAAAACTCACCTTTAGTGAATAACGCAGCCAGATAAATGAAGTGCAAATGACGATACATGTAGAAGCTTGTAGTAAGCTTAATCAATGAAAATCGGGAAATCGACTGAGAGAAAGGTTAAATATGAGCAGGATGGAATGAGAGAAATGAAGCCAAAGAAAGATCAATTGTTCTAGATGTCAAGATATTGAGAAGAGATCGGTATATGGTGAGAGAAGATCCTTTTTCAAATGATATGAGATTTTCTGAAGCTTAGAAAGATCGCTGAAGAGATAAAAAGAAAAAGGGTGCAAAGACAGGGCAAGAGAGTAGATGGTTGAAGTGAGATGAATAAATCTCATCTGATAGGGATTGGCGATTGTTGTATGATAGGAAAAGAAAAGAACATGGACAAGTCAGTTTCAGTGAACGAAAGGAAGGAGGGCGAAAACAAATGGAAAGAGATTGACAGAGTTGATCCAAATCTGAGAAGGTCTCGAGTCTAGAAGAAGAGAATGTAATTGAAAAGATGGTACACCGAGTTCTGTCAAGGAAAGAGTGCAGGGAAATGAGGTGGTCTTGACGGAAGTGATCTCGTACGGCGAAATTCAACTCTCGAGATGTCGTAGAAATCAGGCAGAATGGAAAGAACGACACCATAGATGATAGAGATGGTGAAGTAAGAGGTGATACTTAGGTGTAGTTTGCAAATGTGAGAATATGGAAGGAACAGTCTCACATGAAAAATGCGAGCTTAGAAAGAGTACCCGTGAGGGCAGCCCTGCCTGCTAAATTAGGAAATGAACACAAGTTTCTTTTCCTACCTGGGTTTTTTGGAAAATGAGCTCTGGAAGTAAACCGCTGCGTGGGCGAGTCACGTCGACTTGTAGCGAGCGCGAGAGTGAGGCGTATATTTAGGTAAGTGCAATCACTTGTTAGATCTCTCCGTGCGCTCGTTACTCGAAGATAATTTTCCAATACGGTTGGTTTTGCAAACCTGTGGTTCTGCTCGTGTGTGCGCCTTGGACTCAGCATCAATATTCATCGATCCATAAATGTAATAACCTTGGTAGGATCTCATGTTTATGCCTCTGAGCAGAAGAATTGTGTAGGAGAAAGAGCAAGTTCAAGACAGAATATATATAAACGGTATCTAAAACAATTTGCCAATAACATGAGCATATTAGGGCGTGCATTGAAGTAGTGTCTCGATGCCATTCAATAACCAGTCGGTTATCCTCCCTAAGACAATTCTTTATTTCCTTGTGCGATGCATGATTGATGAGTCGAGTGTCTTCAAATGGTCATAATGGCGAAAGGCTGAGTTTTCACCTCTACGAGATTCCTACACGAGGTGCGATGCAGATATATATACAACCACCAACTCAAATGTGCCCCCGGCTATTTCCACCAGACCCTGTAAAAATTATAGATTCATTATGATTATCACAACTGTCTTTGGAGCAAAAATGAATCAACACTTCCCTCAGAATCCAAAAGGTGGTACGGCTGGCGAAATGGACCAAAAATAAAAAAAAAAGGATTTGCAAGGTCCTATTGGGAATCGAACCCAAATTTGCGACATCAGAAATCACCGTGCTAACCATTACACTATAGAACCGATATTGCCTTTGGACCTTTATTTAGTAATATATTGTATCCAAAATTTATTTCACGGTTCTGTCCTCCTAATCTATATCTACGTATTAAGTTCTACAAGATAACAAGCTAGAAATATCGCACAAGGGTTGCTCTCGTACATAGACTGAAATTTTGGATATTGTTCGACGGGTCGGGAGACTGAACGCAGCCGTCGTGCCAGAAATAACCCTAAAGCCATTATCGAGAGCTACTTTTATATCCCTCTTTTACATCATATTTGCTTGATAATATGTCCATGCCCCTATTATTATTTATTCTACTTTGCCTAGAGCAGTACATACCATCGACCACAGTCGATCACACTCTGCCGACACCTTACGAACCTCTGCCAGCCTCTCCACCAGCCACTCCCGATGAACAGGATCCCGCGTTTCAACAGCAGCCATAAAATAACACCAAACCACGCGACTCTGTTTCGGAAGATCGCTGTTTAGTTTGTGACGGTAGTACAGAAGCTTGATCAGGTTAGACATAGCTTCTTGATAAAGACCGTATTGCGGGGTTGAGGAAGGGTGGTGATGCTCGTTGAGCGTGCGGTTATGGAAGAGTATACTAGCCCAGTAGAAGGCTGCGAACCGTGTGAGTATTTCGGTGTTGGATGTCCATCGGTCTTGACTTTTGGTGGCTTCATCGGCTTTATTCAGGACGTCTCGATATTTCTGAACAATGCAGTATCAGGAGCCGTAGATTGATGGAAGAATGAAGGCAATCCTTACCTCCCGCAGATTTAGAAGATGGTCTAGTATGGACGAGGAAGGCACAATGTTGTCCGCATCGGAAAGCTTGCCTGTTGACTTCAAGTCCCAAATGGTGAAACGCGTCAACATCACTTGCCATCCCAGCTCGACTGCTCTGTACAATTCATCCTCAGCGAGCAGATCATCGTGTGGCAGGGATTGCCCCCAAAGCCAACGGTCTCCAAGTCGGGATAATCTAAGAAGGCGTGCGGTGTTTAGCGCTGGGTTATCGGAGCTGAGGACCAATTTGAGAAGGGATGAAGATGCTCCAAAGACTGTGGTGGCTGCGATATCGAGATATCTATATCTTTGTCAGATGCAATACCATTTCACGTTGGACGCAATGCCCAGGGTTTACAGACAGTGCCCAGCCAATTAACTGGCAAGATAAAACCAATTGAGGAGTAGAATCCAACTGCCCACGGTTTGCTTGTCGCCCTTCAAACATGGAATGACTACTCATCAATGCCCAGAATCCTCGCAGGTGGATTTGCATGCGATCAATCGAGCCCGTAAATTGGAGTTCATAGTGAATCATGAAAATCAAAGCAGCCAGCTTCGCATCAATCTGGTCTCCTTGTGTTGGTGTCGAGATATCCTCCATAAGCTCCTGAAGGGCTTGTGTGTAGTATATTAGACCCTCATCGATTCCACGCCTCGCTAGTGAATTATTGTTATCCAGCAACCCGCTTTTGTGCATCTCACTAGCAGACAAGGCAAGAATCATCCTCGTGACCAGTTTGCTTCGAGGAGCTATTATCCTGACGAGATATTGAAGAGCGCCATACTCAAAGAAATCATAAAGACCATAAACGGCAGATGACGAAAAGTATTCCATGGAAATACAGTCCTGTCGCGATAGGATCAGAGAATTGGCACATGCTATATGCCGATCTGTCAGGGCAGGTTGTATTGAATTATTTTTCCTCTTCGCAGGAATAAGTCTCAAGGGCTCATTAGTATGTGGCCATTCACAGGAAAAGCCATGCCTGATACATTGCTTGCATTTCAGCCGTGTTTCGTCGCATTTGATTTTACGTTTTCGACACGTAAGACAGCCTATGCTTGTTAGCGACATACACAGTGTATTACATGTATACTGACCTGTCCTCGATCTTTCCCGTTTTCCGACCATTATCATACGTATTCTCTTAATTTACACGATATGTCTTCCGGAAATCGTGACTCGTACCAACTGTTCGCATCGAGGTCTGGCGGAGATGTGGATCCTAAATCGTTAGCTCCGTGCCTAGCCCTAAACCAAGGCAAGTTGACTAACCATCGATGACTCACAGGCATATTTCTAAGCAGTAAGTTAAGCACATATGTACCTAGACCCAGTGATACTAAAATAGCCCTCAGCTTACAATAAAGCAAAGAATCTTTTCGGATTGGTTCAATGATAGCGAAACTTAAAAAGCGATTTATGTATCGCTAGAACAGGCGCTATTATGGAAACGATTATGAAAAACCATCGCAAGAACAGCTTATTGGCACAATCTTCCCCATAACAGTGATATGACGAGCACTAATTCTAGGTGTGTGAAAAAATAGATCCCTTGATGGTATCTAGGCATACCATCGCGTTGCAGCCTAATTTAGCCCCTTGGCGGAAGGGCTGAACACTTCACGAAGACTATAGCTGCCATTCTCCCTTCATCATGCTTCTTGCCTGGCCACGAGACTGGTAGCTACACACAAGAAAGAAAATTGTAGATCCCGCATATCAACTATGAAACTCGGAGATCTCCCGCGTGAGCTGATTCTCATGATCTTGGAGCACTTGGCAAACTCCATCGGACTACTCAAAGCAGTACGGCTACGGGTAGTCAGTAAGATGTTCAACGATATCATTACATACATAGTCTCATCGCCTGACTACATGCGTAAAAGCTTGAGATCCCAACATTACAACCGTTATGCAGAAATGTCTGCTAGTCTTCGAGCCAGGATTCTTCTGTCCGGCTCGTACTCTGTCGCTAGGTGCCGAACACGCACCTTTCTCGCCATCTCCTACGTTTCCACACGACTAGCTGAGTTGACTAGGGCAAATAATGATCAGGCTGTGAGAATTAGGAAGAAAATAGCCCTAGCAGCCGCGCAGTCTGGAAATCCCGAGTATCACGACCTCTACAAAGACGACACTATCAAAGGCGAGAAAACGCAGCGACAGAACCTCGTTTCTGGAGCAATCATTATGGGGGATCTGCCTCTTACGATCTACCTTTTCAAGGAGTTTGGCGAGTCTGTCGGAGTGAATAAAAAAAGCGAATATTTCGGACGTCCGCTGCACTTAGCCGCAGCATGGGGACATATGGAAATTGTCCAGTATCTTCTCAGTAACGGTGCAGACGCTCTCCGAATTGTTGCTATGACGAAAAATGATTTTGATCATTGCAGTGATATCCACCATGTCTATCTTTGGTCACGTCACGTAGATCGAAGTCCTGACGGGAGTCCATTGCGTGCGGCGGTACTTTCCGGGCATGAAGACATTGTGCAACTCTTTTTGCAGCCAGAGTATAACATATGGCCAAAATTCCGCCCAGAATACTATAGAGCAATCCTAGCTGCTACGCGTAGTGGACACGAACGGATACTAGACATGCTCTTTGATGCCGCGGATCTCGATCTCGACAAGATAGGCAAATTCAAGAGCCAAATGCTCATTGAAGCTGTTCGCCACGACAGGAGAAATATCGTGCATCGACTTCTCGAGGCAGGGACAGATATTAATTTTGCCCCAAGATACCTCCTGCCGCGACGATTGCACGGTACGGCTCTGCACATTGCTGCTGCTCATAACCGGACTGCCATGATCAGACTTCTACTAAATGCCGGTTCTTCAACTGAAATAATGGAGAGAGGAGATGCAAAATGCTTCACTCCTATCGAAACGGCTGCACAATACGGTCATACAGAAAGCGTCTCCATATTCATTGAGTATGGAGGCAACCCGAACCTCGTGTTTTACGCTGCCACGTATGGAAGCCAACTCCATTTAATGCGTTTCCTAATTCAGCAAGGCCTGGTAGACCTTCATAAACCAACTTCTGATTGTAGATGTGACCACTGGACTCCCGGCAGAGAGGCTATGGCGCAGGCGATTATGGCTCATAATCCAACTACTATAAGATGGCTCTTGGCTAAGGGCGTGCCCATTGGCATGGCACCCGATGAGGCCCCTCATGAGGTCCGATATTCTCGGTTTCTTTACCCCAAGTTACTTCCCTGGATCAAAGAGTTCGTGCTCAGTTTAACAGAGGGTAGGGATCCCAGGTACAATTATTGGAATTCATATGGCTTTGCGCCTGAGAGTCGATTTGGGATTCATATTGGGGAGGACACTTGGGAATGGTTTGGCAAGTATTGACCCCCCATTACCTCCAATACGACGGACAGTAAGCTCGCTATGAACTTACGATACCTAATTCTAGGGTGGGAAACTTGGCAGAGGCCTGTAGGTATTACGAATACACGTAATCAAAAGCTCTGAATTTGAGTCCCAGCCCGGGCATGGGAATTTCCCATGGACAAGGTTCTATGGGCATTGTTAGACCTCTGCAAGTCCCATGGGATCTTGCCAAGAAAATTTGTAATCTTATCCTTGTCGCTATGAAGCTAGATTCACATCAACCACTATCCACCTACGGATAGCATGCTTGCTGCCGATTTTTGGTCGTGGATGTATCGAATTTCCAAAGCCGGCGTTCCCTTCCTGGATTTACTGCCAAGTAGCCTGAGTTTAGACTCTTTGATCGACAGGATTGAAATAACAGATCCTCAGCATCTCGGTATTGCTAGCCAGCGAAGAATTTTTTCTCAGATTTGCTTTTTTATTTCCGCTGTAAGGTGAACTCCACTACCTACTGTCTCGTAACCCTCCTTACAATATCGGATCCAACCCGGTGTTACAAAACGTGTCAACCTACAGGCCATTTTTTAATGGAAATATGAATACAAGCAGATTTCTTACAGTATACGATTCAGACTTCGTAGTATGAAAATTAAGACTGTATGTAAACCTATCGGATCAATTTCTCATACAACAGCACTTGTAGAAGGATAGCAATAGGAATAAGTCTTTATCGGCCTAATACCTACAAATTATCGGTCTTGAATATTTGACCTAATTCCTAAAATTGGCATTGGCGGTATGTCGATGTGACCCATCATGACCAAGATCTCTTGGGTATCCATCGGGACGCTTGGGTGTCTAGAAAGCCCTTTTTCGCATTAATTTCGCCATTGGCAGGTTCAGGCTGTTGCTTGGAGTCATGATTCCGATTTCCAGTCCTTTGGAGCTTTTGTTCCAACTTTTTGATCGCCCATTGCAATTTTGCTTCTGTGGCAAAATTAATCGGTGACTTTTTGTCTTTTGCCTCGACTGACGGGTCTGCTCCTGCCGATAGCAGAATATCGAGAAGTCGTTCCCGTGACCCCTGGATGTCAAGTTCCGATGTAAGCTGCGACTGATGTTCTGTTTGCAGTGCTGCCGCCGTAAGAAATACAAGTAAGGGTGTTTTGCCGTCCATATCCTGCGCATTAACGTCACTATTAGAATCGATCAGTAGCTGTGTGATTGCCTCAGCATTCGTCCTCGCCACTGCAACATGGAGTGCAGTCCGTCCAGCACCATCTCGACAGTTTGGATCGGCTCCGCCTTGTTTAAGGAGAATATCGACAATCCGTTCTCCATCCTTTGCATTTACTGCGATATGTAGCGGGCTCTGCGAGACACTAGCATCAGAAGTATCTTGCCACATATTCCGAGAGACTTTCAGATTTGACAACGCCCGAACTGCAGACACTGTACCAATGCTGGTCTTCTTGTTCGGGTCTGCTCCACCTTTGAGCAGTGCCTCCACAACCTCCTCCAGTCCAGGAATAGCGACTGCCTTGTGAAGAGGGGTAATGCCAGAGCCGTTTGTGGTGTTTGCATCGGCGCCAGCTGCTAGCAAGGCCTGTACAGTTGCAACAGAGCGACCATCGACAGCATAGTGAAGAGGCGTATTTCCACCTTGCCTCGTTTGTGCTGTCGCTTTTGCACCCCCATCAAGCAGCTTTTGAACCATCTGAGGCCCAGCATCAGATCGTTTGGAAGCAGCAAAATGTAGTGCCGTACGACCCGGATGTGCGTATCCCATTGTTTCAGCATGCACGTATGCATTGTTCTCCAGTAGCCAAGCTACCATGTCCGTTGCCTCTGAATCAGCAGCGAGATGTATAGCACTCCAGCCGGACATATCCGGAGCACGCACATCAACGGGAAGAGACCCAATAGATTTCCATGTTGTTGCGCGGTTGGCTAGCCAGGGAAGATTGAGTCGTGCCGCCACGAACAGCAAGCTCGTACTGGTGGAGAATCCGGAATCTGATAATAAGTCATCTTATGAATTTCAAGACATAGACAACAAAACTCACATTTTCCACTTGTCCATCGCTTCAAGAGATCATATGAGCGGACCCAGCTCAATAATGCTGCCGAGTTCGCGCTGAAGAATTCCTTCATGCCTGGGACATCCGTTTCGTCTTGAATTTGGCTCTCTCGGAGGTGGTGACCCAAAGACTCGACAGCATACTGTAAGAATGGGAAGCCTTCAAGGAAGTTCTCTTTCACGATTTTAAGCTGCGTCTCATCTATCATACCTTTATTATCGACAGGAGGCTTGGGAACTTCACGCTCATTGACATTGGGGATCTGGAGATACGTCAAGCAAGCAGCTGCCATTTGTCGATGTGCCTCTGACTTACACATCCCATATCCTTCATACTTTTTCTCACCCGCATCACTAAAGACCTCTGACAAGAAATCCTTGACCGATTGGTGACTCAAGTGAACTGTGCCGTCGTGGATTAGAAATAGTGCACTCCAATTGTTTTCAATGCGACGCTGCAACACGTCATTCTCTTCATCGGTCCTCGCCCCGCCAGTATATGTCTTTTTCTCTTCCAGAGTCGATACAGCATTCAATTCTTGCAGTGTAAGCGGTCGGCATGCGAAGTATACCCACATTAACAATGTGCGCAGTGTGACGACAGAATCTTGATGCTGCCGTTCCAGCATCTTTTTGTAGTATGCCGCTACATCTGAAGGGATGCTGTGTAATCTCTCCTTGACTTTTATCTCGGTCCAGGTACCGTCCCAAGTGCTCAGGTCCTCCAAGACTAATGAAAGCCACTTGAACATGCCTTTACAACTTTCTTTCAGTACGTCTGTGGTGGACTTGAGAACATCATCGGAGAACTCTCGATAGTCTTGGATATCTTTGATTTTCTTTTCCGTGACTTTGTCAATATCATGCTTGTTATTCTTGGGAATGTCGATGATGTACTGGGGAAGCAATTTGTCGCGGATAATCTTACTGCCTCGATCAGAAATGATACAGCGCAGGCTAAAATTTGCTCCTCGTGAAATGGCTTCTCTATTGACTCTTGTGGAAACCTCACTGATAAGACGCACAACTGCGGGAAGATGAGGCCCACACTGATCTAAGCCATCGATGATGAAGTAAAGAACCTCTAGGTCTGGGTCTAGAGCTATATCTTCGAGAATCTTCTGCAAGATTTCGACCGAATGGAATTCATCCGGATCTGCTCCCGGGCTGTCAAGGTCTTCAGCGTTCTGTAAATGATTCAACGCATACTTGGCCAAACTCCGCTTCTGTTGAAATATTTTGTATAGAAGAGTCCTCAGAATCCATGTCGGCTTCTGTCGCATTTCGTTTTTATCGTCACAGAAACATACCACCGCAATGGTCTTCCCCAGGACACCCAACTCCACGGGCAGCGCTTCCTGGACCGGAGAAGATGCAGATAGTGTCCTGACGCGCATCCGTTTTTCAAGCTCTTTGGTGAGGAATTTCAATAACACGCTTTTACCGCTTCCGGGAATCCCCTGAATGTACAACGGCGTGTGTGTCGCAGAGTCCGTCGCAATCCAATGACGAAACGCCTCGTGCTCGAAGATCCATTCGCACGTTCCCGGTTCTGGTCGGCTGATGTCGCATCTATCCCTGCCATCGCCTGCAACAAGGATGTCGAGTAGCTTACCTTCAACAGTCTTCTTCTCACCTAAAATCTCATTTATGTCTGTTAGCCGCAGTTGATCGATTTTGATGGCAAGGGTCGTAAAAGTCTTTCGCGTTTTTCATACCCATATATATGGAGGCTCCTGCCGCAATGTTAATTCCTTGGATAGAGTCGCTGTAGAATGAGGCCTCCAGGTTGCCATAATTCTGACCCATCTGAAGTCCTTTGTTCTCGGATTGAGAGAAGTCCGCGAAAGCCGCTGGCTTCGGCTTCTACTCGAGTTAGTCACCATAATGTTCTATTAGAACACTTCTTACTGACATCTGCCATTACTCCGAGTCGTTTCATTATGGCAAAAACTGTTTCGAACTGTCGATATTCTATTGCGAGACGTGTATGGTGGGAGAACGAGTGAATTGTCTCCTCCCCCGAAGCTGATCGATCTCTTCATGGTAAGGGAATATGGGAATATCTACCAAAAGCTAGCGGGGGGACAGTCCCCGGTCCGAACTGCATTCTCAATTCAGCTCTTAAGCGATGACACGCATGAAACCTCTCCTATGCTTCTACATCCCACCGCTGTTCAGCTTGTGAAAGCAACGCCTCGTGTTATGACCACATCTATTGTTGTCCAACCAAGCATGACATACCCTTACAGTACGCAGACTTCCCGTGAGTGTTCGCCAGCCACATCTCAATTGAGCCGATCTCTCACAGCCCGCTACCAATGGAGATCCTTTTTCATTCCTCCTCCCTAAATTGATGAGACGGCTGATAGACTCGGATTACGAGGATGTTCTACGGAGTATCACTTTCTCGGAAATCTGCATTAGTGTAGAACTACCCACATAGCATTCTTAACTTCTGCCCCTGTCTTCAAGCTCGGAAAACATGGCCAAAAATAGCCTAGCGTATCAGATGTCGTATCGTGCGAGCTATTCGCAATGATAATTCATCAAGTTTATCGGTCATGTCTTGCATCTGAATTACAACGGTCATGTCTCAATAGAATGCCAAATCTTCTCTGTATAAAGCGGAAGCTGGAGTGTTGCAAAAGAAAAAAAAAAAGCAATATAGATGACCTTTTAAATCGGAGTTCTTTCTCAATGACTCAGTCGATACGATCTTAGCAGTGCTCATCTGTATTTCAAAGATTATTTAGTGAGGATTTTGGACCTTACGCGCCAATTTATAGAGATAGCATCCACGAAATTCAAAAGTTCTTCGCTATGTCTATCAATATCGTCAAGGATCCTTCAGACGCCCGGGTAGAGTAAGATAGTCTCCAACCTGTTTTATAGAGTATGAATCCCACAGACTAACGATTGAGCAATACAGCATCGTTCTTGTCCCTGGTTTGAAAGTAGACCAAAAAGACTGGACATCCGCTGACAGCTCCATCTTTTGGCCCGAAAAGCTTCTCGCGACACAGATTCCCAAGGCACGCATCTTGGTCTTTGAATATGACGAAGATCCAACCCTGGATGTATTTTGGAACAAGCGTGACTTGATCTCTAGTAACTCGGATGATTTAGTGAATTCGCTGTTGGATGAGCGACGAGCCGAAAAGGTTAGGATGATCCAATGCACGAGAAAATATACATTTGCACTAACAGTGCCGGGTGCTCATAATGCAGGCTGAGCGACCATTGATCTTCATCGCACATTGTCTTGGGGGATTGGTCGTCGAAAACGTAAGCCTCTTCCTTTTACTGGACATTACAATCTAAGAACATAATCTGACCGCAGAGCCGCGTATTATTCAGGCCCTTATGAGAGCGAGCAAGAACGAGAAGAAGAGACAGCTTGTCACCTGTGCAGCGGGTCTTGTACTACTTGGAACACCGCACTACCAGCATGGAACATTGTCCGAGGCAAAGAAATATTTCCAACTGGCTCAGAAAGATGTCCCGAGTGACGCCGACCTGCAGGCTCTGTCGAAACATGTTTTGGCAATTCCAGAAGCATTCGCTCAATTCATCCAAGCAAATCCCGTCAACGTGGAGAGCTTTTATGAAGGTTCCCCCGTGAGTATCAATAATGACCAGGGGGATGAGATTGAAGTCGTGGAAGAAGCTGTTGCAAAGTTACCGGGAGATTCTTCTGATCCTACTATGCTGAAGGGGAACCACCACCAAATGAGCCGGTTTGGGAGCGAGAAGGATAAGGATTTTAAGAATGTGTCTAGGGTTCTCGTGGATTGGGTGGACGATCTCCCTGAGCCCGAGGAGAAAGGTACGACGAACAATATCTCCAATGCCTCTTTTTCGGGGTCAACCAACTATGGTTACCAGCTTGGACAAAATACGGGTAACCAGACTGGATTCACCTTCGGTGCAAGGTAATTAGAATGGGACATCAGCTTCAATGTTCCTGAGTCATTGTCGATCTCTCTTGTTTTATCATCGGCAGTTGCTTACAATCGACCAACTCCTAATGTGGAAGTCAAGAGTAACTAATTAGTTAAACATTACCCTTGAAGAACGTGCTTTATAGTTTCCACAGACTTTAATTAGATAACGTAGAAGGGCAGAGACGAGTTTTTGAGTGTACTATATAACTCCGACTTCGAAAAATCCTTTGTTCAACTTCGCGGTATAGCATGCAGGGGGGATCTGTGAGGGGATTTCGAAACTGTCAATTGCAAACAAATAAATTTGCGCTCATCATAAAACATAGCCCGCCAGTCATCCAGAGTATGAAGGCCCCGGGAATAATAGGCAGATATGAAAATACCCCTCAATTCCGGCGACGTGCATGTTCCAGAGAAACCCTGCCATTTGCAGATCACAAACCGCTCAGAGTCCAGCATAAAATTACTCAAACGTACGTGCGACTTTTCCCATTGGATAAGGTTTCGTTTAGTGAAGCCTGACCGAGATACATGGGGGATTGCGCGCGGACAGATAGTACAGCTCCTTCAGCCACGCCACCATTTTGCCATGGGTGGAAGTCGGAAACCACAAGTATGATGCGGGACTTGTAATTAAAGTAGAAAAAAAGAAAAAATACAAAACAAATAGGGAAATAGCTGGGCATATATTTGTCGAGTGGTTTTGTCAACTTATGGATGCCACAGTACAGACACATACGTATGTTCACCTATAACCCTAAAAACAAGTTCTGAGAAGAATCAACCACGTCACAAAATTTGAGTAACTTATTTCTGAGCAGAAATCTCAAAATTGAAAGCATCTAGATCTACCACAAATCTATATTTGTCTCCAAAAACCATGACTACTCAACCAGCATCAGACCTGGCCCAGTTATGGCAGGCAGCGATACAAGACTACGAAAAGACAACAGGGAAAAGCCTCCTCCTTGCCCGACAATTCGGAAGCACGGAAGAAGTCATGGGGGCCACCGAAGAGCTTTCGAACAAGTTCAAGAATTTTCGCGATGACAAGAGTAAAGTGTCGAAAGTGCGGACGGCATTCAAGAATAATCTCTGGTTGATCCAGACCGTTGTCAATACGATACAGACCGTTGGAAATGCGGCTTCGGTGAGTTTGAGATACCTATAAGTATAGCATACAGGGCTAAACTGGGCTTGTTTCTCTAGGCGTTCCCGCCCGCCATGCCGGCAAGTTTGATATTCTCAGCCTTTGGACAGGTCATGCAGGTATGAAAGGCACTCCCCCAAAGAGAAACAGTCGATCTTCCTCTTGACACATGTAGTCATTCGCTGATGTCTCGGCCGATTACGACAAAATCATGGGCTTCTTCGAGTTCACGCACCGATTTTGGGACAGACTGTCTATCATTGACCAAAAACTGCCGGATCTACCACAGTTTCAGCGGTGTGTGTCGCGCGTGTTTTCAAGCATTTTGAAAATTTGTGCGATTGCGCAAAAGTATAGCACAGAAAAACGGATGAGTGAGTCGTCTTAGGGGTATGTCGTATACTCAGCATGGCTAATAGTTTGGACTAGAGAAATGGTTCGATAATTTATTGAGCGGATCTGACGGGGAGCTGACTGGGGCTACTACTGTTCTTGAAGAGGCCATTAATGAGCTGAGTCAGGCGGTTGGTCTGACTACTCTAAGAACCGTCCAAATTCTAGATGAGGTTGTCCAGAGCATGAACGGGAATATCCAATTCCTTGTGTCAAATGCAAATCTCATCGACGAGCGGACGAGGAGTATTGAATCTAACACCAATACCATCATTGAACAGAACCAGGACCTTGCATTAAAGCAAAACAATATGACAAACATGCAACAGGAAACATTACAAGAAATGGCGCAACAATCTCGAATGCTCGACAGTATCGTGGGCTATTTCGGATCTATCCAAATGAGTCAGAACTTTGGTAGAAAGAGCTTTCAGGACAGCATATTGAAGCTGGGCGTTGTCCGGCTGCGACTGACGCGTTGGAGTCAAGCTGTCGGATTGAAGGATCTGAATAATGTGCAGACTCTCCGGCATGTGAAGATTTCCGATGAAGATCTTCCCATGGTAAAGGAGCTTTTGGGCAGGATTATGGAGAGTTTCGATGACGCCGAGAGGACTTCAAGTCGGATAAAAAAACGTAATCCCTCTTTGTCGTCTGGTGGTGTGTTAGATCCTGCTAAGGAATTAGATGAAGCAGCCGCATCGCTTCATCAGAAAATGGATACAATAGTCAAAACAAGGCAGGGCAAGGAAGAACAATCAGAAGATGAGCAGACGGAATTGATCCTCTACGAAGACAAGAACTTCACGCGACTAATTGAGGATATCAGCGACTCGGTGAATGACTTGGTCAATCTCTTCCCAGCGGTTGAAGAAATGCAGCAAAAGCTTTGCGACGAAGAAGTTTCCGAGATGAACAAGGCCGAAAACGCTCTGTCGCTGCTGAAAGAGGCCGCTGACGGCCAGGATAATATGCTTAGCAAGACTGTGATAAAGGTTATCGAATCTACCACGACTTACAACAACAGCGTTGTCTTTCAGGGAACTAATTCTGGTTTTCAAATTGGGAATAATAGAGGGAAAATTAGCAACGTGCACTTTCGCTGATGCAGAATGTCAATCTAATTTGACGTGTCCGTGTAGCTAGCTGGGGTTTATTCTTTTGGATGTGATATTAGTCGAGGAGCCAACTCTAGCCAGTACAATGAAAATTAATATCAGATCTGAATAATGTTATTCTTATATTTGATCTAATAAATTTATGAGGTTTTGAACCTTAATACATCTCAATACACTGTTATTATAATTGAGGTGGATCTGGGTTTGTGGTACCTGCATTGTATTTTGTGACACACTTGTATAAATTACTTCCTTCAAATTAGACACACATGGATACATTAAATTTAACCGTCCCACTCGCTTTCCCACGAAGTCATCTGCCCTAACTAAGGTAAGTTGACTAAACAACAATGACTCACAGGCATATTCAAAGCAATAAGCACATATGTAAGTGGACCCAGTGATACCGAAAAAGCCCCAGCTTGCGACGAAGCGAAGAATCCCTTCCGATTGGTTCAATGTTTGCGAAACTCGAAAAGCGATTTGTTGTACCGCCAGAACAGGCCCGTTATGGAAATAACTATGAAAAACCTTCGCAAGAAGGATCGAATTCGTGAAAGATGAAATGACTACAGAATTGGGGGAAACATTGTAGAAAATGAATATAAATAACCCCATTGACTGCTCGTCCGCTGAAGTCGAGTATACAGCATATTTCTCCAACTGGAAACAGTCTACTGTACGGTATTAGGGCTACTCCATTCTTGCCATGTCTCTCCATCAAACCATCGATCTCGACAGAGATCTCCCAAACATTTCAAATGAAAATGTCAAATTCCATCCACCCACAGGCATTTCCTGCCTAATCGTCGGAGCTGGAGTCGGAGGCTTGACAACAGCGCTCGAATGTCGACGCAAAGGCCATGATGTGCGAGTTATTGAAAGATCACCAGCCCCAAGTACTGCAGGTATACCTACCCCCCCTCCCATATCACACAAACCCCCAAAACACAAAAAGWATTAAAACAATCCAAAATTGATATAGGAGACTTCTTCTCCATCGGCCGCAACATAATCGCCCATCTCTACAACCACTATCCCAATCTAGCCGCCGAATGCGAACGCATCAACTACTCCGGCCTAATCGCCTACCACAAACTCAACGGCGAACGCATCTCAGGCCCCGAGGCTGTTCCCATTGGGAAACCAACTATGACCCTCAACGACGGATCAGAAAAATTCATTCCGTTCAACAGGCACCATCGCCCCAAGTTCGTTGCCGCTCTTCTAGCGCAGGTCCGGAATCTGGGTATAGAGGTTATTTTTGGTGCGAAAGTAGTGGATTATTTCGAGGATCTCGATCGACAAAAAGCGGGCGTTGTGCTTGAAAGTGGCGCGAAGATGGAGGCTGACGTGGTTGTTGCGGCGGATGGTATTGGCACAAAGAGCAATAAACTCGTTAATCCAGGGGAGGATGACAAGGCTTACTCTAGCGGAATGTCGATTTTCAGAACTTCGTTTCCGGTGGAGTTGGCTTTGGCTGATCCGGAGGTGAGAGATCGATGGCCGCTGTTGGATGGGGATGTGCCTTGTCTTGAGATTTGGGGAGGGTGTGTACTCTGTCTTGCCCTCTAAGCTCAATTGGGGAAAACTGACCCTTTACAGTGACAACATGTCCTTCTTTGTACAGCGGTACTCGGACATCATGTGTTGGCTAATGACTCACAAGGTATACCTCCTCTAACTTCCCACGACATTTTCCAAACAAACACTAATCACCTCCCATTACCAGAGCACTGGCAAAGGCCTTGAATCGTGGTCCCAGCCCATCCCCCTCTCGACTGTACTAAACCTCACCTCCACCATCCCCAACTTCCCGGACGTCGCCAACCGTCTAATCCAAAGCACCCCTGTCGACGGCATAATCGACTGGGAGATCATGTGGCGCGATCCACGCTCAAACTGGGTTTCTCCCGGTGGCGGGAGGGTTGTGCAGGTAGGCGATAGCGCGCATACGTTTCTACCATCGTCCGGTAGCGGCGCGACACAGGCCATGGAGGACGCGATTTCGCTCGCGACTTGTCTCCAGATTGGAGGGAAAGGGAATGTTTCGATTGCGACGAGGGTACATAATAAACTTCGGTAAGCGCCTCCCGCCTCTCCCTCTTTTCTAGCTTGTGTATGGTACGATATACTCACCTGGGGCATGATTGCAGATTCGAGCGCGTTTCATGTGTGCAACTAAGCGGATTCATGAACCATCAAAAACAGAGCAATCCAGTCTATTCAGCTGATAGCGAGGATGAAGAGTCATTCAAAATCAGCCTGGGCGACTGGATGGTCATGTATGATTCTGAAAAGTATACATATGCGCACTATGGGGAGGTGCTCAATCATCTTATTTCTGGGGCGCCGTTCGAAGCCACAAATATTCCACGGGGATATACATACAAGCCATGGACGATCAAGGAACTGTTGGGCAAAATTAATAGGGGTGAGAAGATACATTTTGAAGGAGATTGGTCGTGATCACTTGCTGCAATTAGAGAGTAATCCTAGTTTTCATAGAGTAGCAAATTGAATAATCTTTGAGATTGCATAGGTATACTAGCCCTGAATTAAAATAACCACGTCTCGAAGAAAAGATAATGAAAAAAAAAAAAAAAAAAACCGTCGCCGTGAAACTCCTCCATGCGTACAGGACCATAACCTATTGGCAGCGCATCATCATATCGTGTCCGCTCTATCCTGTTTGCTGTTCCAATTTGTATCCCCATCCATCCCGTGAAGCTGAAAACACCGCCATGGTCAACGCCCCACTTAACGCCGTCGCAAAAATCAGAAAGGTATCATTGCCTCGTAAAGATCTTGATTTGGTCCGTCTTGACCCACGTATATTTCGATCAAAAGCACACAGACTAGTTGAAGAAATCAGCAGGAAGGGAAGAGAGACCAGCGATGGTGCCGATGCTACCAACAGCGGCGCCAACGGCAGCAACAGCTGCATACTTCATGAAGGTGTAAGCTTGATTTGACTTGACACGCTTACGACGATGCTCTTCGGTGGTGGGAGCCACTTCTTTGATCGGCTGAGTCTCGGGAATTTGTGATTGAGTGAGCTCGAGATCCTGCATATCAGGGCGTGGCTGCGCATCCGTAATGCTGTCTTGAGTGTTGCCATTATCTTGAGGACCGTCATCAAGATCAGCCTCAAAATCGTTCGCCTTACGCTTGAGATTATTAGAAGTAGGATAGTTCTGAGTGTGGGCTTCAACAATATCCGAAACCGAGACGCGAGTTGCTGGTGCATCTGCCTTGTCAGCCTTTTTGACTTCTGGCTGTTCGTCGGCCAAGTAACGAGTCTTCAGTGGATAACCACTTGAGATCTCGTTTGCGACGTGTCGCAGATATCCGCCTGAGGATCTATGAGGTCCGAATGGGAACGACTCATTGGCATTGTTAGAGGCAAAGCTGCTGGTGGAACCAAGATTGCGGCTAGCCCAGGCCTGGATTGCCGGTGCAATGTTATTGTAAGACTGGTATGCTGGAGCCAGACAAGGGGATACTGCTGGAGCTGGAATATCCATCGGTTTCGCCATCGCCTTGTCTGATGGGCTGGGAACGCGTGGGATTAGATATTCTGGCCATGTGAAACCTTGGTGAGACGACTCTGCACTAGTATGAGGCTGCACTGGAGCAGCCATGGCTGAAGTCTCGCTTGCCAGAGTCGGCTGGTTGAGTACTTGTGAGAAGGCTTGGTTCTCATAACGGGTAGAAGTTTCGACTTCGTTGCCGATCTTGAAGCCTCCCGTKGGGSGAGCCATATCACCCTCGAAAACAGAGAAAGAAGGTGCTTGAGCGTCAGGAGCTGCCTCTTCGCCCCAATCACTGCCTTCATAATGATCATCCTCACTATCCTCGGAATCCTCATCGAACATGCCGTTCTGTTCTTCACCTGCAGAGTCCTCAGATTCGCTAACACCTTCCTCCTCTTCGGACTCAGAGTGGTTTTCGTGCTCTGACATCTCAGGAGAGGCTGCATGGTAAGGTGGGCTGGATGGAGGGATCACAGCTTCACTAGTGGTCGTTGTAGTCTGTTGAATGGTGGCGACGGTTGCATCGTTCAGCGGCTTTGTGGGCAACTGAGAGACCTTGATCTCAGGTGAAGTTACCGGAGAAGTCAAATCGAGAGGACGGCTCAAGTCGCTGCCATATTCCATGTCGGACGACTCAGACCATGGAGAGGACTTTTGCTGGACTGAGAGTGTCTTGTAATCGACGACTTCGATTACGTCGTCATCTTCATCAGGGACGGAGAAAGTATTAGCGGTCAGCCTCATGGCTGGCACGGTGCGCTTTTCGTGCCACTGACAATCGAGACGAACGGCAATAGGTCGGAAGGTCTCTGTCAACTGTTAGTCACTAAATAACTACAGTAAAAATATCATCACTTACGGGCTCCGCGAGAAATCTCACTACCAAAGGTCAAAACATCCCCGTTCTTGACAGTAGTGTTCTGCTTTGGCGTAATCTTGACGTCGTTGAGTTGTGTCCCATGTAGAGAACCGTGGTCACGAATGTAAACCGACTAGAACAAGATAATTATCAGCAATGACAGTTAACACGAACAAAGAGTGAGGCAAGCTTACCTTGTCCTCCATCTTGACACCGATCACAGCATGCTCGCGAGACATGACACGCGAATCAAACCAGGCATTATCATGACAAGGAACCAGATTCTTGTTCTCTGATTTCGACGCTCGACCGACAGGCACGGTATCGTTATTCGATAGGAACGTGAGAGATCGAAACGGGAGCGTGTCCGGCGAATAAACCGGTGTAAGGGTAACGACCACTTCAATGACGTTAGCCATATCTGTCAAGTGCTGGGAGTAGAATGATGGAAGAAAGACAAAAGAAGAGAACACACCTTGTTCGCAAGCCATGATATTTATGACGGACTGAAAGACCGCTTGAAAGGATAAGTAGGAGGGGAAAAAGTAGCGACTTGGTAGGAATTGGTCAGACGGATTGTCCCTTCCCAAAGTTGCATATGAAGCTGTGTTACCCCACCTGGATATCGAGACGGAGTGCAGTTCGAAAGTCAGTCAATAATGATGTCGTCAGATACCCTCCCGAGTTGGATGAACTACAAAAGAGGACACAAAGAAGTTGATGGCGTCGTCGAGGCTGCTCGGAGGGTATAAGATAGAGAGGGGTTATCTAGGCAGATAGACCCGTCAGATTGGGGGGGTGTGGAGAGGGGGCAGTCGGCCCTGTTTGCTGGCGTAATATAGCCAATAGAGTTGTGCTGCAGGTGGCAGCTCCTAGGCTGAGAGGTGACTCGATCGTGGGGCGGGGTCTTGCGTTGGCTTTGAGCCCTGATCTGACCTGACGTGTCGGTCGAGGCTGTATGCAGTTGGATTTGATAGATGAAGTATCACCGTCAACAACGAGAGTAAAGTGATGGAGGGTTATTACGAGAAGGAGGAAGGTGCGAACAAGAGAGAGAGAGAGAGAGAGAGAGCGAAGATAAGAATGCGGTGTTTCAGATCCCGATAAGAGCCGACTGGCTCCTTCCTCAGATGCGGTACGTAGTCCATACGCTTACACTGTAACAATGCATACCGATATACTGGTAATATGCAGTAGTACTACTAACTACTTCGTACAGTACTATGTAGTATATAGTATGTAGTACAATTAGTGTCGTATTAATGAAAGTACCAGCGGTATCAGGTTCCGTGCCTTCCCTAGCAACAGATGTAGCTTCACGATGACGCCGACACTGCAACATGAGACTTACCACACAAATAGGAAAACCTGACTGGCTATTACTACAGCCGGTCGGTCTCGTATTCCCAGTCACCGTTACAAATGTACAAGAGGATCTACAGAGTAAGAGTGCGTATTAGAAGCAGCCTCGATTCCCAGGCAGCCAGCTCGTCATCTGATGCGATAAGGACCCACTTTCATATCGGCGATAAAGCTCTCCGGCGGGTCACGCGTCCCACATTTCCGCCAACCGCGTTAAGTGTTTTTCTTTTCAGCTTGATCACCAGGATAGAAAACGACAATTCGATCAATTTGCGTATGGTACAAAAAGGACAATTCTTCAACTATATTCACCGATCGATGCAATCCCAAAAACCAGACTCGTTCACTGATCGATCAGTCAGACGATACCACCATATCCCGCGCTGAACAATACTGACAACGGCCAACCGGCGCAAAAAATGAACCGTGGTCGACAGCACGAACACATAAAAACGACACGAAGAAAACTGGAAGAAAGAGAGAAAGAGAGACAAAACGAGTCATGGTGGTTGGTGACCCGCCGAGAGAGAGATATTACACATGCAAAAAGAATTCAACTATAGAAACACACATTAAAAACTTGAACAGCAGATATGGCGTAACTCCCCAAGATCGCAAGCCGGATAGATCGAATCGTGATGAGACTGTAGGATGACCGAAGATATACAGCCGAGAAAAACAAAGTCTAAAGGTGAGGAGATGAGAGGAAATATTAAAGTGTCTGTGCAAACTTTTGTCTTCAACCACCACTTTACATTCCAGGTGGAGGACCGCCGAATCCAGCGCCCATAGTCTGCAGACGTGCTGCCAGTTGAGGGTATTTCTCCTGGACTTCGAGCTGTGTACGGGTGGCTTCGGCATAGGAGATCGCGTTGATAACTTCGCCTTCAGTGCGAGCGAGCTCGGCGGCCCGGGTAAAGTATTTGAGAGCTTCAGCGACCTTGCCTTGTTGCAAGAGAAGTTGGGCCATGGTTCCGACGGCAATATCACATTCGGGGTCGACTATTGCAGAATTAGTTAGCATACCTCTTCGATAGAGGAGACTGATCAGAGGCACTTACTGATCAAAGCCTTCTGGCACAGGCTTTCAGCCTCCTTGAAATCCTGCTTCCATTGGAAAATACCAAGAGCCTTGTTGATCAAAGGCAACACGTTGATTGCAGTAGGCTTAGTCTTGCTCTCCATCTCAACAGCCTTGTCGAACTTCTCAATAGCTCCCTGGTAGTCTTGCTGGTCGAGCAGAAGCTCACCGTAGTAGTTGTAAACATCCGGCACAGTTTCGAACTTCTTCACTGATCGCTTGAATGTAGCCATGGCCGAGGCAACGGATCCGAGCTTGTATTGTGTAACACCGAGCTGGATGTGAGAGTAGATGAATGATGGGTCGAGGTCAATGGATTTTTGATAATCCTTGGCGGCTTCGGCGAATTCGCCGAGAATGAAGTGAAGTTGTGCGCGGTGGTAGTAGATATCGGGATCGTCTTTGTTGTGTGCGATAGCGAGCTCGAAATCATCGACGGCACCGTCTTTGTTGCCTACGCTTGGTTAGTAGTGATATAATGAACATTGGACACATGACTTACCAAGCTCAAGATGCAAGCTGGCGCGCTTGATATAACTCTGGGTCAATGATGGCTGAACCTCGATGCTCTTGTTAAGATCCTCCAAAGCGCTTTGTGCATCACCGCGCAGGTAGGTGAAGGTGGCGCGCTGGTTCAACGCGTCGCCTTCAAATTCACCAAGGTCACCCAGTTCAAGCGCTTTCTCAAACGCCTGAGCAGCCTCGTCATATCCTTCACCGGTCTTCTTCTCCATAGCTAGGTAGCCTTTGCGCAATTGTCCTTTGCCAGTTTTCTCGTCCAGATCCTCGGAGTCAAGACCAGCGGGGATGGACTTGGGGCGGAAGCTCTGAAGGTAGTTGCCAACAAACGTAGCACCGGGTAGTCTCTTTCCCTTTGCTTCCATGATTGCCTTGGCCTTCTTCTCTGCAACCTTCTTCAACAGTCTTTCCAAGGATTCGCGGCTCTGGCGGTTGGTAAATTGGTCGATGATGCAGCTAGCGGTAAAGTCAAGAAGTGCGTTATCATATTGCTCCAAATGCTCGTAGGCATTAGCTCGGCGGCCGAGGGCTTTGAGATATTCGTTGTCCATAGCAAGAGCTGCGCTCGTATCTTCGACCACCTTCTCCCACTCAGACAAGACATTCCAGCAAGCGGCGCGGTTGGAGTAGAAGACGGGGTCGGGTTTGCACAGGATGGCTTTTCCGTACAGTTCAATGGCGCGGTTGTAATCCTTTGATCCGTAGGCCTTGTTTCCAGCGGCTTTGAGTTTGGCGGCGTATGCTTTTCGTGTCTATAACAATCAGCGAGACGCTCTTGCTTGCGCGATCGAGTATTAAGTACCTCTTCCGACAATGAGTCGACTGTGCTCTCGTCTACCTCAGGTAGTTCATCGACATCCTCGACCTTGGCTGTCTTCACTTCTGCATTGGTGTTAATACTCAAATAACAGCACCGACCGGAAGTACAGCAACTCACCCTCAACAGCAGCCTTGGTTTCCTGCGCCTTCTTCTCCTCTTCAGCTTTCTTCTTCTCCTTCCGTCTTTGATTCTTGCTCTTCTTCGGCTGTGCGGGTTCTTGGGGTTTGTTGGAGCTCGTCGACAAATAATATACCGTTCCACCGGTCACGACCACAGCAATACCGGCGACTGTATAAACGACGGCCTTGTTTTCAGACACCCAGTTGGAGATGCGATCCCATATTGATGATGATGTGGATGGTGAGAGGGATGCAGTGTCTATCACGACGTTCTGTGTAGCTGGTGTGGTTGCCATTTTGACGGTGAGATTTGGGCAAGGTTGCCGTGTAAGGGAGTAAAAAGAAAAATATAGAATAATACAATTAAAAATTCCTTATGAAATTATAATAAGAGAAAGAAGGCGCCAATAACAGCTGAAGTAATGGCAATTGGGGATGAGAAAAAGGCACGACAAGAGCTTCCGAAGAAGAAAAGTTGTTACTATGCGATCAGGGAATCCGGATTGTTGGCTGACTAACCGTCAATGGGTGACGAAGACGGGCCTGTGATTGGGTGCTGATACAGTCCTCGGAAATGATGTTGATCCTTCTTCGCTACACTACTTGTACAACAACATGAAACTAGTTTTAATATTCGAAGACATGATTTTAATCTGACCCGGTTTAACAATCATCGATTTTATATTGACATGATTTGTGGTGGCATAATCACAGAGCTCGGCGTATGAGACAAGCACGGAGCGATGCATGCATGCATGCATTTGGGTTGCAATAGATCCAGATCAGGCTCATCGTCGACACTTGGAAGCAATGGGAACATCCTGGGTAATGAAAATGTCGATAAAAGATTCATAAGAGAGAATATCTCGCCAGGCACCGAACACCCGAAAGTATGAAACGAAAACTCAATCTCAATGCCATACAAGCCGCTCCGTCAGAAACTCCAACATGTCGCTCAGCATGTTCTCGGAATAGGTGTGTCCCAGACTACGATACTCCTTCCATTGGATGTTGTGGTTGCTCCAGCCTAGAACTCTGAGACTGTCCACCATCTGTCGGCCGAGGGCGATAGGGACAGTTTTGTCTTCGGTGCCGTGTGCAACGAATAGGGGTATGTCCAACGAGCTCTGTTCTGCGGCGTCGTCGGTCCGTGAAGAAGCTGGAATATCAAGTTTGTCGCGTAACGTGGCAATGCCTTTCTCAAGCGATGATTTTTCTGCAACCTCCCCCTCTTGCTGAGCTGCATTCATAACCTCCTCCGCAAAAGGTAGCCATCCACTCAACCCAAACCAGCCTCCCAATGGGTCTCCTTCCCACAACAGTACCGAAATCAGTGAAGCTGCACACCCTTGGCTCCATCCTCCCACAACGACGCTGCCAGCATCGCCGTCCAAGATCTCGATTTCTGCCTTGATCAATTCGTGGATGTATCGCACAGCATCACGGAGCCCCGGGATTGGGAGCTCAGAGCGCCACTTGCGAGTCTCCTCATCCAGGCTGTTGCGAGAACTGTGCTCATTGTCTTCAGTCAACGGCCAATGCGTGTCGAACCACTGGTTAATGACACTCTCTGTAAAAGTTACTGCACGTAACATGGATGCAGTAGGAAAGACAAACTTCGCAAATGGGAACGCCGTATGTAAGGTTGTTGTAGATTGTGTAGTAAAGTACGGAGTATTGCTAGCGTTTCGAGATCGATGGAAGGGTCTGAACAGCAGCGCTGGACCGAAGTCAGTTGCCTGTGAGCCCCGATCGTGCAGAATAATGAACGTCTGTTTATGTGGCAATGTCTGGGGGTTGATGACTAGTGGTCGTGGCCATCTGGGAGGTCGTTGCGGGGACATGATCAGGTTGTCTGTCGTTCATTCAATGAGTGTCAGTGCGGTACGGTGTGAGATGCAGTGTAAGGTGTGATGTGAAGCACGATGTTGGGGGATATGATCTGTCACGACAGTTAAAGAAGGTTGGAGAGGAAATACCAAATCAATAACTGCGTGCTGTTCTTCTATTGCACCACACATGTTAAGCGCAGCACTTGTGACGGGAACTCCCAGCAATATAAAGAAAAGAAGCATAGAGAGCGAAAGAAGGAATGAAACGACCGATTCCTAATAACAGACAAGTGGGATAGAGATTACCTGATAAAGGTGACTCAAAGCAATACAAATGCCGGCAGATTCAAAATGAATAGAGGGGCAGCTCCATACAATTTGATGTCGACACTGGACTATTCGGGACAGCAACAGGTATTCGCTTGGAAGGCTACTCTTCTAGAGCTACATGTATGATGTGGTGCTATTCTGGTCCAAGACTGTTCTAACTTGTGATTGATAGAGATTGTGCCAGATGCATTCGATATCAGTCATATAACTGAGGGAACAGCTCTGGGCCAAAGCCGCGGAAAAAGGGTCTTCCTTTGATGTCGACAGTTCTAGGCCCTTTGTCAAGTGATTTATGCATATATTGCTGCGGTACCTTTTGTTTGCTGCCAGGTGCCAAGGGAGTCCCCGTATAACCCGGACGTCAGCCATTCTAGTACGTTCTCCTCCACATGGGCCTATTCGCATTTGTTCTTTTTCTTCTTCGTCGCATCTTTCTGCTGATTCGTTGACTCAATGCATGTCTCCTCGACTTCGCACGTGCATCCCACTGGATCCTTTTGCATGTCAAGTCGATCCTTTACATTGAAATCTGTGGATGATTCCGGCTAGCCGTTCCTACTCTTTGCTGAATGCGTGTACGGTGCAACCACGCTACAAATACGTATGGATGCATCGGGAGATTGGTATATCGACCGGATCCTGCAAGCCACCTAAACTCCCCCGCGAGGCTGAGTACCTGTCATCGGCGATGCCTCGATGGTCTCTAACAGACACCATTGGCCCGAATGTAATCACAGTCCCCATATACGCTGTCGTGCATATATGACAGTATGCATCTGCCGAAATCCGTCCAAATATGATCTGATCAGGTAGTTGTCCAAAATGTAGATGGAGTGGCACGACGTCGTCGCTTGTTCGCCCGGGCAAAGAGACTTATCTCGGCTACTGTGCCTATGCAGTGCCTGGGTGATCCGACAGGGATCTTGGGCAAGAATGGTTGCACTCACACTAACACCCAACTACGCCCGACCGGTGAGTTCGGACAAGAGAAGAGTCACCTGACCATGTGTATTTTGCGCCTTCAACGCTGTCGCTCACATGACCAGCTCAATTTGTATGAACCACAATGGCCTCACCAAATATTGCACGCATTCATGACATTTGGTATAGCTCTATGCAAAGCCTTGGGATGTCAATATACGAATGTGAGCGACAATCTTCCGATGGCTGCGATGACCACGAGCTGTCGGCACTGGCAGTACTTGATGTTCCAAACTAGTCAATCTGTGTTTCCAATTCGAACGAGCGAGGTTACATCTTGAAATACAACTGCTGAGAGGATTTTTTCTTTTGCTTGTACCCCGTGACTATATTCTCGAGACCGAAAATGAAGATGAGCTGTGATCCGGAGCTTACTCCTACGGCATATGGGGGATTAGGATGCTCTTTCCTATTTGAACACGGCATGGTCGCGCCTTTCCTCCTCCAAACTCTTCTCAGCACTCCAAGGATCCTTTCCAAACAGCACATGGCGACGGGCTAATGGAAATCTCTATCTTCATACTCTGCAACATTAGCAAGTATTGTGGCTAGCTCGCCACTGCTTGTTTCCCATTGGAGCGAGCCAATGGCAAAGGATACATGCAAATATTTTCGATCCATTCAAAGACTGCAAAGCAGCTGCATGTACCTCTTTTGGGTCACATCCAGCCATCGCGCGCTCAACAAGTTCAACCTGCGGGTCAGTTCGTGAGTGGGAAGGTGTTCCCGATGCCTCAGGATGAGACATTGGCTTAGAGGATTGAGCGCAATTAACAGCACACTGTGTATCTTCAAAGACTTGAATGGCCGAGCTATTGGCCCTGAGATCTTATCCTTCTCCATTGATCATCTCTAAGGTCAGCCCAGAAGGACCACCCAGATATGTAGAGTATGCATGCATACACGGATTGACGTGGACCCTAACACCCTCGCCCCTGACTACTAAGTATCTTGTACCTGTGGTACCAGTAGTTTCTATTTGTTTTTCGAGGTAGCCATACCCCAGGAATGGATCACGGTAGATCTCAGTCCAATTCTTGAGAGATCAAGTCGGGTAATTTATCATCAGAAATACTTTAAGGGTTTCAGGGTTCAGAATATATCAGGTTACGACGTGTTCGTAGTATAGCGAGGTGATATTATAGCCCTGCTATTTGATCACTAATTATGACTGCAATTCCTCAAATAGCTTAAGCAACGAGAGAGGCCTCGTCTACGCAACAATCCACGACGCTCAGCTCTCAGGGTTAGCTAAAATAGGGGTAGCGGGTCTTCCGGAAGATGCGCGGAATGTCAGCACTGTGCTGGTGCCTTAGGCCCGCAAACCACGCCATGTGGGCTGATCACGGGCCCTAATGCTCCCTATTCAATTATTTATTTTGCCTGATGAATTGATAAAGTGTCATTAGCAACTGTTCTTTTCGGTCGGTGTATATTGAATCTGTTTTATACTATAGGACAGAAATATTCCGGATGGGGCCAGGTAGCACAAACCTACACGTTTCTATCTCAATCCACTCGGCATTATGGATCTCCAAGCTTTTGTTGATCCGAACCTCCCAGAGGCCGATTTGATCGTTCTCAAGCATCTACACCACGACATTGCCAATTTCGAAGCTACCATTTCATCGGCTTCCTCCGAAAAAGAAGACGCAAATGGATCGACAACAAGAAGAAAACCTCATGCAGCAGCAGCTGACAGCAGCAATGAGGAAGCTGTCATCTCCCAGCTCGACGCCCTCAACGACCCCTCCGACACCTCCTTCGAACCCACCGTCTTCGTAACCTTTGACATGGGCCATCTCCGCACAAAACTGCATCCATATATATACAAACACATCCTCGTCCCTTACATCGCATTCGCACGCAAGATTGTCCGCGTCGACACCGACGTCGTGATGTTGACACACTTATTCCTCTACTTTTCGACCTCCGTGCCCTCCGCGATCCTGCTATACCGACACTTCACATACCTCCATGGCGTGCTGCATTGGATAATGCAGAGCTACTACGTCGGCACATACACACTCATGATGCATCAACACATCCATATGGGCGGCATTCTCACCAAATCCAACCCCATCATCCACGCTTTCGACGTCCTGTTTCCATACATCACAAACCCATTACTGGGCCATACCTGGAACTCGTACTACTACCACCACATCAAACACCACCACGTCGAGGGCAATGGACCCGATGACCTATCTTCTACAATCCGGTATCAGCGCGACTCAATCCCGGATTTTGCGCACTACGTKCTGCGGTTCATGTTCCTCGTGTGGATTGAATTGCCACTCTACTTTTTCCGGCATGGGAAGTACTTGCTTGGACTGAAAGCGTTCTTTTGGGAGGTTAGCACATACATCTCGATTGCAGCACTATATCGATACGTTGATGCGCGCGCGACTGTGTTTGCTTTTTTGTTGCCGCTCTGCATGCTCAGGATAGGGCTTATGGTTGGAAACTGGGGCCAACACGCACTCGTGGATGAGGAGGACCCGACGTCCGATTTGAGGAGTAGCATCACACTGATCGATGTCGCTGTATGTCTCTCCCCCACCCCTTTCTCTGTCCCCCTTCCTTGCACCCTCTAACACTGCTCAATAGTCAAACCGCTTCTGCTTCAATGACGGCTACCACACATCCCACCACCTCAACCCACGCCGCCACTGGCGCGACCACCCAGCCGCCTTCATGCGCGCAAAACACAAATACGCGACGGAGCGAGCACTCGTTTTCAAAAATATAGACTACATCATGATGACCGTGAAACTCATGCAAAAGGACTACAGATATCTAGCGAAATGCCTTGTGCCCATTGGGGAGACGCAGATGCAGATGTCGTTGGATGAGAGGGCGGCGATGTTGAGGAGTAAAACGAGAAAGTTCTCCGAGGAGGAGATCAAGGTCAAGTATGGGTTGTAGATAAATTAAACTTCCTTTCAAAAAAATAATCAGGATGTCAAGGTTAATTTAGACAGAATTTCTAGAAAGTGTCTGGAAAGGAAGAAGGCATGCATGTCATTGTAAAATATTATTGTACATCTATACCTAACCAACATCAATACGTAACCTGCCAGATAGAATTACGGCATGACGGTAAATCTTTTCTTTGGAGTGTTGATCAACTCTCCTTGCCCAGTCTTCCCAATGCATCTGTCAAAAAATCAGACGCGTTCATGAGCTCTGTGCTCCCGTAAACAACTCTCTTCCTGTGTGTTCCGGCCGATGCAGCAGCCACGCTAGTACCGGCGGGACCAGCAGCGCCGGCTGGAGCACTGCCGGCACCAGTGGTACCCTGTTGACCGCTCGTGCGAGCGACCCAGTCCTGCAAATTGCCGTACTCCTCCATGCTGCCACCACCAACGGTAAAGACGATGGCTTCGTTAAAGGCCTGACGACGCTGTCCGAAGCTAGCGGTGATTCCGGGCGTCGACGCGGAGCCTGCGCCGGTCTGCTGTTGGCCCCGCGCAGCGGAGGATGTGGGCATGGCACCTCGTGCATTTGCGCTACGCGGATCAAAGTAGAGATAATTCTCGGTCTTGGCAATGGCCGAACTGGAAGCGGATTGAGGATCCATGATCGACTCTGTAATCTTGGTGAGGGTGAGATCCTTGTTGACCGGAAGGAAATTCTTGACGCCAGAAATCAGAGAGTCGAAGTTGGCGCCAAGAGCACCAGAGGTAATGCGATCAGTCAGTCTGTTGGAAAGAGACGAAAAACCCTTGAAGAGGTCGGATGACTGTTGTTGAGGAGCCCCAGTCGAGCTCGTCATCATGGTCATTCTGGTAATTTCTCGTACCCGCTTGACATATGCAATAGAGGCCGTGTCCTCATTTCCCGCCTTCTGCAACGCTTCCTCAAATTGTGTCATTTCCGCCCTTGTCAATTCCAGTTCTGTTGTCAAGAACCAGATGATAAACAACCGTAGTTTATCGGACGCATCCGTACCCTTGCTCGGGTCATTTATCAGTTCTAGTATTTGAGCTTTGGTTTGCTTGCTGATGTTCTCCTCGAGTTGGAAAAAGTTGTCGAGTTGTCGGTCTTTGATCCCTTGTAGTAACGCCGTAGCAATGTTCATGTGCATATCGAGGGTAGCTTTGCGCTCGCGTAGCTCTGGAAGTAGAGTAATGGCTGCTTTGAGATGATGTGCAGAAGCGCTGGTGTCATTTTGAAGGTCTTCGATTGAAGATGCTCCTGTCTTTTTTGTAATATCGTTGGCATCTTCTTTATACCTTGTTAACTCGGCGTCAATATCTTCCGCCACTTGAGGGAAGGGCACGTTGGCGTTACGTTTCCAGAAGAAATCTGTCGCATTAAGATCATATGCCTTTTTAGTCTTTCCTTTTGAAGGGTCCGATTCGTCCACCAGCGTCTCCACCGTGATACGATTCAGGTGCATCTTCAGAACATCTTGCACCAAAGACTGGTAAGTCCATCCGTGGGACAGCATCGGCACGAGGTCAACATTCCGATCCACAATTATCATTACCGGTCGCGACGATGGCACGGCAGCTCCTGGTCGTTTGTTGCTCGAAAACAGATTATCCTTCGAATTGAGTATATGGTCGCGCAGTTTGCGATCTAATTTGGTGGCTATAAGCTCGGCAGCGCCGCCTTTCGGGCATCGAATGATGGGTATAGCGCCCATAGTGACACTGACGTCAAAAAGTCCACTGACAATTTGATCCACGATGTTGTCGAGATCTTCATCGCTTGTTTGAGCACTGTTGATCTTCCAGTACGAGTCATTACCAAGGCCCAAGCTGAACAGATCCGGCTCCGCGACGATAAAGTTCAGGTATTGGTCAAAGACTTGAGATATATGTTCTGCCGTGCCCGATGTTGCGATCTGTGATGCGAAGTCTTCCAGTAGCTGGCGCGGTACCGACGAGAGAAAGTTGACGTAGGCGGGGGAGTATAGCCCGCGAGATAAGTCTGAATTGATGAGTTGCGTGTTCACTGCAGTCGGCTCCACAAGGTAAACGACGGGTACGTCAGGTATCGGATATCGTGCAGAGTTTATGTTCCTGAAAAGCGTCAGTCAATGTCAACAAAGTCGAAAATGGTGGTGCATACAAGTGGATAGTGACACCCCACGCCCGCAAGTCATTCACTCGTAGTACGCTACTGATCACATCTCGGCCTTTATTATCAAACACTAGGACTTTCCATATCGGATCTCCGTCTTCGTTCAGGATTGGTGTAGACTGGGGGATGACGGCCGCGGCGCCATCAGCCTGCGCATCGCTGGAGGCTTGGACTTCGTGATTGAGGTTGAGGATTCTTTGGATGGATGCTAATAGTAGTGTACCGTTAGTATACAGACTCAATGCCGAGAGTAAAAGATGTAGTTTAGAACAGCAGAGCAGCTCACCGATTTGCCGGTCCCGCAGCGACAGGGCTAAGGTGGCCATCGCGACAGAACAGGTGTCGACGTCTGTCGCTGGCAAATTTCAGTAGGAAACAGTTGCCAGATTATCTCATACAAACACGGCTATATGAGAGATTCTAGTCAGATTGTCTCAGAGAACGGCAGCAGGCAGCTCGATATTTTGATACATTATGCTTGTCTATCGTCCACTTGGCAGCAACGGGCAGTGACATATCACAGGCCGCAGCGGCAGCCAATCAGGTGATATAGAAGCAAGCAAACAAAACAAACATTTACCACACCCCTTGGCAGATCATGTGCACCGCTAGACCTGATTTGGAGAGACACGACACAATCTCCCGCTCTTCTCTTCTCGCCCTCTGCTCCGTCTTTCACTTCACATTCACTCACCACTTACCTCAACTACACCCATCATCACACACCTGTAAAGCGATTGATTCTGCTGCCATGAAGCAGCTTTTCTCTGGCTCTCTGTATTAGGGCTCTCTTTCTTTCATTTAATCGAGAGTTTCTTAAGGCAAGTTAGACGGCGCTACTGTTGAAAACGCGTCACTGTGAGATCTCTGTCTGAGGACAGGACTCAATAGGTTTTGTCTGCCTACTTTGATTTTACTACTAGAGAAGCGGGAGTCAGAATAGCTGGACACAAAGAGTGCACGAGAAGGAGCTAAGAGACAGAGATTCTCCTACTGTACATGCTTGTATTGTGATTTGCCGTGCTTTTTCATTTGTTTCTCTGCCTAAAGAGCGACTGGACAGCAGCTCCCACGATCTGATCGAAAAAGAGACATCAACGCCTGAACAGATGCCAGACACACTACTGCAGCTCAGCCACATCTATTAATCAACTAGCTTAAGCTAGAAGAGGCACATCGCTCGAGGTGGAGTCTGTACGGCTGTCTCACTGAATTCATCCTGACGACTGCCCGACCTTTACAGAATCCCTGGCTGGATCAGACACACGATAGGCGGCCTTTATTTCCACGACCCGACTACCCTGGTTCGGTCCGTGAAATTGCGCGCATCTTAATTTGTGTGGTAATAATTACTCCGCCCGCACTCTGCTCATTGGACCAGCTGGCTATTCCATAATTCCACGCCTCTTCTCCATAACGACCACGCGGTTGATCGTTGTATCACGTGACCTGTGCACGTATAATCTGCAACAAACATGGAGCAATCAACAACACCTCAACCACCACAGAGTAATAATGCTCCGTCCGCCATTGAGCAGACTTCTTTTGCCGACGATATCTGGAATAATATGGAAGGCATCTTTCCGGAGCTAGATGTTCAACAATCGGACCCACAATTGCAATCCAACCAACAACAGGGCCCCCAAGGCATTACATGGGATCATCCAATCTTTACACAGACCAACCAGCAGTCTGAACAACAGCCTTCTTTCCCACAGCAAAATGATCATATCCGGGACTTTTACTCTGCGACGCCTCAGGCCTGGGGTCAACCTACGTCTTCGACTCAGACCGCAAATGACCCTTCTGGCCAAGCATACGGACTTTCTCAACAACATCCATATTCGATACAGCAACAGTTCCCCCAGGATCGGGTCTCATATAATTCCCGTACTATAAGTCCTGAAAATCTTGCTTATCAATATACAATCCCTGGCCAATATTACCAGCAGCCCGGTCTACAGCCTGCCGGCACATATGCTCAACAACAACCCCGACATCAGGCCATCGCTCCACGACCTCCTGCTACCCAGCAGCAGCCTGTTTTGTCGGGAGGAGCTCAGTCTACACAGAGCCATCAGTACATCATGCCAACGAATGCCGGCAATGCACAAGCACCTAATTTCAACCAATTTGAGAATGCGGCAACCGCAGGCTTGAACTTTCAAAATACGATTGATCCACAATTCCTCTCTTCACTTCAAGAAGCATCAGGTGGACCTCATTCATCACAGAACCAATTCTTATTCTACAATCCGAATGCATCCTCGTACGAGCGTCCTAATGACCCAAAGTGCGTGATCCTCGTCAATTATTATTTGGATGCTTGAAGCTAACCTATATCAGGGCGTATCAAGCTTTTCCGGACAACTTAGCCCAGCTCAATGCGGAACAACTCAATGCTAGACAGCATTTGGCCCCTAGCCTTATGGGACAACTGCCTCATCTAGCACCCTATCCTGTCCCCGGAATGCTAGGTATGTATCGAATGTTTTCACACTTCTAGATTTGTCCATTCTGATACCATTCATAGCACCAAATGGAGCACCTAAGCCGGCTGCTCAAATACCAAGTCCCAGGAAACGAGGAAGGCCTAAGAAACACCCACTCAAAACACCAAATGACAAAGCGAGATCTGACTCGATTTCTGACACTTCTGATTCGGAGCTAGAGGTTGAAGAACCGGATGAACCTTCGCCTCTGCCTGCCGTGCGTCCGACGGATCCAGAGGGGGCTGTTCAATACGATACCATCAAAGCTATTTGGTCACCGCGTAATAAGTACCCTAGCGTTGAGAAGATTAAGAATGCTCTTGTTGCTTTCAAGGATGTCGTCAAGACTGTCAGAGACGAATGGAAGTCGCTCAGTCAGGCAATGAAGGATGCTGAGAACCAGAACAACAACGATAAAGCGTCCTCGCTGAGAAATCAAGTCGTCCAGCAACGAAAACTCATCAACGCCGTCATTACCACAGCGATAGACAAGGGTCATCCTGTTATTGTTGAAAAGTACGTACATTTTCCTCCCCTTCTAATCTCACTAGCACATCAATTCTATTGCGTCTCTAGAACTTTGATGCAGAATGCACACATCTACCATGTAACCATCTCAAAATGGATAGTGAGCGAACTTAAAAAGATAGTTAATTGCCGAACAAGGCATGATTCGAGCACTGGTCATACACAAATGTGTGCAGTATCGTCTCTACTACCAAAATTCGCAAATAAAATCTTGAGATTACATTACATGGGAAATGCTTTGCTGCTGTGCCATGTTAATGCCGTGGCAGCATTCTAGCAACCCCCTTCCGTTAATCACTTCAAACGCAGTCTTTGGATCAAAACTAAACGTAGCTAACATCTTATAGATTAGGAGAGCACCCAATGGCTGTTGCAGCTTTATACTCTTTTTTACTTGATCGTCACCAGTCCTCGGATTATGAGGGCGTATTGCTGGTCAACATTCTCACAGTAAGACTTCTTCAACTTGTTGGAATGATTCACACTCATGATACATTTTAGTTGTTATCACGTTTCACGACCATGGACGATGAGGTTCTTCTCAAGACAAATGTCTCAAAACTTCTACCAAGAATAATCAAAAAAGGCATCCAACCTGGCAAAGACTTGGCTCAAAAGATCATGGATAATGCAGCCCAATCAACGAAACGAAAGCAGGAGTCTAACGGCAACTCATCTTCTCGAGACGCCACACCTGACAAGTCGAACGCATCCGCCACTGGAGTCAAGCGTACTCGCGATGGAGAACCCAATGGCCTCCCGGCCACCAAGAAGATAGTAAACCCAGTCCTAGCAGCAAAAGGTGGTCCTTCTGCTAAAGCGGCTACTGGCAGCACGGCCAAAGCTGTGGATAACAAAGCCGCCGCTGCTCCAGCTGTTCGACCCAAGGCTAGCATCGTTCCTCCCAAACCAAGTAGTCTCTTTGGTAGTTTGGCTTCCGCATCGAAGAAGCCTGGAACCTCAAATGCGGCGCGAGCTGCTGCAGCTGCCGCTGCGGCCAAGGAAAAGGGGGGTGCTGCAACTGATAAGAAAGAATCGCCACAGCCAGCACCCTCCAAACCAGCTTTCTCGTTTGGTGATATACTAGCAGACCTTAACAAAAAAGAGGAAGCCAAAGTCAAGAAGCCCTCCGACGATCTTCCACCTGAAACGGAAGAAGAGCGTGAAAAGCGTCTTCGAAAGGAAGCACGCCGGAAACTTCGCGTCAGCTGGAAGCCCGATGACTCTCTCACTGAGGTCCGCTTGTTCACTCACGATCCTGAAGAGGTCGTTGGTATGGATGATGACCTGAAGAGGGACGTTGACGATATCAAAGGAGAAGGCCGTATGCTCAAGCTTCACAAAGACTTGGATGAAGACGAGGACGATGAGGTGGAGCCACAGGAAGAAGAGTATCATCCTTGGACAAGCCTGCCTACTGTTGACCAAGACTTGAGCAACGAGGACCAAGCGAGCAATTTCATCAAGAGAGGTGGAAACAAGGAGCCGGACAGCCCTGAGAAACTTGCTCAGGAGAGCAGAGAAGCCACCACTTTGATGGTTTTCTATACGTCTGCTGCAGATGTGCCGGCTTCACCTAGGGAACCTCCTGCGCCTACTGATGACGAGCCGCCTACCACTCAACTGCTATTTGGTGAGCCTGATGACAAAGTCAAGGTATCTTATACTTTTAGCCATTTTTCAATAACAATTTTCTAACATTGTGGCTTAATAGGCTCGCTCTGCTCGCTACTTGGCGATGATCAACTCGCAACCCGCACCAACTCCTGCACCCGCTGCAACTATTGCACCTGTTGCGCCAGTCGTTCCTGGTGGCGCTTTAGATATTGCTAATTTACTGAAAGTCATTCAGAGTGCACCTCAACAGGTACAATCTACAACGCCTCCTGTTCCTGCTCCACAGCCGGCACAAACTCAACCAAACCCTCTCGCGAATCTTGAGCAGACTATCAATTTATTCCGACAGCAACAGCAAGCACCGCCAGTCATACCGCAGATTCCTCAAATACCTCAAATACCACAAATACCACAAATACCACAGATCCCTCAGATTCCTCAGATTCCTCAAGTTCCTGTCTCTGCTCCGTCGGGACAACCAATCGACTTTCAAAAAATCCTTGCTGTGCTAAACGCTCAGAAGCAAATGGCGCAACAACAGCAACCAGTCGCTCCACAAATACCTGCAGCACCAGCAGGCATCGCCCCCAATCTTGCAGCGCTCGTTTCCCAACTTAGCGGCCAAAGAACAGGCTCTCCAGTGTCACAGCCACAACCGCCAGCTCAGTCCTCGTCCGGTCTATATGAAGACCCAGAGCGTAAACGATATCGTGACATTGGCCGCGGAAACGAGAACAATGGCTACGGCCCACAAGGCAGCGCAAAACGTCCCCGAATGTACGTCGACCCCGAAGCGAAGAAACATCCACGCGCTGGGTCGGTGGCATGTCGATTCTGGCGAGAAGGCAAATGTCTTAAGGGTGATGACTGCACCTTTCGCCATGACCCCGCCGATTTGAACTAATGTCGGCTACTTGATACCCTCATCATTTAGACTACAAGTTATTGCATCATGCACGGTTTGACTCATTGCATACCTTACCCTCATGGGAGTTTTCAATTTAATTCCGGCGTTACCAAAAAAAGATGGCACAAGATTCATTCACGGGGGGCTTTCTTTTTGATCATTTCTTCTTCACGGAGCAACAGCATCCTGTATATTAATTTACCTGCAAAATTGGCGTTTCTATCTCCTGTTTGCTAGCATTTATCCAGGCATGTTTCTTCAGCCGTGTTGTACTATTATATTCGTCCTGTTTGGAGGTTGAGAATGGCTCTTAAGGGCCTGCAGTTCAGAGCCAGCCTTGATGTCCTAGAGCTTGATATTTTTATCACTAGACCCTGAAGCTAGGTTTGCCCGTTGGGAGAGAAGGCTACTGAATAAACCTAGCCTGAATGGGTCTTGAGTGTTTATAGTCCTGGGATCCATAAATCATCTACCTGTGGTTGTATATGCAAGTGTTTGAGTATACTAGCAAGAAATATCCTTCTAACAATACTTTGCATCAGTGAAAACACTAGCCTGGAACTGTAGAGTTGCAGTGGACCAATACCCGCAATGTAAGCATTTTTAAGAATGAATCGTTTAGCATCATAGAAAAAGCCTGAAATTGCAGCATCTATGCTTACCCCATCACTAGACTGTATCGCACAAGTATGATCACTCTAGTATTTCATATGATGCCTACCCCATAGATATACTACCGGGGCCTGAAACGATATAGAAAAAGGGAACAGAATGAAGATGATGTAATGCCATATCTAACTCATAAGTCTTCCTATTCACAGCATGAGAGAATACCAAACCTAGGGGTTCTCTTTACAACGCCATCTACCAATGGATAGAAACCAAATTTTAACACCAGTCTTATAGTTAAAGACTTATGTTTAGCTATTGCAGATTGCAGAAACATACAAGTCCGATTTCGACTCGGGTCAGCTTCGTTAGTATTGCATCAAAAAGCTCTTTCTCAGATTTGGCGACCTTGATTTCACAGTCTTGTGACAAGCAACTCCGAAGCTAGAGGCTCAATTGATGGGATGTTTCAGTCTTTTGCTTACATCAATGATACGTATTACCAACGGTATTCCGTACGTACAGAGACACCCAAGGATAAACAAGGAAGGCTCAATGAGGGACGAAATTTGATATATTTGTCCACAACTTCTAAAACATAAACACCCAAAAGTGCTTTACTCCCGAGTTTTGAAATCGTTGTTGACCGTCAGGCATCGGACACGATACAGTAGCTAGCAAAAACAAAGCAGATCCCCTCTTGATCTCTGGATCCCGTGTCAGGGTTCTCTCCCGGGCCTAAACTTCTAAAGTTGCAAATTTCCACAAACGTCTGAGCGACGTCTACTTTGCAGTAAGAAGAATGCTATCCGCGCCCTTACTTTCCTGACGGCTGCAGTATCCCAAACCTCCCAATCCGTTCCTTCGGCGTTTGGCGAAAGAAGTCCCGCACAGTGACCAGCTTGACAGCAGGATAACGATCATTGTGGAGCGGTAGCGGTAAGGTCGTCTGGCCGTTAAGCGAATAGTACGTGTAGAACAGACCTAACCAGGCCATGGCGTTGTCTGGATTCTGGTTTCGTGTCTCATGCATAAGCTTGTAGAGATCCTCTAAGCTTCCCAGTCGTACCATGCCCGGCTCTTCACCATAGATGTCCCGAAATTCTGCGACGATCTCTTTGATATTGACGTGGTCGCCACGAACTACAAGTAAGAATATCAGCCCGTGATTCATAGATTCGTTTTAGACCTCTATAATATCTTCAGAGGGCTGCTGTACGTATGATGAATATGGATAAAGATAACTAGATACGTATAATGAAAGCCGCATGATCAGAGACTTACAAGAAAACCACCCTACTGCATCCTGGTCCACTGCGATCTCTGCTGTGAACTGAGCTGCATTTCGATACGTGGTGAATTCCCAACGTTCATCTCCCGTGCCCCAATACTTGAACAGATGGCCTTTGGCATCCCACATTCCTACCCACGGCCGTTCTAAGAAACATCCATTTAGAACATGAACGGCACTTATCCGTCCCTGCGCCTCCCTATCCTCTAGATATGCCTGTACAAGCTTCATCGGATCCTTAGGGGGGTGTTGGCCGAGCTCCAACTTGCGGAAATCCATCGACCAATCCCCGGCAATATACCTAGGAACCCCCTCAGCGATGCATGCGTCGATGAGGAGTTTTTGTCCGTCAACCATCAAGGAAGGAGGGCCTAGATAACAGCAGATGGCCACATCGGCACCATGAACAGCGGCTCGGAGCGTGGTGCTATCGGTTGAAGACGTGGTATGGATGGKGAGACGCGGTTCGTTGCGGAGCTGACTTGGAAGCTTGGAAGGTGTACGGCAGAGGCCATGGACACGAACGTTAGGTTTAGCCAAGAGGTACTCGGCGATGAGCCTCCCAAGACTGCCAGTGATACCAGCAATGGCAACCGTGGTGGATGGATTCATGGACATGATGAGCCTTAAATCGAAAACCTGAGCTTGTTATTTCAATGATAGAAGTCGTTCAGGACGGACTACATTGGGTTTTAAATACGCTTTTGGGTTTGTACTGTATGTATGATATGTCCTACCTAGCATATCATGATCGATTCTTGGGCGCCACAGACCTAACAAATTAGTCATACTCTCGGACATCGGGTGAATCCATTTCTACCGAAATTCCACGTGTACAGACAAATTCAAAACTTTTCTTCACCTTTTAGACTCTCACATTTTTGTTTACCCCCGCCTGTAAGGCTGTTGCCTGAAGCTAGTCCTAGCCCGGTTTGACTTGTATTTTATGATAACTAAACGCGCGCTGTGCGCGCCGGGGACCTGAAACGATGTAAGAAGGTAATGTTTAGTGTAAATATCTACTGCTTTACGTAGGGGAAAGAAGGACCTGCGTTGCAGCGAATCAATGCTACATAGTAGTCCAAAAGTCGAGATTTAACTTCACGACTGAGCGTGACATGGAAGGTCAACCAAATGAAAATATGACACAGCCAGAACTGCATCATTTGATTATCGTATGCTGTCATGCGATTTATCTTGGAGGTCTCACCAATGGTTTTGATGAGAATGAGTGGTACGTACTTCTTCGCGACGACCCCAATGGTGTTTCTTTCCGCCTTCTTCCAGGATTCAGTGTACATGAAATCTGGATGAGACAATACAGCATTGCCTTTCTCCTATAGGACAGAGTCTAATATCAAGATCAAACTATGGGCTCCGCTGACATGTGGAAGGTTACTCGCTCCGTTCCAAAGAGGCGAAACTCCTACCTTTGTGAATCACATCAAGGCAGGATTGCAGGAATATGAAAATAGTGGAGGGGCAGGAGTTTTGATATTCTCTGGGTTTGTGCATCCCTTGATTTCTCAGGGTCTCGCTCTATACTCGAGGCTCTGGATAGGCATGGCTGATCGATACATTCCTAGAGGCGCAACGAAACGAAAAAGCACAGATCTCACAGAGGGACAATCATATCTAGTAAGCTGACACCCTATCAAGTTGACATCGTCTCTAAGCAGCTACGCAGAACCTCGCCCGAAACAACAACTTTTTCAGATCTGAACATCAAAACTTCAATATCGATACATCCAATATCCTCGCCGAAAACCATGCCACAGACTCCTATCAAAACATCCTCTTTTCATTACTACTGTACCGCCAACATACACAACTACCCCATCCAAAAAGTATCACAATCATAACCCACGCTTTCAAAAGACGCCGATTTTTGGATTTGCATCTCCCTGCTATGGGCCTCMCCCCGCCAATAGCGGCAAACAAGCCAAGAATCCCGGTTTTGTTCATAGGCGAGAATCCGCCTGAACATATCACTCCTTTGGCTGAATTGATGGATGGAGAAGAGAAGAGGGGGTTTGCAGTGTGGAAAAATGATTTGTATGGCACGCAGGATGTGTTGGGCAGAAAACGGAAGGAAAGGGGATGGAGTAAGCTTGAAGAAGAGCTTGTTTTGCGGAGGGAAAGAAACGAGGTTGTCAAGAGGCTGGTGAGATGGGAGGGAGATGTGCTGTTTTTGGGGATGGAGGATTTGCCGTGGACATAGTGGATAGACTACCAAAATTGGTAGATACCCTTGTCAAGTAACTAGATTATATATAGTATACTAATACATATAGTATCTGACGAGCTAGCCATCTACTACGAGCCGCAGTATGAACAGTCTTGTTGGTTTTCCCAACACAATGCTCATTGGCATGCAATCTCTGCACTACACAGGCAGTAAAAATTAGCCCTAATACATCTAGCCACATACGCTAAAGGGTTTTGGTAGGGCTAAAACTGTGCGTCCAGATCTTAGGTCCCCTTTAAATTTGAGTTACTCGGATTAAAAAGTCTGACGAGCAAATTACTGTAGTGTTTCTTCACGCTATACTGACTCGATGCTGGTCTTGGCTTCATCTTGCTCTGCCGCTCGCATGGGAAATCAGCCTCGTAGATGATGGATATTTATCGGTCGTCCCTTCTTCTAATTTGATCTCAAGATCCATATTTATTAAGTATGTGATTGCAAGAGATTGTAATATCAAAAGATGAATGCACCTGAAAGAGCCATCCCAGATGGCCTTGAAACCTACCACCCTCAACAGAGCCAACACACCTCATTGTTCATCCAGCCCGACTCCTCTTCTTATCAGCCCGCCCCCAGCACAGGCGCGGAGAAATACTCCAAATCCCAATATGAGATTGGGCCAGGAGCAAAGCAAGATCTTCACAGAATAGGAGGACTCCGTCGACGATGGTTCTGGTTGCTGATTGCTCTCATCGCGGTTGTTGTTATTGGTGCTTCTGTTGGAGGAGCGGTGGGAGGGACACATGCTAACAAGAGCTCTGATTCTGGGGCTGCGTCGTGCGTGTGGTCCATTCTGTTTGATGCTATCGCAGCTAATGAGATTCAGATCTAAAACGTCAGCCTCTTCCCAACCCTCGTCATCATCGTCTTCTTCCTCAACCGGCACCTCGACTGCCTACACCTCTTCAGGCACATCAACTTCAACCTCATCATCAGCATCTTCCTCTCCAACCGCAATAACCAACTGTCCCTCCGTCAACGGCAAAACCTACACCCCAGACACCCCCTCCGGCCAGTCCGGCTCCTACACATTCACAAAGACGTGCGGCGGCTACGACACAGACGGCACAGACGTCATATCCGCAAACATAGCAACCTTCGATGACTGTATTAGTTTGTGCTCGACCTGGAATTATGTAGCTGAGTCTCTGGTGCCTATTCAGTGTACTAGTGTCGTGTACCTGGGGGATACGTCCTGTTATGCGAAGAATGGGACGAAGGCGGTCAAGTCGACTACTTATCCTGATGCTGCTGTTGCGTTGTTGAATGGCTAGGCGGATACGAGCAGGAGGGAGCGATGTAAGTACAGGAGTTTAGACCCATCAAGTATGTCATTAGTTATATACCGAGACGACGAGCGGTTGTGCCAACCCAAGAATAACAATATAATCCCACTGCAAACGCCATACCGTATTTCCATAAATCAAACTGAAAACGCAAACAGGGGTAATAAGGCCTAATCAGCAAGCCGATAACTAACCAGCGTATCCACCCGATGATTGTTCGTACTGAAACTCCTCAACTGCACCTTCTCCCCATTCGTAATCTCCTTTGCGTCGCTGTCGCCCCATTCCACGGGTACATCTGAGTCGGCATCTGCATACACCAGAACGTTGAATGTACAGTTCCCGTCGAGGACAGGTAAAAAAGTCACCGAAGCGGTGATTTGGCGGAATATAGCCTGAATTTCTTGCTGGATCTGTGTCTCGGTCTTTTCTTGCGTTGGTTCTTCTGCTGCTGCGTCGTTCTCTCTGTCTGCAGCCGAGTTTTCTTTGTCGGCAGTACTTGATTTCTTGCGTCCAGCAGCAGCTTGTTTGAATATTTGAACATCGAACTGCCATCGCTCCACGTGTTCGCCAGTCTCTTTGCTGGTGATAACGACGACTAGTTTAGAGATCTTGCCGCCTATCATCCATTTGTTCAATTGTGACATGATCTTTTTGATGTATGCTCTGACTTGGTCGTCGGACGAAACTGTTTCGGTGGATTAGGACGATTGAAAGGACCGGAGGAGTCTGACAGGACTAACTGAGCATGTTGAGGCCATATTTCTTGACTCTGTAGACGTTATTATAGGTATTTTGGATTTGTGGAGAGGGGGACTCACGGTGAGAAATCTTCTGCTGGGTAGACACCTCGTTGATAACTAGTAAACAACGTCAGTTCACGGTTCTGGTCATGGTTTGTGAATTTTCGGCATACAGAATTGAGTTAATCGAATATTCGAACTATATGATATCCAGTGTCAGTCAATTAATCCCAGCGAAAAGAGTTCTGTGAGCTCACGAATTCAGCCACCAGCTTCGATGATCCTGTTGTTTTGCAAATCAGTCCCCGCATTCGCATATCTTCAGTTCACTCGGAAGTAACCACCTTTCAAGGACAATTTGTGGACTTTTGATTTTTCCTTATCTGCCGACATATTGATAGTTTCTCTAGAATGGCGTATAATTCACGAATTGATGTTGTACAATGACCTGTGGCAGGAATGGTTAATGTTTACTTTCCTCGCAGTCACCCCAGCAGCAATTTGGCTCCCGGCCTCAATCCGCACTAGCGCCCGCATCATTTATTTTTTTCCGAACCAGCAGTGGCATTCCCCCAGAATCAACCCTATGGATTAAGCAGTACGCTCATTTCATTTCTATTAGTCGTGCAATCAATGCACTTATCCCAATGCGAGGATGCCTGCAAGTGCTCCGATGGCTGAGCACATCGAACGCACGGCGCCCGGTGTCCTCAGGACCGCTCCATGAGATCTTTTCCAACAGCGAATTCCGGCGTCCGTTCACAAGCACCATCCTGCGACAAGCACAAGCTTCCAGGAACGTCTCGGATCTCGAGAAACGAATCGCAGACATCCCCATCGAACGTTTCCGAAACTTCTGTATCGTCGCCCACGTCGACCATGGCAAAAGTACACTGTCGGATCGACTTCTTGAACTCACCGGCGTGATCCAACCGGGCTCGAATAAACAAGTCCTCGATAAACTAGACGTCGAAAGAGAACGCGGTATCACCGTAAAAGCTCAAACATGTACAATGCTCTACAATCATAACGGCGAAGACTATCTTTTGCATCTCATCGATACACCCGGCCACGTCGATTTCCGCGCCGAGGTATCTCGAAGCTACGCCAGTTGCGGGGGAGCTTTATTGCTTGTCGATGCCAGTCAGGGCGTACAAGCGCAGACCGTTGCGAATTTCTATCTAGCTTTTGCGCAGGGATTGGAGCTTGTGCCTGTGCTGAATAAAGTGGATTTGCCGTCTGCGGATCCGGAGCGTGCTCTTGAACAGATGAGGTCGTCATTTGAGCTTGATACGGATAATGCGATCAAGGTATCTGCTAAGACGGGGCTGAATGTTGCTCAATTGCTGCCGACTGTGATTGAGCGGATACCAGCGTAAGCTCCCCTCCTATTTTTTACGAACATTTAATTAATCATGATTTGATAGACCCGTCGGCGACCATACGAAACCTCTACGAATGCTACTCGTCGATTCATGGTATTCAACCTATAAAGGGGTTATTCTACTGGTACGAGTATTCGATGGCGAGATTCGTGCAGGAGATCAAGTCGTGTCCTTTGCCACTGGACTGAAATACTACGTCGGCGAGGTCGGAATCATGTATCCCGATCAAACTCCTCAAACAACCCTACGAGCAGGCCAAGTCGGCTACATTTACTTCAATCCCGGTATGAAACGCAGTAAAGAAGCTAAGATCGGAGATACATTCACCAAAGTCGGTTTCGAGAAAAAAGTCGAGCCTCTGCCGGGATTCGAAGAGCCCAAATCCATGGTATTCGTGGCGGCATATCCCAGCGATGCAGATCATTTTGAGCATTTGGAGGACAGCGTCAACCAGTTAGTATTGAATGATCGAAGTATTACAGTGCAAAAGGAGTCATCGGAGGCTCTTGGGGCCGGATTTCGCTTAGGATTCTTGGGAACGCTGCATTGCTCTGTCTTTGAGGATCGACTGAGACATGAGCACGGTGCTAGTATTCTTATTACTCCGCCCACAGTACCTGTCAAAGCCATATACAAAGACGGTAAAGAAGTTACAATCACCAATCCAGCGCATTTCCCGGACGAAGATGAGATCCGTGCTAAAGTGGCCGAACTTCGTGAGCCATATGTGATGGCTACATTGACGTTTCCAGATGAATATCTCGGCAAAGTTATTGAACTCTGTGAGGCGAACCGCGGCATTCAACACACACTCGAATATTTCACATCCTCCCAGGTCATTCTCAGATACGAACTACCATTGGGCCAGCTAGTCGAAGATTTTTTCGGCAAACTCAAGGGTTCTACCAAAGGCTATGCAACCCTTGACTACGAAGAAGCCGAATGGAAAGTCAGCAACATCGTCAAGCTTCAGCTACTTGTCAACAAGAAGCCAGTCGACGCCGTAGCACGCATTGTGCATTACAGCCAAGCTGAGCGCCTGGGTAAACAATGGGTCACAAAATTCAAGGAACATGTCGACCGACAGATGTTTGAAATCATCATCCAAGCCGCTGTGGGACGCAAAATCGTCGCTCGAGAGACCATCAAGCCGTATCGTAAAGATGTGTTGGCTAAGCTACACGCTGCTGATATCGGGAGGAAGAAGAAATTGCTGGAAAAGCAAAAGGAGGGACGAAAGAGACTGAATGCAGTTGGAAATGTGGTAATTGAACATAGCGCTTTTCAAGCGTTTTTGTCTAAATGATTGTCCATTTGCGGCTTACCGCTCGACTTTCTGCCGGCCATTCTTTTCAATCACTTGGGCGGTGTAAGGAACCTCTTTTAGGGCTTCAAGATGAAATACTCTCGTGCAGGGCCGCCCCAGTCCGATGTTGCATACTTGTATAACAATGTATATTTGTACAATATAGAATTCAGAAAGGTGCCACACTCCAATATTTTGCCTATGAAATCCAGAAATACGAATGGTGACTATATACAATACTGGCTTTTCGATCACAACTAAACAACCACCTACATAGACTTCATACTGTCCCTATTCTTATCGCGCATATTGCTCTGGATCAAGCTAAATGGAAACTTATCATTGTTATATGGCTACGTTGTAGGACACCAACAAAATGTCAATACATCCTAGTAGACTTGAACGTTGGTATTGTCTATAAACGAGGAGTCAGGCTAACATTGAAGCAAGACAATCTTACCTAGTTGGAGGATAGGATGTCTCAGAATTACTTGAATGCATTTAGATATGTTCTCATACTCTTGGATCAGGCGGTGAGGTAATAGTCATCAGCAGAGCAAACATACACAGAAAAGAATAAGAGCACACCCTTGCTTCATCAACCATCTACGTTGCTCTCAATGCAGAATTGAACGCCACGTAGACTGTAAATGTATTCTGGCAATACTTAGATATGATATCATAATTTGTCCACCTCTTTGGGCTATGCCGGCAGGAATTTGAGCATCATACTCACCGCAAGGGGTAGCAGGCATGTCCATATGGAGGAGTCGATGGGTTACTCTGCCCACACCGCATCGTGAGAAATGAATTGTAACCGGTGAAACCTCTACCACAGTGTTCGGCTTTTGATGAATCCGAGTATAGTTATGTATGTATACTTAATCACGGCGGGGGKACTTCTGCATCATACCTAGGTATTTCGGGAGATTACGCCCGGGATTCCAGTAGCCACCCATCCGAATGGAGAGGAATAGGGAGGAGTTCATTCAACTCATATTCATATGTGTTGGATTGTGTTAAGATGAAGGAGGTGAAAGGAGGCTAAAGGAGGGAGGGAATGAGGCTTATAATGCTACCATGTTTGTAGAAGAGTTGTACAAATGTACTTATTGGTCCCATCCCCCAATTTTTGGTGTCGGTAAATTACTGACGAAGCATTAGATGTACTTGTGATGGCTGAAGCAACACAAGAATAAGTAGACCTAGGAATTAGAGCAAATGCGTACGTTATTAGCCATAATACCAAGTCTCACTGAAGATCTAGCTACTGCCTTTGAGTCTGTATCTTAGGTTTAATCTTTTATGCCAACTAGATGAGTGCCTAAACCTATAATGCCAAAAACACCTAGATCCAGCACGACGTTCGCCGGTAATTAACACAAGATGACTGTATGTGCTGCTACAGAAGGTCTACATGATGGCTATAAATGGCTCAGATGGTAGATGAATCATGTGGCATGCAGATAAAGTGTGATTTCTCTTTCTTTATATCAGTATCTCCTCCTGTCTTCGTCGAACAAGAATGCGTGCATCTGGATTTGATTCTAAGCGAATACCGGAAGTGACGGGGGCTGCTGAACAAGTTTCTGAGAACTTGATGTCATATTTCAACAACATATGACATAAAACGATCTTAGTAATATTGGCGACATAGAATCTCCCAGGGCATTCGTACCGTCCAAGGCCAAACCCTATGTGCTCGGGAGAGGTCGAGACCAGATAGGCTGAACTGTTGCCAGCCTCGCGCGACCTCAAAAACCTGTAGGGATCGAATGTATCGGGATTTGTATAGATCTTGGGATCCCGCATGGCAACATTAGCGACATATGTTGTCGAGCCCTTAGGAATAATGGTCCCATCTGCCAGGTCGATTTGCTCAGAAGCATATCGAGGCATGGCAACTGTACGTGGTGTATGCTGTGGTTAACGATCTCATACTTCAAAACACGCAGGATTATACATACGAATGGAAGCGGGCTTTAGCCTCTGAGTTTCTTTGAGCGCGCTGTCTAACAACTTGAGATCGTTCAAAGCAATTTTTTTCCAGCCGGTCCCATGCAGTGCAGACACGATCTCTTGGCGAAGCTCCTCAATCAATGTATTCCAATCCTTTCTTGCGGATAGATCAAGTAGGACTTGAGATAAGAGGTCACTTGATGTTTGAAATGCGCCTGCAGCGAGCATCATTTGGGCTAAGACGGGATCATGAGGTTCGCCTGCTCTTTGGGAGGCTTCCTTGAGCCAAGTAATGACATCTGGATACTCCTTTTCGTCGCCATATTCCTCAGCTTCGAGCCTACTGTCTACTACTGGTTCGAGGATGGCACGGGCTTCCCGAATATACTGGCGCAGTTGACGACATGATGGGATGAAGCGGGCTGCTAGGGATCGAAGTGGTTTCGGCCATAGCTTGAGCTCATTTGATGCAGTGAACACTTCGACATTGTATGACGTTAGGATTCTCGACCAGTCTGGATTGCGGCCGACTTTTTCGCCGACGAAGATCAATGATGTCAGACGACTAAGCGTTTGCAGGGCGGTTTCTCGTGGTGAGATCTCATGCCAATCTAAACTCAATGTTAGAGAAAGATGAAAAACCAAAAGCCGTGTAGTATGGGCTCGAGTCTGGTAAGTTACGGGTAGGACAATACCTGTGTTTTCTGTCCATTGATCTTGTAAAAGCATTGAAGCTTCGGAACTAAGCAACTGTGGCATTTTTGCTATATTTCAAGTCAACACCCAGATGCATTGTATTAAAAACATAACTTACCGAGCCTCCGGGTCAACTTGGTCCGAACGACATCCGATATAACATGGTTGATTTCAAGTTGTGCAAAGACCTCAAATCCAGCAATGTGCGAGTTTAGTTCCTCTCCAGCGACTGGCTCAAGACGTAACGCGGGATGATTACAGATTTCGTTCAGATATGTCGGTGACAGTATGACATTGATTCCATCTGGGCCCGCAATCCGAAAAGCATTAGCCTATATTCAAAATATCAACATTTGTACAGTTCATGACCGAAGTGACAAGGTATGATTGGAATAATCTACCTTGCGAAGTCCAGCTTGAACGAGATTAGGCAAGTCCTGGGCATACTTTTGTCGTGACCGATAGCCACGACTCCAAATTGACCCTTTTTCGGCATTAATCATAGGGAGCTTTGACGATGAAGGACGAAAACGATGCAGTAGCGCAGTCACAATTAGAACCAGGAAGCATGCTGCCCCATTGACATGCCACAGGCTAATGGTGGCTGAATCTGTAACCAGTGCCATATTTTCGGTAGTACTACTTCGCTCGTAGATTATGACAATACCTGGCTGCAGAACAGGCGGTTTTCGCAACTCGGGGTGCGCGAAATACGAATTGTTATGTAACATCCAAAGAGCGGTACTTATGCTTCGCCGACTGACATTGCATCATATTTAGTAAACGCCCCAGTATGCCAAATTTTCAAGATATGAAATAGATTTTCCACCCACATCACTTCTATTTTGGGCTAAAAAATGGATTTTCATGCAAACATTCTTGATCTGGCAGCAGTCCTAGGCCTCCTTACTTCTATTTGTTCGGGCAGACGTCGCTGGATACGATCGTGACTCCCTCATAGCGATAAATTTGCCATACGTCCGAAGTTGTAACATGATGTACATGTTTACCACATAAGATACAGCTTCAAGACTGTCGGGAATATGCTTATTTGACTCTTATATGTATGTGGGCTCTTTTCAGCAGCCTGTCCCTTAGGACCACAACCTCCCAGAAGAGAAATTGCATCAAAGATTTTGTAAAGATCACAGAATAGGGGTGTAATGGTACAGTAGCTCAGGTACCCATAAAGTGGATACTACCTTAGCACTGTGGGTGTCTTCCATATCAGAGATAGGGCAAGGATCATAAGTTGTGCAACACAACATACAACATTGTACATGACCCTGGCCCAATGGGTTGTATCGATTAATTGATTCCGGCTCATATCACTTGCTTAATGAGTGAGGAATGCACGACATGAGGTAGCTAGCGTACGTAAGGAGTCTGTGGTATGGTTTGAAGATGAAGTTATAATCGACTATCTCCGGTAACGTCTCTCATGACGAGTAAGTTTCTACAAGAGCTATTATAGGTACCTGACCAGGCTATTTGCACCAACTTTTCAGATTATATATCTAAATTACATTTGATAAGTCATAACCTACCTTAAGAAAATAATTTATTTCACTCAGCAAGTAGCAGCGCCAAGTTCCATGAGGCAGATAGATATGACGCTCTTAGGTCACTCCGTTCGATTATGGAAAGTGAAATATAAATTTAGCGTAACTAAAGCTGATCTAGTTAAGTTTCTACATTCATAACCGTTGCAGCAAATTTTGGTCCTGTCGCCTATCCCTGCCAATGAGGATATTGCCTAGCAAAAACCGTGAAGGCTTTTCATGTTTTAATTAACAGCCTGAAGGAGGCTAGACAAGTCGAATTCCTCTTTGCGTCGTCTCACCACAACTTGAAACGCAGCGTCTGGAATCTGCGCTTCTGCGCGCCACAGTGTTCTCGGGCTTTGTCCATCCGGGAATTTAATATCATAATTAAGTAAAATATGGCATAAAATCAACTTCATCGCTGTGGCGGCAAAGAATCGCCCGGGACACGCATGCTTTCCAACCCCAAAACCCGTATGACTGGCACTCACTGTCACGAGTTGGGACTTCTGTTCATGACCAGAAAGTTTCCGCAGTTTATAGAACCTGTAGCCGTCAAATTGATCCGCATTAGAATAATCGGATGCTTCAGGATCCCACATGTTGCGATTCGAGAGCCGAATTGGCGTTCCTTTTGGGATTTCTAGGCCATCAGATAATTTAACGTTCTCCAAGAGCACACGGGCACAGGCCGCTGGGGGAGATAATTTGGCATCAGCTATCGCAATATGATAAAATCATTGATGGAGAAGGAGGTGGGGGGAGTTTAGACGCACTCGTTTGCAGCGGCTTAATACGCTGGGTCTCTTTGATCACACTATCCATCAATCTAAGTTCGTATATGGCGGTCTTTTTCAGACCATGTTGCTTGAAGACCCGAGCTGCCTCCTCACGAAGATCATCAATAAGGTCTGGGTGCGCACAGATCTCAAAAAGTGTCTTTGTAAGAAGGTCCGAGGTTGAATGGATCGCCGCAAGGAAGGCTCTCAGTATGAAGATGGTAGGGTCGTATGGAGCACCACGAGCTCCATCATCAAACCACTGCAGCAGGTCATTATGGGTTTCTCCGCGTGCGTCCTGGGCCCGTCTTTTTGAGATGAAACGGGATAGCACCCTGCTTGCCTCTGCCATGTTGGAGCGCACTCGCTTGCCGGTTGGCGAGAACTTGGCGACTATAGGCCGGAATATCGGCGTGCACGAGTCAAGCAGATCAATACCAGCAAAGAAACTGTTAAGGTACTTCTCTATAGTCTGCAACCAGTGCTGGTCGCGACATAGCTCAGGCCCTAAAAACAGCCTGGATGTCTCCTGTGCTACCAAGTCTACTATGCTCGGGTATAAACTAATTGCATGCCAATCTGAGTTGTCGGACGAACAAAGCTTTAGTAAAGAAACAGTTCTTTAATGGTTGAACTTACCTGTGATGTCTGTCCACTGCGTTTTGAGGTAGTGGATAATCTCGTCGGAAAGCGGAACAAGAAAGTTCCCTTGATAACTCGCAAAGAAAGCAATGAGCATTGAACTCCAAACATGGGGGATGAAAGTCTCCCACTCACCGATCTCACGGACCGCCCTGCTCTGAAAAGTAGCTGAAAATATCTTGTTCGCCTCTGGGTCTTGCTTAATCACCCCGAACCCGGGTACATTTGCATGCAACATCTAGGAACCATCGATTAGCAGGCAGCTTTCTCTTCAATCTGTGAAACAATTGGCTATTCAGTGTAGTTTATATACCTGGTCTATACGTTCAGCCATGTCAAACCTGTCGTCGTGAATTTCTTGCCAATACTTAGGGCCGAGGATCATTTCGACTTCGCGGGTTGTCACTACATAAAACGCATTTTGAGACGTTTGGGGCCTTAGCTCGGTGTGAATTGTTTGAGGTAATAGTCTGTACCTTTTTGAAGGCACTTTTTAGGATATTTCCCCCATCATTCAGGAACCTTTTTTTTGCATTGCCGTAGAACCATTCGAACGGTTTTCGATCGTTGAACAGCTCCCCATTATATCGCTGCTTCGGCGATAAACTGACCCAAATTGCCCACGAGAGCCCAAGAGCGACTAACAGGCCAAGTCCGTTGTCACGGAAAATTTCGAGTTGGTTCATTTTCTTTTCTGACCAGGGTTGTAGCGAGTGATGCCGGGCTATGCCTGGAAAGAATCTTTTAACTTATAATCCATGAAACTCTTCAAAGACCTGAAACACGTTCGGAGATTGAGCACTCCAGCTCGTAGGACGATGTAGGGTCAGTCGGAATGTGGGATACATCTGTGAATACTTGAATACGTGCGTAGCCTTTCTTTTTCCGGCGAGTGGCCCCGGAATGTACGACATAGTTCATCTGGCGTATGTTAGGGGTCTGTGATTTGCAATGCATAAAACACTGAGAACTCTCAGGCGAGATGAATTCATGATCGACGGACTCAAGAGGACGCATCACCTTGTGGTCGAGTCTGCAAAGTGCAAGGGTGTCTAGGCAAGCTCTTTTAATCAGCTTTGCTGCGATGTAACACGACATGTTTTTTCATCTTCAATAAATTCAATATTGGCTGATACGATTCATGTGCCTTCAGAAACGGAAATTAGCTGTCAATTGTCCATGACGGGATTCTCAGACAGCAAACTACATCACAGTTACTGCTTTCTCTAATAGCTCTGGCAAACCATGCTTTGTGATATTAATAAGATGAATAGAAAAGTTATTCTCTTTAGTATTAGCCGGACTTGTATATTGTTTGAGGCTAATAATTGTCAAAGACAGACATGTGAGCGTTATCACCGAGTTCCTATCCGGAAGATTGCTGGTTTGTTCAAATCACTCTCTTTACACCTATAAAAGATAATTGGTTTTATGCTTTGATTAAGCCCAGATATTCACCAACGTCTTTTCCGTCCTTGCCCCAGAAGTGAATACTATCAACATCAGTATGCTGAAGAGAACTGCGAAACCCGAACATGGCTTGCGATCGCGCTGTCAACTGGGTGGTTATCTCCATTGGGACCCAGAGGGGAAACGCTTGTAGAGGCCGTAACTCTCTGCGAATAACCGCAAATGCCAACGCTCGACGCTGATCTGTTAGCGTGGAGTTGTGCCCAGCTCCATGAATCACTTTCCCACTCATCAGGTAGCAGTCGCCGGGTTCCATTATAGCCGGCACGGTTTGTATGTTTTCGTAACCTTCGCAATCTTTCTCATTGATCATAGTAAATTTGGGCCAGCGATTGCTTCCTGGAACAAGCCGTGTTGCTCCGTTTTCCTCGCTGAACGGAGTGAGGGCACAAAAGAAGTTGACCACGCAATCTGGGGCGTCGGGGCCCATTGAGTTCCACCACGAAAAGAGTTCCTGATCACGATGCAAACGCTGGGCCGGAGCGCCAGGCTGGACCTCTATCACCATGGTATCGTTGAAGTGATACCCGATCCCTTCACCATCCTTGCTGAAAATTCTTTCACACATCTGATGCATGAGGTCGTTCTCCAACAATTCATGACGGAAGGTAGGGCTTGTGGTAACGCATTCGCTGAAGCGCTTGACCCGGTCGTTACTATTGCCATTGCCTGTAGCTTCGACTTGAATCTTGTCCATTGAAGGCTGTATTTCCTGATTGAATCGTTTCACCTGATCTTTCGGGATAAATCCCTCGATGACTACACAGCCATCCTCCTCGAATGCCTTGAAAATAGCATCAGCGCCGGCAGAAGCAGGGAATCTCTGCATTTTGGGACAGGTTATAGGAGCCATGGTGTGTATAATAGTATCCTAGGTGGTAAGACGTTTGATGTAGAGGATGCCGGAATGCAGAGGCTAACACGAATATTGGGGTCTTCAAGAAATATGTAAAGCTAATTGTAATAGCGATTAGTATAGGGGAACGCTTCTGTAAAATCAAGAAAGCATTTTAGCCGAGATGTCGAGCTGTAGGACGGAGTATGCACTGTGCAGTTTTCTTATCCTATATGTAAGGGGAGAATACTCCGCACGTCCAAAAACATGTTGTCGAGGTAGCAATCATCTCAAAATTAACGGTATGTCTTTGAGGTTACACAAGCGAAATTTTCTTGCTCGAACAGACGAAGAGCTCCAACGCAAGGGACGATTATGATACCACCGATGTAAGGAAGTTGTGTACTCATTTCTGCGCCCCGGTGAACAACAAACACGTCTCGCCGACTGCGGCTTATATTGCATGACCCGAATTTGGAAAGGTCTCACCATTCAGAGGTTAGGGCTGAGCGGCTGCAAGGCTCGTATTACGTCAGTGATGGTTTCAAGTGCAAAATATAATATATATTGGGCAATATAATCAAGCATAAGAGAGCCAGAGTAACTGATTGCTCTTTCTGGAAGTTGCCAATTCCCATGGTAGCTTGCGTTCTGACAAGGTTTGATCGACATGTCTCCATCACGCGTGCTGATCTTATCTCTATAAAATATTCTGAATAATGATGAAATGTAGCCATCATCAGAAGAATTATTTGTTCTAGTCAAGTATGCTCTCTTAACGGAGCTATGAGCATTGCACCACTTGGGGGATGCAACCCTGTTCCATGCGCAAGGGAGGGTTCCCAGAACACGCTCCAGTATATTTATTTTAGCGGACTACAGTATACAAATTAACCGTAACGTTATCAAGTACGTACAGTTACATGCTAGACTGAAATTACTAGACATCATATTGAGATTGTAATAGCTTAGCTAGGATATTACCCATGGTTTCTCTTTATCGTAACTGCGTCAGCTGTTGAACTACAAGCCTCCCATTAGAATTTTGGATACAGCAAGTGAGTTCATGTTCATTATAGAAGATTGATGTTTAGAGCTAAGTAATAGGCAAGAGCTCCTATATCTATATCCACCTGGAAAGTTTCAACCAAAGTTGTACAAAGGGTACATGCTTAAGGTAAGACAAAGGGGAATATTCCAAAAATTGATCTTATTTCTAGCATCAGAAATATATATGGATAAGGCGTTCCGAAGCGTTGATTTGAGCGTTATAGAATATGCAGTATATGTATGTTCGTGCGCATAGACGGCATTGCCGAGTTGAAATACTAGCAAGTTTTTAAAAAAAGAGGAGGGGGGAAACACAAGAAATCACAAGAATAGTAGTCGAAAATACAAGAATGGTAAGGAGGAACGTTTTGTTCGCATCGTCCGAATGAGTTCGCGGCTAAAATATTGATATGATCGTGGCTCTCTAATGTCAAGCATTTTAGCGAATATGTGTGGGTCAATGAATGCTTGGGGATTGGTGCTTAGAATATGTCAAAATCATACGTAAGAACAGGTGCAAATGTAGCGAATTAGGGCTTTGTTAATGGAGACCTCTGAACCAGGTGACTAGAGCTTGTACGAATCACGAATTGACGGTACAACAGAGTCTTGTACGGGGGCTGGCGCAGCAGGATTTTGTACGGAGAGCTAACGATCAAGGCGTTCACGTACGTTGAATTTGGCAATATTAATTCTAGCGCTTGCGAAGAAAGGATTGATGGCCTAATGTGGGGATGGCTGCGTGGGCACGTTCACATCACGAACTAAAGGCGTAACGAGGCCTTGCATGGGGAAGGTTCACGTGCTTTGCAATTGTATATAGCTGGCGCTGAATTCTACATGAACAGTGAATGGGGCTTGATACGGAGGTCGCTGATGTTATAATATCACGAATCGGGGCTACTGGTGCGCTAGAGGCATGCTCGTAAATTGGCTAGGGGTTAGTTATAGTTTCGATTCGTATACTTTCGCAGTCAATCCGTACATGAACGTAGTTCGTGTATGTGGATATAGCGCAGACGTAAGAATTTAAGTTTCGAGGCGTTACATGTACAATCGAGATAAAATAATTACCGCTCTGTACCTAGATACCTGTGTACTTATTAAGTTCATCAAGCGGTTCCTTATTCTGATCTTTGCGTATTGAAATCGAAATGAGAATAAAGGGAGGTGAGATATTGACTGAGCTGTATATTCCTGCTGCTGTAGTACTTTGGTCTTTTTTTTCTAAGATCCATTATTACTTAGGTAGCTTAGGTACGATTCAACACGTATTGAAAATCCAGAGTTGTCTAATTCTCAAAGTGTTTTTTCAACGCTCGCTATAAAATAAGCCATGAATGCCAATTTTTTTAAAAAAAAAAAAATTTCATTCCGACGTGTCATTGAAATCTATGATAACGACGTCGCCAAAATAAGCTTAGATTCTTGCAATGTGAATGAATGTCGAATAAGGTTTGCTGTGTACAGGAAGAATCCAGGTTAACAGCGGGCTACGAATCAATGCGCACATAAGGTTATACTCTGGCGCGAGTTAAGGGTAGCGACGACGTGTGAAGGGATCAACTGAATGTGCATACAACAGAATACGAAGAAGCGAATTAAGCATGACTATCGGGGTAAGTGGTGGTGTACACATTTGTGAGGTCATCGGCCCAATTTGACATATTGCAAGTCTGGCATGACTCGACGTACGAAGTCAGGATACTGGTGAAGCGCAAAGAAGTAAATTTGAAGTAAGAAGAGAGGCGACTTTGGCGTTCGAATCCAGGCGTGATGAACGTGCGATTTTGACGTATGCATGTGTGATTTTTGACGCCCAAAAACTGTGTAATATTTTGACCTACAATATCATACAAATCCAGAGGGGTTGTATGTAGTCGTAGCGTTCGTAAAATTTGAGAAAACTCAGCAAAGCGTTCACAAATGAGGGATTAAATGCGCACAATGGTACACCTGATAAACATTGACAGAATATTTGAAAAGAAGATGGAAAGAATTGTATCCAAAGCACACAAACTCAAATAGTAAACTGAGCTTTGTGGACGAGCTGACCAGCATTGCTTTAACACAGTCCAATAACTGAAACGTGGATTAATTCAAGATTAGCTGGAGAAGTCTACAAAAATAAAGCTACGGGTTATTTGAAAATACGCCTGACTTCCAATCGACTGATGGCTGAGTTACAGAGCTGAAATATGTGTAAATTTTCCATAATAACATCCATAAATGAAGTTCAAACCTTGATCGTACAAGAACCACGTGAGTCAGGAATGGCAAAGACGGCGTCTATAAAGAATCGATGCTGTTCCCAGCATCTGAGATTTACGGTAAAGCGTCGCAGGATATGCTGCATATGTAATGAGGTAAATGTACGTCAGCACGCATAAAACGGATCGTTGGGTTTAAACAATTCTCAATTTATAATTTTAATCCTACAGTTCCAGATAGCGCCGGTCGCTTTGGCGGAATAAATGGTCAAGAATTTGTAGTTATGTACATGGTAGAAGGTAGTTTTGAAGTGGATGATATACGACAGTAGCATACGACAGTAGCATTGGGCAGTGAGCTTCCATTCTTTTTCTCTTCTCAAGCACCGTTAATCTCGATCCTGTTCCATATCGAGACCTAGAGCAGATGTTTTTGGATACAAGGACTCGAGGTCAGACTATGGTCTAGCCCAGAAAGACAGATGATAAGTGGAGTCCGATGCACTTACGCCGTCTACCATATCAAAATTTTGGCAGTATTGATAATCAAAGTGGATCTAGCCCTATACCAACTCTTCCTTGATTATGGCTCTGAATCCATGGAACGGGGTCGGCAGTCAGGTGAATTTGGAGTTTTAATGGCCTGAAATGTCGTCCGTCAAAGCAAGGGGTGCGTCTCTAGATTCTAGCCATTATGTGAGAATACCGTGGGAGGATTTTATTCATTGGTCATGGAAATTCCTGAGACCACGACTCTGGCTATTGGCTATGTATGTCCCAATGCACTCATTAGTAGTTCTAAACTAGCATTTTTAATAACCCTTGCCTGATTGATCTCTGGCATAGGTGTTATGTTGCTGATTGTAAGGAATATCTCATGCTTGATATTTCTGCATGCTTGCATTTTGACAAAGATTCCTTATATGTATGCGTTTACAGAGAACCTTGGAACGGAAACCCTCCTCTTTCGCCTTTGATAACTATTGGGAATAATAAATATATACGCTTTCCTGTGGTGTATCCACCATGCATGTAGCCCTTGCATTCTAACTCCTTCTCCTGCTTGATAATCCTGCGGACAGTAAAAAAATCCTGGCAACCACGTTCACTGGTAATGTTGAAGTTGAAATGAGTTGAGTTTCCCTAGATCGCTGGGCCGCCTTAGTTTCCTTAGTGTTTCGGTCCGTCCCGCGGCACGGCCATACAACGTCTCAACCTTGTTCTCTAAGCGTAAGCTTTATTCTGACCCACATACAAAAACTAAAAATGTACGATCAATTGAGAGGGATTGGACTCCGAAGACCGATAAACAAAGATTTCTGTAATGAGAATATCAATCATACTATCCAGTCGACAATTCTGAAAGAAAATGGGTCGAATATGCACGCAGAAAGACAGTGTGCAGGGTCTTCGTCGATAGCCCCGTAAATCCGTCAGACATGGAGGTATTGGCATGAAAACCCGGCACTTCACTGTCGATCAGTATTTTCTCCATGACCAATAGAGGGCTTCTAGACCCTTCAGTAAATTGTGCACCGTGCTCTTCGATACGTATCTGCCGTACATGCCACAAGATATGTCCAAAAGCTGATCGTGCTACCGCGGTCAATTTTGACAGGATGGCGGTCTATGTATGTATGTATGTATGTAAACAGTGCTTTACATACATTTTTGAATAATCTTGTCCCGGAGATAGCTTTCCTTGCCGGATTTCCCATTGAGGATAGTAGCCCTGATGCATGTAATGCATGCAGGTCGCATCGAGCAAGTGGTAGATGGACGAGGATTAATTGAATAGTAACAGGTTGATTGACATTGTTCTTACCAGACTAGGAGATTCATGGAATGAGGCAAAATAGAGATACCGACGGCTTTGACAGCCGTAGCCTGTACTTCTCTAAAACGACACGCTGTTCCTCGTCACAGTCTCTCTAGATATCTCCGAGATTTTCCACCTACCTGCTATACACATACCTTGTACCACCCAAAACACTTTTTTCATATCAGTGACCGACGTTGAGCTATGGCATACGGCCCGTTCAGCTCGGGGAGTCCTGACGTCTGCGTTCTCTTTGAATCCCAATGCGACAACCTTGACGAAGCAGTCCTTCATATACGCCGTGCTATCAAAGAGGATCAAAAACTGACATTCCTGACTGATGTACTGGCCGAACTTCCCTCACTATGGTCGTTGCTCACCGAGGCCGACCCAGAATTGTCCCAATTATCCGGGGACAGCCAGCTCACGGCTTTGAATGAGGTGGTGCAAGGCCGACTGCCTTCTAGTGCAGTAAAAGTTACAAACCTTGTTCTAACCCCACTGACAGTGATCCTACAACTGGCAGATTTTTTGAAGCTCGCAGCGGGTGCCAATCATCCAGCATTCGGATCACCGTCGTCAATGAGAGCTAGAACGCACATAACAGATGTTCAAGGATTCTGTGTTGGAATTCTGGCGGCAATTGCAGTTGCAACATCACGAAATGAAGGCGATTTTCGATCCATTGCTTCAAAGGTCATTCGACTAGCAGTATATGTGGGCGCGGTGGTTGACCTCGACGAGCGACTGTCAGGTAGTCATTCCTCCCTGGCGATCCGATGGAGATCATCTGTACAATACGTGAAGCTCCAGCAATTTTTGAGCGAAAATGCAACTGTAAGTGGCACAGATAGATCTGCGTCGGGAGATTTGGCTAACGTGAAACCTGCCACATAGGCCTATATATCTTGCATCACTGATAGCAATAACGTCACCATCACAATTCCAACTTTGACTTTAGACTCCGTGATAGAGCATTTCAGAAGTGTTGGTCTTACAGTGCAAGCCATCGGGCTTAAAGGGCGATTTCATCATGAGTCCTATTGCGATAAAGTTAGGTCGATATCAGCTCTCTGTGAGCGAGACAATCGATTCCGGTTACCTTGGGGGAATTCCTTAGTTCAACCACTCCGGTCCACGGCCAATGGCAAAATCATTGAAGATCAGTTGCTCCACAATGTTGCTATGGAATCGATCTTGACTAGCCAGTGCCATTGGTGGCAGACTGTCACTGCTGCTTTGGAAGACAGCCAGAAAGAAGTTCGTGTGATGTCCGTCGGATCTAAATCCTGTGTTCCCCGATCCGTGAGAGGCCAGATGCTAGAATCAACGAGCGAGCTGATGAAAGAAGCAATCTCGTCCACTCAGGCTGAAAATCCACAGTATATTGCAATTACTGGTATGGCTGGKCGATACCCTGGTGCTAACTCCCTAGATGAGCTTTGGGAAATACTGGAACTAGGGAAGTGCTGTGCTCAAGAAATGCCAGATGAAAGATTCAAATTCAGCCTATTAAAGCGAGAGCCAAAGGGGCCCTTTTTCGGCAACTTACTAGCCCGACCAGATGCCTTTGACCATCGTTTTTTTGGGATTTCGAATCGAGAGGCTGAGAATATGGACCCTCAGCAACGCTTGCTGCTCCAAGTAGCATATGAAGCAATGGAATCAGCAGGCTACTGTGGTGTACATGCCGCTGACCTCCCAAAAGACATCGGGTGTTATGTTGGGGTGGGAACCGATGACTACACCGGCAACGTTGGCTCAAAACATGCGAATGCTTTTTCGGCCACTGGTACTTTGCAGGCGTTTAACACCGGTCGCATCAGTCATCATTTTGGCTGGTCAGGTCCATCAGTAGTTGTGGATACAGCCTGTTCGTCCGCCGCAGTTGCTATCCACTTGGCTTGCAAGGTACTGTTCGCCCTTCATCATATTTCTTTCTTCTTGCCTTGACTGTGCTTTACTAACCCGGAAATCATGTGGATCAGGCCCTCAATACAAAAGACTGCTCAATAGCCGTCGCCGGAGGTGTGAATGTCATGACGAATCCTCAAGTAAGCCAAAACCTGGCAGGAGCTTCATTCCTTTCTCCTACAGGTGCCTCCAAGGCATTTGATGCGTCTGCGGATGGATACTGTCGCGGCGAAGGAGCTGGTCTGGTCGTCCTCCGACCTTTGGCAGATGCTCTCCGCAATCACGATCCGATTCTTGCTGTGATTACTGGTTCCGCCGTTAATCAGGGCTCGAACTCTTCGCCAATTACCGTGCCCGACTCAAATTCACAACGGGCTTTATATCACAAAGCACTTAGTCGATCAGGTATCAGCCCTAACGAGGTAACTTATGTCGAGGCACATGGAACAGGTAGGTATTCCGACGTTGATATGATTCTTCCTGCGTCTTCCCCATAACCTTCTGGCCTTTGCTGATCAATGTCGCTAGGCACTCAAGTAGGGGACCCAATCGAGTTTGAAAGTATCCGAAAAATGTTTGCCAACCCTCGGCGAACAGAGAAGCTCTGCGTGGGTTCCATTAAAGACAATATTGGCCACACAGAGACATCTTCTGGCGTTGCTGGTCTTTTAAAAACAATCCTAATGATACAGAATCAGCGAATCCCCAAGCAGGCAAACTTTGTGCGATTGAACCCCAAAATTCCGTCACCAGAGCATAGTGGAATTATTATCCCCACCAAATCTATGACATGGGCATCGTCCCAACGCATAGCGATGGTTACCAATTACGGTGCTGCCGGTAGCAACGCAGCCATCGTCTTGAAGCAACATACTGCTACCTCTACGCAAACGAATACTAAATTGTCTCACATGCCAATAATCATCAGTGCCAAGTCCGCCGAGTCACTGCATGAATATTGTGCGGCTCTGCACCAGTGGCTGATTCGGGCTTGTCCAGCAGTTCAGGATGTAGCTTACAACCTGGCCATCAAGCAGAACCGCGATATGGACTTTTTGGTATCTTTGCCAATCATGGCAGACAGAGATTCGTTAATATCTCAACTAAAATCAGTGTCATCTCCGACATCGAGATCCATTCAAAAGACACCTTCTAAAGTCGAGATGCCAGTCGTCCTATGCTTTGGTGGCCAGAGTGGAAACACAGTACACATATCGCAGGAGCTGTTCAACGAAAGCATTCTATTTCAAATGCACTTGGTAAGTGCCAGCTTCTGTCTCGTTTCCCTCAATTCTATCTGCAATTCGAACCACAGTTTGGCTAATTTCTTTGGGTCTATAGATGGCCTGCGAAAACACTGGTCAGCTCCTGGGCCTGCCAAGCCTCTTCCCAACAATCTTCAAATCTGAACCCATCGCTGACATTGTCCACCATCACTTCATCTTGTTCGCTATCCAGTATGCGTGTGCCAAGTCTTGGCTTGACTCCGGGCTGCGCGTAGACCGAATGGTTGGCCACAGCTTCGGGCAATTGACTGCCCTATGCGTTTGCGGCACCATATCTCTGTCGGACTGTATTAAACTGATATCCCATCGAGCCCGCTTGATCCAGACCCACTGGGGCCTGGAAACAGGTGTAATGCTAGCTATTGAAGCCACGGAGCAGGAAGTACGTGAGCTGTTGCTTCGCGTTCCTAACGCCCCAGATGTGGCCTGTGTCAATAGCAACCGCAACGTAGTGATTGCAGGAGACGAAGCCTCTATTCGAGCAGTTGAAAAATTGGATTGCCATTATCGAATGAAAAGATTGGAAAACACGCATGCATTCCACTCCAGACTAGTAGACAGCATAGTCCCCGCTTTTACCGCTGTTGCCGAGTCTTTGAACTACCACAATCCTTCGGTCATACTTGAAGCCTGTACATTGATACCAGAGGACTGGTCTTCTGTTACCCCGAAGCAGATAGTGCAGCACAGCCGAAACACCGTTTATTTCCGCGATGCTGTCGAACGAGTTGCAGCGCACACTAAGAGTCCTAGCATTTGGCTAGAGGCAGGGTCCGGATCGCCCGTGATTCCGTTGGTGCGCCGCGTGTTGGACAGTCACCCTTCATCCTCAGCTAAGGGCCACATCTATCAATCAACCGATTTTTCTGGAACTTTTGCCTTAAGAAATCTAGCCAGTGCTACGAGTACGCTATGGTTAAATGGGTGCAAGGTGCAATTCTGGCCCTTCCACTCTTCTCAGAGTTGCGACTATAACTGGCTCACGCTGCCTCCGTATCAGTTTCTCAAGACAAGTCATTGGATTGATTATGATCCTACAGCATTCAATGAGGCTCCGATGTTGGAGCAGCCTTTGCATGGGAGTTCAGAACTGGTACAGGTACTAGAGAAAGGGACTGATAGATGCTCCTTCAAAATAAACACACGGCATAGTCTATACCAGAAATGCACAAAGGGCCACGCTGTCGTAGACCAAAGTCTGTGCCCTGCATCCATGTACATGGATATTGTGGTAAGTGCTGCTACCACGGTTTTCCCCGAAAAATCGTCAGAGGGCATGATCCAGTTCGAAGATCTTTCTATCTCATCTCCACTTGTTTTGGAACCACAGCAACAGGTTTTCCTTAGCTTGTCCAGATTGACGCCGAACAAAGAACAGTGGACATTCGTTTTATTCAGTGGAAAACTAGAAAACCAGGAAAATTCGATTACACATTCTACGGGCAAAATTGCATTCCATGCATTCAATAAACCATCTACAGTTCTGACGCGGTTCGATCACTTTGGGCGGCTGGTTAATACAGATCGCGAAAAGACCATTGTCGATTCCTCAACATTGAATGGACTGCTAGGGAAGATGGTCTACCAGGCTATGAACCGCGTGACCGTATACGCTGATTACTATCGAGGCGTCCAGAAGGTACTGGCCAATGGTCAAGAGGCCATCGGGCATGTGAATCTCATCAACTCGTTAACTAAAGATCGGGCCTGCGATCCCATTCTGCTGGATAATTTCTTGCAAGTGGCTGGAATACACGTGAATTGCATGTCAGAGCACAGCGATGATGAGGTCTACGTCTGTAGCGGTCTCACTGAGATCCTACTGGGTCGAACTTTCATGCAGAGAGATCAGAACGCTTCGAGCTCTTGGCTCGTATACACAAACTACTCCCGACAGTCTGGCACCCAAATTACCAGCGATATCTTTGTCATGGACGATCAGACCGGCAAGCTAGCACTGGCCATATTTGGAGCTGCTTTTACAAAACTGTCTATTCGGGCCCTGACGCGCACTTTGGCTCGATTGAACAACTCCGGAGAAATGTCCATACCTAAGACCACTCTAATTGAGTTGCCAAAACCTGCAGAGCCTCTGCTCAATGGGTATCAAACAGCGCCCCTCACACCTTTATCTGAGTCGGCAGCAAGCGACAACGACATTTTTCAGCGGGTTCAGGAAATGCTGTGCGAATTGCTCGGAGTTTCCCTCGATGAAGTTTCGCCGCCGGCATTTCTCAATGACATTGGGGTAGACTCTCTCATGAGCACCGAACTTATATCCGAGATCAAGAAACGGTTCAATGTAAGCATATCGAATGGAGATTTTGCGCAGATGGTCGATGTGCAGACGCTAGTGCGATTCATTCTGCAACCTGATATGTCGTTGAAACCCCCAGAGGTTGAGTCTCAGCCTGAGGTCGAGCCCGAGCCTGTTTACATGAATGGTCATGCGAGCCCTCAGAATGAAGCTCCCTTAGATGGCGTCGCACAGATAGGAGTTGCCTCTCTGGCTCAAGATATTTTCACAACCAGCAGGTTTGATATATCTTTTGGCGCAAAGACGAAGTGGAATGGTTTTTGTCGTGACGTTTATCCTCAACAGATGGCTCTCGTGACCGCATACGTAGTAGAGGCCTTCGAAACCCTCGGTTCCTCATTGGAAGCTTTCTCATCTGGTCAGGTTGTTCCTCTGATACCGGTTATTTCTCGACATGAAAAACTTCGAAAGCAACTCTATCGCATTTTAGAACACTCGGACCTCATCAATCAAAGAAAAACGGGAGACTATCACCGTACAGAAACTCCTGTTCCTAACATAAGCTCAACAACTCTACACGAGCAGATATTACGCGACTACCCACAACATGAATCTGAGCATCGGCTGCTCCATAAGACCGGTCCCCATTTAGCGGCATGCCTCACAGGTGATGCTGATGGGCTATCACTGATCTTCAAAAACGTCGAAGCTCTTCGTTTAGTTGAGGACACTTATACATCAGCGCCTAATTTCAAGTCTGCCACGATGCACCTGACCCAGTATCTCTGCGAGATTGCTACGCAATTTGGAAATCGACGTGAAATCAAGATTTTGGAGATTGGAGCCGGTACTGGTGGTACCACCAAATATTTACTCGAGCAGCTTACCGCTCTTCCTGGAGTTCGTCTACAATATACATTTACTGATATCTCTTCATCACTGGTGAAGCTTGCTCGCAAAAAGTTTCAGCTATATGATTTCATGCACTACACTACCCTGGACATTTCAAATGCTCCTCCAGCGGACCTTCAAGGCCAGTTTGACGTGGTTCTTTCAAGCAATTGTATCCATGCTACCCGGAATTTAACAGAATCCTGCACGAACATTAGAAAGCTTCTTCGACCCGATGGAATTTTGAGTCTGATAGAGCTTACGGGCAATCTGTACTGGTACGACCTTGTATTTGGTCTTTTGGAAGGTTGGTGGCTTTTTGAAGACGGACGTCAACATGCTCTCGCCAGCGCACAGCACTGGGACCAAATTCTCCGGCAGTCCGGGTATGAATGGGTGGATTGGACAAGGAATGATCTCCCAGAGTCTGATATCTTGCGAGTGATTGTTGCTTCTCCATCTGGCGGGCAACTTTCAGTCGACGAAGAAGTTCCTCTTGTTACCCAAGAAACTGTCATTTTTGACGAAAAGGATGGAGTACCGCTCTGCGCAGATATTTATTATCCTGAGAGCATTGACTATAGTCGGTCGAGCCGCCCAATTGGTAAGTACACTTTGTGCTCTCTTCGGCTGTCTTTCCTAATTGTTAAAATTTTCTAACTTTTCTGTGCTTAGCCCTTATGATCCACGGCGGTGGCCATGTCATGTTGTCTCGTAAAGACATTCGCCCTGCACAGACTCAAATTTTGCTAGAAGCTGGATTTCTTCCTGTCAGCATTGACTATCGTCTTTGTCCCGAGACATCCCTTCTTGAAGGTCCAATGCGGGACGTGCTCGATGCCCTGTGCTGGTCTCGTGAGAAACTACCACATATCGCCCTCAGTCGGCGTGATATTCGGCCGGATGGAGATCGTGTAGTGGCAGTTGGTTGGTCCTCTGGGGGGCACCTGGCAATGACCCTTGCATGGACTTCTAAAGCTCGTGGCGTCGTTCCCCCTCAGGCAGTGTTAGCCTTCTATTGCCCATGTGACTATGAAGATACATTCTGGTCCCAGCCGAATTTTCCATTCCAACAAGAAGCCATATATCGATCAGGGGAGTATGACTTATGGGAAGGACTCTTCGACAAGCCCATCACGTCTTATAACCCTCCACGGGCCTTGGGTGGGTGGATGGCCCCGAATGACCCTCGGAGTCGGATCGCCTTGCACATGAACTGGAAAGGCCAAACACTCCCTATCCTGCTGGAAGCATCGAAGCATAAGAAAGAGAGCCAGGCCTGTAATGGCTATAACTCAGAGAAGCTTTTCCCCCAGCCTAGTCAGGAGGAAATCAGAGCCATCAGCCCTCTTGCTCAAGCTCGTGCCTGGCTATACAACACACCTACTTTTATGATTCATGGGACGTTAGACGATTTGATTCCCTACCAGCAAGCCCAGAGGACCCATGACGCGATCGTTGCGAGTGGTGTTGATGCGGAGATTCGCATTCTTGATGAAACATTGCACCTCTTCGATATCTACCCTGATTATGAAAACAATTTGAAGGCCGTGAAAGCTGTGGCTGATGGATATGAGTTTCTTCGCCGTCATGTTCAATGATTTTATTCTTCTGATGCTTGTATTGGAATATTGTTTTTTAATGAATCATTGCCTACATAGCGCTACCTAGATACTCTTCAGTCATTTAAAATGCGATAGACATTCTACCCCTGCCCCAGATAACAAAAATTCCGAAAAATCCATGGATGCATCAATGTTGCTTTAGTTTAGCTAACACAACATTCATCCTACCATCTTACCTGACAGCCATTATTATGCATTCATTGTTTCGACACCATAGAACAAAATGTGCATCGTGACTCATCAACAGAGAGATAAGGCATGAGGTGAAAATCTATTTTACACTATACAAAATTGTGGTAATTCATTTTCTTGTAAGTCTACGTCCAATACTAGTAGCTATGATGCTTCGTAAATGGATGAAAGTTCCTAAGAAACGCGACGTCCAACCACTAAAAACAAAAATTAAGAACATGTCGGTATCTTCCTTATTTTTCCGGAAAGCTGGTACACCCAATTCCTTAAACATGAGTTTTTCCTTATCCATGTCATTGGGGCACAAAATTGTTCTAAGAATCGAAATACTGCTCCACTAACAAGCCCAGAATCCATAGCGTCATTGCAACTAAAAGAGATGACTTCGCGTACCATTCCATCCTAGATGAAGGCTCCTGCTCCGATGTTTTGATGAGAACCATGAATCCAAAGAAATGGCCTCCAACCGACAATGAGAAAAACGGCAGGCCAAATCCTGCAAGAACTCCAACAGCGATGAGCATAACGGTTGAGCCACAAAATAGGCAATAAATCAATGTCCATATCGAGTCTCTGAAGTGAACTGCCATGCTCTTCACGCCCACTTTCATGTCTTCATCTAAGTCCTGACGAGCGTATAGGACATCCACCAAAATAATCACCATCGAAATGAACATAAACATGGATATTGTGGGTGATAGATGGGTGAGTGGATTAACACCCAAACTATGCATGCTCATAGGGATAGCCCATCCGATATTCGCCAGGGTCAACTGAGGATAGTTGCTGAATCTCTTACCGAAAGGATACAGCAGAGCAAAAAATAAAATGATCCCCGCTTCGGTGACACATTGGATCGGAAGAAACAAGAGCACTAGTAAGACTCCACATGTAAGGAGAAAGGTCGTGAAAATAATTGCATTGAAGGTCGAAATTGCACCGCGCGGGATAGGACGAGATTTAGTTCGAGTTATTTGACGGTCAAGATCTTGATCAATTGTATCATTCCAGGCACAGCCTGCCCAACGTTGGATAAGAGACCATGAAGTTAGGATTATGAACCGGTGGAGTTGAACAGAGACTGGAATTTGTCGGGGTGATATAGCGGCACTGTATACAATACCGACAATATAAGGACAGGTATTGAGGAGATATCCCAGAGGCCTGTTAAGACGAACAAGCTCCGCATACGGTTCCCAAATAGAACAAAGAGCTTGATCGTTCTGGATATTTTTTTCAGACATTGTGATTGATAATTGATATCACTCCCTCTCTGTCTCAAAAGCACCTGCTGACGAAGGAACCGGCTTCTTCGTCGATTGAGTGAGGACACGATCTGGCAATGTTTTGATTTTTTTTCTTCTTCTTTTTTCTCTTTTTGCGAGAAAAAATAAAACAGTGGTGGGAACTTCTGATAATTCCTGTGCATTTAAGTAAACAATATCGTTTCAAATGAAACTGAGAGACAGGATCATTGCCCGTATGTGATTAACCGAGAAAAATGAAGCAAAGCCCCTTGCAGATGTAGGTGAACCAAATGTTGGTGAACTATGTACGAAGTATGTATGCACATGCTGTCCTGACCAATTCTCACAGAGCGACCTTCTGCCGCATGTAGGAGACAGGCCCTCAAGAGTCAGCAATTTTTCGATGGGCATGATTTAAATTCAAACCGTACCGAAGTAATTTCCCAATGCGTTTCTCTCCTTCAGACTATACTCGTGGAATACAGAGCTCTTCAGCCAAAGTTTACTGCACCTATTCAATTGGCAAAATAAGCACAAAGTATTTGGAAACATTCATTTTACATAGGCTTCCAAACGACAGTTGGTAATAGTTTCTGCGTCCTGGATGATCGGCAAGGATTGGGGTCTCAGTTCAGCAAATTCTTTGATATTTCTTCCATGCATCGTTTATTCATCTCTATTTTCTCCCTCAATTAATATATATCCGCTTAAAAAACAATCAAAAGTAATAACAGCAAGTAGGGCGCTACGGAAGAAATTCACCCTCTTTCAATACCATATAAAGTTTCTAACGAGGTGCTTCATTTCGAAGCAATAACACAATCCATTAAAGGCTAGCATCTAGCTACTCTAAATGAAACTTGCTGTTCTTCTCCTGGAATTCATCAATATCAAAATATATGAGACAACCGCATTTTGAGAGGTGTGCTTTTTATTCATCGGTGAAAGGTTCTAATCAAGGGAAATTTCCTCCTGTCTGCGTCGAATAGAAAGCTTCGCCGTTGGATTCGCACTTAATGCTATTCCAATCTTCATCACAGTGGGAGTAGAAGATTCTAGCAATTGTATATCGTATTTCAAGAGCATGTGAGCTAGCACGATCTTGATCTCGTTAGCGACAAAGAACCGTCCCGGACATGAATGTTTGCCATAACCAAATCCCAAATGCTCTGGAGATGGGGATACAAAAAGCGCTGATGAATCACCAGCTTCGCGTTGTCGAAGAAATCGATAGGGGTCGAATGTAGCTGGATCGGAATACACATCCGCATCACACATGCTAAAGTTAGCAATAAGGACGGAGGCACCTTTCGGAATGATAGTCCCATCCGATAATTCAACTTTTTGGTGCGCGTGGCGATTCATACCCACTATTCACGAGAGTTTAGGTATTTCTAGAAACAGATGTTAAGGGAGGTAAAGTTATACTTACAGATTGCGACTGGTTTGAGCCGCTGGGACTCCTTTAACACGCTGTCCATCAGCTTCAGTTTCTGTAAAGTACCCTTTTCCCACCCCGATTCTCTTATAGCCGATACAATCTCGTCGCGAAGCTCTTGTACCAGGGTTTTCCGGTTCCCATAGCTGCAGATATCATAGAGAGCCTGAGAGAGACTATCACTGGAAGTATGGATCGAAGCAAGTGCCAACAGCATTTGCATCAAAACAGGATCATGCTTTCGACCATTGGCAATTTCGTCTAGCCATTGCAGAGAGTCTTGGTGGTCTTTCTGAAACCCTGCTTCCTTCGCCAAGGCCCTTTTCTGGAGCACAGGTAGCATAAGTTCTCTTGCACGCGCGATGAGTTGCCGAAGGTTTCGACAAGTTGGATTGAAACGAGCTACTATGGGCCGAGCAAATTTGGGCCACTGATTGAGCTGATGCGTTGCCTTATGCATACTCTCCGCATAACCTATGACAGTCTTGTGCCACTCCGTATTGCGAGATAGTTCTTCGCCAGCGAAGACAAGTGAAGATAATTGGGCTATCAGGGAAGTCACAGTTTCGTGGACGGGAATTGCATGCCAATCTAAAACCAGAACATCTTCAATAACCATTTGTTTCAGGTAAAAACCAATGGTTGTATTCACCCACCTCTCTTATCGGTCCATTCCTGCTTCAACAGTAGAGAAGACTCGGCAGCAAGGGTCCCGGTTAATTTGGCTGCCTTAATGAGTCATAGAGGTCAAGTAGTATACCAAGATTAACATACTTAGGCTTCGAGTAATTTTTGTCCGAATAAGCTCTTGAACAATTCCCTGGTTTTCAATTTGCCTTTGGACCTCAAATCCTGCAATATGAGCGTGGAACGTTTTCAAGAAAACCGTTGTACTGTCAAGGTCAGGGTGGTCCCGGATTTCACGGGCAAATTTTGGAGCTAGCACAATCAGAGTTTCATTGTGTGTAATGATGCGAAAGGCATCGGCCTGGACTGAGATCAGATGGCACTGACGGAGTCACATTCATGGTCTCAGTCATACCTTACGGAGACCGCTTTGAATTAAACCAGCAGCATCTTGATAAAATCGCTTTCTCGCCTGGGATTTCCCAAATTCGAACAGCTTCCTTCCGTTGACTAAAGGGAGCTTAGACGCCCGAAAAAAATCGCATACGGCCAACGGGATCAGCAGGAAAAGACAGCAAATCACATTGAAAATTGGTGATGAAAATATAAATGGGAGATATAAATTAGCATCCATTGCATGCAGAGTACTACAATGACGACGGGACAAGAAGACTGGCGTTAAAATGGGATCAGTGCTAGCAATAAAAGTGAAGTACTGAAGGACTACTGAAATATAAAAACGGATATACATTGAGGAGCGAGTGTGGCAAGGGATATGCAACGGCATGCCTGCCTTCCAGTGTGTAACACTATGAAGTATCTCACTCCTTGCGGAATGTCCAATTTGTACTGCATAAATTAAAAATAGAATGTACGTCTCATCAGTCAGTTTTTACATGCATCATTGTGTCGGAGTAGGGACAGCCGAATGAAGTATCCCATGCAGGAAAAAAAGGTCAACAAAAAAAAAGCATGCTAGTTTTTGTACAGATCTAGTATCTAGTCCAGGGCTCATCAAGTCTCTCAAATTTAGGTATTAACTTACTACCTCAAGGCCAGATTACTCAACTTGGCCAGCAATGAAGCGGTTTATTTGCTATGGATTTAGATCCACCCAGGGAGCAATAAACTGATACAGCTCCATGTTTATTTCCCCTCATATCCAAATGGTTAGAATCAATCACATTTTCAAGTTGGGAACTGATAAAGAGAAAATATAATTGAAATCAACTGTTAGAAGAACAAACACGACGTATCAATCTCAATTTTGAAAAAAACATATAACCTTTGAAGAATGCCCGTTTTTTTCCTGCATTCTACTGCCTCTCAGGAGAAATAAGTAAGCTCGACCCCATCCAGTTTACCATCAGCTCTCCATGCTTCCAATTGAACAACGTAACTCGCAATGCCCTCTCCCCATGGCGCCAGTCTGGCTGCCTTCATTTGGTCTTCTACTGTCATCGATGTCGGTATCATGCCATAGCCGTTGAGGTAGCCGGGTGTACAACCAGCGATACCACGCAAAGCAGCCGCACGAGAGAGTATCTGGTGGGCCCAATCCTCTTCTGCCTGGGTAGTGGGCTCTATCACCACTTTCTGAGACAAAAATGAGCATTTACTCATCGCCTTAGAGAGGATATGAGCCACATGTATGGCGGTCTCATCTAAGACATAGGTAAGATTCACGCAAGCACCGGCTTGACTACTGCCAGTAAAGAAGAGATTTGGCAAACCATGTGTCATGACACCATGTAGAGTTGCCAGTCCATTGTTCCATTTGTCTTCCATGGTCAGTCCGTCTCGACCAGTCACTACAATGTCTGCACGGGACCCTGGACTGTGTCGAGTGACGGGTACGGTATATCCCGTACTGAGGATGACCGCATCCAGCTCATGTTCTGTCCCATCAACCACGATTCCTTTGGGGGTAAAGTGACTGATCCCATGGTGGCGGATATCAATCAGTTTGACGTTCGACTGCTTAAACGCACCCAAGTAGTCATCGTGAAAACAGGGGCGCTTGCACCACCCGGGATACCAGGGTTGAAGAAGATCTGCAGAGTCCGAATTTGGCACGATATCATGGACTCGCGCACGAACTTTTTTCTGTCTAGTCGCATCAACCGATCGCATTTTGTCAACATATTCAGGATCAAGACACTGCGGACCCCCAATCAACAAGCTGAAGGAGGGCATTTCAGTCCACCCATCGGCCACCAGATTTTCCGCGGGAAGTGGCTTCTCGTTACAGGTAAAAGCATTGAAGTTTTTCATCCTTCGTCGCTGCCACCCTTTACCCTCCATCTGCACCGTCTCCTGCCACCACTTCGCATCCGTGCATCGATTATTGCGTTCATCAACCGCAGCCGGCGTCCTCTGAAATACGAGGAGTTCCCGGCAGAATTTTGCCAGCTGCGGAACGGCTTGAATCGCGCTGGCGCCAGTGCCAATGATAGCTACCCGTTTATCTCTAAGCTTGGTGAGCTCTGGTTTGTTTGGAGTGCCGCCCGTGTAGCCGTAGTCCCAACGTGCCGTGTGAAAAAGCTTGCCTTTATAGTCCAACGTATTAGGGAAATCTGGAATCCTGGGGCTGGCGAATGCTCCTGATGCAAGAAGGACAAAGTCTGCGTCTAGCTGAATGGGCGTTTGGCTATCATCATCAAGCCCTAACTGGGTAGCTGAAACTGTCCAGCACTTTTGGTTTTCGTCCCAATCCAAACGATTGACCTTGGTTCGCAAGATGGCACGCTCAGACAGACTGTAGACTTGAGCAATTCTTTCGCAATGTGTTCTAATTTCAGCACCTGATGCATATTTATGCTGAGGCATATATCCGGTCTCTTCAAGAAGAGGCATGTATATGTAGCTTTCAGTATCGCACATGAGCCCTGGATACCGATTCCAGTACCAGGTGCCTCCAAAGCCGGCTGCTGTATCAACGAGAACCAGATCATCTGCAGTAAACTTGCCAGTCTGTATGAGGCGAACGGCAAAGAGAAGGCCTCCAAGGCCAGCGCCGACAATAAGAACTCTGTGATGGCGTTGTTGAATCAGCTTTTCTCTAGTTGTTTCTAGCAGTCCGGTTTCATCTCGCCAGAGGTCTCGAGCGAATGATCGAAACTGTTCACTCCGGTCGATTTCAATGTCCGAAATTTTACCCCGAGCTTTCAATTGAATCTGTCGCTCCCGCTCGTATCGATCCTCTACCTCAGCATCGAGACACTGATAGCAGTGTGATTGATCATCCACACTGCCCATGGTTGCTTTATTTTCTGTATTTGGCCGCGATGATGGTATTGCGGACTTTCGTTCGTTTGAAGTATGAAAGACCTCAACTGTTTTAGTCTGAACGCGACACACCACAACCTCTCTCTCTTCCTTCCGCTATAGTACTTCCCAAGACTAGCCTTCACTGATTTATATTGCGATCCTGCCATACCACTGGATATCCCTGGCATTCTGATAAGTTCACGAAGCAAGGGGCGTAGTTACATATAAAGCCTCGAGTAACTCGCCGCCAAATGGACGGCTACGTGCATCACTAAGTTATGACATACTACACATATGTACTTCGTTCATGGGACAACTCAATACTTCTCGCGTAACAAGTTGACACTTACATATGCGTCTTTTCTTCATGTCCAATGTGATGAGTAATGCAGGATGCATTTTATTCATTCCACACCGCAATTTGCTAGCAACATATGTCGGTCGATTTGTGGTTTATGTTGGGCGCTAATGATGAGCTATGTAAGGACTGTATGGCAGTTGAAGTTGTAGGAGTACACATGAAAACTGAGACTGTGGTTAACAATCATGATCAGCAGTTGTCCAAGAGAAGACGATGTCTAGAATGGCCTATATAGAAAACCCATCTTTTTTCCCGGATTTCATAGATGTGAACTGAATTTCACATCAACGTTCTCTGGGCAAGCTGACTATTTAATTACGCCTGTCTGATTTACTTTCGGTCAAGTTGTATCTCCTACTGAATCCATCATCCATAGTTCTCGGCACAAATTCAAACATGGACGTCGGTGCTCAGCGGGAAACGGCCATTGAAAAGGGATTTGACCCGATGTCACTTTATAACCCCAACTTGAACGATGTTGGTGAGCCGGTTCGTACATATCTCGAGGAACAGGGCAATATTCCGGCAGAGCAGATTTTAGCTCACGTCAAGAAACTGGTGAGTCTATCTGCTTAAAAATCTTTTTTACAACGCAGGTCGTATAAGGCTGGATTTACTAATTATTGATAGCGGGATCGCGCGTTTGCAGTGGTAAGAGCGAGAAATTGATGAACAAGGTGGTGTAAACAAACTATTAACTAATTCTATTGCGCCATAGTTTCCATATGCCTGCGTGGGTCAGTTTTCATTCCTCGAATTAAGCATCGCCGCCTCTCCATGCTACCCAGAAATGCTTGATCGTGTAAAGCATGGGGAGAAACTCCTTGACCTAGGATGTGCATTTGGGCAAGAGCTACGTCAACTGGTGAGCTATCCTACGAGTGGCATTTCAATGCTCTCCTAACATATTTCAATTAACTCATTCATCTCTTTATTGCCGTCAGCTTTACGATGGTGCACCTGGCGAAAACCTGTACGGTTCAGATCTCCAACAGGCCTTTTTAGATCTTGGTCATGAGTTGTTCCTCGATGAGTCCAAGCTACCCAAGTCTCAACTGATTAGTGGAGATATCCTCGATCCAAAGTGCCGCCTTCTCGTTGAAATGAAAGGTGAACTCGATATTATTTACATCTCCTTGTTCATACATGTCTTTGATTGGGAGCAACAGATAACAGTGGCTAAACACATGCTGCAACTTCTGGCAAGAAAACCAGGATCGATGATTGTTGGCCGCGTTATGGCTACCAGGAATCAAGAAGCCCTGACTGCAACTAAGGCACGGATGCCCTACTACTTCCATGACATGGCTAGCTGGCAACATCTATGGGACCAGGTGGAGATGGAAACTCACATCAAGTTGTCTGTGAACGCATGGGAACAACCTGACGCAATGGCGAAAAAACACCCTCTCCCGGGGGTCTACGTGCTTGGGTCTATGATTCGGCTGGAATAAGGAAATACGCTGGGAATCGATGCGTAATATCTGTTACTTGAATTCTAAGCTTCCAAGAAAAAAGGGAACCAATAGTATCCAGGATACCAAGACAATCAAAAGTGCAATTAATCTACATCAGAATGCGATTTTAGATTCAATACTTGGCTTTCTACGTATTACGTACATGGGATAGCCGTTCACTTGTTACCACACGTAGAAAGAGATGAATAAAATGTCGGATCAAGCACCTTTACTCATGTGTAAGTGCATTGGGCATTAGCCACCTATTGCGGACTCTATGGCGGCGATCTTAAAGGCATTCAACGACATAAAACAGTCGACCCGGAGCAGTTTCCATAGCCCAATTTTGCACGACTGTGAAGACATGGGCTTATCATCAATGATGTACTAGCGGTGAAATTTGATACAGTGAGGACATACATAATGTGTGGAGTGAATGCCAACAAGAGACATGCAAGGGAGCCGGCTAAGGCTACATATGGATCTATTAGACGCGTATGCAAGAAATTCCCAGGAAATATGTAGTACGAAAACTAAGAGAAAGGCACGGCCCGTCGTTGCCGCATCAGGTCCACTTTCATTTCACATTTCAGCAAGGCTAGGGAAATGCGTTCTTGTATTATACACGATACACACCGACAATCATGGGGCTTACGATAAGAAGGTTGGGATGCATCGGAGATCCATCCTTGCATAGCTGTTATGGCAGGAAACTACCATCTTAAACAACAGCGATCTTTCTGGGAATTATTCCAACGACGTCGTGGTTGAAGACTACCCTTCTATTTTTGAGGTGTGCTCATTTATCCAAAGGCTACACTCTCAACCAAACATTTTGTCGTCATTCTAATTATATCAGTAGCAACTATGGGATATCTTGACGACTACGTATGTAAGGAATTGCTTGGAACTATCATCTCTGATTACTGATGACTATACAAATACAGGTGATAATTGTGACTGGCAGCTCTTCGGGGATTGGACTAGTAACGGCCACAATTGCCCTGAACGAGGGAGCTCGAGTGCTTGGAGTCGATGTTTCACCTGCATCAGAGTCAATTTTGGATAATGACAACTTCAAATTTTTTCAGTGCGATCTCTGCCATGAGTCTGCACCCGATCAGATTATCGAGAACTGTGCTGAGGCTTTCGGACGGCGAGTGGACGGATTACTAAACATTGCTGGAGTGATGGATTTGAATCAAAGTGTAGACAGTGTCTCAGACGCCATGTGGGAGCGCTGTATAGCCATCAACTTGACCGCACCCGTGAAGCTGATGCGAGCAGTTATTCCCATCATGAGAGAGCAGAGAAGTGGAAGCATCGTGAATGTTTGCAGCAAGGCCGCTTTGAGTGGCGCTGTATCTGGTGTTGCATATACAGCAAGTGAGCGTTACATTCTTCTTCTCTTTGAGATATGCAACCTACTTAAAAGCTAATAGGAAGCAACTACACTAGGTAAACACGGCCTTATTGGAGCTACCAAGAATGTTGCTTTCAGGTTTAAGCATGAAAATATCCGGTGCAACGCAGTATGTCCAGGAGGTGAGTTTTGACAGAGGAGACATACGTGGGCTTCCGTTGATATGATGATTAGGAGTTGCTGCAACTGGCATAACAAGATCAGTGGACACCAATTGCATGGACCGTGAGGCAACAGCGGCCATGTCGCTGATCCACCAAGTCCAAAGTTCTGACCATGAAAAGGGAATGGGTGTACAGCCAGAAGATATTGCCAATTTTCTTCTGTTTCTAATATCTAGTCGCAGCAGAAGCACCAATGGGGCAATCATTCCCATAGATAATGCTTGGTCCACAATCTAATCATGTCTATTGACCCGTGAATTTTTTTTAAGCGCATAGTATAGTACATATATACATTTCTATCTACCTAATGTACGACGCAATCATGTATTCAATGTTATAACATTGTTCTATACCTTAATCTGATGGGCACCTTGTGAGACTGCAAGAGATATTATCAATCTCTTAGCAATCGTGCAGCTTTCGCGCATGAAGGATTTCTTCTCTGAATACATGACCATGAATAGAAGGAGGCATTGAGGGTTTGGCACGTACCGAAAGATTGATTCTCTACTCGAGTGTTGGACAAATTTTCCCCTGCTACACGTATCTACCTATAGATTAGAGGCCTACTATGTAGTTCTTGGTGCATGTGGAATTTTTACATATTCCGACGTCCGGACCGGTCTCGCGTTGTAGCATAAATCCCCAAGCAAAAGTTTTATACATGTATAAGCATAAATCGTCCACTACTGACGTATGAAGTTATGTGTCCCTTGCATCGGCTGAGGTCGGCCCATACTTGTAGAATGGAGGCAAGAGCCGTGCATTATCATCCCTGGATTTGTATGACGAGCGTTGAGAGCAATCTTGACCGCAGACAGGCTGACCAATAGTGACGGTTGCCACACGATGATATCCGACACTATGCAGTGATACACAGTATGAAAAATATTTACATTACCTAGGTACAGCTACTTCACGGTCTCTAAAAATATTGACCTTGACGAATTACTCTTGACGCTCTTACGCCAGCTTCAGCTAGCTTGTTGATATAACTTTTGTTCCTGTGTCTCAATATAGAACAGTACCAATGGCGACCCAATCGCCGACGGAGAATACAAAGTTCAAAGTCATCATTGTTGGGGGATCAATTTCCGGGTTGACGTTGGCCCATTGCCTCCATCAAGCAAATATCGATCATGTTGTTTTGGAGAAAAAAGAAGAAATTTCTCCTCAACAAGGCGCTTTTATTGGTGTCTGGCCGAATGGCGCCAGAATTCTCGACCAACTCGGCCTTTACACAGACATGGAGAAATTGACAGCACCACTTCACAAAATGAATATTTGTTATCCGGATGGCCACTCCTTTAGTAGTGCGCTACCCAAGATTATTCATGATAGGTGAGTCTCAAATTTTTTTGCTCCTTCAGCTGAGCAGATTCCCTAGAAACAGCTGACATTAATCTTTAAATAGGTTTGGATATCCTATTGTTTCTTTAGATCGTCAAAAGGTGTTGGAAATACTGTATGACAAATATCCCGCAAAGTCCAACGTTCTCGTCAAAAAGAGAGTTGCAGAGGTACAATTGTTTGATGATGGAGGCCGCGTAATTACTGACGATGGAGCTGTCTACGACGGTCACCTCATCGTCGGTGCTGACGGAATCCATAGCCGTATACGCTCCGAGATGTGGCGCCTAGCAGACGCACGCAGTCCAAATATAATCTCACCACGTGATAAGAAAAGTCAGTATACGCAGATCGAGCAGTCTACGAATTCTTTCTCGGTAGCTAACGAATAGAGACACAGGTATGACAGTCGAGTATGCCTGTGTGTTTGGTATTTCATCCCCAATACCAGGTCTGTTGACAGGAGAACATGTCAATTCTTATTCCAATGGATCGTGTGTTATCACCTTCCATGGCAAGGATGGCCGCGTGTTTTGGTTTATTATTGAAAAGCTATCGCAGAAGTTTCTCTACCCCAACACACCTCGCTACTCAGCTAGTGATGCAGCAGACTTTTGTGATAGGCATGCATCAGTTAGAGTATGGAAGAATATACATGTGGCAGACTTATGGAAAAATAAGCTATGTGCTTCCATGACGGCATTGGAAGAGGGTATGTTGGAAACGTGGAGCTTTGATCGTATTGTTCTCTTCGGAGATAGCATCCACAAAGTAAGTTAATCACTTTTGTTTAGCGTTCTTTGGATTATTGACTGAGCTGACCAATTCACCCATTTAGATGACTCCCAATATAGGTCAAGGAGCAAACACCGCGATGGAAGACGCTGCTATTCTTGCCTCGCTGTTGAATCGGATGTTGGACTCAAATTCTGGTGCGAACTGTCCAAAGTCTAGGGATATTCAGAATCTCCTCCAAGAGTTCCAGGCCTTGCGATACAATAGGGTCAAGGATGTATGCTCGAGATCATGGTTTGGAGCACGTCTTCATACTAGAGATGACTTCTTGAAGGCCTTCATTGGTCGGTATATTTTTCCTTATATCAGTGGGAACTTGGTTACAGCTAGGACCTCCATAGCAATTGCAGGTGGACAACTGATTGACTATCTTCCCTCACCGAAGCGATCAGGAGTTGGCTGGGTCGAATACGCTGCCAACGGACAGCCCAAGGCCTACCAGCGCCGGTGGACCCTGGTCTGCATATCTTCTTTTCTTTTCTGTTCGCTTCTTTACCTATGCCGAGTCTCTCTGATCCCTGCTCTACCCATCGTTGTCTGACATATTTTTACCATGGAAGTTCTGTAATGGAGTAATTTTCCTGGATCTTATTACAAAGTCATATTTTATGCAATGCGTCTATAATTGTTTGCTATTGTTATCTAAGACACAATATTCTGATACGATAAAGGTACCCGCTTCTACGGCTACAAGGTCATTTCCCTTGGTACTCATTTTATATGCTTCATCCTCTCATTTACGTAATTCTTCATGCTACAAAGAGTGTCATATATGAACAGCTCAAGCAGGCAAGGATCTCCAGGTGTTATGCAGTCTGACATTGTCCTGTCGGGAAAATGCAATTTACATCGCAGCTACTATGTAGGATATATTGCTGCTATACCAGTTAGTATCCTTACTGTTCATGGTCACTACATATCTGCTGAGCTATTCAAATCGGCATTTTCTTGCTCCGATGTAGATTCATTCATCTATTTTCTTTGCCTGGGACATGTGCACAATTCCATAATTTCGCTTCACCCCGTCTATTTCATGCCATTCCGGACCACCCATCACGCACTTTCTCCTTGCATTGCACATGCAGCGATCATTCAGAGGATGAGTTGACTACATATTCGTTATGCCTAGGCCTAGGTCTTTTGATATATTTATACCGGACTAGTACATGTATTTATACACAGTATATTTCTGCCTGACCGCTTTTCCTTATGCATGGGCATTGCATGTATTTCATTTTCCTTTGTTTTTTTTTAAGTTCCCCTGTTGTGTCACCTTAAGGAAAAATCGATTTCGACATGGTGGCAGCATCTATGATGTAGCTATCTATTACCTCCTCCGGTCATCATTAGCCCCGGTTAAGCAATTGTAGGTAGGGGTCGGTTACCATGTCTGGTAGCATCGTAAACAAGATAACCCAAATATGCAACCAGCCTGACATGACTAGAACCCAGATCGGATCGTGTCTTATGGACAATTTTTAGAGGGTATCCCTAGTATGACATGATTCTAAGTTCCCTATTCTCTTTCTCTTGTCCATGTCATTGTAGTAGTATCCATCTATACACGCTAGAGTTCAATTCGTTTTTCGCAATTGCAAACCTCCTTTATTCTACTTCATCTTCACAATTGATCGAGAAAAATGGCGGTAGATATTGTTGATGCCGAAGGCCTCGACACTTCTGGTATGGAAAAAAAGGGGGGTTGCCACGAGATTGAAGTGGTGAGCAGCTGTCTGCAGTGTATAAGAATCGAAACGAAAATAGAAGACAGCAGTCTCGACACCAAAGAACGACTTAAAGATTTTGCGCGAAATCCATGGATCGAACATGAACCCTCCACAGCTCCCAGGCATAATTCTCTAGCAACTTCAAATCATACCAAAATCGTGATTATCGGGGCAGGATACGGTGGCCTGTTGTTTGCAGTCCGCCTTCTGCAATCTGGAATATCACTGGAGGATATTTTGCTGGTTGATGCAGCTAATGGATTCGGAGGTACATGGTACTGGAATCGCTATCCTGGACTGCGATGCGATATCGAAAGCTATATCTACATGCCTTTGTTGGAGGAGACAGGCCACGTGCCTAGCCGAAAATATGTTTCAGGCGAGGAACTTCGTCAGCATGCTGATGCCATCGCTCGACAGTGGCAACTGGACAAACGAACCCTCTTCAATACAACAATGAAGTCCCTCACATGGGATGACAAAACGCTCACTTGGACAGGACTTGGGACTACAACGACTTTTGATCAGGAGGCAACGCGACCACTTGTTCTTTCGTCGGAATTTGTCATCGTGGCCACAGGTTCCTTGAGCAAACCTAAAATTCCTGAACTCGCCGGTATAGACGACTTCCAGGGTCACATATTCCACACAGCTCGCTGGAATTACTCGGTGACTGGAGGGTCGCCCCAAGCACCTCATCTAGAACGACTGAAGGATAAGCGAGTTGGAATAATAGGAACAGGTGCTACTGCGGTCCAAGTGATCCCAGAACTAGCGAAGTGGTCCAAGGAGGTGTATGTATTTCAGCGAACACCGTCAGAAGTCGGCATCGAGCCAAATCCAGCCACCGACCGGGATTGGTGGGAAGAGCATATCCAGAAGCAGGGGCATGGGTGGCAGAGACGACGTGCCGAGAATTTCAATTCGTTTCTTTCCAATCCCACTCCCAAGACAGATGAAATTGACTTGGTGACCGATGGGTGGACAAGATTTCGTTCATACGCCGCAACAATTGGAGGAGAATCGAATGTAGATCCCAATTTTCTCACGCTCATTAGGGAGTTGGATAAATCCAGGCAGGACGCCCTCCGCCAGAGTATCCGTGACACTGTTCGTAAAGATAACATCGCTGAAGCACTGCTGCCAGTGCACCCCGGATGGTGCAAGAGACCGTGCTTTCACGATACTTACTTCCAGGTTTACAACTCTCCACATGTTCAGCTCGTGGCCACTCGGGGCCAAGGCGTAACACGTCTGACTCGCGGGGGGGTTTTGCACGGGGACACGGAAATCGAGCTAGATCTCATTGTACTAGCAACCGGATATGATTCGAGCAACTTGTGCCCATCTTTTCGTGCTAATTTAGAGGTCATCGGTCAGGACGGACGATCAATGGAACAAAAATGGTCCAATGGAGTTGCAACATTGCACGGTGTATTAACTCGAGGCTTTCCAAATTTCTTCTTCCCAGGCCTATCGCAGGCGGGTGTCACCGCAAACCAGGTATATATGTTTGAACAGGCTGCTGCACATGTATCATATATTATCCAAAGTGCACTAGGCCGTGCGAATAAATCTGGCCGAATTGCCGTGCATCCCACGCATGAAGGCGAGGAAGACTGGGCAACACGAACAGTGTTGAGCTCACATGCTTTCGCAGCTGCGGGACAATGTGGACGAGAAAGTTATACTTTGTCAAGTAGTCATGGCAGGAGCGAGACAGAGAAGAAACAGCTTGCTCGAAAGTCACCTTGGGGCGCAGGAATGGCTCAATATGTCAAGATCCTAGAGCAGTGGAGGGCTACTGGAGATTTAGAAGGGTTGGAGTTCATTCACGGTGACCAGAACTAATCATATAGATACTTATAGCAGATATAATCTCACTCCTTGTTTTATGCACCAAGATAGATTGCAGCTTGTCCTTCCATTTTGATTGAAAGTACTGTCTCTGTACGTTCACACTTAGTAGCTTATACGGATAGACAGTATTGCCATGTCACTTAACATATAGACCAAGGCTGAGGTAAATTAAGATCCTTCAATCATTTTATAATCCGTACTGCTGTGTATTGAAAAATGCCTAGGTATAGCGCGAATATTCTGGTAACAAATGAGAACCATAGAAAAGTAAGTAACACCAAAGACACTACACATTACCCCCGTCTATCCCGTCTACAACGATGGTACATTTCCATAACATATGTTCTTCACTTATTCTTCACTTTTTCCCCCTCCTTTTGACGCTCATCGCGAGTCACCAGATAATGTAGAATAGGATATATGGCGTCCATAGTAAGAGTGCATCCAATATAGAACCAACACATAGGACTTTCAAGCCAAGGTTCGTCACCCAACTCATACATATACCGAATTGTCAACTTGGTAAAGCCCCCTGCAGTTGCTGTGGCGCGAAACATCCTTTTTCGGTATGAGTGAAATTTGATCGATATCGGAGACGTTATAAAGGGACCTAACATACCATGTTTTGAGAGAAATTCCTCGAGTACTTCCCCGACTGACCAAGTGACAAATGCCAGCGAAGCTAGCTATGAATTGGCATAAAGCTCCACCCCAATGAAATCCTAACTCTGGCCCAATCTCGGCAGCCAGAGCCATCTGACCGGCCATGAAACCCGCAGTTACCATCAAGTAAGCCACAGGGACATAGCGCTTCATGAACGGAGCATGTTCCCATTCATTGGGTGCATACTTCATCACGGTGAGCATCATGATGCTATGCAGCAATAACCATACACGAATGCCACCTGCCCAATGAGAACTCGCAAGAGGATAAATAAAAGCATAAACTATTTCCCACCCAACATCGCAGCAGATTGATATGAACGAGATACTGGGGAGTTGAGATTTGATGGTCATCCGCATAGTATTGATGTAATTAAGCGACCAGCAAACAAAAGCCAATAGTCTTAGCAGAACATCGATGGTTTGAGGCTCCAGAAATTCTGAAGACACACTGGTACCGGTCATGGCTGAGCGCTGAGAAGAGACGATTGATGGGATCGAAATTTGCGATGGGTAGGCATGTTCTGTAAGCAACAAGTCGTGTTTCTGGGGAATTATATTAAACATGGCAATTAAGGTCATCAAGGGAAGACTAGGTCAATGGACCTCGGAAGCATCAAGGATAATAGAATTATCCAAGTCCAAGTTTATGCATATTGCAGATCTCTCTCATCTGCAGTTAAACACATACATATCCATATACATGTAACTATGTTACGCAGCGTCAATAGTCCTTGGATTCCCCGATAGAGTAAACGCTCAATTCGTGACATGAATGATGATCTATTGATCTATGGCAACTCTCATTTTTATGTGTAATTAATGAATGCGGTGGGGCCATGTACGAAATATATGCCGATAAGTGAAGCATCGTCGGGAAGTTTACTTATTGTTGCATTTAGTCTCCTTGCCTATAAGGTATGTATATAGAATTAAGTGTGCTTTTTTTTTGACCGCTACATGGCTTACCGCTATATCCCTTACTGCCGCTTAATTACAAAATCACTGAAAGAAAACCACTGCAATGCTAAAATACATATATGAGATACAGGTAGGAAATGGCACTATCTGCGTCTCATAATCCTATCGCTCTTCGTACTTCCTAATATACCCCCAAGCCTTGAAGAAGGATCAGAACTCGCAACTTCGGTCAAGAAGCGTCGTTTTACATTAGTGGTCATCATCACCTACGTACGTCCTTTGAGCTATTCCTCTCTCTTAGTCTCGATTTACCCGTTCATGTGACCCTAGTAATACACCGATCATGACCCCTATCCGTGACCAGCTTTATGCTACCGCATTGAAGTTCCTACAGGCTCAAAGCTGCTTGGAAGCCGACCGAATGACAGCCCTGCGCACGCCAACCTGTCGTAGCACCGGCATGGCTCCCAGCAGGACAACCTCTAAAACATGCGACCAATTGAAGCCCCTCTTGGAGGATTACAAGCGAGTGTTTAAAGACGCAAAGTACTCGTTACTTGAAGAGAATGATATGGTAATTGATGAATGGGCAAAGAAAGTGACGATGCGTGTGAGAGGCCAATTTGAAACATGTGTTGGACCTTGGGCAAATGATTTTGTTTTCATTCTCACAATGACAGAAGACGGCAAATTACTTGCTGATATCAAGAGTTTTCCTGACACAGCGGCTTTGGAGGAGCTCGAAACCCGTGTTCTTCAGGCTTCACAGGCACCTGCTCCATGGTTGGCTCATATGATTAAGGCGGATGCGTAAGATGGCGCTCTTCTTGATGCATGTAACCGGAAACTAAAACACTCCCTAAAATGTGGCGAGAATAGGAATAAAGCTCTTAAAGATAAATTATTGCTTATCGCCGTCGTGCTATGTCTACAGTTGCATATCTTTTTACCAGGGTTCAGCTTATCCATTGCCAATGAATGGTAAATAAGAATTGGAACTGCCTCGACTTACATAATGATGATAGTGGTGACCAACTCGTTTCTTTCCTAGTATTTTTTTTGAACTCAATAGGATCAATCATGTCTACTACGTATGTCGTATAGATAAGAAAGACAAGGCTTTGTGTGATCATCATGAACATAACTTGTCGTCCTCCAGAACTTCTTCGGCCTAAGGCATGCCCAAAGTACAATGAATCGTTGATGTTTTTCTCTCAGATATCGGCTGACCTTTGGGCTATGTGTATACCGTTAGATGGTATCATTGATGGATACCTCGCTTCGAGTTAATCTATCTTACTTATAACACTACAGAGACCTCCGTGTGGATCAAGAATGTGCAAAACAACCCAGACTGGTCAAAGCAGGTTCAGGCCTTGTGGATCTCTGACTGAAGTATGATAGTCCACTAGAATCACAGTTCTTAACCATAAGAAGAGAATACAAGAATCTTACATTGATATTTCTGGCATTTTCCAGGGAGCTTGCCAGCACTGGCACCGTTGATCTTCGCATTTCAGCTTCCGAAAGCCGCAGCAAGGGGCGCATTTCTCATAACACCGCACTTAACCATGAAAGGTTATGAAAACAGTTCAATCCGGAACGGGCCGAGGAACGAGGGACATTAAGTTTACATCCCACTTTAGTAAAATGGCAGTAGCAGGAGTACAAAAATGACATCCATTGATCCAGCCTCAGTACAACTTTCCGGTCTTTGAATGCAATAGAGCAGATCCTGAGCCTAGCAGACATGTTTTAATCATTGAAGTATTCAATTTCATTTCCCAAAAAGAATATCTAATCACTTTCAAGGCTGCCTAATTTCATTGTTTGTCTGCAAGGAGTTGAAGATCTTTGCCCGGCCATAAACTGATTACCTTCCCTCAACTAGATCAGCTTTTCTTGTTATGTACGCAGAGCAGAAAAGAAAATGAATATTCTGTCCTTCTTTCTCTAAAAAGCTCTACTAACTTAACGAGATATATTAAAGACCGAAAGAAAAGCGGTATCAGACCTCAGGAAATCGCGATCATGGTCCAGAATATCCCAGAAGAGGTCGCTCTCGATACTTACAACAATGACAACGAATATCACCCCTCGGACAAGGATACTGTTCACGAGAAACACGAAGAGCAAGAGATGGATTCTCGTTCGGCGGCTTCGGGGAAAACTGAGTCAGAGAGGATTATGACTTCTTCGGAGGGAAAAAAAGATAAGGGTCCTGCAACCTATCAGCTGATCTTCATTACTATTGCTCTGGTACTCGCTGTATTTTGTGTCTCACTGGTGAGCAAATATGAATCCACTCCTAGAGTATGCGTACAAGTCCCCTGTTGTGTTGATCTCTATTCCTTCTAAATTTAGGATAATACAATTGTCGCCACCGCAATTCCCTCCATCACGGAATACTTTCACGCCCTAGACGATGTTGGCTGGTATGGAAGTGCCTATATGCTCACTAACTGTGCGTTTCAACTCCTTTACGGTAAAATCTATTCTTCCTACAGCACGAAATGGGTCTTTCTCATAAGCTTGGGAATCTTCGAGATTGGATCTTTGGTATGCGGCGCTGCTCCTTCATCTACAGCTCTCATTCTGGGTCGAGCGGTGGCTGGCCTAGGGGGATCGGGCATCACAACTGGAGCTTTCCTTATTATTTCACAAACTGTTCCACTTGAAAAACGTCCCATATACACCAGTGCAGTTACCAGTGTCTTCGCTGTTTCCAGTGTGCTTGGTCCAGTGTACGTGCAGTCCCAGTTGTCCAACTTTTGTGGCGGTCAAACTTGAAGCTAATGTAATGGGACTTTTGTCTCAATGTTTTAGACTAGGTGGTATCTTTGCCGATCGCCTCTCGTGGCGTTGGTGCTTCTACATCAATCTTCCTTTCGGAGGTGTCACGGCTTTGTTCCTGTTTTTCCTGGTGAAACCGCAGAAGGAAAAACTTCCCGGAATTACCTCTCTTCAAGACCTGAGAAAATTCGATATTCCTGGTACTATAGTCTTTCTTCCCGGCATCGTATGCTTACTTTTAGCCCTTCAGTGGGGTGGCTCCAAGTATCCATGGCATAACTGGCATGTTATCGTGACCTTTGTCATGGGTGGTGTATTGATTTGTGCGTTCATCCTCATTCAATACTGGCAGCAAGAGAATGCCACTCTTCCACCTCGAATCATCAAAAATAGAAACGTCTGGGGTGCGTGGCTCTATAGTTTCACCATCTTATCGGCCATGTTCGTTGTCGTTTACTATGCAAGTTCCCCCTCTCCATTTGAACCTCATCTTTAATTCATCCACTAATTATATATCCAGCTACCAATCTGGTTTCAAGCCATAAAGAACGATTCGCCGTCAAAGTCTGGGGTCATGAATATCCCTCTCTTTGTCTCCTTCATTATGACAAGTATCTTTTCCGGCTTTTTAGTGGCTCGCTTTGGTCATTATACCCCATCCATTCTTGCAGGGTCTGTCTTAGCAGCAGTTAGTTGCGGTTTATTATCCACTATGACGGTTGACTCGGGACCTGGTGAGTGGATCGGATATCAAATCTTTTTTGGAATCGCCGAGGGCATTGGTTCGCAATTGGGTGTGATTGTGGTCCAGAATGCCTTGCCAAAAGAGGATATTGCAGTGGGTATCGCCATTATAATGTTCTCACAGACCATTGGTGGAGCGGTCTCCTTGGTTATCGCCCAGAATGTTTTTCAAAATCGCCTCATTGCCAATTTTCACCAGTACGACCCGCAGCTAGACGCCAGCAAGATCATCAGCGGGGGTGCGTTGGAGATCAGGAATATGGTTTCCAAGTCCGCTTTACCGGAGGCACTATTCGCATACAACAAGTCGATAATGCAGACTTTTTACCTCGCAGTGGCGATGAGTTCCATTTCAATATTTGGCGCCGTAGTCATCGAATGGAAGTCAGTGAAGAAAGGAGAACAAAAGGATGCTGTTGGAGCTAGTCACTTGTGAAGAATAAGGGGAAACGGTCCACCTTAGCTTTTCGCCGAAGTATTGGGCATAATTATGGCGATTCGACCCCGGTTAATGTTTAATTTCTGTTTTGTACTTATTCTGTTACTATCATTCGGGTTCTTAATTGATCCAATCACGCAACCTCATGCTAGACTTGGCTTGCGTTTTCTGATTTCATTCAATCCGTAATAACTATCGGCGCGATGTTTGAATCTATTGTCTTGATGGGAATGGTACGAATCTCGGGACTACCGCTGTTAGATGTAGAAACCAATTCGTGACCTCCACGTATATCCACTGTACCAATGCAAGTGTACTAACGAGATCTTCCTAGGGGTCCTCTGTGGTTTAATCTCCCTAGCTGTCAACAGTTGATTGACTATTTGCGCAAGCTCTTGCCACAAGACATGATCCGTTGTGCTATTGGGATTGTTGTTGAAAGTATAAGAATTATATACTGTTAGGAAAGGATATAGCCATTGGAAATCATACGATTTATAAGTCATGAAACGTTAGAGAAACAAAATTCCATGATTCCTTCAAAGTCTACCTCATCGCAAGAGAATGTATCATTTATATTCGGAATCTACAAGGTAATTACGTAGAACATCTCTCAATCAAGGCATTTATTTCATATCATGCTCACCAACCACCACTCTCTTCAGAGAGAGTCAGACTCCGGCATCAAAGCCTCGAGATATGGTCTAGATTTATAAAGCAGGCAAGTCCTCATCCAATACCGATAATGCCCATTTCAACAACAGACATGACTACGCAGCAACCTTTGGTTCAATCTTTGCTGAGGGCACCCCATGATTTTCAGGGGCGGTGCTGACGGCGTAACGATTCAAACCACTAGCCGCCTGCACAGCTGTCAATCGATCCAGAAGTTCCTTTTTAATTATCGCGTCGAAATACTCCCAGATCTCGGCCACGAGAGCGCAGTCGTCCGTCGCTTGCAGAATAACTAGGATATCATTCTCGTACGGACCACCGATAGTGTCCGCGCTACCTACGGCGCGGAATGAAACCCTCTTTGCAACATCATCGACCACCATAAATCTCTCGTCCGTGATCGAAAATTTAGAGTTAATGCCAATTTTGGTCCATTCGTCAAAGTATGCCCTGATATCGTTATTGGTCAGGGGCTTGGTGTTAAGGCTTGGACAGCACTGGTGCGTAAGACAGTTCTCTGTGCGAATGGCCATGCTTGCGTCCATGTCGCCGTCGTTGACGGTTGCGGCGAACTTGTATGCTAATGCCACGAGTTTCTCTCTGATGGTGGGTGCCATGGTCTAATATTTTGTTATCAGATACTCCTGTGCCTAGAGGGTGTAGGTAAGATGACACTTGCGGTGGTTCTAGTTGCTTTCTTTAGTTTGAGGGCTCAGAACGATTGATTCTTGTTTTTTTTGGAGGCGAGCTTCTTCTAGGTCAAAGATTTGATTAAAGGTGTGAGTGATCGAATGGGTAATGTTAGTGATAGTTCGCTTGATCTAAATCAGGATGGTCTTTAGCAGGGTTCAGATATCTGGAGCGGTGTGTCACATTGCCACGTATAGAACACAGCATACAGGCCATCTCAATGTACACAAAGACGGCTTTGCCCCTTGCTTCAAGATGTGGCATACACATAAGCAAACATTTCGATAGCAATGTCACGCACAGAACATTCTTATCACACTTCATGCAAGCCGCATTACTTCATGCACTATACAACATGTACTCGGCAACTTTGGAATCAATTGCTTTGGTCGCAGATCTCTAGCCCTCGCAACAATAAGCATCCTTGTGACGATCATCATTAATCAGTAAGGAGGTTCCCGGATGTGATGGCTTCCGAGCGACAGTTTCTGGCCGGCCCGTACCGTTCATGTCACTGACTCCGCATCGTTCTGTCATCTTTACGACAATAACTATGTAATTTGTAATTCTTAACTTTCAAATGTTGAAATTCGTTGAATGTCCCAAATGCGGAGAGCGTCATGGTACTAGACCGCTATATTTTTTTTTTAGAGGTAGCCCAAAATGGCAGCAGGGCAGTGGAGAACTTAAGGGAATATACAAGGAATGCTAGGGGGGGTCTTGCTCACAGCGAGCAGTTTGTAGGTTGCAAGTGATGAATACTTTGTGCGACCATTCGTGTTCAATGTTTGCAATAAGAGTAAAATACACCACTCACAACATCCATACAGAGTTTGGTCCTTTATATTTCTACCCTATACAATCATCAAAAACAAAGCACAACAGTAACCCGGCGGGATGTTCTCTGTTGGCTCTGTAGTAATAGCGGTATCTTAACCTCCCTCATTACCCTCTCCGAATTAATTTGAATTCTGACAAAAATGGAAAATAGGTCGTATTCTGGGTGGTCACTAAAGCGATCTACAATGTATACTTCCACCCACTGAGTCGCTTCCCAGGACCCCTCTTAAACAGAGCAACGCGATTAGCATACATATTCCAGGCACTTCGAGGAAAACTTCATTATGATGTACTGGAAATGCACCAGCGCTATGGTGACATCGTCCGTCTCGCACCCGACGAGCTCTCTTTCTCCCATCCCGATGCGTGGGAGCACATTATGGGCCACAAGAAAGCCGGTCAGGAGGAAATGGGAAAAGCGCCATGGTTCTACCGCACGTTCAAAGGCGAGAAATTGAGTATTGTCAATGAGGACCGTGAGCAGCACGCACGTCTACGTCGACCAATGGCCCATGGATTTTCCGAACAAACTGTGCGAGATCAGGGACCGATAATCCGAGGTTATGTGGATCTCTTTTGTCAGAAACTGCGAGAAGTTTCCGCAAAAAGTCAATTGGTTGTTCTTTCCGACTGGTTTTCCTATGTCGCTTTTGACATCGTCGCTGATCTATCATTCGGCGAACCTTTCGGCTGCTTGAAAGAGGGGAAGGAAGACGAATGGCTCACGACGATGTCAAACCTGGGAACGACAGCTATCTTGTTTCAGGTTCTGGGCTTTTTCCCATGGCTGAAGAGCCTTCTCCTCATGATATTCTCCAAGAAAATGAAAAAATTCCGTGACGCACATCTCAGCAGCAGCAAGGAAAAGATGCAGCGACGAATGAATCTACAAGGAACACGTCCTGACTTCGTACATGGCCTCATGCAAAAGAGGGAAGAATTGGTTAGCCATCATGTTTCCTTGGCTTATCATGTTCGAAACGCTGACGCACCTGTCGCAGAATCTAAGCATCGACGACCTCACTGCCAATGCTCAGCTGTTTATCGGCGCCGGTGCTGAAAGTACTGCGACATTGCTTATGGGCATGGCCTACCTCCTTTTGAAACACGAGAGTGTTTACGAAAAAGTAAAGGAGGAGATCCGGTCAACCTTTGACAAGGCGGATGAAATCACCCTCGCTAGTGTCGCTCAGCTATCTTACTTGAATGCCTGCATCAATGAAACCCTGCGAGTGTATTCTCCCGCTGGCAACGGACTCCCGCGCATGGTCCCCAAGGGAGGAGGATATATACTTGGAGAATTTGTACCTGAGAATGTAAATATGATCACCCTTGCAACCTATTTTACACTATCATGATCATAACTCACATCGGACAGACCACTGTGGCAGTCCACCACTGGGCGCTATATCATCGCGAGAAATACTTCGCTGACCCACACGCTTTCCGCCCAGAGCGCTTCCTCGGTGATCCCGAGTTTTCTAAGGACCAGCCAAAGGCTTTGCAGCCTTTCCACGTTGGCCCACGAAACTGTATGGGTCAAACGTAAGTGTTTCTAGTCGTTGGTGCAATCGCAAGCTGACCCGTTCTCTCCAGTCTGGTCTACGGCGAAACGCGATTGGTCTTCGCTCTCCTAATCTTCAATTTCGACCTGAAGCTCGCGGACGAATGCCGAAATTGGATGGAACAGCGACATTGGCTCATGTGGGAGAAATCCCCCTTGATGGTTCATCTGACGCCCCGGCAAACGGTGTCGGGACAGTGAGTCGAATGAAAACACCACTTAAATGAGGGAGTCCAGCAATTCTTTTTCGCAATTCTTCATAAGAGACAATGTCATGCGATAAAGTAACTTGCATGTAAATCAAGCAAATGATGAAGGATACTTTATCTTCACAGTTGGTCATCGTCCGCAGATTGTCAGTCAAGGGTTTTAAACTTGACGCCGAAAGAAGTGGAATCCTCTACAATAAGCAGCGATAATTACGATTGCAGTTGATAGGTGGTTGGAGAAAGTACGGTGAATGTCAGGTGCTTCTGCTTCATATCTAGATATATTCTCAACGATTGAATGAGTCGATATGGGAAAACGTCCCATCTTGCCTGGGTAGTATGATACCTGTGTTCATAAATATTCATCTATCTAGTTTCCTGCCTTAATATTCTGTATGCGTTCGATCAAATCTAGATACAAATCTCTGGATCTTTAGCTCGAGTAATATACATTTTTCAAGTACATGGACACATCAATGTACAAAGTCTGAAGATTTCAATAGCGTCATTTACCAGAAGTCCCGTAAGCCTTGCACCTACGGAGATGAGTTGCCCTAAATATATTTTCGAGGCGGCCGGTCTAGATTTGAAATTAAGATTTGGCGTATACTGTTCACTTTGCACGTACGTGCGTGCTATCAATTCAAAGATTACAAATTGGATCACTAGCATGAATTATAAAGGTTTAAATGTTCAGCTCGCCTGGAGCCGAGTATCAATTGGCTAGAAATCTCTTGCTACTTCAGCCGCAGCCATCTTAGTGTCTTAGTGGTTATGAACTAATCCTGTCTTGTACCTTAGAAAGCCTTGTTCTCTAAAGGCCGAGCAGAGTCGCAGTGAGCGAACCATGATCAATTTGACTTTCAGGTGATTATCAAACTGTTTAGCGTACAAATATGTACGTACAAGCTCTATAATAAGCTCCATCGTGGCTTGATCTATATATGAACCCTGTATTCCATTCGGCCCCGCTCCGACGCTCGAAGTTATTCATAATCTCGCCCCAACTTCTATTTGCCTGTTTTTCTTGGGATAGCAAATTTTCCTCATAATATCTGCAGAGCGATAGTCGCGATATTCGGCATTATGGCGGCACAGAAAACCCCCCTCGATGAACGGGTAATTGGTGGCCCGTATACTCTCTTTGAAGGGAGTTTTATTTTAGAATTTTTGCAGCCACATCCCTCAAGAGATGCTACGTCAGTCTCGAACTACCACCTAATCTAGTAGTGTACTCTCACTGACCTCAAATAGGGTTATGATGCGGGCAACGTACAAGCATGACCACCCTCTCTGCAGAACAGGCTCTGCGCATCCTCAAGCACCACCGCTACACCTCCATTTCAATCAATCCGAGACTTTTGAAGTCCTCCAAGGTAAAGTCGCGACTGTTGAAGGATGGTCAGTGACCAAGCGCGTCTGGACTGCGGAGGATGGGCAGCACGAGATCAAGCCATGGGTTCCTCATTCCTTCGAGCCCGTCCCGGACAGCGCTGAAGATACCGTCATGCTGGTCTGGGCGCATCCAGATGATGTGGATGAGATGATGGATCGGGTGTTTTTTAAGAATCTACTCATGTATGTCAGTGACGTGCATGAGAAGAAGGTTGCGCTGAATCCGTTTCAGATCATGTTGACGCAGTGAGCTCCTTTATCCTCCTCTTCAAGTAGAATTGAGTATTGACTCTTCCAGGCACGTTTCGGCTACGGCTCTTGTGTGGTTTCCCACTGCAACGTGGCTGGGTCCGCTGCGCTGGTGGGTGCCCTGGAAGGTGCAGGCGGCTTTTGCCTTGGCGGGCAGGTTACTGGGACTCACGCCGACGATGAAGAAGTATACTTCTGAAGAGGAACTTGCAGCATTTCAGAAGGGAAGTAAAAGTCTCTAAACGGCTTTTGCTTCGGTGTACCTACATGTAGGTATCTATGGTCTCAGAGGTACTGGACGGAATGCTACGAGCTTGGACCTCTTGACACGAAGCATATATATATTTATGTATATGTTCTAATAATTCATAATTTGTACTATATTCGTCTATCACAACGAGGAACAATAACATGGTAAAAGCGTCCACTGGAGCTGATGGATTCTCAGCTCTTACCAGAGGCTAAAATTGAACACATACGAGCATCGATTGTTTTATACGTAGTTGAGAAATTGGGTTCGAGACACCCGCTCTTCATGTTTTTGACGATAAAAGCGGGCGTCAGATTGCGTACAAGCTTCGGCATGTCAATACCCAATCGCTGGTTCTGATGTTGAGCTAATCTTGAAGTTTTCTATAGGAAGGTCGAGATCATGATCGTCAGGTCTAGACCCAGCACCCATGCACGTAGCGATTCCCATATTTTGCTGGTACGTATTCACTTTGTTCATAGTACCTAGTGCGTAGTAATACGTACATAAAATACAGGCTAGTCCAGGGGTAAATGAGGCCCCGTTCACTAGGCCAGAACAGGGCAAGCGTCAGCGCCATATGGGTGGAGTTGCAGCAGGTACAGCGTGGTGATTGGCTGTGTGGCAGCGTCAGCGTACTAGTAATCTCCCGTTCCCGCCGTCTCCGCTCCAAGAGTCTGTCTTACATTGTCCAAGTCTTTGATTCCATCCCAGATTCAAGCATCGCAATCTTAAATTCTTCAGGTCTTGTACAACGGAACATGTAGATAATGAGGAATGATTGGAACAAGTGGCAGAACGGAGATCGAGAATATGCTCTGTTGAATTACAGTCTGGAGTAGCAATACGCAACACGGTATGTATATCCGATGTACATAGTAAGGCTTTCAAGGCGATAGCACGCCGATCCCTGCCAAAAACAGACCAGACAAACGGCCGGTGGATGCCTCAGGACGGCAGCGACGTTTCATCCCTAAAGTCTTCGTTTGTTCCTCCTACATAGTTAGTACGTACACATCAACCGAACTCTGATCGCAACGCAGTATGGATGGTTACGATATGGGCGTGATCTTAATGCTGTAGATGCATGGAACTTCTCTGGAATGCAACTCATACTCGTATTTCCATCACACGTACATAGTATGCAGCTAGTAATAAGAGTGAATACGAAGTGGCTTCCCACCATCAGCCGCTCCCAGTCGTCGAATTCTGTAGTACATAGCAGATACCTCGTGGTGGTGCGTGGCGGCAGCTTGTTGGACCGTGGAATTAGGTTCTTGGTGCTCCGTACTGTATAGTAGCCAGAGGTGAATACGACCCAGAGACGGGCTACTACGTAGTCAAAGACGTGGTCGTATGTATTGGCTTTGCCGTTTGTGGCTCTGCCAATGCGTGGACTCGCCCTAGCCAAGCCCCCTCTTTCTCGCCCACGGGCCAGTGAAAAAGCAACCACCCAGCCTGGCCGCGTTGGCTCTCAAACACCCAAGTTGGATCAACTCCCTCTTCTTCTCTCCCAACACACGCTACATCCAAACAACCAACTTCAACCATCTTCTCAGTCACTCGTTCCCTGTACATTTTTCATCCATCGTCTTTTTCGACGTTTATCATCCGGTTCAGTCTGCGACATCTTTTCATACACCGCCGACCGACCGCTTTTCCTGTTTCAGAGCTTCATCATCCCCTGCGTCTCACCTCCGCCTCTTGACTTTAACAGCCTCCAGCCAGTTCAACCACGCCAGTTTCGATTTATCTATCGAGATCGCAGTCAGACATGGGCTTTACTAGCTAAATCTCCATTCGCGGATAATCAACCGATGATACGCCGTGGTGGAATCTAACTTTCGCCTTCGAAGACCTGACTTTCGCATCACAGGCTGCGAGGCTTGACGTCTCTAGCCTTATCCTATACATATATCACACTCGTTATTACCGCTGTAGACCGGCGACGACATCCACTCAATTACGACCCTTTTTTGCATTTCTGATTCTGTTTATTGATACCTGTCACCATGACTTCCACAAACGGTATGCTCTTTTGATCGATTCTACGAGCATCAGCTAATTCTTACAGTCCTCCGAGATTTCTCCCACCACCTCACATTCCGTAGTTGTGTTACATGCACCACGGAACCAGTCTGCAACTGTGCCGCCGGTGAAACCTGTGTCGAATCGAGTCGAACCTGCACGGAATGCCCTACCACATCCTGCTTGCCGGCAGCGTCAACATCGACATCCACACCCAGCTCCGGTGGCGGCACGAATACGGGAGCCATCGCGGGAGGAGTTGTCGGTGGTCTTGCTGCTATCGCCATCGGCGTGTTTCTCTTCTGGTGGTTTGTGATCCGAAAGAGACGCCAGGAACAAGCTGCCCAGCAGCCCGCCGAACCCTCGATACGTCATGAACGCAGCAGATCGATGCAATCTATTGCATCGACGGTTCTCACTCGTGCTTCCAACGTGATTCAAATCGCTTATATTCCCGGTGTCACCAATCGCTCGCCTCCGGAAACTCCAGGGACACTGGTCCCTCCAGTTCCTGCTATTCCAAGTACACACGCCTCGACCTACAGCAGCGACCAGTATCTCTTCACACCGCGCGATCTCCGCGACTCGCGATACACGGCCACCAGTGACCGCCGCAGTATCGCTACCAGTCTCGCCCGAAGCAGTGTTGCCACGACGATTTACCGACACGATGCCATTGTCAGTCCCATTCCCGCCCAGCAGGTTCGCGCTGCCAAAGCCGCCGTGGTCAGTGTCAAAACAGGAAATAGCACGCCTAGCGATTCACTTTCGTTGCGCACCATCGACGCACCAGCAGTACCAGCCATCACAGAAGCTCAACTACAGAAAGCCGGCAAGATGAAACCACAACTCAGTTCTATTGTTGCCCGCTCTGTTGTCGCTCGCCCAGTCAACGTCAAAGCATCAGGATCGAAGCCCAAGGTTCCTACAGTTTCAGAAGAAGAAGTTCATTCCGATGATTCGGAGTCGGTTGCCTCACATTCTCGGGCCAAGAAATTCAGTAACCAGGAATCGACATTTGACGATTCGTCAGACGATGACAGCGGTGACGAAGTCAATGAGAAGGGGCATTCCAACACAGCAGACAATATCCAAATCGCCTTCTCGTCGCCTAACGAAGGTCCATTCGCAGACTCGAATATAGCAGGAACCCCTCGAGTAACTGTCAGCACTGCCACCAGCATCGCTCCATCAACAGCGACTGAAGCAGTGTCTTCCTCTCGCGCCAGCATGGACAGCAACCACGGCTCACATCGACAACGATCCAGTATCGGATCCACTCGAATGTTAGAAAATACCATTGCTCATGGTGCCACCATACAACGGTCGTCGAGTCCATTTGATGACAAACATGAAGTCAAATAATGACATTTCAATCATTTTCTTTCACAACCTTCTTGTACGTAGTATATTACATTTAGTTCTCCGCCATGCAAGCGGCTCATTTGAGTGTCTACGATTAGAGTTACTGGATACATCTTGACAATCATTTCATCATATTTCATCAATTAAACATTTAATACTCTGATCTAATTGATATCATCCATCAAATCATCCATAAAAMCCCCGTCCTCCTTGMCCMAAAACGGAAMCCCGCCATTGTCCGGCATTCGCCTTAACGCAGCCAACACAACCTCACCACCATCCCAAGCAGTGATGGAGCTCGTATCCACCCAAGCTGAAAACTTGCCCTTGCGCACCACAGACTGCCGCATTGGCGCATCCCGCTCCCAGTCACCCATCGTAGCACTACCTGGATACGTGCGCACATGATCGCGCTGAACCACAAGCCTCAGGTCTGGGAACGTCGAGTTCCACGGCGCCGGAAGATGGGGTTTGAATGTCGGGGGTGATGGCCGTACTCCTCCCGCTCCTCCTCCTCCTTCCAAAGCCAGAGAAGATGAAGAAAACGAAGACGAAGAGCGCGGTGTAATCCCCCAAGTCGTATACACAATCCCACATCCAAATAAGCCCTGCAACCGCCTCAACTCTGCCGCAATCTCAGCATAGAGTACACTCATATAGAAAGATGTCTGCTGTTCGCGCGCCTGTTGAATGTCGTTGGCGGGGAGGCCGATTTCGCTGGTTCGAGCGACTTCGTCGCGCAGACGGTCGGCCCAGTAGAATGCGCTTAGGCTGTCGATGAATATGCCGTGTAATGCCCTCGACCGACCGGCAGGCCTGAGGTGGTTGAGAAGGTAGGTGGAAAGTGATCGGAGCGTTGAGAGTAGAGAGGAAGAGGTGTGCGGCCGGAAGATGTGGATGTATTGCATGCTGTCGCGAATTAGTGCTGCTACCGTCTCGTTTGTGGCTTCGGTAGAAGACATATCACCGCCTTCTAGAGCGTGTCGAATGACACCTTCGATAATAGTGTAGAGCCTCTGAACATCAACTCGCCCATCCGTGTCAAGTAGCACAACGGCACCACCTCGACCATCGAGTTTGTGTCCATTGAATACAGCCGGCAAAACGCTCATGGCGATTAGATAATAGACAAACTGCGATTTTCCGCCCCCAGAGCTGGGGCTGGTTATTTCCACTACTGGCTTCTTCCTTTTCGTGCTGGATGAAGAGAAAGAAGCTGGGCCGGGATGAGCATGATGGGTTTGAGGGTTCGCAGAGAGCGATGGCCCCAGAAAGACAGCTAATAATTCATCGAGATCTTTGATTCCGAAATAGCTGTTTTCTTCAGGAGAAGGGAGTTGAGCGCGTAGATCGCGCAGTATCTATGCTAGCATTAGCCTTGATCCTGTCCTATTTGCGAGGGGAGGACGATGGAAGACAAACTTCGCCAAGGGATTCTTCTTTGATTTCATCTAACAGGCGCTGTCCGAGCGTCGCAGCGGCGGAAGTCATGATTCATCATTATACCGAAACGACTGAGTCATTCAAATACTGCCTATGTGTAAATGATTCTATATTGATTTGGGAGATGTAGAATTGAAGATGGAGTTGGAAGTTGATTATGAAAGACGCGCTTGACAAGATCGATAGATCTAATTGATAAGATAAGGGCTAGTGATATCCAAGCCCTAACTGCAACCATAGAGGTGTAAATTCTCGATTTATACCGGCGACCCTACAATCGGCTAGTTCTCGAGATCTCGGAGACAACTTGAGCTTACCGTAGTGTCATTCCCGTTGCGATTCAGTGGCACTTGCGGCGCTTGCACTTTGGCTCCTTTTGTTCGTCTTGGAGGATAACGCTTGCGACCTGTATAAACTACGAGGGCCTTGCTCAACCATCGCTCTCCATGTGCATTTCGGCTTTCATTTTTCCTCGACGCTTTTCACGATCTCAGCCTTTTTCGTGGCTTAGCCGACAGCTAAAAAATTTTGGTCTTTATTAGCGCTAAAGGATCGCTTCACTATTTCTACATTTGGCATTTCGCTTTGTTCCCTCCACCTCTTTGTCGAAGCGGGAAAGAGTGCACAAACAAGATCTAAACGATGGTCTTGAGATTCGAATGAGCTGAACTACACTGTACCTCCTATTTATGCTAATATCTAGAGGAATCTCGAGCTGTGTCAACAAGCATCGAATTTTACACCTGCAAAGAATCAATCCGATATCACCAGGTTCTCGGTACCCCATATTTTGGCCGAATACCTATTCCCAGGTGGCCCCGTGGAGATTCCAGATGTTGACGTTCAGCTGACCGCGATGCACGTGGATTTTGAACCTTTTGATTGCACCTAGGAACCTAGCTCTTTCTCCAGGACTACGAGTGACTATCTGATTAGATTACTGGTTCAAGTGATGGCATTTTATCCCACTGGCGGATGCACTAGACTATATAGATGAATAAATGATGATGGAGATATTACATCGGACGAATTTCTGTTGGTTTGTCCGTGGGGGCATCCTATTGCTGGGACAGTCCAGGAACCAGCTACATCCAGGAACCAGCTACAGCGGATTAATCATCACCACTCTAACTACTATCGTTAACTTCCAGCTCCTTGATAGAAGTGTAAGCGCGATGACATTACATGGGCTACATTTACTCGCTAATGATCGACGATCCACATTTGACTGAGAGTGGCGTAGTTACTTAGCACTTGATTGAGAAAATCTATCTCACGCCAACGCCTCAACCTCCTCGCACGCAGGATTATCTGAATAAACCTCGGGTGGCCAGAGTTCCGGTCCGAGGCTCCATGGCACCAGAAACCCATCTTGAATTAAGTCTTCTTCCAGCTTTTGTACCGTGGAATGTCTGGCATTTGGCAAGATCTGCCGAAGCCTGGACTCAAGGTCGGGAAACTTCAGCTTCCCGAACAGGCGGCCATCATCAAGTGTAACGGAGGTAAAGATATCGCCGGATAGGGCGGTAAGAATAGCATTGCTATCGTCTTCAGTAGAAGGGATGAGCGCTTCTGTGGAGTTGGCCCAGGCTCTCCGTTCCGAGTCGTTACTGTCGTAATAATCACTGCCATAATCCTCCTCACTCCCAACATATTCCTCATCAGACTGCTCATACTCGGAGCCTCCATATCCGCCATCAACATCCTGGGAATCTTCCTCAGCAGACCTGGTTTCGGGATGTATATCATCAGCTCTGGTATCCTCTGGAATGAAGGCAAGCAGCCGTGAAAACTCCAGTGTAGTCGAGAGTTTAACCGCAGTTTTCAGTCTTTCAAACAACGCAGGAAAATTGACAATATAAAGGAAGAGTGACTGCTGGCTAGCTAGCAGCCGTACAAACAGAGTTAGAAGAAAGGATGTATTCACTTCAATGAACAATGTTCCTCCTGGCAAGAATTTTGAATAGCTGTAATGGATTTGAAATATGTCTAACAGGTCGGGTGAAGAGGCCGTAAGTAAGATAATTTTCCGTTTGGAGAGGTTATAACCCCCTTCGAGAAGACTTATCATAAGATCCAGAGAGTCGCATCTTCCTAGGGGTATAGCTTCATCAAAGAAATTTTCCAGAAGAAGCTCTAATGGATCCTGGGCGAGATAGAATGGAGGGTTCTGTTCTCCAACCGTACCAGTAATTGATTGATTAAAGTTGAAAGTGCTATGTCTGGCATGTTGGGTGGAAGACGTGCTGCCAAGCGTGCAAACGAAAGCAAGATCCTGGGTGGACATTTTCACTTCACCCCATTTGACTGCGTCAATCATAGATTCAAGGAAATATGCTTGATAGAGACTCGAAATCTCCCTGCCCCGCAGAGCAGCGCGGGCGAGCCGGGCAAATCCGGCTCGAGCCTGAGCAAAGAAGCCCTTACGGGCGATCGCGCCCAAGAAATCCGGCTGCAGGTAGAAGGAATTATCATAGATCCATTTCCCCGTTGAATAGAGCGATTGTGCCAGGCCGAACAAATTGTCAATACTTTCTGGAGATAAATAGTTGCGGCACGATTCAAAGAATATACTCGCGCTTCTGAACTCGTGGACGGTGGGTGGGCAGAGGGTGAGGAAACGGTGAGAGAGCGTCTGTGTCTTACCTTCTATCACCAGTCTGCAACAACCAAGAAATCCACGCATGAGGTTCAGACGATGGGTCTCCCGTGGTGATGGGTCTGCACGGCGTATGCGTTGGCCCTCTGTCGTGTTCATGAGAAATTCCTGCGCGGACCGATGTATGAACGTCACAGTCCCATCCGGAGTCACTTCCAGTAAGCCAGCACATCGGATCGGCAACCGCATTGATATTATCTCGCATTCCCTATATAGTGCCTCTTCCAAGGATCCGATTTCCTGTGTCACAAGGGCGGCTGCCATCGATGGATGCAGAGCTAGAGCCAGGAGCAACGGGCTTGCTGCCTGGGTGAGATATTGATTATTTATACATTCCAACATGAGGTTGAAATACCGAGCTGCTGTTTCCCGATAGACAGCCTCGCTGTCGTTGAGCCGTCGCCACATCTGTTGGTAGAGTGTGTCGAGATCGTTGGGGAGCACTTCCAGACGGAGTTCCATCTCGGCGGGGTCGTCGTGGTTTTCATACCCTACTTGCACGCTCTTCAGGGCTAAAGCGACCCATAGAAATACTCCGTCTGCCTTAGAACAGATAGTAGACACCAAGCGGATGAAGGTCTCTGCATCATCAACGTGTAACCTACGCAGAGTATCGTAAGCGTACTTTAGGATGTCGAGTCGGGTCAAATCCTGCACTTGAAGCTGGGGGTAGCTGCGAAAGTATCGTTGCAATGCGGGCTCTGGTCGGCTCGAGACGCAGATTTGTAGGCGCGGCAGAGCACATAGTTGATCCAGAAGGTCGACCAGCGCCATGTACTCGTTCATTTCGTCAAGACCATCCAAGAAGATGCAAACATGCTGTTCACAGGCCGAAATCACATGAACAAAAACAGTACGGAGTTCGATGGTGGACCAATCGCCGGGAAATCTCTTCTGCCTTGAGGCAGGAACCTTCTCCCAGACGACCTGACAGAGATCTGGCTTCGTGGTTAAGATTTGGTGGATCAAAGAGCAAAGGAGTCCTTGCATATTTCGGTCAAGTGACTGCCCTACAGCCCATAGAAAATGGGATAAGACAATGGTAGTTCTGTTTGCATTATTAAGGATGGATTGGGTGCGCGGATTGTTGACTAGAAATTTCATCAGAACGCTCTTTCCCGATCCTGCTTTGCCACTGATCCAGTAAAGTCGTTGCTTAGAGAATTGCAGCCAATCCACAAATCCATCCTGCGTAAGAAAGTCAGCATGATTGTCACACAAGTATGAAAAAAGGCCGCCCTTTCTATACCTGATTATTAGATTCGCTCTTGCCATGTTGAGGATGGAAGATCCAGGAAAAGGTATCGTCGTAATTATCCATAATATGATTCCGCCGAACGTTCATCGTCTCATATTTCAGGCTCCCCAATAGCATTTCATGCTCTTCTTTTTCAAACTGATTTAGTGTAAACTCTTGTAAACGAGATGAAATGTTGTTCTGGAGCTGGTTTGTCCCGGAGGAAAAGCTGGCTTCCACTGATTGCTCAAGAGCTTCTATCTTGCCATCGATATGTCTCGTCACGGTAAGAAACCCTCTCTGAATGAGCTGGTCAAGAGTTGTCTGGTTTCGAGCACAGCCTTCAATGAAACCTTTTAATGCGCGGTCGAGTCTGTCAAAATTGACTTGCTGTTCAAGGAGGAGTGCGTCATTCTTGTTGCTGTAGACTGAGTTAGTAACGAATTGATCACAACAATGCCGGGAACCGGCGTGTAATTACCAGATGCGAACTATGAGTCGATTCTCCAGAATCTGCTGACGATTTTGCATCACTTTCTCCAGTCTCTCGATCCTCCTTTTCCCACCCAGGGCAGCTTTGAACCATCCACGTAAGGCTGCGGAATGTTTTCCTTTGGCTACTGTGCCTGCGATCTTGTCTAGCTCGGCTTTTAACTCCTTTGCAGTCTCCAGACTGCCGTTCGCAATTTCTAACAACTCCTCCTCGTCTTTAACAAGAATTCTACCATTCTCCAAAGAAGTCTTCAATCTCTCCAAGCCTCCTTTTATGTAATCGGTTGTCTGTCCAAGGTCAGAATCCAGAGATCCCGTTTTATAGATTGCTTTAGCCATATGGGCTCCATTTTGCACGAAACCAATCACTTGCATGACATTGCACACAATGCTAAAAACCGCAAGCGCTTCGGCGCCAGACATGGTGTTATGTTACGGGACGAGCAATCGTTTGCAGGTGATCAAAGGGCAATGACGCGGGGCATGGCAGGGCGGTACTAGTGAGGAGCCGCATGACTACATTAATATGTCCAGCTTTTTTGATCAGGCTGATCATTATGTAATCATGCATTAAGTTGAATCAAACTGACTTGATTGGTATCTTATTCAGCTTAATTCATTAACTATTAGCTTTGAGAGTTCTATGTTACGGACTAAGCCCGATTATTCGCTTCAAGAAAGATAGAAAATCTAACGCGCAGAGTCAGGCCAGCTTTTACAATTATGTATATTTCCCTATTCCGTTACTACTCGCAACCAACTCCGTTTATTCCGTTTGATCTTTCTGATCTGTCGATTCTATCAGTTCCGTCCGTTCTTAGGAGAATGCGCGAGGGCAAGCACGGCGGAGCCCGAGCATAAGATAGGCTCAGACCTTTACATTTTGATTCTCTGACATAAGGATACTTACTAGAGAGCGTTTTCTGGAGTTTCCCAGTCTACACGATTTAACTACAGTCTATATTGTTAATCTGTGCAAGTTAGTGGACAGTTTCCATAGTATAAGAACTGTGCGCCGGTGGGCAATGAAGTATACTAATATTTAATTATATGTGATCTCAACTTGTATCATTTGTCTAGTTGGAATCCGGGTTAACACCATAGAGTTTCTTAAGGATGCAAGATCCGAGTTTTTATTAGCTCAATTTATGGAATTAGCGAGCCACTCAAGACTGTTCCTTTGTAGTTTTTTGAGAGTTTGTTCTCTTTGCTGAGATTATTATCGGAGTCTGATGACTTGCTGTACCATTAGGATTTTTGCCAGGTCAGTAAATCAGTATATCAGAATTAGCTATAGGTAAGGCCTGTATCACTATCTATTTCACAGTTATCAGGGTTGCAAGCCTAATATTTACTTAAAGTGACGTCCGAAGATTGAAGATATTGCGAATAAGAAACCAGAAAAGAATGCAGATAAGCAATTATATCAGTCTTATGGGAGGTTGAAGTGGAATAGAAAAAATAGATATTTATCATGGAAGCCTTTCTTAAATTCCTAGAATCTTGGATGACTTCGTTAATTTATCATACTGCTGTCGTGAATCAAAACGACACGGTTAGCGCTCGATGGCTATAGCGCTAGGTGGTGGATCCAAGGGCGTGACGGATTGCGTATAAATAGATTTGAGAATACGTACCAACGTACCACGCAAGCCAAGAATCAAGACTTTTTTAGCCTGGCGTAGCTGCTTACGTACAAAGAAAATAAATATAGGAGAGCATATTAGTCAAACAAGATTATTATTCAAGAGCAGCTACAGAAGTCTTGCAACTTCTATCCAAAATGAACCCATTCCACCTTTGCGGATACAACTCTTTTAAACTCTGCTCAAGCTGATCTGCATCCCGCAAGCGTTCCAACTCCCGCTCAAACGTTTGAATATATTCCCTTGTCCTATCAATCAAGTATGGTCCATCCACCTGAGAAGCTCGTTTATGCCCAGGCACAACAATACTTGGCTTTAAAGCGGCAATCTGGTCTAGTGCGTCAAGCCAATATCTCCTCTTTTCGGGAGTATTGGCTTCGGCCAGAAATTGGTGACAATCGCCGTAGACGATGTCGCCCGCAACAACGAGATCTAGATCAGGAACGTGTAGGAAGGATGAGGCGTCTGTGTCGGAGTGCGAAACGTCAATGCCGAAGAGGCTATGCCCGTCAAGGAAGAATTCGCCTGTTTGTGGAAGGGACTCGGGAACACTTTGTTTCTCTGCTAGGATCTGACCATTCGAAAACCATCCCTGCCATCTAGGAATGGATGCAGCAAGTGTCCTCTCGATCCCAGAAGCCACAGAGGCTGTTGCAACGCATTTCGCGCCAGGAAATCGGTCAAGAATAATCGGATTACCAAAGTAATGATCCCCATGCGCGTGCGTAGTGTAGATGTACTCTAGTTTCGTTCCCGGCGATAGGGTCGCTTTGATCCATTCTGCGAGATCTTCGGCCTGTTTGATTGTTATTGGCGTGTCGACGAGAACGGCCGATTTGGAGCCTTGGATCAGTGTACATGATATTGGGGACCACTATAATTTGGATGGGTCTTGAGAGCCGGTGGCTGCGGGTACTGCTGCTGCGACGTAGACGTCAACCTTGAGAGCGCCGGACATTGTTGTTGTTGTTGTTGTTGTTGTTGTTGTTTGAGTTACTTAATGTGCCAATAAATTCTGCTGGGTTTTTCCATGGCAGATCTGACTACGATATAGATTGATATATCTGGGAGTACTGCGCCGAGGCTCATAGTCGTGATTACTGATCGTGGTTTCAGCACCACTCACCGTGCATTAACTTCTCTAACTCTAATAGATTTCTAATCGAGTAATCTCCCGGAAAAGATATCCGGGGCTTGATTTTACGTGAAAGTGCAATTTCAGTTGATAGCCTGGTTACACAGATGGTGCATCTTCGGATGGCCGAACAGTAAAAAGCTTAGAATTACTTGACTTGTTCAGTAATCAAGATCAAATTTCAACCCACTGAGGCTGGAATTAAATACTTAATATAGTGGTATGATGTATAATTCTTTCACTGTGTAGAGATGAATTCCGAAATTCTGGTAGGAAAGTAGGTCGATCACTAATCATTGAGTACAGTGGCGAACTTCGAGGCGAACAATGGGCAAGATATCCAGGAATGAATCAATATTCTAAAACTATAAGTACTATTATAGCCATCTTTTAATTATATTCATCGGATGAACATACAGCAGTTTAGTGTATTCCGAAGCAAAATTCATTTTCCAAATTAGCCATGTCCAATTCAAGTATCAAAAAAGTGGTCGTCGTCGGAGCGACCGGCAGTGTTGGAAGATCAACAGTCAAGGCCCTGCTGGATGAAGGATTTCAAGTCACCGGCATCACTCGCGAGACATCAAAAGCAACATTGCCAGAAGGTGTGACACACATCAAATCTGATTGGTCCGAAGCATCACTGCACGAAGCTTTCAAGAACCAAGATGCAGTCATTAGCACAATTGGCAGCATCACTCCTGGAGAGGCGTTTGCTCTTCAGAAGCCACTTATCGATGCTGCCATAGCGGCTGGTGTAAAGATCGTCTTCCCATCCGAATACGGCATCGACACTTCGGACCCTTCTGCGCAAGAATATATCCCGTTTCTTGCGGATAAGATCCAGACTCTCGACTACTTGAAGAAGAGGCAAGACTTAATCTCGTGGACAGCGGTAGTCTCAGGGTCAATGTTCGACTGGGGTTTGGCTATCCCTGGCTTTGGAGGATTGAATATCTCCGAGGGCACTGCCACAATCTTTGACGGGGGCGACATTCCCTATGAAGCGACAAATTTATCCCAAGTCGGCAAGGCTATAGCGAAGTGCTTGAAGAAGCCAGAGCTTATCAAGAATCAATATGTCTACGTGAACAGTTTCACGGTCACGCAAAATCGTGTCTTGGCAGCTATTGAAAAGGCAGCCGGACAGAAACTCACAATCTCGGAAAGTACTGTCGACGCGTTATGGGCAGATGGAGCTGAAAGGTTTAAGGCTGGGCAGCCGATGGGGGTTCTGGCTATGATTGCTGGAGCTATCTATGGAAAAGGGGGATTGGCACAATATTCTACGACAAAAGGGCTATGGAATGAGAGATTAGAGTTGCCACAAGAAGACTTGGATGAAGTCGTGAAGCAATATCTAGCTAGAAGTAATTAAAGCGAGATATTACAGTCGTCAACCTAATAATAAAGCCGTTCGCCTCATTATACTCAATACATCCCATACATGTAACATTGATATCCATGGGCTACTTCTCATTTAGGGGAGCACAAATCTGTAATTCACTTGACTTGGGTTACTTCCATCCGACGAAAAACTGCCATTCCCACCCTCCTTGAACAATTCCCCGAGATCTCCCTTTCCACTTCGAGGGACGATTTCGAATGTGCCTTCTACCCGATACGTGGTTGCGTCGAACTTTCCTGTGCCTTGGGTCATGAAGCTCCCCTTTCTGCCTTCAAAATCTTCGGACTCGACGAGATCTGTGAAGACAAACACAGCCGATCCATCCTTTTCAAAATCGGGTCCGGCGGGAAGATATATCATTTGATAGCTGCTGGTGACCGAGGCATTGAGGCCGTCGAGGGCCATTTTCACCGAAGCCGGGGTCAAGCGAGGCAAGATGGATTGAGTGGTAGGGGATCTATCCTCATCCCAAGAGAGGACTCTTGCGGGCGCTGAGAAGACTTTTTGCTGAGACATGGCTATCTTTTCTTGTTCAGTATGAGAGTACTAACGCACAGAGCTGCAAAAATTCCCTTTTGACGGAGGTTGAAAGGATAATGTAGTGTCAGAATCTATGCTCCGGCTTTGAGTCCTAATGTATTTTCGAAGGAATTTTAAAGGGTCAAACCCTTCATATACTAATTCTGCTCCCTCTCGACAGTAACCAATTCGATGTAGACCATCACTCGTATGCCCTAAAGTTAATTCGGAGTCATTCGCGTAATATTTCCGCGTTGGGCTAGATCGGATGCGTCGTTAATCGCGAAATGCACGCGAGGTCACGGGACTGTGGACATTCGTTAACTATTCGATATTTTCTAATCGGTAGGGGATCAAACACGAGAGTCAAATCCCGAAAGTCCCGCCGTGGTCTGAGTGGCTCTCAATCTAGAATAGGATGGTTGTGAATTTAGAACCCGATAGTAGGTGGTGCTACCTCTCTCAATTCACGTTGGCATTACGCTGCTCCATCAACTATCGAGAGGAGAAATAGCAATGCATAATTAGATACCCATTATCCAAGACACATACATTTACTCAGGAGTGTTTGTCAACCCATGGAACCTAGATCAGCTGCAATTTTTCTGGTACTAACAAATTAGGGTTACGAGGTTGGGATTTGAAATTTATAACCGCCCTAGAGCAAGCGTGCCAAAGATTTTCGCTTTCTAAATGGCAGTGGAAAGCCTAGCTAGATTGAAACTGCTCTAAATGGGCCTTGTTCAACTATAAAATTGAAATTTATAATAGCCAAAAGCCATATCACTGTATTAATGCCAGTGGTCGCCCGCACGGCCAACTCGCCCGTATAATGCCCGTTGTCGGATAAATCCGCTGTGGATATTGAATTCGAGATGAAGACGAGATGAAGATTTAAATATGAACAGATTTAAATAAGTCTGTGTGTATGTGTTTTAAGAATGAATTAATTCTCAATTAGGAATTTGTACGAAGAAGTGACAAGAACAGCACGATGGGAGAGCCTCATGTCATAGACGTCGACGCCGTCTTGGGAGAATTGACTCTCCACGAAAAGATCAATCTTCTCTCTGGCACAGATAACTGGCATTTATACGGAGTTGAACGTCTCGGAATACCTGCCGTGAGGGTATCCGATGGACCAAATGGCGTTCGCGGCACCAAGATGTTCAACAGCACACCAGCTGCCTGTCTACCATGCGGAACTGCTCTAGCTGCGACATGGGACGTTGATTTGATCAGACGATCTGGAGAATTACAAGCAGAAGAAGCACTCGCAAAAGGTGTCTCAGTCATTTTAGGTCCCACAACTAACATGCAACGCTCTCCCCTTGGAGGACGTGGATTCGAGTCGTTCAGTGAGGATCCTGTGCTTGCTGGCTGCATGTCGGCAGCAGTCATATCGGGTATTCAAAGCAAAGGAGTTGCAGCAACCTTGAAACATTTTGTCTGCAATGATCAGGAGCATGAACGAATGAGTCAGGATTCTCGGGTAAGCGAACGAGCACTTAGAGAGATTTACACTTTGCCGTTTCAAATTGCCCAATTGAAAGCTGCGCCGTGGGCCTATATGGCGAGCTACAACAGGGTTAATGGGACGCATGTGAGTGAAAGCTATGATATGCTCCAAGGCATTATTCGGGATGAGTGGGGATTTGATGGCTTGATCATGAGTGATTGGTGAGCGCTTTTTCTGAAGTCGTACCGATAACAACACTGACTCTATAGGCGAGGAACATACTCCACAGCAGCAGCTCTGAAAGCAGGATTAGACCTGGAAATGCCGGGTCCGACCCTAATGAGAGGGGCCTTGATCAATCATGCACTTGTGTGCGGAAAACTCACACTTGATGACATTGATATCAGTGTTCGAAGAATTCTGGCCTTTATCAACAAAGTTTTACCTCTTAGAATACCGTCAAATGCCCCAGAAATGACAATTGATACTACTGAGACCTCACAACGTCTTCGCGAGATCGCTGCGGCATCGGTTGTTCTACTGAAAAATGACAAAAGTGTTCTTCCATTCCGAAAAGACAAATCAGTATGTTAATTAAAACATTTATTCCGTATAAGAACGCTACTAATGTTTTCTATAGATTGCTATCATCGGTCCAAATGCAAAGATTGCGGCTTATTCTGGCGGCGGTAGTGCAAGCTTACATCCTTATTACGCTGTTACCCCTTTTGACGGCATCTCATCTCAAGCACAGGAAGAAGTACTACATGCTATCGGTTGTACAGCCTGCAAAAAGCTTCCTCAGATTACGGAAATGATCAAAGACATGAAAATGTTCGTCTATGCTACCTCTAGTTCCGCCAGTACGTCACGACAAAGCATAGACGAAATCTCGATCACAAGCGCCGACATGTATCTTTTTGATTACGTGCCCAAACTACTTCCCCATGACCACCGAGGAGCGTGGTATGCAGCTTTTATAGGCACATTGATACCTGATGCTGATGGAGAGTACATGTTCAGTGTCAGCGTCGCAGGAACAGCAAAGCTTTTTGTGGATGATAAGCTTGTTGTGGATGCCATGACTGAGCAAACCGCCGGTGGCAGTTTTTTTGGCTATGGTACGACGGAGATTTGTGGCAGTATTATACTCAACAAAGGATGTTCCTACATTGTCAGAGTTGAATTTGGTTCTATTGCAACCAGTCTACTTCCCGGTCCAGGAGCAGACTCTGTGGCTGGKGGAGGKATTCGAATTGGCTGTCAATTTCAGATGAATGCAGAAGAAGAGTTAGCCAAAGCCGTTGAAATTGCCAAACAAGTCGACCAGGTCGTTATCGTTGCAGGTCTAAATGTGAGCATGCCCCCTTATGTTCCTTAGAATTGCATAACTAACTAGCTCTGCAGGCTGATTGGGAGTCAGAAGGCTACGATAGAGATACCATGGATTTACCAGGCCACACAGACAAGCTTATCAAAGCAATACTTTCTGCAAACCACAACACAGCCATTGTGATTCAATCCGGAACACCGGTGAGCATGCCTTGGGTTAATTCAGCCCCAGCCATACTGCAAGCCTGGTATGGGGGCAACGAAACCGGAAACGCAATCGCCGATATCCTATACGGAGACGTCAACCCGAGTGGGAAGTTGCCTCTTACTTTTCCCATCCGGCTTGAGGATAATCCCGCGTATCTGAACTTTGGCTCAGAGAAGGGAAGAACGCTGTATAGAGAAGATGTTTACATTGGATATCGATGGTATGAATCTATCAAACGGAATGTATGCTTTCCGTTCGGGCATGGTCTCTCCTACACCCATTTTACTTTCGACAACCTGACCGTCAAAGTCTCGGAGGGTGATGATAGACTTGCCGTTACAGTCGTGGTAGAGAATACAGGGAATCACAGCGGCGCTCATACAGTTCAGGTTTATGTCTCGCAGCACAATCCTTCTATCAAAAGACCAGTGAAAGAACTCAAGGGCTTCAGCAAGGTGTCTCTAGCTCCTGCCGAGAGGAAGGAGGTCGAAATCATTATGAGTCTGAAGTATGCGACTAGCTTCTGGGATGAGCGAAAGCATGCGTGGACAATGGAAAAAGATACCTTCGACATGTACGTCGGTTCGAGCTCGGCGGATAAGTCATTTCTGAAGCGTTCGTTTGAGACCTCAAAGACAGCGTGGTGGAAGGGGTTATAGACCATTTTACGTGCGGCCATTGATTATTTTCCACGGACTTATTGATCACCTACCAAATTTTGCAAATACAAATTCTTCTCTTAAACGGATAGTGTTTATCAATTATTCCAATTCTGCTTCTATAATTGTAGCTACATTAGAACGAGTAATTGATGAACCACCGATGACAGCTGACAACTTGTCTTATTCATAAGGGCTTAGGGCTACGCCATGTTTTGGAACCATATCGGCTGAAAGTTCGAAAGTATAAAGATAGCACTATCTCATTTTAAGTACCAATAGGTGCCTTTCTATCTACAATAGCTCCTAAAAGAATAATATGTTGCAAGGCTATTATCAATTTAGCGAAGTCGGGATTGAACTTAGGGCTAAATATCCGGAAAATGAGATCGGGCTCGTTATCAAGTTCATCATCAATAGTATTTGCGCTTGGGTGGACAATGATACGTATTAAAAGGACAGCGACAATGCTTGAATTCAACCCTTATCTTGGTGGAGCAAGACGACCATACTTTATCGTTCTATGCGTTCTATCAATTGTCGGCAACTTTCGAAAGAGATTCTTACAGGATCACTTTACCGCTATCCTAAGTGTGGTGAGCATGGCGCATAAATCCATTCACCTGCTCTCATTGAATAGCGAGCATGCCTCGCTATAGGGTATTACTAAGAAACCTTTTTATTAAACTAGTATACACAGCTTTATATAATAATCCTATATAGTAGCCCATACTAAATATTTTTCTTTCTTATAATTAGCTGTAATCCTGAGCTATCCTTTGGCTCAGTGCAAACTAATGAGAGGGACGTTAATCATGACGAAGTGCAAACGTTAAAGGTGCAGTAGAAGATCTAGCGGATTCAAACCCACTGAGGTTGTCACCTAGGCCACAGCCATCCCGGAAAATGACCAGCAACCGGTTGTCAATAGCCGGCTAGATATTTGGTGTCCGTTCGTAATCTGGGAATAGCTTCATGTCGTGGGTTGCCGAACAATAATCAGTGAATCTCTACATGTCATTTTGACTATGAAGAGCACTGTTATCAATATCTGTGACGACTCGCCCGAACATGCTCATGAGGTCAGCTCATAAAATTTAAAAAGAGCTTGTTTTGAGCACATTGGAGTATCTTGGTAGATGTTGTAGAGGGCTTTTCAAAGTAGGTTTTTGTACGCATTCGATATCCGGAGTATGACCGATGCGGAGAATATACCTCCAGAGGAAATATCAACTCAGATGACATCCTCAGGCTTCTTTTGTGATATGGATATTTGACTGTCTGAAAAGCCGCCCAGTGATTTGTATTGCCGACCTCAAATTGCCGGCCTCAAGATCGTTCTTTTCCAAATCGGAAATTCGGCAATTCGTATCAGATTTGCAGGCTACAACAACACTATTCAGCCTTCTTTAAGACTTTCTTCAATGGACGTGAGACTGCTTTACTTTCCACTTTTCAGCCTCGATACTTTATCGAAAGACGGGTAGTCTATATTCATCCTGAATGAATTTTGTACCCTTGCCTAGCTCTACCTTCAATCGCTTCCTCACAAGCTCAGGGTTATGTCGTCACTGGTTGCCTTAGTCGGTATATTAATCGCCCTCTTTTTACTTGGGCGAATAGTGCAGAGAATCCTCTTCGCGAAGCAATACAGATTTCCAAACGTTGTACCAGGATGGCCGATCATTGGGAATTTTCTGGACGTTCCCTACCCAGCTGGTATGTGGGGCGTCGAGATGGCGAAGAAATACGGTGAAATGTACGATTATCTCAACCTCAGGGCATGATGATGGTCCGATTCTAATCTCCATGAACATGAGACAGGTTCACACTCAACCTTGGAGGGAAAAGGATGGTTTACCTCAACTCATCGCGTGTGGTCAATGACCTGCTGGAAAAGAGATCTGCTATTTATTCCTCCCGACCGTCACGGCCAATGCTCGAAGGTATCATGTCTGGAGGATACCGTATCGTATTCATGCCATCCAGCGATCGATGGCGAGCGCAGCGCAAAATCATGCATTCGATCCTGAACACACAGCAGGCCGAAACGAAGTTCATTCCCTTCCAGGATCTAGAAGCGAAACAATTAGTGTACGATCTATACTTGGATCCGGTCAACTACCATGCGGCTGGCCAACGCTACTCAAACTCTATCATCCTGAGCGTCGTTCTTGGGAGGAGGGCAAAAAAAGATGATGAACTACTGAAATTTATTTTGGATTATACCCCGGTTTTGGGGACCTACATGTTCAACCCACTACAAAATCCTGCAGATTATGTCACCATTCTCACACATCTCCCAAAGCGGCTACAGTGGTGGAGGCCATTTGGAGAGACCTTTTTTAGAAACCATGTTAAGTATAAGAGCCCCTATCAGTATGCTGTATAAACATTTGGCTAACCAAAGATCTCAGGATTTTTCAAAAAGAGTACGATGCACTTCTTGACCGAATGAACAGGGGCGTCGCAAAGCCTTGCTTTGCGGTGGACATGATACAAGGGGAGTCGAAGAAAGAATTTCAAATGGACAATGCCCAAAAGATTTACACCTGGACTTCACTTATTGAGGCAGGAAGTGACACATCTCGCACTGCCATTCTACAGATGATCGCAGGCGCTGCTTGTTATCCGGAGTGGGCGAGAAAGGCTCGAACCATTCTAGATGCTGTCTGCGGGACAGATGCCACGAGATTGCCTTCCCTGAATGATCGGGCCAAATTACCATACATTTCGGCGGTGGTAAAAGAGACCCTGCGATGGCGGCCTTTCCTGCAAAGCGGTGTGCCTCATGTTCTGATCAAAGATGATGAGTACGAAGGTTATCGATTTCCAGCTGGCACTGAATTCACCTGGAATGCTTATGCTATTGCCCTCAACGAATCAGAATATCCAGATCCATTAACATTCAACCCAGACAGGTTTTTAGACGATGACTTGGATAAACTCACGAAAGGACATTGGGCCTTTGGAGCCGGTACGCTCATACTTTAATCTCCCACGAGGAAAATATTGACTACTTTTAGGACGACGCGTCTGTGTGGGATTCAACGTTGGCGCAAACAACATTTGGCTAGCCGCGGCGTGTATCCTGTACTGTTTCGATATTGAGCAAGACCCTGTAAGTGGACCACCAACCCCGGTGAAACTGTTGTTTATTAATCAATACAGGACAATCCAATCGACCAATTCAATACTCCATGGGATGATCCATCGCGGCCGCCGTTTAGTGTGAAGATCAAGCCTCGTAGCGAGGCACATAGAGCTCTGATCGAACGGGAAGGAAAGATTGCTTCAGATATACAGTATTAGATGAGATATTCGCTCAGTGTCGTCTTAATACGTGTATAGAAGCAATTCTGCCTGGATTTGGCTTTCTCCTTTTAAAGGCGTGATTGACAGCTGTCCATTAGAAGTTCACGACATTCTACGTATTCAAATCCTTTTTCACCTGTTCACATTGCCTTTCTTAATCGTTGAAGTAAAATTAAAAGTGTGTTCTAACCTTTTTTTGGGTATACTCGTCGCTCTGACGGTCGAAACCTACGGACCTGGTGTGGTTACCCAAATCCAACGTGCCAGCGGTTGTCAACAAGCCGTTTTATGGGGTAAATGCATGCTAAATATCTAGTTCTAGATTTTAAACTCATTCTTTGTTTGAGACTTATCGACGGAACTCCCCATGACTGACCCAAGGCCAGGGCGCCGAGCATCCAATATTTGTAAAAATGAATTGGGTTGTAACAAGCCTCTGTCCTGGGAGGCACCTATCATAGCGACCCTGTTAATACTGCCTCTGCCATCTCCAATTTTATGAAAGGCTCTTCCTCGGATAAGCGAGGACTCTTAGTCGTCTTGGAGGCCGTATGTACTTTATTCCTCACTCTTTATAGATTCTCACGTATCCGTGGGAAACGATAGCTGACCCGGTGCAGTTACTTCTGAATGAACTAGCACCATGAGGTATCCCGTTGAAGGTGGCGTCAAGGCTGCTGGTGTTTACCGGTTCAACAGATGGTTTGCCTACTTGCTCCGGCAACGCCGGCGGCGCAAACAAGATCTGCATTTTGCGCGTCAACAATAACGCCCTCGCTGTTCTTTTTGGCGACTGTACTGCCTCCACTATTTCCGCTACTAAGAAGAGAGTTGTTGATAACCGTCACATGATTCGCGGTATCCTCAAGTCTGTTGAGGCTCCTGAGATTAAGGCTGAGGAGTACGCTGCTGGGTGAGACAGGTAGTACAAGCCTTATTTCGCCACAAGGATGGGAGTAGCTAGAGCTCCATTAGTATGAAAAGACGAGTGGGCTAGACTGGGACGACAAGTGCGATGGAAGGAGGGAATTCGGGTGGATGGTCTTTCTGATATAAACATATTGTATTTACAGCTAAATTATATTTTCCATAACAAGATCGTCAATCCAACTTAGTCACAGGTGGTCGAGAACGCTTGCTGTGTGGTATTCGCTATAAGTCTAGCTTTTAAATAGCAGTGATCTACTCAATGCTATATTGATTTCCTGTAAGAAAGTTTTAAAAATTGCATACATACAAAAATAAAGATAATAGGATCGGCGATTACTGTCTCTCCAAGTGGACAGCATGGGGTGCATGGATAAAAACTGTGTATTTGAGTAGTGAGTGAGTACCCTTCTTCCTAGTGGTTGGCCTGTTGCAGCGAGAGATGCCTCTCGATATTGCTCAATTCAAGAAATCCCACTATTCTCTAGACCTGATAGTAAGACCCTATGATTCCTGGTTGGTGTGCGCTTGTGCCCAATCGGTGTTCTATGAACCGGTCTTAGGAAAAATGTTAAGCAACGAGCCAGTTGCGAGCTCTCACTTACCTGGCCAAGCACATTTTGCAGTCTATCCAGCTCTTCAGAGGCCCACAAACCCAGCCACTGAGGCCTTGACAAGGTGAGGCCAGTCTCGGTGTCGATACCTCTATCGCTCATGATAAGCACAGCCTGCCCGTTGGCCTTGACATCAAACATTGTCTGCATGATAATGTGTACGCAGCCTGCTACAGTGTTCAATGGCGCATTGACACTCTTAAGCAAGTCAATCGCTGCAGCGATCATAGGAGTATCCGTTGCCACAGGACATATGGAGTTGATTCGAATGCCAAAATTCTTAATAGCCAGTGGCCGAAGGGAACGGACGATTCCTATGATTCCGTGTTTGCTTGCAGAATACCCTACCAATCCTGGCGCTTCTTGGAACCCGTTTGCCGAGGACAATAGTATCAGCGACCTAGACGGCCCTGCACCTTGTGCTGTTGTATCAACGCCTTCTTTCAGATAAGCGAGAGCGATTCGAGTAAAGTACAGACATGCTGTGAGATTGACATCGACGACATCTGTTGTCGCTTTTGGGACCTGTAACACAATCCTTCACTCTTTAGATGCTGGCGGGTGAGACGTTCCAAAAAGGGACTGGCAGTGACGCACCTGTTGAACGTTCTCAAGATTAAGATTTGCAGCGCTGAACCAGCCTTTCTGATCTGACACTCCCGCAGTGAAAATGGCATAATCGACACGACCATGCTGCTCGAACGCATATTTAAACATCGCTAGTTGTGCAGCATAGTCGCGTCCATCGACTGGGAATGAGCTGACAGTGCCACGCGAACTGTTTGCACTAGAATTCAATTGTTCCTCTAGGGTCTTGCAACCTACTGCGTTGATATCACCGAAATATACGTGTGCTCCCCGACTGAAGAGCTTGGAGACGAGACCTGCACCTATACCACTGGCACCACCTAGAGAATAAATATTTAGAATTCAAGAATGTGAAAAACCCTGGGGTGAGACTTGTATGTATACCACACAACACAACAACTTTATCTTTAGGCGCAGAGCCTAGCAATGCCTCATCGATGGATATTTCAGCCATGATTGATGAATTTTTGAGAGCTGCTTAGCACGTAATCCAGGAGGCGTACCGCTTCGGGTGGATGGATATAAGACTGATTATGTATTACTTCCAAGATCTTCAATATGGTTCGTTGGGCTTCAATGAGGTTCGACACCGACGATATGTCTTAAACTCCCCAGTCGTAAACCTATCAACTACCTATCTGAGTGCGGGGCCGACGTATGAAAGAGGCGTGTATTTTACGCTCGCATAGGTACATTTTGAGGCTTTCTTGGACTTGGAAAAGCCGTGATTTTTGTCCTTTTTGGCCGGATCTGGACGAGATCAAAAAAAGTTATTGCCGTCCTTTGATCCCCAAATTGCCGGTGAATCGTGTGAGAGAATGATTACACCTAGCCTCAAATTAACTTTCCATCAGTAGCAGTACCTAATTCTTGGGATTTTTGCAGGAAACATTGCGAAAGTTTGGTCACTGCATAGCGATTCCTATTGTCTCTGATGTCGATGCGAGCATTACAGAGCTCTAGTTTGCTGATCTAGAGCTACAGAAGTATAACCCTGACAAGAAATAGCTCGAGTGCAGGGAGATACTGAGTAGGGTTTCCAAAGGTGCTGATATTCTTCTTAACCTATTCAAAAGCTAAATACCTATCTTGAAACCTGCAGATGCCCACTACCCCATCTCCTGAGGTTTCAGTCCTCTCTAATAGTACTAGAGACTAAGGACTTAAATATACTACATCCATGACTACGATCTGAGATAGCGTGTTTCCAGGACAGCTATTGTTTAGTCAACTGTCTTCCTTACACTTACTGCGGCATCATTTCGTCCGAACTGAGCGGCGTTCCTCCGGGCCCGGAATTTCGACACTGGATCGGACTTAACGATATTCGGGCTTTCGCCCTAATTACAGAACGCCTCGAAGACGGGTTTCTGATTGCAAGTCTACCATAGTGTACATCCGAGCCATTCCATGCCATATTTCCGATACATTTCTGGTGCATCGGCTGCATTTAACCCTTGGATGCCCACAGAGAGTGTTTGTCTTGATTGTTTCCTTGGAGCTGTTATCGAAAACTACAATACCCCGGACCATGGAAAAAATTCATGTCCAGAGCTTGGCTTATGTGCATTACCAGCATCCTGATCTGGAGCAGGCACTAAGGTTTCTGTCTGATTTTGGACTCGTGGAAGCTCAGCGCGACGGTGGAAAGGTATTTCTACGCGGCTATGGGGTTGACCCATACTGTTACATCGCCGAGACATCGCCTGATGGCGCCCGACATTTCAAAGGCGCATATTTCAGAGCACAGGACTTGCAACAGTTGCACAAAGCAGCGTCTCTCTATGGTGGATCACCTGTATGCGAGAACTACGGCCCAGGGGGCGGTCAAGTTGTCACATTGACAGATCCAAATGGGATAAGCGTCGGTGTGATAGCAGGCCAAGCACTGCGCAACATCAATGCACGGGATGAAGAGGCTGGGACACTCGAATTAACACCCCAGGTGGCAAATAGCGTAATCCAAAAGCCTAGAAAAGGTGATACGCGTCGTTTCAAACTTGGCGCCAGCCCAGTTCACAAATTTGGTCACTACGGCATCAATGTCCCTATCGTCAAATATAAGGAGACACTTGAATGGTACACTACAGTATTTAACTTGAGCCCGACAGACTGCATATACGATCCAGTTAGTGGAGAAGACACTACGTGTTTTACCCATATTGACCTGGGAAGCGAGTTCACTGACCACCACGTACGTCTCATTATGCTTTCGTGTGTTTTTAAAATGGTACTGTTTCCCAAGGATTTTGTAACTGACTTTGAAGGACAGAGCTTTTTTGTAGCTGGGAAGAAGGATGCCACAAAGGCTTACGTTCATCATTCAAGCTTTGAAGTCAATGATTTTGACACTCAGACACTTGGACACGACTGGCTCATGAAAAATGGCTGGACGAATTGTTGGGGTATTGGAAGACATGTGCTTGGCAGTCAGATATTTGATTACTGGTACAATATCCCATTCATGTCAGTAGTTTACTTGCCTTTTTCGATGCTGACTCCGATAATGTCTAGGTTTGACCCGTCTGGGAATGTGGTGGAACATTACTCTGATGGCGACTTGGTCAACAAAGGCTCCTCTGTCGCAAGAGAGCCTGCAGCGCCTAGCAGTCTTTATGTCTGGGGTCCAAATCTGCCGTTAGCATTCATGTCCGGAAAGATGGAAGATGCCGGCAAGGTATTAGTAGCTCCTCCAGATGCATCAAACGCCAAGGCAGCTCACTACCAGACGAAGTCTACAGCAGCATAGGCGGGCTGGAGCTAGTTTCTAGAAAGAGTCAATTATAACAAAATAAAACCCTACCACATTTCGTCACATTTGGATCAATCGTGTTTTCGAGAACCAAGTCAAAATGTCATGATAGCGACAATTGGCCAAGGTTGATGAAAATAAGCACTAGACGGTTGGTTAAGCTAATACACAGTTACCACACGATTATGCGCTTTCCTAAGTGTGACTAAAGCTAGTACTCAGTTGGCCATTCCTGAGCTGGTGCTTTAACATGCCGTTTCAACAGTAAATACTATTTTTAGTATTGATATTACAGAAATATGATGGGTGAAAACGCTGAATGAGAAGTTTCTCTATGCTTTTTCTTTTCTGAGATCCCAAGGAAACAAAATTTAACCCCAGGCTAGGTGGCGGAATTTTCAGAGATATGATTACCGAATTCATACCGTCATCGTCTTTGAGCAGCCGTATTGCTGACGACCCAAACCAGATCCCTGATCAGAAGCACTAACATACTGATAGAAGCCTATGGTCTGCTTTAATTCAAGAGCGTTGTCAGTACACTTTAAAGCTTATTTGCATATCCATATGAACGACCAATAAGTTCGTACGGACGAAGAAAAGTCCCCAAAATCGAACATAGCTATTCCATGTAATAATAATATACATAAGCTGAGGGTCCAGAGTAGTCCCTTAGCAAGAAATCCGATCCTAGTGCATATTCTACGGTTGATCTCGTTGATGAGTGTGTACTAACCCTATAATATCATTCTGTCAATATCAAGTTCTTCAGGAGGATTAGGCATCTATTCTTACTTTGGAGAAGGTTTCCAATATTCCAAAACCGTCCAAAATGCTTCAGGATTAGCCGCTCAAGTTCTTCCTCGATGCTAGGCGGTGTCGAGTATTGTATGGTGTTTTGGTCCCTCCCCATATACCGCGCTTATCGGAGAGTCATCCATGACGGCCCAACAAGTACATATATCAACGTCGGCGGAGACAAAGCTATGAACTCAGGCGACCAAGACCATCGCCGAAATATCTGAAAGACTTCGGCCCCGATCTGATGATAATATTTAAGTTTTTCAGCTGGAATAACTGGGCCTCCTGATTGAGACGGAGGCATGCCTGATTCATCAATAAAGCGATTTGATGATGTAAAAATTGGCGCATAAGAAGATTCTGTTCTCAAGAGACCTATTATTATCCTTGTTCTAGAAGAAATGAGTTAGAAAAGAAAGCAAGATATACCGGAAAGAGAGTAATGACAACTCACGTGAAAATCATCAACTGTGTGAAGATTATCCAACTGTTTCTCCTATACGATGATTCCTGATAAGTAATGGAATCAAGGCGGGTCCTAAACCTTTCATAAAAGAGGAGATAGAAGCAGGACACAACAGTTTCGGCCTCGTCAACCTGACTAGGCAGGGCTATGTTCTGACCTAAGCCGTGCACATGAACCATGATGTAATTACTAATTAGAAACCATGCGCGCTCGTCTTGATTGGGAGAGTCCCTCAGTACATGCCAACAAGTCAGGAAATTGGAATCGAAAACACTTGGTGTCAACTGTTCGGAAAACCAAGCGTCATCTGACACTGGTAGCTGAACATGAAATTTGATCTTGTCAATTGAGAATGGCTTCCGGGATGATACCGAATGAAAAGCGTCCAGTTCCCAGATACACCACCAAAGTCGACGGCCCTCCTCTTTTAGTACCCACGATTGAGGAGACAATGTGGTAGATGTCTTTGTTGAATCATCCTTGTCAATTTCATTCAGTCCCAGTCTGTATGCATGTCTCATACAAACATCGACAAGGGGCTCGGATGCTTTAGGTGGTCTATCAGTCAAAGTGTAGTATGCTAGCATGACACAGCCTTGAAGAAACTGTATTGTTGGCTCTCCTGCGTCAACAGCGGCTTCCATATTGTTATAGAGGGCATGAGCCTTTCCGGCGAATAAAGCACCTTTCTCCATAATTGAAATAGACCGAAAATACGATGAAGAGGAGTAGCGCGCAGACAGGGACATCATCGAATAGAGCAAGAACATAGTTTCCCTCGTAAGGTTGTGGTATTTATTGCGGGAACCGTTAGTCACAAATTGTTGATAGAACCTTGGCCGGTGGAGGAGTGGCATGAAAAACTGAACTCTCTCGAAGTACAGATCAATCCTAGCAATTAGCATAAGTATTTTTCTTTCTCCTGAGTGTTTCTGCTTCAATTGATAGTGCCTCACTCACAGATTATCCACTACGATTGCCGGTACATCTAATGAATATGAATTATAAGCAGCTCTCGGTAATGCTTCCAGACTTGGACTCGACTGAAGGTGTACAGGTAACCCAGTCGCTACCGGGTCAGGTAAATCAGTGAGAGCAGCAGCGTCTCCACTGGGCGCTATAATTCCGGTGCAGCTGTCCATGGTTGTGACGTCGTATGACTCGTCAGTTCCCATATTGTTGCATTCATGCCAAAGCTCGGGAATAGTAGCTTGGACAAAGCTGTATATCTCTTCATCAGTCAAGGCAACTTGTTCGGGGAAAGTCTGCGTCATGGCTGTTAATACATCAAAGGTATTGGTATTGCCTATCGAATTTTCATGGTGTGTAGTGGTATCCACAGGTGTGGAATCGTCAATATGAGAATGGAAACTTGGGCTGGGATTGTCGGTGCGCTGTTCCAGGCTGGATGAGACGGATGCTGGGCTGAACACTGGGGCCTCAAATTAGAACACTTGGCTTGAAGGGAATCTTTTCGTAGCAAGCATACTGATATCGTTGACGCTCTCTGGCACTGTATTTCTATTTCTGTTGTTCCCTACTTCGCGGCGCTTCCGGGCCGCGTAGACGCATAGTGTCTGTGTTCTCGCACACTGAGAACAAGTTGGCCTCGCAGCATTACCTATTCAAGGTAAGAGACGTGCTGAGTTGGGTTTGATGAAAGTTATATGTGTATATACTTGCATTTGACCTTTTTTCTACGATGCCAGCCTTTAGAAACAGAATCCTAATATTTGTATTCGCAGATGCTTACCGTTTACACCCCTGACAAGCTCGATTAATTGTTTGGGCATGACGCATGGCGATTATGTGATTTGTAGATACAGGACTTAGAGGGACAATAGAACGAATTCAAAATGTAGATGACGAGAAGTGGTGGTTGAAAGCTCTGTTGTCCTCCCTCGCACCGATGGGGGAGCCTGTACGGGGAGGATTTTTGTGGGGTAAGTCGAACGGGGTAAGCCTAAACTTAGGGTATTTGATTCCTGGAGATCTAAGGCCTCCAGGTTTACCAGCCCCGTCACTTCTGCCCTCAAGTGACTCCCGATTGGCCGTACTGTGGAGTTTGCACTTTCCTGGCGCGAAAATTTTCTGAAACCTTAATACCCAATACCCAAGACTTGTTTCGTGGTACTGTACGGAGTACGTAACGTACGCAGCTCTCAAATAATCGCCGCTCAGCACCACATACCAGATGACCTGTAATTATGAACACGCTGACGACTAACTCGTGGGGGTTAGATTTGGTGGGTAGTATCCCCATATTAGTATGTTTTGAATAGTGCGACGAGTGACTTTATTGCTAACCGCATTCCGAAGCTCCTCATATTTTATATGAGGATTTTGAATAACCCTGTATGAAGCTTGCATATACGAGCCCTCATGCGAGTGTCAGGTCCCTGACGCACAGTACGGGGTTTTGGAGACATTTTTATTCGAAAATGTAGATTTACAGGTGTTACATACAAATTTGTATACGACGTAATATGTGTAGTACGGGCAAAGCCATTGAACGCTTCCAAGCATTAAGCCTGGCACTCCGATAAGAAATCAAGGAACTTCCATATTCTAGTACTCATTTCGGGAGGAATGATAGATACAATAACAGTTGTTCTAGCTATCTCAAATGTCTGATGTCCCGGCAATTTGTCCGGCTTATCAATATTGGCCCAGTCGTACCTACCAATCCTTTCTTTCACGCGATTAGGACCACTAAATTGTCTATTTTAGCCATAGAACCCAGAATATTGTTCTTACCGTGCACAAGAGAGGATAATTTCCTCGTAAGTTTCTACTATGACGCCAGTTCAATAATCTATATCTAATACTGGAAGGACATATATTCACACCCATTTCTTTTAGAGTCGGCTTCTTAATCTAAGAGCAGCCATTGATAATATTTCGTGAAATAGCCCGGTCCATTTAAGATGCCATGAAATTCCCAGCCTTGCAATTGAAACGGATCCTTATCTCAGCACAGCAAGGAAAAGGAAAGCTCGGACATTTCTTTTACGGTAGGCATTTTTGTTAGACCTTTCTAAAAGGTGTGTGAGATCCACATACCCACAGCACCTGCCATCAGGACTCGTGACCCTAATCCTGAAAATTACCAATAAACCCGCTTTTATTTCCTCGCTGTTAGCAAACTGTAACGCCGGTACCGTAACGTTGGTCCAGCTTTCAAATCTAGAGCCTTGACTTATTTGGCCCGGCAATTCGGAATTTCGGCCTTAGGTGTAGTACCTGTGAGTCAATACCCTGATGGGAAAACTACATCCTAGTTATTAGCGAGAGAAGCAACTAGTTATCATAGGAAGTGGTAAATTAAATATTGTTAGGAATTTCTTTCCTTTTCTTTTGCTTCTGGCCCGTGAAAGAGTAGAAACTTTGATAATATCACTGCCGCCTATTTATCTCCCTGAGAATTTCTTCCCCTTTCATTTGCTTTTGGGCACGTAAAAGTGTGGAAGCATTAATAATATCACTGCTGTATCATGCCAACACGTCTGGTATCTGGTCTGGGAGAGATTGAAGGCTTGGGATTCTCACAGTATCCTAACGTCGAGCAATACCGCGGAATTCCTTATGGCATCGTTCCTGCAAGATTCAGGCAAGCCAAACTTGTATCAAGCTGGCCAGATGGCAAACTCAAGGCCACACAATACGGGTTAGTTAACGTAACGCCTCAAGTACATAAGGTTCTGGGAAGCTAATTAAATATGCTTTCAGACCTCTCTCTCCGTATCCCAAAGCGATCATCGGCTTCTCTCTCGTTCAGAAACGCCTACCGGTTCAACATGAATACGCAATGGATGAAATGAAATGCCTAAATTTGAACATAACTTGTCCTACGGGAGAAGTTCCAGAGAGCGGCTATCCAGTTGCTGTATGGGTCCACGGGTACGTGTTTTTAACCCTAGGCTCTTGATGTTAAGCAAGGCTAGAGCTGACGAGACATCTCAGAGGAGGGAATGTTGCTGGTACTGGAGCAGATCCAGGTTATGGTATGAATTGTAAGAAAATTCACAGCAAAAACAACGCTAAATGAGTATAATAACTAGACATGAGTCGGTTATGCGATTTCTCTGTTAAGTCAGGAAGACCTACGGTATTTGTCACTATCAAGTATGAGCGCCGTTCGCATGTCATTTACTGGACTCCTTGTCCCACTGTCAGATAACTGAACTAACAACTGCTTTCAGCTACCGTCTTGGAATCTTTGGATTCCTAGCCTCCGATGCCCTCAAGGAGGATAACAAGGCCGCCGGTGATGAAGGAGTTGGCAACTACGGTGTCCGGGATCAGATTCTTGCCTTCGAATGGGTTGCAAAGAACATAAAGTCATTCGGAGGGGATCCTAGTCGGATCACCGCCGTGGGCCAAAGTGCAGGTTCAAGTACATTCTCACTGATGTTCCATATTGATGGAAAATGGGAAAGCTAACCAAAGATCTCCCTCCTCCACCCAGTCGATATCCACATGAATATGGTTTCAGATATTTTCTCATCTCGACTTCCTTTTCATCAAGCTATTCTTCAGTCGGGGGTCTGCCCGCTTACGGTTAGAGATTTACACTACCAGAATAACCGGTTCAACAAGATCCTCGAATTCTTTGGTATAGACACATCCTTGCCATATAATAAACAAATTGAGATTCTCCGAGGGATCGATACTGACAAGTTACTTACTTCTTATGCCGCGCTTGGGAGTCCAGTGCCATCGTGGCAGGGAACCGTCGACGAATACTATCTCAAGATATTGCCAAAGTACTCTACCATACAGAGTCAACAATATCACCCTAGCATCAAGCGAGTGCTGTTAGGCGACGTTGGCCTTGAGGGTAGCATTTTTGAAGGACAAATCCGAAAAATGGAGTGGACATATGCCAAAGTCCACGCACTAGCTGTCGACACTCTTGGTTCAGATACGGCCTCTGAAGTTCTAGGAGCCTATGGCATATCCGATAATGACTCATCAGACCTGGTTTCCAGTCTCGTCCGCCTTGTTAGTGATGCGGAATGGTCTCAAGCTATTGAAGGATTTGCACATGGATTCTCCAACGGCCCGCTGTTCTACTACCACTTCGAATTAGGCAACCCATTTCCTGGCCCAAATCACAGAAAAGCACACCACGGCGTTGATCTCCTGTTTCCATTTTTGACTTACCAAGATCATCTCCCCGATGCGTTGAAAGGGCTGGCCTTGAATATGGCAAACCATTGGCTAACTTTCATACACGGTGGAGATCCTTGGACTTCTTATGACCGCACATCAAGTGAAGAAGCAGTTGTTATGCTTGTCAATGAAGATGGAAAGGAGGTAGAGATCCGTGAAGTTGAAAAGTCTTCTTGGAAAACTTTGAGGCTCACGGAGACATATCAAGACAAGATATCATACTTTGCGCTCAGGCTAAGAGGGGAAGATAAGAATACTTGACATGTCCTAGAATGCATGTATTTTTCAGGTCAGCATGAACGTCTGCTTCGTATGATTATTCAATAAATCAATTATAGTAAACAAAATTCGCTATGTACCTTTTTTTTTCTATATCATAACCTGAGGCTTKTTAGGGAGTTAAAGATTAATGTTTTAATTCATGGCTCAGAAAAATGTCATTGACTTTACCGGATTCTGACCTACGATATTTCATAGGTGATGATGATTCACTATATAACTAGAACTTGGAGTTTTAACTCTGAAACGATAACATGATGTAAGGGAAGAAAGTACAGGAATATAAAGTAAATTTCGTACTATATAGGTAGCATTTCTTAGCCAATTAAACACCTGGAAATTTCCTTGCGGCTTCTTTGGCATCATATTTCCAGGACCAAAGAGTTGATACTCCAGGGTTCGGTTTTTCTGCATGCCACTTCTGGGAGTCTGCGCGTGCCTGTTCAAGAATGTCCCGAACTCTACCCGCTCGAAGCTGATGGTACACTCTTAACTGAGGACCGATATCAGACAGACTTTGTGCTTTAGCCAACAGCTCAGCAAATACAACCCCGTCCTCAATACCCATAGCTGCGCCTTGGGCTGCTGATGGTAGCATAGCGTGACAGGCATCACCCATCAGACATAGTTTTTCACCGGGGAACACCCAAGTTTCAAGTGGATCCAAATCACATAGTTTCCATTCGAGAACATTTTGTGGTGGGAGATGCCTTAGAATCTTGACCAAGTTCGGGTCCCAATCTTTGTATAAATCGATAATTCCGACCGGGTCCGCATTTACGACATATTTGTCATCATCCAACGCAAATTGTACGGCCTTTTGTGTAAGAACGATATTGAAATACTCCCCTTTCCTTATAGGGTATCCCACGATATGTGCCCCCGGGCCAACCCTAGAGAGTCAATGGTCAACAATCGCTTAATTAACTCCCAGCCTCCCAATTTGGGGTAAGAAAATTGAAAAAAAGAAAGAGAGTAACGGCTTGACTTACCAAACAAAGGAAGTTCTTTCCTCAATTCTGATGAATTTACTAAGCTGAGGTAATTGTGCAAGTTCCGCGCAAGGGATCAGAGCTCTAAATGCTGAGTTCCCGCTAAATCGTGGTTTTGAGAGATTTCCAAGCATATTTCGCCGGGCGGAGGACCTATACCCTGTCGAATGGCTTAGTAATTTTCCAGGCTTTCTCGTCTTTGAAAGAGGCAGGAGGTACCATCAGCGGCCACAATAACATCTGCAGGCATTATGTCCCCATCATCCAAGAGTACAGCTGGCTTGTTCCAGTCATAATTCTTTACTGACACACCCATAATCAATTCGATGCCCAGTCCTTGTGCTTTTTCGAGGAGAGCTCCATGGAGGTCTGCGCGATGCAACAACCAGAATGGATATCCAACTTGTTGTCTTAGGTCAGAGTAGTCGGTGCAGTTCACCTCATCCCCTTGCATGTTTAGGTATCGAGTACGATCCAACTCTAGCGTGGATTCTTCTAGCTTCTCTCGAAGGCCCCAGTCACAGAGGATGCGTGTAGCATTTCCTCCCAAGAAAATGCCTGCTCCAACCTGATCATCTTGGAGTCAGCATCTGACCTGTCATTATAGTGCTATCTGTGCTTAAGGTGGGCAAATGCAGTTCATACATGTGTGAATACATCGCTTGATTCCAACAATGTCACCCGGAAGCCCTTCTCCCGGCAGGCGATGCTGGCGGACAGACCCGCGATGCCGGCGCCTACAATCAACACATGGAAGCCTGGATGGCTAATTCCGCTTGCTAGACTTTCAACTGCTCTTGGCATTTTTCCAAAATCGGCGTTATGCGTTGGAATGGCAATGTGATGTCAAAATATATTTGTCAAAATCTCGGCGCACGAAGGAAAGAGGACGAACCAGGTCCAGTATTGGTAAAACGCAATGATGTTCAATTTCAATACTACTTCTAGGTGTTCTGTGCCTTTAGTACTTGTTCAGAATTAAGCTTTTATTGACATTACTTCAAGTAAGAGGAGTATTATCAAAGTGCTCTCCGGTGCTCTCCCTTAGGGAGTTACGTTCCCGGAGTTTTGAGCCATCGGCGTTTCGGTTTTATGAAAGTCACTACAAATTGCCGTATTTTCAGATGGACAATAATTTTACAAATATTCTCTTGAATTGATTAGGCGGCGAGCTCTCAGCTGTAGAAGAGCAAGAAGACAGACGCATCACAAGAGTTTGTTAAATCAGGGACTGAGAGGAGTGCGCGCAGGACAGCATCTTAATATACGTAGAGTGTCTAGTCGCTTACTATCAAAATAGTTCATCAGCTAGATATCAGAGACAGGCTTTGGCACAGTTGGATGTCGAAGCACTTTGCTGTATCGCCGGCAGTCGCTTGACTGGCGTACGAGGCAGTACCGTCGTAATCGCAATTGAGACGACGTTGGCTCTTGCTGTTACGAGACTCAGTCCGTCAAATCTCCCTTAGTTATCTGTAAGGGTTGCTTTCCACCCACAACCACTCTCTAGTCTACACTCTACTAATAGGTTGTTTGCGAATGTTTTCTCACTAATTGACAAGTAGCCGTAGGACTTAGTGAGCGCTGTGTGCAGTAACCTGGAAGAAAGCAGCTTGTTCAGCCTCTTGCTTCACATTCGAATAGAGACTCATGACTAGGCTCTAGTTAGGCTATGGTGAGCGAGTGGCGGAGGTATCGAGGTCCTTATGACAATAAATTACACAGACAACGGTTAGCAGCGTGCCATCTCAAAGATTCCCAATCTAGACCTAGGCTGCATTTACATACAAGATTCAATCTGGGGCATCTCTTGGTCTCAACCCCATAATTTCAGCTGTGGCACCACTGTTCTCAGTGGATTCTCTAGAAAAATATGAAAACTAATCAAGTTCCTTTTCAAATTACTTTTCCCAGGGCCTTCAACTTCTCCAACGCCTCCTTGTCCTCTCCAAAACGGTCCTAGGAAGACGCGTCAGCCAATGTCACCAGGAATAAATAGTATTTTTGCTTACCGGGACAAGGTCCCACGCATCAGCGGGAATATCCTGTGCTAGTATTACCCCGGAACCTTCAAGAGCCCAATCTGTGAAAAGCAAACTGCGACAACTTTCGAGCATAATAGTCAGTTGACCCTCTGCTACTCGCATTGGCTTTAGTTCCATGTTGGCAGCGGCCATTGTTCTTGCATCTGCGTTCCCATGAGGTGTAAACCCAGATTCGTAGCTCGCTCCACCAGGAACGAATATTTCTGACCTCCCGCCTCCTGGTTGTCCGTATATTTTGGCTAGGAACTCCGACGCGCAGTTCCTGTGAAAGTATGGTGGTCGAAAAGTATTTTGTGCGACATCCCATCGGGGACCAAAGACAAGAAAGTCACACAGAGGAGCATCAGGGTCGCGTGATTTTGCTGTCAAGACCGTGTTAATCGAAGGATCAGTATGGTCGACGGTTACAGTATTGTGAGCAACGAATTTAGTCAAGTCGTACTTGTAGGGAATATAGTTACCATGCCAGGCCACGACATCAAAAGGTGAGTGGCTCTGGCTACAGGCATAATATTCATCTAACTTCTTGGTAATAACGGTCCAGGGGCCCGTGGTGGTATCAATGTCCGCTGTTGGAAACAGGAAGTCTCGCGAATTCGCAAGGCCGTACCCCCCGAGAGGCCCAAGCTCAGGGAGCTCCCATGCCGCACCCCAAGTCTCAATAACATATCCCCTCGCACCGGCAGGCGAATTCTCTTGGACGATATCTACTTTGAATCGAATGCCACGGTGTATAACGCAAATTTCTGAGGGTTGAAGATACAAATGACCAAATTCGGTGGTGATATCCAGGTGGCCGTCCTGAGGCACGATGAGAAAGTCTCCGTCGACGTTGACGAAGGCTTTGGAGGACATGCTACTGTTGATTGTAAATATATGGTAGGCAATGCCCTCTCGAAGATTTGGATGACCACTTCCCCCGAGAGTATGGAGACCTTGGGTAAAATCAATAAGCCCATCGTCAATGGAGGGAATCTGGAAAGCTTTCCACGATAGTTGCGAGGGCACGGTATGAAGACTCTTGTCTGTGGGTAGGAAGTTTGCCTTGAGGGTTGGATTTGCAGCAACCTTTTTGTATGCCTCGTGAACTGCTGAAGGGCGTCGACGGTATAGAAAGGCTCTCCTCATAGTAGCACGACTAGCAGCGAAGGATGATCCAGTCACCTGTTCTGCATACAATCCGTATCGACATTTCTGAGGCGAATTTTGGCCAACAGGAAGAGCTTCAGGAATTAGCTCGGACTGATGCTCATTGCCAAATCCATATAGATAACTATATGGGTCCTCCGGTCGTGTTGGTTTGGTTGTCTTATAATCCGCCCAATTGAACGGTCTGGCTATGCCAGACTTTGAAGCGGCAATTTTTTGAACAGATGCCCCATTGGAAGCCATGTTTTGCTAGTGATATTCAACAGTGAAGGACAGAAATTTGATCAATTTCCATGAACGAAGAATGGCGCAATGGAATTTAAAATCAAATTGATCACCAGAACAATGGCATTATCTGATCACATGATTTCGGCAATGGTTCTTTCTAGATCACCGAAGATACCTTCATCAAATATTGAGTTCTAAATTGAGGTCAGCTCTGCTTATATTCCCGAATTGCCGTAGCTGGAACTGGACAAAAAAATTCCGGATCATAGTAAAGACCGGCCATTTCAACTGATTAACGTATTTCACGGGTAAGCGGCGAACCTCTGTATTCCATATCAATTCTATTTCTTAGAATAGCCAATTGATATAGAATACAGAGGTGCGCCGCTTACCCGTGAAAAAATATAGTTACGGTCTTAATACCGCCTAGTATTCTTTGCCCTATTAGAACTGGCTAATCATACATGCTACGATACAGGACGTAGCTCTTCGAGCTCGGTGAAGCTATTCGGGACGTGCGGAGATTTCATACAATTATTAGAGCAGGTTTCTACACTAGCACTAGGTAACCCGGTAAGGCGTACAGCCAATGCACTCCGAATCTTATATGTATGGGAATTTTCTATATTTGTGCACGTTCTTCTAAAACACAGCTACCTGGCCATCTGGCTATCTGGGTGCTATTTATAGAAATTCACATAGACAATATAGCGAGAAAAGCTGCTGCCTGTGTATAGAGCTGTAGTACTGATATCTAATCATTAGTCTGTTGTCATTGAGCGTGGCAATCTGAAGCAAAGCCAGCCAATCTGGTAATGGGCCTGGGATATATAGAAACATTACGAACTATCCACGTAGATCAGTCAAACGGTAATATTAGTTCTCCGAACGATCCGAATAGCCGAAACTCGTCACAACTCAGATATTATATCAGCAAAGATTGAACGCTCCAACCATGCAATAAATACCGGGCGCACAGCCATACGCCCGGAGAATTTGTACCCTAACTTGACACACCGTACCACCCAGAACGGAACAAAGATTCAAGATGGTGCTTTGGCCAGTTCCAGTAGCAGCTGACAGCCCTTTCACTCTCGCTAGCCTACCATATGGCATCTTCAGTACCTCTAATCGTGTGAGTAAAGGCCCCTGTCATCAAATCTGGGGGATTTGGCGTCGGCAGACGAGCAGCGGAGATTTGAGGGGAAACATCTTCTATGCGATGGACTGTTGAAGTTGACATTGTTTCAGGAAAAGCGTGTGGGAGCAGCTGTCGGCGACTTCATCCTGGACCTTTCCTCCATGGAAAGCTCATCAATCCTCAAGGCCATCCTGCAGGGCCATGAGTGTGGCGATAACGGCAGGKTCATTTTCAATTMTGAGGATCTGAGCAACTTTGCAACTGTTCCAACTATTATGCGAAAGGCGCTTCGCCAACAGCTCATTAACTGGCTCAGTGATCCCACTTCACCTCTTTTTCAGGATGTCGCCTTGAACGAGGTGGCTTTTGTGCCTATGAGGGACGCGACGATGCATCTACCTTTCAAGATTGGAGGATTTTCTGATTTTATGTGCTCGGATGTCCATATTGACAATGTATGTTATCATCTAGTGCAAAGATCTTTGATTTCTAATAGGCATCTAACAATGGACTACAGTGTAGTAACCTGGCTGGTGCTCGGACTCCAGCCAGCCACTACGCCATGCCTACCGGCTACAATGGCCGTGCATCTTCGGTCGTTGTCGAGTCAGCACCAGTTCACCGACCATTCGGACTCATCAGGGACAAGGAAACAGGAAAGTTCGTATTCAAACCCAGCATGAGTATGGATTATGAAGCCGAACTGGGTATATTTATCTCTCATGCGGTCCCATTTGGGAAAACTATCACTGCTGATGAGGCTGAGGAGCATATATTCGGTTTTGTTTTACTGAACGACTGGTCCGCGAGAGATATACAGTTCTCCGAGATGAACCCCCTTGGTCCCTTTAATGGCAAGGCATTCGCAACTAGCATCTCGCCTTGGATTATCCCACTAGAAGCCTTGAAAAATGCACGTTGCTCTTCGTCCTGTGTGGACTTGCGTAGTGGCGGATCTGCTGGTGCGCCTCATTTAAGCCATGCTATTGCTGAATCCACGTGGGATATTGAAGTTGAGGTTTCAGTCAACCGTAAGGCCGAGGCTACCCAAGGTTTAAAATACTTGTTCATTAACCACCCTTGTAGGAAGCAAGTCTGGAGAGAAAGATTCTATCCTGATGACCCGCTCGAATCTCCGCGATCTCCGTTGGTCCCCTGGCCAGATGGTTGCACAGCTTGCTTCGTCAGGCTGCGGCTTAAACACAGGTGACCTTCTAGGCACCGGCACAATTTCATCACCGGTTAGTAATACTAAAAACATCTGCTTGCCGGAATTAAGAAACTCACCAGACAGCTAGAACGACACACCTACTCTCCGTACCCTTGGATGCCTTCTTGAATTAACAGAAGCCGGCAAAATTCCTGTTGGTCAGCGTGAGGGAAGCAAGCTCACTTTCCTGGAGGATGGAGATGAGGTTGTGATGACAGCTATAGCAGCCGGAGGCACTGTAAACTTAGGAACACTACGTGGCCAGTTGCAGGAGCCCCGCAATATCGCAACAGCTCTGTAGAGAGTTGGAACGTTCTTCTTATATTACATCTTGTCGGAGATTGGTTTGCCTCGAACTTAGCCTCCACTCAAACGCCCTAATGAAATTATAAAGCTAACTTGTAATATTCGTTTAAAAACTGAAAGCATGACTTCCTACACGATATGCTCAAGTTTGAAGACCTCAACTTCAATGGCAGTCCTATTATGATGATCTAGATATGAGAGGCAGGACGCAGTTGACGATGGAAACAAGCATATATGAATGAGGATGATCAGAGAGTCTCCTTGTTGGGGTCATACAGTATCAAGCACTACTTTAACAGATAGATCTCTCTTCCCCCGTTAGACACTGTCCCCAATATTTGTCACATGGCGACACTGGGCGGCTCAGAGAGCCTGGGTCCGGACTGACATCTGCTCAGTGAGCTGGACCATGAGCGCCCTCGCAAAAGCTGTGGCAGCTGAATAAGGAAGTCCCCAACGGGCAGAGAAAATATGGTTAGTATAGTCACCCAGATAGGAAGTCGTAGAACCAAGCGCGGCGCAAACGACKCCTAACAATATCACACACGCGCTCACACACACTCATGAAACAATTTATTAACACTCGATAGGTAAGCTGAAAGGCCAACCATCACTATTCTACTAATAGATGTCCTAAATATGCTGTATGTTGTGTTTATTCAGGTCTTAATCTTATACAGTATATGATTTACTTTCAGTTTATGTCATTATCGTAGCGCTTCGAAGTTTGGGTTTAGGTTCAGTTGTCTAGAGGTGAAATGCAGTATCTTATACTGTAAAGCAATGATTCATCTATAATTTCTCCATGAAGGCAGACAGTAGCGTGTTTTGGCCCATTCTTATTCTTTCAGTATTATAGTATATACGCCAAAAATATATAATAAGATTACTTTATTATTATTCTAAATGTAGTAAAGATAGTATATAAATTTGTTTATTTATTCTTATGAAATAGCGAGCATGCCTTGTTATAGAATATTAATGAGAAACCCATTTATTCAGCTAGTGTGTATAGCTTTGTATAGTAATCCTACATAGTAGTTTATGCTACATATTTTTCTTTCTTTTAGTTAGACACATAGTACAATACAATACGCGTTCCCACTCAGTTTCTCAGATTCCAACGGCGAACGTTGCCCGTTTTTAGTTGAATTCAGGCTTTCGCGGCTTCTGATTCGCAGAACGGTCAACCAACGGTCAACATACAGATTACTCCCAATGTCGAGAGATAAGACATGACAGAGTCTGTAGATGGGTTCAGGATTGAAAATCAAGACTCTATGGTCATGATATACGAAAATGATGTGATATATGTTGTGCCTATTTCCCGCCCCAAAATCCAGGAATCCGGGCATGGGATACAGCAACAAGAATCTGCAACTCATCTCTTTCTTTCGTCAGAATAATGGCCCAGGACCTCGAGCTCGTCGGAAGATGGGTTCCTCGCAATGCGAATGTCATCACAATACTTCTCATTGCGGTAGCCACCGTAAACTCTGCAGTAAGCCCACCCTCTTTTTGCCCATTGATATATCTAAATAACGTCGAACGTTGTACAGACAATGGGCTACGATTCATCAATGATGAACGGGTTGAACATTCTCCCTCAATACAAAAACTACTTTCACCTCAACACCGCGACCACTGGGTTACTTACCGGCGCTATGTGGATGGGAGGTTTCATAGGCGGTCTCCTTATCCAGCCGGTTTCCGACAGACTGGGTCGAAAGAGAGCCATACTAATTGCGGCATGTATTAACCTTGTTGGAGCTATTCTCACATCTACAGCCCACAGCACTGGACAATTTGTCGTTGGGCGTATCTGTGTCGGTATCGGCTCAGAACTCGCCAGTGGTCCTGCGCCGGCTCTTATAGCGGAGATTTTGCCGGCAAAACAGCGAGGCACAATTCTAGGATTGTACTTCACCTGCTATTTTGTTGGATCATTGGTCAGCTCAGGGGTGAATTATCGTGCGGTGAATATTGCGTCAACTTGGGCTTGGAGAGTTCCCTCAATTATACAGGCTGTGCCAAGTTTGTTGGCGCTCAGTCTCTTACCACTCGTTCCAGAGTCCCCCCGTTGGCTGATTGCCAACAATCGCGGCCATGAGGCAAAGCAGGTCATTGCGATTATACATGGCAACAATGATGTGGACGCACCAATGACGAAAGAAGTATACAAGGAAATCATGAACGTCTTACAAGCAGAAAAGAAGAACAGCCCTGAGAGTCCCTGGAAGGCTTTCATTTCGACCAAAGCAAACAGGAAGCGCCTGTTCATTATTGTCACCTTTGGAGTAATGGTGGAAATGTTAGGCAACTATGTCATCTCGTACGGTGTCCCCCAGTTTGGCCATCAAAATATTCTTTGCTAATCGATGTGTTATCTTATCTAGCTATTACCTCGGTGACATGTTGACACAAGCCGGTGTTACCGATTCCAAAACACAATTACAAGTCAATGTCATCCTGAGTTGCTGGTCATTAGTAGTCGCCGTTATTGGCAGTCTCTTGATGGACGTCGTTGGTCGACGGACAATGACCCTCACAGCCATTGGGGGCATGATTGTCACTTTGTACATATTCGGTGGACTTACAAAAGGTAAATCCTTGTTTTAAATTTCACGTCGAGGTATCAACTGACACTCGGTAGTTTATGCATCAAGCGAGAATAAGTCCGCTGTATACGGCACTGTTGCCGTGGTGTTCCTATTTCAAGGGTTCTATGCCTGTGGTATCACGCCCATGACCAGTCTCTATCCAGCCGAGTTCCTATCCTACAAGCTTCGCAATGCTGGTATATCTATATTTCGAACTCTAGACGCGAGTTTTGGGTGAGTCAATTCGTACAGGGTATTCCTTCCATAGCAACTGAACTAATCATACCTGTTCTGTTTTATACAGATTGATGGCCTCCTTTTCCATGTCCTATGCAATGAGCACATTAGGTTGGAAGTTCTATATCATCAACGCCTCTTGGAACATTATCTTCTTTGCTGCCGTCTACTTCACCTGGGTTGAGACCCGTTTGGTCCCTCTCGAGCAAGTGGCTCTGAAGTTTGGCGACCTAGATGTCGACACTCTTGATGGGCAGGAAGTCAATTCTACCTTTATTGCTGGGGAGAAGATGTAAAAGCAGTAGACTCACTCGAAACTGCACATCTAACGAATGGGCACTCATCAGGACCAATTGATAATGAGGTGCTTAGAAGTCTAGTTATTTTGCTTCACCTAGCCGAGTGGAAGTTTTATCTGATGATTAGAAGGAAATTACAGTTATTTGATATACCCAACAATCTAGGTACTAGAGCGCGCTCCAAGAATTGTAACTATGTGGATGCTACATTACGTGCCACGCCACGCCTCTTCTACTTAGACAAATAATATTTGTAAGGAAGGGTGAATTTTACCACGAACATCCCAAATACTGCCTTGTTTCTTCTTGATAAATACCTAATTGGTTTCCCATCCAATTGTAAATGCTTATCTCCATGCTTATGATACGATATGTCATCTATCGCTCTATCCATCAAGGATCCGATCAAGAATGAGATTCAACCGAACCAGCGGATGCCTTACAGTCACTAGAGTCGAAAGCGTAGAACCCAAGAGACTTTGCAAGCGCGTCCGAAAATCCAGGAGCAGGCCAGACCTTTCGGCAAGTATATGATCATCCGTGCTGGATAGACATAGCGAGACCAATATCGAACCCATTATTTGTAAGTTTCCTGTACAATCTGCAGCAGACCCAACATCAGTATCTTCTGCAGCCCTACATTTTTCAAGCAATACTTACATGACGGCCACAATCCATCTTTGTCTGCTTCGCTCATTTTTCCAAGCGTATCCATCGCAATTTTCATAATTTTCAGAGCGAGATCGGTTATTTCATGAGATGTACTATGTTCATATCGAGCGATGCCACGGAGAATTGACAATTCCAGCGTATAACAGGCGATACGAAGAGAAAATACTGCCAAAAGCGCAATCAGCTTCTAACAATATGATACCAGAAATCAAGAATACATACTATTTGGTGCGAAAAATGGTGGAAAGTGGTACACACTGACCGTACTTATCCAGGAAAGAAACTTCGCATGCAAACCGCTATTCGGCTTCTCGCTGTCTCCCAACGGCTTGCTTCGAACAGTATACAACACTCTCAAAACCTCATCAAGCAAGACAGAAGCTTCAACAAAAGCGACAAAGACTTTCACATGATCCAGCATGCTAACTTCAATCCGACCCGAATCATCGGCAAAGTCATCTAGAACAAGTGGCTCAACATTCCAATTATCATGACTGATATGCGACGGTCTCCCAAGCCAGTGAGCGAGCCACTTGTCTTGGGCATAGACAGCCCACCACAAGACTCTACGAGCCTTTCGTTCTGCAATTGGTATCTGCCAGCTCGTTGGATCGATATGGAGGCCGATATCTTGTGCTATCCCGTCGAGCAATGTGCTCAAAGGCCAGTGACCAGGCCTATTCGGCGCACGTACATGATGCGATGGGAGTTGCATATACAACAGTAAAGCCTTGACAGTATCCAAGTTCGGGGTTCGAGATTCAACAGCAAGGCGAACAAAAACAGAATTCCAGCTGTTGTCGGTCCCTGGAACGGGTAGGTCTTTTAGAGAGTCGGATTTGTCCCAAAATTCCACTGCATGTAGATATATACAGCTCATCAGAGATGCCCTGACTTGACCGCTCCGTCTTCGCCGTATAAAGTCCTCCTTGCTGCAGTCCATTACCGGGTAGAATGGATGGACATATGTGTAAAAAAGATCTATCAGCCCTGCCTCGCAGGCGGCGAGCGCTGATTCCGCTTTTGGTATTGTATATAGCCCGCCATGTGGATCTAGATGCTCATCAGGGAATATCTATGAAACGTTATTTTCCTTTCGACTTATCTCTAGATGCGTTGCCTTACAGTAAAGTATACAGGATCTTCCATCCTCGGCAATACTCTCCATGCAGTCCATAGCGAAGTCCCAAATAGACTCTGCTGATTGAAACTCAAATGCCTTAAAAGATCCGGGCCCTGATCGCCGCTGAGCCCAGAGTAGAGACTAGTATACCCAGGTATTGTTGTTGAATGATTGAACCCGTCCAACGTGTGATGGAACGAATCATCCTGATGTGCTGCCTGATTACTACCAACATTCATAAACCGTAGATGCAAATCATGGTAGGGCCCAGTCAAATCGCCAGAGTCTGTTGCATGCTCCGCAGGCTCCATTCGATGTTGATTTTTTCGAACTGGCGAAGAACGAAAGGTGCATGGTCTGTTCCGGTTGCTACAGAAATTGCACGAAGACGCATCCTGCTCTACCACGCACGCCACTTTTCGTACTCGACATAGATCGCACCTTCAAAATATGCATCTTGGGTGAGAATCGGCATTACGTGTCGATGGTATTGGAATAATCGCTCACGGTTGTATCTTTTTCGACCGATAGGGTCTTTGTCTCAGGGATGTCGATGCACTGTTTTCAGGGCTGGTTGCAGCTAGTGGTATAGTTCGCTCGGCCATATCGAACCTCCACTAGTTTCAATGCATTCAATTTGTCTGGAAGCTGTGAGTAGGCATTAATATATGTCGACGATAACAAGAACATACGAAAGTCAAATCCCGAAAGATCCGCCGTGGTCTATGTGGCTCTCAACATGGAATAGGATGATTGTGAAGCAAGGACCCGATGGTAGGTGCTTATCTCAGTGCCTCGGGAGAGGACAGATACCAATTATAGCGTAACCACGCAGCAGAACTCTAATTAGCTTACCATTCACAAAATGAATCCTCTATAGGTTAAGGTCTAAGAACTTCCCATTACTAATTTACATATATTTTCTTTAAATTTAGATCGTAATTCATTTTATTTTTCCTAGTCATAGTTATATAAATGAAAAATTTACCCTCCTATAAATAAAATATCTAATGCAGATGTAAGTAGGGTTTGCTAGGTTAGGTGTGAAGAATGAAGAAGCAGCAATAAGGTGCGATTCGTAGGTGCGATTCGTAGGTGCGATTACGCCTAATACTAGGAATCTGTACGATAGAGGTTGAAGCTATATAGCACAAGTGCGCTTCGGTGCGGAGCAACTAATAATCCGTACGAGCGAGCACATGCGGCGCTGTGTAAGGCATCCAACGATTCAGGGCCTTACAGCAGATTATGGTTAGATTAATCACCCCTCTGTTCACATCAGTAGGAATTCCGCTGTGTTACCTGCTTTCCTCACCTGCTTTATTTGATGACTTACACAATCAATTTTCTCGCAGGTTCCCCTCTACATATAAACCTCTCCAACTGACAGACTTATATGACCACTAATTTACCACCCATTAACGGGGTCTCGTTTTGGTCGTATGGTAAAGACGTGGATTTCACACCAACACCAACCAGTCATGTGTACATGCTTTCCATGGTGAACATAAAGCAACGTCTTCATTCTCTTGTACGTCATACATCACACTTGCATATGATCTACATTAATAACTACAAAAGAAAAGGAAATCTAATCGTGAGATCGCTTCTCAATGGATAAACTGATCGAAATCGCGCCGACCATAGAATGGACTCAGACTGGTCCAGATACCTATACCTGTGAGGATTCACGCCTTGAAAACGAAGAACTTTGGCAGCAACTTTTGGCGGGCTTTCCTACACTAAAAGGATACGGATTTCGACTATGGAAAACAACTGGCCGTACGATGGCAGGAGATCCGGCGGGTTACATCATACCAATTCTTACGATCCACGAAAGACCAGAACCTCGGATTGAAAACGGCTCTTTATTAACGCCAGGATCAGCCCCTGTCAGTTTCAAATATGGAGATGTCATTTCTGGTTCTCTGTGTTATATCATTGCTCTACCATATAGTGAAAATGACGGAGGAAAGCTAGCAAAAAAAAACTAATCGGGCACCCGATTTTGCTATGTAGTTTCACCCCATACATGGAATTTTTGAAATGAGGCTATACACATCATTTATTAGCGCTATTTTCCAATCCCGTCAACAGGCAGATTCACATAGTCAGCATCAACTTCCGGCTATGAATGTCTTGTAGGAGTGATTTCAGCCCTTCTCAATTCTGTTTTAGAGAATCGCGCGAAAGAGATGTGAAGAGAAATGTGAACGGTAGCGGATGGACCTTCACTCTTATTGATGCTACTCTATTTAAGCCAATTATCTCCGCCGGATCTAGCAGCTAATACCAATGCTGCTTCGATCAATGCCACTCTTCTAAGTGTGGTGAATTGCAATGGATTCTTAGATTATTTGTAGCAACCGGCGGACCTGACGGACTTGTAACAATATGTATCATTGCCTTACCGACATGCAAGAGAAAGTGTGGATACTTCAGCTGGCTATGCTCAAATAATTGCATTGTATCTGGTATCAGACTCCTATCAATTTTCTGAGCACCCTCAGTTTTGAACATATACTGCTGACCTGAGCATCTTTCTACGGAGCAGTGTTTGAGTCACAGTCTGCCCTTGCATGAGAACATGGCTAGTCCACAGCTTAATGTTTAATCTAAATCACGTACACGATTTCTTTTCTCATACCACTATTCGTGATCACATCGAGAGGAAGACCTGTGGAGGATCCAACACGACAGAACGTATTCCCATAGCCAGAAGGTGCCAAAACCAGATAAAAATCAATATCTCCTTGGCAGGAATCAATCGCAACATATTTGAAGTAGCCCGCCCCAGAACTTTCACGAGTCCAATTGAGCTCTGCACTTCCAATTTCACATAAGTCGCCATCTCGCTTTGAAAATACTACCCAGTCTTCACCACGCTTAGAGGTATATAGATCCGCCACAGGAGCTTCCAGAACTAGAACATGCGCCCATAACTCTTTTGGTAAACCATGTGGCATCTCTAGACGAAATGAGCTGCTGTGTGAGGAACATGCATATATATAATCTCCGAATTCGCTCGATCTAAGGACCGGTACGAACCGAGAACCTTCTGTTGTGGGACATTCGAGTATCTCAGCTGGCTTAAATGGCTTCAAAAATGTATACTCGATGTCTTCCTCAGGTTTTTCAGAAATGTAGATAGAAGTTCTCCATCGAAGCCACGACCAGCTAGGAAAAATCGGTAATTGAGAGCATTCATTCGAGTCGACTGTAAAGCACAAAGCACGAGTGAAGTATTTCACAGGCATTTTATAGCAAAATTCTGAGCCCAGCTCAGTTCCCAGATGCTGGATAACAGCAGCGAAGCCTCGATCCAAGTCTTTCAATTTGGTCACATCACGAAATGAATATTCACGGGCGTAAATTGCATACTTCTTAAATGCGTCGAGCGAATTCGTATGTAATGACCAGAGATCATCAAGTTCAGGGAGCTCATGATTGAGGACCGCTTTTGGGCCAAACGAATCAAACTCAGAGTATGTATCCTCGGAATATGGGCTATGCTGCGCTTTGCAGCAGAAGAACGCTTGTCCATCGGCAAGGACTAAAAGATGTTGAGAAAAAATTAACTCAATCAATGTCCACATTCGGCTCATCCAAGTGGACCTGTGCATCGATTCATCAATGAGTGGCTTCGAAACAGCTAGAGTCATCTGTCCCACTTGTTCAATATCCTGGTGCCGGGAAGGAGAAGTAGGATCAGAGCAAACACCATTGAGATGATTGTTGAAATTCGATCCATTTCCTACAATAGTAAGATATGCTTCAGCAAAAATTTGATTAATGTCCTCGATATTTCCTTCACTCTCATAGCCTTGTCCATGACCAAGACATAACGCATCAACCCATAGGTACTCAATGCCCAAGGAATCACAAAGGCATATAGCGTCCCGAATAGTTTGGGAAATATTGTTCCAAACGCTCCTTAGTCCTCCAGACGTCATGAGTTGTAGCTCATTGTTCTTCATAAGTCGAAGCTGAGAAATGGTGTTTGAGCCCCAAGTATAGCTCAACGCCGTGTAATTGCAACCTGGTGGCGTATACTGAATCATAAGCTGTTTCGTGTTTATGACTCGTTTTGGGCCTTTGACTGAGCTGTTACTTTCAAAGATACGGTATGCCTTGCACCCTTTCGAGCAAGTATCAATCCAGCGCTTGACTAAAGGTACATTTAGAGTCCCGTCCACTCTCCTTCCATGATAAAGCGTTTCCGTATCGTTCTCGCCTTTTAGCAACATGATATCACCTTCAAAGTAGTCCACATACGACTCGCTACTATAAGCTCTCGTCTGGAACCTTTCATACGGTGGAAGCGGTTTGTACTGAAAACTTGTGGAGACGCGAAGTCGATATGTTCGTTTGACAGTGGACTTCTGGGTTGTATATTTCCCGTAGAGGATTCGCGAGTAATATACCTCCGCGTCGTCGGTGGGCACAAGAGAGCATAGATCTGTTTTTTGAAGTGCTTGGCAAGCAAGTCGACACATGGGACAGGTGTTTGAATTCTTAATATCGCAAAACCGCCTTGTCATTTTGTAACCAGGTTCGATGGGATCGGGCTGCTCAGACTTTGGATCCCAGAATCCTTCATCGGCAAACTGAGAGCAGTTTGAACACAAGGTATTGAATTCCTCCACCATGCTGTGAAAAAATTAATGAAATCTGGTATTTCTCGTTAGGAATATGTATAGGGCTAGATCGTAGGGTGAGAGGTAAAACTTGAAGAATATACTCATCTAGGACGGCAGATTCTTTGTGATATTTAGGTACTGGGCAAGCTGAAAGACAGCCAGAAAAAATGAATTCGTCCATTCATAGCCAGAACATGAGCGAAATCGAACACAGCGATCACATGGGCAGGAGCTGGGCTGAGTTTTGCTGCGAATAGACGCGTGATTACTTGTTTGGGGTTTGAATCGACAGCCACTAATATCAGCTCGCATGAAATCATTTGTTTTCTAGCCTCACTTTCTCCTGTTTGATCACCTATGTCTACTCTCTGAGCCAATCAGCGGTTCGTACATCTTGCCAGCCTCGACCAAGTAAAATTTGTAGCGGAAAACTCGGTACTTGAATAAGACAGACATATGAAAATCTGATCGGGCCTCAAAAAAAAGGTCGAAATGAAGCAGTTGACATTTATTGACATCGTTGAGTAGAACCAAGGACTTGTTATTTGGGTTTTATTGAAGCTAAGGAAGGAACTAATATGCAGCACTTTCTCCAGAAAGCCTTCCCGACAGTGGAATATGATTTTCAGTGTACTGCTGTTGACCCCGGTGATTTCCATAGACGGACGGTGACTTGCGCTGCTAGCAAAAAACCAATCAAACTCGAGACGTCATGTGAGCCATCCGTGTAATTTTGTTATCGTATCGATCGTGTTATTACGATCGAATACAGCAACATGCGATAATTTCAACATCGTCCGACAAACAGCTACATGCTCGGCGTCACAATGCCATCTACGACTCGGTAACGAATCACTCGACACAGATATCGTCTTCCGAAGAACACCAAAAATGGCGCCCCTTGTCCCCATCTTCCCGACCGAAGACCTTCCATCCCGCGTGCAAATCGTCCACCGCGGCTTCAAAGAAAAACGGCGCAAAGGCGAACCAATCGACCTACAAAAATGCGAACTGATGGAATTGGTGCAATATTCTTGTAATCCACCTGAAGAAGGGATTTTGGCGCCGGGTGTTGTGAAGTGTAAGCCTATTGTGAGGCTATTTCGGAGGTTTGTCTTATCTTGTGCCGGAGGTGTGGAAGAGGGAGGCTAATTTGATGCTTGTGGTAGATGCGCCGGCGGTCTTACGGTTGAGACAACGAGTTGGGAGAAGATGAATACCAATAATGGAATTGGTGCGAGTTCAGATACTGCAAAAACACAACCAGCAGAGAAGTCATGATCCGTTCTGCCCGGGTTGATACGTCGAGCCGGTCTCACTGTATCAGATTAATGTACAAATATAATGCATGGGAGGCGTTTCAGTTTCGAATAATAAATAGTAAATTTCTGGTACTTCTCAAATGGACATGGGTATCTCGTAATAAATCAAAATAAATAAAACGCCCGCCAGATGCTTCACCGCTTGCTATGGATGCAACATCAAGTCGACACCCATCGCTCAACCTTCGCAATAGCAGACTCATTCGTGTCAGGCAACTTCTCAGCTTTTTGTGTGCTCGATGTATTCTTCCTCCAAAAACTCCTCTCACAATTCACAATAGGCGCTAGATCGAGATTCGACAACGAAAATTTCGCATCCTTCTGTGCCGCACCTTGCGAATCAATCGATTGTTGACCCTCCGCCGCCGCCGCCGCCGTAATAGGTTTCCTCTTATTCAACCCTCTAATCGTCTTCTCGAACATTGTCTCCGCACTCTCCGCCTTCCGTCCCCATAACCGTTTCTCGCTTTTCCCGGTCCCAGTAGCATGCGTATCCTTGAACGCTGCACGCGCCAACTTGCGCAAAGCTTCTTCTCCATGCCGACTATCCTCCATGCCCAGCTCCCGTATTCGCCGTGGATCGGTCTCTCGTTCTGTGTACACAGGTGTAAATCGATACGTATGTTTGCTGGGGAAATGCGGGAAATGTGCGGGTATGTAGCTGGTTCGTTGCCGTTCGTCTTCGCCACTTAGCTCTTTGCCGAGGACTGGTATATCGCTGAACGCGCCAAAAACATCCTCATCTTCTTCAGGAGGAGGACTGGGTAGAAGTGTGGGGATAATCTTTTCGGCTTTGGTGGCTTTGATATATGGTTCTAATTCTTCGGTGCCGACGTAGGCTTGCTGGAGCGCGAATTCAAAGTCTTGAGGGATGGGCTGTATTCGTCTGCCTGCTATCATTGATTCGCGCGCAAATGATGTCAAGTGAAGGATATCTAAAAGATGATATTAGAGCCAAATATAGTATATTCCCTGTAGGACTGTACATACATTCTTCAGTTGCCTGTCGAAAAGCATCCAGCGCCGCAGGCTCCGCAACGTCGTAACCGGTTTTCGTCAAGATCTGCCCAATCGAGCATTCAAGTAGATGCGTCACAACGCCATCGTCGAGCAGCGCAGGTTCTTGAAGTTGTGTCTTGACGGGGTGATGGAGCTTGTGGTTGTGATGGTAGTGTAGTTTCTGTCGTTTTGTAGCTGATTCATCGGCGGGGGACTGTGACGCTGAGGGGCGCTTGAGAGAGGTTGAAGTGCTGGTAATATGGGCCATCTTCGCCTTTGAGGTTGAGGGTTGATGATGGGTAAGTAAGAGAATAGTGAGCTCAATTAACGTAGGTGCCGGATCTGCTTATCGGTGCACGTGACTTTCATCATAAATCCTGATGTAGCTAGCTTGAAGTGACCGTTCAGTAAGTGAAGATTTTTTGGAGCTAAGTATTGTTGGATAGTTCAATACTCACCAAGGATATCCAAGATACTGCTTGAGTAAGTATCAATAATGAGAACAATCGATTGCATGATGTATTCAAGGAAATATATTAGCTGCCTAAGGCACAAGCCGGACTATCTCGGCTAACCCAATCCGACCAAGGTCTTGGCGTAACATCAGCCAACGTCAAGTCTTCCACTTCCGAGCTTCACACCACTCTTTACTCGCCTCAAAGCTCCTCGCAAGCCGTCACAATTCTCCCAATCACGGGATAATCTAAACCTCTCTACAAATTCTCGAGTCTGTGAATCCATCTACCGGGTTTTCACATCGCAATGGCTGCTACTATCGCTCCTATCACCGGCGTAAGCTTTTACCTACCTCGAACCGGAACCGGTTACCCAGCTGCTTCTTGTCTAGCTTTCGATGAGCTGCTGGCGGTGTCGATTGATTGATGCTCCGTATATGCTAACTGTCTGATAGATGCTCCGCCGGGGCCTTGTCCTTGACCTCAGCACCGCTTTCGGTGAGTTAATTGATCTTCCAGGGTGCAACGGCTGTCGTTAGATGCAAATCAGGAGACGAGACATGGCGACGGCATTTGCGTTCACGGAGTCTTCGAGTGCGGATTGGCTTAGAGAACAGGAACTGACAAGATACATTAGGTCTTGGAACTACATTCGGCTACCTCTGGTGGTACGGTACGTATCAACGGTAACCCTTTTCTCTCTCAATACAACGGACTGACCAGATGTATAGGATACCACCTCCCCCGCGTCCGCGCCCGCGACAATTTCTACMCCCGCCTCGAAGCCGAGCGCGCTGCCGGCCGTGCTTAAACATGCGTCTCACTCCATCGACAAGATTACAACGAATGATCATGTACGCTAAACCGCCGGAGCAAGTTGTGGAATTGCGGGAAAGATAAGAAATAGACTGGATGGTTGTTGTTTTTATTGGGGCGAATGTTGTACATAACAGAAAAAAGAAAAGATACAAGATTGGCACAGAGTTCGTTCGTCTCGGCCTGGTTCTGTGTTCCTCGTCCACTTCAAATTGATTATTTCTTTTGTCAATAAATTCGTCCTCTGGCTTCCGATGAGCTACCGGGCTTCGGTTCGAGAACTAAGATATCTGCGAGTGTACTATTTCATCATTGTAGAAGGCTACTGCCCGTCAAACCTATGGCATGGGTGTCTAGATGCGTCTACCAACTGCCGAGATTGCATATGAGGCAGACTCACAAAAGCTAAAGAGTGTAGATCTCGATATTCTACTAGGCACAGTCCTTATCATAAATCATAAGTATACTATCTAAATACCCCCATGCGCTCACAGGCTGGAAAAGCACAAGATAAGTCTCACAGAATAGAGAATAAGAATCCAGCGCAGCAAATAAATGATTCAACTAAAATGCCGCAGCGCCATGAAGTAAAGCCAAAGCCAACCACGCAAATATATCACCCTTTTCCTCTGTCATCTCCCATCCTCCCCAGCGCAAAAGCGATGCGAAGCAGTGGGCTAAGAAAAGACGATCATTTCAAAACACGGTCAAACGATACCCCCTTCACATTTCCACCAGCCATCGAATTCCTCACATTCTTCTTAAATCCTTCTCTATTAAGCCTCAAATCCTCCGCAGCCTCTTTGTTTAACGGATCCGACGCATTCGGCTCCAGGAACAAAAACTGCATCCCCACAATCACCGCATTGAGATTTAGTACTGGTTTCCAATCCTCCCTCAAGATATTCAGACACACATTTCCTTCGAGGTCGATGTTCGGGTGGTATATCTTCTGTGTGCATTTCACTTTGGGCGGGTCGTGAGGGAAGTTTTGGTTGATGCTGAATGTGAAATTGAAGCTGCCGCCTTTGTACATTCCTTCGTCCGGTTCGATGGTTAGGGTGAAGTTGAGGATGTCGTCGGGGTTGGGGAAGGTCATTTTCATGGTTGAGCCGAGTGAGAGTTCTTGTAAATCTTTGCATCCGCGAGGTGTTAGTAATCTCAATCTGTAGTCTCAAATCTTGAAAAATCGAAAAGAGGGTATGGTTACCTCGCTGGACACGCAACTGCGCAGCAGTGACTTTCTTCTTCTTTGCAGCGCCGCCATCGGCGTTTTCAGCTTGCTGCTGTTTTTGTTTCTGTTTCCAAGTCAGTTTGTGATCAACTGGGGTCGAGTCGAACGGAGAGTCGTACCATAGACCAAATCTTCAACATCTTGGACGATTTATACGACGTCTTCCACCGCCTTTCAACACGTAGATTGTATGCTTCGTTTTCCCGCGGGGGGGTATCTAGTATGCCTCCGTCTGATATATGGTCGTATCTCAAACGCCTGCCTATGCTCTGCGGGGTCCTCGAAGGCACCGAACCTGAACAGCAAGAAACTCGTTCGCGATAGTGGCAAGGACGCAAAGCTTTAAAGATGTCAAGAAACGCCGAATGCAGAGCGCTGTCTATTTATCAAAGAGAAAAGGGTAGAAACGCAAATGTCGTTATCGAGACAAAGCGAATGAGTGATCGTCAGGACTGATGAAAGATGATGATGTTAGCGCGACTAAAGCCCTTTGAGGTTTAGCTCGGGCAAGGCGTTATCGGGGCGTGGGGCGGAAACGCCGATAACGATTTGCCTTTCTTCTTCGCGTCAGAGGACGGAGTATGTCGTACAAGGCATTTGTTTCTGCTGTTTTGAAGATGATTCTGGCTATTTTGGTGTCTTCAATTTTCGGACAAGTTTCGTTGTCGTTCGAGAAATACAATGAATGAAGGATTTGCGGCGTTAGGAATACATCATGGAGATAGCTATAAAACAAAGATACTTATACTCAGTACAATTGATCGATATTGTCCAAACTATACTAATTTATCCTACGTACTTTGCTCGCCAAGGAATACAAAGCATATCGATATCGTCACGACCATGGATAAAAAAACGAGAAACAATTCAAATATGTTTAGCAGACAGGCAGGACATGAAGACAAATCAAGAAAAAGAGAGAAAAGAAGCTGAAAGCAGGCAAGGGACGTGAATCTACAGTAGACTACATGTTCAGAAGGTAATGAGACAAATGATCGTAGGAGGAGATCCGAGGGATATTAAAATGCGTTCTTTTGGGAAGGACAAACAGCGCCAGATGGAGCCACTGGTCCACAGCCAGCTGCATGCAGCAGCCCCTGCGTAGTTTCGTAAATATTTATCGTCGGGCACACATGCACATGAGACCAGTTCGGCCCAGGAACCAGCAGCATCCGATGAATCGGACCAGTGCGACGGCTGCGGTGGCCCACAAGAGAGCCTGGAAAAAGTGCGTGGTACGGGTAGTGGCTTTGTTCTAGAGAATGTTAGAGCTGAAACCTATACGTGACTGGGATAGACTTACTGTGAATCCGAACTCATCAACACCATCGCTGGTAATGCAAACCGCCAAAAGAGCGTTGGTGAAGATCCAGAAACTGACAAGCTTGGTACGGAAACTCTTGTAGGAGTCCTCCAAACTGCGCTCTTCCTTTTCAACGGGTGCCACAAAGGGTGTCAAGGCACGCTTGACGGTAGATTCAAATTGAGAGTCGATATCAGCCTGGGGCTTGTCGACTTCTTCAATGACCGCTCCTTTTCCATCTGCTTCTTTTTGCGTTTGAACTGATGGCAGCGCATCCGCCTTATCTGAACCCTTGGTACCCCAGGAAACATCGTGCCAATTGCTGAAAGCGTAGACATTGAGGATGTTGATGAAGGACGACATGATCAAGAGATAGGCGGGGAACGAGGTGAACATGTGCCATGGGTCCATGTACAAGAAAGAAGCGACGAAGTAGAGACCGAAAGTAGCAGCCAATGCAATGATGATGATACCCGCACCGGACGACGAAAAGAAAGATTTCAAAAAGCCACCAACTCCGTTGCTCGTGTCGAAATCCATCGGTGTGGAACCGGTAAAGGCGTGGACCACCAAGTACATAGAGTCTACCACAATGTAGAGCTGCACGATACCGAAAAATATGAACGACATGATGTACGTGTGTTTTGAACTACGAGATGTCAGTCATTGCAAGAGACCCTGATAGGAGAAAGCTTACCCTTTGGGACGATTTCCGAGAGCCAAAATAAATTGAAGCAAAAGCACACCGAGATAGCCATACTTGACAAGCGTATTGATAATAGGGGTAGCAGTGTTACCGAACGGGAAACCATTCTGGCCATTAGAATTACTAGGCGTTCCGACAAGATCCAAGATAACCGACGTAGTAAGCCAGTAAGACGCTACTTTCGTTAGTCATTATAAACAAGAGTGACTGCAGATCACATACCAAGAGCGAACCATGTCAAAATAGTGTTGAAAGTGTTGTAAAGCATTTGAAAGTGAAGAACAAACATTCGAATAATGTTGTGGCCAGACTTGTAGATACGGCTAAAGTGCATCAGACTGTAAATACCGGCAGCAAAAGAACCGTTCAACCAACGACGACGCTGAGAAATAAATTCAGCAGCACCTTCGGGCACATCAGTTTCGGCCTTGGAAGCCTTGACATATGACAAGTGCCATTTAGAGCCGGCCTTAGCCACCAGTTCGAAACACAAGATACGATCTTCGGCCAAAAACATGTTCTTCTTGAAAATGTTCATGCCCTCGATACCCTTCTTACCCAATTGCTTGGAAAGGGTGTGATCACCATGGAAATACTGCTCGAGAGGTCGGCCCATGATAGCACGGAATCGGTATGCTGAGAAAGCACCAGGCAACACACTGACGTATCCAAAGGAGGATTCCAGGGGCTTGTCGAGAATATTCGAGATCTTGTACTCGAAATTCTGTGCGGCAACTAGAGGGTTGACCAAATTCTTCCAACCCTTACCCAACATAGCGTGAATTTCACCACAAGCACCACCAAGATCCTTGTCGTTGTAAAAGGCCTCCCACAAAGCCAAAATAGACTTGTGGCCGGGCTTGGTACCCGCATCGAGCAAGACGCAAATTTCAGGGTTTAGGATACGTCCAAAGGCGTTGAACAGCCATCTGTGAGAGTTGATCTTCTTGCTGTTCTTTTGTTTCAAGCAGAAAATCATTTGCACGGGAGGTAGGGTGCTTGGGCCGTCATCTGTGGGACGAATGAGCTGCTGGCTGGGTGTAACGGAAAGCTGAGTAGTGTATTCGAACTGTGACATAGATCAGTAAGAAGTTTCAATCGATGTGAAACGAAAGCTTACAATGTGGGCCACGGTTTCCTTTCCGTCGACGTCACGCTTCATGACACCGTCCTGGTAGATACCAACGGTAGCGAGCACATCTAGAGTGTCCTTGTCACAAGGATCGATACCGTCAAACACGAGACAGACGACAATTTTCTGCCAAGCTGGACCACCCTTGTTCCAGAACTCGGATTTCTTCAAGTTGACAATATCGCGAATGTTTTGCATGACACCGTGCAAGGTACGGGAAGTCAATTGCTTGTCTTCGTTGTAATAGGTAATAGCAATCAATAGTTCGGTGTGACGGTTGTACATGGCCGGTCGCAGGTTGTAACCGTTGTGCAGGGTGAATTCGTTGGGGTCACAAGTGGCGGCGGTGTCTACAATTTCAATTAGTAATAATCCTCGAAGAGCTTGGTTAAATCAACTTACATCGCATGTGAGTGAATTCCTCGCTGCCACCCTCGAGATCGTTTCGGTACTTGGCCTGAACGGCATTCTGGATAGCACTAGGAACAGGGTAGTCGACACTCAGGACGGAACCCTGCACAAGCTTGACCTTCCTAGTAGCATATCGGCGCAGGCCAGTGCCAGGGGCCTGCCTTTGACGCCAGGCCTCAGTAGAGGAAGTCTCACTGCGTGCATATGGGGAAGCCACACGGCCAGGGACGCCAAAAGCCGCTGCAGGGTTTTCGGCGCTGCCCTCGTAAGGAGGAGCTGCTGAGTCGGCGGCATAAGACTCGGTCAGACTGTATCTCGAAACTGGGCGCATCGGGGATGCAGCTCGGCTGTGGACGGGGTCTTCAAAGGGTCCGTTGAAGGGGCCCTGGTTCAACAAGCTTCGGGAGGCATCATCTTCACCGTATTGCTATCGCGTAAAAGCTTAGTGTTAGCGAGATCAATCAAAGTTGTCAGTCAGTTACACGTACGTTGGTGTGTCCCATCTCATTCAATCGATGACCTTCGTCACCATAATTTGATGATGGCGAATGGGGATGGCCGCCTTGGTAGGCCATGTTGTCTTGTCGAGCAGAATCTCCAAGATATTGGACAGATCAAAGAAGGACGAAAAATATTAGTTCAGAAAGTGGAGGTGATTTGCAAAGACGGAGGTTTTAAAGGTCAGGTGTGTATGACAATAGAGCGAGCGGAAGAAAAAGAACGAGGAAAGATCGTGTTTCTTTCTTTAGATGCGGGTTAAGCTGAAAGAAGCTTCACGTTGGCGCAGCGAGCGAGCGTAGCCGCCAGGGCTGAGAAGGACTTGGCCGAGCGAAAAGAACAACCGCTTTGAGCCAGTTATACCGTTTTTCTCCGTTTTGAAGGAGAGAACCAGATGACGAGCGCAAGTGGTGATCAGTAAGTGGACGATAGTTGATGATGAAGTGAATAGGTGTTTGAGAAGGAGATGTGTGAAAGAAAAAGGTGCGGAGCAAGGGAGAGAGAACTGACACAGGGGAAAGGACGAGACAACGATGCGTAATGGTGTTACCGAAATACGGGGTCTTGGTAAGTTATTGTCGCCTGTTTGTGCGGAAGGGGGTCCGCCAGCTGTCACTTTACGGTATTATGGCGTATGTATCATTACAGTGCTATAATTACTTTGACTTTAATGGCGCCCTCTTACTGGCTGGTGATCCGTCAAGTCAATTKCTGACTGTGGCTCAGTCGCGACCTTTTTTTATTTCCCTTTCTGTATTTCCTGCATTCACCTTTTTTGTTGTCAATGGACAACGATTAAGCTTGAATACAGCATGGAGCGTGCGGCTGGGAATGGTTCCTTGAGGCGCGTCAGTTGACTGCATGCCTCAATGACTCCATGACTCCCGGCCAGCATGTGAGTCGACCAGCAGACCGTAATTTTTAGAGATCCGCCACGATAGTACGTAGCTGCATTAGAGAACGCTAAGTATGTACGTAGTGAACTGGTTAATGCTATGACAATTCTTCGTTCTACACACGTCGAATTTGCAAGCAAAGTTGAGGAGTTTTTGATGAACGACCAGACCCATTATTCTCGATGAGGCTGCTTGGCTCGTCAGTCGGCCAATGACGGATGCTGTAGGACTCCGCCACAAAATGATCATCCACTTGTGAGATCACAACTGAAACATGGCCGTATGCCGGAATACGTGATGATACCGCTGGGAGTGTATTGTATTGTACATCGATTCGAGTAATTCTCTGTCTCAGTACGATCAACTATGTATGGACGTATCACTTCAGTCGAGGCCAAGTCAAACAATAACTTTCTGAAATACGACCCGGGACATGTGCGTAAATTACATACCAAGTGACACAGCCGTCTGGGCAAACACAAACCTCCACTAATGCAATCCCGCCTGAAACAAAGTTGGACAGGGGTCAATTTGCTCGCCACAACGGTGTATGAGAGTTGCATGTAACATTTTTTTGACTTCGGCGACTCCTACGTAATTGGTTGTTAATTATTTGCCCGCTGCTTTGCCTATCTATTAGATGCTCAATGGAACAACCGAGGAGAGTTATTATGTATTCACGTACTATGGAACTGATATGATCCGCCGGAACGGGCCCTCTCTTTCCAGATTTCAGAGCCTCCGTTACGGGGAAACCTGGGAAAAGGGAGACTCGAACGAGCCTGTCACGTCGTACAAAAGCGCAACGTTTACAATAGGAAAGGTAAGCTCCGAACCACGTACAATCGATGGATTTTTAGGCGCATACTTTTTGTTTTTTTTTTTTTTTCTCCTTTGCTTTCCTCGTATCAAAGGCAGAAAAATGTGTGCCGCATTCCAGTTGCCAAGGGAAATGATGTGTTGTAGATGTAAATTACGTAGAGACAGCCAATGATAAACGTTATACATTGAGCCCCACATTCTTTGCGGTCGCTGACTGGTTGCTGGCCGATAACGAACCTGTAATCAGTCTGTATTTGTAAATATTCAATTCTCAGCAAGATATGGTAATGCTTTTGCGGCATGTGAGATCGATTCATTTCCTCGTGGCTAGCGAACCGTTCAATACTACCAAACGATCCTTCCAACAATCCTGAATAATTTTATATGCAGATGTATTGGCCTTAGAATAACAGCGTATTCAAGATACACTACGGACTCGCGGAGTATTCCGTCTCCCCACTTAGCCCAATGTCTAAATATAGCATGGACCATGACTTGGTCTTCTTCTTCTTTCTTCCTCCATACTGAACAATGGCGGAAATATATGGATTTTTGTAAGGACCCTGTAAGGCCTAGTGACAGCTCTGTCATTTTATAGCATGCTGTCATCCGGCCGAAAAATGGAATACATTTGTGATTATTACGAGATTTGACATATGACGAATTTGTAGCATGATGGTGAGGCTACGTTATGGCTATAAGACACATCAACGCTCCTGAATATACACAACACCCAACACCACGTCCACCACCAATCTCGTACGTAGGTAGGCTCGTTCGTACATAGACTCAATGTAAATCCGTGCCCTAGATTTGTACGTGAGCGCGTGCCAACTAGATTGGGGGGTTCGGGAATTTGTGCACCAAATTCAACCCCCAAAGGCCTCGTACGTGGGCTTAGATTTGTAGGTAAGAGCAAATCAATCTATGTAGAAAGTAGAATTCACATATCAAATTTAAACACCAAATTGAGGCCTCATACATAAGATTTGTGTCGTGCGTAGGTGCGCTCCCGATGAGGAAAAAATATATATATATATCTATAAAAAGGTAAGCACAGAAGGCTTTAAGCTAGTTAAAAATTTATAAAATATCAAATTAGGGAGATATGTATCAAATTAAGCCTTATAAGCCTTCTATAAGACTGCTACAGGATTGCTAATTTATAAAATAGCTAACTCGTATTATGTATCTGTGCTATGACAATAGATTATCATCTTTTTTATTACAGTAGGGTGTTGATATAGGTAGTTTATAATATGACAGTACATGTAGGCTTATAGAACGCATTTCTAGACAATTACCGGTCATCACGCTCTTAAAACAAACTACTATTTGCTACGATTAAATGTTTTCGCCGACAAACACCTAGGTAGTTGAATTATTGCTACTGGTTTCGCACCATCACATAACCAAGTAGTACCAGCGGTATATACAATATATCAATCAGCATTTTCACTGAAATTCATGTCACCCCTTTCTACGGAGTACTCATGTTCCCGACGTAAAGCCAAAGGATCATTTTCTTCGAACCAGAACGCCCACGTACTGCGGGTATTGATTTCCAAGTTGTCGCGGCTGGAGCGAATACCAACATGCTGGACCTGGGACGGCGCAAGAGCAAAACGACGCAGAGTTTGCCCATCGGCATATTCTACAATCAAGGAGTCCGTCTGCCCTTCGTTGCGTTCGCGTAGGAAGCTGACCAGGTTTGGTACTTGATCACGAGGGAAAATCAGGGCCTGCGTACAACAACCATACTTGTTCATCTCCACAAGGCCGCGTATGGGTGTTATATTACATTTCCCTATCATGAAAACTAGGCCGGTGAACGCAGGAACTGTAATTGTACAAATCACCGTGATGGTCGCGATATCTAGATGTCGACGAGTGCTGGGCAGCGTTCGACGAGTAAGTAAGAGAGCACCGCAGGCTGCAATCATTGTGAGAAGAAAAACGAGGCCCATATGGCTGTATGCAAAATCATCGCTGGTCCAACTCAGGGAAGTTTCGGTGTAGAAAAGGCGAAGATATAACCAATTCTCGGCTTTCAATTCGTGGTCTATGCCATGGAGAGCTCGGAGAGTTTTCGGTAGCCATCCGTCCGCAAAGATAATATCGTCCTCGAAGATACCTATATATGGAGTACCGGTAACGTAACATTGATCTAAGACGTACGTATAGTCGCTACGGGACTTTAGTAAGCTGGTTCAATGTTGTCGACGTGGGACTAACATCAAACTAGAGACACTCACTGAACGCCCTTTTCATACCAGTTGTGACTCTCTTCAAGGCTTCGAAGCCTCTGAAATTCCTCTTCAGATACATTATATGAGGATACCGAATCAACTAGCCGATTCATCCACAGTTGGCCCCAGCTAGGGTGAATCTCAGGATTAGTGTTGGCAAAGAGCACATTGACTGAGAGAGCACGACGCTCTGTATCATCCAGCCCGCTGAGGAGAGATCCGACGGATGCATCGAAGTAGTTCACATGGTCTCGCTTTACGGTTACGAAAGCCAGACACATTCGAGGATTTGAAGATGCGTAGATACTTATCGGGGGTTGAATTCTTGCATTGTATGCGGATATGTGTTGAAGTGCCTCATGTTCTCGATAAAGACTATATTTCAGGTCGTAGACGTGTGTCTCATCGAAAAAAGCTGAATGGGGATCACGCCAGTAATGCAGTCTGCAATACTCGAAAGCAATTCCATATAGGACCAAAGAAACTAGCAGGACTTTGCCTGCCAGGGAAGAAAGGATGACGTGTAATAAGTGTTGCAGGTTCACAAACGAACTGGACTGTTTTAATTTCATACTTTCGTCATTCAAGGAAAAATCATTGGCGAGGGAGCATTATGACTCCGCGAAACTGAACGAATCAGTAATATGGTCTGAGGAGTGATGCGGCTTCATCCTGGGGAGGGGCTCGGCGAAATTCAAATGACAAGTACGCCCCTTACTAGTCTCGCATCGGGACCACATAGCTTTTCAAGGATCAAGAGTAGATGGGAATTGAAGCCACACTTGTCCAGCGTGAGTTTGTTTATTTCGGAAACTTATTCCGTACTGAGTCGTGAGCTGTGCCGCACTAAACTGTCTTGGGTAGGTGTCAGCCGCATCCTTACTACTACGTACATAAACTATGAGCTACTGTTCATGCTCATTGGCTCTTGACCTCAGCTCATTTATTCTGTACACGAGCACATATATAAACCACGCTTTTTCTGCCTACACGGGTTCTAAATTATTCTATGCTAGAACTGCATGTACACGTAGAGTTCCTTCTTAGTCAGACACTACAACACACGAGATTACTGGTCTAGCTCAATGCTCACACTCCTGCTTTACTATTGGATTTCATGCCGTCACACAGGTTTCTCTAATTTTGGTGGAGTGGAGAGCACCTAGCCTTGGTCTATAGTGAATAATGAGCTCGTGTACCTCTACTATGCTTAGCATGACTCGGGGCGACGGTAAATCAGACGCTAACAGGCATTTCGGCCGGTCAATCTTGGTACCTCATTGATCCATCGCTACATACACGATTAGCATCGTAGCATTTACCCAAAAACCATACTTATTCTAGAGGGTCTGGAGAGATTCCATCTAACAGTAGAGATTGCATAACGTACGAACACAAAACAACACGACTAATGCTTATGTTTGATAAGACCTAGATCTCTAGAATCACATGTAGGCACCTAGGGATCTAATTATATTGAATTTAATATATGCGTGATAGTGTCCGCCCTCACCTCTTCTGGTTAGACTGATATAAGAAGCGAATAATAATTGGTGGCGAGGCTGATCAGATGCATTAGCTCCCGCCATCAGGGTCCATGAATGAGCGAATCACAAGTAAGCTTATCAAACCGTGTGCAATGACTGTATAAACTCTGTATGTAATTGAGTTGTTAAAATTGAGTAGTTATTTATAATTTAACATCTCCGTCTTGTGTTTTGTTCGTTTCAGGGTCACCGCGTGCAAAGCACGCGTCTAGTACAATATGGGAAGGCCACGAAGAAAAGTCGGCCATGATGGGGGGGCGCCTGGGTGGAATTAAGATGGGTGGAAATGAGAGGGATAATCCAAGGACCACAGGTATAAACCATGGCTAGTATGGGCGGTTTAGATGCGTTGCTATCTCGTGCAGTTCTTGGAGTCAAGGCTGTAGAGATAAGACCAGGGTCAGTCTATATTGCCTTACATAGACCAGTCAACGATCTGAGGATTCCGCACGTCCTAGCCGAGGTTCCTAATGACATCTAGCAAGGATGCATGTTGAACGAGAACCGCAGCAACGAGTGGCTTCTGGAAACAGTTATGTTCCGCTGCAGACAGTGATCAGTGAGGCAGGATCAGTAAACTTTGTTAACAAGATCAGCAATCATTGGAGGCATTTTTCTCCGAGTCTGACGAATAGGTTGCAATTGACGTGCCGTTATGTTGAACTCCTCCTGCGCGTATATCATGGCTCATTTCCGGAATACCACATAGTGGGCGAGGGATACAGCCACGGATATTCGAGGTTTCTCATGGCATGAAGGCGAGGGCTGCACTACACGCTAGTTGCTTCCATGATACTAAACGCATCTTATCAATTATGACCCGTCCAGTCACTGCTCTCGACTAGAGTTCTGCACGGATCAATATCTTTCTCACTTTACATAGTTCATGAACCACTATTGCAGATGTTTAGTTGGAATCTTGTTGTTCGTACCAGGAAAACAGCCTTCGAATCGGCTACTTAGCTAATGAAACCGTACGTGATTTGACTGTGTTGGATCTCTATGGCTGCTACTGTAACCTGGTCAGTCGCTCAATTTAGGCGATGATTTGAAGTACCGTCATCCAATTATGCGAAATGGATCGAATACCGTCTCATTGAAGCATCTTTGCCTGGCCTTGATTGTGGTTTACGACACCGCATATAATCCGATGCAGAGACAATAAGCAGGAATGGTTCTGGGTTTATTTCATTGCTAGCTGTGGCACCCTTCCTCATATTAGTACCAGGATCTTTTTCTCTTCTATTTCGAGCAACGTAAATATCAATTGCCCCATAGCTGATATCTCTTCGACAAGTCTTGCACATTGACTGTAACGGCAGTTGCGAATTCAGATCTACCAACAAGGGTGATACCAATAATTTTGGGAATATTGACGAGATTCGTAAACGTGTCCAATACCAAAGCTTATCAGGTTCAAACGGTTAAAGGAGACCCGATAGTCGACGTCGTCGAAAAGCATTAAGGGCATTTCGATTGTTCAGAAATACCTCCGAGATTGACTCAAGTTGACGACCTCTCGTTTCGGGCATGAACAGTGCGCATACTGCAACAGTCACGATAGTACATCCGCAGAAAAGGAAGTATAACCCGAAAGACGACTTTGCGAGCAAAACTGGGGTGATAAGAGCAACAAAGAAGTTTGTCAGCTAGATCAGAATATTAGTACGGTGTAACAGAAATCACTATTCCAGACAGATAGAGGATCGAAGCAATATGAATAGAAGGGCTACTTGCACAATTGGCGCTTTGAGCAAGGCTTGTAACTGTTGCCCTGGTTGGTACGGGTTGTATCTCACTGGCGTAAACTTTGATTCCGAGAGCCCATGCTAAATCAAAAACATAAGTAGTGCTCGAAAGAAACATCTCATACGAATGGGAAAGAAGACTCACTCATGCAATATGCTATGGAGAAGAAATAAATAGACACTATCACTACCCATCGGCCAGGTCCAAAAGTCTGATGGACACTCCCAGACGCGTATAGTGATCCAATAGTTGCCATGATTGCAGACAGCACGACTCCACCAACCAAAGTAGATAATCGTCGCCCGATCTTATCTGTCAGGAGAAATGCAGGTATCGAAGTTGCGAATATTAAGATTGCCGAGACTCCAGATGCAAGGAATGAGGCTTCGGATGAAGAGAGTCCAGCTTGTTGAAAGAGAAGAGGCGCGTACTATGAAATTGTCAGTACACAGAAAAGCAAGATAAAGAAAGACTCACATAGAGGACCCCGTCAATTCCACTCAATTGCTGCATAGACATAAGGAATATGGCTAGAAGGGCCTGTCTCCTAGATGCAGGACCCATCACTCGTCGCAAACTAAGAACGCCATTAGAGTAATAAGCGTGGAGTCGATTGAGCAAACTAGCATGTATTTGCTGTTCGTGATGCTCTGAATCCCGTACGGTATCCTGACCTCGATCAGCTGTTGCTACCTCTAGCTTGTCCCAAGCACTCTCCGCTTTGTCTGAATGACCACGATGGTTAAGCCATCTAGGAGACTCGGGGAGGTAGTATAACGCTAGTAGGGATAGCACAAAGGCTATGCCAGCTTGGAGCGCAAGTGGAAGTCTCCAAGAGAAGCTAGTCGAGTTCTTTATAGTTCCATAGCACATGAAAAAACCGACCATCAGTCCTATGGTGATGAAAAGTTGCACCATTGATGCAAGAGGACCGCGACATTTTGCTGGAGAGATTTCGCAGATGTAACTAGATATGTTATTTAGCTCACTGAGATTGACAAAGCATGGGTTTGTAACTGACACCACTAAGGTACTGAGAAATAATCCTTCACCTGCACCAACGACCAAGCGACCTAGGATCAAAATTCCGAGACGACTTGCAGTAGCCTCAATGACAGCACCAACCCCAAAGACGGCTGCCCCTATAGCAAGAGCGCGCGTGCGACCCAAAGTATCCGACAGAATGCCGGAAAACAGCGAGGTAAAACTCGCAGAGAGAAGTACGCAGGAGACTACTAGACCATGGAGAGAGGATGAGATCTCGCCAAAGGTGGCAGTAAAGCTGGGCATCACTGTAACGGGTCCGATTACTCCTGTATCAAGTCTGAATAGAAATGTAGATACTTAGTACAGAAGGTTTCTTTAGCTTCCAATTTTCAATAGGAAAGAAGATAGTATCTACCCGTTTAGAAGGCCGCCAACTGAAGTTATTGCGGAAGCGATAAAGTACCGTGGCGGCAGGCACTGTTGGGGTTTCATTTTAAATCAATGACTAGCTATATCAGCAGCATAGAGGGAGATGAATGATAAGCGGAAGAGAAGAAATCTGAACAAGGAAGAATAAAAAAAAGGACTTAGACTGAGGGCACGTGATGTTTGGAGCACAGAGTAAAAAGTCTCAGATAAGCAACCAAAGGTTATATGCTAGCCATGCTTTAAATTAAGATCTTTGTCTAATTTCTAAGCAAGCTGGAGTGCCCTAACTAGTGACTAGTGTAGCTTTAAGATACAAGATCTCCAATCAGCTTGATTAGCTTGCAGCCTTCTATCTAGTAGTTATTATTGGCAGGACTCAACCTCGCAGGTCTATGAGACATACCTTACCCCAACCCATGAACTGGACCGTGTATACCAACAACCAACTTTACTATTTTCGTAGCTGATCGGAAGCTGGAAGTCAGTCAACAACATTATTCAAATCCTTGGCGAGTACATGAGCTCCCGGGGTAGAGATATGTGATAGAGGAGGGTGTTTGTGACTGGTTGGAAGTCATCCCCAGATCGGGAAAGCCCGAGGCTAGTAACAAAAAATCAAGGCATAAGGGCTGATTATGACGCTTAGTCGGAAAACCCTGGATGATCCCATTATTTCATATCATAAAAATGCCGGCCTGTCCAACTTGAGATTAAGTCATCTCATGCAAATTAAAAAAGACTGAGCCGGCGATCTCTGGAGTCTGAAGTCGAGAGCGATTGGATGGCAATGGCCTTTGAGCTGCTCCATTGTCTATTTCTCGTATCTGGCAAGATGAAGCATGATATATTGGGGGATTGCGACATGTCCATTTGATAAAACGAAGCGGTCTCTGTCGAACCAATCTGGATGCAATGGATCGTATCGCAAGACATGCCTCCACAGTGCATGGGCATGGGCAATAGCTGCCATACCAAGTCTACTCCCTGTCCATTTGATAAAAGTTAGTGGGATAAATGCGAAGTTTTGCAAGGGAGAAGACAGAGAAAAAAGTTCTGTGACGACTTGCCTCCGTGCCCAATACCTCATTGTTGGCCGCAGTCGAGGACAACTCCTCGAACTACTGCAACAGAATTGTAGACGCTTGCCAAGTATCGGTTTACGACAATAGTCATGTATCTGGTCACGGGTCTCACTTTGATCTTACCTAGTCAATTACACGGCTAGTGAAAAAAATGAAAAGTGTTAAGGGAAATTAAGAGGTGATATTTTTAGGTGAATAAATATTACACCGCCTGAATCCACTCGTGTGTTCCCATTTGATAAAAAGGGGTTGGCGCTGCTTACTAGTTAATCCGAGCTCGATGACTTAGGTGGCATCACATTATGTTCCGAATGTTGCGATTCTAGGTAATTTTGTTGGCATCGACATTCGGCTTCGTTCCCTATCCAAAGCCACTCGCAATGCCCTGGATCAGCATTACTTTACACGGTCCATGTAAGAGAAAATTGAACCAAAAGTTATAACAGCCAATTGAAAGTGGGTTTAAAGTTCGACTTCTCTGACGCAACCAAAAAGCGCGGGACGACTATCAGGAGAAATTGCAAGACATCTCAAACGTTCCGACTTTGATTCGCTTTGGCTCGCATGACATCTAGACTAGCCAACGACCCAAACCCGTTTCTCAAGGCTTTTAAAGCCAAACGGTAGCAGGTATCCATCTTGAGGTAAAAGACCCCAAACTAAAACACGTCGTGCAAATCCCACGCCCACGTGCCGGGCATAGTGAACATTGTCAGCCTCTGTAGACTGATATTCCACCAAAGCAAAAGGACAGTGCTGCCCAGTATGCGATTCCAAGATAACCCCATATACCTTATCCGGCATCAACTTCACCGAACTTTTGAAATGCAATGTGCAAGCATCGGGTTGGGTTACACCTTTCAGGTTATGCTGCACAAGCCAGTCACCGGAAGTGGACTGAAAATCCTCACTGCTTATATCCAACGCCACTACAGACGGAAATAACCAAGAAGACAAAGCTGATACCTGCAGGCCTCTGGGAGTGATTTTGCCTGATTCCCCTCCAAGAAAATGGGGCGTACTGGAGTATTGACATGCTTTCACTGCCCAACGCATCCCCTCATCTTCAAAACGCGGCTCCGCCTCAAATAAGATGTCGTACGGAAATTCGTTCAACATGCTGTAAAAAACTCGCATACGCTCTTCAGGACCCTTGGCGTCTAATATTGGTTTAACGTCCATGTCCAACACACCAGCCAAGATAATGGGACGATCTCCCGGTTTCGTAGCAGTGCGTGTACCCACGTTGTACCAATTAGAAGACAATATATGACCCTTGTCAAAACTCGGTTTCATAAACGGGCTTGCAAGAACGTCCAATGTCCGCAGAAATTTCGATGCGTAATCGACCGACTCCTTGAAAAAAATGAACCAGACCGCCATCGCATGTTTTGCGATACTTTCTTGTAAGATAGGTAACTTATTCTTGTCGGCTTTGGTGAGAAGCTCGTCGCCGATAGTGGCTATATTGACTGGCTGATCGGAAAATAGCATATAAAGACGGTATTTGGCCGCGAGCCCTTCTTGAAGCGTCCATAGACGACGCATCCAGCCTGAGCAGAATACGACTCGGGTGAGAAGCTGTGCCCGAGAGATAGAGTTCGATTCGACTTGCCGCATTTCCGAATCAAAGATTAAGACTCGATATGCTGATATCATACATGAGCTTTCATTATACTTTGAATCTAGAGCGAGATCAATGAACATACCGTCTAGATAAACTTGCCGAATCCGCTGGATTGCCAAATTTCGGGCGTCCCGTTCATGCGGGACACACAATGTATCAATCCATACTAATACTGATTTATCCTTTCCACGAGTCTGATTGATAGCAAAATGAGCCAGTCGAGACATACCGGCTTCGACGTGCTCCAAGGGATCGCCAACTTGTCGTGGGATGTGTTTCTTATCTGAGACGAGACGCCTCGCCTGCTCGTAGAGAAGTCCCACCTGACAGCTATGAAGCCAGTTACCATCAGGATTTCCCATTCCATCGGACCACACATGCGAGATCGCCACGTATGGTCTCCCAGTCCTTTTGCGAACAATCTCAACCTTGAATCCTGGATCGTCGCTCTCGCCAGCCAGAGGTGTGATTTTCACAAGAGGGATGTCTCCATTTTTTAGAATAGTTTGCAGTTGCTCAGCATCCGCCTGCAGACAATCGCATTCACATCCTTCTGCGACGTGCCTCATCAAATAAGTACTTTCATCGATATTGTGTGCCACGCATTCTGTCATCTTACAATCAAGATGCGTCCTATTGTCCCACGTCGGTTTTTTGCGATCAAGCTGAAGCAGATACGCTATAGTGTCAACATAGCAGCCTGTGAAACGAGCTTTCACTATTTCCCATGGACACCATCCGCTCCTGATCATTTCAGCAGTCTCATAGGTGTTACTTAGTAGCCATTTGGAAACGTGCTGGGGTTCAGTTCGCTTTCCGTCTCGTTTAACAGTAGCATTCCAGAGGGCGCGACAAATCAAGCGTATTGCTAGTTTCATGTCATCCCGCAGAAGGAACTTGTCCTTGTTGTTCTCCAGCTCATTGCAGACCTTTTCCACAATTGTTACGGCTCGTTCGCCGTATTTTTTACTCTCCCACTCCTGGGCATCGTCTATGTATTTATGGAGATGGGTCGTAGTCAAGAACTGCTTCTGTCTCGGCCCATAATAATCATCATAAACTTCTTCGGAGAGAATAAAATCAGACTGGTCCAGCTTCTCTCCAAATACGTAAAATAGCATTCCAAAATAAAGCCAACATTCAACCCTCTTTCGGTCTCTCCCAGTCCATGTTTCCTCGCCCTTTTCGTCTTTCCACCCATGGCGGATGGGGTATTCATCCCACTCGGCGCCATCGTATAGCGGACCATTATATTCTATTCGAAGAGGCTTTTGAGGAGTTTCAGGGAAAAATAAATGCTCCGCCATTATTAAAAGTTCTTTGGCGTTTCTGAGATGCTTTGCTTGGTTGCTCCAATATACGTGTTTCTTGTGTTGTAGCCCCGCGATGGTTTCAGCTCTGTATTTCGGTCATTTAAATAGTAAACGCGGGGACCTGCTCAAAGCAGCTTGAAATGTTGGCAGCCCATTTAGGCAGCTTGCTGACCGTCTGAGCGTTATCGTATACGTTTTGTTAATGGTGCCGATTAGTGCCCCCAACGGGGTGCTCATAAGGCCTATTCGGAATTACTTGACTATTTGTTGAGAGTTGATTTGGAATGTTTACTACCACCTAAATTGTATGATAAAAGGCATAGGTACCCTACACGCACATAGAGAGATGAGCAAGCGAAATATAGGCCTCTATTCCGTATAGAGCAAAGTCCCAGAACGTGATTCGTTGCTGCGTATGCCCTACAATTCCTTCGACAATTATCAATTATCACGTGCTTGAGCGGGCACCAAATCAAGACTTAGTAAGTGTACTGCGCCACACATATTCACTCACTGTCGCAAATTTTTTTACAAATAAAGGGCCTCGCCCATTTGAACTATATTCTATCCCTCACAGGATCAAAATCGGTCATCATGTCGCAAAACGCATACGATGAGCCTGTTTTCTTTGCAAACTACAGTGAGCTGCCTCGTTCGCAGAAAGGCCTCGATGGCGCTTTAGAGTGGCCTCTGTTGCGGGATTTGGTCGGAGATGTGCAGGGATACCATGTGCTCGATCTTGGATGTGGTTTTGGGTGGTTCTGTCGATGGGCAGTCGAGAGCGGAGCCCGAAAAGTACATGGGATTGATGTTTCTCAGAATATGCTCCAGAAAGCAAAAGCTTTAACTACGCATCCCGAGATCACATACAGTATCGGCGATCTTGAGGCAATAGACTTGGGAGAGGACTCATTTGACTTGGTTTATAGCTCTCTGGCTTTTCATTATCTCACAGATGTGAAAGAGCTCTTTGGACAAGTCTATAAGCGACTTCAAGCCGGAGGGCGTTTTGTTTTCTCGATTGAACATCCCATCTTCACTGCCCCTATTGTTACTGCCCCAGCCTGGACGACAGGTGTCGATGGAAACACTGTGTGGGGTGTTGACTCTTATGCTGAAGAGGGCCTTCGCAAACGGGACTGGCTTGGGAAGGAAGTACACAAACAACATCGCACGGTGGATACCTATATCTCATTGCTTCTGGCCAGTGGATTTATCTTGACGGCAGTTAAAGAATGGACGCCGACGACTGAGTACATTACTGAGTATCCTGAGTGGAAGAGAGAGAGACATCGTCCACTTTTCCTTATTCTCGCTGCCCGAAAACCAGAAACGGATGGAAGGCCAGGATTAAATCATCAGTCAGAGTCACGGTAATGGTGTTGTGCTACTATCCTAGCTATCCTATCTAAAGATGTTAATCGTGCCGCTCACAGGCACTTGATTTTCTTCTCCAGTGGTAGCTTGCTCAGTAGATCTCTGTTTCTTAGACTTTTCGCCTTTTTGTTCCTCTTTTTCATTTGCAGCCCGTAAATCATGATTTTTTGCGGAAGAGACGTCCACATAATCGTTTGATCAATTACTTGATTTGGGCTTCCTATCTGCTCATTTATATGTTCCTCAGCCGTAGTTGACTGGCGTTAACTACTGTCAAATTTCTAGAAACTTACTATTTCATTACAAATATCTTGATGCTTCGCCGGATTTGTTTTTCTTGGCCGAGATCTCCCATCTGCAAGATTCAACCCCTAATCGATCTGTGTAGCCTTGTCCAAAGCTACTGGGCGAGTGGCTCATCGAGCAGTAATACTATAATCTGAACCTACCCTGGTAAAATCTAATTAGCACGTAACTATGGTTCCCACAGTGACCGACCTTGTGAAAGCTCATCACGTAGCTACTTTGTGGATGTCCGACTTTGCGAGGAACTTCTATGAAGTTGGATAATTCCAACAAGATCTCGACCCTAGAAAATTGGACCTAGACTCGGCAACGTTTATGGACAACACCGCTTGCATCAATTGGACATTTGCCGCGCATGAACGATCCGGTAAAGTCAGATCTATAGAGCATGACTCATGTATCGTACGTATATCACTGGTGTATACATAGAGAACTAGGCTTTCAACCTCCCCTGAACGGGACTTGGATACGATGTATGCTATTCTGTGTTTGATTTATACGCATCCGGAGATCAAGAGCCAATGTCTTGTAGTACTCTATAGTAGTATGAACTTCCGGTAGTGTCTGAGCTGCTCTATGGTCTTGCGGCTGAATAGGAACAGGGATGCGCCTTTCAGCTGTCATGGTTTCTCAGCCTTGTCGACTGCTGATTTCACATAACCCCGCTTCGTCATTTTCTTTGTCAGATCAAGTTCTCAGATTGTATGTTTGCGAGCTCTAACTACGTGTTAGTCCTTCTGTCTGACTTCTCACCTCGACTAGTTATAGGTATCCGAAAGAATTTCACTTCATTAACGACTCATGATACTCCCCAAATGTCAAACTACCGCTACTCAAGGCTCCGAAATGACTTCGACGACGAAGATGAAGATACACATCAACAGCCTCCAGCCGAATTCCGCTCTCTCAAGGATTCCTATCGTTTAAGATTCATGATATCTGGCGGGATTATTACTATGTTTTTGATTGTTCTCGTGGTGATGTATCATGAAAATATTAAGCAGTTGTTCTGCCAGATGGTGTGTATATCTCAAGAAATGTTGGGTTTATTAGCTAAAGCATGATTTCTCAGGGTCTGAAACACACTCAATGTCCAAAAGCGTATAGTCAAGAGATGAACACTCAATCTTCTTGCAATGTCGGGATTGGTTATATCATGAACAGACCACACCTTCAATGTTAATGACCCCAAGAACGATGCTAAATCACATCAACACAGCCAATGCATGGAAATTATCCGTCTATCTCGACTCAAATAGAGTTTGAACAATGTTCTTTAGTATCAATGTACATATATACATCTACTACTTCGACCCAAACAGAGCCGCAATAGCCTCAACAGTCGTATTCCCACCACTAAACACAATCCCAATATCCCACCCCTCATCACCACCCTCCTTTTCAGCCTTCCGTCTAAAGTCCTCATCAAACAAACATACCGCCAACCCAACCACAGCACTGGGCTCAACAACCACCTTCATCCTCTCCAACACCAATCTCATAGCTTTCTTGATCTGATCGTCTGTCACGCTATACACACCGGCCACTTTGCTGGGGTCTGATATAACAGCCCAATTATTCAATCCCACAGGCGTTCTAAGTCCATCTGCTATAGTCTTTGACGACACAGCCGACACACGCTCGCCAGCCGCCAGACCTCGCCTACAATCATCCGCACCTTCAAAGGAGGGCTCAGCGCCAAACACCAGCGTCTTCTTTGCTCCTACTTTCGCGGCTTCCGAAAACCACGTCGCAACACCAGCGTTCAACCCTCCACCTCCAATCGGCGTGAAAACCGCATCTAACGCTTTTTTCCCTTGCTGTGCTTCCTCAAACTGCGCCTCGATCTCCAAACCCGTCGTGCCCTGCCCGAGTATAATATCCGGATGATCATAGGGCGGCACGAAAATAGCACCCGTCTTTTCCTGAATCTCCTTCATAACAGCCGTGCGTTCCGGTTCCGTGCTGCCCGAAAAAACGACATTTGCGCCGAGTGATTGGGTTGATGCGATTTTGCTCGGTGTGCTTATCGATGGCATGACGATGTGCGCGGGGATGTTCAACGTTTTGCCTGCGAGGGCGAGGGCTTGTGCATGATTACCTACCATTTCTCTGATGTCAGCTTGTATTCGCATTCACTACTGGGTGTGAATAGGAGTGGGGGATAGATTAACCAGAACTATGCGTCACAACCCCCCTCCTCCTAACCTCCTCCTCCCCCAACTCATCAATAACTCTAATCAGCGCATGAAACGCGCCCCGAGCCTTGAACGCGCCTATCCTCTGCAAATTCTCGCACTTGAACCAAAACCTAATCGTTGGATTCGCAGGCCTTGTCTCAGTACCTTCCCATGGTGTTCCGACTAGATCAGACACGGATTGTGGCGTTGAGGCGATTGTGTTGAGAGTCGTGTTGGTGAGGAGCGGGGTGCGGTGGATGTATGGTTTTATGATTTCGTGGGCTTTGGAGATGTTGGCGCGGGTAAGGGGGAGGTGGTTCTTGGCGTCAGTCATGTTGGCGGGTTGAATGTTAATTGCTGGTGGGAGATTGTATGAAAGCTTTATACGATGCGAAGATGTGGTGAGGGGTACGCTACGCATCACGGAGATGATGCCGACTTAGATCGGGCTAATGCGCTTATCGTTATCTAATCAAGCTCAAGCTACGACATTTTAGATGTACTTGCGTGGAATTGAAAGAATAAACACTTTTTCATTAGGTATCTACATTACAGGCCAGTCATAAAAAAAATCGATCAACGATTACTTCTGGTTCTCAGGGCGGAGAGAGCGGACAGCCTTTCCGGCGCGCCAGATCTCCAAGTTGCGGATCTCCTCCAACTCCTTCTCGTAACGCTCACGGTAGTCGGGTTGTGAGTTGTATTCCAGAGAGCGCTGTGTCTCCTTTCCGGTCTTGACGCTGGTGTACAGCTCGTCGAAGACAGGCTTCAAGGCGTCCTTGAACTTGGGGGACCAGTCAATGGCACCACGACGGGCGGTGGTGGAGCAAGCGGCGTACATCCAGTCCATGCCGTTGGCTCCAATGAGAGGGTAAAGAGACTGAGTGGCTTCCTCAACAGTCTCGTTGAAGGCCTCAGAGGGAGAGTGGCCACGCTCACGGAGAACCTCGTACTGAGCAAGGAACATACCGTGGATACCACCCATGAGGCAACCACGCTCACCGTACAAGTCGGAGTAGACCTCCTTCTCAAAGGTGGTCTCGTAAAGGTAACCGGATCCAACAGCAACACCCATGGCAACAGCCTTCTCCTTGGCCTTGCCAGTGACATCCTGGAAGACGGCAATGGAAGAGTTGATACCACGGCCCTCACGGAAGAGGGAGCGGACGGTACGGCCGGAACCCTTGGGGGCGACGAGGATAACATCGATATCGGTGGGGACATCGACCTTGGTCAAGTCCTTGAAAACGGGGGAGAAACCGTGGGAGAAGTAGAGGGTCTTTCCCTTGGTGAGGAGAGGCTTGATCTGGGGCCAGGTCTCGGACTGGGCAGCATCGGAGAGAAGGTTCATGATGATGGTACCCTTGTTGATGGCGGTCTCGACATCGAACAAGTTCTTTCCGGGGACCCATCCATCCTGAATGGCCTCCTTCCAGGAAGCACCATCCTTACGGACACCAATGATGACATTGAGGCCGTTGTCACGGAGGTTGAGACCCTGACCGTGACCCTGGGAGCCGTAGCCGATGAGAGCGAGGGTGTCGTTCTTGAAGTAGCTGTGGAGCTTATCACGAGGCCAGTCGGCACGTTCTACTCAATTAGTGTGGGTACACAACGCAGATGCAGCAGGCAGCTTACCGTAAACATCCTCTTTGGTGCCAGCAAAGTCAATGGTCTTGATTCCGCGAGTGGCCACAGCAGCAGGAGCACGGGTGGCAGCGACAACGCTAGGGCGAGCTCGAGTAACCGAGACAAATGTGCGACGAGGGACAGCTACGCGAGTGGAAAGGCGCAGAGCGCGAGGGATGGTCTTGGAGGCCATTGTGTATGTGTGCGTAGATGTGAAAAGGGATAAAGAATGGAAGAGAAAAGTGACGATTGATCAATTGATACACACAATTGACCAGGTAGAGTGGAGAGTGAGATGGATTGAATTGAATTGAAGAAGAAAAAGTCAAAAGACGGTGGGATGAGCAGCCCTTTTAAAAAATGAATCACCGCTGCGAGGGGAGGAGCTTTCCCCGAAAAAATGCTGGGGTCGGTCAGGTGACCCTGGCACTGCCGGAGTTGGGCTTTTCCTCCGCGGCGCCGATTTACTGACCGACTAGGCGCCACCGATATCGGAGCTGGCCAATCACGTTTTGTCTGGCCAGTCAAATTCATCCTCTTGTGCCATTTGTGGTCTGGGGGATGGAACACGATCTCCGGCGAGTCTTAATCGATAACTCTACTATGCAGATCCAGTTTGTAGCTCATAGCTTGCGGCATGCCGTAGTGAGTCACTGAGCACGCACCGATACGGAGCAAGGATCTTTGCATCATAGAATGAATGCGCTGTTCCATATTGGGTATAGTGCAGATTGGAGACAAACGCTGCAAACAAACAGACTCAGGCCGTTATGTGTGGCGGTCGCAGCTGAACTTCTAGATTGATATGATATGTACATGTTTTAAATCTTAAAAATTGGTGATTCTTGTTGGTGGGGGATCTATTATTTGAAGTGTCCCCATTTCCTGATAGTTAGTATAATTAATACATGGCATATGTACCACGGTGTTATGTCGGAGAATGATTCCGAGCTTCCACCGTAGTACCTCTGCATTGGACGCACAGAAACTGTTGAGATGCGTCCTGTAACTCATGTGTACGTACAGTGTTAGGCAGTACCTAGGGTCGATCAAAAAAGAAAAAGCACGCCGGCTGGCGATGTGATTGGCCTGCGGAAGTGGTCGCATACGGCCATTCCTTCTGAGGATGAGCTTCCTCCAACACAAAACTCGCCTTCCCCTCTTGTGTGGGTGGTACAAATTAAGACAGTCCTCAGCTATGTGACTGGTGTCGCTCGTTCATTCGACATTCACCCTTCGATACACACTCCGATTCTCTCTTGTGTCTCTCAGGGAAAAAATAGGACTGTTGTACTTCTTGTGGCTTTCGCAACCGAACAGACCATGCGGTCTACGACGCCATGAACCCGCTTGCCCTCTTCTCTTCGTTCTCCAACCTTCCGTCCATCGAAACGAGGAAAGCGCTATTAATTCTTGATTTTCAAAACGATTTCGTGCGTCCGAATGGCCGACTCCCCGTTCGAAAAACCCTCGACTTTATAGACTTGATTCCCGGCCTTGTCCAGAGTTTCCGTCGCACAGGAGAAGTTGTGTGGGTGCGGACTCAATATGAGGGGTCACGTCCGGTCATCGACGACTATGGAAGCGAAATAATCATCACTTCGGCTGGTCCGTTGGATACAAAAAATCAGAAAAAGGGACGTCATGGACGAGAAGACAGTAGCAGCGATGTGAACGACGCGGTCGATCCGGAAGCCTTTCTGTCAGGGCCGGACCCCGCTTGTCTGCCACAGACGGCTGGCGTGCAGTTCCCGGCCCCTATCCTTGCAGCTATCGATCACGAACATGATATTGTCATTGAGAAATCGGACTACTCGGCGTTGCAGTCTCCCGGTATGGTCTTGTCGCTACGTTCCCGCTTTGTTACTGAGTTGTATATTTGCGGAAGTTTGTCCAACGTCTCGGTGTATGCCACGGCACTGGATGCTGCACAACAGGGGTTTGCTATCACGTTGATAGAGGATTGCATGGGATATCGCAGTTTTGCGCGCCATGAAGAAGCTGTTCGGCGCCTTGCAGATATCGTGGGTGCCAATGGTATATCCGTGCAGGAGCTGCTTGAGGAGGAGGATTGGGAAGAGACCCACAAGATTGCCCATGCGTCAAGCCCTGCCCATCCAGTCGCTGCTCAATCAGAGACTTTGGTACAGTCAAATATGACCCCGCCATCTGGCATCGAAAATGTCTTGGGTCATCTCGCCGTTCAAAACTCTCCTGTCACGAAACGATCTTCAATTGCGGAACCTACCGCAACACCGTCCTCCAAAACCAATGTTCATGCAGCCGACATAATTGAAGCAGATGACAATCCATATGACTACGATGATGAGCCCATAGTTTTACCGCCGTCGAAATATTCCCGAGCTTCCACATCCCGCGGGATGAGAGAGGCGCGCGCTTCGGGTATGAATCCTTCAAGAGTTCGTCGTACAAAGTCCGGAAAATCTCCCTCCTCGCGTCGCCCCGGTTCATCTGCTGCAGACTCGGTTACCCTTGGAAGAGCTTCTACCTCTCCTGTGCATACTACCACCCCCAACAAAGCTCCGAATGCTGCTTCACCTGAATCTTCTGCTCCCACGTCTCTGCCGTCGCCACCGATAGCGGAAACAACACACGCCAAGAAGAAGAAGAGGATTGGCAAAGACTATCTGGGGCCTGAAGACTCCATTGCAGAAGGTGATTCTCGGATTGTGTATAATCTTGACTTACCTACGGATGCTTTTGGAAGAATACAAAAGGAAGTGAACTGGCAAAAGATGTATCATCTGTCGGGCCAAGTTCCACGCCTGGTGGCTGTCCAGGGTCTGATTGCTCGTGACAAATCTTTTCCAATTTACCGTCATCCCGCCGACGAGTCTCCTCTCCTTGAGTCGTTCACTCAGACAGTCAATGCAGTTCGCATTTGCGCGGAGCAGATTGTAGGCCATCCTTTGAACCATGCGCTGATACAGATGTACCGTGACGGTCAAGACAATATTTCGGAGCATTCCGATAAAACTCTTGATATCGTGCGTGGATCATCAATTGTCAACGTCTCGTTAGGTGCTCAGCGAGTAATGACTCTACGAACGAAAAAGTCTGCTTCTACTGACGGCGAAGACGGCCGCCAGAAGCAACAAGTACCTATGCCTCATGGTTCCATGTTCATACTTGGACCGCAGTCAAACACAAAATGGCTGCATGGTATCCGTCCTGACAAACGACCTGAATCTGAGAAATCTCGTGAAGAGAAAGCTTATAATGGCGAACGCATTTCATTAACATTCCGAAACATTGGCACGTTTATCAATCCAGGTCAAGGCACCATATGGGGGCAGGGTGCTGTCTCTGAGCGAGCTGATGCTGCGCGGGAAGTCATTCATGGAGATGCATCTGAAGCTGAAAGACTCATTCGTGCATTTGGTTCTGAGAACCGAGAGACCGAGTTCGACTGGGATGCGGTTTATGGTCAAGGATTCGACGTGGTCAATTTCGTCGAGCCAGCGGTTGCCCAAATAGCATTGAGTGGTGATTCAATCACAGATATGCGAGTAAGATTGTGTCTGACCGAGAATGGCATGCGTTATGTTGTCCAACCGCCGGAAACAATGGATATCCAGCAAATTGTATACACCAGTCCGGACGGGAACACGGTGATTACTGGCGACATTCAGATATTAGTCCATCTTGCTTCGCTCAACCCAAGCTCCGAGCTTACGAGACCCGGTGTAGAAGTTGTCCGTGGAGGGGATCATTTGATCCAAATTACTCAGCTGGGAACAGCCTGGCATGAATACTTGCTCAGCGGTAGCAAGGCCGAATTCGGACTATTGTCTTCTTGGAACGAAAGACTACGAGAAGCTGACCAACATTACATCTCGGGGTCAGCCCTGACTATCGACGATATCGCTTTATGGCCCATTCTACACCAAATTGAGACGCAGAAAGGTGTCATCTCGGGGTCATCACGATATCCGTATCTGTCGACTTACTATCAACGGATTGAGAAGAGAGGCTGCGTTCGTGTAGTCCTGAACGAAATGGCCCACGAACGAAGCCACTGATTTCTTCTTCATTATTTCTTAATCCTTTCATTTCTAATACCTTTATCAAGACAAGCGCAAACTTCGAGCACTGTCTACGTGCTGTGTGCCATGATGTGATGATAACCACGATTTATGAATTGCATTTACTATACTGTCTCATGAACATTGATATTATAGAGCGCTAAGAGCATTAATTAGCAATTCATGATTTTCACACCCATGTTCCATAAACGCTTTCATTCGATTATTTGATACTTAATCATTCAAGAAAAGGCATATGTACAAAGAAGCGAGAAATCATGTTTCATCTACAATTTCTCGAACGTAGGAACTCGTTTCTCGATCCCTGAAAGCACCGCGGCAGAAACATCCTTTGCCTGCACAGCAGCACTGTTCCAGACACCTGTATACCGTAGTCCTGCAGTAAACAATCAGTATCGGTTCGCATTCCATATACGAACAGAGAAGACCTACCATCCTTAACCGAATGATCCCTTGAATAATTCAACAATTCCTTCGTCCCCTGTACCGCAACTGGACTTTTCTGCGCCATCAACGTTGCCAACTCAACCGCCTTCTGCACCGTCTCCTGCTTACTCTCATACACACCACTCACAAACCCAACCTTTAGCGCCTCCTCGGCCCCAAACACCCTCGCCGTAAGCGCCACCTCCTTCACCCACCCATAATTTCCCACCACCTTGGGCAATCGAGTCAACGTGCCGATATCAGCCGCAAGCCCAATATCGACTTCCTTTACAGAGAACGCAGTATTTTTCGCGCATAACCGAATATCAGCCGCGACACTCAAATCAATCGCTAGACCATAGGCTACGCCGTGCATAGCGACTATGACAGGCTTTTCGCATTTCTCTATACTCGAAACGCAATCCTGGAATTCGTCAATGTGTCGTCTTAGCTGCGTGGCAACCCTTGCCGGATCTGTCGATTTCCCTCCGTCTTGAGGAGCTAGGAGTCCCTGAGAAGCGGCTTTGACGTCTAACCCAGCTGTGAATGCGCGGTCACCGGCGCCCGAGAATACGATGGCGCGGACGTCGGGAGAGTCGCTGAGGGCGTTGAAGACGGTGCGGAGTTCGAGCCACATTGCCTCGAAGTAGGAGTTCAGTTTGTCGGGGCGGTTGGTTTCAACGTGTGCGACATATTCGCGCGGGAATGTGAGGTTGAAGTATTTGTATGAGGGGAATTGGGAGGCCATGTTGCTTTTTTTGTCTTGTCGTGGAGGTCGAAATTACAGGAAACTTTTAGACGTCAAGCTTATGAATATATATGTTGGCGTCTCGAGTGAAGCTCTCAAAAGATGTTGCACGAACTGGAAGCCCAAACAACGGACAGAATCAAAGCCGGATCTGCTAAAGTCTGGTTAAATCTTCGAATAGTCGAGACTTAGATGTCGTTGCGTCCAACGTGAGCACTTCCAACGTAAGCGTACCCCAGGACCTAGCCGGCTGCCGAGGTTGATGTTTTTGGTATAGCGTCAATATCTGAACGTTATTCGATTGGTACGTTCACTGCAGGCAATGATTATCTACCGAGGGGAACCTTAACTGAAACTCCTTTTGATTAGAGAATATCAACTGCTTGTGTTGTCTGAATGATGAAGTCTTTGTTGGATATGAGCTCTATCGATTTGCATGTGAGATCATCCATTGGCCGTTACGACACGCGCCAATGAGAGATTGCTATCAGCCCCACTTAACTTCGGATAGTTCACCGTCCTTCGACCTTTTCCTTCTCTCTTGCCTAACGAACGCTACAACCATCAGCTCGAACCATGCCTCGCGCCGTGAAAGGTAACGAATACTGTTGCGTGCTAACTCTTAAAATACTGCGTCGCTGACACAAGAAAGGAGTCCTCGTCGAATGCGATCCCTCCGTCAAAGCCATCATCCTCAAATACGACGAAGAGAAACACGACTACATCGTGGAAGATCTAGACGATGACCGCCACTTAGTGATAAAGGAGAGTCAGCTCCAGAACCTGAAGGAGAGATTGGGTCAGGTGCGTTTGCCGAGTTGGGTTTACGATTCTATAGGGGGTGCTGACTTTTGGGGTGCTGGGGATAGGAGCTTGATCAGAAGGTTATGCAACCTGAGGAGTCGGAGTCGGAGTGATATGGTCCAGTTTACGTATGCGGTCGCACGCTGTATGCGAGCGATTACTTTGCGAATGTCGATTCGTTACGTCTAGGGGTTCTTGCGAATTACGAATGCATTGCGAATACGATCGTGCTCAACGTGCAGATCGAAAAGCAAGTCCACCTCTCCGACAAATCTGCGGTATCATCAGACAATACAACCCTCAACCATATAGAACGATGGAGTCGCCAAGAACTGCAAGAATCAATAGCCGCTTGTGGAAAGTTCTTCCAGCTCCAATCGTACCTTCGTCGAGTCAAGATTGCCACCTGACGGTTGTCGTGCGTCGAACCGTCGAGTGTCGGAAGTGAATACTATGCTGATTGAGGGGGATGTTGTTGCGCATCATATGGACTGCGATATTCTATGAATCCCCATTGGTTATTGATTGAATGTCATATCTCACGGACCGAAAGAATTTTCTGAATTGTTGCATTCATCGAAGCACTGTAGTCAACATATGGAAGCATCTAGATCCAAATCAATTATAAACGACGTCAATATTAATCAATTTTCGTGAGAATGAATATTTTTCGCTACGTGATGAACGTCAAGTCATGCCATCGGGCATAGAAGAGTCTCGAAAACCATACGCTATTCGTTGCTACTCTTGAAGGCGTACACAATAACTTTGAGTATTATCGTATGATGGCTGCAGGGTGTCCCCTCAATCAATGAGTATCTCGAGCACGGAACGATCCAGATGTTGAACGAAGCTGGACTGATTTCCTCTTTGGTCAAGCTTTGACTTAGCGCGGCCCCACTCCATCGCCACCCGCTTTCCCCAGTCAAGATTCTGGAATGCTCCACAACCGTCCAGCTCTATCATCCGCAACATCTGGAGGATTCTACAATCATCACGACATTGCACCACCACCACCATGGCAGATTCGAGAATACCCAGTGATGGGTATATATACTCCCCTCACCTCTGGCCATGATGACCCTTCATTCATCAGAAATCACAATCAAAGCAAAGCAAATAGCAAGTCTACAACTTCTCAACAACTTCTCAAATTCGCATCTCTCCAATCTTCAAACCAATCCATCAATCAAAAATGACTCTCTTCCCTCGTACCGGTGACTTCGCACCTCTCTTCCGTCTCCTCGACGACTACGATCTGCACCGCTCCGGACGCAGCGGCCATGCATCCTCCTCATCCTCAGGCAGCATCTCCAGCTTCGCTCCGCGCTTCGACGTCCGCGAGTCCAAGGACGCCTATCACCTCGACGGCGAACTGCCCGGTATTGCTCAAAAGGACATTGAAATTGAATTCTCCGACCCTCAGACTCTAAACATCAAGGGCCGCGCCGTCCGCGAATACCACTCCGGCAACGCCGAGAACGAGACTTCTCCCAAGCCAGCATCTGTCGAAGATGAGGCTGAATCTAGCACTGGCAACGAGACAGCCGTCCAAAAGTCCTCTGATAAGAAGGAAGTCTCAAAGTCAACCCAGCACAACTTCAAGTACTGGGTCAGCGAGCGCTCGGTTGGCGAGTTCCATCGCTCATTCAACTTCCCCAGTCGCGTTGACCAGGATGGCGTCAAGGCTAGTCTGAAGAATGGTGTGCTTTCGCTTGTGGTGCCCAAGGCTGCCCCTCCTGCTAGTCGCAAGATCAGCATTGAGTAAATTCACCTACTCAACAACAATAATCACAATTTGAGGGGTTTATTCGATATCTTCTCGACATTCATGAAGAGCTGAACGTTAAATTCGACTTCTTTCTCGATTTACCCAACTCTTTCGCTCATTATGATTTCTCCAACGATTTGCATTGCGCGGTGCTTGGTTGTTTCCTATTACCATCGTCTTGTACAACACGACCCTGATGTCCAATAGTTAGCTGATATAATCAACTTCATTCATTTGAAAATTATTCTTCCTAATTCTCTAATAAGCCCTCATAGAGTCGATTGTAATTCGCTGTATGGTAGAACTGAATGACAATAATGAATGATTCAATTCTAATCGCAGGACTTCTGAGCCCCAAACTGTACGTGTATCATGGTTCTATGTACCTAAGTAATATAAATGTCTATGTAACTTGAATTAATCCTCATGGTCATGGGCGTTGACGTCGACTTCATCCTCATTAGCCTCAACCCCTTTGGTTGACCCAGTACCCGCCTGGGCAAATGTCATCACCAAGACCAACGCTACACCTGCCAAAAACATTGCCCGCAGCGCATCCTGATATGCTGAAATAGCTGCTTGCTTTTCATATCCCTCCAACTGCCACACTAGAGCAGGGCTGCCCATTAGCTTTCGGATCAATTCCTGTTGATCATCAGCGATGGCGCCGTCATCGTAGCTGCCGTCAGCGAACCCTTCTTCAAGACGGCGTCTCAACACTCGCGAGAAAATACCGCCACCGATGGCAGATCCGAAACTACCGGCGGTAGATCGGAACGTTGAAATAAGGCCCGTGACAATGTAATGTGTTGAAGGGGCTGTGAGGTGGAGGACATGCGATACCGTGTAGTTCAAAAACGCGCCACAGGTAAATCCGTTTGTGAAGAGGACGATCGCATAAAGAATGACCGATGAGTTGGGAGTCGAGAGGACGGCAATCAATAGACAACTAAACATGAAGAGTATTGAAATGACCAAAGATGATCTTCACATGTTAGTAAATTTAAAGCAAGGGAATGTAGGAGTCATACACATAGTAACTTGTAGCCTTCCGAATGTGTATCCAGCCCACTAAAAGCCCACCCAAGGCAAAACCAGCATTGGTAGGAATCATGATAACACCACCTTCCGCGGGACTCCACCCGCGCACCGCAATGCCATATACAGGCAGGTAAAATAGAATCGCCCAGCGGGCCATCATGATGCCGGTTGATGAAATACCGGACAATAAGACTCCGCGAGAACGAACAATAGAAATTGGAACAATAGGTTCAGGAGCAATTGCCGGTGTTGATTCAACTGCAAGGAAGATTACGAATAGAACCAGAGAGATGGCGATGTATGTATAGGAGATGTTGGGCCTAGAAAGTGAATAGAGCAACAGGACATTTGCTGCAGTCTAAGCGTTGAATTAGGAAGAGGTATCAACCCGTCTAGTATCATTGAGTAACGAACCATTGTCAAGATCCCCCAATAGTCAATTCGCGCGAGCCTCTTTCTAAAAGACTCAGGTTTGGATTCCTTGTCCTGGCCGGTTGGTGGAATTGCTAGGTATAGAACTGGGGTAAGGATAAAACATATCGGCGATTGTATGTAATATAGTGACCGCTGTCTCATAAGTCAGTAACACGAGGAAGTAGCGTTAAGAGCACCTACCCATCCAAACCTCGGGGTCATAGCACCGGCTATAATAGCCCCAGCTGCAATACCCACTGTGACAGTCGTATATACGCATCCTATGAGAAGTCCTCGTCGTTTCTTTGAAGACAGTTCCAAGGCGATTATAGTCTGTGTTGAGTATATCAGAGCAGACCCTAACCCAGTAATGATGCGCCCAACGATGAAGACGGGAAATGTCTGAGCAGTGGCTGTAATCAATAAACCGATCGATATGAGAAGGCTTGATAGGGATAAAATGGCACGAAGAGAGAAAATCTGCGACAGGCGACCTCCTACTGGCGTGAGGCTAGCGACAGAAATCTACAACCACATATATCAGTAGCTGTTGCAATGTTCGTTGGGAATGAGTGAACAAACCATATATGCTGATGTCAGCCAAGGTGTATTGGAGAATGCGTCGAGGTCTGCGGCGATATCCGATTGCGTCGTTGACACCGTTGTAATATTGGTAGCTTCAAACAGTGTTAGTAGTACACGGTAGATACTGCAATTCTGAATATCATACCTTGAATAAACAATAAACATACTACTGCAGAAGCAACTACTAACGCGCGTTTTCCCGAGAGAATAGTTGGAGCCACATCATCGTCACTTTCGTATCCATTCTGCCCTAAAGATGCTGTTGTTTCTCCAACGCTGGTTTCTGCGAGCAATGGCGTCTCTTCGGACGCTGGAGCATGCCGAGACTCTTCGTCGTTGATCATAGCTGATGCGACGGTACCTGGCGGGAGCGATGAAGGTTTCGAGGAGGCAGTTGCGCTCAATGGCAGCAACGGAATGAAGGATGGACGTTGGAGAGGATGGAGTTGTGAGGATGCATTGCAATAGGCAGATTGCAATGCGGGCTAAGTTAGTTGATCAAGCCGATTAATAATTCGTCATCAAGCTGAACGGTGAGCGGAGGAAAGTGGAGGATGTGGAGTGGTTATATTGTCTTATCGTTGTAGGCCTTATCGCATCCCACTAATCCTATAAAGGACTAGTTCAATATACGCTTTGTTCTTTAGTACCCTAAAGGCGCACTCGACTCTTCAATAAGTCACTACCAGACTCCTTCGCCTACTTAAGAACGTCATGGCTGAGTTTATATACTTCTAAAAGCTTCATCCAGAGCTATGACTAATGATCTGGCGTTATGCTCTTCCACAAGAAACTGGACTTCTCCGAACAGATGAAAATGTCCTGTTCCCCTATAGGAAAGATTGTTGGCATCGTTGACCTGTGCCAGAATTTGATGCGCAAGATGTGGTCGATGAACATGGAAAGCTTAACTTGACTTTTTGCTTCGATTTGTTAAAAGCTCAACCTCGTTCGTCGCTATTCTTTCTCAACTACGAAGCTCGAAGCGTTGCTCTAGATTGGATCCGTGAACAAAACTTCAAGGAACCGAGTCCATTCGACCCTGGCTTTGGCTTGCTTTTCATTGATCAGAGCAAAGGCCGCGATTTTCTCCAAGAGTGAAAGGATCAACCCGCGAACTGGATCTTACTGGCCGGCAGGTTTCGAATCTTAAACGGATTGCTGTAAGCGAGGAATTCTACAAATCCTGCGGTGCAAATTCTAGATTGAGATGCCGCACTTTGATCGTAGCCTAGTACTATTTTCATTGGTAAGCCTTTCATCCCATCCCGGTTATATTTCTCGCATTTAACAGACCATTTGATAGTTTTTCATTGCTAGCTTGCTGTGTGTACACAAGGAAGTTTCAAGTAGACAGGCAAGCAAAGAACACAATGGAATCGCTCACAACATCAGATACTTGAGAACACCTCTACACTTGTCCTAAACACATCCGTAGACGAATCAACCAACAAATTGTCACTACAACTAGAGCCAAGCGCCGCATTCCCAATCCACGCTGGCTCCCAATAGAACAGTCCCAAGCCATTAGTTGTCCCTGCGACAACGCTCGCAACATCTTTCAAGAAAGTCGTCTGACCAGCAGCCGAGAATGGGATACTTTTCAGATCAGAAGGGAAAGAGTATGCTGGATTAGGACAAGCATATGGCCAGTTGGTCTCGGCAACGATCAACCCTTTGCCCCATGTCGAAGCCATTTCAGCCAAAGTGGACTTGAGCGACGCCAGTGTAGCCGAGCTGCTGTAGAACGGATAATAGCTGACACCCATGACATCGAAATCCGTCTTGAGCAGAGGCCCCTCTGCTAACACCGTATCATAGAAGTAGGATTGTTCACTCCACGACCATCCATTGTCTAGATGGATCATGATCTTGGGTTTAGTAGCGAGGTTGGAGTCTTTGATTCCCCATGCAGCGGAGTGGAGTAGTGTAGCAATGTTGTAGTAGCTACTGGTTGAACCGAGGGGCCACAAAAGACCGGCGCGAATCTCGTTGCCAATGGACACAATCTCAAGGGGGATGTTTTCTGCGGCGAAGCTGTTGCAGACATCCAGTGTGTAGTTGTATAGTTGCCATGATAATGTGCCGATATCTGTTGTAGACCAGCCAGATGGGGTTGTCTATATTTAAAATACATTAGCACTTCAGCAATTCTCAGATATAAGCATGTTAGTATCATACTTGATGACTTGGATCTGCCCACGTATCACTAAGATGCATATCAAGATAGATTTTCATCCCCGCTTTCACCATCCTCGCCGCAAGCTCCAGGTTATAATCTAAACCATATGTGCCACCGCTTGGATTAACCCATAGTCGTTGCCGAATAGTGTTCACACCATTATCGGCGAGAATAGTCTCGAGTTTTGCGCTGGCGCCATTCGTGTTTTTGTATGATATGCCATCATCTTCTTCGACGATGAGTGAGGAGATATCGGCACCGCGGTATTGAAGGCTTGCGGAGGCGAGGGAGGTGAAGGCGGCAAGAGATGAAAGTAGGAGAGATAGTCTCATATTTAATATAAAAATGAAGATAACCCTTTTGGTACTTTATTGGTGTCCCGGTCCGTTGTGTGTATCCGATGGGCTGGCACACTGTTGTAGGAATTTCCCAATATGTATCAGATTTCCTAAAGTAGCAATTTTCAAACATCCGAAAGATCAGCAAGGAATATCCGAGAAACAAAAGTAACAAACTTGCGACAGGGGGAAAAAAGCAACTTATATCCCCGCAAAAAAAAATTCAGCCGTGGAATTGAAACACTGATGACGACGAAAAAATGATTTCTTCACCCACTTGTCCAGTATTGGTGGAAATTGATTTACTACGTATACAAAACCAGATGAAACCTTCATTTACCCGATGCGGGGTTTACGCTATCGATCGATGGTGAGACGGGGAATCTAGGCAAGATCCCATCACTTATATTTTCTGTTTCAATATTAATAAGATCACATTAATCATCCGAACTGTGAAACAATGGTAATTAGCGGAAGAGGGACGATCAAAATTCTAACGGACTATTTACCGAGAGTACGGCAAGTAGATAATCCACGAACATATTCGAAAATCAACTGGCATTAATTCTTGATGTTGCACACTGTATGTACATGGTTTCTTGATCATACTTCATTTCACAGTAGGCACGCGTTTCCGGTTACAGAACGTCTTACCGACCCAGATTCCCTTTTTCGGCGGCTCCGTTTCGCTATGCAAAACACCGAGGGTTGCTCGGAAGTATGGTATGTTTGGCGAAGTAGGTACGTGGTATGTAGTTATATGAGAAATGTTATCATGAAACATCTAATTGAATATGAGATATCATCATTAATTCTATAAGCAACGTTAAAATAGCGAGACGGTAGCGTTGCAAGGTTCCACCAGTATTGCTCAGCAGACTGGGTGGAAGTTCTAATTACCATTAAGTAAATAAAATCGTCCATATACGCTTATCCACATCAAACCGTAACCACACCAACAACAGCTCTTTGCAAGCAATATCGGTCGTTCACCTGAGAAGGTAGCTTAGACGATTGCGTGACCAGTTTCCTGGGCACGACGAGCAGTTCCCACACCATCGACACCAAGTTCCTGGTTCTTTCCCAACCAAGGCTTGAAGGATTCACCAAGTCTTCCCTCACCGACGAAGTACACAAACAAACCGAGAACGATCATGACGAAAGCAATCGGATACAAAAAGTGGACCGAGTAGTGGAAAACCTGGATACCAATAATCAAGCCCCAAAAGTTCATCGTCAATAGAGAAATGTTGAAGAATGTCGCAGACGAGATACGCAGCAGGATGGGGGCGAGAGTGTAGAAGATGAAAAGAACAAGAGTATAGCCGACGATATAACCACCGACTTGTCCGTCCCAAACAGCACCGTTGAACGAGCTGCGGTCAAAGATGGCGCACTGAACACCATTGATCAACATACCCCAGAAACCCATTTGGCCAATGACCTCGTACATGGGACGCTTGGAGACCATGTACTCTTCAAACAAGTTGCTGAAAGCGTAGATAGAGCTTGCCAAAAGAGCAAAAAGGTCACCTTTCAACTGATCGGCAGCAGGGTAGTTGGCGCCACGGAGGTAGTCGGAAGCAATCAAGAGACCCATACCACCGCAGGCAACAAACACACCGAGGTATTGCGTGATGTGGTAGCGAACTTTCAAGAAGATGAAGGAGATAATGACAATGACAATAATAGTCCAGAAACTGAACAACTCAGCGCTCAGCAGCGAGGTGTAACGGTATGCCAAAACCATAAAGTAGTTGCCCTCAACATCCAAGAAGGAAAGGATGAAATATCTCCAGCAGTCGGTATAAAGAAGGCGGAACCATTTCTTAAAGCCGTATTTGTAGATAGTGATGCTGGTATAAGTCAAGTTGAGCAAAACGTAAACCCACAAGGTTTGGAAAGCCGGGATACTGGTGCCTTTGTTGGAGAGAAGGGACGAGAATGTGGAGGAGCTGATATCTGCCAAAGCGATAATTTGTCTATACGCAAACAAATGTCAGTAATTGTTTCTTTTGTTCGCGCAGTCGAGAATAACACATACCCAAGAAGAACGACAAGCCAGAAATCGCGCGTCTTCATATAAGTGAACATTCTCGCCATACGTCCCTGCTCAGGCTCCAGGCGGTCGCTGTTGTCCGTCGACTCCGCAACAGAGTGCACTTGATTCTTCTCTTCCCCAGAAAGAACCGCGGCCTCGGGTCGCGCAGGAGCGACCTGCTTGTCGTTTGCGTAATACTCGGACATCTTGACTGACTGAATGTGGATGTAATGCGATAGGCTCCGATAACCAGCGGGAGGTAGCCTGTATATATGAAAGACAAATAAGATTGGAGCTTTTCGCCAGCAAATGTGAACGCAAAGCCCTGAAGTCGCTCACTGCTAAGGAAGTAAAGGCGCAAAGAAAAGAAGGAAGAAAAAGAAGAAGAGAAGAAAAAAAGAAATGCGACACGAGCTTTTATAAAAAGTAAAGAGCAGGCGGGGTTTAGATAGACTTTTTTTCCTTCTTGCACGGATAAGGCAAGTTTGGCCCTGAAAAACTTGAATTACCGAGGATAATTACCGCTAGTATTATAGTGGGGTGGAGTAGCTCGGATGTCAATGATTGATTGGTCAGACACCGCGGAACAGAGCTCGAGGGCTTTCGTGGTCCGTATTAGCATTACATGCTCTAATGTAGCAAATTACCTATGAAACCCGGGGATCTTAGAAGAAAGGGCTCGAAGAGACATTTCGAAGTTTCAATATGTCCCGATATTATCTTGGATGAATTGCAGGGAAGATGCAGGACACTTGCATGGCCTCACAATGGAGAATTGCACTGGCTTCCACGTGGGCGACGACTGGGTCTATCATGTCAAGACGGAGTCCGCCGTAACACAGACCCTAGTAGCAGCTAGCAATACTAGCGCTTCTTGGCTTTGTAACGGGACGTAGCAATCTTCATGTATCTGACTCTCTGTCTATGAAAGTCGTATCTGCATGTATGAAATCTCCACTGTGGCGGGTTGATCTCAAGTCGAAGTCCATACGAGCTCTGGAAGGTCATCAACAGATTCAACACAGCATGTCATTTGATTCAAGGACACAAATCATGAGACTCTGATCTTGTTAAAGTTCATTGGGCATCTACGAAGCAACGCATTGGCCTCAAAATAGAGCCACAATGTCTTCCCCGATTCGGCATCTCTCAGGAGCTAGGGCTATTTGTCTGCCCCCCAATCTGACCAATCAGACAATTTTTAGTATAGCGCGGCAGCCTCAGGCCATCCATCGTAATGTTGCCGACAGGTTGCGATATGCATCGATTATTCGAGCATTCATGGACTTATTTGCAGTCTTTCAGAAATGTGTTTGGGCAAATGCTTCAATTTCTTTCAAGTTGTGTATTATTGGGACCCTTGAAAGACAATCTGGACTTTTGTTGTACCTTCGCAACCATTTTCCGGCATTGTCTTGATCGATTGTCCCATACTCGCGATAACTGCGACAATTACCTGGAAATTATAGCAATGAATCTCCCGAATTCTGTGTATATGAGGTGTCGACCTCGTGATGTAATTGTCTGGTCTCATACTTGGTCATTCAGATACTACAGATCACCGCAACCGAAGAACAAACAATCGCAAATCGAACATTCAAACCCGCCACGATGCTTTTCATGAATTTGCCAGTTGATGTTATTCTGTGTATAGCAGACTTTCTTTCATACGCCGACCTCGCGTCTTTAAATCGTACTAATCAAAACCTCGCGTATCTACTAACACCCTTTCTGTACAACTCAATCCTCAAGTCTGAACAAGCACCCACAGATCCATATTACGGACTACCATGGCCTGTATGGATCAATTGCATCGGAAAATGGCGCTCCCCCTTATTGCTCAACTATTTTGAGGAGACGCCGATGTCAAACTTGGCGTACACAGGTCTGTACCGTGCCACTCTAATCCACCTGGCGGCCCAACAGGACAACTGTGATCTGGTTGAGATCCTGATTAGTAGAGGATTCGCTCCCGATGAGAAGGACTACTTTGGGAAGACTCCTTTACATTACGCTTTGAACAATCAAAAAGAGCAGATGGCAAACTATCTCCTTGATCTCGGAGCAGACGTAATGGCCAAAAAGGGTTACAGCCTCTTGCTTGCGGCAGAGGGTTGCTCTCCTGAGATGGTGGAGCGTATCGTCGAGAAAATGGAAGCACTGGAAGCGCGTTTCAAGCCCTTTGAGTTCACAGGCTTTCCAACAGATAACACGGTCCGAACAATCAAGGATCTATCTCTTAATGCAGCCAAAATACGGCGCTCGACGGAAATTGCCGAACTTCTGATTCGCTATGGAGCCGATCCCGAATGGGCGTCGAATTCTCAGGCAGTCAGTATTTTTGCAGCATATATGGACCAATTGGAGGAACCTTTCGTTCCAGAGTTCTAAGTAGAACTTTCGAATTGAAAAAGCCAGCGAGTCTGTGTACGATATTTGGGAGGTGGCCGCATTGGTCCCGGAGACTTTACAGACAATTTAGATCAATTGACCAAAAATTTTTGCTTTCATACACTGTGCACCCTCGTAAAATTATCTGTGACTTTAACAAGGACCAGCCTCTACCGTCGACGACTAGTTCGAGGTCTGATCTTTCCATTCAATACATTGAAGCAACACACGGAGGCATAAACAATCACTCCTTCAAGAACTGACTCTGCCACGCGACAAGTGCATTCTTCCCTCTGATCATAGCCGCTCTTTCGCCAGGCTTTCTCTCATCACCACGCACCAGACAGGTATGCACCACACCAGGAAAATGCTGATAATCCAGCGGCACACCCAGCTTCGGCACAGTCTGGAACGTATGCAACTTTAACTCTGGCGTATACACCGGATCAATCTCCGGCGCCAGAAACTGTACGGGAACAGCAAGTGCATCAATATCCTCCTTGGTCAATAGTGACGGGTGTCCGACGCTGACCACATCGACGAGTTTCGCCGCTCCTCCAAGGCGAATTGCCGCCCATCCGCCGTAACAGTATCCTACCGCACCGAGTCTTTTGTACTGTTGCCTCAGAGCTTTTGCGCATTCAAATATCTCAGGTTCGCGCACTTCTCGACGATTCCGGTACGCGAATCCGGCAATATCAATTTTATCCCACTGATCATTGATCAAGAGCTCCGAGTCAATGACTTCACCAGCAAAAAAATCAGGAACATAGACCGTTGCGCCGACTTCGCGCGCGATATGGTCGGCAAGTAATCTGTTGTTTTTAAATGTCCATCCAAACATGTCAGCAATGTATAAAATGGCGATGTCGGATGCGCTGCTGTCGCCGGCGATGTAAACGTCGTTGTTGGCAAGTTTGCTGTTTTGGCCGGTAGGATTGCCCTCCCATTCGAAGCCTTCGTAGCAGCATTTTGCTGTCGACATTATGATTTTCGTCCTATAGATCGATTACTTATGATGCTGGCGGCCCGTGATGAGAGAGTATCCATTGACGCGAACCCTTCAAGTGGGATCATGGACTTTCAAATACTTCAAGCGTGTCGAGATATGTACCTATCCCTATTGGATCGCATCTGTAGGCAACCATGCCAATGAATAGAAATCATCAAATCGGTCGAATCATATCACACCGCTAGCGCAAGACGGACCCAATCAGGTACGCCTTCACAATTCTCACTACGATTATCACTACGAATTTTCTCAAAAGAATCATTTCAGGATTGATCCTTATTCTTCCAAGCCTTAATGATATCTAGCATAATCTGCCTTTCATAAGGCTTTGAAACATACTACTTGTATGCGGCCGAAAATCATGCATCAAATGAGAGCTTACATGACGCCGTGAAGGACGGTAATCCCAATTCCTACATCTCAAAAAAATGGAAACACATGAACCTAAAGTTTCACTAATTCAACAACAGAGGAAATAAGAATCATCTTTATCCTCCGAACGCTATCTGAATTCTAGTCCTGTACAGCGCGTATCCGCGCCAAAACTCAGCCAGTTCGACTGACATCCTGCCCACCTCCTCTAGCGCTTGCTGGAAGCCGATTCTCTTCCTAACTATGATCTTCTAGAGCGCTTTTTTCCTTCCTGGGCTAAGATCGACTGTCGTATGTAAATCTGCAACCCACAACTCTTGGTCCAGGAAAGCACGCACCAGCCCCATCAAGAGGCTTTGATGCTCCATCGGCCTCTGTGACAAGCTCAATATATCGTAGGCAAATGTTGCTGCCTGGGTGTTCCCGGCTTGGAGTAGAACATCCTTGAGAGTCGTGAGCTGGGCAGATTTAGACTGTCCAGCTTTTCTGGATCGTGCCATCTCCAGTCCAATATCGACGAAATTGATGCCTGAGGGCTGGCGCTGTTCGTCCATGCCTGCGATCCCGGCGGTTTCTGGAGAGAAGACGTACTCGGCGCAGAGGATTTGTATAACGACTGTACCCAGCTGCGTAGAAGATATGAATGGTAGGCTAACGCTGTTCCCCAAGAGGCTGGTATGGAAAACCACAAAGCGAGCAGCGATGGTATGCATAATAGCTCTTTCATCTTAATAGGGAAATTTGGGCTGAATGCCATATTTTTGCTTGGCGAATAAGACACTGCTTCATATGCGAGTAGCCAGTGAGCATTAATAGCAGAAAGTACTGGACGATAACAACAGAAAAAGGCTGTGGAGAAAGCCCTAGCCATTTACTACCCGTTCGTCCAATATATCGCCTATATGCTTGATAAGCCTTGTCCTACCTAGGTAATCGCTCACAGGCAGGCATTCCATCCATGTCCTAAGCCGTCTCACTTCGGCATCGACGAAAGCACCAAAGATTTTCCCTCCCCAGGACAGCTGTTGAATTAACACATTCTCACTGCGGTTGCCTCTCTGGAACCTGTGCTCAGAATATCCAGGGCCAATCGTATGAGCTGAGGCCGATGACATTACTGTTAGTATGCAACCATTGCTAGTTACAACAGCTCAAAAATGTATTTATTAGACCCTATTAGAGGATTATTATGGGTCATGGATCTTTCTATATATAAATTATCTGAAATGATTATCCTAGGGAGCTATTCGATGTACTTTCTTGCACTTTGAGTAAGCAGTTATTCCATGATTTCCATAGACCAAACGACGTAGAGCCAATCGAAACACATCAAACCCTGGTTCTTTGTTGACACGACGGGGCTCTAAAACACCAACCATACATCACTCCGCGAGACGATTGCGCCATCTCGCATTTATAGTGCGATTCGGAGAGAGAAAATAATTAAACCTCTATAATTCTAATACCGGTGATTATTTAAGCATAATCAGACCAATTTTTAATTCAATATAGAGTCCTCCAGAAAGAAGTCCGGGTTTTCCAGTTGTTCTTGATATATTGAATAACAGACAGAAACAATGCCCGATTATATAATAGATCAAGATACCCCATTGTCACAGTTACCACCGACGTTTAGCGGTGATGATGACGCAGCGCATACTGAGAATGAGACCGAGATCTACCCACTACTGTCTAGTACTCGCAGCGTGCTCCTGGTTGCTATTCTTTCAAGCGCTGGACTTCTCACAGTATGTCCTTTCTCCCTCCTCATTATCCATACTCATTAAAAAAAACTACAGTATATATAAATACTAATATACCAGATTCTTAATGTACAATCTATCACCATCATGTTGCCCTCATTGGGCGACGCGTTGAGCATCCCCCCGGAGCGCCAGCAGCTAGTCATTTCAATCTACAGCATTTCATCAGGCTCGCTAATGCTACTCTGGGGTCGTCTAGCTGATACATATGGACGACGGCTAGTCTTTTTGACTGGCTCCTCGCTCTTCACACTATCTACTCTCCTCTTGCCATTTTCCGCCCATGAGATTCCCTTTTACATTCTCCGGGTCATCCAGGGGATGAGCGGATCTGCGATGATGCCGTCTGCCATCGGTATAGTAGCCAGCATCTTCCCTCCCGGTAAGGTGAGGACCAGGGCGTACGTGACAGCCGCAGCCGCAGCCTCCCTTGGATCCGTACTTGGTAACATCTTCGGGGGCCTGGTTGGGAGTTTTCTTTCGTGGAAATGGATCTTTTGGATTCCCGCTATAATCGCTGCTGTCACGACAATTGCTGCGTTTTTGATCACGGCCATCCCGGCCATCCGGGCCAATGCTGGCAGAATACCTGGAAATAATGAGAGTGTAGACTGGATAGGGGCCGCGCTGATATCATTTAGCCTGGTTTTGCTCCTTATATCCCTTACTCAAGGAGATTCTCTCGGATGGGGGACACGCTGGGTGCCACCGCTCATCGTGGTGGCCATCCTTGGTTTATTTGCCTTCGTACTCTTCGAACACTTTCTTGAAAGTCGCCGAAAAGACCACCAGCCTCTGTTGAGAGTTTCTATGTTCAGGAACCTTGAGTTCTCGGCGCTATTCATCCTCGTTGGTATGTTCTACGCCGCTTACAACAGCTTCTTGGTCTTCGTTACCTATTTGTTAGTACTTCCTTCTTCCCCAAACTGGAAGGTAGAGCGCGGAGATCGAAGTTTTCTGTTTTAATTTTTTTTGCACTTCAATAGTTACCAGGATTATCTCGGCCTCGGCGTGTTGCAGACGGCCCTTCGATTTCTGCCCTCTGGTATCACTGGAAGTAAGTTTCCCCCATTTTTGACACCGCCGCAAGTAGTTGATTTTATGGTCTGTCTCTGGAATAAGTTGTTGTGTCATTCATTGTATCGCCGGCCCTGAACCGCATTGAAGGTTTCTACGTCCTCCTCTTCGGTTTGTTTTGTGGCCTAGGCTCCCCTCTTCTATTTGCCATTCCAGCCATTCCTCCAGACACAACGTACTGGGCCTGGGGGTTTCCGGCAATGTGCCTTTGTCTCAGCGTTGAGATAGTATGGCCCGTGGTCGGGCTGCTGATCGCCAAAAAGCTCCCTCAAAAGGATCAGGCTCTCGGCGCAGGATTGCTGCAGACCGTCAGTCAGATCAGTCGCTCATTGGGTCTAGCTGTCTCTACAGCTGTGCAGACGGCTGTACAAGGCGCAGCATCGAAGAATAATACTCAGTCTGGGGATCCTGATTACTTGCGTGGACTCCGCGCCGCTCAGTGGATGAATGTGGCATGTGTGGTCGTTTCCATCATAATCGCCGTGGTATTCCTTCGAAAACTTGGACGTGACTAAAATGCCATCTATAAGTTTGAATTTAACCAAGCTAGATTTAAGACAGTCCACCTGTAAAGACTGGGCACTTGCATAGATACCATAACGACGTAGACTTGCCCGTTGTAGGAATCTTGACAGAACTACTTATAAATCCAATAGTTTCAGTCTCGCAAGTGTCAAGGATCATGGCCAGAAGAGATATCAGCTATTTTATCAGATTTAGTTCAGATACTAGGACAAGACTAATTTTGGTACTCGTAATCATTTTTCAAAGTCAAGAAGTTTTTGTGTGGCGGGKACGAATAGGTTTGAAAGAAGAATTTGGAGATCGAAGTACGCTTAACGTGTAGGCATAGCAATACAATAATACAGCGAATGATGATCACTGGCCAATGATGTAATGGCCAGTGAATCCCAGATACTTTATATCACCAAGTGGTACTAGATACTGAATCCTGGATGTCGACAGCATCCGTGCCACCTCTGTAAATTCTTTCAAACCCTTTTTCGCATCGAGACATGCGGCGTCCCAAAGATATCCAGAACCTTGACATCCTCAAACCCCGCGCTCCTATACAATGGCAATCCAGCTGGTGTGGCAACCAGATAACACCCCCGCCCTTGTTTAGATGCCTCCTTGATACCCCAATCGAGCAACAACCGACCAATTCCTTTTCGCTGGTGCTCTGGATGAACGCCTAGAGAGTCGAGTGCTGATACACAAGTCAGCCATTATATCCTTTTGCGAACGTGGGAGATGGAAAAATCTTACTCCAAACATCCGCTGTTCCCTTCTCACCGAATTGCTCCCGTACATCTTCTTGAAGAATACGAATCAATTCAATAAACGGCGCTTTATCCATTCCTTCTTGTGCCAGAGGCGGCAATCTGACCTCCTCCTCCCCTCCACTTTTATCTTCTGCCGATGAAGAAACAGGCACCTCCCAAACTGCATACCCCACTATCTTACAATTTGAAGCATCATCAACAGCGACCATGATAATGTTGCCTTTGAGCCCGAATTTGACCAATTTGCGCGCTATCCTTGCGTTGCGTATGTTTTCCGAATAGTGTAGGTCCCCCGGGAAGAGGTGACGCACAATCGCGTCTTGTTCAGGAGGGAACGCGGCTGTTGAGAGGTCGACGATTGTCGCCAAATCTGCTTCAGAGGCGGGACGGAGATGGATGGTCATTTTGCTCGGTTCAAACCACTCACTGAATCTACTAGAATTTGTATTTTGTCACTAATTTGGAGAAAGCGCGACTTATATGCTCAAGTACAAGGCAGACCCCAATTCCGGGGTGTTTCATGAGGCTTTGAGGCTTAGCTGATAAGCAACCAAAATGCAACACCCTTATCTCTAGCCCTAACAAATAGCCCTAAACCATGTGCCTAAACAAGTAACCCATCAATCAATCTTGAATACCCTCAATCAGATTCTTGATTTCCTCCCCATTTCCAGACCTTTGCCACGCCTCGGGCGCCCTTTTAAACGACGTCACCGAACTAATCAACTCCTTCACCCCAACTTTCCTAGAGGCCAACAACCTCATCGCAAGCTCGTAATCACCCTATCCATATCTAAAACAACCCTTTAGACTCAACTCCTTTGCCGAGAAAGTGTTGACTGGAAACTCGACTCTGGACCGTCCAGACATGCCGGTTTGTGTGTACGAGCCGCCGTTGCGGAGGGCGAAGACGACGGATCTATTCATATCTGTCGCATTTATATGTACAACTAGCCCTGTGAGATGGAGGCCTGTCCGTCATACCTCAGATGCGGGAAATCAGAGACCTGTTATGGTGGTTGTATGAAAAGGGTATCTATTGAACTGGGTATATGTAATAGATTAGGTAACGGGCCGAGTGCGGTCCATCTTCCGGCGATCATCGGTGCTATGATACTCATAACTATATACAGGTCCTGCACGGACTATAGAGAATCATGCCCCTCTGCCGCTTTGCATACATGTATATTCTGCACCCACTCGGCCTTCATCAAAGAGCTTGTACTAGGCCTGTTCTTCCAATTCAATGCCAGCATAGAATATATCGTTTCACGGCAGGATTCCTGTATGAAATTAGTTTTTGTTCTACAAATTCAATCATACGATCAGAAAACATACCCCCGATAGAGACTCTATAGGCTCCCATGTCCCCAATTCCTGAATATCTCTCACGTAATTCGCAAAATCTTCGTCTTGTTCAAAGACCGCAAACCGCCATGCATGTTTACCCATTCGCATATCCATATAAACAACCCCGGCGGACCACACATCTGCAGCCCGAGCGTCAAAATAATACAGCGACGAGGGAGCGCCCCGATCGCGATAATCCAACGTCACATATTGCTCTGGACTTATATACGGAAACGAGCCACAAAGCCCAGACGACAATCGACTGGTTGTCTCCCACGGTAGTCGCACGCATTCCGCGTTTCCGAAATCGGCAATTTTCAAACATCCACGACATGTAAGTAGAAGGTTATCCGGTTTGATGTCTCTGTGTGCAACGCCCGTAGTATGAAGATAATCCAGGCCACGCAGAAGTTGCTTGAAATAACAGTTCGCTTCTGTCGCGCAAAGCTTGCCTTGCGACCTCACCCGTGTATAAACATCGCCACCAGAACAATATTCCATGATCTGACAAAAAGTGCCATCGGTATCCTGCACCAAGTCGAATGTTTGGATAATATTTGGGTGATGAAGACTAGACGATATGCAAAACTCGGCTCCGACGCGCTTCAGGTGTTTTTTCACCGAGTCCTTCTCCCGCCGAGAGAACTTTTTCACTGCGAAAAGCTGTCCGCCTGATGGGTGATCGACGGAGTGAGGTCGAAAGGTGACGGTGACGATGCCAGAGGAGCCTCTACCGATTTGCTCTTTATTTCTTCCGTAGCGATCTATTAGCGACCCGGCTGTTCCTGAATTCGATGATTGGCGACGAGTGAATGAGTGAGGCAACTTCGATTCTGGCCGGGGAGGAGACGAGGCAGACTCAAGCTGGATGAGCGGTAGACTACCTACTGTCACATTCTTTGGCTGGATGTCGAAATGCTCTGTGTTATCGATTTTGCTGCTATTTTTCCTGGACAGTTTGGATGCTTCTCGTAAAGCTTGGAGTTTATCGTTCAGCAGCTCCAACATGCCATCCTGCCGTCGTCCGTCGTACAGACGATGTGCATGCGTCCCGTTCTCGCCAATGACGAATTTATTGTCTTTGCCTTGCGGCTGTGGTTGTAGGCCTAGTTCCACATTGTAGATTTCATCGACGTGGATTGCTGTTCTGTCTTTTCCCATTTTGAGTATATAAAAACCGTCCGAATCGCAGGAATAGTGAAGATAGTGGCAAGACACAAGACAAGAGAAGCGCGAGTCGAATCTTTAAAATGTCAAGCCTCAGAAAGCAAGGAAGGAGCGAGTCTGTGTGACGCGACAACCTTGGAGGAAGGAAGCAAGGAAGATACCTGAGGTACTCATCTCGCTACTTATAAGGCGTCATCATCGAGCCATCCTTTGGTGTATTATTTGCCTCACGTTTGGCAAGATCATCTAGGTACTTGCGTGAAGTATAGAGTACGTGAGGAATTTTCGTCAGCCAATCATCGCACCACACAATATTCAATGATTTCCTAACCCGGAAATATTATTTAACCAAGTCAGTCGCTTGGACAGCGTGCGCATTTCAGGTGTACAAATGTAGAAGCACATGTGATAAGCTCGAGCTCATCAAATACTATGAGGCTTTTTCCTGGCTACTTCCTCTTCTTGGTACCGGCGATCGTGACAGGAACGTACCCAGTAGCAATCCATGGCTGTGAAGTACTGTGTACCTCGTCGAGAGGGATATTTTTCTGGCCAATAATCACTACCCTACCTAGGCACCAATTGGTCATTATCACGACTCATGTACTTAGGTACCCTTTGTATGTGAAGGCCATGTATCTAATCGCCTCAATTCATCTAGCATCGGGGCTGTGCATTTCCTCTTTAGTAGAAAAGTCAGCCACTTTTGTATTTCGTTGCACCGATGACATCAACGACGCAACTACAGCTAGAAATTCTGTCGCACCATAAATCCTGCTTGGGATCGATTCAGGCATGATATACTCATCAGCTGTACCAACAAATATTGTCCGGGTCGCAAGTAGCCATCCTTCGTGGGCGGGTAGGAAGATCATAAACTTACCCGCGACTCGTGCATACGAATCCAACGGTTGAGCGGTCTGCAACCAAAAGAAAAGTAAATTGGACGAGTTGGCTAAAGTAGTGAGAGCTGTGAGCGGAGTGCAGTTAGCTACTGCGTAGACGTACTTCCACGGCCAGATTTTAAATGGAGAGGATAAATGCCTCATATTATCGTCAACCGCTTCAAGCGGTCCACAGGCTATGCTTCCACTACGAACGTTTGCGAGTACGTATGAGTAATATTTAGTCGAAACATATGACGGCGCAGTGGGCCAAGTAATGAAAAGTCAAAAAATCAAATTTTTCTGTTCGTTCGATTGAATGTTCACTCGATCAGGATGTTGGACTGGTGCTGAAGATATTCGGGTTACACGTGCACCACTCGGGACACGCATCGGCATGTCCCTCGGCAGCCATTCGTGCTTGTTTCGGTACGAATTTCTCTACCAAAGGATCAAATATGTTTATTTCCACAAGTTGATTGCACATGTAATAAGATTGTGTAGTTAAAATAGATGTACGCTCTATCACAGTCTCGTCTATCGCATGACTCTATAGCCCAGACAAATAGTCCTCTAACAAAAAGAAAACATATCATCCGCCGGCCCAACTCTCCAAGGACAGCTGCCAAGACGTACTGCTGTACGTCCTGTGGTTCAATACGTGTAGACAGACAACAGGCCGTAATCTGAAACACATGCATAATACTCAAACAATTTAGACAGAAGCATAAATAAAGAAAGTCGTCAAACATGATCATGAATCATTCCAGAAAAAAGTCGACCAATCTTCCGGAAGAGCGTCCATATCCTCAAACCCGGTATACATCGAGTCCGACACAAAGCCACTGTCGGCGGCAAACATCATGTCGTCCGTAAACGAGTATGCAGATGAGGTTGGTATCAGAGGCTCATCCATTATTGGTAGAGACACGTAGGGATACCCCATGGGGTTGGTGGTGGCGCTTAGCGGCGCGGTGGTCGTAAAGCCCGGCACGTAGGTACCGGTCGAGTGGACTAGAGCTGGATCGAGGGGCGGTATGTAACCGTTGCTGGTAAACGTTGATGCTGTCGTGGTGGGCGTGGTTGCGGTCATGGAAGATGAAGAAGAAGTCGGCGGTGAAGGGCGCGAAGATCGCCTCGGATTGGAGGGCGAGCGGCGCGAACGAGATCGAGATTGGCTGGCGGTAAATGGCTCACTTGAAGACGGGAGTGGTGCTGCAGGATGTGGTGCAATGCGTGCAAACGAGGAGGGCGGGATTCGACGTCGGGCGGATGGCTTCTATTCGATCGAGTTAGCGAACAACTGACTGCCGTCCTTGATATCTCGTTGGGATATTTAAGCCACTAGTGGTGTGGCGTGTTGCCGTTTTCTCAATACTTTTCCAGAGGATTTGCTATCGCTCTCACCATCAGACTTTTTGTCACGGTTGAGCTTGCTATGCTCTTCTCGGTTGTTACACGGTCCGCGACAGAGGATGCAGACCGAGAACGGCCGGCCCTTTTTATTGATTCGAATTAACGGTCGATCTATTAACGGTTCACTGTTAGGAAACGGACAGTATGGCAATTGACATGTAAGCAAGTTATCTACACGAACCATGATGTCGACAGCTTGACACGCGGTGGCCTCGCACGCAAGCTTCACAAGCCCACTTCTCACCGTCGATGAGCATCCCTTTAATGTTATTCAACAAGGAACATGATGACTAGAAAATGAATGAATGATTTTGGGAGAGGTTGGGAAAAAAAGAGCAGAAAGGCAGCGGGAGTTGAAGCAGAAATATCAATGGGAAGCATGCCACGATCGGGACAGGAAAATGAAATTGGAGAACGATCCCTTCTGGCAAGTGGAGGCGGTGCGAGCTCCACCTGCTGCTCGAGGAAACGTACGTACAGTACGGAATCCGCCGCCCGCTTTGATCAATCTGCACTACAAATACGGTATTGTTACATCCACGTCGTAGGAGAGAATGATGCCTACTCCTCCCTAGTAAACTGGTCAGGTCATGCACGTCTTAGATAAGTCAACCTGCCTAGTCCGTCAGCATGCGCATCGTTGCCTGCATGCACGGTATGATATCTTTCCTCCTACGATGTAGATATGTATGTGTGTATGCAATTGGCCAATGGCTGCTCATTTTGCTAAGCTATTAATGATCGAAGCTACTGTCAGAAGCTACAGAGCTGGCATGCCCTTTCTACGTCATTGGCACACCCCTGGACAAAAAGTCGATCCCCATGAGACTTGGCAGGACACAGGGCAGCTGAATCTATTGCAAGGTACGCAGATTGCCAGTCAGTCACAGAGCAATAAATGATCGATATTACAGCAATGCAATTAATTTTCAGGAGGGGTGGACGAGCGTAGCGCGATAAAGAACCACCAAAAGCCAATGTGTGGCTGAGGAAAATCCCTCATACATCTTGCGGCTGCCGTTGGTTTTCACGCTCCCGCCTTTACGTATTCTCTAGCACAGTCCTCGGATAGCCTATTCTGGGAAGTGGAATACTGAATATTACACAATCTGCAAAAATGGCGCAGGCTTTCCCTCATCTGGTGAATAAAAGGAAGCCGGCAATACGATGCAACTGACATGAGAGGGAGAAAAAAAGAAAAGAAAAATGAGGTTGATTTTCAGTTGGGCCAAGGTGCTCGGGTCACTATGAGGCGGTGCGCTGTGGGGTTGCTGTTTCCCCTCGAGGCAGCTCCTGCCCTGTGCGAGTCTTTTCCTTTTCTCGTCGGTTCACTTTCTACTTCTTCAACTCCGCTTCGATATCGGCCGGTTCCTTCATGCTCTTGTCGTTGTTCTCGCCCACATCCAACGTCACCAAAAACCGACTGACCATGTTATACGCGCCAATGCAGACCGTCAACTCCACCACCTCCCTCTCGCTGAACCGACTCTTGATCGCCGCAAAGATCGCGTCGTCGACTTTGATATTCTTCGTCATGGCATCTGTGAAGATCACCGTATCCCACTGAAAGTCCGTCAGGCTGCTTCCCGCCGGTTTCTCGACGTTGTTAATTATCTGTCCTTCGGTCGTGAATGTCGAGATGGGTAAGTTCTTGACTTCTTGCAACTGAGCCGCGGTAACACCGGCTTTCAGTGCGAGAGGGGCATGCGCGTTCCATTCGTACACCGCGCCATTGAGGATCGCAACCCGGCAAACCGACAACTCGAGAATATCCTGCGGCATCACAGCCTGCGTGCGAATCGCGCCCAACAAAGCATTGTAACCATTGGCGATAGGGGGACTATGGAGAAGCGCAAGATCGAGGGGGATTAAAGGACGAGGCTTTCGTCTAGCTGCCACGCGCTCGTAGACTTCTGCAGTAGCTTTTTGTTCGGCCTCTGGGAGTGGTGTCCCGTCGGGTTGTGTGGTTGGGGGTGTCGAGGGGGCGTAGTTGATGCGCATGTTGCGTTGTTGATGAAAACGTTTCGGGGGGAGTAGTCGGTCGTAGAATAGTCGAGAGGATCGTAAAGTTGATCTACATACCGGTTAGTCGGAAAAAGAATCCGGCTGGGACAGTCTGTGCGGGGTACCTCTTCATACAGTAAGCAATCAATTGCTCAGTCGTCTTCTTATTATGGTCCTGTATTCTTCAGATGATGTACAAGCAATGGAGAAGATCAACGATCGGCTATGATGAAGCAGTCATCGACCCGGAAGATGTACCGAAGTCGGCACAGTGCTTTTCCGCACCGTAGGAACAGGCTTAGTGTACCCCGCAGTCATTTTTTACATCTACAATCGACCATATTCTACCATTTGCTGGAACAATGATTTTGTTGTTATGCACACTTCTTTCAGTGCAGTAACTAAGTTTCAATTGCATGATGATATCATCAACGTCGATTGATATGCAGAATCGTGCAGTAGTTCTCGAGTTCAATGCGCTTTTTAGGACGATTCAAGGACAAATGGAATATTGACCCCCTGGTACATAAAACATCATCTCAGACATATAAACAATCACACACTTGAAGTACTTTGCTGTACTGCTCCGTATACTGTACTCTCGGTCTGCCGCTCAGAAAATCGGCACTTTCTTTCCCCGCAGTGTGGGGCAAGCTGTTATCGGCTCTTGTTTTCGGATAAGGTCCGTCGACCACTTCATATACCCAAACCACCTTCGAAATCTTTTTGTCTTTTGGCAATCGATTTATTCCTGCCTTCTCTTAAGAGTGATATGCGACTCAGTCTTCCCCGATATCAAGCCAGAATGATCCACCATCTCATGATCGGCACCTGGACGCCGCCAGGAAGAATCTACACTGTCGCCTTCGATGATCAAGAACTGACGTTGAAATTGGTCAAGAAGACCATGATCCCTGAGGACGAGCCTATTTCATGGATGACCTTTGATGTGAGCTATTCATACCAGTCAGTAGAAGCGCAATTGGGTGCTGATCGTAAATAGCATGCGAAGAAGAATATCTATGGCGCCGCTATGAAGAAGTGGTCGAGCTTCTCTGTGCGCAGTCCTACGGAAATCGTGCATGAAGCATCGCATCAAATGGGTGGAGATCGTATGCAACCTTCATAAGTGCTATGATCGGCCGATACTGACTTTCGTAGCAATGGCCAACTCCGCCGACACAAACACACGCGCCATCTTCGTCCTCGCAGGCCACAAACCACCCTACAACGTCTACGGTAACCCATTCTATAAACACGCGGGCTTCGGCAATGTCTTTTCCGTCACCGAGACCGGCAAAATAGACAAGAACGTACAAAACTTCGAGATAGATCCTCACTCCGGCATTCACGGCATGGTATTCGACCCAACAGAAACATACTTGTACTCTGCAGACATGGGCGCAAATAAAATCTGGACTCACAAAAAGGACCCGGAAACTGGTCTCCTCACACTAGTCGACAGCATCGATGCGCCTGCACCAGGCGACCATCCCCGCTGGGTCGCCATCCACCCTAGCGGCCACTATCTATACGCCCTGATGGAAGCGGGCAACAGATTAGCCGTCTACGTAATTGACGAAAAAAGGCACGTCCCCGTCTTCACTCGCATGATATACCCCTTGATTCCACCGGGTCTCCCACCCCGCAACAAATACAGATCCGACGTTGTCTTTACTACTAAGAGTGGGAAATACCTCTTCGCAACCGCGAGATCAAATCACAACGATGTACACGGTTATATCAGCGCGTTCCGACTCGGGCCCGAGGGAAATATTGAGAAGCAATTGTTCATCAACCCGACGTCGACGAGTGGAGGACATTCAAACGCGGTTAGTCCATGCGACTGGAGCGATGAGTGGATTGCGTTGTGCGACGATCAGGATGGGTTTGTGGAGATTTATCGCTTCAAAGATGAGTTGTTGGCGCGTGTTGCGAGATGTGATATCCCGGAGAAGGGATTCGGTATGAATGCTATTTGGTATGATTAGTGTATAGTACCATGTATTAAGAATAACATAGATGGGATAAAATGAATATTCGGCTTGACCAATTCCTAACCTATGGGAGGCATAGAGGTGGCGTGCGTACATTCCACACCGTGGCTCCCATTCCTCGCTAGACCAACCACCTTACAATAACCTTTTCCCAACCACATTGCTCGGCTGTCCATTCTCATTTCAATCGCCATTGGCTCCTGGGTTCTTGCCCGTAGAAAATATGGAGCCCGCCAGATGCAAGAATGATAGCCCACGTGCAAGATTGCCTGATTAGGAAAGTATCTTCGGAGAACGAAGATCTTTATCAGGGACTAGATGATTGGAAAATGTGACTCTCATATCTCTGGGGTAGCTAAAGGGACTTATATACTGATCCATACCCTCCATCGCGCCCTCCATGATCGTTCTTCGAAGTTTGACTCTTGTAACACTGGCTCCGGCACGAATAGCATCAAATCAGAACCATATATGTCTGCATTCAAATATCGCTTCAAGATGGCTTCTCGATGTTCTCTCAAACGGTGGGCCTTCATTTTGCCTACAATCACAGTTGCTTCATGGCTTGGTAAATGCTCAGCTTCTTTGGATGTATAACAATTACTGACATCGACCTAGCAATGCTTGGAGCGCTTTTAGGATCGTGGTTCACCTCTGGCCAGCCGCGTTACATATCTGAAGAAGACACACAGACGATAGCGTACGCATTTGATTGCACACGTAAAACCTACATAAGAAAGAGCTAACCTTGGCAGATTCATTTCCGACATTGGTGCGCAACACCTCAAGCCCGTATTCATCGCATGCACATCCATAGCAATGATTACATACATCCCCAGTCTCATCTTCTACTTCTACCACATGAGTCCCGCGAGAAGGCCCCTATCATCAAGCTCCGAGTCCATCATTCGCGTCAACTCTCTACCATCAATATACTCTACCCCACCGCCATCATCACTTGCATCACGACACCACCTCCACCAAGAGCCAAAATGGCACCAATCCCCAGTCTTCCAAATGAGCATCCCGGTGCTCAGCATCCTCTTCTCTGTCATCGGAGCCACAAACCTCATCCTCTTGACTATCTTCGACACAGCCCGCTACACCTCCGCGCACCAAATCCTCCTCCCCACAAGCATCTCCGCACACCTTCTCGGCTGTCTAATCCTCTGCATCTGGACGACTTTCTGTCTCCATCAGTACCGGTCCCAACAACACAACCACAAATACAGCTATGGCGGCGGCGGCGGAATCTACTCTGGCGACAAGTTCACACTGGAATTATACACGCCCCCAATCCCCATCTCGCTGTCCAGCCTCGTCGTCAAGTTTGTCGTCGTGGCAATCGAGTTCAGCCTTGTGACGCTGTTTGCGGTTATGACTTGGTGGTTGAAAACATACGATGAGGCGGCAGTGATGGAATGGGTGGTTGTGTTAATGTTTGCTGGGTATATGTTGTGCTTGATTGTGGATTTGTGGGTGTTGGGGAGTTCGGCTGGGTCTGGTATGGCGAGCGACGACGGGGTATAAGGGGCAAGAAAGTGTTCAATTATAAGCCAGGCAAGGCTTTATGTAAATAGACGAAAAAATTGGCGCATATAAATGACCTTTTGCAAATCCGGTGATGCACCTGTTGTTTGATTGTAAATTTATGTAATGAAAGGAACGTGATATCCAAAGTCATAACCCCCATGGACTAAAAGTAATAAGACATACAAATGTAAGCTCCCTCTACTTCATTCGTGATCTAATCAATAGCATATTTATATGATATGAGCAGATTTGTAACAAACGGCCGAAAAGGAAAGGGGAAGCGGCACCCCGTGCTGTATAAAAAGCGGAATTTTTCACCCAACAAATTTCGACCTTGAGTGCTCCTCTTCTTACTACATCGACAGAAATACTTCATTTCTCGACTCTCCATCGTATCTGTCTTTCCCAACGCCTAGTGTAATCTAATTCCCTGATACCCTCCCTATAAAAATCGCCTTTAACAACCGTCGTCAAGCATCTCAAAATGGCAGAACCACGGAGGCTCCTATCCCTATCCAAAGACCACCTTTCGAGGATTCAGACTACCCCGGACCCCAGACGAGATATGTGCATTAACGACAGCTAGCGTACAATCCGACTTTATATGATTATGTGAGTTTGGCTTTAACATATGAATGCCAGACACCATCCTTTCCTTCCTCACAGACACACAAACCTTGTTATTCTCTCTATTTGTCTGTCTTGCCCAATACTGTTGATGGGTATGTCATTGACTGTAGATTATAAGCTTCGGGAGTTTCTCTAGACTTGATGATAAAAGAGAATATGACTATTGTCCTGAGCTAAAGCATATCGTGTTTCATTGCACACTGTAAACATGCCTTGATGAAAGTTATTTTTCCGCAGACATTGATGCGAGAATCATGGCAGCGATCATCTTCGCTAAGTCATTCATTTGCTTATGCTTCCTTATATGGAAGACTGGAAACATGACAGTCTAGAAGAATTGATGAATTGAACTCAACTGGTCGCTCTATACACACAAAACTGCCTTGTAAATTTCCCACAAACCCATCACATCAAACTACCGCAATCTACCTAGGTAATGGTTCAAAGTATGAAAAGGCACTGGTATGGAGTCCCTCGCTAAACCAAAGCCCGTGCTTTACTCTTGAGAAGATGTAGTAAACTGTTCCTCGGCGCTTACCGCACCAGCTCCAACCTCAATGATAGGCCCATTGTACACCTTTCTCCCATAGATTAGATACCAACCGAGTCCAAGGAAGAACTCTCCAGAAAACACGACGGCCGACCAGTTCATGTTGACTGGAGTAACAGGCAGTCCCTGGGGAAAGAAAGAGAAGAAGATGGCGATTGTAAGGAAGGAAATGGCTGCCACATTGATAGGGATACCCCATCGCCCAAGTCTCCAGGGGCCGTAGTTGACCGGCTCCCCCTTGATTTTCTTCAAGAACATAAGAACGATGGCAATTTCGTACGAGGCAAAAAGACCGGCTGTAGTCAACGAAATCATAGCGTTGAACGCAGCACTGGATGGAATGTTGATGATACAAATAATGCCTGTGATGACGGCACAGAGAACGACGGCGCGGATTGGGAGGGCGGTACCGGTTATTTTCAGCTGGAAAAGTAAGTCTAATTAGTCTGCTGCTATGATTCGGTGCGGAGATGATAGGTATTTCATACGTGAGAGACGTGAGCGAAAAAGTCTGAGAACGGAACACCCTTGTCTCGCGCAAATGCCCAGGTGAGACGAGAGGAAGAAGCCAAGAATCCAAAGGATGCGCAGATAACGAGCGCCGCTGGGATGGCAGCCATCACCGAGGCTCCGGCGTGAGAGTTAGTGGCGGCGTAAAAGACTTCGATGTAACTGTACCCAGTAGCGGAGCTAAGGGCAGCGTCCACATCGCCGATGCAGAAAAGGAAAGCGACAACGATGGCGAACCCAAGGGTACCATTTATTATGATGGTAGCGATCATACACCAGGGCACAGCGATAGAGGCATTGACAACTTCCTCAGCTACACGAGTGTGTCAGTTTGAGAGCTCTTTGATCGCCGGAAATATTCATTCTTACCCATGTGACAGGGACCATCATAACCTAACGAGAGTTAGAGAAGAATACTTCAATCATTGGCAGGAGTAGCGTACCAATAAATGGGAGATTGGTTCCCATCAGTCCAATGAACCAAGTTAACCCGGCGCTTGACCATCCAGAATCATTCGTGAATGTAGCAAAGACATAAGACGCATCTTTGTGAGGTGCCAAATAGGTAAGAGGGATCAGAACTGCGAAGAAGCCCATGACGTGAAGGATAAAAATAAGCCCTTCTATCTTGGGAAGAAGCTTTGCCCCTACAGAATTGACAAGTACACAGACAACTAGCCATGCAAAACACAGCAGGGTTCCATGCCACCTCTCGTAGCCGTAATCGGGATAGTTCAGAACAAGAAGACCCTGGGTAACGGTGGCACCGAAATAAACTCCCACGGCGGTGTTAGCCCACCATCCGATCAAGTCTAGCCAGCCGGTCACCCAACTCAGGAACACAGCCTGACCCTTGGGAGCTAGCATTGATACCCAGTGATATTGACCGGATGAAGCAGGAACCCTTGTTGATGTTAGTATGAAGCCGCTGTATAAAGGATTCAGACACCGTACATGGAGGCCATCTCGGCTAGTGAGGCCGCGGTCACCAAAGCACCTATCCAGCAGAAAATATAACCGTAGACGAGAGTAGCAGAGCCACCATCAGCCATTGCGATTGCATTACAGCTGTCCATTTGATAAGCTTTAAGCAAACTTTCAAGGTCATAATCAATCGAGCTTACAAGAGTACCGCCTCCCAAGTACACATCATCGTTGTGGTAAACCCCAACATGGACAGGAAGCTGAAATTTCGCTATACCGTTCAACTTCCATCTGGTACAAGATATGACGAGAATAACTCACCTCGAAGCGCTGCCTCTTGCCAACTCTAGCCATATCCTTCTCATCGCGGTCCTTGTAGCGCTGGGAGCTGAGCTCCCGAACCGCTAGATTGCCATCTTCGAAACCCATTTTTTGTTGAAAGGATGGATATCACACTCGCATCTGTAGTAACAAAAGAATGAAAAGATAGGAAATAAAAAAGAAAGGGAAAGGAAAAGAGTAGAGTCTAGTACGATCTTCCGTTGAGTGTCGGGGTGGTCGCTTATCCCCGTGGCAAATGCGGTGCTCTCGCGAGGTTGAACCAGGATTACATTAATTAATTAATTGAAAATCAAGATACCACCTTAAACTTGAATTGGAACTTGCGATACATGGATAAAGGGGGTGCAAAGCAGCAATGCGCAGCTAGTAATCGTACGGGAAAAGGATTTGCTGTTGAGTTTTATATTAATATTCGAATGAACAGGGATTCCTTGTAATTGTTGTATTTGTTCTCCCCGTGTGCATGCTTCCATTAAATAGACAAATCATATTTGCCGAATTATAAGTATGTCTTAACTTACCTAGGTAACCGATTGTATCTAATCTTTCTGATCTAGAATCCCAGTTCCGTACAAACCAGACAAACCTGTATGGGTCCATAAATTCTTATAAGTACTAGCTGCAATGCACTGCTGCTTTGGGTGTTATCAATTGAACAAAATGCTTCTGCCTCGGTATAACATGATCGCTTGTACCACGTACTCAACATATTAGTCGGTGTAGAAGCAATACTACGACACTTCTCCGTTAGCTCTCAACCTGCGTGGCGACGTTCATCTTCTAATACGATTGGTTCATAGGGATGTTTCTATCGAGGATTCAAATTGGCCTACGTAGCGTCTAGAGCGTGCTAATGCACACGAAAATATAGTATTGATTCTAAATACTAAACTAGTCCCAGACCCTTGATAATTGGATACGTGCATAGCATGGAGCGAATGCATACAGGGTGTACGACATCTTTCGTAATCACGCTAAATTAGATCGATGGCCCTAGTTCTGGACCCTGAAGTTGGCCCACGTAAGTACAACCCGCCATAAGATCCTTCGTACTACATAACCAACATAGTACAAATGACCCCGGGATACCCACTGACAAGGATTCTAAACCCTGGGACGGTGCCCAATGTGGTCCGAGATACCCCGTTCGAACAAATTGTTCTCTAGAACGTGCAATCTATAGTGTGAAAGTAATACGGTGACCCCTCCTCGGAGTAGTGGGAACATGTCTTTTTTCATGCGTAGAGACAACAACGTTCGCTTGCCGCACTGGAGATGCCGTGGACTACTGGGTATCTGTTTTTCAATTAATCATAATTAAGTAAATACGACCCATACGCGACAAAAATAGTCAGTGAATCAATTTTTTAAATATTTGTTGACCGTAAATAAGTCAACACGATTCAGATGAGTTGCGTCTGCTATACGCCATCGCCGGACATGGCTTCCAGTCTTGTTTTCAGCTAATTGGGCGGCTAACACGCATCTCTGAGACAACCATTAGGGAGGCGACTAGCAAATGATAAAAAAGACAGGGATATTTATTGTATGAAACCAGACCTGCACTATGGTGTATGGTGGTATTTTTTCCTCGCTCCGAACAAGGAGCCTCTTTTGGTACGTACGGTAGCCCTCTATCTGTCAATATTCGTATCTCCGTACTGGGAGTACGAAATAAGTCGCAGTAAATTATCGGGTTTGCAACCTTGTGCAATCTCCCGACTCGTTCAATTTTCTTTGCTTTTGACCACAATCCCGACCAATCTTCGACCTGTATTTCGTGCATGCTTACGCATTCGAATATCCTCGTTCTTTAGCTTGCAAAAATTCTAAAAACGTTTCTTCCTTCAATCCGCGCAGGTCCTTCCAGACTCAAGATGAGCTCTACGGTTGATTGGTCTCAGCGTCCCACTTACTCCCCGGAGAAGTTAGACAAATACTTTGACCGAATAGGACTTCCTGCAAAGTATCGGCAATCGTCAGTCATCCAGACCGGTGTAGGTAGTGACAATGAGGCCGCTCTATCCTTCTTGAAGGTACTGGAACGGTATCAGCTGGCAGGAGTGCCATTTGAAAATCTCAACTTGCATTACTCGGTTCAGCGCCATATTTCCATAGATCCAGAAAAGCTTTTTGAAAAGATTGTGAACAATGAGTCCGCGCGGGGAGGGTACTGTGTCGAGAACAGTACGCTCTTTGGGACTGTCTTGCGAAGCCTGGGCTACCAGGTTACTTCAGTCGGAGCTAGGGTTAATGAAGCTGCGCAGCCAATGTCTGCGTCGAAGAACTGGAGAGGCCCGAAATACGATGGATGGTATGATTGACCTGCAGAATGCATACTGCATAGAAGACGGGAAGCCTCGAAGAATGTTCTTGAGGTTTTCCATACTAGCAGAAAATATCAAAGAGAGTCATCACTAATACTCACTTGCAGGAACCACATGGTCAATCTCGTCACTATCGGAGATCAAAAGTACCTGGTAGACGTGGGCTTTGGATCAAATGGACCCCACCAGCCTGTACCATTGACCAGGGGCTTCGAGTTCCACAATGTTGGTACCCAGTCTGGACGCCTATGCTATGGACCAATCCCCCAGTATACCAACAAGACCGAACAGCTCTGGCAATACGAGATTCGAAATGGAGACGCAGACTGGATTTCTGCGTACTGCTTTACTGAGGCCGAGTTTACCCCTGACGATTTCACCATAATTAATTACTATATGAGCACCAGCCGAGATAGCTGGTTTACCTTTTATGTGGTGTGTGTCCGCATGCTTCTGGATGAGGCGGATGAGAGTATTGTCGGTGATCTAACGATGTTTGGTACTTCGTTGAAACGACGGATAGGTGCTACATCGGAGGCGATACAGACATTCACATCTGATGAGGAGCGTGTGGCTGCATTGGATAAATTCTTCAATATCCGCATTGGTACAGCAGATAGGGATAGTATCCGCAACACAATTGCAGAGATTCTCTAGTCTTTGCGAATATTCACTTGAAATTTCTCGTTTTCTAGCTTCTTTTTTTATAGTAGCTTATTTTCTACCACTAAACCGAGCAAGGAACAGACATTTTTGTTACTAGTTGAAAATGCTTGTTGTACCATTAATTTCCTTATAGTGCAGCGCCTTTCCTAGTTTGAAAATAGATAGCCTTTAAAAGTTTACATACGTAGATCCGATTGGCTCATTTATGCATGCTTGCATATAGACAGAGCGTTCGAGTGTACTAACTACTTGGATAGCTGCATGCTATTGATACAAGCGCTTACGTACACGCGTACTTCGATACTTCCATCATCGTAATAGTATGAATTGTTACTCACTTCCCTCAGGGGCGACGTGAAATCTCCTGCATACATCACATCGCACTTCCGACATGGATCTGAAAATCCCTGCACAGCCCATTCCTACATGGCCAGGATCTATTTGCTAGACCTTTGCTTTTTCTTTAACGTGGATTGATGAACTTGGTCATGGATACTAGCAAGTCTCGGTTCGATGGATAGATTGAGTTAGTTGCAAAGATATTGATTGCATGGTCATATAATAAGGCCACAGAATGAGCAGGGCTAGATAGTCCTGCCCTATTTGACTGAGTCGTAGTCCAAAACATCAAGCCCTCAGGATCATTACTAGGAATTGAGAGTTATCTCAGATATGACTTTGTATCAGTCCTCCACGACACCATACCTGCAACCTCGATCTTGAGTATGAACCGAGGTCAAATATCGCTATGACCTTGGCTCTACGTCTCTCGACTGCCGTCGACCATGTGGATGAAATTGCGATCGCAACTCTCTATCTCTTGGTCATGATGATCCTGGCTGTATGGATACGACTAATATTTCGCTACTACATACTTCGCTCATTGCAATGGGATGATGCCATGGTTTCTGTTGCTTTGGTAAGTTTATTATATGGTTTTGCATATCTGAGACACTTTCTGGAACTCGTGCTTACTCAACGACTGTTTGAAAAGGCTCTGGCTATCGCACAATCTGCAATTATTTTCTCCGGGACTCAAAACGGTTTTGGAAAGCTTCAGTCTGAGATGTCTGCAGCCAATTTTATTACAGTGGAAAAGGTAGCCACTCCCTTTCCTCTCTCTACAAGGTCTACTAACATTGGAGGCCGCCAGGATCTGTACTCTTCCGATCTCTTATACATTCTCAGTTTAAGTCTTGCAAAGATTTCCGTGATTCAATTTTTGAATAAGCTCTGCGTTGCCGAAATTCACAAAATCATCTGTCGTTGGTCATCCCTTCTAGTCGCCGTATGGACTATTCCAGTGGTCTTCACTCTCGCCTTCAAATGTGGCGCGTCCAGCCCCTGGGACTTGGAAAATGGACATTGCATCAAGATCGTGAGCTCGGATTTCCATCTAATCCAAATTGCAAAATCATATGTACTGACGAAACAACCTGTCAGTTCGATTTCTGGGCCGCTATATCCCCAATCGACATCATCACAGAACTAGTCATCTGCCTGCTTCCAATATACATCGTGAAGCCAGTGCAAATGAGAATCGGCAAAAAGCTCACAGTCGTAACCGCCTTCATCTTCCGCATCCTGTAAGTCCCAAAATCCGTCGCGCAAACTTCAGAGTCTAATGCCCTAATCTTAGCGTCATAATTACCACCATCGCACGTCTTATCTTCATGAGCAGAGCCGACTCACTCGCAGACATGAACACCGCCGCTTTTGCAACCAGCATCACAACCCAACTCACTCTCTGCCTTAGCGTCATGACTGCGTGCATTCCTTGTCTGAAACCGTTCCTTGATGCCTTTGACAGTGGCATGCTCAATGTGTCGCTACACGAGCGCGTTGATGGAAGCTATAGCAATTCATACTCACACTCAAACGCGTATGCTCTTGTTAGCATGACTCGAGGCACAAAAGAATCTAGAACACGCTCCCAATACTTGGAAGATGAAGTCGAGGGGCTGGGTACTTCGGCTAGCGCTTTCGCTGTTACGGCTCCTGTGAGACCGGCGATTGCGGTCGGCTCTGCAATGTGTATTCAGCGGACCGATCAGTGGAGCGTTAGGCGTGAGCATGTAGATCGCAAAGAAGCTGAATCGCTCGGGGATGAGACGGAGGCATCTGAGGATCGAGGGAGTCGGAGGGGAAATCCATCTTTGTGATAATGATGCCTTGTGTGCATATTGAAGTCATGATTGTTGGATCACATTAGATTTTTGGGAATACACACTAGATTCTTTTTCTTCTGTTGATGATACATTCTTTTCTTTCTTGAACGCTGTTACTTCCGTTGCATCTGGGATGTATTTGCAATTGTCATCTTGAAGAAAAAGTTTTGCTGAACTTTCAATAGATTGCAGGATGAATATGAAGGTGTACTAATTGTCTTCAGTGAGCCAGTCTAGTCAGCATGGCTCAGGTAGGTAGCCATCAGACTTTCAGCAGTGAGGTACTAAATGTAGGCTTGGTGGACTTTCAGTCCATTGATCGAAGTAGATGAATGATCTCTTTTTGGTCACAGAAGAGCTTCTGTCGCTCGACTAAGCCGTCAGACAGCATTTGCTCAAACATCCAGAATGTTAGGCCAGGCGATGAAATCGCTTGTCCCTTGATTATTACCCTCGTTGCAACGCTTGGGTGGTGAAGATGGTAGCAAATTACTGCCAAAAGTGTATCAAAATAAAACGAGGCCTTATTAGATAGATTTTTGCTCGGCAAGTATAGGCATACTGTGGTCGAATTCTCGTGTCTCAGTGTCCGGCCCTCGGTAACAGGAACACTTTTGAAACTTGGACCCTAGAATCCATGGATGGTAGAAAAGATTCTTTGAGGTGACTTGCACAGTCCGTATGGAGGTTCCACGGATGTAGAAAAGTTTATACCTACGTAGAAGCCTGATGTGTGATACGGCAAGGCATGCCTCCCGAATCATTTGCAAACAATTATAATTACACATCCCGAACCTTGGAAGCCACACTAGACCCCTCTGAAAAGCTCTACTAGGACCAAGGCCGGGCGACTGTCCCTTTCCTCTTTTCATTGTTCGTATGTTTTCAAGTTATCGGACGAATCATTGTACTATGGAGCTATCCGATGACCGATAACTGGGGAGCCATGTTCACTGAAACACTAAGCTGAGATCTCGTAACAGCTAGATTAGCGAGCAACTGTCGTTCCGGAGATGTTACTCCCCTACAGGAGAAGCCTCCCTTTCTAAAGCCGATTGGCGAGGTCCAGGAATGACCATCTTTCGTTTTGCGGAGCATGGTAGGTAGTAAGATCACAGAAGAATCGGCAGCGTTTGAGAGCAAAACAATTCTGTTACTTGTAGCAAGTGAGGAATGCGTCCCTGGAACATGACAAAGAACATCCCAGAGAGACCATCGTCAATGTAACATTTTGTCAGCGGTCCCATGTTGTTTGGTAATCGAAGTTTGCACTCCTATGCGTAGCGAGATGAAAGCTCATCTGGGCTAGAGCATAACGCACCATTCCCCCATTTGAAAGAACTACCCCATCCGGAAATTCTATAATTTGATTAGCGCAGCATCGCGTTGTTGATATCGGTGAATGGCTAGCCCTTCCACATAAGGTTCACACTAAGCGCAGCTTGTGAATCGTGACATGGTAGATGATACGGTTTCCTACGACAGATTCCTGCGTCAACTGAATAGTAATCCTCTATGGCTCTAATTTACTAAGTAAGTATGGCGCGGAAGTTTAGCTTCAAGCTTTTGAAGGGTGGTTACCGTTTTGGTATCTCAACAAGCGCAATTTCAGAGTTCAGGCCCAACATCTATCAGTCCCTATGTCGAGCCACTTCCAAGAAAAAATTTAGCCGATGGGAATATAACGAATTTTACGGGTAAGTGGACCACACCGGGAAGTGGGACATGTATTTTACCCATGAAATTAGTCAATGTAGATAGTATCAGTAAACACTGCTCAATCTTCCCAGCCCATGCCAACCCAGAAGTTTCCGCGATGTGTCGCTTACACTACCAGCAAACACTACCAGCAAGTGGAGCCGTTATCATCGTAGAAAGTAGCTAAACTTAGGCCAAAGCCCATATTACCTGATGACATTTCAAGAGAACCCTCTCTGTGTAGAAGATGTATTCGAAAAGCAGGGCACCAGGACAATATGAGCAACACACATCTCATAACTTTCGTTGGAACACCTCTTCCCAACATGCTGACGCGCGCAATGCAGCTTTCTTCCTATACTCACAGAAAAATCTTTCGTCTGAACCTAAGTGTTGCGATCTCTCGTACAGCCAAGATGAAAGTTATATCCTCTACAACGCTAGCCTCGAGGTACGCCGCCTAGTACGCTTCGAAGTGTGATTTGCCGGAATTAGGCCTCTAGCCATCACTTTATACAAGAAGCATGTGGATTCGACTAAAGGCCCCCAAATGTCCGAGTGGGAAAAGGCCTCGGCGAATGGAGAGAGGGGATTATGGACAAAATGATTTTTGACGTGCAATTACGAGAGATAGGGATAGGACAGAGCATGATTCTCAATATATATCTCCCTCGGATCACTATATGCCGAATAGTTTCACAGTTCTCTAAGAGTGTTTTGATACTTTCCCTCTTGACATATTACGTATATAGCATCTCAGCAGGATCCCTAGCAGATATGGTGGAATGACGGAGGCTGTGGGGCCTAAAGATAGGTATGAAGAAGCAGGATTCACGTATTTGACTTGGTGGAGTCTGCATAGCACCAGAATAATCGGGAGCTGCACCGGACGTTAAAGAGAATGACCAACCAACCAACCAATCCTCTATAAATCAAAAATCACATGAATGTAGAGCATCTCCGACTATCTCAAACTAGCCGGACAGCGAGCTTGCACTCTCCCCATTCGCAGGAGCCGATATACTGAAAAGTTGATTATCTGATTTTCGATCAGTCATCACTGCGATGGAACATCATTACGACCGGGAAATGTCAGGCAAAACATGCCGCTAGTACGCACGTAGCTACGTACAGAATCCACAGTGGGATCAAAACCGAGACAGATTATGAGCCAGGTTGTCATTGGAGGCTTCACCGAGTCAAAGGAAAAGTCGCAGAATATCAGAGAACAACCGCATGTTATGGATGATTCGATGGCCCATCAACACGCCCACGCACAATTCTGATGCCCGAGATCGTGGGGCCGGGTTTTCGATGTGCATATGTAATTTCCTAATCAGGAAATCTCCGCGCCATCCCCGGATAACAAGGATGGACATTATTCTCCCCGCGTTTCGGGAATCATCCACGGCATATTTTCTATCTTATACCGAGCAAGTATCTCCTCCCCAGAATTTTGCGGCGTAATTGCGTTATTGCTCGACTGCATAATGCGGAGAAATGCAATCTAATCGGAAAAACGCAATCTAATCGTAGTAAATCTAATGGCTTTTCGTTGGAATAAATACCGAGTAAACGAGAATTTAACTTCAGCCATCGTACGTGACCACTTACATTCAAGCTTTGCGGGAAAGTATTTGACTTTCATAACGTAGAAAATGTTGGTGGCTTTGGCGGCATTTCCGTGCCGATCATTTGCTTATTTCTGCTTTGTTTTCAAGATTTTTTCTGTCCTGTTGGTGAAGGAGGGGGAAATGTGGAGAGGATATGGTACACACGTAGTCAGTCTATGCTCGATGTCTGATGTGTGAGCGACATCGGACGTATTCTGGTAGGTTATATAAAGTAGGCAATTCCTAGAATAAATCAACGGTCGAAGAAGACCACTGCAAAAGGTGACGATGGTTCGGTCAACTATTCTCGCGACTGTCGCCCTCGGCGCACAGTTAGTTCATGGCCAGTACATCGATGAACAGGTCTATCCTTCTCGTACGTAGCATCCCTCACTTAGCATCGCATTTATCCATTGACGTACGAATACAGCCAACGCAACCGGCGCCGGAGACTGGCACGCAGCCTTTCTCCGCGCCACCTCCGCCGTTGCACAACTCAACATCACTGAAAAAGCATTCCTAGTCACAGGCGTCACGGGCCCTTGCGTCGGCAACATTGCTGCAATCCCACGCATAGGCTTTAACGGCCTCTGTCTCCAGGATGGGCCTTTGGCTATTCGAGAAGTTAGCTATGCGAGTGTGTTCCCTGCGGGTGTCTCTGTGGCGGCGACTTGGGATAGGGGCTTGCTTTATCAGCGTGGTGTAGATATGGGAGCTGAGTTTAGAGGAAAGGGCGCGCATGTTGCACTTGGGTATGTCCCTTACCTGATGATAGGACGGTCATATGTTGATAGTCTGGTTAGGCCTGTTGCAGGACCTCTAGGGCGATCTGCCCTTGGCGGCAGAAACTGGGAGGGCTTCTCGCCCGATCCCTATTTGACCGGCATCTCCTTTGCCGAGACAATCAAAGGAATGCAATCCCAAAAAGTGCAGGGTAAGCCTCAACACCCTTCTTTCAAACCAGGATACTGATGAGAGGACTAGCATGCGGCAAACACTACATCGGGTACGAACAAGAAACCCAGCGCAACCCCTCGACCTACCCCAACGGCACAACCGAGCAAGAAGCCGTCTCCTCCAACATCGATGACCGCACACTCCACGAATTGTATCTATGGCCCTTTTATGAAGGCGTTAAGGCCGGCATGGCGTCGATTATGTGTAGCTACAACCGTATCAATGAGACATATGCATGCGAAAACAGCAAGACTCTCAACGGGCTACTCAAAGAGGAGCTCGGATTTCAGGGTTATGTCGTATCAGACTGGGGCGGTACACACTCGGGTCTTAACTCGGCGCTATCCGGATTGGATATGGATATGCCCGGCGCACTTGACTGGGTTGATAGTGCCGCCACCTCGTATTTTGGGAACAATCTGACCACGATGATCAACAATGGCAGTCTCTCGGAGTCGAGACTTGATGATATGGTGAAACGCATCCTGACGCCATACTACTATCTCAATCAGGATTCGAAGGATTATCCGACTATTGATCTCGATACAGCGCAGATATCTAATGGATTGTTTGGAAATGATTTGCCGTCTTTCTCCTACCCTTTCAATACGGGAAATTTGTCCGACATCAATCGAGATGTCAGAGGTAATCACCGCGACCTGATTCGGGAAATAGGCGGTGCGAGTGCAGTCCTTCTCAAGAATATAGACAATGCCCTCCCCTTGTCAAAAAAAATCAAACGCATCTCAGTCTTTGGCAATGACGCAGCTGATCTATCCGGAGGACCGTACGATCCATCAAACACAAACGGCGTGCTGGCTGTTGGCGGTGGTTCGGGAGCAGGTCGATTCACGAACCTCGTCGCACCGCTAGAGGCAATCAAGTACCGCAACCCTCACGCCTTGGTGCAATATATCACAGACAATACCCTTTTGACTCAAGGCGCCAGCAACTTCCTGGGTCAATCCTCAAGCACACTGGACACAGTCTACCCAGCTGCTGACGTCTGTCTTGTATTCCTCAAATCATACGCAACCGAAGGCTACGACCGCACCACTTTGATCGCAGACGACAACTCCACCGCTCTCGTCGAAGCCGTTACCAGCTACGGCGGCTGTCCCAACACCATTGTCATCCTCCACTCTGTCGGCGCAAACCTCTTACCCTGGGCAGACAACGCCAACGTCACGGGTATCATCGCCGCGCATCTTCCCGGCGAGCAAGCAGGCAACTCTATCGTCGACGTGCTATTTGGCGATGTTAATCCATCTGGAAAACTCCCGTACACAATCGCGTACAACGCAAGCGACTACAACGCGCCGATTGTAAATTTCACGGACGTCGACAACAGTGATACGAATCTTTGGCAGGCGAATTTTACCGAGGGCCTGATGATTGATTATCGTCATTTCGATTATCAGAATATCACGCCGCGGTATGAGTTTGGTTATGGGTTGTCGTACACCAACTTCTCGATATCGAATCTACTCGTTTCGACGAATGCGAGCCGTGTGTCAGCGACTCCCCGCGCTCTTAATGGAACTGTTGCGCCGCCGGGAGGAAACTCAGATCTATACACCGTGCTTTCCAGTGTGCAAGTCACTGTGCAGAATACAGGCAAACTCGCAGGTCGTGCCGTGCCGCAGGTTTATCTGTCATTCCCTTCATCTCAGACCAATATCTCTGATGACGGACTGCCGACCCCGGTCAAGGTACTTCGCGGGTTTGATAGAACCAACGTCCTGTACTCAGGACAGTCGGTTACGCTGACCTTTAATCTGAGGCGCATAGATGTTTCGTCGTGGGATGTGGTGAAGCAGGAATGGGTGATTCCGTCGGGAACATTTGGTGTGTTGGCTGGGTGGAGTAGTCGCGATTTGCCTCTGAGTGGGAGTTTGAAGTTGCTGTAACCATAGCTCGTTGATGAGTTCCAGACAGACATCAGTAATGTTGGCAGACTCCGACATCTAGTATTAGTATGTTTGAATTCGAATCGAAGATCTAGGCATATTGCGTGGAACCATTGGTGACTGTTTGATTGTAAACCGCTACTTACTTGCTCTCAAGGACCACTAGAATTTAGACATACTTAAAATAGTACATACAATTTGTATGCATGCAAAAGAACCGATGCAATTTGAAATGCTCTCGAAACTGGGATATCATCGCGTTAAGACTCAAACAAGCACAAAAATAAACGGGGCAAAAAAGCAGAAAGAGAAGAAATAGTCAACTCGAATATTTGCAAAAAATCATTTAACACGAAGGAAATAGCCACCGTTGAGAGTAAGAAAAATCATAAGAAGAGAGAACTACTTGGCCCAACCGTGTAGCAACTCTCCAATCATCTCGTCGTCCTCTTTCTTCTTCTTGCGCTCCCGTTCCTGTCGCTCGATGGTCTTTTGTTTTTCTTCCATCAGCTTGGCATTGAAGCGTGGATCGATTTTGTTGAGCCATTTGTGCTTGTGTGGTGGCACTGGCATGGGCACTGCGCTACAGGGCGTTCTTGGCAACTCTGCTGGGACAGAGGCCGACAATGTTTTCGAGGTTGACCGATTGTGATTGTTCCCGTTAAGGCTCTTGTATTCCGCCTTGTGTTTCTTGATATCAATCGGACCTGGCGCGGACATCTTTCTCATCTGTGGTGGTATGGGGTACGGCGCTTCGTCGCAGTCGCGGATTTCGTCGAAAATCGGTTCCTTGTCGCTTTCAGGAATTGGAGGTGGCTCGGTGAAAGAACGCGATTTGCTGAAGGAGAATGACGACGAGCGAACAAATGAGAAGGCTCTGTGGGTTGATGGCGCCGAGGACGGACTCAGCGCAGAGATGTCGTTGGAATGGCTGCATTGTCTGGTCAGACCTGACGGCGCGTCAGACAGGCCGGGCATTTTGTGTTAATTCTGATGATGAAGGGTAGGATTCTCAACTGTGGTCGCGTCAGATTGTGTACAAGTGTTGTGTAGAGTGCTGTTCAAAGAGGAGGCCGTGTAGATCTCCTAGGTGCGTGCACTGACAGTCACATCATCTTCCATGTCACACTCATGCTGACCACCGAAATCGTGAAATCTTCAATCCTCAAAGTGAGTAAGAAATATTAGATAGTCATATTCCTCAGAGAGAGAAAGAAAGGCAACAACACAGTGTCAAAGGCAACAATGACAGCTAACAGCAGCACAGAGTAGAGGGGGAATGACGAACGGACGTTGAGGCTTTTTACTTTTTGCGACGGTTTCATTCACCGATTCCAAAGAGGCAGGTGGAGACCCGCCCCTCGTGCCAGCCGTTCTGACGCCTGATTGGCTGCAGGACGGTGACGTCACTAGAGTCTGATACACTAGTTCGCTTTGGGCCCTTTAATGCCTGGGGGTGCCTCAGGTACCCCGGATTTCTCCGCCTGACAGTGCAGAGAAAAGGAAATATATTGACAGGCGGAGAGGCGGAGAGAACAAACAAACAGGAAAAATCTGTGCGGTCAGCAGTATCCAGTGTCCAGTGCCCTGAAAGGATTGCCTGCATGTGCGTAGCAAAAGGCTTAAATCATCAAGCGCGCCTTGCGCCCTGCAAGTACTTGAGTTCTCTGCGTAGGTACCATGGGTGTATTCAGGCTAAGTACATACTATTAGTTCGTACGTAGTAAGTATGCCTGCAAACTGGTATGCGGCGAATATTCTGGATTGCTGTGCTTGGCATGCATCGTATACTGGGCAGATGCCTGAGGACAACATCGAACTGTGCCAGCACACGTCAGGCCAACGGCCAAACAACTCCCGAACTAGAGCGGAAACAACCCTAATTAACCCCTTCCAATCATTGCTTGACTGCTTGGAGGCATCTTGCAAGGTCCAATCGCATGAGAAAACTCCGAGAAATGACTCTGTAGATTAGGTAATCGATGTCATATGTTTTGAGCGGCGGCCTGTGCTGTATTTATTTATCTCAGGTATAGCAACGATCCTAAGGATTATATCCATCACAAGACACAGTTACTATTAATACTCCAGCACCCTACACGTTACATGACCTACTACGTAGTAGACTCGGTGAAGTCTGTGTAGTGCCCACCAAGTCCGACTGGACGCCGAGCAGAGCCAAGCCGCCAAATATGCCGTAAAGATGAGCCGACTCGATCTAGCCAAGAATGCGATTACAAGGACGCGCAGAGAACTAAATTAAGCTCATTATAAGGAGTGGGCACGGAACTATTCCTCCATGAGAATTAGTGGTTGGTGACAACTGAAGCACAAATAGGTGTTGTGCTCTAGCGTATGTTCGTCCAATGTTGCATTGCGGTCCAGCTTTTCAATTACCTACCGACCTAGATATGCATCACAATTAATCATGATATGGCGGTGTCCATCACGCCATTGTACTCCGACTCTTTAATTTCCCATCGATGTAAACATAGATACAAATATGGAAAAAGGTCATTTAAAGTTCCCAGGCTCAAAAACTGCAGCAATTACAACCAGGCCCGGATGGTACGAAACTCCGGCAGCCGTCTGCAAGGACATATCACCGAGCTGTCATAAATGAGAGAGCAATTGACCAACGAACGATCGTATACCAAGTGATCGACAGCGAAAAGCGGGTTCGATCCGAAGGAATTCCGCACCGAGCAGAAATTAGGCTTCAATTGAGTTAATAAACAGCCCATCTCGAATTATGAATCGCTTTTCTCAGTCGCTCAATTTATTTGAGTCGGCCTATCGCAGCAAGGAAATTAATAAGCTGTACAACGACTAGACCCGCGTAGACCAGCATTCTGACTGATCATTCAATCAATCAGGATGATTACGGAAACATCTTGACGAAAGAGGAAAAAGGCGCTGATCCTTGAATGCGAACCCGGTCGATTGTCCAATTCAGCCGTAGTCGGCAAGATGAGATTTTAGCATGATGATTCATCGAAACATTTGAGGTAAGTGCGTCTCTCGGCATGGCGGTCGTTCTTTCCTTCGCGATGATGCGGGCAGCAACTCCGTGTGGTCTTTGCGGAATCACGGAGCGACAAGAAGTATTTCTGTCTTCTCTTCCCCTCACTTGCATCTGTTCGTTTCTGCACTTTTCTTTTTTCTCGCATTGTACAGCGCATGCATCATTGCCGCATGTTCAGACTGCATTTATCTCTGCTTCATCTCTCACTTGATTGACCTCTCTCTCATCAATCCTCTGCTCTCAGAATCTGACAACCCAGCAAGATGCGAGGCCTATACTCCCTCGGCGCCTTAGCCGGCCTCATTACCACAGCTTCGGCTGCATGCCCGATGCTGACTGGCGAAATCCCAGTAGGCAGCGTTGCGAACCCCCATCACCACGGAAAGCGTGACAATTCCAATGCTTCCTCCGAAACCGAAGCCTTTCTATCCGAGTTCTACCTCAACGACAACAATTCCTACCTCACTAGCGATGTAGGCGGCCCGATTGGGGATCAAAACAGTTTGAAGGCCGGCATTCGTGGATCGACACTCTTGGAAGATTTCATCTTCCGTCAGAAGATCCAACATTTTGATCATGAACGTGTAAGTTCTATCGTTATATCTCCTGCTTCAAGGATGGTTCTGACATTTCCAGGTCCCGGAACGTGCTGTGCATGCGCGAGGTGCAGGTGCTCATGGTGTATTCACCTCATATGCCGACTGGTCCAACATCACTGCTGCTTCATTTTTGGGAGCTGCTGGAAAGGAAACGCCCACATTTGTTCGCTTCTCGACTGTTGCAGGCAGCCGAGGAAGTGCCGATACCGCTCGTGACGTTCACGGCTTCGCTACTCGCTTCTACACCGACGAAGGCAATTATGGTCAGTCTTTCACTTCAACTCGTCTAACGATATGTTACTGATTTTAGCAGACATTGTTGGAAACAATATCCCCGTCTTCTTCATCCAAGATGCTATCTTGTTTCCAGACCTCATTCATTCCGTCAAGCCACAGCCAGCCAACGAAATCCCACAAGCTGCTACTGCACATGACACTGCCTATGACTTCTTCGGTCAACAGCCGAGTACTTTGCACACCCTCTTCTGGGCAATGGCCGGCCATGGGATTCCACGATCTTTCCGTCACATTGACGGATTCGGTGTCCACACCTACCGGTTCGTGACCAATGATGGCTCTTCGAAGCTGGTCAAGTTTCACTGGACGTCACTGCAAGGTCGTGCTAGTCTCGTATGGGAGGAAGCTCAGGCAGTCTCCGGCAAGAACGCCGACTACATGAGACAGGATTTGTATAATAGCATTGAGGCTGGCCGTTATCCTGAGTGGGAGGTATGTCGATGTCCATTCGATAGGAGGTAATTCGCTAACATGAACAGCTCGGTGTGCAAATTATCGATGAATCGGATGTTCTAAGCTACGGATTCGACTTGTTGGATCCGACCAAAATTCTCCCTGTCGAAGATGTCCCTATCACTCCACTCGGAAAATTGCAACTTAATCGTAATCCGTTGAATTATTTTGCTGAGACCGAGCAAGTCATGGTAGGTCGGCTTCTTCTTTGCACATAACCTCTAACTGACAGCGATAGTTCCAACCGGGTCACATTGTCCGTGGTATTGACTTCACCGAGGACCCTCTTCTCCAAGGCCGTATATTTTCCTACCTCGACACTCAGTTGAATCGTAACGGTGGTCCCAACTTTGAACAAATCCCAATCAACCGTCCTCGTGTTCCTATCCACAACAACAACCGCGATGGAGCTGGCCAAATATTTATTCCCTTGAACACAGCAGCATACTCACCAAACACTTTGAATAATGGCTCTCCTAAGCAGGCCAACGAGACTGTCGGAAATGGCTTCTTTACTACCCCCGGGCGCTCAACGGACGGACACCTTGTTCGTGCCACTAGTCCAACATTCGCCGATGTATGGTCTCAGCCTGGATTGTTCTACAACTCCCTGACAGCCGCTGAGCAACAATTTCTCATCAATGCTTTGCGTTTCGAGTTATCCTTGGTGGGAAATGAGGATGTTAAAAGCACTTTCATTAGTCAAATCAACCGCGTGAACAACACGCTAGCAACACTTGTGGCTTCTGCAGTTGGTATCCCTGCACCCAAACCGGACTCTAAGTACTACCACAGCAACAAGACGTCTAACGTTGGAACATTCGGTACTCCATTGAAGAAGATTGACGGCCTCAAAGTCGGAGTTCTCGCTTCAGTGAACAATGAGAGTAGTATCGCCGAGGGGCAAGCTTTAGCACGAAGTCTAGCGGGCTCTAACGTGGACGTCGTCATTGTCGCCGAGCATCTTACTTCCAACGTGTCAGCTACGTACTCTGGGTCAGACGCAACGAATTTTGATGCCGTCATTGTCGGTTCCGGTGCTGAAGGTCTCTTTGGACCTCAGACCTTTACAGCAGGATCCATCACTACACTCTATCCCGCAGGCCGTCCTAGTCAGATTTTGGTTGATGCTTTCCGCTTTGGCAAGCCAGTTGGAGCAGTGGGCGGTGCCAGTGCAGCTCTATCAGCGGTAGATATCAGCACTGATCGGACTGGTGTGGTTACTGGAGGTTCCGTCAGTGACGACTTTGTCAAGCAACTGACGGAGGACCTTGCCACATTTAAGTTCTTGGACCGGTTTGCCGTCGATAAATAAACAAAGGTTCATTCTTTGACGATACAAGACTGGCTCTTAGATTGTGTCAATATCTCTAGTGACGACTATAGTCGATTATGCTGTATCGTTAGTTGGTCCAAAATTGATATCCGCAGTCGGAATTGAGCAGTTCAGGAATTAACCGATGTCAACGTACTCAGACCTTCATTGTAGCAGATCTAGACAAGACCCCCATACTAATGGTTAGTGGCCCGCGGTAGCCACCTTCATGTGGGGTGATTAGGTGAGCTTAATTACTATGAGGACACTACAAGGCTGGTTTTGGTATGCCTTCTTCAAGATTTGTTACATACTGATCAATTTTAATCAGTGCATCGGAAAAGTGCCTCAAACCAAGTCACACGTCAAATCACTAACTATCTGGAGCAGTGTATCTTTGAGGAGAGAATATATAGGGGTTTCTCCAACGTCGCGGAGAAATATAAAATAGCCATTGGGGGCACGGAGACTGACGTCGAGAACATAATAAATCCTGCGAATAATGAAAGCAATTCAGATTCAACAATTCGACGAACCCTGACACGTCTCTGAAGTACCAGTCCCAAGACCACAATCACATCAGATCTTGGTCCGCATCAAAGTCGCTGGGTTCTGCCACACGGATTTGCAATGGTGTATGCAGAGACGCCCGCTTTGCAATGAAACTCCCAGATGGCATGAACATCTCGACTGCTGCTCCCCTGATGTGCGCCGGCATCCCCATCTACGGTGGGATTCTTCGGGCCAAAGTACCTAAAGGCGGCTCTATTAGCATTGTCGTAATGGCGGGCTAGGTCATATCGTCACTCAGGTCGTGAAATGCATGGTACGATCCTTTTCAATTTTTTGGCCTCAGAAGATAGAGCTGACGAGTTACATAGGGCTACAAAGTCGTCGCAATCGACGTAAATAAATCACTCCGCCCTCGACGCCGTAGCATCCTACAATCACGCGCCCGACATTCTCGTACTATCCACCGACCCCGCCGGAAAATCACTCACAAAACGACGCCATCGCAATCGATTATCCAGGTCTCGACACCACGGTTCTCGCAACGTATTAGCCCTCCGCAATCAAGCTCGCAACAGACCTGACCCTCAAACACAGCACGATGGAGCTGCTGGGTCAGCCGAAGCATGGAATCACCATGCCGTTTCAGACGTTTTTGTTCAAGGATATTACGCTTGTAGGTTTGCTGATTACGTAGGCTCGCTGATTGCGAACCCCGCTAAGGTAGAGGAGTTTATTTAATTTCTTTCGTGGGAATAAGTTGCATGTTGCCGTCACGGAGTGGAAGATGGAGCAGGTGGAGAAGATGTGGTAGAAATATCTAGCGGGCAAGTCGATAGGGAAGATTCTTATTATTATTGATTAGGTAGTAGTCGATATTCTCCATATTTAGTGGAAGTTAATTGTGATTGTTTGTCTGAAACGGAAGTGGCCAGCCGTTGCCTATTATTACCTTAAACCACTAGACCATTCTACCATCAGCGCTCTGTCTTTTTAATTTTCTTGGGTTTTTTTCTCGGCTTCAACTTTAATCAAGTCACTAACTTGATACGGAATGCTTGACTGCAGATCCAAATTGCTCCAGATTGTCTCGCTATCTGCGAATATCTATTAGTGTCCCTCCTCTCTACGACCGAATCTCTAATCACTCAAGAGTAACATGTCGTGACGTTAAATTCTCGGACAAAAGGCTCAATACTAATATAAAGGCCAGAAAAAGAGCGCGGAGATCAAACGAGGGGAGAAGAAAAGGTACATAGTAAACAAGCGGGAAAGAGGAGATTGTATCACGCCATCGATACCCTGGATGTGCGATTGATGATGCTATCCTCTCTTTAAATTACACCAATACCGCCCTCTAAAAACCTTTCAGCCAGACACAACAGATCATCTTATCTTTGTCGCATTGTATTAAGATTTCGCGATCGTCTTAGGATGTCGACTAAAAAGTACCGAAAGAGGCATGTGTAGCCCTATAATTGCCGATATCAACATCAACCACCACCGTACTACGAAAGCAAAAGCACGCCATGCACAATTGTTGATCCACTAAGCTGACTGTACAAGAATTTTCAGACACCGAATTACGATTGCGCTTTGTATAGGATCAGCATGGATATATAACCAAGTGGTTCTGCACTGTCGAGAGAAAATTTGAGAGTCAGCATCTTGGGTTCATTTTAGCTTCCCTTTCAAGAAAGGTAATAGAGAGTTGGTACAATGGCAGACAAAGAAGACCTCTCCGGGTCAACGCCCACCGATAAGGAAACAACGCTCGCAACAACATCCCATCCTGTCGATGAAGAAATCACTGCTCGCTCTAAGCAAAACCAAACCCACAAAGGTAAGCGAATCTCCAACCTTCTTCACATCGAAGCCAGCACTAACGGACAAAAAGTAAAATGGTTCCATTCAACATTCTACAATGCCCTCATCCTCGGAATCTGCAACTTCCTCGCCCCAGGCATCTGGGGAGCCATGAACTCCCTAGGCGGCGGCGGCGACGAGAAACCCTACCTCGTCAACACGGCCAATGCGCTAACATTCTGCCTCATGGTTCTTTCTTGCTTCTTCGGGACGGTGATTGTAAAATACATCGGTATAAAATGGACATTCATCCTCGGAACAGTGGGCTACGCGCCCTTTGCAGCGGGTCTGTATACGCATAACAGGTACGGCACGGATTGGCTCGTTCTCTTCGGCGCGGCGCTGTGCGGTTTGTCGGCGGGAATATTCTGGATGGCGGAGGCAGCTATTGCACTCGCGTATCCCGAGCCGTATAATCAGGGCCGATTTCTAGGCTTTTGGCTCAGTTTCCGGGTGTCCGGCCAGATTCTCGGAGGAGCCGTGAACTTGGGTATCAATGCCAAAGATAACCACGCTGGCAAAGTTTCGTATACCGTGTTTGAGCTGTTCATTGCCCTACAAGCTCTCGCGCCGTTTGTGGGATTACTCCTCTCGCCGCCGAAAAAGGTCCAACGAACGGATGGCCTACCCGTTCGTCTGAGAATATTTGAGCAGAGTTGGACCGCGGAGTTGAAAGAAGTCGTCAAGCTATTCTTCAGTCGTGATTTCTTGCTTATTGTGCCTCTGATCTGTCAGGCGGTGTACAGCGAGGCTGTCATGTTCACGTACCAGGGTCTCTGGTTCTCAGTCCGAGCTCGCGCGTTAGGATCGTTCTTGTCTGGTATTGTCGCCCTTATCAGCGGGAACTTACTCGGTGCGTATCTGGACACGAGAAGAGTCTCACTCAAGACTCGAGCCAGGACTTCCTTTATCGTTGTCCTAGGGTTACAGGGAGCATGGTGGATATGGGGCACTATACTGGTCACGCGATACAATCGTACTCAGCCAGTGTACGACTGGGTTGATCCTGGATTTGGTTCTGGGTTTGCCTTGTTCCTGTTTTGGGTCATTGGATTTCAGGTCAACTATCTCTACCTGTAAGTTAAAATTCTGTCCCGAAACCGGTATGCGATACTAACAACAGCAGATACTTTGTCATCGGTAACCTGGCCAAAAACGAGCAGGAAGTCATCCGCATCGCAGGTCTGCTTCGTGGTACAGAGTCTGCTGCCCAAGCTGTTAGCGTAAGTCTTCCCTTCATCTATTCACGAAAAAAAGATCGACTCTAACAAAGAAAATAGTACGGCCTCTCTAGCGTCTCAATCATGGGCGCCGTCGGCGACATTTACCTAAACTTCGGCCTTTGGGCTGTAGCCCTTTTCCCTGCTTGGTTGGTCATCAAGGAGATTGGAGTGACCAAGGGAGATCTGAAGATTGAGCGTGAGGAGGCATTGAGGGAATCTGATTCAAACTGACCTGGTGCATTACTGCAAGATGACGCCAGACGCGTTGATAATGATAATGTGATGAACGAAGTTTGGTTGCTTAAGTTGGATACAAGGGTTACACCTCATGGTATAACCAGCCTGGCTACATGTGGATAGACAATAGAAGAGTTCTAATTCATTGACTGTGAGTTTGGGTCAAACACTGTTGTATAAGTCCATACTGGCTTGCATTGATGGTATCTCCGATAAAGTTGTCCGGTTTTAACCATGGACTTATAACTTATACAAAGTAATTTGATACACCTGATAAGTCTTCATCTCGTATAATCGAATAGTCTTTCATTTCAATTGAAGGAACCTAGTGCTTAGACTCATCTTCAAAGTCATCAAGCGGAGGCATCTTCCTGGGCAAATTCTTTGCAAGTTTCGGAGCATCAAAAATGTTGCGCGACTCCATGAAAATCTCATCCATCTCTTCCAGGGATCGCGCATTAGTCTCGGGAAAGAAGAAATAAACAGTCACGACGATGGAAAAGTTGATAACTGCCCAAATGATATAGTATTTATAACCGATTGTCTGAAAGCCGGTCGGAGTGACTTCGACAACAACGAAGTTGAATAACCAAGTCATGCAGTTGGAGATGCCGCTAATCTTCGCACGTAGATGTGGAGGTGCCACCTCTGTCGAGTAGAGGAACGGCAGGCCAAGGAAGCCGAATGGATAAAACAAGTTGAAGGCGTAAAGAGCAACGACCGCAACAATAAGGGCTGCTTGATTGCCACTTGTCGAGCTCGTACCGGCAAGCACAGCCATTGCAATGCACATGCCAGTCGCACTAGTAAGCATAAGCGGGCGACGACCCCAACGGTCAATTGTAAAGATAGCAGAGAGAGCGCCGATAATCTGGATTGTGACCATCCCACCGCTGAGAATGCGGGAGTCTGTACCTCCCATGTGCAGACGCTGATCAAAAATGACGGTCGCATAGAAAGTAAGAGAGTTGATACCACAAAGCTGACCGAATGACTGGCCAGTCATTCCAAGCGCGAGTCGGTGCGCATTGCGCTTCTCTCCCATTTTGAAAATGTCCAACCGGCTGGCGTTCTGCACTAGTTCGAGCGATCTCTGTACGTCGGCAATTTCAGCACGCACCGTTTCGTCTTCTAGGTCAACATCACGGAGAATAGTCAAAATTTCTCGTGCTTCGTCGACACGACCTTTACCCAGCAACCAGCGAGGGGATTCTGGTAGTTTAAAGATGAAGATCATGACGAAAATTGCGAGCGAAGTTTGCAAGATTAATGGCACGCGCCATGCGACCGAACTCGTGTCGATGAAAGAGAATCCCAGATCGACCCACAGAGAAACAGCTATACCAACAGACACGAACAGACCCTCGGTAACGACGTGTGAACCACGATGCGATGAACCGGAGATCTCGGACTGCCATACAGGCACCGTGGCAGTGGTGGCGCCAGTTCCAAGCCCTTGAACCAATCTGGCCACGATAAATTGGCCAAGAGAATATGAGGATGACATGAGAAGGGACCCGATGATAACCAAAGCTGAAGCGATAAAAATGACTTTTCGTCGCCCTAGCAAGTCTCCCACGAAGATGGTGGACAATGCTCCCAGCATGCCTCCGACGGTGTATAATGCGACAACGGTACCTATGAAACAATCTCGGATTAGTACGGGCCTCAGGAGGCTATGTTTGACGTGCATACCTTGAATGTTAGAGTTGAATTTGCTCGAGTTATTGACAGTGTCCATCTTTGGAAACTGCTCAATAAACGACGGCATTGTAAGCAATCCTCCGGCGACAGCCAGGTTGTACCCAAAACACATGTAGGCCGGTAGCACAACCAACAGAATGGTGGCTATATTCAGCCGATGGCCGCGAAAGCCCATAAATCGTGCCATCGTTGCTTTCCACCGAGAGACGAGTATCGTGTAATCCGGTCGAGAGTTGCGAGAGAGAAAAAAATAAGAGAGGAAAGAGGGGAAGGGGACTTGTGCCCGTATCTAACGACTCGGTCGGTGTGTTGGTAGGACTTCTCCCCGGCTAGCCTCGCTTTTTTCTCTTAATCTGCGCCGCMCCCCGCCATAAGTTTACTGTACACATGAATAATACCAACCGCGAAGCGGAGAAGAGGAGGCAAGAAGCCAGTGAGAAGTCGGGTGAGGTGGAGCAGCGAGGGCGCCGGGGAGCCAAGGGAGAGACAGCGTGTCCGAAGAAGAAGAGGCAGTGACTACCGAGTTGAGGTTCGGTATGACGAGGAGTCCCAGATCGGCCCGGGAGGTGGATACCTGATTCGGCAGGCACGCGTTCGTCTCTGCCGGAGAAATTCTCAACAATTTCATTTTGCGCTTTAGTTCGCGGTGCACCTTGAGAGGAGCCTCGCATCTTGGAGTCACGAAGTTGGTTGTCCCATCATTTTATTGTTTTCATACTTGTGGTTGGGCAGAATTTGCAGATTTGAGTCCCTGGACGCCTTCAAACCTTAGTGTTCAGGCTTAAAATGCTTGTTTCCCCTGTAGCCAATTAAAATTCAGTAGATCGACTTACATAAGCAATGTTTGTGTGGCTTATGATTGGCTGTTCTGTGTAGGGCTAGGGCTAGGGCTACTTTGATATATTTTGATTCTTACAAAAATTAACGTCCTAATGCGCTTCAAACGGCGATGTCATTTCAAGTGAGTCATAAAGAAAAACCCACGAAGTAACCCCGATCATCAACTAGTGGTAACCAGCTAGGCAGAGTCATTAAGTATCAATCGGCTTCATCCCCTGCCTCAGGCCCTGCAAACTTCTTGTCAAAATTCTGCATTGCCTTCTTGTGCAAAACAGCCCCGACCCAGTAGTTCCCCTCGTTATCCCTGCCGTAGAGATTGAAAACGTCCTTGTAATGGAAGGCGCTCTTGCTCAAAACATCAGAATGGAAATAGCTGGGCCGACCGACCCCCTTCCTCTGTGGCGCATTTCCGGTTGTCGCCTCCTTTGGAGAACGAACTACTGCTGGACGAAAATCAATGGCTGCATAGAACCGGGTATCCGCCCACTCAACAAAATAAATATGATGACCATCTCGATCTCCGAGAGTAGGAAGCTTTTCATGCGCATTCGAAGTTCGCAGCAGTTTGGCAGTAGCGATGAGTTGCTGGACCGGTCTCTGGAGTTCATAGGCTCGACGGATTGCAATAGCGGTTTTCCCGAATGATTCTCCGGTAAGCGTTTTGATAGGATCCACAGCTACGTACGGCAACGTGGCGTTCTGAATATAAACTCCAGGCTTGGCTGCCAGCGTAGGATAGTGGCGGCGAAGGKCTAGGGAGCCATGAATGCAGACGTTTCGGTCCGACGATTCCATATGCGCACAAGCAATGCTAGCCAGATACTCTTTTATCACATCCATCTCGCTGACATCCTTGTTCATAATCATGTCATACGTCGTTCTTTCTTCGAGCATGCCAAGGGTCTCACGCGGGAGGCAAAGCAAGCGGGATTCCATATGCGGTGTCTGAACCGCGTGCTCAATACTGCGTGCCAAGGTACCGACCTTGGAAATGAATTTCCGCTCAGTAGGCTCCATCAGAGAACGCTCTGCCAGACGAGTTTTGCCAAAATATTCCAACACGTCGGTATCGAAACCTGCCAGGTGAGGAATGGCGTTGTAGCGTTTTCCACCCAACACATCAGACCATGCTTTGAAAATGTGTCCCCATCCAGAGATATCACTCATTGTATGAGGCCATGTTAGTGACATGAGTGTTCCGTCGTTGAATGTCACGATATGGAGGAATATCTGGGGCAAGTAGCGGCTAAGATAGTCTTGAAAGGATGTTGGACGACCATTAGGGCCTGTGAGTGACCGAAACTGTTCGACACCGGGCTGTGCAGATGGATGGGACGTTCCCTGGTGCATTTTCGATGCCACTGGATGATCACCCATAGACATATCGTGGTGGACTTTGCTGAACTTTACCACAGGCTCTCCGTTCTGAATCTCGCTCAAGCTGAAGACATGTACGACTGGACGGCTCTGTGGCTAGCAATAGTCGCGGGCACGCGTTAGCTTTCTAGAACACGTACATGGGAAGAAATACTTACACCGAGACGTAGTTGACCTCCAATCTTTCTCCAGTGGTCGTTTTTTATCAACTGGACCAGGGATTTGTGGAGCATATCTGCGTCAAGGACGTCGTCAAACTTTAGCGTCAAGCACATCACCATGCTTCTTAGCTGGTAGGTATTATCAAAGTAATGCAAGGGAATCCTTTTAGGACACATCTTGTTGAGGTGGTCGACTGCTGATAATCAGTGTGCTGTGTAATTTTTGAGGCCAAACTTGGACGGTCAGTCTCCAGAAATGTGGAAAAACGATCTACTTCTGTGCGTTTAAGTCGGAGACTTGATGGTGTCGGAAGTCCTCTCGAAATCGGACTCTTTCGATACCTACCACTTTCTGGTAGCTCGAAGAGGCAGACTGCCGTTTCTGGGTAGGTAGCGGTAGTGAATGAAGATTGTCCAAAGAGATGAGGATGACTGAAGAGAGAAATGCAAAAGAGACAAAAAAGGTCTGAACTGAGGAAAGTTCGTGGGCTCAGGACAGTAGGGCTGTTTTGGTGTCGCCATGGCGATTCAACACGCACAAGCTATTTTGATACCAGAGCTCTCAGTTCACAACAATAAATCAAGCGATCAATATCTGGCTCAACCTTATTGTATCCTGTATGATGAGAAATGCTGAAAATGCCAAAGATCACCAATACAAGGAGGAAAATGGTTGAGGTCATTCACATGTTGGAAAATAGTATTCACACAACATCACAATCCAAATATTCAGAATCTCATTCTTTTTTGAAAATCAAAGATTCCAGAATGTGCTATAATCCCGTGCCCTTCACCAAGCTGATATTGGGGTATATTCAGTCGACTGGTAATTTGGACCCATCAACACGTCGAGATCCGAATTGAAGGGAATCCCCGGTGCCTCAATGATACTCTTTCATCTGTTCCTACACAGATCATGCTCTTATAGTGCGAAGTATGCATGTACGAAAACAGTGATCCCACGGCTTTTTACACAACTTATAGGTCTCTGGTTGGGCAACAGTATCAGCTTTGGATGGAAATTCAGTGCAGTAGCTCCCCACCATTGTATTTTCAGTATCTAGCATCTCACGGAAAGAGACACAAGATTTGAATGGGAATTTCCTCCGGCAGCTTTATCACAGGCCTTATCATCTTGAAGGGAACTTGAAGCCAGCCTTCTATGCGGCCGTCTTTTGCACGCCTTGCCGAATCTTGAATATGTTGATTTTCAGTACATCATGGCTTATAAACACCTGTTTTGTCAGCGAAAGGCAAGTTTCTTTTGGACTTGATCAAATCTAGTTGAGCGTCAGTGGCTAACTGTAATGTGAACCAAAACCTGTCTAGAACTCTTTTCACAATACGACGCCCTCCGAAAATGGTATGAAATGTTAGTGCAACATTGAGATGGAGAGTGACCCTGAAACAAAACTTCTCTGGATATATGGACAAAAGTTGCTCGGTTTAATGCAAAGTGCAACCTTTGTACCGCATGGAGAAAAGAGATACCGGAAAGCAAAGCCAATTTGTTTTTAAGTGTCTTCACCAAGTCGTTTGTTCCTAGCTAGTCTCAACGAACATACAGGCTCTTTAACACAACATTGCTATTACAAACTTCGAATTCTTTTATACATTTACAATTTTTGAAACGTCTCTCCTGCATCCAGATTCTCGCAAAAGCCTCTTCTCATAGAGGCAACTGCTTCCAAAATCAAGAGCCAATGGCACGTAAAGTCACCACCACAGAGATACGACCCGACAGTGTAACCTTCCTAACCAATTAAGCATCGTCATTGTCTAGCATAGCAATGCCAGAGAGACGTCGAATCTTGTGCAGCTTGTCTTGAAGTTCGTCACGTTCGGCCTTTAACTCTTTGATCTGCGCTTCAAGATTTTCGTTGTATTCCTTCAACTCCCAGGACGTCTCTTCCTCGTTATTGGCACGCTCCTTCAGAGTCTTATTTTCAGCGGTGAGTCCGGCGTTGCGCGCACGAAGCACATGGACCTGATCGAGGTGACTTTGAATGGTATGAAGCGCCGTCTGGAGTTCATTTGGTTGATTTGAACTCGACAACTGCATCTCGCTAGAAGTGACTGTCTGCGTTTCCATGTCCTTTACCGGCTGTTTGGACGAGTTGGACTTCTTCTGACGCTTGCTTGGGGAGCCAGACTCCGACTTTTTCTTCGAGCTTTTGATGACGACTAGCGGTGGTGATGGTGGTTTGGGTGTGTCTAGGGGGCGTTTAGAGACAGCTTTTGGAGTAGTTATTTCAGACTTCTGAGCCGCCTTGTCGCTGACTTTGAGAGGAGAAGGGGTAGATGTCGCTTTTTTGGTTGACCCTTTCATAATAATCACAGAGTCGACCGATGATTCTGATGTAGAGTCCGTGTCCATGTCCATGCCCATGCCCATGTCAGGTGCAGGTGACAGTTGAGTTTTGCTTTTACACTCAGCACATTTCCAAACAGTTGGAAGTTCCTGAGCATCGACCCACGCACAGACGGGGTCACAGTACTTGCCGCAAGAGACGCACTCCAGGAGCTTATCACTAGCAGCCTTGCAGATATAGCAGGACTTGGATTTATTCGAAGAGTCGCGCTCTAGTAATCAAAGACATAGTGTCAGGGGCATCAAAAAAGTTTCAACAATCAACAGAGGTATAGGTCGCGCTTACCTGAGGTCAGCTTTTGCCCCATGGCGCCTTGGCTGCTCTTTTTCTGGGACATTTCTCAGGAACTTGTCAATATTCTCTGCTACGTCAACGATGTCTTTCAAGAAGCTCAAGGAAAGGTCGCTGGAAGCTGTCACTGGAAGTTGTCACTGGAGGGTAGTTGGAGGGGTAGATAATGAGTTGGGTGAGAGATGGACGAGGGAGAAAATCTTTTTGGTAAGTCACATGCCCCTCTAGGTAGCCAGTCTGTTTGTGAAGTGTTTGCTCTAATTGTTTTGACGATTTGTTTGCATTGGTGTTTCGTGATGGCAACTGTTTGAGAGCATTCGTCCTTTGTTGGGCCTAGATCTTGGCATATCCTTCACATTGTATCCAGCACATCAATCAGTGTAAGCCAACGTCGGCCTCTTGTATTGAGCTTCATTGCTGTACCCGAAATCGCTTCCAGTATGTAATGAAGAAGAGGTCGGATTGAATTTCAAGCTCGAGCTCCGGTTCTTGATGACATGTGCGAAGAATGAACTTCCTATCTCTCTCTGGCTTCTCACCCAAGAAGGTCATGAGGTCGTTGACACTGGTAGATGAAACTTACTCTGTAATGTTGATCCCGTTGTAGATCTCATGTATTCGCCTCAACTACCTATTAACAAGAACGCTACCACCCAAGCCAGGTATCTCATAATGCGCAGAAAAACAGACAACAACCCATGTGTTCATATCCCATTGAATTTCGGTTTTGTACAGGTATCAGCATATTACTATTTGCCAATAACGTAAGTATTCTTTAGACTACCTTGCATACGAATCATGCAGAGGGTCCTCGTCTCGATCCATATCATTGCTATGCGATGATCGTGTAATCTGTCAGGGGTACCATCAGCCCGGTCCAGCAGATAACCAAGGTATAACAGAAGGATCTAGCTCACTTCTAACGTTCTTGTAACATTGATCGCATTCAACTTTATCTTTTGTGCAGGGTGGTAGACACGATCACTGCCTGAGCGATAACTCGCTGGGGCCCTTTCATCAGTGCCGTTTGGATAGCTTGCATAGCGTCTGCTATGATGTTGACGACGGAAAAAGATTGCAAATGCAGGCAGCGTTCCAACGACGACAGCTATGTAGGTGTTAGACCCGACCCTCTGTTTAATCGGAACAAATGGGGCAAAGGGAATTCTCACCTATCGCAGTCTCGATCAACCCCCAAAGCATCAACCACGAACTCGACGGTGTGTTGTCACTTCTCGATTCCATTCCAACTGATACAGTACGCACAGTTGCCATAACCACGCATACAAGTCCGACACCAAACACGCCACCGAGTGCAACTTTTTCCATAAACGGGAGGCGAAGGAGCCAGATCAGTTTCCAAGGGAGAAGCATAATCATGAGATCGGTAATGACGTCGACGGCGAAGGAGAAGTACAGACTTGCTACTTGGGCGACGGAATCTCGGTGGGTGGAACATTCACCTGGACAACATATATGTTAGGTTCGTTTGCAGTCAGTACAGTGATCATTTCAATACGTACCAGGCGTAAACCACGCGTGCATACTGGAGCACGATGTAAAGTTTGAAATGACACATCCAATGAACATCTGTCTCTATCAGTCAGAAGAATGGATAAGCAAGACGATAGCTAAGGTACAGACCAAAATTGTAAAGGTCAGAACGGCCCACCACCATTTCATCTGATCCGGTAACCCCACGAAGAGCCTCCGATAGAGAAACAAAAGACTCAATTTGACCGACCAAAGCACTATMCAGAAGATGATCGTATTCGCAAAGAAGATCTCGACAACGAACAATGAATCTTTCAAGAGGTCGGGATACAGCTGCCCTGTCGATACCGCCGTGTCGACTCGGTACAAAGCAGGTGTCACGACGATATACAATATTGCCAGGACAAGAAACGAAACCCATGAAAATAAACAGATGCCATCTTCAATTTGAAACTCTCTCTTCTGCTGCGTCCATCGAACTGCGAATCGCGCAATTGTGAAGACCGTGGCGACGGCGATGGTAGAATAGCCGGTGGAAAGCACCTGGTCCTGAGATACCAACAATTTCGCTGCTGTTGCACTCATTGTGCGTTTTCCTTCTATTTATGAGGTTCGTCTACTTGTCCAATTCTTCGTTGCTTGTTGTGTTGCGATGCGTTGTGGTGATCCGCCTCCTCCACCACCGCCGTCACCACCGTACGCGACCTCAGCTATGCTGTTGTCCTCGTATATTTCAACCCCTTCGAGAAAAATTGTTGAATACTCAAACCTGGCTGGTTGAATGCTGTTGCGACCACAAATAACCCTCACACATAGCAAGGAAAGACAAAAAGGCGATCAAGGAATCCACCTAATTGACAGCGAAATAGACTTTGACTTAAAACTTTGTTGCTTTTAGTATTAAGCTTTCGTTGATTGACTCAATACAGAAAACAGTGTGGCAGTTCCACTATGGCGTTCGGGAGCCTCGGGCAGACCCTTAATAGATATGCTTTTTCTCTCCAGATGATCGTGAACCGCGAATTCGAGATACAAGATGCACAGTAAGACGGATGATCATCGACAGACCCGCCAGCAATCGGCATATTTAGCAGGGAACAGAGTCACAAAATCGAGAGAACACCTCGGGCAGAGGTACAACTTGCTGCAGGACTGCAGCGAAATTGCTCCACCCCTCCACCGAATCCCAGCCTGACGAAAAATGCGCCCAGAGTGAATTAGTGCTAGAAAGTGGCTTGTATACACGAGGCGCCTGTCCGTTTTTGGCGCCGATAACTACTAGTGCCAACATCGTCCTATTCGGGGCGGCTATAGTTTCATCACCTAAGACAGGGGCTGAATGTTACTGGTGGGCGGGTTATTCTCGGTAATAACAATCAAGCATGTTAAATGGCTGAAGAAGAATTACTTTGATAATAACCGCAATCTATGCTCGGTCGTATTCAACCTTTGCGAGATCTATCAGGGCTTACCCCTCTTATAAAAGCCTCACCTTAATCAAGCAAATTGGGTTAGACCTTCGATGTTGCTTGCAAATTAAATCGGGTGTCTCGGATCCCGATTCCCAGTTGGCAGTCAGAACTAAATTATTGCATGAAATCGCACGACATGCTGCTCTGCCTCCTTGCTGACTGACTTGCGAGATTTGAGAATGTGACATCCGTGCTCCGTACTTGCTACGAAGCATGTCATGGAACGTAGATCGATGGAGTGCTCTTATCAGCGGCGGGAACCCACTCAACGGAGTCAATCGATGCATACTGAATCGACTTTATGGAGCAGCCAGAAAGTCAGGGCAGGTTGGAAGGACGCTCCGAGCCGCCGTCAATTACTGTCTTTAGACTTTAGGCCTTTAGGAACCTCTAGATCCGCTTTTAATTATTCGGTTAGCTTGTAAATCAAGTCTCTCTTGCACGTGTTTTGCGTGCTCCGAATCTCCAGGTGGTGTACAGTACGTAGAACCACAATCCATAATCCTATAATGTGTAATCTCAAACGAATGTAGATGCTAGTATCTCCATTCGAGTCCAGATTCATTGCTCGTATTTCCAGGCGATCACATTGGATGCACGATTCACGGACGAAGACCTATGAACTCGAATTCAGTCGCTTCACGTCAGAGGACTTTGTATGAGAGGCTTTCCGGAATGACATAACCAGCACTAGTCACAGCCATTATGGTAGAAGAATGGAATCAATACTAAAACCGTGGGCCGGACACTTAGTGAAGACTAGAAAACGACCCAATGGTCCCAACCTCGAACACGGGAAGAAGTGCTACTACGGGGACGCCCTAACTGAGTCTGTGCAAGCACGGACATGCCACTGGTACTTAAGTGCTCCTAGCAGCGCAAGGGCGGGCCGAGTAACACACGCTAGTCTAGCCCCGACTTTCCAGGAATACCTGGGCCCATCTATCGTTACATTTGTCTTGGCCATGTTACTGCCTGGCTGGACGACGTGCATATGAGACTCGCACCAAGGCCCGAATGTAACGGCCTGCATTGATGAAATGTTTCAACTTGATTTCGATTCACGCTTTTAAGATTTGATAGAAACATATAAGTTAATAGATGGGTAAGGGTCCATGTACGCATATCTATTGAATCCCATTCCTGCGAATACGGAGTGTACTATTTAGATTGCTTTGACCGCGCCGCAAAATAACTTCCGGATCCTTCGGGTGCACGCAATAAGACTCCCATAGTGTTTGACCAACTCTCGCTATGACTTGTAAACATTGACCCCATAAGTTATTACTTCTCGAACGTTTTCCTTGATTGAGAAGGACGTAGACAAGCACAACTCTACCCTAGGGACATATACCTAATCAGGATGTCTCTCCGTACTGTAAACCCAGGGACCGATTCTGCTGACGAACTCCTTTTAAATGTTTAAGAACCACAGCAACCGCTTTGGCGCAGTAAATCTCCAGACTTGCCTGTTGTCTTCATCTCTTGTACTCTGTATATCCGTCTGTTGGTGACTTTGATGGGAGGAGATACATCAGTCGCTTTCTCTGCTGCTTCTTTGTCCTAAATTTCCCCGTGGGGCTGCAAGAAGACCCCTCGTTGGCCTCTCGTTCCGACCCTAGTCACTCTCGTTTTCGCCCACGCACTCGTCCCTAACTTATATTTCCTTATATTCGTTCTTCGCCGCGGTAATTTCTGTCTAAAACATCCACAAAATGATGGGGGTGGCAAATCTGGTCGCAACATTGGTGGTGACAGCAAGCCTCGTCACAGAGGCTGTTGTGGCTCAGTCGACTGCCGACATCTTGAATCAACTACAGGCCAACGGCGTCAACATAACTCTCCTGAACAGTACAAGCACTCCTACTCCGCGATCGCAGAATGGCTGCTCTCTTCTGGTGAGTCCAATCAATTCTGTTTCTCTCGTCCTATCCCTTGTCACGCAAGAATTACTTGCAGAAAAACGGCCCCCATGCGTGGAAGGGTCGAGCCAGCCCCTTGCGCCGATAGTCTAGACGCTACTCAGACTAGCGACATTCATGCAGTCAGCGCTGTGATGGCTCATGCACAGCACGTGTTATACCCCTGTCAAGAGTGCTAAAATTTATTCTGATCGCTGCATGGGCGCTTTCATGTAGATTAAGATCTTAACTGATGAGCTTCTTTCAAACCCTAGTCATACGCCTTGGTCAAACTATTTCCCACCAAAACCTTGATTTCCAGTGAGAGCGGCTTTGCCAATTGGACGGAATCATTCTGGTCTCAGCAGCAAGAAGAGGTCACGCCTCAATCAATCTTCAAACCAGCCAACCCTATAGATGTATCGTCAGCAGTGCTCTTGGCAGAATTATTTTCTTGCCCTTTCGCCGTCAAAAGTGGTGGCCATGCTGCTTTCAGTGGCGCCTCCAATATTCAAGGAGGACTTAGCATTGACCTCGGTGCGTTGGATAGCATATCCCTAAGCAAGGATCAGACTGTCGCCTCTGCTGGGGCCGGTAATGTCTGGGTCGATGTTTACGACTATCTTGAGCCGTACGGTCTGTCGGTCATCGGAGGCCGAGTCTCGACGATTGGACTCGGTGGGTTGACAACAGGAGGTATGTTCTAGAACAACCACTAGATCTTCATCGTTTAGATCACAATTATTAACAAATTCAGGTGGCATCTCGTTCTTCTCGCAAGAGTATGGATGGGCCTGCGACAACGTCGTCAATTACGAACTTGTCCTCGCATCTGGTCTCATCATCGATGTCAACCAGTCGTCCTACCCTGACCTCTACTGGGCCTTGCGTGGCGGCGGTAACAATTTCGGCATTGTCACTCGTTTCGATCTCAGCACACACGTCCAAGGTTCTCTTTGGAGTGGATCGCTGATCTACCTGTCTACCTACAGTGACCAAGCCATTGACGCCTTCTACAACTATGGTATCAATGCTGCTAGTGACCCCAAATCCGCCGTCATCATGAATTGGGCATACACACAAGGTCAATTCCTGGCCGTAGCTGACCTTGAATACGCAAATGCCACCATTAACCCACCAATCTTTCAGAACTTTACTGCAATTTCAGCATACGAGAACACGTTGGAAGTTCGCACTCTTCCCGAAGTAACAGCCATGTTCCAAGAATCCAACCCTGACGGTCTGCGCGAGAGCTACTGGACTGCCACTTTTGCTTTCACCAAGGAAATGATCACTTATTGTGTGGAGACTTTCGAAACTGAAGTCGTCCGTGCCGCTAACGCGACGGGCTATCTTCCTGCCCTTGTTCTGCAAGTCATTTCCACCGACATGACAACTCAGATGCAGAAGAACGGTGGAAATGCCCTTGGTCTTTCTCCCTCGGATGGAAACCTCCTACTTCTGAACTTGTCATTCATGTGGGAAGATATTGCAGACGACAACCTCATCCTCAACATCCTCGGTACCATTACCAGCAAGACGATTGCCTATGCCAAAGCCAACGGACTGTACAACGAGTACTTGTACATGAATTACGCCAGCCAGTATCAAGCCGTGATTCCATCATACGGCACGACTAACTTTAATAAGTTGAAGAGTGTGTCAGCCAAATATGATCCTTTCCAGGTCTTCCAGAAACTGCAGCCAGGTTATTTCAAGTTGAGCACAGCGGCGCCCAACACGACATACCCGGCCTAGATGTGGGTAATGGTCTACTGTATATTACTACTGCGTGTATAGTACGCTTGGTTAGAATTGTAGTAATTATATACTAATTCTGAGTTATCTCAGTGTCCATTGCTAACTTTAAAGGAACAAAAAAATTAGTATTTGTTTGACCTGATATGAATACGATGTTTCACGAAATGTGCAAATGGGTAGAAGAATCATTAACCGGGTCAGGCCCCCAGTCACCGTCCTGATCTTCTCATTGGTGATCTCCTACTACGTAGTACATGCCTAAGCCCCTCCTTCACTTTCACCATGGATCGACTTGATTCGACCCGAATGGAAAAGTCAGTATAGCCAAATACCAATTATTATCCTACGGCTAAGGATCGCGAATAATTCTGCGTCATCATCTGTGGATTCAAGACCATTTCAATCATGGATGAAATGTCGTTGATCACCACTACATTAGCATTAGTTTCCTGTTACCTAGTTTATCTCGTTGTTGCACGACTTTATCTAAGCCCTCTTGCTCAATTCCCCGGACCCAAGCTAGCTGCCTTGAGCAATTGGTATGAGTTCTACTATGATGTCCTACAGCAGGGGCAATTCACAGCTCATATTCAGAAGCTACATGATGACTACGGTGTGCCAATGTTCATATGTTCTTTTCTGTTCCCGCATGCTTTGCTTTCCGATTTAGTTCATGGCATGGTTCAAGACTTCTGACGCCATCTAGGACCAATCATTCGAATCACTCCTACGGAGCTACACATCAATGATCCTGACTTCTTTGACATCTTGTATGCACGCGATGGGCGCCGGCACAAGTACTCCTATTTCTCCGGCCGTTTTGGCTACGCAAGCGACACCTTCTCAACATGGCAACACGAACTCCATTATCAACGTCGGAAGGCGCTTAGTCCATTCTTTTCATTGAAAAGCATTAGGGAGTTTGAGCCTGTCATCCGGGCAAAGGTAGACAAATTATGCGCAAAACTGTCAGCATCCGTCGACGATGGACGTGTGCTGCACCTGAATCGAGCTTGGATGGCGTTGACTACAGATGTCATCACTGAATATGCTTTCGCCAAGTCATATGACCAGCTTGATTCGCCCGACTTTCAGGAAACTTTACATGATGCATTAGTCGCTATCTATACCACAGGCCAATTTGCTCTTCATTTTTCTATCGTGTTTCCTATCTTGGACACCCTCCCTGACTGGCTAGTGAGCAAGATGGAGCCACGGTTGTTGCCAGTAATTGGCCTGAGTAAGGTACAATGAAACATTTGCCAATAGTACTGTTTGCATGAGATTAGTCTGACTTTTAGACTAGGATCTCGGTCGCAAGGTAGAAGAAATTCGTACTGGATTCAACAACCTACATCAAGACACTAAACATGCAACAATTTTCCATGAGTTGCTAAATAGTGATCTTCCAGAAGAGGAAACGACCAACAAACGACTAGGTGACGAAGCACAGTTGATAGTGGCAGCCGGACTGATTACCACTTCTTGGGCCTTGACCGTTGCCAGTTTTCATATCATTAACAACGCTGAAGTGAGTAGAAGACTGAGACGTGAACTACTTTTAGCGTCTTCAGCGGTACACAATGCCAATTTTCATGACCTCGAAAAACTTCCATATCTTCATGGATGTGTTCGTGAGGGAATACGACTTGCACACGGGGTGACCACAAGAAATCCACGTCTTCTACCGGACAGTGACTTAAGATACGGCGACTGGATTATCCCTCGCAATACTCCCGTGTCAATGAGCAATGTCGATATCCTGATGAACAAAGACATATATCCTGATCCAGAAAAGTTCATACCGGAGCGATGGCTCGATAATCCCAATCTAGATCGCCACTTTGTACCATTCGGTAAAGGATCACGTATGTGTTTAGGTATCAAGTAAGTATCAGCTCTTTAAACCTTGAAAGCTCCATTCATTCGATTGACGCTCTTTGTTTAGCCTGGCTCAGGCCGAACTATACCTGGCTATTGCAACGGTTTTTAGTCGTTTTGAGTTCGATCTGTATGAAACCGATTTGTCGGATGTGCAGATGAAATATGCCTTTCTCGTGCCGTATCCGAAGTGGGACACAAAGGGGATGCGAGTGAGAGTCAAGCAACCGGTTTGTGATTGATGACTAGTATCAAATCTCTTTCGTCCCGTGAGACTCAGGGGATGATAGACGGCATGGAACAAGTACTGACTTGTAATAATACCTAGCATGAACAATTGGTTGTGAACAAAGCCAGCAAAGAAGATCTCAAAGGCCTCAGTCTACCGGTTCATTTGCCGCAACTACTCCAACAATAAACAAATACAATCCAGTCTTCATAATTTCGCACTTTCATTCATAATCTGACAGGAAATTTAACTTTCATACGAGAACTGTAGAGGAACTGATGCTGGAAAGCGTGATTATATAAAGGCATTTATAGATTCAGTAGTAGCTGAAAATTATTTCAATTCTCATTTTCTTCAAGTATACTACGAACTTTCCCCCAAGTACACCAAATATTAACCTAGCCTCAAATGTCCGAACAAAGCAATTGCCCTACCATCAATGTCGCTCAAGCAGACTTCAATGCTCTCGAAGTGTTGAAGAGTCACAGCACCAAGATAGAGAGACTGCCAGAGTGGAACGAGTTGAACCGAAATCACTTTCACCGCGATGGCCAAGCCGAACTGGGATTCCAAAGCCACGATGTCTTTGTCTCAAAAACAGACCTTGGTACTTTCGTTTTCGCAGTCATCGAGTACCGGAATCCAGATGACACAGCGCCCATTACGAAGAACACTCTATTCACCGTCGAAATAAGGGTCAAATATGCAGTAGTAATACCTACCGAACGTGGTACGAAAACGCAATGGCGGAAATTCAGACCGATGGAACGATTAGAAAATATCCCGCTAGTAGATCTCGTCAAGTGTCAATTCGAAGATGGAACTGAAGCCGTTGTAGGGTTACTGTGCATTCCCATCGAACCTTGCTGGACAGTTTCGGATAACAATCCGTTCAAGAACATCGATCAGAAATTCAAATTTGGTGTTGCGATTAAAGGCAGGTATGAGTCAAACGAGGGGATCAAGTATCCTGTGCAACAAAATAGGAGCGACAAACGATCAATTGACTCACAGCAGACCGAAGCTCGGAATTCTCTGTCATTGACGTCGGGAGTATGGCAACTTCACAAAAAAGACAATCAGGAGAATTATCTACTCATGTGTGTGACTCATGGAGACTCTAAGCCATATCCATTAACATCTGCAACACCTATCAAAGTGAAGTTGACCCTCAGGTCGATAGCAAAGCATAGCGAGCACCTCGTCGCTCCCTATCATACTTCGATATCTATCGAGCCTTGGTTTGTCAAGAAAGAGAACGGATATTTTCATGGATTGCTGGCAATCCCTCTTCCCGTGTCAACGGAAAAAGAAGCTCGCTTCTTTGAAGTAGTAACTAAGATCCCAGGATCATTTCGGTTGGAGTTTACCACCTTAGAACGAGAACACTAGATCAAAACACCACCAGTCGTCGGGCAATTCCATTCCAGCGTGTCACCATATACCTCAAAAGTGCAATTAGAGTGAATTTCCCGGTTCATCACCATCGTAGTCGGTCCAATGGCTCTTTGTTTCTAGTTTTAGTCCAATCAATCGGCAAGTTTAATCAACGCTTTATCATTTCAAGGTATCTCCCATACATTTGTCTTGACGGTCGGGGAGTAGGCGAGTGCTGTCCGGCTTGGACTGTCTTTTACATCACTTTTAGATGGCTTACATCTCAATATGCCTCCCAAGTCTGGAATGGGTTCTGCTCGAAGAATGATTAAATAGATCCCTCCCTACCTTGTAAATTTATCATGATCCATCCATCACCGCAACTCCTTCCAACATTAGTCCATCATCGCAACACCTCCCTCCAACATTAACCTATCATCCTTTCTCACAAATGTCGGAAGTACGCCAAGTTGTCTTCGTCGAAGACAACTTCGATCCACTGGAGGTGTTCCTTGCACACAGCAAAGTCTGGAAGCCCGACGTGGTATTTGAAGCGTTAACTCCCTATCATCCTCACAACGACGCTCAGGCTAGAGCAGGATTCAAATGCCACAATATTTTCATGTTCAACAGCGGATTTAACTGTTGGGTCTACGCGATTGTCGAACAGCGAGTGTCTAATTCCACGGAGACAAACACGATCACAATGAATTCGCTGTTCAATGTCGATTTGACGGTGAAGTTCAAGAAAGGAGACGGCTGGAAGAAGGGCACATTGCCATTCACAAATGTTGGCGTGGTGGATGTCATCGAGTGCGTGGTCAACAATGGAACTCGGGCCTTCGTCGCTGCCTTGTGTATTCTCGTTGATTTTAAATGGCGTAGGGTGCAGTACACCAACCCGCGCCCCGACAAATGGTTCGAACGCCCTGCCGCAGATATCAAGGCAGGTCTCACCATCGAGCTAGCATCGGAATTCGATCGGTTCAACATGCCTTTCAGGTACTCTGACTCCGGTCCTGATCCTCACTACTACGCGGGGACTGAATACGCCATTCGCAATTCAGCACGTAAAAACGGGTTTGTCAAAGTGAATTTGGTAGAGAAATTCTCTCCTGATAAGTCCCTCGTTCTATATGAGGATCTCTATCTTCGAAAGTCAGCCAGCGGTTGGGTCTATGTTCGCTTCACAGTCATGAATACAGACACTAGATGGCCTTTGACGACCAATACACCATTTACCATGGAGTTGATGATCGAAAAGGGGACTGAAGAACAAAAGTTCATGGCAAAGCCGTACCACGTTGATACTACGGCCATCTATCCTTGGGCGGTCCGCACGGTAGCTGGCTGCAGCCTCGCTTTCTTCGGTTTATCACTTCCTCAACGCGATGCCTATGAAATTCGTTTCTTTGAGGAGGCTTTCGAAGACATGACTTCGGTGGAGGTTCATTATATCTTGACACGGCAGAGTTTGGCGTGATGTCAAACCACTAGTGCCTTCGAGTAGAGCAGAAACTGGCGAGACATACCCAGGTTCCACAGCGGCATCCCATCATGGGTTCGGCCGATTTTTCTATCTCTTAATCTGGTTATTCCTTTTCTTCCCGGCAAGTTAGACTGGCCTTAGACAGCATATGATTACTTCAAACCGACTCTCATGCTAAAGGCAATTCTCAATAGAGTGTCTCTGAACCTTAGTCTTCCCAAATATGTTCTGTGAAGTCATCCCAACAGCCCATGAGTAAACTTCATCTGACCTGAATCTTTTAAGACTCTTATATGATCATAAACTCGGCGATGTCTCCGAGTTCGGCTTAGAATTTGAAGTCACGCATGCTAGACATGTAGTATACAAAGTATGATATCTCCTAAAAATATGCCAGCATGGCATTAGACACATACTTTCTGAAGATTGATAGACTTCCTACTCTCGACATGTCAAAAGGGAAAAAGCCCTATACATCCCAGAATCCGAATTAATTTATTCTCCTGAGCATCTTCGAATCTCAGAGCTCGTTTAAGGAGAGGTTTCCTTAACACGCTCCGTTGATTGAAGGCCAAATTAACAATGATGTCAAGGCTAAGGTAGGATTGACATTCCACAGGACATTTGTTTCCAAGGATGCATCTATAACTTGGGTAATTGTAATCACTGTGCGATGGCCAGCAGCGGGTGAGAAGGCGTTCTCAAAACACACGACGTTCGATGTTGACTTGGAAGTGAAGCACCAGAAAACAGAATTTTGCAGTAGCTTCACTGATGTCCCGTTAGTCGATGCCGTTGAAAATGAAATTGATTAAAAGCAGGTCAACGTGGAGATGTTTTGTAATCCCGTAAATATTACAATGGACGAACTTGAATATCACGATGACCACTGCGATGAAACTTAAGTAAGAGTCGAAGACGCCAGTGAAAATAACAAGGCCGGGATCAGTAGCATATGGCGAATGGAGAACGTGAGAGATGAGGACAGTCCCTCTAACTGTATTGACACTCTAACTGTATTGACATTGGCTTGAAGGAGAATCATGGGAGTAATGCGTGAAGACAACCGAGAAGGATAAACAAGTCAATGTCAGAAAATTGGACCAGAAGCAGATAAGCCGCTAAGGAGACCCTGTAAGATTATAATCATGAAGCCTGTAATGGTACGTTTTGTGGATGAATTTAAGTATGGACTACTGGTCGCTTTTGTTCCCCAAAAAATGAAGAAAAAATCCAGTCCTTCAAGGAGACGTTCCAAGATGTATATTCGATCGATGTGAGCTATTTACTGACACAACAGGCATGATTCATGACGAGCGAGGGAGTCACCTACTGCATCAGAACAATGTAGCAATGGCAAGCATTCTAACATGTCAGTCTTAACTGAGATTGACCTGGCTTTCACCATCTCCTATTCCGGTGTTTTCTTTTTCCAATCCATCTTTCCTTTTCCTCCCCCAGACCACGTATCATATTTTGAAATTGATTATAGTATATTATGAGATTTTTTGTCGCATCTGGAGATGACTAAACACTGATTCGAAATTGGGTATGTAGCTAAAATATAAACATATGGAAAATCATATGATCAAATCAAAATGTAAATAAGGTACCTAAGTCAGCCGAGTAGTCCTTCAAGGCTAAACCTCTCGGATAATAAGCCAGAGACATTTGCGAAACGGTTCAATTTCTTCTTCGTCGTCATCTTGACCTTCGTTTCCATTCAGACGACTTTGCTTGTAGTCTCTGTCACGCCTCCTTTTCCCCTTCGAATCTCTATCATCTGCACCATTGTGTTTCTTGAGTGCCGCATTGAATCGAGTCAATTTTGACTGTGAAGTCCAGGGTAATATATCAAGTTCCAGGTCCGCTATCCACGGCCGCAGTATCCGAAGACGTCTTTGCTGTGCATCCATCGCCAATTCAATGTTTCCCTCCGTTGCAGCACTGGAACCATCTGGATGTGCTTCGACGGCCGACAATTGCTGCAACAACGGAGCTTGACGACTAACTTTCCCTCTTGAGTCGAGAATGGGAATCTTAGCAATATGTGCAAGAGCATCCAACTTAGCGACTTCAATCTTCAACCCCCTCGGACCGAATATATCCTTGTTCGCATCTTTCAGCAAATTGTCTGTACGACTTTTAGACACCCCCGAGTTTCCCAACTTGGCGATCCCGCTAACAGCAGATCCGATCCAATGGAGAGGGAAAAGAATGGGAACAGCGCTCAAAACTCCACCCGTGGCATCGAGGACTTGCAAGGGCGGGCTGCTTGCGATTGCTTTATTCAATCTGTCCAGAAAATCGAGAAAGACTTCTTGCGGTAGTTTGTAGTCTTTTAATACCGGTGCATACGCGCGCATGAAGGGTGAGTCGAAAGAGGAATCCACTGCGGGAATGGCTACTGGTTTTTTGGTGGATGCTGTTTGTGATTGTGCGGATCGTGATGATTCCTGTAAAGGTTCTGATGCAGGTGCTGACGACTTTTCCGCCCTCGTTGTGACTTCAGGATTTGAGTTCGTATATGCGGGGGGCTGTTCTTCAGTGTTGTCGATGTCCTCCGATAGTAACGTATGGACCGAAGGTGGGCTATCATTTCGTTGATTGAATTGATGAGAACCGTTGAAGTACGGATTATTTGATTTTTCGGAAGCCATTCTGATGGATGTTCATGAAAGAAGTAGATGTACTGTTGAAATTTTGAGTCAATAGTCTGTCAAATTACCGAGAGTGAGTGCTGTGTATCGGTACGGTTACAGAAAATTGAGACTATTCATGTAATTAAAGTACCAACAAGAAAGAAACAATTCAAGAGCAAATGTCTTAACCTTATATTTCTGTGCCTCTTACGAAAAAGAGAAACAAACACAAATTAATCCACCAAGCTGACGAAGTCTACATAATTCAGATGGATACCCAAGCCACGTGTGGGCACGTCTAACCTGAACGAGTCAGCCGTGCGAGCCTCAGCCTCCCGGGCTTATCGCCGAGTGTCTTCTTAGCTTGAAGGATCTTTAGAGATCACTCAATTTTGTACGCATTAGCGCAGCCTCTGCCTGACAGGTTCCATTATTGTTGTTATATGAAGTTCACGGTGCATGTGGTGCGCTCAACCTTAAAGTGTGTCTCATTCAGGCTTCAATATAGAATAACATTTCCGAGACACTACTCCTCGGCCCCAGTTCATGAAAATCATAACTTCCCTCACAGAATAAAAACAAACTTCGGGTCGCGGTCATCATTGTATCCAACATACTTGTCGTACTTTCCATCTGCCTTGTCTTTGTTCACTTTACGGCAATAGAGGACATTGAACAAGATCCTATCTTCATTAGCACATCATCGCGCGTAACAGCCGACTTGGGAAAGACATACAAAAACCAAGCCGCAACCAACAAACTGAGGATTACGGTATGTCCCCGATGATAACGAGGTGCATTCTTTGCAGGATAAATGAAAGTGGCCACGAATCCACCACAGTTTGCGATTGCCAGCTGCATCGCTGATGTCGTGGCACGCTTGTAGTGACCGGCGGAATTGTTTGAGTTCCAGACAAGAACACATGGGACACTAGCATACAAACCGGTAGACATGAGGAAGGTCATTCCGTATCCGACCTGGGCGTTGGAGGTGTTTGCAATGACGGCATAGCCAATGATGGCAAATGGGAGGGTGAAGAGCATCAGAGTGCCACGGAGCTTGAGACGGTCGGAAAGGAACGCGACGATAACTACGGCATTGTGAATATTGGTAAATCTATGAGGTGAGTTGAACTTACCAGTAAATACTGTAGCCACTGCATAAGGAATGACAGACCATAGCTGTACTTTATTGGCGTTCGTCGTGAAGCCAGAATCCTTGATGATGGTTGGCAAGAACAGACCAAACGAGTACAGTCCCGACAGAATGGCAAAATACGCAGATGCCGAAAGCCACATTTTGATGTCGGTGACACCGCGAATGACTTCGGACCATTTGAAAGGTTCATGCTCGACACTTCTCTTGTTAATACTCACGGCTTCTGGAAAGTCCATTGTAATGGTTGACTTACTTGCTTCCGACATCCTGGGAGGGACGGTCTTGACGGATTCTTTCCAACGCGATCTCACGTTCGATAGGAGTCAAGAATCTAGCTGTTTCAAGATTGTTTGGTAGGCCAATAGCAGCAATTATGCCGCATACGACAGTCTAAGAACATGAGCCCGAGCTCCAGAAAAAATACGAGTAGGTTAGAAACAAACCAATAAGCCCTCAATGATGAAGATCCATCTCCATCCCTCGAGGCCTCCACGCGGGCCGATCTCAATCAGTCCTCTAGCTAAAAGACCGCCAAAGGCACCCGATAGAGAAGCTGCGGTGTAAAACAAACCGATTCGGAGTGCAAGATCTGATCGTTTATAGAAGGATGATAGATACAAGACCTGATATTGTAGTTAGTTTCAGTAACCGAGTAATATGCGAAAGATGATACGCACCATTCCTGGCAATAAACCTCCCTCCGCGATACCAAGTAGCGCCCGGACGGCGACAAAGGAGCCGAAGCCTTTGATGAAGCCAAGACACATGGTGATGATACCCCACAAGATTGTCAAGAATGGTAGCCATATTCTCGGAGAAGCTTTTTTCAGGACTAGATTACTCGGCAATTCACTAATCATCAAAGGTCAGCCTTATCTTGCGCTCTCCGAGGGACCGGCGAGTCTGATCGCTCGCTCACCTGCAAACATAAAACAAATAGAAAACTGCTAGCCCTATATCATATTGATGGTCGGTAATGCCTGTGTTGGATTCGAGCCCAACAATTTTCGCATTTCCGACATTGGTTCGATCGAGAAACGAGCATAGAAACAATAAAGCGAGAATTGGCAATATCCTATGCGTAGCTAATCAGCATGTTTACTCGGAACAAGAAATCAATTGTCGGTGGACGCTACCATACCTAATATCAGTCTTGAAAAGTATTTTCTTGACTTCAGGAGACTTCTCCGTCTCAGGAAACGCTGGTGGCGACGAAGCACCCTCAACCTTCTCGTCGTGTGGAGATTTCTCCATTGTGAAGATCAATTAGCTTGTTTCGCGGTCGGGAGCCGGAGTGTACTTTGTGTCGGAAACAGGCCGGAAGAAAAAAACAAAAAGCACGGTGGTACAACGCGAGAAGCAGGGATAAGACAAGAAACGAGAACAATAAGAATGGAAAACACGTAGAATAAGAATCTTCCGAAAGACCAAGAATTCCGGGGAAAGCTGACCAGAAGATTGATTTTGCGGAGTAACACCAGGCTCAGACTGCAAAGGGTGGGTACGAGGCAAAGTTTCGGAGGCCAGAAGAAGAGTCCGAGTCGGTCAGCTCGGGGGGGATAAAGAAACTTAAGAAACAAGAGCATTGACTACCTGCACCGGACTAGTAGGGATTCAATGTTGTTAATTGGGCCAGCGGATAGGGTGGTCTGCGCCGCCGGTGGATCGAGCGAGGTGCAATCCTAGTGCGATGGTCTCCTCTCAAATCGCGAGGAGATGGTGTATGTCGCATCGGGCTAGATTTAAATCATGAGCTTTGTTCATGCCAGTAATTAATTCGACTTGATTGTGCAGCTGCTCTAATCTCGAGCTGCATAGTTGCATATTGGCCGAAAGTCTCTGGTCAAGTTTTACAGAATTTATACTGGTTATATGTGCATAGCCAGGCCTGGACTCCTACAGATGGGTGCTTCCCTTATCTCACTTTTAATGTTCATACAACCATGGTGACATGGGTGTACAATATGTCCTGCAAGGGTTCGCTAGCTGATTGATGAATCTCATCAAACATATGGCTGTCTGTGTAACGATAAGATAACATTCAATCACTCCATTCCCCTCAGGTTCTCAGCAACTCTAAACTCGGCGTCAGTCTTTGCCTTAATTTCATCCACATCAACACCAGGCGCCAGCTCTGTCAGCGTCAACTCGCCCTTCTCTCGGTCCACTTCGAACACACACTATATTGGTTGGCAATTAGTCAGTCTGTCTATCAATATGTTCCAACGCTAAGGAGCGAGAGATACCCACCAAGTCAGTGATTATCGTACTAACGCACTTCGCCCCTGTCAACGGCAAGTCGCATTTCTGGACAATCTTTGACGACCCATCTTTCGCAACATGGCTGGTCGCAACGACAATTTTTGTATTGTTCGGATTGGAGACTAGGTCCATTGCACCACCCATACCCTTGAACACTTTGCCCGGGATCATGTAATTTGCTAAATCGCCGTTGGCGGCAACTTGGAGGGCCTGTAAATTGCATTAGCACTGTGACCAGTATGTGCTTTTGATATGTGGTTGAAATGCGCGTGGCGTACCCCTAAGATAGAGACGTCGACGTGGCCGCCGCGGATCATGCCAAAGGACTCTGAGCTATCAAAAGTCGAGGCGCCCGGTACTAGAGTGACGGTCTCTTTGCCGGCGTTGACAATATCCCTACGACGAAATATCAGTCGAACAGAATCAACTTTGACATCGTAAACATCATGCTTACGGGTCAACCTCATTCTCGGCCGGATACGGCCCCATGCCCAGTATACCATTCTCACTCTGCACCCAAACTGTGCGACCCTCTGGCAAAAACGAGGTGGCAAGTGTGGGAATGCCAACTCCTAGGTTAACGTAATATCCTTCTTTCAGTTCCTTGGCAGCACGTTTGGCGATGCGGTTCCTCTGGACAATTTCGGGTGTTTCTTTAGTTGTGGATGAAGTATTGTCCGCTTCTCGTAGCTTTTTGATTTCAATGTGTTTTTCGGCCGTTGCAGGAACGATTCGGTCAACGAAGATTCCTGGTAGGTCGACGTCGTTGGGATCTATTGATCCTACAGGCACAATTTCCTCGGCCTCGACGATAGTCAAGGTGGCTGCCTTGGCCATGATAGGGCCAAAGGCTTTGGTTGTATATCTGGTTCACAACAGTGTCAGTTTTATGCACCAAGTCTTCCAAGTTGCAAGAGAATTGCTACCTGAATACGCAATTACCGGCCTCATCAGCCTTCCACGCTCTCAGTATAGCCACATCACCCGTAATAGCCTCCTCCATAAGAAATTTCCTTCCCTTGAACTCTCTCACCTCCCTCTTCTTCCCATGCTCCAAAACCTTCCCATCACTGCTCAAACGAACCGGAATCTGACCTTCTTGCAACAACGTCGACACTCCCGTGGGCGTGTAAAAAGCAGGAATCCCCGCACCACCGGCCCTAATCCGTTCCGCAATTGTGCCCTGAGGACACAACTCAATGGCAATTTTCCCCGTCAAGTAGTTCTTCTCAAGCGTCTTATTGTTTCCCAAAAACGAAATAATGAGTCGCGAAATCTGTCCCGCATCGGCTAAAAGAGCCAGTCCACCAACTTTGGCGACACCAGCATTATTAGAAACGGCTGTGAGGGAGTGTAAGCCCTGAGGGCCACGGCGAGAAATAGCTTGAATGAGTGTCTCAGCTACACCGCACAATCCGAAGCCGGCCGAGAGGATAGTCGAGCCGGATCTGAGGTCGGCGACCGCGTCATCGGCGGAGGAGAAGAGTTTGGATTCGCCGCGGACAATTCGGGGCGCGAGAGGCTCAGAGTAGCGGGGAAATGTTGTAGTGTATGCGCGTCGATTTATTGAGTATGTCGCTAGTTTCTGACGTGGATGCGATCTTGTTTTGGATGTTATTGTGAGTATCGAAGTAAACAGATGCCGACGCGATAAGAGGGCCGCGCAGCCCATTGTTCGGGGCAGACGAGCTGCCATGCTGTAAGCGCAATACTATCAGAGTCGCGAAAGAGAAAATATGCGCACGAGACGAGGATTCTAATGGAAATGAATCAATTATATACAATTATGTTGAAAAGAAAAAAAGAACGAAAATCGAGGAATACATTAACTCCTCGGCAAATCATCCGGGGTGACGACATTGGCCGGAGCTACTTTTGGCCCCCGAGGTTTGCTCCATCCGCACAGCCTGTCCAAAGCGAGCTCGGGTGATTGATACTGTGGACAACTCTGTTAGATTTACGGATGAAAGGGCCTGTCGCGCGACCAATTGGTCATATGCAGAATAGATATTGATAACTGAAATTGTATCTGGTATTTACACGCACACTAGTGCCAAAAAAAAAGTAACGGCCGGCTACATGATCTCACATGAAATTCAAATCGGCTGCATTGGAATTATCGAACCATTCCCAGAGCATCATTTCGTTTAGAGGAAAATTTTGATAATCCGGTAGCATGGCCCCCGCATCTCCCATTGGTAATGAGACGCTATTCACAGCATCGACGATCTGATCTCCCGACATGGAGGAGAATTGTAACGGTTGACCTAGGGGATATCCCATGTGCTGAGTAGAAGGTGAAATGTTTGGCGGAGGATGATGCGGTAAGTATCCCTGTGTATATGCGCGTGAATCATTGGGGCTGTAATTTCTAGCCGTGTGATATGGTTGCATTGGAGGAGGCTGTTGCTGTTGCCGGGGACTGTGATAACCATCGGGTTGACCACGGGCACGGGCGACAAGCTCGTGCAGAAACCGTCCGTAAAGGACTGAGGCGCCATTACGGTGGCGTGGAGTAGCTCCTATCCTTTCTAGAACATCTGCTGTTTCTGTAATAAGATTCAAAACACTCGGCGCAAGGCGGTTCTCATTTTGTTTGGTTGTTATGAAGCCGAGACTCAAAGCTGAACAAGCAGCGAAGGCGATCATGATCACGGTATTGTTGGGCATGGATTTGAGTCGCGACTCTCCCTGAGTAGCTGTGCGCATCACGTTGAGTGCCGATGACAAGGCCTCCGACCGGAAGAAAGACCGGACTTCAGTCGGAGCTGTTGGATGGTTCATGACACTACTATATGTTGAAAGTCGAGTATGTGTAACCAAGATCTCGACATATGGCGGTAAAGATTGTGCTATGAATATCAGCCGAGAGGCCTCCTTCGCTTTTTATAGCACCACTTACAATCGCCTTCGCTAATAGATAAAGCCCACATGGCGAACCACGAATCGTAAAAGCTCTCGATCATAGATTTGATTCTTCTTTGTCAGATCCATCACCGAGTTGAATGTAGTGATGATAAACTTACGAGCGAGCAATGTCAATTCCATTATCCGTTTTGCGATAGTCATCGCATGCACGTCGAACTTTGCGTAGAAGCTCATCCTAATAATAGTCAGAAAATACAACTTCCTGAGAAGACAAAGCACGTACAAGGTCTCTTCGTAGTATGGCCATTGAGTTCATTTGTCCATCACGAGGGTCTGCAATGTCTCTGTCCTCCAAGTGCCACTTATCGCAATTTTCCAAAAGTGCCGTAATCGGCACTGAGTAGCTCCGCCCGCGAGCTAAACATACCCTATAACCGTAAGAATCTCTGCTTGGATTGCAAAGCGGGATGGCGACTTACCCTCTTTCGACCACAAATAAAGCAATCCACGTTCTTTCTCTTCGGCGTAGCAATCTGCGACCATACTCCGAACTAGCTACCACATCTTCAAATCCGTCCATCGCTAGTGCTCTCCGAGCATCGATGCAATCAGCTTTTGCAAACTGGCCTCCAGCTGTGGTTTGCGGCAAAGTTGCTACTTTGTTCAACGATAGATCTAGGGCAATACTTAGTGCCATAGAAATATACAAGCAAGTGTCGTCATCTCCAAGTACCCTGCCTGGTGCCATCCAGGGGATATTTGTCATGAACGCGAGCACAATCTCAACCGACCGATGACGACGTGCAATAACGTTCTGTGCTAGGAATTTGACGTGGGACGAAAGTCGTCTCGAAAGAGCTTCTGTAGACGGCAGGAAGGACGCCGATGCAGCTAAGATGGATGTAAATAAGAATGATGAATGGACTCGGACAAATGATACTGTGTGAATAGCAGGGTCGAAGCCCCAACGGGTATGTGACAGACGATCGTAAAAACTAGATTTCTGGGTTAGTCAGGCTACAGAACACGGTAGGGTTCATACAAAGTAAAGAGATCTTTTGCATCTTCAAAAGTTATTAAGCCGAGATCTACAGGGTCCAACTCTGGTCCAATATCTAGACTCGCCTTCATTGGAACAAAGAAGGAGTCAACACCCCGAACTGGGTGGTTCATGTATACAGTTCCGGGTGAGGACAAGGAATTGGGTGAGTTCGATGCCCGGGCAATCGCAGGTGGTACCAATTGCAAATCTGAAGCGCGAGCAAGTAGCTGTAGAGGGTTCTCGGCATCGTCCAGTGCGACATCATCGCTGCTTAGTCTTGCTGCACTAGGTTGTTGCGCCTGAGACAATACGGATGTGGCATTGCTCCCAGAAAAATCGGTTCGAACAACTGGATTCCGACTAGCGAGCTGTCTTTGCGCCTTATCCAGTAAGTCTTGTAAATGCGCAATGACTTTCACAGGATCGCCAACTTCTTCTTCGTCCCCTGGTGAGCTTTTAGACTTCTTGATCGCCTGCTCGATCTGATGGAGAGCCTTGTCGACTCCCTTTCGCTTGCTATATCACTTGAGTCTTCTCTTCGCATTTGGAAGGATCAGTGCATATTGATAACTTACTTTTTGACCCCCTTTTGCCGCCCCAGTGGGTGATTCGGGATGACACACTCTGTCCGGAACTGCGTACACCGTTCGCAACGGACCTGACCCGGAACACGATTACATTTCAGCTTCTTACTGTGGCACAAGATGCATGCAGCCTGCTTGGTAACCCGCGGCCGCTGCGGCGGCGACTGGTATGTATCGGTCTGTGGGTGTTCCATGTGGACAACCATACACGTCGCGAACAATTCGGGGCAATCGACTCAATATGTAAGCGTTGAAAGACAAGGCTGTCCATTTCAACGGCAACGAGCCAGCCGGTGACTAGGAAGTATCGCTTGAGAAAACCTGCCGGCAAGGCTAGAGCGTGACAAGCGGGAGTGACATTATCCAGGAACTACCCCGGAGTTCGACTACTGTGAGTGAGTGGAATTAAGCATGCAGAGAAGACTAAGTGTGGAGCAGGCTGGGTCTTGATTGAAAGAGGACGTAGCGAGAAGTTAGAAGAGACAATCTGTTGAGTCGGGCGTCGGACGTCGGAAGGTGGGCGGAGTTGCACCTACCAGTTTCCCAGCACGGCAAGAGCTAAAAGCGCTAGCCCGTTGTGGCCTCAGGCCCGCATTTGATTACGCAGTCCTACTATTCTTTTGATCTCAAATTGAACTGTCTGCATGACCTTTACTTATGTCTCTACCATCTAGCTACGCTACTTTGCGCCGATACGATGAACAGCGGGATTCAGGAGAAGATCTTGTTGATGGTTATATATTTACACTGCACAAGTACGCTTAATTTGCGATTCCAAATACGACGGTCACGACTCAGGACGAAAAGGTATACACGCAAAATACCAGTTAGACTACCACTTGACGCCATTCAACTTCAGTGGCAAATGAAGCATGCAGAATCCTACGTCCGTCGTCTTTGGAAGCCGACCGGCCCGGATATTCATTTGCAAAGACTGATGGAGTAGTCGAGGTGCTGCTAGTTTGGCATCCCGTTTTGTACGCAAGGCCACAAAGTCGTGTTCCGTTATGCCATCCTTAATATGTGCATTATTCTGCTTGTGGTCCCGCACGCTCACCCAAGGCACCGGCTTCTCGCGACCAGCGGGCGGGTAGTCGTGACCCGTCCATATTTTCACGTTGTCTGGCAATTCCAGAAGTTTTCGCCCAGAATTGTAGAGACTATTGGCACTTCCGCCCGGGAAGTCGCATCGGGCGGTGCCGATATCCACATGGAACAGTGAGTCTCCGCAGAACACATTATCTGTTTGGAATATTAGCCGGCATGATCATCAATCGCAATCTTGGACCATAATTTACCTCCAATCTTATAACCCAAGTGGTCAGGAGTGTGGCCTGGAAGATGAATAGCCTTGGCTGACAGGTCACCAATCTTGAAACCTTCATCATCATTGAAAAGGATGTCATAGACGTTCTGGTATTCCTCTGACGGAACTCCGTACCTCCGCGCAAACGTTTCTTGCACTTGGCCGATCCGCTTCCCAATTCCAATGCGTGGCTTGAAGCCCTGGTCTTCGGCTAGACGCCTTTGCAAGTAGGACGCTGCGGTGATATGGTCTGCATGGGCGTGCGTCTCGAGGATCATATCGACCATGTAGTTGTTCTCCTTGGCAAGCAATATCAAGGCGTCTGCAGAATGCGTGTTGATGGTTTGTGTGGATGGGTCGTAGTCTAACACCGGGTCGATAATAATGGCATGTAACGTCGAGGGGTCAGCAACAATATACTGCCAAGTTCCTGTATTGCTCTCAAAGACGTCATGGATGATCGGTTCGCCGCCATTTCGAGACGGCTGGGTGCTGTATGATTGCATCTGGACGGTACTTTGAGGTGCGATGGTTCGAAGAATGGGGGCGTTTAGAAGGTGTTGTCGTGAGATCTTTGTCCTGTGAAGATTCAAATTCCGTGTTCGCGACTGTTGGTATATTGAACTAGCCACGCAGTAATCTCGTGCAAGGGTAAGGGTCGCGAGCCGAGTATTTGCAACTCCGTCGAGACAATGGCGCAGTGGCGTCACAGTAAACAGCCGTATGGACATGTTGAGAAGACCATGATATACGCACACTTGCTGGTGCAGCAACAAGGCCCAGCCATACTTTATAAAGGCAAGCCATATTCCCCGGGTTGTACGTAACTCCAGCACAGCTTGAAATGACATTCCATACTACGTGAACACGAGATCTCAGTCGGCGACCGCAGACCCGCTTGCCGAAATGGTCGGCAACCCACTTTCCAGCTGTATTGTATTGCCATTGGTTGAACGTATCAGCGAGTCGGCCGAATCGAGCGGCGCGATCAGCCCACCTACCCCAATACGGCTAGCGCTACTCGGCCGATTCGGGGGAGTCGGCAGTGTCACAGCCAATAGATAGTCGTCTTGGCACTCACATGTCCTACCTTAATTGCCTGCCCAGCCAACCAGCAGCGCGGAATATTGTGTGATCATTCAGGGCAGGAACGATAGGGAAAAAAAATAGAAAAGGGAAGGAGCTGCCCCACATAGCAAACATGGCCAGGAAGGAGCTCAGGTCCTATTGAGCACGTATATCTTGCCTTCTCTCCCTCCTCATCTTTCAAGGCTTCGTTTTTCTACATTGTGTCCCTCTTTACGCTCTGTAATTTTCTACCCAAAATGTTCGGCAACCGCACGGCGACCGCCGCCACAAAGGCCATCCCCTCGATTCGAAGCTTTGCTACAGCTTCACCCGTCGCTACTGCTCGCAACCACAAAGTTGTTGTCGTTGGTGGTGGCTCTGCCGGTTTGACCGTCAGTCATCAGCTTCTTCGAAACGGCCAATTTGCTCAAGATGATATCGCTATTATCGMCCCCGCCACATGGCACCATTACCAACCAGGATGGACTCTCGTTGGAGGAGGCTTGAAAACCAAAGAAGAGCTCAGAAGACCGCTGGACAGTCTACTGGATTCCAAGCTTAAGTTCTATAACGAAGGTGTAGCTTCTTTTGCGCCTGAGGATAACTCGGTCACCCTGAGCAGTGGCGGCAAGCTTAACTACGACCATCTCGTTGTCGTGCCCGGCATTAACGTCAATTTTGACAGTATCAAGGGCTTACCAGAAGCTCTCACAAACAAGGAAGCTCTGGTATCGTCGATTTATGGTTATGACACATGCGACAAAGTTTTCCCGAATGTGAAGAAACTACAGGGCGGTGATGCTCTATTTACTCAGCCCCTCGGTGTCATTAAATGTGCGGGTGCTCCGCAAAAGGTCATGTGGCTTGCTTTGGATCATTGGAAAAGAGCTGGACTCTACAGTCCCGAAAATACTGCCACTTCGCCGATCAAAATCAGCTTCGCTACCAGTCTTCCTGGAATGTTCGGTGTTCCCAAGTACAGTGCCAAACTCGAAGAACTCCGGAAGGAACGAGGTGTTGAGGGTTTGTTTCAACACGATCTTGTCGCCATCGAAGGTAACACCGCCGTTTTCAACCGCCTGGATAGCAAAGATCAAATCAAGAAGCACTTTGATTTTTTGCATGTCGTTCCCAAAATGGGTCCTCACGCGTTCGTCAAGAACAGTCCTCTCGCCGACCAAGCTGGTTTCGTCGACGTTGATCAAGCATCTTTGCGCCACAATAAATATGGCAATGTGTGGTCTGCTGGTGACGCTTCCAGCCTTCCCACATCCAAAACTGCTGCTGCCATCACATCACAAGCCCCGATCCTTGTTCGTGGTCTGTTGTCAGTTATGGAGGGCAAAGAGCCCGAGGGTACCTATGACGGTTACACCTCGTGTCCTTTATTGACTGAATATGGAAAGGTTCTTCTTGCTGAATTCAAATATGGAGGAGAGCCAAAAGAGACATTTGGAAGCCTCTTTGGCATTGATCAATCTGAGCCTCGCCGTGCGTTTTATCACTTGAAGAAGGATTTCTTCCCTTGGGTATATTACAAAGCTATGGTGAAAGGAACCTGGGCCGGACCTAAGGGGTTCATCAACTAGACCTAATACTGATACGTCTCCAACCTGTACATATATGAAGAAACTTTGAAGACGTGATTGGTCACAGTGTAAAACAAAATACCCAACTTTTAGCATTAACTCTCGTCCATCTATGTTCTTAACTAGGAGACTCGGTGATTGACATCAAGCTCGGATGGGATGAGAATGTGCATGATGATGACCGTTATGCTTGTGCCCACTGCCCAAATAATGGCTTGCTTGACGATTCTGTCGGTTGCCAGCATCAATCTGAACATCATCTTGCATCTTATCCTCAATTTCATTATCATCGACATCAATAACATCCACATCAGGCCATTCCTCCCACCCATCCTCCCACAATTCACTCAAAGCCTCCTCCTTCTGCGACGGTGACATTTTTGGATTCTTCATAATCCTTTCCCACTGCCACATTTCTTTGTCATTTAGTAAGCACTCATCCAATGCTGATGAAATCTGGGGTGGATCTATTCCTTCTCCGATGAACACAATCTCCTGCCTTCGATCTCCCCACTGACCATCAAAGTCTCGCTCGATCGACTCAACGATGTCCTTATCGGCAGGCCACATCTCACGGGGAAGCTCCGAGAACCAAACACCGCCACAGCTGACGGTAAGGATGCCACCGGCTTGGCTCCATTCACCAAACTGTAAACTTCGAGTTGCAAGCCAGAAGAAACCCTTGGAGCGAAGTACGGGGCCAAAAGCAGGGTGAGACTTTTTATTTCCTAGAATCACCAATGGTTCGAGTTGGTCAAAATCGGCGACTTCAGATGCTTTGTCCTGTTCATCTTCTGCTTCGTCCATTTCCTGGTCTTCGTCGCCATTTTCGTCAGTGTCGTCAGCGTCGTCGGCCTCCTCGTTCTCGCGACCTTGGAGTATAATAAACTTGTCCTGGAGGAGAGCAAAAAGACGACGCGAGTGAAAAGGCCGTCTTGCTGAGTAAACAAAATTGTTTATGCCGTATCTAAGCCACCTCGTTAGTTTGATTTTGAAAACTTGGTATGAAAATCTTACTCAAGTGTCTCCGGCTTAGGGGCAAGTCTTTTCTTCCCATCCGCAGTATTCATCATCATCATCTCATGAAGACTCCTCAGCCATCCAGCACCAGATGCGGCCTTGATAAAATCAAATTTACCAGTCTGCACAATATCTGCGACATTCACTCTCGAGTAACTCGTCTCGATGACTTTGGCGTCCGGATTGAGTAATTTGACCAGCTCTCGAATCCTTTGACGCACTGATGCATCAACGCTGTCAATCTTATTCACGATAAGCACATCGGCAAACTCAATTTGGTCAACCATCAAGTCTGAAATTGTCCGTTCATCTTCTGGGGCAATCTCTGCGGATCCGTACCGGTCTGACAGAAACTCAGCGGTATGAAAGTTGGAGAAGAGATTGAAAGCATCGATGACTGTGACGGTCGTATCGAGTTTGGCGAGCTTTTGCAGACCTCCTAGTTCCGCTCTGCATTGCGACTGCCGTCAGTACAAGCGAATCGAGTGATTTAGGTCGAACATACACCTCTTCCAGTATTCTCCTTTCCTCCTGCCCAGTACTATCCATCTGCTCTGGATCAAGCTCCATCATGGCAGCCGTAAACTCCGACGTAAAGGTCTCGGCAACTTGCATCGGCTCACTGATCCCGGTGCTCTCAATAAGGACATAGTCCACCATACCCGGCGAGCGAGCCAAATGGGCTAATTCAGCGAGCAGATCACCCCGGAGTGTGCAGCATATGCAACCATTTTGTAGTTGAATCAGCTTCTCTTGCGTTTGTGAGACTTTGTGGTTCGAAATTAGTGCAGCGTCGATGTTTAGCCTGCTATTTTTAGATGACATCCCTGAGACATCAGGTAGAAGAGGATTACTCACGAAGCCATATCGTTGACAATGACGGCAATCTTCAGGCCATGGTCGGTTGATTTTAGTATATGCTCAAGCAGTGTGGTCTTGCCACTTCCCTGTTCATATCATGTCAGTATTTAACTCGAAGAACAGGATTAATGAGCACTTGCTAGAAATCCCGAAAGAAGCGTGACGGGAAGCGCTTTAATCTCACTGTTCTCCTCCATTTTTCATGTAACCTCTGAAAATATCTATACAGCTCGTACTCCAATTGATTATGTTCAATTCAGTTTGAAAGATTACAAATGAAGAAGATAAATCTACATTCCCACAATATTCGTCTCCGTGACAAAGTCATAAGCGAACCACCAAGGTACCGGAAAATTCATACACAGACGAGCACGCCTTGAGTGACAAGATCGATACTATGGCTATTATGGACAATGAGGACTCCTGACAAATTTCGATTACCTTATTGGCTACCTTGAAACAACTCGGAGCCCATAGGTAATGTTTAGAGAACTTTCTTGCAAGGTACTTGTTGTTGGTCAATTTCCTTTAAAGGAAGGTTGGGAGGTGAATTAGGGCTTCCGCCAGACCACCAAGGTACATGCCATACAACCATAGATGAACCCCAAGATACTTTCATTGGTGCAAGGACACTAGCCATCGAATAAGGATTTATTGGTTATGCATAATTTGTCACAGTGCACAGCAGCACAAGGATTACCTATGATTCTAGAGGTTGACGATTAGTGACTTCGTATGGGCAAATAACACACTGCATGTTTGAGTTGTACCTCGGCCTGTACCTACAACTTAATGTAATTATCACTTCAAGCGCTTCAAGTCTAGTTGATATTCTACCCACCATATCGCTCTAATTGTCCTGTTTTTCATACTGCTGGTATTGTCCAATCAAAACATCGGATTCTTCTATTTCAACGTGGCCAATCACGATGCGCTCCGATATCAGTTGAACATCGCAGACCTCCGATCGGCCGGCGTCTTCCGCCGAGAGAAGCTCAACTTTTAATGTCTATAAAGTCCTGGATGATTCCATCTCCAACTTTTTTTGTCTCTCGGGTCAGACGATAAACTCTGGAAGGTTGAATCAGGAAGCTCAAAAGATAAATACAATCAAGAATAAACCACAATGGCTGTCACCGCAACTGTCCAACCTTTGGCCGCTCCCGAAGGATCCACCATTGATTTCGGATCTATCATTACTGGAGTTGATCTCGAGAACCTCTCGGGTAAGTAAGATAAATAGCTGGTTCAAGGTGAAAAGGTTACACTGTCAGTGTTTTGTGAATAATTAATGGGAGCACTCCGGGGATCGGTAACCTCCTAGGGTAAGTGACAAGGCTTTTCTAATCGCCTATTTATTGAAGGTGAATGAACGAAACTAACCACCGTTATTCTTATAGATGAGGATTTTCAGCTTATCCACGACACGTTATACCGATCCAGCGTCGTCGTCATCAAATCAAGGCCCGATGTCTCCGCCAAAGCGCAATATGAACTCACTCGTCGCTTCGATCCTTCCTCAACCGCTTACGGTCATGGCAAAACTCTCGATGCCAAACGCAGCATTCTGCATCCTGATCTCAAGACAGTTCCACATCAACCGCAAGTGCAAGTGATTGGAAACGGGTTTGTCAAGGAGTACGAAGGCTTGAAGGATATCACTCTGCGCCACCCGCACCATCGCACATTCCATCGTGAGGTCATTTCCGATGAAGACGATTTCGAATACACGCGATTCTATCGCTGGCATATTGATGCAGCTCTCTACGACCTTGATCCGCCATTCGTGACAACTTTGCTGGCTGTGTCATTGCCGTCGAAGCGTCGACAAACTCTTCGATATGACGACGGCTCTGGCGATGTGCTCGATGTCTCTTTGGGTACGACGGCATTCGTCAGCGGCTACCAAATGTACGATAACCTATCCGAAGAGGATAAGGAGTTCGTTCGCACTAGCAAGATTGAGTATGCGCCTCATCCATATATCTGGATGAGCGGTGCCCGTTCTCTACCCACTGGATTGGGTCTCTATTCCGAAGGACGAGAACTCGCCGAAACCGAGTTACCTCCCATCGACCCTAGCAAGATCAAAGTCTTCCCGATGCTGTGGAAAAATCCAGTCACGGGAAGATTGGCTCTCCAAGTCCACCCATCCGCTATCAAGAAGATCCATCTAAAAGACGGCACTGTCATTGACGATCTTGATAAAGTTCGCGAGATTGTGTACCGTTTGCAGAGACCGGGCATCAGTCCGCAGTATGTTTATGCGCATGACTGGGAGGAGGGTGATATGGTATTGTTCAACAACCGCGGGGTACTGCACTCTGTCGTTGGCGCTTTTGCTCCGGACGAGGTACGCTTATTCCGGCAGTGCAACTTGTCTGCCAGTCAACCTCCTGTGGGTCCCTGAATGGCTCGCTGAACGTTATGCTTTATGAGATTATATAGAGGGTTTATGGTGTACATTCTGTCGTTATAGTACTAGATTTGATTTCACTTTTCACAGCATGAATGACATTGTTACTTTAGCGTATTAGCTTTACCCTCGGATGTAGATAAAATTTAATCTTTTCGTGTCACAAGTCACAAGTACACCAAGGCTGGCTTCAGTAAGCACTTATTTCCTGAATCGGGAAAGTTTTCCATTCCGGGAAATGCCTAATCCAGTCTTGGAAGCACAACCGACACAAAGAAAACCTTCCGAATACTAATTCCAGATGACCTCATGAGACCGGTCGACGCCACAACTTTAAACAAAGAAAGTGCAAACAATTGGTTTGTGTTGCACCAACGGCGCATTGAGGCTGGACTGCAAGGCGTAAATGGTTTCAGACTCACCCACTCTTCTTATACAATCCACACCCAGCGCTGGGCACTATCGACTACGTAGATAAAATAATCATTATCCACATAGTTGGATTTTTGGTTCTCAAACTTTGGTACCATCTCAAGAACAAAGAGTTCGAAATGTTAACTATAAACACTGTGCCATCGTACCAGGCAGCAAGGTGTACCACGAGGCTCTTACTCAGATTGGTTTGCTTAGGCTTTGGAAACGTATACATCTCAAGATTAGTGCACGTTACAATCCCTTGCACTGAGTTTCGTGATACCTATGAGTGACTCGAAAAAAATGATTTCATGACTAGTTACCATCTACTTTGACCACTACGTGGCACTGTCAGGCTCTCGTCAAAGCGGCTACACTCGACGCGCGCTGTCCACGGCAGTACGGCGCAGAAGAATACTATTGTACAAGTAATAGCACGGATTGATGATGACGGACTCAACAGCAAGATATAAGATACTGACATTGATATTTTTTCCATCGACACTGTATCCCACGTCCTACATCACAAATTGTGAATTCAAAGCCTATTGCGATAGCCGCCAGCTCTATCTTTCCCGGTGCATCGGGATCTCGTCAACTTTCACTCAAGGTCGGCGAGTCAAAATCATCTAATCACATTGCAATTCATCGACTAACTTGTCTTAGATGTGTCGCTGGAGTGAAGTCCTCTACGCCTGTGGACATATCAGACGCATCGAGCGTATAACCAGATGTCATCCTCGTGCAACCTGTGCAATAGATACACAAGATCCTCGACAGATAGTCATCACCCAAATGTTGGATTACTACTGTGATGAATGCTCATATCCATCACCGCCGAGTAGTGATGATGGTAAGTGCTGTCCCATGGGTTTTCTGACCTCACTGAAGGACACTCATGTTGATAGACTTATATTAATGCTACACAACGACAAACTACAAGTTGAAATGATCGATGCCGGTGGTTTTTCATTAGGAATGACGAATGACGAAGATTAAAATGATTTCTCATATACCTCGGGTGGATTCTGTCTTGTTGGGAGGATTCCGATTTAGCGTTCTGTTTCCTACTGCATTTTTCAGGCTACTTTTAGTCATTTCTCATCGTCCAAGTTCGAAATTGACTGTTTCATTCACGTGGGGTTATCCCTCATGATATCTCAAATCTCAAATAATGTTTGTGTCTTTCTAACATAATTTCGATACATTTCTGAGCCCCGTTATCTTGATCATTTCTTATGATTGAATTCCTCGATCCTGGAAATCATACTCCGCAGAAAATGCTTGAAGTCCAGACATCATGTCAAAGTCAAGATCCCACATCAGCCCCTCCGCTATCGCCATATTGTAGATGTCCTCATTAATATTCACAGTTTGCATTTGCGCGGGTCCCGGGTTTTGAAGTTCATTCACGGGAGCCTGGCTCGACATCAAAGCATGCCGGATAGAAATGGCCTTATCCCTGAGCTTTCGAAGAACATTCCATTTTTGACCGAGTGCCGGCATGCCTGGCCTTTCTTCAAGTTCAAACGACCGCTCCACTGCACTCCATGCCTTTTCAGCACCTTCGGACTGAGGATAGACACACAGTGACCAGAGAACATGAGTCAGGCCGCTGTATTGGGTGAATGTATTGCAAAGCCATTGATAATTGGCAAGAAGTTCGTCTGTTTTCATCAAGATACAAATCTCCAACACTCTAATAGCATGATTAAGAGATTCATCACATACACGTTCAGATAGGTTTTCTGCTGCACGGCCTTTGAGATATTGCTGCCGGACCATTGCTTCCATTTTGCCAATTTGCACTTTTCCTAAGAAGAAAGCGTATCTCTGTATTGGTATATTGATGTCACAATATTGGAGATACTTCTCCTGTATTCTTGCTTTAAAGTCTTCCAAACTTTGCTTCAAGCGAGTCACCTTTTCGGCGCAATTCGGGCCCCGGCTGATGATGTCATGAAGTTCTTGCATGGCTTGACTTGACTCGATCGAAACCAGCGGCAAGGTCATCTCCGTCGGTCCTTCTCTGGATCTTGGGGTATGTTTCATATCGGCAGTCAAGTCTGTATCGTTTATGTTGAGGGGAAACTTGGTGTCACAACAACTTCCATAACCACCGGTGATGATCCCGTGATCTTCTGCAACTCGACCATCAATATTCGTGATATACCACCATAGTCGACGGCGGATTTCGCATTCAAGTGGAGAGAGTTTGAAACGCTCGCCGTCCCGGTGAAGGCCAATACACTGCGAGGCACGAACTAAGAGGCCATTTAATACCCACCCAGATCGACCGCTGTTATGGTTCCGGCGGCACATCTAGAGTTGTCAGGTTTAGCCACTAGATACAAATCATTAATAAAAAAGAATACGTACTAGATACATCGACATAGCCTGTATGGAAGCTATTGTGGGATAATCCGAAAAGCCTGCCAGGTGAAGGCTCAATTCAAGACCATATTGATAAGCGTTCAGGGCCGACTGCCGATCCTGGCCTAGTATCAGGTTGGTCTCCGAATCATCTATACTTGTCACGGCTGCGAAGTATATTGAAAAGAGAAGAGCGCTAAAATCTGGAAGTGCTTGCGTAGGATTATTCACTGCAGCAAAAAAGAGAGGTTGCGTGGTTGGAACGTGAAGCAGCCTCACAAGGGGATTAACATTAGTCAACCACACGTGCCACAACCGCGTAGCCTGCGACCTTGTTGGGAAAAGAGTGGAAAGATCTGTTGTGGATATGCAAGGATTTGAAATGAGCCCTCGAAACCCAAATGCCGCTTGTCGCCTTTCTAATGTGCTTGCACTGGTTGGAGTGCCAATTGCCGATTGAAGTTCACTTTCCTAAAATCAATCGTCAGTTCTGTAATGACCTGGCTCAAATAGAGAGCGATCACCTTTTCCAATACTTGCGATAAGAGTGCCTCGTTGATATACCGAGTAGTTACGCCGTCTTTCACAAGAAATCCTTGAGCTAACACTGGGTCTTGATATTCGGGCGGTTCACTTTGGGTTTTGTGGATTTTATGACTTTTGGGCTGAACGATCAAAACCTCTGGCGATTGTGATTGAAGGTCATTACAAGATATCGTATCATCAAGCTGGCTGGTATCCTTCTCAACATGAGGCGGCTCCGGGACTCCCCGCAAAACTCTCTCTAATTTGTCCAAGCGAGCATAAAGTTGCGATTCTTTCCCTCTTTGAGAGCGTCGCTTGGTCTTCTCTGGACCGGGATAGCAACACTGCGCGTTGGCCTTGTTGCAAGCAGAGCATGGCACCATTTTGTTACACCGGACTTTGCGCTCGTGGCATCGGATGCATGATCGCTCTACATTGTAGCTTCTGACAAGCGGCGTCGGTGCTTGGGATGAAACAGTGTGGCTACTAAGAACAGTGGATTGCGACATTTCCGGGCAGAAATCTGTTCGGCTGGGATGAAGATGATTGTTCTGGTGTTTCAGGAGGAGAACGATAGATATCTCGGTGATCCGGCCGTTCGGCCGTTCGGACGCCGAGGATTTATCTGAAGCCAGGAGTCGGAAATAATGATTAGTGCATTTAGAGCCCCGCTATGACCCGTCCAGCTGAACGGAGATAAGACAGCCAATTGCACTGTAGATCTCTGTCTAAGACAAAAATCAGTCGCAGATAAACGTATGGAAAAAAAAACGAGGCTTACATACAGTCTCAATATAGGTTTGGTTAGCCGGTCTATCGCTATTTTGATACTTGCTGTTTCCAGGCTGGTGGTAGTAGTTACGCCTGGAACACCTTCATCATTGCTCCGAACCCAGCTAAAAGAATCTAGACAAGTAAATACCTTAATAACCCTTCTGGAGTCTCAACCTGACATTTGACTCCATATTAGGCAGGCTTTTGATTCTCAGAGTCGCACTCAATGAGGCATATAGAGCAGACCGAACAAAGGAGCACATTAAAAGTAATTGTAGATGTTACACTTGTTCCCTTTCCTTTGGGCAAACTGAAGCTGGCAGGCGATGATAAGAGCCAGCAGGCACGACACCAAATTACGGGCTATCATCGCATAAAAGGTAAGGCGCGATGATGTCGCTTTGCGAGCCGGAACACTGAAGTGCCGCTCAACTGGATGCCTCTCGCTTGGCGATTGCGCTTTTGCTTGGTATAAAGAATTGCGGAAGACAACTGGCCATTGGTTTTTAAATATCAAATAGCAACAACAGTATCATTTGGACCTAACCTCGTCCATTGTAAGGTCTTGGCCCACAGAACCTCTTGTTTTCTCTCATCCTTACTATCCACTGAGCTCTCATCCCTCTTTCGAAGAGTATAATATCCTTCTGCATGTAAATAGTCTTTCCCAACTGCCAGTTCAATAACGTCCACACCGGCATCCTTTGCACTGCGCATAGTTGGATCCACCATCATCCGTAATAACGGACTCAGGGGCTTGATCACTACCCGCGACATGATTTGAAGGCTGGTGGGTGTGTTCGACCGTAATGCCCGCGAGTCACTCAGGTTGCCAGGATTGATTGCGATAGCGGTGATGCCGTTCTTCAGCTGAGAGCTACTGTTCTGGGGACCTGCGTCTGTCGTGGAATCGCCGTGCAGGCGACGATTGAGCGCGTACATCCACGCAACAATTGCCAGCTTAGAGTTCGCATACCGTTGAAATCCGTAGCCCAGGGGGTCGTTCTTTGCCTTTGTGTCTTTTGAAATATCCGCTGGATGGACGAGAGAATCAAAGCCATCATCGTCTTTCACCTCTGGTAAAGTAGGGGGATACTTTTCTAGCGAATTTTTACCGGGATAATGCGCGTCACTAGCAAAAACCACGATTCGGCTATTAGAGGAACAGGAGCCCAGTAGACGCAGTATGAGAGCCGCATGGGCTAGATGATTGACCTGGAAAGTTTTCTCAAATCCATCTTTGCTGATTTCAGGTGGCCCGGTCAGATTCCAGTAGAAAGCGTTGCAAATAATGCTCCTCAGAGGAGGAACAGTGCCTGAGGCAATCTCAGCAGCCAGCGAAATAGCAAAGCTGTGGACAGCAGAAAGGTCGGCTAGATCAAGAGACCGAACAGAGACACGGTCTTTGAAAGGGGCGGTGATTTCTAGCAGGCGCTGAGTATTCTGATCTGAGGCAGAGGGGTTACGCACCGTCAAAATGGCGGTTATGTCCGAATAGGTGGAAAGAAGATATTGGATCGCTGGGATAGCAAGAGAGCCGTTCGCGCCTGTTAGCAGCACGGAGCTAGTCATGATTTCTGTAAACTGCTGGAGGGCCTTGTTTTGTCTTCCTTCCGAGTTCAAAAGCTGTTAGTGAAGTTAAAACACAAACATTAAAACATACTCCTGGTTATATATATCACCGAGGGTATCAGCTGAAGTGGGGCAAAACGGGCTGACTGTCCAGCTACGGGTTATGTTGGCGCATAACCAATTAGAACAAAAGCAGCGCGCTAACCAGATGGTCTATCATGGTATGATATAGACGAGGGAGCTGAGTCGAAGCTGCAATAAGTGATAAGTTGACTATAGACTCACTCCACAGTCATTTACAGGGATTGGTCGGACAATACAGGGGTACTGTCGCCTCTGACTCATGCGAACAAAGAAGCAATGAGATGAGGGGTACTTGCAGCTAGTCATGAGTAGTTCAACCAAGATTGAAGTTTTCTTCTTCAATGGCCTCTTTCGTCGTCCGAGTGATCTGAGCTTGATCTAATTAGGTTCAATAAGCGAACCGGGTTATCTACCGAATGACTGTACCTTTTAGGCGGAAAATACATCAAGAGTCTAAAATGTCCAGTTTATTGTCCACAGAAACTTCAAGAATATCGGACGTATCGAGAATAAACACGGCCAAAGTGTATTTAAAGAGATGAGCTTCTGAGAACCGGTTGGAATTATACGTGCAAACAACTAAAATCATCGTGAACATTGCACCTTAAATTTGAGCACAATTTATCTTCTTGTCATTAGTATGATATTGTTCCGTTAGACTCATCACTAGAAGATCCAGGATTCATGGCAAATTCAAGAGGTTGCATCAGACCAGATCAGCCTGGTTGCTCCAGTGCTTTTGCTTAATATTAATTCAACAACCGCGCAAGCCGTATGTCTGCCAGCAATTTAATCACTGTAAGGCAACCTTACCTTCCTCACCAACGAGACTCAATATACAGCTCTTGCAGATGAGAACTGGTCACAACCAGCTTGGGCAGATCCCTCCTGCATCTTGCAACCGGCGAATACGCCCCAAGTGCAGAACATTCTCCTTCTTCTTACAGCGCAACAGATCCCCTTTGCGATTCGCTCAAGTGGACATTTGCCCTCGCCGCTGGGCGCCAATATCAATCGTGGGGTGCTGGTTGACCTCTCCTTGTTGAAAATGCTGGATTATGATGCAGCCAACGAGGTTTTGTCTATCGGGAGTGGACTAAGATGGCAGGCAGTGTAGGAAGGATTGGCACCGTACGAACGAACAGCCGTGGGAGGCCGTCTTCTAGACGTAGGTGTAGGAGGTCTGTTGCTGGGCAGTATGTGCATTGCTCTGTGTGTGATGGGTGTACGCATCTAAAGCTCCATATTTTTGGATTCTCATATCTCTCCGACTTCTATGGCCTGGCTTGTCAATTTCGAAGTAGTGCTTGCTAGCGTCGAGATGGTCCATGCCAATGCCACGTTTAACTCGGACCTGTTTCGGGCCTTGAACGGGGGTGCAAATAACTTCGGTAAATTGACATACCGTTGAGATTTTGAGGAGCCTTACAATTGAATTGAAATAGCAATTTTCTTGAGAGTGGAGAGTCTTTTGCCTCTAGTATCTTATTTAAGGAGCTATTGACTATTATGGAATAGATTCAAGCCCCACCGTACTGACAAAATCACCGTAGTAAATTAGTGGCTTATACTTACATGTCCATGTCAAGTTTATGTTACACTATATCTTACAAGACCTTGGTATGCAAACCCCGTCAAATTGCTTTAAATGGCCCAAATTCCCTCTCCCGTCTTTCTTTGTTATTCCAATTCCCCACCTCCACAACCCATTCAAAGAGCCCATAATCACCTACAAAATTCTCTTTTCTTCTTTGAGGAAAGAATCATTAAAATATTATGTCATCAGAATCTATCTCTCTCCAAATCACAATCTGGATCAGCCCAGAGAACATCCCCAAGTTCTTTGAGGCACTCCGTCCTGTGTATGAAAAAGTCATCGCGGAGCCGGAATGTACCTTTTTCGAATGCTATGAAGATCCAGAGGAACCGGGACGGATCTCTTGGGTCGAAAATTGGTATGCTATTCTTAGTCTTCATTACTTACTCTCGAGATTATCTTCGGCAATTGAACATTACTCGCTAATCGGATTGAACATAGGTCTCAGAGTGAAGAATGGCTACTTCAGGTATGTATATCGGAAGAGGCACCAGCCACACATTTTATCTAGAGAAAGAGAAAATGAAGATGATGGATTAGTAACAAAGAATAACAACAGAACCAAATTCCAAAGGAATATTATCATGAGTATTTAACCATTGCAAAGCCAATGTATATCAAGCCACAGGAATTCAAAGTACTCAGGCGTGTGGGAGCACCATTTACGATGGTGAAGGAGAAGAACGGAGGATTAAGAGAGTGATAAAGATATCACCATACTTGCCATGGTTGAGATGAATTGCTATTTGGATGAAGTAATGGGTACATCGCTTCATTTCAAAGGTGAGAACAAAACATGCATGAAATCTAGAGCTTCGAGAACCTGTTTCAACTTAGCTCGTGGTGATCTATCAAAAACATCGGTGGGAACGGCAAATCTTTTCGTCCTCACAAGGACGTCCAATAAGTTGAAGTGAAACAGGCGCATCACGATATATTTTCGGCTCATCTATTCCAAATTTCAGCATCAGCTATCCACAAATGCAACGTGGAATCCTCTCTAATGGGATTTAGGTTATCCAGAACTCCAACGGAGTTCTAGAATTTCCTACATAGTATATAATCAAGATTCATACTAAACCTAAACTGGCAAAGCCACCTTCTAGAGCTCGAAAGGATTCACTTTAGAGTTCAAATGTGAACAACCACGCTAATATAAGGATGTCACAATTTCACGTGTCGACAAGTATTACTGTATTTTTGATTAGCGGACTTAAATCTCATTTGGTCCTAAGAAATCAAGAGGCTGGTACATAGTGGAAAAATGTCATGTGAGATCGAGAACAGGCAAATTCATGCCTCCATAATCTTATACAATTTTCATCCCCAGTATGTAGAGCGTCAAAACTGAGATTTACAAACGCTCCAGTGCTAAAACTATGCGAAACCAGGATAATTACCACGCAGAGAAAAATGGAGCCTCGTTAATGGGGTGGTAATATATATCGTCATAAGTCTGTCAATATGTTAACTACTCTTAAAGCGGATAAAAGCTCTCCGCTAATTTCTCCTGCACGGACTTCTACGTGTCAGGCCAGGGGTAAGGGAAATATTTGACAGTAATCCGGAATTAGCCACTGCCAAGGATTTATACGTGGAATCGTATCCTCGCCAAATTGGCCACAAAAGACGCGCATGCGAGCTGTATGAGGGGAATCAGGGGAAATTGACGGAAAATAGAGGAATCATACAAATTCATCGTACAAGAACACGAATATATTGGATGCTTTTACTAGGAATTTACATATAAATAGCACCCAAATCCTCAGCTATCTATGAGAAAGACAGGGCCAACGAATTGACCATATTGGACGCCTCTAATTCAGCTTTTCTCTGCCGTTGTTATTCCTTACCGAATTGGTGCTGGTACGGAATTCTTCCAATAAAGTGAGACGCCCACATCATCACTTGTAAGTCTGTCTTGGCTCTAAACAGCTTAGGCTCTATCCATGCACAAACGAGACTTCGTGTCGCTACTAGGCTATCCTTGGATTAGCGTCAAATTCGCGTTTTATGTCTTTTGTTGCAACAATACACCGACCCAAACAATAACCTCATCTTCTGATCTATCACTATAATGGGAAGGACTAGCTCGTCCACCACTACGGTACGGGCGGCAACGGTTGCAAGGGCGGGACGCGCAGATATATTCATGAGTATTAAGCCGGAACATATCAACAATATCGCTACCCGCGCGAAGAACCATGAATACCGTCGCTATATTCTCCCGTCGAGCGTCCGCCGCATCTGGTTCTACACCACTGCTCCCTTCTCCCGAGTCGAATACGTTGCCAGAATCTCACGCGGTAAAATACCAGGGGAGGTTCCAGAAGATGGTGGTATTGGCAATGAGGACTTCAACGCAGGGAGGGAGTTATCGGAGTATGGATACGAAATTCTAGATCTTTGGAAGCTGAAGCAGCCGATCAGCCTGAAGCTAGCCGTTAGCAAAGGTTATATGAAAGGTCCCCCGCAAAAATACTGTCGGGTTCCACTCTCACTTTTAGAGAGTTGTCCACTGGACAGGCAAGATCACATCATTTCAGCATCAAACAAGTACCCAGTCGAGAGGAAGCAATCTCAATCAGCGGAGGCACCCCAGCCATCACCTAAGTCAACAGAGTGAAAGAAAATTTCGGATTATTTTACAACGGCTTAGGGACCTAAGGTTTGCAGTGTACGTATTTACGTATACTTCACAATACGAATCCCTATTCGTACATACGAATGCTTATCAAGAACGTACGGATATAAAATCCGACGGAAGATAGTTCCATGATATAAACTTACGGAACTCCATTCCAAAGTTATACCATACGGAAACTTATTCCTATATTCGAATATATGTATATATATCGATATCCTGATCATTGCTTCGAAATGGTCAATGATCGGTTTTTCTAACTAATCGAATATCTGCTTTACTAGTCACGCTTTCTCAAAGACACTAACCAATCCACCATTACGGACTTTACACTGGCCCAACTGGGAGGAATATGGGCTGACTCTGGAAAAGGAGCAAAGTGGTGTTGTGGGAAGGATTAGCCGAGTGCCACGTCAGCAATTCCAGGATCGCAAAAGTTATTCCTGGCCAGGCTGGGATTAAAGTAATAGTAAAATGAAGGACAAAATACCAAAAAAGAGTGTTTTTAAAAAGACAAAAACATACAACAGCTGGGATTCGCTGGTGGTCACCCACCTACTAACCAGCCGGCGTGTGGCTTAAGTACGGCTGAGCGGACGGGAAGCCCTGTTTTCCACACCCTATGGTCGTATGTGCTAGATATAGGCGAACAATGAAATATAACCTTATGAATACTTACGAATGGCACTACTCCGTAATGTATGGAGATTTAACGGTACTCTGTTTTGTCGACTACTAGAAACGAGCTTTGAGAGTACTAATTGACATTTACTCCATGCCACATCGCAGGCATACCTAATATAGTTCAATTGCTGAAATCAAAGTGGACGGGTTGTTTGTGCATATAATGCCGCGGTTGATCCGGACATTCTATCTAGGTATCGATGGAATATATATATGAGTTGTCAATCGAGTATGTAGAACGTTTGAAACACATACCTACATAGGTAGATTAATAGCAATGGACAGCAAATATCTAGGTAGATAGGTTTCATGGAGTACTATTGATTGGAGAAGTCTATTATGCATGCTAATTTGTACATATCTAGTGGAGTTTTTACAGGCCCGTTCCAAACACCATTGATGTGCTTACCAAAGTAGTGGACGAAGCATCCCGGAGACGATCAGAATTTAGCCAACAGCTTAAACTTCGTTTGATATAACCGAGCAAGAAACACCAGTGTCGATCCGGCCATGACAAAAACACCGGAAAATATCTTCATACCAGTGTACGATCCATTATCGCGCTGAAGGATAGCCCCGGCAATAGGGTTGGTAGTCAATCCACCAATCGACCCGAATAAAAATGCAAGGCCAGTACGGTAACCGATGACTTTGAAGTTTGGTGAAATCTTGACGATCAAATTCGCAATGAGCGAGGCATATGCTCCAGACGTGAAACCGAAAATGATTGCAAAGGCAATCACAGCTGCATTTCCACTAGCAGGGATCCACAGGGCGAGAATCAAAATTCCGGAAACATAGCACACAAATGAAAAGATGTTGTATGCGCCCAGGGTGTCGGCTAGTGCGCCTGCAATCAATCGTCCGAACAAACTATTAGGACATTAGAATCAGCTCTTGTCCCTTTATTGTGGACAATGATGTTAAGCTTTATTAAGCTTGAGAACGTACCTTCCAGCGTTTAGCATGGCAAGCAAATACTGTGCAAGATTTGGATCCATCCCTGTTCCAAGAGCTTCCGCGACGACATAGTCGATCGGAATAAAAATACCAAAAGTAAGAAAAACGAATCCTAAAATGACCGCAACTGTACTGAACTCTCGAAAAGGCTGCACCAATTCATCCTTTGTCATAGCCTTAGGCTGTGGAGGAAGTCGAGACTTGACTGTCAAGTTAGAGATGATGAGAAGACCAAGAATCATGAATGCACTAATGCGCATTGACCATCCATAACCGACTTGAACAATCAGTTTCTGAACCATAATAGGGAAGATGATTCCACCAATACTGGAGCCACTCGCCGCGATACCATAAGCAATACCGCGCTTTTTATCAAACCAGCTAGGTATAACGTTCAGTGCTATACAAAGGAGACGTTTTCGTTAGTGACCCAGCTTTCCGATACGTAGGTTGAAATCGACAAGCTTACAAGGTTGAAAGACTGTCGCAACCCCAATCGCACTGACTACTCCCTGAGAAAGCAGTACTTGATAGTATTGTTTGGAAATGGATGCCATCATGAGACCAAAGACGTGGAGTAACGTTCCAGCCAAGAGCAAGTAACGTGGTCCGTATCGGTCGTAGAGTTGGCCGATTATAGGTCCCTAATAAGTTGCAAATGTCAGTATTTTGGGCATGTGCATAAAGGATGTCATTGCTGTAACCTACCATGGCAAACATGAAGAAGATCTGCAACGATGGAATCCAAGCGATTGTGCTAGCGGAATATTGATTCAAGAGCGTAGACTCGTAATAATTCTGAAAGGTACCAACACCTGAAGACTAATTAGTATTGGACACGGAAATAACAAAAGAAAGCCTACTATTAATCCATCCGAAACTGCAAAACAAAACACACCACGACCCTGCAAGAACCGACCACGCAGTAAATCCTCCATCTGGTGCAGGGCTTGGTGTCCATGCGGGCTTTGCTTGAGGCTCCTGTTGTCTCTTTTCTTCCTCGGCACTTTTCTCGACGCTGGGGGCCAGTTGGCTCTCCAGTTCCCCTTGGGTAGACGAATCATCAGCCGACATTGTGTAAAAAATAAAGCAAGAAAACTCTCAGTACGATGTATGAACACTTTGCCGTGAGAAGCTGACTATCATTAAATCAGCGAGGAAAACTTATATATTAGAAGAGTTGTTCAGTGCTTCTTATAAAGTTGGTCGCGTAAACAATTTTAGGGGCTTCGCTTCGGCCGTTCGCGAAGTCCCGACGAAGAACGCTAGGCCGGACATAAGGAAAATTAGGCATAACCTTAATATACCTTAACCAGGAGATCGATCCAAACTCCCAAAAGGTGTAAAGATCGTACTTTCTAGAAGACCGATTAAAATGCGAGGCTCATAAGCTTATGCCTTGGTTGGTCGGAGTTTAGAGTCCGCTACGTACGAGGCTGACCCGACATGTCACAACTTACATACCTATATGTTTTAGCAGAGCCCTAAGATTAAATAGATGACATATCCAACAAAGAGTAAATTGATTAAGATCAAAGTGCTCATACCATCCCTAACCTCTGTTTTAAGCAATACTGAAATGTTGTCTACTGCGACGTTCTGGGACTTTTCGTATTTCTTGACCAATTACATTAGGCACTTTGAAGGACCGAATGGCCAAGAAAACGATTTAGTCACTCGTTGATTACACACAATTCAACTAGGCACCGAATCCGAATTGTAGAAGAATCTTGGAAGTAAGGGCGGCTATTCGGAGCCGACTGATCGTTTGACCTGGTTATGAAGTGTCAATGATTCGCCGAGTAACATATGGATTATTGTTGTCGTTATATTCGTGCTTAAGATCAAATACCACTTCATCACCCAGTAAGATGATTCACCCATGGACCTGGCAAATGGATGGAAATATCTTATCAAAGCAATTACTGTTTTCTGCTGCCCTAATACTGCACAACAGCGATGTTTAAAGTTCACTATCACGTGGCTACCAAGCCCTAAGATCAACGTTCTTTGTATTCGCCATTTATACTGTGATCGATCTGCACCACCGCATAATGCATTATAGCCGTTCAGCTACAGTACGTTATTTTCGATGATTACTAGAGTTCATGAAAGTAAATTCCGAGTCCAATGCAATCTTGGATGACTATGCGAGTGGCACATGCTCGCATCAATGAACTTGACGAAATTCATATATGACTTCGGAATCTGTATATGAAAACCGAAGATTCTATACCTCAAATCAATGCTGATATCCAGCTGTATGTCCCGAAATGAAAGTAGGTCGCGTGTCTAAGCAATGCGGTGATGCGTGGAAGAAAAGTCGTGATCCGTAATTGCTAGAGTTCATCGAGAAAGATCGGCAGTCTTTTGTACTACCGCACCCCGTATTCTTATGCTCAAGCCATGAACTTTAAGTTCACTGACACGAAGCGTAACAACAAAAGCCCAGAGCACTAAGAATGCTTGACCAGCAAGCCTCAAATAGTACTCGATGTCATGCGGCGGCTCATTCGACATTTGACGTGTCGCGTGAGATTGTTTCGTATAAAAGCTTCTTGATTCTGATAGAACATGAGAACCTTGCCTGGAAAGTGAGGATGATAATCACGTCAACGATTGACGGATGATTCATGCGAAGACAGGGTAGTGTCGATCTGGAATTATTTTAACGCACCATATAATATCCATGAAATCCACGTGGTTGCCAAAAAACTGATCCCACCGAATATGCACAACAACTTCACGAGGGTCCTATTATTGATAGGAGTAACCATATTTGCTGATACGTAATTTTTTCTTCGGATAAGGATGATATATCAGAGTCTCTCGTACGAATCCCAGGATGCTTAAGAGATGAGTAATCTTTTATGAAAGAGCTATGTAAGAGCGGACTTCGATCGCTATTTGTATTTAAGTCGCCTTATATTTGACGTGACAATCAGAAAGAGGAGACCAATATGGCGTAGACACCGCGGGGCAAGCTCATAATAAATCTTGGTTGGTTGGTTGGTTGGTTGGCTGGCTTGGTAAAAACATGGTGTTGGCTGGTAATTGCTAGGAATCCTAGTACCATCATAGGTAAGTGCTATATCAAAATGATCGTGAGCGGCTTAGCTCAAGTCTTAACACATAAATTATGCATGGAAGTTGTGATTCTTGCTTGTATTTGCTCTTTACGTCGAATAAAAAATGATGCCTAAGCGATCGCTAACGAAAGACTAGGAAATTTTATGCGGCGCAGTCTTTGTAGCTAGCGGTCTTTCGATTCTTCGAGGTTTTACATCTGACCTATGATAGGATGATTATGGATATTATCACGCCAATCACCACATGGGACTATGCGCCGATTTCTTCGGGTGGAAATTTAGAAGATCCCATTGGATCGTGTACCGAAAAATAATTAAAATGAATTACCAAGGCTTTTTTACAATATATTAATTACTTTTACATGAGCTTCATTTTGCTTACGCCAATGCGCAACGCATTGACAGAGTCGCGACTCCCATTCCTGAGAAAGAAAGAATAACCCCCAAGAAACAACTCTTCAGAAAAAAAGATATTCACATTGCCTCGCAAAATCATGAAACAGATCGTAGTCAGCTCTATTTCAAGTTGTGGATAAAATGTCAATGAAAACACGGTGCTCAAAATAGACCGAGAGCTCCAGCGATAACACCTAATCCTATGACAACATCTCTCATTCTTGGATTGCTGGTTGAAGCCTGTCCGGTATAAGCTGGACTAGTTGCTGTGCTCGTGCCAGTCCCAGTTGAAGTTGAAGTAGTAGAATATCCCCATGGGATCGATACCGTGCCAGTTGCTGTCGCAGTGGAGGTTTTGACGATGCCCGTCGCGCTCGATGATGGAGTCGGAGTAACGGAGCAAACGCTCACGCTTCGAGTGGGTATCGCACTACTGCTCGTGCTGTTTGTCGTAATGGCCCCTTCCTGGAACCAATTTCCTGCAATTGGTTTCCCTAGACCCGCGTCATTGATAAAGTCAAGAAGTGGGAAAGCAACTCTGTTATAGAGATTGCTGAGATTCAACGGCAAGAAAGATGCGTATTCCAAAGGTACCTCAAATTGTGCTTGAGGCTGTTCAAAGAGAAGAAAGCTGTAGTTGTGAGCTGGTCCAGGAGTAGGCTCTGGGTTGATGTAGGGGGCAAGAACGGCCCATTTATCTGCGCCATCAGCCGTAACGTTGGCATATATGGTGTGTAGTGCTGGATAGGTAGGATCCGTGGCATTGGTTGATGGGTCTACCATGATGAAGATGTATTTCCCTGTACCGTTCTGTGATACGAAAAGCGATGCAACATCAGGCACAGGTGCGTTTTCGGTCTCTGTATTCAAGATAAAAAGATACGGTAAGTGACTGGGTTGATAGAATTTGGGAACTGATCATAGCGTTGCTAAAACTTCCTTACCGCTAGAGTACAGGCGTTGCCCGGGTTTCACAGTCAAGTACGACTTTTTTCCACAATCCCATGATGACAGAGGATATTTGACATCAAGAGTCTGGTTTGGATTTCCAATCGCGGCTAACTCCGCTGGAATGTTGCCATAGGGGTAGCCCTTTGCCACACACAAGGTGGAAAGACCGAGAATGAAAGTTGATGATAGTGCTGATTTCATATTGATGGTAAGGATTTGTGCGACTGTCGCTCACTGTGATGGTATCAGAGAAGACCGCTCCGCAAGATTCTTTGGAAAAGAATTGAGATTAGTACTCAGCTTACAACGTCCGACCTTATACTAATCGCGCCCATGCGCCCGGATGGGAGCTATGTTGGTGCCAGAGTCGAAGGATTCAGCTACGAGCTTATGATCTACCCCAATACAGGACTCGTTCGTCTACTAAGCCATCCACCATGTAGATTCTAGATACTAGCCCGTTTTCAAGAATCATCGGAACGACAAATACTCCCCGATCTCCCCTAAAATGGCCAATTAGACAAGAGCAATTTTCAGCCACTGAGGAAAAGCTTTTATGATGGGCCCTTAAAGTCAAGCTATTGGAAGTACGTAGAGAACCGTGGCACATTTAGAGCTGAGATGGGTTGCCTTACAAACTCTATATGACTGGGACCGATTACGTAGGTGGATGCGTTTTAACGACTGAGAGGCACTTGACAAATATCCTTCTTGAAGAGCTTCAGCGACTATTCTAGAAAGGGTAGTGATCAGACTCTTTCTCAATTGCCCTAACCTTGCAACTTTATTGTATAATTACGTATTACCATTAAACAACAAAGCAAAAAGCCTGAATTCTCGCAAGACCTTCCTCAAAGGTTAGACATACTCGTAACTAGTACTGCATAAGTAGTAGTGCGCATATATAGCGCGGTGGAGATCAAGGCCAACACAACGATTCAGCGCCTGAGCAACCCAACCAAACAATCGCAATATTGTAGGAACGTGATAGGTCAGCTCGGCAACATCCACTCAAGCTGAACCTTTAGTCATGACGATCCTGTCATTCAAAAAGAGGCAGTTTGCTGGCCAAGACCCAACACTATTTGACTGCAAATAATTAATTATAGCCAGGACTACTCTGACTGTATGGAGCGCCTCGAAATTGTTTATAGAATATGATATCACCTGTGTTTGGTTACAATCGTTGTCCATTCATTGCACTTGTTTCAACTATCTCTAAGGATAGCCATCACTAGGCCGGCATCGTCTATACCTAAATAACACTAGCTGATTGTCAACGACGGCGTTCGACGATTCCACATAGGAGCGACGTGATGAAGCACTGCATATGGCCTCGAAGCTTCCAATCAAAGGGAACATCTAGGAAGCGTATCATTTGCTGCCATAATATTTCCTACATATCGAATACCACATAGTCGCATACGATCAACTACTAATTCCACCATAACTTTTATTACTAATTGAATCTCAATAACAGCTTTTGCGAAGCCCAGGGAATGCTATCCAAAAAGAGGAGGGAACTTTCTATTGATATAGTCTCGAAGATTTAAAACTCCTTTCAGCAGTAGGAGTCAGCGTGAAAGCAGGTATCCCGGATTGTGTTTAACCAGTGGCTAGTTTGAGGGCAGCTAAAATTCCCGATCGAGGTAGTAATAGCATTAATGGAGGAATCTACGATTATATCTACGGTAGATACGAGCACATCCATGCTTATTGCTGTAGCAGGAACGGTTCCGTTTAGGCAAAGACTATTGTTCCAGTTTTTGACAGCATCTTGCACCGCTTCTATATCAGCAAAGCCAGCTGAAAATATCGCCAGCCACCGTCAGGGCTGTATCGGAAGGCTGACAAATCTGTAGAGCAGATGCTTCCGTTTCCGCGAAGGAATCAAGTAAGAGCCCTGTGGCCCTTTTGGTGACTTGCGCACCAGAATAGAGGCCAACAACGGCCAAATTGTGCCTCGCAAACAAGATGGTAGAACCACATTCAGCACTCGCCTCCACGTAGATGGCAAGTTGATGAATAGCCTCGGCCAAATCAGTATCCTGAGGAGCAGCACCAGACCCCGAACCTAGATTTGAAGGAGTGAAAGTTGTCTTAACCGTCTTGGCACCACAACGTTCGGCAACGGTTAGGTTGTTTTGGCTTTGCTGTTGCGGCACAGTAGGGGCAGCAGCAGCCATGTAGGTCTGACCTTGCCGGCTACACATGCTCGATTCGTGAGAATAGTATCTGGATCAACAACAGAGTTGTGAATATTGAAGCCAAAGAGGACGGTTTGGTTGCAACTCTCAAGATTGGAGAGATGATGAAGGTTAGTCCAATTCGCCGGACTAGGACCGGCATCAGCACCCTGGCTGGGACTGTCGCCGGCATATTGCCCATTGTAGCCCTCGATGATTGCCGAGGAAAGTCTCGAATGAAAGGAAGGAGGAAGAAAAAAGTGCTTCATCCTATGCTCTGAGCCAATGCACGAGATGAAACGGGAAAACGTGAACATGGAAGTAAGGCGGTGTGTTCGAAGGGATCGTTAGCCAATACGTATAACATACCAATCGCGGTTATCATGTGAGCTAAAGATAGACTGACTGCTCGTGTCGTTATATTGCCGTTGTCGGGGAGTTGCACATTTTAGCCGTGGTGGGATCTTAGTGTAAATAGATATTGGAGTCATTCAAGCTGGAATCGAAAGAGTAGATCGTTATGCCAGGTACTGAGCTTATGCAGCAACATGCATACTACGCAATAGAAGCGACCCTTGGCGGACCCTTATCCGGCGTCTGAAGGTCGGAACTCTTGGCGCGGCGGAGCTCCCAAGAGCTAAGAAAATCATCTATGTAACACTAATTTCGATCTTGTCTCCTAATCCAATCGTGCATTTGCATTTCCAAATTAGCTCCGAGTACCGTATTTTAATTCTAGGCCACTTCTACTCCACACGCGGTTATTCCGTCCAGGCAGAACTCCATCCAGATGGAAGCCTACATTTTGCCGAGGGTCCCTGCGGCAAGCTATGCTCGATCCACTCTAGAGAACAATCATTTATTTTGGCTCTGATCCCCTATCGACATGGACTGACAGATGTTTTCTCAATCTAGGGCCCAGCATTTAAGGTCGGGTACATCCTCACTTTGATGTAGTCAGTTTGCTCACCGAAAATGGCTTCTATCACTAATCTCCCAAGTGAGCTCCTTGCTCGTATTATCTCATTCCTTGACCGATCGTCCCTGAAGGCTATCCGACAAACGAGTCGCCTTCTCTCACAGTTTGCTACTCCGCGGCTATTCGACACTCTGCGTCTATTTCCGGACGAAGATAGTTATGAGACTGTCGATCACATTACGGACCACGCAACACTGACGAAAATGATCAGGAAGGTGTATGTCAATACGTGCGAAGATGACTATGTCAGTCCATATCTATTCCCCGCGAATTGAGAAGTCGCACGCTAACAGGCTCAGGACGACTATGATGAGGCGGAAGCCGAATTGACCAAGGATTTCAAGGACAGAATCGCCAGCTTCAAAGACTGCCCAAACGTGCAAAGCGCTGTCTTGCGGTTTGACAAGCATTGTAGCTTAGGCCGCGAATATTGGATGAGAAAGAGTCCAGAGACCATCGCTTTTCGCACAGAGACTCTTGGTATATTTTTTGAATGGTTGGCGTCGTTTGAAGCACCTCTGCGCGAACTCGGGATTCGTAACATGCAAGATGTGAATGTCGAGGATGAAAGGGTATCTACCAATATCGAGAAAGTGCTGCAAAATCTACGCACTCTCCGATTAAGCATCGTGACAGAGCATAATGACGCCGCCCCGGAAGATGACCTTGAATCCCCTGAGCCCCATAACTTCTTCGCACAACTTCCATCCATGTGGCTGAAACCATCCGCGTCACATCTGGAGCATCTGACGCTCTCCTGTGACAATTACTTCGGCTTCTATCCAAAGCTGGAAGCAAGCGAGGTACATTTTCCGAACCTCAAATCCCTCGCCTTTGGCAATTATTGCTTTGTACGGGACTCTCAGCTGGAATGGATTCTCTCGCATGCAGCCACTCTGACTGATTTATCCTTCGACGACTGTGCAATATTATACGATGTGTGTCTTGCCGAAGAGCATATCAACTGGGGACCTTTCCAGAAGGGCGAGATGGAAACCCGCCCAGAGCAAGATGGCCAGTTCCGGGAAAAGTACTACTGCTCCTACAATAAGCGGTGGCATGATTACTTCGACTCCTTCCGAACAAAGCTACCTCATTTGAGCCAGTTCCTGATCGGAAGCAATGACTGGGGTGATGGCGTCCCATTTGAGAAGGAGGCTGAAGTCAAGATTTGCTTGCGGGAAAGTAGATATATGGTCTGCTATGATGGGAACGGCCCCAGCCCTTATATGGAACATCACGATGGATGCCTCGAGTCGGAAAGGTTACGACCCAAGTGCGATGATGAAGATAGGGACTCTTTACGCCTACTATTTGAGAAAACGGGACAGAGAGTCGTCAAAATACCATTGTTGAGTGCATTCGAAGGTTATATCAGCGAGGACTACATGTAGGAATTCAAAGTCGGATGTGGCTCAAATTCTAACTTGCGGGAATGTTCTCTCTACACACGGATCAATTTTGAGCACCTGACATACCAATGTCCTTGCCCTTAGAAATATGACCTGATTTGGAGAATAAAAACCCTAAGTGAATTAGCAATTAAATAGAGATGCATATTACGAGAGGGATACTAAATGACTAACTATAATCTAATAATTTCTTAGAATCTTAAAGTATCTTTAAAAAATAAATAGAAGCAACTAATATCTTCTATCCTCTTAATAAATATCTATGCTATAAATTTTACTGTAATTAAAAGCTTTTTCTATAGGGCTAGATTTACAATATTCTTAATTCTAATGAAGTGATTTTCTGCTTAGCTTCTGCATTGCGCAGGACGCTCTGTGCGATTATCACATCTAGGAAATGCGTGATGAGCTTCTTAATGGCTGGGGATTGAGATTGCAGCTTATAGATATGAATATCACCATCTCATAGATCACCAATACATCTAGCATTTATTTTAGGATTTTGCCGAGTAGGGTGTGGTTGATATGGGTAATCGGAATACTCTGGCGTAGACACATATTATACATAGCCAAATTTCCGCTCACGTTCGATGTTGGTGTTATTCTCATTTGATCTTGGTAACGATTGACGTTTGATGCCGTACTCACCGTCCTATGCGGTAAGAAGTCCCGTTTGGTGGTCTATGCACTACCTTGTGTTCTGTCGCAAGCAATTATTCCCGCTTCAAGTTCTATGAACTACAACTAAGGTCAGGATTTACGGGCTCTGCCACTATATACAAAGTACGTTTAGTTTCAAGAACGATTTAAAAATTGTCAAAATTAATAATTTCATTAATGATATATCAACTAGCACTCTATTCAATTCCCCACACCCCCTGATATGACACCAAATACGAAAAATCGCAAATGCCGTATCCGTAAGCTTTTGGCGTCATTGGCCCTTTCGTCTTTCTGGAGCAGAAGTAATTGCCGTTCACTTCAAGTGCCTATTACTCTGCTGCTCCGCTAGAGTATTATCTTGGAGAGGCTGCATGTCAAACTCAGAGTCAGCGCTTGGTAATAATCTTAGCGAAACTTAGAAAACATCTCAATGACCTGATGTTATACATGCGAGGTGAAATTAGCTATACTTATATGACAGGAATTGTTAGTGTAATCACTATCCAGACATAGCGGTCGGCCTTACTTTACACCGGACTACGTCCTGCTACTAAAAACTACTGGTTTATCAAAGATCACATAATGACTTGAGAAGATTTCCCGCTGTTTGTTTGAAGGTCTGTCATGGAAATCAATCATACATACTTTCGACGAGCTAAAGTTCTACTGCTATATAACCAGACAGGATATTCCACAGGAAGCGAGGCCGAATCGCTGTCAGGGCTAGGACTAGGGCTGGAGGCTTGGAACCCGATAATTACTGTAAGTCGGACCATTGGCGTGTCATCCAAAGAAGAAGCGATGAGCAACCTTATTAAGGTTAAGAAGAACGACTGCCATCCCCCGTGCTTTCAAGTTCGGCGATAACCCTCCTCAATCTAACAATTCCTCGAAGGCCGTACTAGTATATGGGGTGACAGGCTCAGGAGTCCGCGCCGCAGAAATGATATAATTGCCTAGAGCGCGGGACCGAAATCCAGCCTCGCAGCAGACAAAATAATACTAAATTAAATATTCAGCAGGGTCACTTAGTATGCAAGTAGATAATACATACCAACCACATCCGTCGAAACGCCTCGATGTCCTCCCCAGTAGCAGATGGATGCTTTCTGATATAATCCGTCACGATCGTGTCCCAATTCCGTTGAAAGTTATCTTTCCATGCAAGGAGAGTCTTTCCGTAGTGAGGTCCAATATTCCTCACGAAAGTAATTTCTAGTGTTCCATTTGATCCTTTGTGCAGAGCATCAGTCAGCGAATGGATGGAAGGCAGGTAGCCTCCTGGGAAAATGTATCGTCCAATAAAAGTATCCACCGGCGATCTTGTCTCATGCATCTTTGCTCTCCGTTAGCATGAGTTAATTCATGGTGTCGATGGCAAACAAGGATTAAAGAAGTACATACCTTATTAGTAAATGTAATGCCGTCAATGACAAGCACGCCCGTTGTCGGATTTAATAATCGGGAAATTGTGCCGAAATATTCATTCAAGTATTTGCGACCAACATGCTCAAACATGCCGATGGAAATGATACGATCGTAGCCAGATTCTGGCACTGGAGCTTTTCGGTAATCACAGAGAAGCACGGAGACAAGATGCTGTAGTTTAGCATCCTTGATCCTTTTTTCTGCCAGTGACTTCTGTTCGTTGGATAGTGTTATACCAGTCACTCGACAAGAGTATCTTTCAGCTGCTTTGATCATTACATCTCCCCATCCGCATCCGATTTCCAGTAGATGGTGGTTTGGCGTAAGACGAAGCTTTTTGAGTAACGTGTCAACCTTTCTCTCCTGGGCAGTTTGCAATGTTTCGGCAGGGTCCGCAGTCCAGTGAGCGCAACTATAGTTCATATCAGGCGATAAAAAAGCACCGAACAATTCATTTGATGTGTCATAATGTGCTGAAGCATTAAGGCGTGCTTGCTGGACATCATTTGAAGGACTCCAAAAAATTCGAGACAACCTTTGACCGGCTTGTAATATAGGATTTCCGAATCCTAGATGGTCTTTATTCTTGAAATATATCTGCATCAAAAGTCGGCGAGGCGATCATCAAATGATATCAAATAGGTACTGCTTTCACAGGAAGTTTCGTACGTTGAAGATCTTGCTCAAATCCGCACACTCAATTTCTTGCAGCATATAAGCCTCGGAAAGTCCCTCAAGTCTTATTAGAAAATTAAGGTTTGGCTTCTAGAAAAATGTATAATACGAAACCTAGTTACCAAATCCAGTGCTATGCAGAATCTTGTCCAGAATTTAGGATTGATCACATAGATCGTGGCGTTCAACTCATCCGGCACTGCTGTGTCTTTTTCGCCTACAACGATTGACGTGTCATCCTCATAGCGACAAATAAATGTGGCTCGACCTTTTTGAAGTTTATCCAAGGTCTTGAGGACCCAATACTTTGCGTATGACTGTAGCCAGGTAGGACGTTGAGCGACAACCATTTTCTGCAGTGTAGTAGTATTGATAATGCCTTGTTCATATACATTCCTTTATTCTCGGGAAAAACGATCGATAGTTATATTTACAGAAAAAATGAATTGAAGGCTAACTCTCTACGAACTGCATGGTATTGGACAGCTCCTCGTGATCATCATCAGGCTAATTGTATGCAGGATGCAGTGCCAGACGTGTAAACATGCAGGACACCTCATATCACAAGAGAGCAATGTTGACAACCAATCGTATTAGTCGGCTCTTATACCTACAATTTATTTTCAGCTTACATTGGTTGATCTTTTACTATATTGCATGTGATCTAACAAATGTTACACTTGTCAAACAGAAGTTTGCGCCAGCCACACACCAAACGTTGCTTTTTTCCCCGGCGGGAAATCCGCACGTACTACGTGTCACTGGCATTTTAATCTATGTACCATGCAGCGTCACAAACCTATTAATTTTCCAGGATTCCTCGAATCCCCGGTCGAAGCAGCAATGGCATTGGCTCTAGTTATAAATGATCCTGGCAGAATACAAATATCGCCATCAACGCGATTTGGGTAAATGTAGGAAATAGACTGGCTCGGATTTAAAAGAACATTTATTCGCCGACCTTGTTGATGTCTTTTAAAATATTCGAAGTTAGACACATTTCAAGGTAGGAAGGCTCGGAAGCAGAAAATCCACCCTTTCGACGATTGACTACGCGCCCGGCCAAGACAAAAATATGCTGTGCAATCCTTCTAACAAAACTTATGATGTATGTATGGATCATGCAATTTCCGTCGGGTTTTCCGGACCCGATGTGGAAAATATCATTGGATTGGAACTAGACTGACTGATGACTAGTATTGATAGCAAGTGCCTAATTCAGTGAAAGCCCTTGATGGTATAATATTAATAAACCAGATCTAATGGAAATTAAAAATGAAAGATTGCCATCAATATTGAACGTCGCGTAAGAATCACCCTCTTAACTGCTTGAGCAAAGTGATACAAAGATCTACCTATTTTCTTGGATAGAAGAATGTAATATCGCTGCAATAACTGTCTCAGGTGTCACCACAGCTTACCTACAGTTCTTTCAATCACGTACTGGGAGATGGAAAATAGGAGGACGAGTCGTGGATTAGGCCTCACCAAAATACAAAGCTCAGTAATTTCCAGCTTATCACCTTTCAAGATTGTATACCTTTAGGAACTCTAAGCGAACAGTAAGATTCGCTTGTACAACGATTATGGATAGTGTTGCTCGTAACCAGTAATTTCCATGGTTAGACATTCTCTACACGCTTCTCACATCCCTTCTCGTCGCCCGCACATCCACCATTCTCAATCTCTATCTTTTGGATTTCAGCGTTGAAGTCCACCATATGCTTGGCAAACTCCTTTTCCTCATCCCATACGAAGGGGCTCTTGCTGGCGAATAGGAAGTCGATCTGTTCGAGCGTGCGGCCGGCAGTCTCGGGGAAGAAACAGTAGACGATGGGGATGTAGACGAGCATGGCGGCACCGAAGACGTAGAAGGTCTGAGGGGGAAGCTGTCAGAGACAAGATAGACCTAAAAGGGAGCAGAATTACCTTCTCGTGGATACCAGCCAACATGACAGGGACCAGCAGCGAGCCAGCGCCGTAGCCGACCGCCCAACCCGCAGCACCAAAGGCGTTGCCCTTGGCACGCAGCCACGTTGGGAAAATCTCGGTCGGATAAATGAATGGAATCATCAACCAAGAGGAGCTGAAGACAACCACGTAGAGGAAGACCATGGCGGCGGCTCCGGTTCCGTATTGTTCAGCCCTGTGGGGATTGTTGGTGGCCCCACGGTTCAGACCGCCACTGAAGAGAAGTCAACAAGAGCAAAGTCGGGGACAAGATAAGTTTATACTCACAGGGTAAAGAGAATAATACTCAAAACGGCCGCTCCCCAGTAGAGGGTCCGGCGCCGACCCACTCGATCCAAGGTCAAGGCAGCGATTCCAGTCCCCAGGATACCGCAGGTCATGCAGACAGCAGACAGCCAGTTGGACTTTATATCGTCAAAGCCAGCAGTGCGATAAATGTTGCCCGAGTAGATGACGACTGCTGGGATGCCTGTGCCGTATTGCATCAGGACCTGAAGCCAGAAGGCCAACTGGATACGACGGCCAATGTGAATCTTCCCAGATCCAATGCCAAAGAACATTTTGATATAGCTGGAGCTCTGCGACTCGTGTTCCATCTGCACGACGGCGACAATCTCGCGAATTTCTTTCTGCACATTCGGGTGGTTGCGGTCGCCCTCTCCGCGGAGCTTAGAGATAATCTCGAATGCCTCCTCGTTGCGTCCAACTTTGACGAGCCACCGAGGTGATTCGGGAATGAGCAAGGTGCCGATGACGAGGAAGAAAACAGGGATCGCTTGGCAGGCAAAGCAGAAGCGCCATCGGAAGGCCCCGCCGGCATAATCGGTGAACGAGGTAGCGAAGCCAATCCAGGAAGACAAGGCGATGCCTCCAAAGTTGGCGAGGAAAGTCAGGGCGATCATTTGACCTCGGTGAGCCGCTGGAGCCAGCTCTGCGGTCCATGAGGGAGCAATGACGATAATGAAGGAGACACCGACACCCGCAACGACACGGGCGCAGAGCATGTGAGCAAGATTCATGGCACTGGCCTGCAGGATGACTCCGACAAGACACCAGCAGCAGGCCATCCAGATGCCCTTGATACGCCCGTACGCGTCGGAGAAACTACCAGCCCAGAAGGCTCCGAGGAGAGCACCAAAATAGTACATGGCAGCTATGCCACCCTGCAGAGAGGGCTTAGTGACTTGTCCGTGCTCATTGGCGAAGCCCATGCGGTGCTGCCATTTTGATATTTAATCAGTTCATGATTCCGATCCTATGAAGATAATGGGGACTCGTTACATACTCCATATTCTGGGGCAACATTAACAGCACCCATGACACCCTGACTCATGCCCTCATAGGAAATAGCCACGGCAGAGACTGCAGTAATCAACTTAAGCAGTCGATCTCCAGGGAGAGCTCGCCAGAAACCTTTATAGATCATAGTGAATAAAACTAAATAAGTAAAGACAACTTTGGATTGAATCAAACCATGCGGAAAACAAAGGTTGTATATACGGATGGAAAAAGGATCATTGCCATATCAGGGACATATGGCGTTTATAGATGATGAATGCTCTTTCCATCCAGGACAAATATATGATTACGTAAGAGAGAGAGAAATCCCCATGGGGAGCGAAATCGGGGAAATTGGGATCAGCAGTATCTTGGCAAACTTAAATAGGAAAGCTCGTTCCTTCTCCCCGCTACCATAAATTCCTAGTTCTCCCACTTGTCTTCTTTTCTGTCTATTTCTCGTCTCGAAATTCCTCCTTCGAGACTAGACGCACTTTAGCCCACTACGTTCTAACTCCCGCTGATCTGTATATCTCGACACGGATTTCCACATGGGGAAACTTCGGTCAACAGGTGGATGGTGAGTTTTTTCCGCCACAGCTTTCCTGCACGACGCCTGCTGCACACTCCGCTGGTCGATAATCATGCCCAGCGTCCCAAGTCTTTCGTCGTGATTTTGGCTAACTTTAATCCCAGCCTGACCTGCCGAAAGAGACATGTCAAATGTATGCCAGCCTCAGTTCGAAACAGACTGTATGCAGCCGCTTACCCGAGAACAGGCGATCAAGCCCAGCCGATCTGTTTACAGTGCCAGAAAAAGAACCGACCATGCCTTCGAGGAGATGAATCCAAGCACATCAGGATCAAACATTACCAAATCCGAAAGGACAAGAACGACCCCCAGGATGTTTCTGGCCCTAACCATGATGAAAGATCTCACCTTCCAGAGCACAGAACCACAGAAGCAGTGGTTGCCGATGCTAACCCTCAACACATTAATAATCAATCCTATGCCCAATTTGGTAACAAGGAATACCACGATGCGTCGCTGACGCAACAGGACGACCCTCGACAAGGATCAACAATCCTCCGGAAACCCGCGAACGACTCGCTTCCTGCACTACTGATGGCATCTCCTGCCAACAATAATACAACTACCTCACCTTACTTCAGCGCGGTTGCAATCCCGATCTCCCAGCTGATTCAACCGGAGTCTCTTGGTTCATTGTCTCCCGCTTCGTCCGCAGCTGTCGTTCATGCAGGGCATCCGTTGACCTACAAAGAAGCTTATCTTGTACATCACTTTGCAACACACCTCGGGCATTGGCTTGACTGCACCGACGCTTCCCGTCAGTTTTCCCGAAAGATACCCATCCTGGTCAAGCAGTCGCCAATCCTGCTGCATGCAGTGCTTTCCTATGCGGCCCGACACATCGGGGATGCCGAAATGGCCGAACGGGCACATGAGTGTTGCGTGGAGTTATTGATCCCCTCCCTCAGCTCGGAGTCAGTGGTCGAAGATGATACTCTGCTGTGTGCAATTGTCATCCTGCGAGTCTTTGAACAGTTGAACGGTAAGTAAGAAAATTTTGAGCTGATCCCCTGGCGCTAACCTCCTTGGAAACTGAATTAGTCATGGTGACTGGGAACGATCAGGAGCGCCATTTGGCTGGCTGCTCGGCTATACTCCGGGCGTCACAAGGACGCGAGGTGGATCCATCTACTCCGGGTTTGCGGCAGGCCGCATTTTGGGTGTACATGCGTCAGTGCCTGTACAATGCCTGCGTACATCAACAGGCACCTAATGTGGATATGAACTTGGTTCTTATTCCTCCTCCAGCTGGAAGTGAACCCGTGAGCGATTTGAGGTCTGAAACGGCATGGGCCAATACTATGACTTGGATCTGTGCCACGGTGGTACAATTTTGCTTTGGCTCAACTTACCCTGAACCGTCCACCAGAATACAACGATGGCAAGAGCTATCCGGAGCCGTCGAGAGTTGGTTGTGCAATCGCCCGGGCACGTTTGACCCCATCTGGTATAGCGAAGCCGTCCCAGGAAGTAGAAATCCTTTCCCAGAGATATGGTTCACGGCGGACTGGCACAGTATGTCTGCTAAACAGAATCCTACTTTACGCTGTCTAATGTTGTCGATAGTAATGGCATTCGGCTTTTATCACCTTGCCTGTATGCTTTTGGCTATCTACAAGCCGTCGCCTAAGTTTGCTGTCCGGGGACTACATAGCACAGTTCGCGAGTCCGATGTGAGTTTTAGCTTCTGCTCAAATGAGTCGTCGCTGACGCCATCAGATCCGAGTTATGATGCACGCCCGTGCGATCTGCGGGGCATGCAACAGTTCCCCTTCGACGGTACCATCGTTGATCACTCTGTGCCATTCTACCTTTATTTGTAGGGCCTGTTCAGCCTTTCAGTTGGAACTTCAGTTACTGACACCTATAGGGGGTCCCTTGATGACAGATTCAGCGGAAAGGGCTGGAGTAATTAAACTGCTGCGAGATATGGAAGCGGAACATGCATGGCCAACAACATGGATAATCAATTCTCTAAAAGAAGAATGGATGATGGCGTAACCCGCCTTATACATGTGAACAAAAGGAAGACGTCATTTGCCCTCATTGAATGATATCACCGCGTACTTTCCGTTCCGTATCCAAGCACTATCGGGCGCCTCCTCGTCTAACGCGTCAACCTTAGCTTGGGTCTGGATACCAACACAAACATCGGACTTGTTCGTGCGCAGGGCCAAAATCTTGACGCCGCTCTGCCTCCCTAAGGGACCCAGAGCCTCTTCGTATGTGGTAGTGTGCGGCCACATCCCATCCCTAGTCAATTTGCGGTAATTGAGATCGCCTTTGGAGATAACTAAATAGCTTTTCTGGAGCTCCTCGAAGAGGGCTGGTGCTCTGGACAGCATCTCGTGGAACGAAAACGCTGTTGTCCAGAAGGGGTCGCTAGTGGTCGTGATGGCACCTGACCGGAAGTACTCGTGAAGTCTTGGGAGGAGTTGCTCGAGATACTCATGACGGGGGAAATACTCAGAGGAATCGAGATGATAGAACAACGACTCGATATCTGGAGGAGTGACATCGCTGACGAACCACGGAAACTCCTTGACATGCAGTCTGACAGAGGTGGCAACGCCTGCGTCCAAAAGATAGGCGGCATATAGCACATCAGTAAAAAGCTCAAAGCCAGCGTTGTCAAGGATAATATCAATCTGGCGACTAGCTTGACCGGTAGTCCGTTGAAGATAGGCCCAGACGTCCTCAATGTCGTTGTCGACGATATTCCGCTGGCTCTTTCGAATAGCATCACGACCCTGCAGGCTTTGCAGATCTTCGAGAGTGAGGTTAGCGAGGAGTGACAGATCTGTTGCGTTTCCCCACAAGGCGATCTCCGTCATCTCGATAAACAGCAACTTCTTCGCCTCTTCCTTGCCCTCCTTTTGGGCGAGGGGATTATCGGCTACGATCTGCATATAACGGCGGGCAAGTTCTTCGACAGCGGCTCTCGACTTGACAAAGGTAGAGTCTTTCTGGCGTTTGAAAACATCGTAATTCTGCCAGTGCTTCGAGGAGTTTAGAATGCTCTGAATGCTCCTGAGGGAGTTTTCAGTCCAATTCAACGACCTAATCTTTATAAGTGACAGCCATACCGATACATGTAGCACTCTCCAAAGAGCCAAGGGCAGTTGGCCCAACTGCACTCCCCAATTTCAGCCAGCTGTTTGTTCCATTGTTGAATATCGAGCTTGCCATCATCTTGTAGGGGCCTGAAATGCTGTGAGTCTCTGCGTTTTCGGTACTTGAAGAAGTTACATACGTGAGAGGCTTGTTCTGTTCGATTCCTTGTTTGAGGTGCTTCAGGGCAATCCGAATGGCGATGCTTTCCACTCGCTTTTGCTCTTCAACGTCCCCAGCGGCGGCTGCTTCGCAAATTCCGTCGATGGTGCCCTGAATAATTTTCGGCCATCTGTTCTCGGCCGTCTGTTTGGCCATGGACCCTTTTTCTGATGTCCAAACCGCACGAACTTCTTCAGTGTTCATGGTGGTGGAAGGCATGGTAATGTGAGACGGATAAATCCAATAGGACAAGTACGAGTTATCAAAAGCTAAGAAAGCCAACTGCGGCAGGTGCAGGGAACTCGTTAAGTATTAGTCCTCACTTAGTTAACAGAAAAGGTGGCAGACACCTGGATGCACGGCAATTAAAAAGACCCGTATACCAGAATACAATATTACCTAGAGCTACCTTACCGAGCTAGTGGAGACCCGAGACCGAGAGCAAAAATGGGGCTCGCTCCTCGTTTTCGCAATCGATTTGACGGTCTGTGCACCTCGTCTCGAAGATTCCTAATTAGGCAACTCTGGTCTCCCACGTAGGCCTCGGAATCGTCATGGGGCTCGTGGGTGCCATCCCATCTGATTATTGATTCCTCATGCTATGGCCGCATATTCATGGAATATGAGGGGCAGGGTGCTTCTTTTGATTGTCCGCCAGGAAACGGGGTTAGGCTCCTAAGGTATATGAACCGGTTCTTCGCTCCTGTGAATTACAATTGCAAACTAAAGCATTTATTCTTTTTGTACATACAAATACTGAAAATGGTCACTTCAGCTGGTTTTTTTGAGCCAAATGGCTCTGCTCAAGTCAACGAACCTCGCCGTTGTGTCGCCGATGGTACCCTCGACATCACGGTCATGGGAATGAACAGCGGTACGGCCATGGATGGCATTGACTGCGCGCTTGTTCGATATCGCCAGCTTTCTCCAGAAGCCCCTTTGCACATGGAGGTCCTCAAGGTACGGCCGCATTCTAAGATCCTTTTATGAGTCAACTGTAATGAAACTAACAAATTGCACTCGTACAGTACGACGAGATCCCCATTCCGCAGTACATCAAGAAGCCGGTCCTCACCATGCTCCGTGAAACGAGAACCACTCCTTCCCTCATGTCCCAGCTGAACGTCAAGCTCGGAAATATGTTCGGCGAGACCGTTCAGCTCTTCTGTGAGAAGCACAAGATCCCCATTGACTGTATCGACCTCATCGGGTCCCACGGCCAGACCATCTGGCTTCTCTCTATGCCCGAGGAGGGTGAAACCCGCTCTGCCTTCTGCCTTGGTGAAGGAACTGTTATAAGCAGCTTGACCGGCGTCACTACAGTCACCGACTTCCGCATGGCTGAACAAGCTGTGGGCCGCCAGGGTGCGCCTCTCGTTGCTCTGATCGATGGTCTCCTGCTTCACCACCCCACCGAATGGCGCATCTGCCAAAACATTGGCGGCATCGCTAATCTTTGTGTCATTCCACCCGACAGTGAAGGCGGAGTCGACGCCATGGTTGACTGGGACTGCGGCCCAGGCAATATGTTCATCGACGCCGCGATGCGCTACTTCACCAACGGCCAGATGGAATATGACCGCGATGGCGAGTGGGGTGCTCAGGGTGTGGTGAACCAGGATATTGTCGATAAGTTCCTCGACAATAATAAGTACTGTAACTGCTTGCCTCCTAAGACGACGGGTCGTGAGACCTTCGGTGACAACGAGGCCCAGGAGATCATTGACAGTTGCTTGGCTCTGGGTATGAGCAAGTATGACACTGTCGCAACCATCACTCGCATTACCGCGCAGAATATCGTCAAACAGTACCGCACTTTCTTTCCCAGATTCAATATTGACATCGACAAGATAGCCGGTGTCTACATGTGCGGTGGCGGTGCCCGCAACCCCAACATCATTAAATACCTCAGGGAGCAGCTGCCTAATTCGAAGATTCTCAAGCTCGATGACACGGGCGTGCCGTCTGATGCCAAGGAGGCTGTCTCGTTCGCTCAGCAGGCTCTTGAGGCTATTCTCGGTCGAGCTGCGCTTGTTCCAATTAACAGCGACACGTTGACGCCCAACACCATCTCGGGTAAGATTGCGCCGGGATTACGGTGGAGAGAGCTTATGGCGATGGCAGTAAAATTCGGACAAGGCCAAACTCGGTTGCCGACCGTCAAGGAGATGGTTATTGATAGGCCCTACACCTACCGACAGGCTTAAAAGAAGGAGGTGGTGCAACTATTTACTTGTATGATTTATTTTTTGCATATAGGGGTTTAGCAATGTTTTCTTAACAATCCGGCAAATTTTAACGATTTTGAAACTTATCTTCCTGCCGAAACCCCTTGTGGCCGTGTCAAGTAAAAGCGTTAAGGTCAGTGATGGACGTTGTTATCTCCCAGGCCCTTGCAGCAGAAGAGGGACCTGCACTGTTCACGGGATGAAGACGTAGAAAAGTCGTTGTGTAGTATACTCTATTTGCGGCTGCTGTAGACTCGATTTCTGGGAATCTTATCCTCTACGAGGTAATGATCATTGATTACCGTAAAAACACATGCAGTACATGACTTCTGCTAGTCTAGATCAGGTATCAAAAGTCTCGATATATATTCTAGCTGTAGAACGCTAATATCACTCTCGTTTATTAAAATTTACTTCTCAACATAAAACGGGTCCATCTTATCGCGCCATCTAACTATGTACAGTGCCGCAAAGACGGCTTGATGCCTCTGTAAAAAGGGATAGAACTTTGAACCTTTGCATTGAATACAGTTCGCTTGGAGTTACTGGCATGTTGTATTGCATGCTGATTGTTTGCAATACAGATACAGTCCCCCAAAATTTATGTTCCAAAAACTATTTTATGTGTATAAGAAACTGTGTATGATATATTTTAGGAATAACGTGCAGTCACTTGAAACGATTAGTATATCATTTGAGTTAGTTATATTCTATAGGAAGATCTTTTAATTAGTACTACGAGAACTTCTTACGTATGAACTGCTTCTATTTCGATTACATGGTCCAGTGCCTGTGTGTCAATATGACTTTCTGCAGCTTCAATGCATAACTCTTGTTATAGAAAAGCCGACAAATTAAATCTGGGGAATAGGTATCTAGTCAAATTGGTATGTAAGTCGAGTAAATGTTTAGAGCTAGTATCTCTATAAATATCTCAATGTACCTATATAGCCTTCGAAGATTGAATGCACCCTGGTATTTGACCGATCAGCCACAAAGGGTCAATGACAATCACCCACGGCGTAGAGGATTTATTGATAGACTGGTACTGTTTTTGCATGATGAGATAGTTAGTCACTGCTCAATATAATTGATATTAACGTGATCAGTAGTTGAAAGGAAATATATTTCGGACGATGTCGACAAATGACTCCATGAACGGCAAGAATTATAGAATTACTTTAACCGCCTCAGTTCGGCAAAATGAATTGTTTTTCTTCATAAATCAAGGGTGAAAAGAAGATTCAAGGGGAAGCGACTCACTTTTCAAAGCATCAATTCTAAGGTCAATCTGGGTACCAATTAAACATTGAGCCCTAGATTGTGACAGAAACCTGTTTTGAACATTTTGTAAACGTGTGCAGTCTACTTTCACTCAGTGATTTTATGGTCGTATTTATACTCTGATAATCTCGAGTGCAAAGCAGACATGATTATGAAAACGAATGACTTGTCCTTTTCCAAATTGGGTTTTCTGTTGTATTCTTTGTGAGACTACCCACATAAATACGTAATACTGCCCTATATAAGTAATGGCTAATGATGAATACAAATGAGTAATTTGCGTCGTGATGCATGGTTCTACTATTGCACGAACGAACTTCGGAGTGGTTATATCCCCTTGAGCGCGCATTAGGGCTATTTTCGAAATCTATTCCTGTAAGACAGCCAGACATATTACTCAATTGAGCGATAACTAAAATAAAAACTATAACCTTTAACGGTAAGACCTCAATCCGTATCCCCTACAGTAGTCTCTTGCACACCTAGGGTTTGGTTTATGTGTCATTGGAAGATTCAAAATGACTCATGATCCGTCATACTTATGAATTACCCATTTCTGTTCCAATTACTCAGTTAAGACGGGTTAGCACTGTAGCAGTGCGGGCACCATAAGAGGTTAAGGCTAATTGCCGTCTTGAATTAGTCTTGTACTGCATGCAGTAGGAGATTCTGGTTACAAACAAAATAGTGGTGATAGATGGCAGCTTACTCCGCAGTCCGTCTAGAGTTGGATACAAGGATTTCTTAACACAAAGATCGTTAACATTTCGACTCTGTATTAATTTACCCCTCATGATTAAAATTCAGTATGAGGAGCCGACATAGAAGCCAGGCAGTAGTTGTACAACCAACTTCTTATGTCTGAAAGAGCTGAAGTCAGATTTCAAGGAATTTGATCACACAAGTGACATAGCAACATGAAGCAGTCAGAGGTATCAATTGGTACGTCTTTGCGCCCTAACGGCAACACGACCTTACGGCTCTTTCCAACGACTCGACCCGAAATACCTATTTCCGTACCATTGTCCATCCTCGATTGCACATCAGCTCGCTTCGCCCCAACAGGATGTATCTGGATCTTCGACCATCATGTTACAATGCCTGACCATTATACCCTCCTAAACCGTCTAAGAAAGTCTTTCGTTGCTACCCTCGACGAGTTCCCGCAATGGGCAGGTCAAATACGATGGACACCCTTCGATCCGGATGGTGGCTATACGGAACGATTCAACCGTATTAAATTGGTATATGGATCCGTTAATGACCCCGGCGTGGAATGGAAAATAGTTTACTATCCCTCATACTCATCAAACCGATTCGCACCCACGCCATCCGAAAGAGCATCAATGACAGTCTGGCGAGAAGATGAATTTGAGCAATCACGACTGATTTCAAATTGTGATCTGGCATTACATGACTTGGAAAGCTGGAAGGGTCTACCGGGAATGTCGGTGCAGATCAGTCTCTTTGGCGACGGCGGATATGCGATTGGGATAAAATTGGCACATGTTCTGGGTGATGCACAGTCATTGATGATCTTTGTACACAGGTGGGCAGCTAAAAGTCGGGATATCGACCATATTACAGGCAGTTTCCCGTACTCCGACTTTCCTATTTTCGATCCGAAGCAGTTGGATGGCCATGCATCTGGTGATATCCACGGGTTTGATATCGATCCTCATCTCGCAGTCGCCGCTCGCGTATTGCCTTTGCATAGATACGATTGTTGGGAAGTCGATGCTCCCGACTTTCCGCCCTTTTTTGCGGAGACACTAGAAAAAATCATACCCCCGTCATCATTTCTCGAGAAAGCCAAGCTATCGCCTGCAGATTCGGCTCCTTGGTCATCATGGGACCCTTCGAGACCAGTCAGCTATGCCTACATACATTTTGGTTGAGAGATGTTGGATGAGTTGCGCTCTTCAGCACAGGCTGATCTTAGCATACCATCGAAGCTATCAAGACTCGACGTCTTACTAGCCTATCTATGGTCTGCAATCAACCGGGCAAGGAAGATGGATCAATTCTCAGACGAAGTGTTCATCAATCTCACGCTAGGCGCCCGGGCGCGAGTTTCTCCTGCATTACCAGACTCATGGATCGGGTCACCCTTGTTCCTGACACATGTCAAGCGATACGGCTCCATAGCGTGTTCAGAGAGTGTTGGAAGCCTTGCTAGGTCAATTCGCAAAACCGTATCACTTTTCACTCCAGACAAAGTGGGTGCAATACTGCATGATGCAGCCCACGAACTTTCTCCATTGAGACTTTGGCAGTGCTTCCCAGGACAGCGGCATGTCATTGTAACTTCATGGCTCCGGCTGCAGGCGCATCAAATCGATTTCGAAGGAACCTCGATGCCTCCACGATATGTCCATGCGATAATGCCCAAAATCGATGGTGTACTTCAGGTGTTTGATTCGATGCACAATGACGGAGGTATGGACGTCGCACTCTACCTGGATACGGATTCAATGGACAATCTACTTCGAGACAAGGCGTTACGAAATGTGAGGTAAAGTGTTAAGCTACACAGCGTCCAGCTAGATAGTCGTGTATCGTGTACATAGTAAGAAGTTGATAATACACGGTTTCTTGGTGGAATTAGGTTGCCACAAGCCGAAATCTGAGTGTAGATTTGACGTCATGACAACTAGATTTTTGTATCTTACTTAGATTTGAGATTCGATGAGCTGGGAATAATTTCCCTGGTTTTCAAGCTGATCTGAATAGATACTAGAGATAAATTCTTTCCCGACAGTATAGAGATTACCACCTCCACATGTATGATCGGAGATGTGGAGAGCTTTTTGCCAATCGGATATACGAATCGCTGATGGATATATCCATATATCCATATATCCATAGGATGGACGTTTCTACCAATCATATAGCCCAGAATCGAGGTATGGATCTTGATTTCCTCTTTCAAGAAGGGTTTCCGGATGTCATTTGGTGCATGGAAGCATTTATCTTATCGTGATGCAAAATGAGCCCCATATCGTTAATTATGACGCAGAAAAATTTCACCTTTCTCCGTGATATTATATCATTTAACCTAACGACATCTATTCAGCATCTTCAAAATCGAAGGGAGAAGCGTCATGGACTGCTAATAATTATCATATCGTCTCCAATATTGATTAGGGCTGGTAAGAAGATCGACACTGTATACTTTCCTACCAAAAATTAATGGTGGAGCGATTTAGATAAGACGAAGTCTACATAGCGCTGGCTTTGCATCCAGTCAAACTTCGAGAATGTCTGACTTCGAATCATCGGGGAGAGATGATCCTGTCCTCGAGGCACAGCTATCCCGAACAGAGTCCTTGCGTGCAGCTGCTAATTCTTTCAGCCCTGCACACGAATTCGTCTTTGTTGCTGTAGTATGTATGGCTCAATTCATGACTCAGGCGGCTTTGGGTGCCTGTCTATCGCCATTGGACATCATCGGAGAAAGCTTCGACATTTCTAATCCTGGGATCTCGAGTTGGTTAATAGCCGGATACTCCCTAACAGTCGGCACATTCATTCTTTTCTTCGGACGATGCGGTGACATGTTTGGCTATCGGCTCATGCTGCTCGTCGGCTTCTCCTGGTTTTCGATCTGGTCGTTGGTAGCCGGTGTAAGCATTTATTCCAACTACATACTGTTCATCTTCGCTCGAGCTTTGCAAGGATTAGGACCGGCAATGTTGTTCCCAAACGCCCTTGCCATTCTTGGAGCTACCTATCCACCAGGAAACAAGAAACGACTGATATTTGCTCTTTTCGGAGGCATGGCACCAAGCGGAGCAGTGGTGGGCGCAGTCTTTGCGGCTTTACTAGCCGAGTTGGCATGGTGGCCTTGGGCGTTTTGGTGCATGGCCATTTATTGCATGCTGCTCGCTGTGATTGTGTACTTGGTGGTTCCCTCAACACCGTCTCATACGGCGGATATGCCGTTGTCGAAGATTCTTGCTGAGCTAGACGTTATAGGGGCAGCACTCGGCGTGACCGGATTGGTTCTTGTGAACATTGCATGGAATCAGGCGCCAGTAGTGGGGTGGCAGAAGGCATATGTTTATGTCTTGCTGATCATTGGGTTTATGTTTTTGGCCGCATTCATCTACTATGAAGTCGCCATGTCACCACAGCCGCTGATTCCGTTCGAAACATTGAACACAGATGTCTGTTTCATTCTAGGGTGTGTGGCTTGTGGGTGGTCTAGTTTTGGGATCTGGGTGTTTTATACTTGGAGATTCCTCGAGGATATTCGCGGAATCACACCTTTATTGGCAGCCGCCCAGTTTGTCCCGCCAGCGCCCTCGGGTCTTGCCGCTTCGCTCGTCACAGCCTACTTGATGGGCAAGGCCAAACCCGGCTGGATAATGTTCATTGCGCTTTCGGCATTCACGATAGGCAGCATACTAATGGCCATCAGTCCAGTAGGCCAGACATACTGGGCGCTCACTTTTGTTTCGCTCTTGGTGATGCCATGGGGGATGGACATGTCTTTTCCAGCGGCAACTGTCATACTGTCTGATGCGGTCGGTCGTCGCAATCAGGGCGTAGCGGCGTCGTTGGTGACGACTGTAGTGAATTACAGCATTTCGATCGGTCTCGGCATCGCGGGCACCGTGGAAGTACATATCAATAACGGAGGTTTAACCTTCGACGACAAGCTCAAGGGCTATCATGCAGCGCAATATACGGGAATTGGGATTGGCGGTATGGGTATCGTCTTGAGTCTTCTTTATGCGTTGAAAACTACTAGAAAGCCATCTCATGCAGAGAAATCGGGTTAGTTCGGTTGGAAGAGGGCATCTTCTTTGTATGTACCCGTAGAATCGTTGAATTGAAAGCTTTTTATTCGATCGAGCAATTGAGGGTTGGAATAAAAGTAATATCGAGAGAGCTCTTTGTTCCTGGGAATTCCGTGATGAGCCGCCACGTGACAGGTACGCTCTGCCGGGTCGGGCTTAGCGGGATAGGTTTGCCAAGCCGTCTATCCCGAGCGAAAGAACCCGATCAATCCTGAACAACATTCCTCAGAGCTTGACCTGTCGCAGCATCTTCAATTGCTTTCACATTCTCGTTGTCGAATACTTCACAATGACTGGCGGATACGCACCCAAGCACGGAAGGTATGCTGCTGCTTCTTCTTCTCCGGCTCCCGTTGTTGTTCCTCGGTTCCTGGATGATAGCGCAAAGTCTTCGGTCAGGAACCGAAGTTTGTGAAGATTAGCTGACATCAACTTCTCGCTACAGCTGGCAGCAGGGTTGGGGTGGTCACAGTAAGCTATTCCTCCTTCACTTCGAGTCGATCGACCCATCTACAATTCATGCGATAAAACCTCCCGTTACCCTTCCTCCGCGATCCCGAGTGGAGATGTCGTGCCTGGATCTCGATCGCCTCGCCAACCACCATCCACATCGTTCTTGTCCAATTGATACTTACAAGCTTTCTTTTCACTTTAGTTGCCCGCGCTGAAAAGGGCGTTACCACCTACACCCTCTCTCCTAACCGCCAGCGCCTCTTCCCTAACTTCTGGCACACCGCCATCTTCAACACTTTCCGCCGATTCCGTCACCAAGTCCTCTACGTCGCCCCTCCATTCATCGTGGCGTACTCATTGATGGACTGGGCCGTTGAGCGGTACGTCTGATATTTATGGTGGATGGAGATACATGCACTGGTTCTGAACATACTGACATCCGGTTAGCAACGAATACTTAAACTCCAAAGCCGGTCGTGCCGAAGCTGGCGACGAGTAAATCGCGCCCGGACATTGATCCTTTTGAAATGTACAGCAACAAGATGACGCCCTCGTTAAATTTTTGGTCTCATTGTACAGTATGAGCATAGCGATTTGAAAGATCTGTGAATAGATTTGACGGGTCCGGCTGCCGACAAAATTTACATACAGTCCCTTTGTACCATTTCTTTTTTTGTTATGAATATTACAAATCATATTGAATATACTAGACTTTCATTTTTGAGTTCGCGGTTCGCACAATTTATTGTAGCTGCTTTCTATTGTTGGCTACTCGGATGCTTTGAGGATGCTTTCAGGGCAAAACTTCCGCAGTCCACGGCTGGTTAATGGTGAAGTCAATCCATGCACGGGATAGAATCCTGCTTGGCATATGATGAGATGGAAACTTTAAGAAGGAGCAGAAATTATTAACATCACCATCTAGGCTCGTCATTTTCATGCGTTGCGTATTCTTCATTTCAGCCACTTCTCCATCTCAGACTTTGTCCAGCCCTCCAACTTCGCAGCCAATGCTGCGTCTTTGGCTTGCCTACTCTGCCATCCAACCTCCGCAATCCTCTGGAAATATACACCGCTCTGCTCCGATCTCATTTGAGGACTAGCCACGCAAAAAACACTTGTCCAAGACCCTTTATCAGGATGAAGCCGCCCACCCAGTTTGTCGTAGACGCCGGCAACCAACTTGAGCCAGGAAGGGAAGTCTGCATGTTGCCCGAGGTTGCTCTCTACCAAACCGGGATGTACGATTGAGCACCAGATTTCACCTTGGCTGGAAGTGGCGGCAGGTGATCCTGGTCCGTACATCTCGTGCAGTGTTTTGATATGTAGAACGTTGGCGAGTTTGGATTGGCCATAACGAGCCATGCTATCGGCATCACGGAGGGATGTGTCGGCAAAATTGATACCATTCTTTGGCCCAAACCAGTGACCCGATGAGGACACATTGACGATGCGGACATCACCTCTCGGCGCAGATTGTGAAGTCTGAAGCATACAAGGCAAGAGATGTGAGGTAAACACCCAATGAGCGAGATAGTTGGTTTGCCATTGTGCTTCGTATCCGTCCTTGGTTATTTCGTACGGAGTTGCCATAATGCCGGCGTTGTTGACGAGTCCGTGGAGGGCGGTTTGTTTTGAGAGGAATTCTTTGGCTGCAGCAACTACGCTAGACATATCGAGGTGGTCGATGCGCAGAAGGGTTATTTTGGCTTGTGGATACAATGCTTTGATCTCTGTGATAGCGGTGTTGCCTTTCTCAACGGAGCGGGCACATAGATAGACGTGTGCTCCATGCTGTGCAAGTCGAGCGACTGTATAGTAGCCACTACTACAGTTAGGTATGTCCGCAAATATAGCTGGACAGGAAGGACCTACATGCCAGAATTTCCTCCAGTGACGACATATACCTTACCAGCTAGGTCTGGAAGGGAGTCAGGGTGAAAGGTCATGGTTATCAGACAAAAACGTATTAGGTTTAGAGCAGTAGACGTAGGATAGTTTAATAGCCCAGATTCGTAGTGGACTGAAAACGTATTTCTAGAGAAGCTCCTCCCTTAAGGTGGGAGATGAGCCCTCTTTAAATATTCAATTTTTGGAGTCTAGCTTCCGGTCTATGTCAGAACCGTTTTCACCGTGATTTGTACAGAAGGATGTGTAGGTGAATCGGTGAAGATTGATTCGTGAAGCTTTTGATAGAACAAGCCCAAAAGGGCTTAGCTGTAAGCAGGCTGCAGGACGCTAGAGCATATCAAGTTTAGTTGGAGACAGTGGTCCACTTATCTCGAGAGACAGCCAATAGAAAGTGGTTATCTCTAGCCATATTCAGGCACACAGTTCAGGCAACCAATTTCGTATTCATTTCACTCCTTCGTAACGCTCCGAAGTACTTCATCCTAGATACGCCAGTTATTCACAGCTGTATCTGATAGAATGGCGGTTCAGCTGTTGCCAATGTCGCAACTGACCGAGGTGAGTACAGTGGAGTCAATCCATGCTAGCTCACACAGAGTACTAATCCAGAGACCAGGCCTTGACTGATCAGGATGATTGGACAGGGCTTGCAGATGCCGCTGCTCGAAGGAAGAGGCAAAATCGGCTCAACGTTAGAGCTTATCGCCGTAGGTTTCATTCATGGCGGGCAGTCTTGATCCAGACCAGAACATTTCTGATGACACCCAGGAAGACGTAAAGCACTGGAGGCAGGAGGAAAAGAGGAAGTGTTCTCTGTGGTAAATTACAGCCCGACCAAGATGGAAGAGCCCTCAGTTCCATGCTGGGATGATGAAACACAGACAGTAGTAAACATACCAGCCTCGAAGGTGGATACCACGATTGGAACAACGCATAACCCCTTACTATGCCCTTCTCCATTGTCAGTAGAGAGGATAATAGTCACGCCTGCCAGCCAAACGCCAAACAAGATCATATTTCCTCTTTGCCCAGACCATCTTATCACTCTCCTTCAGTATAATGTCTTGCGTGCTACTATCATCAACATCAAGATACTGGCACCTCTACTTACAATAACGTCTTGCTCGGTAGACACTCTCAACGTCTTGCCTGAACCATCACTACCCGGTCAAATTCCGCCTTCATTATGGCCCACGAAACTTCAACAGACCATTCCTCATGAAGATTGGGTTGATGTTGTACCACATCCCCGGTGGCGAGACAATGCTCTTCTGGCTCTTGGGACATTTGACGAGGACGAACTCTGGTCAGACACTATGGGAGGCTTGTTTGAAGGTTTCCCACAGTCGGAAATTGAGCGCCGGGGCGTGATAGTGTGGTCGCCGCCATGGGATGTGCGTGGATGGGAGGTGACGGAGGGATTTTGGAAGAAGTGGGGATTCCTAATGAAAGGTTGTCATGATGTTTTAGAGGCTACAAATTATTGGAGATGGAAGAGAGGAGAAGAGCCTCTTGTATTTGAGGTTTGATGAAAATAAGGCTCTGGTGCTTGAGATGGCCTACTATACGTGTATCGATCCTGTATCTGTATCTCTGTTATCCACTTTGAGAAGAAAGCAAGACATAGTATTGCTCTGAGGCTATAGAGGCTCTATGAACTCCGTCCAATAATCCCACCCAATCTCCATACTTTGCCCACCTGCCGCTTCACCAGTCGGAAAGAAGTGATTAAGCGGATTTGTATCACCGGGAATTTCCACACCTGCAACATCTTCTGCTTGAGCCATATCATCCCTCTGCTGGTTCATACCAAGCTTCAGAGATAGGATATCTACCCAACGAAAACTAAGCAACCCATCGGGCAAACATGCAGACGTACGAGCACGCCATGCCTTGATTGCCAATGCTCCCATGGCTGCATACATGCCATCGTTCGGATTCCCACATGGTAGCCAGTCAGTGCCTGCGAAAATATTCAGTATTACATCAACGGCATACCATGCACGCTCAACTTCGCTACCCTTTATTCTACTTTGTAGGACCTTCAGAATGTATACGAGGGATTCGTATGGAAAGAGATTGTGGACGAACCATATGTACTGTTGTAAAGCCGAAGTGTCGTAAATTTTGTTTGTAGTTTCAACCACATCGGTATGCCAGATTAGTAGCATTTCCCCATGTTGTGCGGACATTTGATGGGAGATTCCAGTAGAGCTTGTGGAGTTTTTCTGATGTCTTTGTAAAGCCTGTAGCGCTCTGATACGTATCTGGGACAAGAATATTTTGGCAAGTAACGTCGTCAAAAGTTGGAATGAGTTGGCCTCATCGCAGAAACACAGAAATCTATTCTGCAGCCGCTCGACAAACTCATCAATAATGTAATTGCTTGTCTTTTGTAATTCGTCCTCTTCACAGCTCCCCATATCTACCAGACTTGGGAACTTTGTGATGAAACTCGTGCATTCGTAGATGACGAGACAAAGTACCATCTCGGTTGAATGCGATGTAATTTCGGCAGGCAGCCCAGTCATTTCAGGGTATAGATTTGCATCGTTGATATTCAGCGGTAGCTGGCCACTAAAATAACTGTCGGCTTTGATATCCATCGCAAACCCGGATAGCTTTGCAGCTTTGCAGTCCAAAAGTATGATCTGCCACCAAAGTCTGAGCCGCAATTCAGATTCGAAGGGTGGTATGTTTCGTGTGATAGTACTTTTGTGGAGTCCCATGCGTTGGCCGCTTCGTACGGCGAGACCAGTGAGGAGCCAAGCTGATTGATGATCATGATGTTGTTGCATGGATAGCTTGTAAGTCGAATGTTAGCATAATCATCATCAAACAAACGCCTTTCGGGCACTTACCAAGTACAATGTTAAGGCCTGTAAGACCACCAGACTGCATGATTTGAGACATTCGGCATTGGCTAGGGCTTGTTGTGTTGCTCTGGTAAATACCCGTTGTATTATAGCCTTTCTCTCTTTAAGTATTGATTGACATTCTGAGTCTGATATTGAGTTCACAGCAGCCAAGTAGATACTGAACATAAGTGCCTCGAATTCGCGAGGTATCTGATCAAGATCCGCCGTGATTGTACTAATTTTTTTCTGTATTGATGTCGCATGGAGGATCTTCGTGAGTAACTGTACATTATCCAAGAATATCTGCCACAACTGAAAGATCTGCACTGTGCTTGGGTGGAATTGTCGTAGCGATACGTATTCAGATACTCCCCAGAGAAGACCGGTTGCGCTTGAGGATATCATAGTATGTTCTGAAGTATATTGCGATGGAGCGCTGCTTGGTAACTTGAAAATGCTTCAGCTGTTTCTATCAAACAATGCCAACCAGCATTTACAGAATGTGACATACCTCTTTCAAAAGGTCTTCCCATAGGGGACTATTGAGGTCTCGGGTTAACTACCTCCTGTTTACTGAGAAAAGATGAACTCACTGGTTGACATAGCGAGGATGACCCTGCTCATCATTGATCAAATACTCATCTGTGGCATCAAACGTCTGTAATTGAGTTCGTCTCTCCTTGGATGATGAGACAGGTTGAATTTTCCGTCGAGCTCGACGTGGCATCGCCGGTGGCCTCGCCAAACATGTCACCTCAGCGCGGCTGCAGGAAGAACACGGCTGTCTTCCGTCGCATTTGATCTTTCGCTCTTTACAGCGTTTGCAGGAGTGTCCTCTCGGCGGTCCTTTTAGATCCATTCTCGGTGTTTGGATACTGTGTTCATAGAGTTTGTGTATTATTTTGTCAGACGGAGATTCGGCTGTTGTTAGGCCATTACTAGGATTACAAAGCTATAAGTCCGCAGGTCCGCAAGCGGACTTAAGCAGCTGGTAACCCTAGCCCTAAATGCCGGGTCGAAGGTCCGTTTGTGGATTTAAGGGATAACGAGCACAGGATATAAAGATTGGGCTTAATTATAAAATCTAGCCTTCCCTTCAATTTGGACGCATCCATGAATTTTTATCGCTCACAATTGCCCTTGTCAGACCTTTAATACGTTCTATGCGTTGAAGTCAAGCTTCACAAGAAAGACTTAAGCAAAAATGACCAAATTATTTGTTATCTTCGGTGCCACTGGCCAGCAAGGTGGTTCTCTTCTTGACTATATGCTCAACCATCCCCAGTTCTCCAAAGCATACCACTTTCGGGCCATTACACGGGATGCTTCGAAATCCACCGCCGAAGGACTTAGGAAGAAGGGGGTGGAAGTCGTGCAAGTCAGATAGAAAGCTCTTAATCATCTGTTTCTTACGTTAACTGTTGTATAGGCAGACATGGACAAGCCAGAGACTCTTGGTGCGGCAGTCTCTGGTGCCTACGGCGTATTTTCCGTGACCAACTGTGCGTTTCTTATTTGAGATGATTTGTTTGCTTTGGTCTAATAGCGTGCTCTGTCTCTTACGTAGATTGGGAAAGCAGAGATGCAGCTATAGAGATCACGCAGGGAAAAGCTGTCGCTGATGCAGCACGAGCAGCAGGTGTCTCAGTATTCATTTGGTCTTCATTGCCCAATGTGACAAAGTTCAGCAATGGGGAGTTGACGACCGTCCATCACTTCGATAGCAAAGCCGAAGTTGAAAAGTATATTCGGACACTCTCATTTTCAAGTTGTGTATTTATAATGACGGCCTTCTTCATGCAAAATATTTTCAGTCCTATTATCGCGCCGCCAAAGGTGCTAAGCTGTTCATTTCCATCAATCCACAGCAAGAACGCATTATTCAATTGAGTTCAAAGCACTTGAAGCTGTTATGCTAACCTTACTTGTATGAAGCTTGACAACGGAATTGTCATGTACAATTTCGCTTGGAACCCATCGGATCGGATACCTTATATCGACATCGCGGACATTGGCAAATTCATAGCCCCAGCCCTTCGGGATCCCATCAAATACAATAATGCTCGCTTGACTGCAGCTACAGCCTATTATACAGCCCAGGAGATGATCGACACGTTTTCTGAAGTGTCAGGCAAGAAGGTTGTACTACCAACAGAAGCAGAGATCCTGCTCTTGACGGATGATCCAATGAAGCAAAGTCTGGCCCGGCCCCCCGTGCTTTTCACAAAATGGGGGTACTATGGACCGACTGGTGAGGAAGATTTGAAATGGACGCTGGCGCAAATGGATGAGAAACCTAAGAACTTGAAGCAATTTTTCGAGGAAAATGGGCCCTGGTTTCAGTAAACCATTTCTGACGACACCGCTAAAAGTCCTGAACTATCATTGTCAATCATGGCCTTTTTGAACTAGATGATGAGCTGTGATTAGTTGCATGGGATAGAATTGAAATGTTTCGGCATCCAAAAGCTAACGTGGCATACCCATATGACGTCAAAGCAAAGTTGACTTGTAAAAACCTTCAAAGTTTGTCCAAGTACACTAACTAGCTATGACATGTACTATCTACCGAACGGTACGCCAACTGCACAGCATATTATCCCGAAAATCCGTGTTGTCTTGATGCAATTGACACAAGCCAGAAGGCGGCGCGAAGAATCATGAACCACGATGGAGCTGCTCCACCCAGCCCTAACCTTGTTACAAATGATCATTCATATAAAATTGGACTCAGCGTAACATTACTCGTGCTCTCCACACTATCTCCAAGCCCTTCGGTCGATCGCTCGGGGTATTCTATACCGAATACTAAATTAGCCATGGTTGCTTGCAGCTTTAAACTGTAACAATGCCCTCACGAGAAGGATTATTCCTCATAACCATATGTACTTTGCCATCGCTGGGCTCATCTAACTAATTATATCCCTCCGTCAGATCGTTGAGTAAGTACGATTAACTCTTGAAATGTCGACCAATATGCCGTTGTGGAAACATAACTTCCGGGGCAAGGTACTGGTTGGTGCCATTACAGTAGCAACACGTCAGGCTTTTTTGTTATTGGGATATGACCAAGGTGGGAGATTGCAGTCTCGAAAAATACATATGGCGGGTCACTAACCAATACTTTAGGTGTCATGTCTGGTATGATCGGAGCCAACAACAGATTTGGCCAGGACTTCAACAACCCCGACGCTGATATGCAGGACAACATCAATCTGCACTCTTGTCATATTGGATATGTAGTGGGCTCAATAATATGCTACTTTGTGGCAGAACGTTTCAGTCAATGGACTATGCTCATGACGGACGTCGGACTCTGTTGATTGCCACCTCAACCGGTTTGTGCATTTGCTTCTTCATGGTGTCACATTCTGATGTCACTTGAGACCATCAATGCGGCTTACAGTACAACTGCCTTTATTTCTATTTTCCAGCTTGTCTATAGTATCGGGTGACTTCCAGTTCCGCGGCTCTGTCCATCAGAAATCACAGCCACTCGAACCAGATCAAAGATGCAAGCTATAGCGTCTGGATGGAATTGGATGTTTGTTTTACCGTTGTAAAAATCACTCAATTGCATTTGGTGAGTTTAAGGCTCTTTCTGGATATCTATTCTTTCCACTGACTAATAGAACACTACAGCTAACATCGACTGGCGCACATTTATCGTCTTTGCCGTTCTCAATGCCTTCTTCATCCCCATGGTGTACTTCTTTTATCCTGAGACAAAAGGAATCAAACTTGAGGATATTCCTCTTCTTTTTGCTAAAAGTGTGGAGTCACTGGTGGTGTCCTCACATCTTGAGGAAAGACCATCACGCCTCATTAACATGCCGACGAGACTGTGGCTGACAAAAGCGATATTCAAAACAAAGAGGTGGAGGATATTGAAACACAGAAGTAAGGATAGAGATTTATATTGGCTATGGATAGAAAGTGTGCATCCTGCTTTTAAGAGTCTGCTCGTGCATTGAAACGAAGGAATGTTGAAATCGAATTACCTTCTGATGGATAAAGCATAAGCGAGTCAGATGTGATGTCAAAGTATCAATTGATTATAAATTGGACAATAGTTCGTTGAAGCGCCGCTGAATCTCGAGTTTATACTCATCAAACACCTCAGCCGCACCCAAATCTTCTCCACGGCCGACTTTGGCCATAAAGTCCTTGTCAGGAAACGTCAAACAAACCGCTTTGTCTAAAGGTAGCATCCGCAGTCCTTGGCAGACTTGTTTCAATTGTTCAGCAGCCCTCCCACCCCCATGGCCACCGTAGCTTACAGTCATTGCCGGCTTTCCTTTCCACTCATTGAAGAGATAATCGATTGCATTCTTGAGGCTAGCCGGATAGCCCCAGTTGTACTGAGGCGTAACGAATATGAAAGCTTGGTAGGAAGCTATTTCGCTTGACCATTGTCGGGTATGTTCATGTTTGTAATCCTTGGGCGAGGAGATGTGGGATGGGATTCCAGGCTCGTTATATAGCGGTAGATTCCAGACAGCGAGATCAATGATGTTAAGATCAACTGAGTGTTGAAGTTCTTGAAGGGTATTTTGCACGAATGTCGCAATCTGAAGTCCTGCGCGGGGCTCTCTTTGACTTCCGACTATTACACCGATTTTGTGTCTTTTTGAAGTCATTTTTCCGACATGCCGAGATGGATGTGAGTAGAAAATGTTTCTAGATCCGTTCTCAAAGGCCGCCCAGGCTTAATTTATCTGGAAAGTACGTTGGAGGCAAAACTGTCAGTACGTCAATGAATTAGGCAGAAATGAGAAATTTTTACAACATCGGGAATGGCGGATCGCGCGGCCCGCTGATGGTTCTATTGATTCGTTAGGGCATACTAGGTCAGTAAGTGAGCAAAAATCATATAAAGAATTTACAATTCAGTTTTTTGGATTGCTCGCTATGAGAGTGGAGTCTGTCTTCTTTTGGCCTCTATGTCACAGAAATGTAAAACCATGCAAGCTGCCTTCTGACCGATCGACCCATCTCCGTTGCTGCATGTTGTATTCTGTCACTATCTCTCTACATTTCCCGTGAAGCCTCTTTTGTCGACAAGATAATCTGATTTTATCTGTAGGACCATCCGGTAGAGTCACATCAATATCGTGGACTCGGCAGTAATCTGGTAATGGCGGTATTAACAAGTCCTCCATAGTTGGAGACTCCAGTATATCAAAACCATAGGTCGTATCTATATGTGCATAAATATTCCCTTCTTCAATTTCCATTACTTTTCGACCAATGCACGCCGCGATGTTTGCATCCCAAAACCCTTCTCGGTGTATGCTCGATTCCAGCAATCGAATAGCTTGCAATCTGAGTCGAGGTACACGACATTTAAGTGCCACGTAATACAGCGGTGAAATCCAACCAATATCGATGACGGATCTAGACATATCAAAGCAGCGCATAGATGCGACCGCGGTCGAGAGTCGGGACTCTTTTACATTAGCAAGGGCTATCGAGTGACTGATAGCGATCAGAAATTGGTCTTCGTGTAAGTCGAATATAGTTTCATTACCACGGTCACGTAGGCAGGTAGCTGCCATGATTTGAGCAATTGTGTGGTGGCTGCTCAATAGATGAAAGGCGAATAATTCTATGTCTTTCCAAAACAGACCCTGTAAAAATGCTCTAGATTGTTCGTAAGTGTAGAGCCAGAGATCCAGTTCGGATTGAATCCGTCCCTGCCTCAGTGAGAATGGAATGTATGAATCGATGGATAAGCAAGTAAATGGTTGGTGCTTTTGGACATCGGCTGACAATTCAAGTATGCTGAACAGGATGCCTTCTAGCTGTTGCCAAGCTTGATTGAAGTTTAGGAATAGCTCATTAGCACAGCGAGGATTTAAAATGTAGGCTGTATAGGCTAAGGGATATCGACGATGCTGGTTCAAAAGAGCGACTTGGATGTATAACCTAGAAAAGACATCGAGAATCCAAGTATCGATTATTGTTGGTAGTTGGCAAAGCGATTCGCGTAGAATTCCATTTCCACATTCAAGGTGAAAAACGGCTGTCCTGAAATGGCCTTGTAGGAGCTCCAAACAGACGAACGTTAAACATGTCATGAGAGCGAGGCGAGCAGATGTTCTGTCATTGATACAAAGTTGAGGTTGTAAATAACCAATCGCTTTCGTGTAATGTTTCAAGATGAAGTCTCTGTCACCTACAAAGCTATGCATAAGATCTTGACTTTGTTGCATTGCATGCAGATGTACTCCATTTTCGTGAACACGGCTTATACTGAGAACGGCATGCAACACTGCCGGCTCGCTGAGAGCGGCCTGGATGACTACTGTCTCCCAAAAGGTCAGGACAAAAAGGCCATGTAACTTCGATTTCACCCTGCACTCGTACCATTCGAAAGCTCGTTTCTCATCCAAACTCAGACTTTGAAGAGTGGTGTATGGGAGAATGGTTGGCGTGATGAGCTGTGTTTGCCGACTGCCGTAGAAGTTTCCGCCGCCGCCCCAGATTCCATATCCATCACATACACGTCCTGTCGAACTACAACGCTTACACACGGGGCGATTTTCATCGCACTTCACTTTTCTGAGTCTGTGTGTTTATTAGACTTGTAATTGCTTTGTTGCGTTGGGCTTGACCCACTTGCATGTACGACAACCGGACTTCACCTTGGATTTTCGGGGCCGATTAGAGACAAGGTCGGACGGGTGGTAGTCTGCCATGACAGGCAGTTAGTGACATGTTGTTGGGGGTGAAGCTTCACAGATCCTTCGTTGCAATGAAATCATTATCAACAGTAAGCATAGAGTCTCGTGTAGGCCACCGGAGTTAAGCCGATGCTTAGCATGAGAGACAACCCACAAGTATCTATGGACCCATATTTTAGCGGGGCTCAGCATGGGCACTGATTTTGAACATGAAACCGCACTAACCAAATGGGATCGTGTCTTTGCAGGTTCCGTTTAGCCAAGCATGATCTAAGTGGAGTCGCTCTGATACAGTTGATTGGGCGGCTCGGACGATCTGTTCTCCCATTGGTTGCCGCCAAAGGATTCGGAAACTAGACAAGCTGATTGGTTATTTATGATCTATATCTTGTATACGTAATGGGTCATGGTTGCGAAGTTGCGAAAAGTAGTTGGGGATACCTTCATGATCGAGACTTACGAAGTGTGGAAATTTCTGAGTGCTGGTTACAGCGATCCAGGATGCACCGAGCTATAAGTAGGAGCCATGTCCTCAGCCATTTGGACTGCTCTCATGCGGTTCATCTACCATCGATTGACTCTCTAGCCACTCTTCACTATTCCAAATCACTTTGACGATACTACTCAAGTCGGACTTTTTTGTTCCTCTTTCAACATGTCGAAAGGCAGTGTCCCAACTCGGAAGCTTGGCAAGGATGGCCCCGAAGTCCCGGCTATGGGCTTTGGCTTGATGGGACTGACCGGGATTTATGGAACTGCACCTGATGAAGAGGGACTGTTCAAACTTTTGGACAAAGCTGCTGAGATTGGCTCAACATTTTGGGACACGGCGGAGTGAGCTGATATTCAAGAAGTGACTAGTTTGCATCTGACAAAGGGGCGCTAACGGCGTTTTAGCATCTATGGAGACACCGAAGAACTGGTAGGAAAATGGTTCCAGCATACTGGGAGACGAGAGGAGATCTTCCTTGCATCCAAGTTCGGTATTATGATGGAAGGATTACAATTCAAGGGAATCAATAGCTCCGCAGACTACTGCAGACAGCAGTGCGAAGCAAGTTTGAAACGTCTCAACACAGATAGGATTGATCTCTGTATGTCGTTGCCAAGTTTGACCCATGCAGCCAAGTTCACTAACTCTTATAGACTATGCCCATCGTCTCAATCCCGAGACACCTATTGAGGAAACCATGAGAGCTCTGGCACAACTGCAGTCGTAAGTGCACTCTTCCGCGATAGTCCTTTTGGTTGTACCGAGTTGTTGACACGGATTAGGGAAGGAAAAATCAAACATATCGGGTTGTCAGAAGCAGGCTCAGACACACTGCGCCGTGCCGTCAGGATCGCACCCGTTGCTGCCGTCCAGTTAGAATACTCACCCTTTGTGCGTGACATTGAACAGGAGTCCAGCTCCCATGTTTTGCAGACTTGTCGCGAGCTGGGTATTGCTGTTGTATGCTTCTCACCTCTCGCACGCGGATTGCTCACGGGAAAATGCACTCCAGAATCCCTTTCTGACAGCGATATCCGGGCCAAATGGTTTCCTTGGTTTCAGCCAGAAAACTTCAGCAAGAATTTCTCTATTGTCAACCAATTCAAGGCATTTGCTGATCAGAAAGGATGCACTCCTTCCCAACTTGCGCTTGCCTGGCTACTCCATCAAGGCCCGGACATCATTCCGAATCCCGGGACCAAGTCTATCAAGTATTTGGAAGAGAATGTGGCCGCATTAGGTGTCAAATTGACCCCAGACGAAACAATCGGGATTCGAGCATTTGTGGAAAACAACGACGTGGTCGGATACCGCTCGACGCCTGGCAGCGAATACTTCGCTTATGTCACTACCAAGACCGAGCAGTGAGAATTTCGCGATAAGAAACGAATTTCACCGCATTTTATTTATTCTGTTCCGATTGATCATGTGGATGTGGAAGTGTCTCGTAATTGCTCAATTGTTGATTGATTGGTGCCCAATGCAATTTCTTCTTGTGGTCCGCGAAGCTCCGCGGGGACATCTGGTCTTTTCAAAGTGAACCTCTTGCCATTTGTAGAGAGGTGCGCGCATTGAACTAATAGTCAATTCGAAATCGGTCAGCTCATATGTAACAAGGTGCAAGTAGCCAATGGTTTGCGACGGAAAGGAAGGTGTGCGTGTGCGCGTGCGCAAGGATTCGTAGCATACCGTATGTACATCGTATGCGATCTGGAAGGTTTGAAGGCTTGCGAGGACACCCAAGCAAGTTGTTCTGAACGTGTCGTGTCCATGAAATAACTACGTGATCAAGTTTTGAAAATAAGCAACCTGCTACTGACCGATACTTAGCATTGATAATCAACACCTTGCAGTGATTTGCAAAATCCTGGAAATCAAAGTAGTGCTTCGTGAATCACTGCCCGAACAGATCGCGACAATCGCTAGGTACTAGTATGCTTAGAAGAAAGATGATTCGTACAGAGGCACCTGGTCTTGCCCTGGTACCCTTGTCGGGCCCACAGAAGAACTACTTCCGGTACAGCCACTAAAGCATGGCACTCGAGCATTTCCAGCCGTTCTGATTGGCATACGGGGTACACGGATACAGCAAGGGCCGCGGTGATCATCAATCAGTGCGTACCTAGTAACACCCATGACGTTGCCGCTGCAATAGCTTTGACAGCTATGTCCTCTTTTTTTTGTTTTGTTTTTTTTTTTTTCTATTTACCAAATGGTCAGCCTAATCTATAAATTTTCATGCATGTTTGTGATACAAGCTCGGTGGCAAAAATTGTTCTCGGTTTCCCCTCATTGATCCCACCAGTCCTAACCATTTATATCCTCCCACGTAACCGGCTGGAAAATATTTCCTCGTGTTCGAATCAATCTCATTGTCTCAATTTTCCTCTACTTGCAAATACCTTACCCCTTGTCGGTACCTCCACTAGCACGGACAATTGCTGGTCGAATACAACTTTAACTGCGCCTATTGGAAAGTTTGTTAGTTACCATTGCAAGACAAAGGCGCGTAACTTGAAGCTCTGATTAATTGGTTGATCGGCGATCGATGGCATGTCGCCACCAGCTGGATTGACTGCCTGGGAATAAGGTTGTGATTTGGGAACGGTGCATTCGAATTCTGACTAGTGATGCCTGATTCTTCACAAAGGAGCCTTGAGTCGATCCCAGATAATAGTAATACTGCTGATGGCACTCCCACCGGCGCTCCACGCAGACAGGAAACCCAAACCCCTACAAGCAGCTCTAGAGCAGTACCGGAAGGCTCTGGTGGTACCGGAGAGAAAGTATGGATTCCTCGGGTGTCTCAACGACCAGGTCCTGTGAACCGCTCCAGAACAAAGCACGCCTGTGAAGCCTGTCGGAAAAGGCGCATCAAGTGCGATGGAGCTCGACCCCTGTGTCAAGGCTGCGCCTCCGCTGGTACGGAGTGCGTATATGCAGACCCTAAGCGTGTGCGAGATAGGCAGGAGATGAGGTCTTTGAAAAGTACAATTGACCAGTACGAACATCTCCTGCGAGATCTTCTCCACGAGGTTCCTGCAGGTGCCGCCAAACGTATCAAGTCAAAATTAACAGTAAGACCTCTATGACATTGCGCCAAGTGTCATGTAAAAGACTCAGGAATCTAATCTTAATATTTTTCATCACTATCAGCCCACTGAATCCTATCCTTTGAATCGCAATCCGTCCATCTCAAGCTCATCCTCATCCTCCGCTGGTTCCATCGAGGGGACTGACACGATAAGCGAGGACCTCAACCGAAATGAAGAATCCAGAGCCACCGGCTTCATGGGCAAAAACTCCGTTCACGCCTGGTTACGCAACCTAGAGCCTGATAGCGGACACCGAGTATCGCCTGATCGCAACATGGAGGCCGCGGGCAGAACGCAATTCGGCAAGCCTATCTCTCCTCAGGGTCTCGACAACCACATGTCTGTTAGCTATTTCCTAGACGATCGGAAACTGCCCCCCTCCAGCTCCGTCGATGCATACCAATTTCCCCCGAAGAACCTGGTAGACTGGATTTTGCAGTCCTACTTCAAGTCCGCGCACCCCTTGTTTCCCATAGTACGTATCGATCTCTTTTTGGAACAATACAAGAGTCTTTGGGGAGGCAGTGGAACTCCACGACCCGGTCAGAAATGGCTCGCCATTCTCAACATGATTCTGGCCATCGGTTGCAGGCGACTCCAGTTCCTACAGGAGAAAATGCCGCCTGGCGTCAGCCATGAGATTTTCTTCTCTCGTGCGCGATCTCTCAGCGTGAACGAAAACATGATTGTCGAACACGCAGACCTACAACAAGTACAGGTCGAAGCACTCGTGACGTTATATCTATTGGTATCCATGCAGATCAATCGGTGAATCACCCTATTCTAGTTTACCTTCTACATTAATGGTAAGAGCTACTAACTCGTCGCCTTCACAACGCAGGGCCTGGAAAGTCTCTGGTATTGCAGTACGATCAGCCATGGCATTGGCGGTCAATCTGCGGATTACAGATACAGACCTACAGCCTGGATCTAAAGAAGCCCGCTCTCGACTTTGGTGGTCTATCTACATGCTAGAAAACCTTTTGGCACGTATGACAGGAAGACCTACGTGCATTGGAAGCTCGTCGTTCTCCGTCGACCCGCCTGTACCTTACTCGGAGGACATGTTTGCTCGCCCTCAGGTGATGGATCTATTAACCAATGAGACGCTCCGCAAAGAGCGCCTGAGATGGTCCTTGGATGAACAGGAGAGTGGAAATGACGACTATGATCCTTTCTGGCTCAAGGACATTGAAACTAATCATGGACTCCAATTTTACTATCTTGTTGATCTAATGCACATAGTACACATTGCGATCGACGAACTTTTCTCCCCCAAGGGCTACCAAGCCAACAAGTCCTACATCAGACGGCGCATACGCTTCTATGATGAGAAGTTAGAGCACTGGCTATCTCGCCTTGCTCCTGCATGTCGCTTTGTCGACCAGAACGGTGATTTGAATTTGCAAACATCATCGCAAGAACAAACCATTTTAGCGCTACATTATTACGGCGCCCGGATTACCTTATACCGGCCGTATTCTCCTTTCAAACGATACGCTGACTTGAAAGAGAAGGAGTACGCATACATCAGTCAACGATGTCTGCAGGCGGCACTATCACTGATCGCGGTCTTTCCGGATGACACTGATCTTGATTGGGTTTATAACACATCTCCCTGGTGGTGCATGCTTCACTTTCTGATGCAAGCAAGCACAATTTTGGTTATGTTCACCCACAGCAGTGATCCCGCCGGCTCGGCTCACACAAAAGACGCTGAACACGGCTTCGCATCCCCTGGAGTAGCCGCCCGGGTTCAAGCTGCCTGCCTAAAAGCTCACAGGTGGTTACACGGCTTGTCTCGAGTCGATGAATCGTGTCGCCGGGCATTCTTACTTTATGATGATCTCCTCCGGCGCCTTGGGTTTATCATGAGCTCATCCGCCACCTCCTGGTCTGGATCAGCTCAAAGCAATCCTTTATCTCGGAATCAAAGCGGTGGGCCAAATGCTCAACAAGAATCCGACCAACCTACATACAATGTGCAACAGCACGGTGAGTATCCCAGACAAATGGCATTTGATCCTTTCCCGGAGGCATACAGTCATCTTGTGCATGGTGCTAGCGACGTGCTATCGCCCCTCGATTGGAGGAATATTGACTTATCTGTTGGCGTGCCCTTTGCCGAACCGATATGTACGGGCGAGGTCTCTGGTGAGTCTGAGGGGGTGGATACGGCTTATGAAGATAATGATGTCCGTATGAATCTTTCTTGAAACATATCTGGCGTCGAAGCGTGGTGGTCTCCCCTTTGTTTAGTCTTTTTTTGACAATTTGCCCGGAAATCCTCTCAGCGGAAACGGCATTGCTTTCTGAAGAAGTTTACGTCGGTATCCGGTTGATGAAAACCTCACTATTCAATCTTTTGGACTCTTTACAAAATTTGACACTATTATTACACGTAATGCCATTTCGGCACATTCCAAAAGTAAAAATACCATTGCGGGTTACAACCGAGCATTGAGCCAGTGTTTGTCTATTATGGATCGAACGAAACATAATCGTAGTGTTCATTCTAGAGTAGTAATTACAAATTATATATCAGAAATTAATATTTTCAAGACGTTCCATGCCCGACATTAGATATAAGAGTTGACCAAGCTTAGACAAAGCGCTTAATCGGTCTCGCAGGAGTCGGGTTCGCCATCACCCTGCCAATTTTGTCAGCTGATGTAGGTTAAATAATATTCAAAAAGGGTGTACTCACTCCCTTGCGGCTATACTTGATACCAACGGAAGTTCCGCTGACATTATCATAAGGAACAGGGCTGGTGTAATTGTAGGTAGGCTTCATTCCCTGGTAGGTCTGCTGAACGGTGTGAAGAACGGTATTGGCACCAGAGCACTGGGCACCGTTGGTCAAAGGAATGGGCCAGGCGCTAGAGTACTTTTTGGTGGACAAAGGACCAGGGTAAGAAGTGTTCAAGTTGGCGTTGGTCATGTCAACGTCGTAGTTGATGTAGTTGACCTTGTCAGCAACGAGGGACAACAAGTTGGCACCGCAGTCCCAGCGACCGAGAGAGGGGAGCTCCCAGTTGGCGGAGAGAGAAGCAATGACGGAGTAGTGAGTGTAGAAAGTGCTGTCGGTGGTTCCCTTGAGGTGGTTAGGGACGGCGCCGCCAACTAGAAGGGTGTATACGGAGTTGGGGTTGGTGTAGTTGCCACCTTCATCGAAGGTGAGCATGACAAGAGTATCCTTCATGAAGTACTCGTTCTTGAGAAGGTCTGAGAGGAAGTTGTAAGACCAGGTACCGCTGAAAGAGATGTTGGTGTCGTGGCCGTCGTTGGTCATGTTGGGGGTGATGAAAGAGTATTGGGGAAGACGCTTGTTGTCAAGATCATCGTAGAAGCTAGTGAAGTTCTTGATCTGGCGCAGACGGGTAGCATCGTCGGTCACGGAGTTGAAGATGACCAGGGGATTGTGCTTGCGCACGTAGTCGTTGGCACCGGACTCGGGGTAGCGGAAACCCTGGTAACCAGCGTAAGGGAGACCTTCCTGGTACTCACTCCAGGAGATCTTGCGGGTGTCGAAGAGGTCGGCAATGGTAGAGACATTGTTAGGGATCTGCCACCAGTTGTCGTTGTCCATTCCGAAGTGGTCACCAGCAGCGGCGGCAACGTAGTTGGGCTCAGAGGGATGAGTAACAGCCCAGTAGTTGTCCAAGAAGATGCCGTTCTTCTTCAATTCGTCCAGGTGAGGTTCAATCTCAGCGGTGGCCAAGTCCTAGAATTATTAGCTCCCTTCTCGTGCAAAGTGTCGCGGATAACTTCCCGCTCTGACACTAGGTGCAGAGAATACTTACGGTGTTCTCCAACCAGATATCAATGAAGCGGTTAAAGACCTTTCCATGCACGTTGGAGGTGGGAGAGTAAGGCTTGACGGAAGCCTGAGCAGCCGCAATCTCGGCGGCAGAAGGGTACTGTTCAGTGGTAGTCTGAGCAGCAACCAAGCAGCAGCTGGCCATCATGGCCATCAAGACCTTTTGCAACATCGTTTGGGACAACATCTTGACGAATGTGTGGTGTTTGAATGACCGCAGTGATGAATCGAGCAGCTACTTCCAGTCCACGTCGTCGAGGAGGGTAACATGGCCGTCTTTATATGTCCGGCAGGTACCTTACTGGTATGTCACTTGCAGCATTCTTGTGGATGCCGCGATCAGACCTCTTGGCCTGGATCCGCTCATTCGATAAACTTTTGCATCCGCAGATGTCGCGCCCACGTTTTCGAGATTCGTAGTCAGGATACTTCCTGACTCGGCGATGAGGGCGCATTTCGACATGCGAGTCGAGCAGGTACCGGCAATCCTCACGATCAAAACAGCACTGAACTATGGTGATGGTTGTAGCATCTTGAATGTTCGGCGATAGAAACGTTGCAGTGACATTTTATTCCTGCTGGCATGGAAGCTGTCGAACAAGGCGATTGTTCCGCCTGTGGAGAGCTGTTAATTTGTATCAATCTCGGCAACTGTACTATGTAGTACTATATATGGCCCGCAACCAATTGGCCAACCACATCGCCGACGTGAAGAGAACTCTAAGCATGTTCTCAATGCTGAGTCTCTGATTGGTTTAGTTTAATCGTCTTGGCGCATAGTTTAAAGTTGAGCATTAATTGTGTGTAGATTATTTGTATATACTAAACTATGAGTATCCTAGGTATATTATCTGCAGCTTGTAATTATATAATTTGTGTGCACGTACAGAAACCGACCGATGCCGTCAGGCATACGACCACAGCATAGCACGATACCCGAAAAGAAGTGGCTTCACTTGTTTGTTTACATCAACGATAACTGCACCTTGGACCAACATGGATTTTAAAGATCTGCAGGATAATAAAATAATTAAAACCAATTGAGAATGGCACGAGGAACGTGGTCTGAGGCTGCAACTGCAAGTGACGGGGGCTAGTACGAAAAAGGGGAGTAGTTTTTCTTGACTGTATTAGTAGAAGTTGATAGTACATACGGCGAGGAAAAAAAAGCAATTCCAGGCCAGACTGCACAAGACCCACTCAAATCACCGAGATTTAGTTCGCACGTGTTTCGTGGCCATGACATAAACATACACTACATCGACAATGAACACCGAGGGGAAGGAAAGACATAAACATTAATATCCGAGTCTACATGCGCCATAAAATACAAAAAGCATACCTAGAAACCTCACACGTTGCTTTCGCTGCTGGCAATGTGGATCTCAGTCGTCTTGTGAATGTTGTATTGTTTTATCGGACTGACTTCGCCAAGGTGTACATCACCGCCCAGCACCCGCGTCTCCGTCCCCATACCGCCAAAGATGTGTTCTTCGCTCTCGCTGCGACCCAGATGCGTTTCGTCGTGGTTCGATGTGATGGCTGAAAAATTCCGACTTCGGGGCCCGGTATGGCCTGTGAAGGGGTTGTCACCCGTCTGGGCGCCGTAGTATAGTTGTCGCGAACTCTTTTTTGTTCCGGTAGCTGTGGAGTGGAGGAATTTGATCGTGCGGCGGAGGAAGGACCAGACATATGGGAGGTTGGAAACGTAGATGCCGACCGAGGCTTCTCGGAGGTACCAGAATTGGTACGAGGTGTCGTAGATGTCGCGGAAAGTGAAAATCTTGGATACGATGGCGCAAACGATCTGCCAACAACACGTTCATGTAAGCTTCAATACGCGATGCCTCTCGCTAGGTAGAACATACCAAGAAGAATCCCAGCCCAAAAATGACGACAATGGGCACTTTCTCTTTGTTCGACATATTCATCTTCCACAAAGTTGGAATGATGACCAACAGAATGGCTAAATCGGAGGAGATATTAAATACGGCTTKAACAACTTCGTAGTTAAAGTACGTGGCGCATTGTTGCTGAGGCGGCGGGATGGTAAAATATCCCGAAAACGGACGACAGTTGAGGAAGAGTGTGAGCTCGACAGCGATGTATCCTGCCAGAGTGTATCCTGCGCAGAGCTTGACCCAGAATTGTCGTAAAAGATTCGTACTGTAGCCGACAAGACAACGTTAGACGCACGCAGTCGAAAAACAAGAACAGACTAGCACTCACGTCATGCGCCAATAGATGATGAGCATGCATGCTTTCAGGAACCAGATTGTATTGACCATACACTGTATCTCATCAGTCACTGCGACTTTCTCTCGTCACACGGGTAATCCCACCTGCTCCGACGCAAACTCGACCCTAGCAAATTGTTCTCTATCCAAGATATCCTGCGGTGTGAATGTGGCGTATTCTTCCGGCGTATAAAGCGTGCCACCACCGCCTTCTGCTAGTTGGATGTTGGTGACGACCAGCGCAGTATACCAGCCCTGTGACGGCAAGGGATTAGTTCGGTCATGAGCAAAGACAGCCATTGGAACGCACAATTGCAAGCAACATGATATAGTCTTCTGCTTGCCATTTCAAGCCCAACCGGTCATACCGGGCATATCTGATCTGTGTTAGAATGGTTTATCGAATCAACGCAGAAAGCGGGGCGTGATGCATACAGTCGGAGTAGGTATAATATCATGCCAATGGTATACATGATCCATGACTGCACCACCAGCTCGTGTGGGCTGCCTCCACCGTCGGAGGCCATTGTGACTCGGTGTTCTTTAGATCGACATATGCAAATATTGTAAACACGAGAAAACCGACAGCGGCACGATTGCCTACTTAGAGTATGGCAGATGATGAGAACGAAAGAAAAAACGAAGCAAAACCAAAAGTCTCCCACGAGAACACCAAAGCCACCACCCGGAAGGGAGTGAAATGGTGCTTTAATGCGGTAAACTCAGTCCGCCCAGGGAAGCAAAGTCAACCGTGGAAATGAGGCCTGAGCGAGCAACGCTTATCTTCAGGCTAGCCCGAAACAGACGCACGTTTCGTCAGGATGCACGACACTAAACCCCAAGCATGGTGCCTGACTTGAGACTCTAGATAAAACCCTCAAACAGCGAGTGAAAATGCAGTTATGTCGCCGACGAAGGTCTAATTTTCCTGCAATCGCAAGCGTTCTCGAGGAGGCGCGATCCCGACTTCATGCATACGTAAGTAAGTGAGCACTAGCAAAGCATCACGTTGTGTGGCGTCTGGCTGCGTACTTGCAGCGAATGGTACGCGGTACCAGACTTCAATTGGCCTTGAATAGATTAATCATACAACAGAACGAATCAAACAAAGTGTGGGAGCCATGGGAATGATAGAGCTCCGCGAGGGGTTCATTCCAGAAGGTCAAGATTGAAGGTAGGTAGGGGGTGCCGAGTGTCCGATTTACGAAGATAAGACCCAGCGAAGTGGATGCCTGGAAAGCTAGGCTGCACAACAGCCAATCACGAGCATGACGCTAGTCTACTTGCAGCCGAGTGAGTGCCTCCTTCTCCCGTCCATGCATGGCGCGAAGCCAGAACAGGGCATTGACTGTTGCATCCGTCCATCCGGCCTATCTGGTATCTCTTCAGTACATTTTCTTCTCTTTTGTCTTTGTCTTTTCCCCAGAACGTGCAGTATATTCGCTTGACTATGGCTGGTCACTGTTACCACAACCCACGGTGTATTGTATGTTGAATTAGATATCAGTCGCAGTCCAGTCTCCTCCGTACTCGGTAGCTTTCCAGAAGCGCGCTAGGGATGTCGGAAGGGTCTCCCGGCCCTGCAAAACAGAAGCTTGGCGGTGCTTGTCTCTTCTCCCCCCACTTCGTCTCTTCATTTTTTCATCGCAGGCCGTGCTCGCGTTCTAGATGGCCAACACGAACTCGGAAATGCATGCGCAATTAACTAATCGACTAGTAGTCGCAACTTCACGAATCGCATGGGTCAATGGCGATAAGTACAGAGAGCTACTGGAAAGCTAACCTCATTCAGTGCTTCGGATATTTTTCTCTCGTCGGACCAATGAGTGGAGGGTGAGTGGTTTCCCGCCACCTGCTCTTTCCTCCGTCCCTCTCTTATTATTCCTCTGATCTTTTCTTATATCCCTCGTATTACATCCTTATCCGGTCGCATTTTATTTTTGACCTCTGTTGCATGTTATTTCGTGCTCTCTTTGGACAAGACAGAAACGACCGCCATGGAGAAGCAGCCGAGTGACAATGTCAACCGCGATGGCTCTGTCCTCGAAAGCCAGCCATCCGATGCCGTCAAGAGCACCAGCTCCGGCGGTGTTCTTGCCCGTCTGAACGAGAGAATCGCTTCAATTAGGTTCATGGAGGCCCGCGGCATCGAACGGGTACCTGAATCAGAGCGTCATAGCGCCACCGCCGCCGATTACATGCAGATGGGCCTGCTGTGGTTCAGTACAAACATCACCGCCAACAACATCGCCGTTGGCATGCTTGGTCCGTTGGACTATGGTTTGAGTTTTACCGATTCTGCGCTGTGTGCTACTTTCGGCGCCCTGCTGGGTGCTGCCGGTGCTGCGTATATGGGCACTTGGGGTCCAGTCAGTGGTAACCGTACTATGGTGAGTTCCTTCCCGCTGTCGCGTGCCAACTCAGTTGTCTGACATTGTCAGGTCATTGCGCGTTATTTCATGGGTTACTACCCCAGCAAAATCTGCGCTCTTCTTAATATCGTCATCATGTTGGGTTATGGAATGATTGACTGCCTCGTCGGAGGCCAGGTTCTCTCTGCCGTCGCCGGCGGTAACATGACTGTGGTCGTCGGTACAATTATCGTCGCCATCATTACCTGGATCGTGGTCATCTTCGGAATGTCCGTCTTCCACAAGTACGAAAGATGGGCATGGGTTCCGCAATTGATTGCCTTGTTCGTGCTGGTGGGTTCCGCTGGTCCCAAGTTTGACACCGATATTCCTTCTGTTGGCAGCTCGCGAGACATCGCCGGCAACCGCTTGTCCTTCTTCTCACTCTGCCTGTCCTCTGCCGTTGCTTGGGCCCCTGCCGGTGCCGACTATTACGTGTACTACCCACCGACCACTAAGAAATGGGTCACCTTTACCATGAGCTTCTTTGGCATCGGTCTTGCACTGACATTTGCCAATCTGCTTGGTGTCGGTCTCGGCTCCGGCACTTATAGCAACGCTGACTGGGAGGCTGCCAACGAAGTTTCCTCGGGCGCTTTGATCATGCAAGGCTATAACGGATTGGGCGGATTTGGAAAATTCCTTGGTGTTTTGGTTGCGCTGGGTCTCATCGCAAACAATATCCCAGGTACTTATTCGGCCACTCTTGGCTTTCAGACCCTTGGCCGATACGGAGTTGCATTGCCCCGTTGGTTCTGGACCTGTGTCGGTGTGGTCATTTACACTGCATGTGCACTGGGTGGCCGAGACCATCTATTTGAAATTTTCGAGAACTTCCTCGCTCTGATGGGCTACTGGGTCACGATCTTCTTGATCATCGTGCTTGAAGAACACATGATCTTCCGCTGGGGCAAGATTGCACCGGCTTTCGACTGGTCGATCTGGGCAGACCGAAGCAAGCTGCCTCTCGGTCTAGCTGCGTTCACAGCATTCGTGGTTGGATGGATAGGAAGCATCATGTGCATGTACCAGATCTACTATGTTGGTCCCATCGCCAAGTTAGTCAGCACCGATGGTGCAGATCTGGGTATTTGGGTGGGTTGTGCTTGGGCCATGATTGTTTTCCCTCCGCTGCGATGGCTGGAGCTGAAGAAATTTGGTCGATGAGCTCCTTGACTTAGATTTTGCTTATACATAGACATTGGGGGTGTTTTCTTGCAGTTTGTCCGTTACTGCATTACTCTAATACCCTCGCTTTTATACATTGCGGAAAGATAGTGTACCATACAGCACAATATAGTTATGTTCGGCTTTAATTGCCGAATATATTTTTTATACAAAGTTTTTGTATCGGATATTCAGCTCGTTTGTTCGGCCATCCGGCACGGGTAGGTTTTCCTTAACTTTGGATGTGGAAATGGCCGCGCCACAAACCTTTTTAAACTTTCATGGAACTAGCATGACTTATTTGGTAAACTTATGGCTTGGAGGATTAGGCAACCTTCCAAGTCCATATATTCATCCCCATCTTATTACCAGTCGTCACCGGCATTCCAGCGTGAAGAGTCATTTTATGTCCCGCATCATCGTCGTGAAGATTCTCCCAGTATATAGCATTTCCCAGGATTGGTTTGAATGTAACCCCTTCGTCGAACGGTCGGTCGCAGTCAATAAATTCACACCAACTCTCATCATCCGGCGGAGTAAGTCGTGCAAAATTGGTCCCCCCACCTGTGCAGTTCGCGTGTATATAAACGAAGAATGTAGAAGCGATATTCCCCCCGACGGCGTGCGCATCGTCGAACCAGTCGTAGTGGTCGCGGTACTGCCCAGAGATACCATAGTTTTGTACCACAATGGGCAAAAAATCGCCGAAGCGTTTGTAGAAGGGAAAGGAGGTTGCGCGTTCTTCGATTCTTTTAATGGTTTCGTCGCTTCGGTCTAGTTTCGCTGTCATCGAGAGGCGGTATGCTTTGTCGATGTGCGGTTTCCCTTCGTTATCCCACATGGGCGATGGAGCGAACCGACCGTTTCTATTTAATTGACTGTGGTCAACTATTGATTGATCTAGTAAGCTGACCAGGCATGAAGACGAAGCTTACGCCAGTTGCACCAGGTGAGTTGCTTCCTGTGTGCTGATAAAGTCCTTCACGTAGACCACAACCGGATCCTCGGAAAGAATGTAGGTTGTTGGACGTGGTGTCTCGGCGTTGATCTCATATCTCGTACGCAGCCAGTCCAATGGTGATAAATTGAACGAGACGAAAGCCCAGCCAATGGCAATACCAGCGACAAGCAAGCTGAGCGACCGGAGGAGTAGATTCCCCGCCATTGCTTGTGGGAGCGGTCCGGAGGGACGATGTTAGAACAAAGAACTGCAGTAGGCAAATCCACCAAGCAGTCAGCCAGTATATCTTCTAGCGCATCCTTTCATGGTTGCTAAGACTATCGCGAGAGAAGGCGTGAAGAAAAGGAAGTCGTTGAAGTTGAACGCTGCTGTTCTTATCGATAGCAATAGCAACGGGGCACGTGCCGCAGCCAGCAATGACGATTGGCGCGCACCAATGAAATGGCCGTATCCTCTTCTTTCCTTCAAAACATCGTGAGTCGAAGGCGATGAGCGTCAACTTGTTCTCTGATACTGCTGACGGTATGCAAATATGATATCGTGGTCGCTGCAGCTATTCATATCATGGCTGTTGCTAGTGCTTCTGTTTGAGCTATGTTGTGGGCAGGAATTTCTTGATCCCCAGGGTTTTGAACAGCGTGCTGCCTTGCCAGGCGTGTTCGTTCTGAGTTGTATGTGACATCTACAGTGCTCTGTAATATGGCTAATCGATGTGGTGATAGTCTGTGTTGTACGTATTCGATTGATTTCAGAAGAAAATATTCAGAGAATACCAATGATTATCTAACTCTGAGCTAATCATGTTCAGCCGTCGCAGTAGGCATTCCCAGCTTCTTTCTGAAGTCTCGTAAGAATACTGAGTATTTATAGTGAGCCGTGTACAACAGTTCACAATGAACTTGTGCTCGCTGCCGAGAGTTTGAGCAAGACATCCGATGTCAGCATATACGAAGTAGACTGCTCGAAACACGAAAAGTTTTGTGCCTCATTCGACGTGTCGTCATTTCCGACTATTAGAATTTTCGAGCATCAGAAATGGTCACGCTACCGAGGCGCACAACGAGCAACACCGTATGACCTGGTCCGAATCCTTGATGGCTTCACTGTCACTAATTTGTATCAGACTCGTCACACATGTTCTGAAGCAAGTCACGAATTCTATTGTCGAACTAGACGAGGAAAGATTCACCATTATGAAGCAGCTGGGGGTTCCCTTGATGGTTCTCACAAGGGCTGGGGATGGTGACTCATCCCTCAATCTGATGGCTTCTCTTGCAAAGGAAGAACTAGCGGAAGACTTCTTTGTTGGAGTTATGTCTGGAGCCCAATCTGGAACGAATAAACCATTCATCACGGTTTACAATGTTCGAGACGAAACAACCCCGAAGTACGATGGCCCATTTGAGAAGAAGGCTATTCTACATTTTGCCAGTCTAGTTTCGCAACCCCTGATCCGACAGTTTGACATGTCAACACTAGTGAGCTTTATGAAGGTAAGCTATTTCGTGATCTGCTTGCTGATAGACCCGGCCTTCCATCTAACATCAGTCCAGTCCGCACTACCCATCGGAATGATGTATTCGGCCAACGAAGATGAACGACATTCTCTAGCAGCGAGTTTGTCCAACGTGGCAATGAAATACCGAGAAAAAGTCAATTTTGCTACCGTCGACGCCATTAAAAATTCATTCGCCTTGGAGCCAATGGGATTGAAGCCGGATGAATTGCCAACCTTTGTGATTCAGGCTAACGACGAAATCTACAAACTCGACCCGGGAGTAACAATCACATCAGAGGCGATCGATGAATTTATCAAGCGAACGTTGTTTCCCGGGACAACGCAGCAGGATCGACTCGTTGTACAACCAACATGACGCGTGTGATATTCTCAAAGTAAAGCTTTGACACTAGTCAACTTTCAGGCATGATGATAAGCTTTCACTATCACGGTTGGCTGAATTGATGTACCTCTAAGATACAGAGAATGATCCGGTACGAGTTTGAATTAGCAAAGTAGATAATGAAACCAAACACTTTACTCTCAATACCCTGGTCTTTGTGAGCCGAGTCACCTAAGTCCAACCGAGAAAATGAGAAATTTGCACGTCAGCATACCAATCTATAATCCGAAACTTTAAGAGAAAAAGGAAGAATGGGACACGGTATATAGTAGTTTGCACCTTCAGAGTAACAACTTAACACTCTCTTCTCTTTCTTCTGAAAGAGTGCCAAGAAGATGCTCTTGTAAATATAGAATAGTGTAGGAATAATGTTGGTGCGGAATTAATACTATCTATCAATACAGACTTTTATTCACAATAAATGTATGATGATAAAATACAGTAATCTGAATCCTAGTAAACTCCGTCATTAGTAGAGCAAACCTAGCTGGCAACTTCTGTCTCCTATTGACCAGCAACGGGTTCTTAGACCAAAATCCCAGCTTCTACATCCTCAACGCGTTCTATAAACATCCCTAGCACATCACATTGAAATTGATAGATTGACCTACTGAATTATTGCAACTCCTAACAGAATTTCCTAGAAACAGAAAAAGATATAAGCGCATTATCTCGGACTAGCCGATATTGTTATTCTGTGTTTATTTCATATCTTCATCGATATCCATGGATGACTTTTTTTTCTAAAAAAAAAAAAAAGCTTCGCACTACTTTGGGCTGCTAAAAATGGAATGAGAGTACTGCTCGGATTAGCATTCACAATGGGGATAATCCAGATCCAAAGGATGATCGTAGCTCAACACCACTAATATACGCCGCATCAGAAGGGCATGAGGCAATGGTGAAGCTACTACTCAACGTAGATGGAGTCGATCCAGATTCAAAGAATGAGTATGGCTGGACACTACTACACTTGGATGCATAACAGATGCACGCTTTTGACTAACTGGTTATAGGAATCTGGTAGTTAGAAGCCAAAGCGGTTACTCAAGTACATACTAGACATGCAGCTAGCAGACTAGTGCCACATTAGCGTACGCATTTCTCTTTTGAGTTTTGACTCCAATCACCATACTCTGTACCAAGGGGTAATTCGGTATTCAAGCGCACCTTAACCTTAGCTTTGGCCATCAAAAGAAAATCTGTCAACCTCCGCTCAAATCTTCACCAATAATCCATATACGTTTATGGTTAAAGCTTAGAAGCAATGCCGCCCATCCGAACACGGGATACAAAATCAAGGGGGAAGTCGCAGTCGGCGCTTCCAAGGTTCGGATTCACCCGTGGCATCGGACTGGAAGCGAACGAACGCGCCATAGCATCGGTCAAACAGGGCGCCACGCAATCGGCTGGAGAGGCTACAATGCGCTTGACTAGTGAGACAGGAGAGACACGTCTATTTGATAAAGGTACAGAGACACATGCGATCGGAGAATCAGAAGAGGCTCSCGAATTTKCACCAACTCAGGCCGAGCTTGCAGTAAAAGGAGCTAAAGCAGCGCAAAAGACTGCCGTGCCAATGAAAAAGGGACTAAAGGAAGCCACCTTCCGAGTCAATCAAGAATGGGACTCTCATCATCGGGAATGGCTTGGACATGGGACAAAGAAAGTAGCATTTGGCTCTGGCTTTGTCCTGAAAGAGTATGTTCCTTCTCACAAAACCTCACACAGCCGACTTCGTGCCCGTACTGATTGCCAAGTAGCCAACATATCTACGAGCTGACCTCGATTGGACCTCGTCTATGTCGTAGTCTGACAAGTTTCGAATTCCATTTCAAAGATGTCAGTTACGATGCCAAGAACTCGGCTCAAGAACTCACGGACAAGGCTATAATTTGCCTCACCAAGTTATGTCCCAAACTCCGCTCCGTGCAGCTCCAAGGTACCTCGGACCTTCAGGACATTACGCTCGAAGCCTTGTTTGAAAATTGCGCAGATATCTCTTATGTAGAGATCACACCGCATTCCAAGCATGGAAATAGTCGGTTGGATGGATCGGCGCTCGATAAGTTGCGGGAGCACCCACAATGGGGCACCAAGTTGAAAAAGCTCCGACTTCCAGATCAGGGCACAAAGTGCGATTCTCTCACGAAGGCAGTGCGTGCTCTCACCAAGGAAAGGGATAAGCTCTTAGTCCAGCTGGTCTGCGTCTCTGAGGTCAAGAAATGGGGAGATTGGGAGCTTGAAGTCTGGCATACCAACTTTCGCAAAGGAAGGAAGCAGAGTCTTTTCTAGACGACTGTTCGTCGCTCAGCGCTCACCTAATCCTCTCAACAAGGCTAAACCTTGTCGCCCGTGTACAGTGACGTGAACGGCACATTACGTCGTGCTAGCCACTGCTATTGCCACTGTCCGGATTTTTCTAAGATGTGAGTAGCGGATATACTTAGTATATTTCTTAACCTATCAACACACTAATGCCGACTGGCGCGATCCTAGATGCTGATACCGAGTCTTTTTTATGATCATAGTCAAGCAACAATCCGCGGTCGACGAAATCCTGGCCATGACAGAAGAGCACAGTAGATAATGGCTGTGGTGGCGTTTCAGGTTTCTCGTTCGGCTACATACTGATAATAAAGTGCTCGTATTCAAAAACTCTCCCAGTGGGAAGTGGTTCTCAATAGTGTTCGGACCAATTATACCACTAATATACCCTGATTGGGACCCAAAATTACTGCCTGTAAAGGATGCTATGGATGGCAGTATGGGTAAACTGTAGACGTTTTGAGACCTTTGAAGGGGAAGGTGAATATAACTAAAGTTAAGTTATATAATGGTAATTATCTAAGGCGGTCTCTTCATCGATCTTCGACACATGACCCCATACATGAATTAACCGGGCATTGCCATCCCACATAACCAACTACTGACAACATATGTGGCATCCTCCACATTCTTATCCGTACCTCAAGTCTCTGTCCAGGTCTGCGGCTGTAGCCGTCACAAGTAGAGCATGTTAGAAGCCTTCTGCCAAGTCCCATTTCATCATTCCAAAGCTAGCTTTGGCATCCGAAGATACGTCCATATGGTGTGAGCTATCACCACTCAACAGAGTGCGGAACTCCCAATACGGGATAAAGTTACTACCATCCAGTAGAGCAGCAACCACGACTTCATCATCTTCTAATCCGAAGTCGACGTAATTGGCAGAAAATTTTGGTTCATTATTGAATTTTCTCTTGTATTCACCAGCCCAGTGGTCTGACAATTGTAATTTGAAACGTTGAGGAGAGTATCGCACAGTGGGAAAGCTTCGGTGGATGTTGGTGACTTAGCGGGGAACAAGGAGCAAATAGCTGTCACTAACGTAAAGCGTGAACGGTATGTCTGGTCTCGTGATGCTACATTGAAACTCGTGTGTTTCAACTAAGATGGTATCAGACCAAGAGGATCATAGAAAAATAGGGTTAACTCACAAGTGACAGGCATTGTGATTTATATTCTTAGATCCGTCAATCTGGTACTGTACTGTGGGTACAGTATGTGTGTGTGTGTGTGTGTGTGTTCTCATTCATTCATATACGCTGCCCCTCGCCGACAATTGTTATATAGTGGGGTGCAAAACAGGTGCACGCTTTTACTTCAATTGTTTCCCAATCCCTGCCACAAAGGAAGGCTAAACTAGTTACTATGGTTACCGTGCCGTCCAGCAGACCTACACCGCCACTGCGGGTGTAGGTGCGCGACATTAAAACGTGTTTAGGAGGCTCTCAATGAAGAGCTGGGTGTCAAGGATCATAAGCAGTAGCACTAGTTATAACTCTGAAGGTGCAAACTACTGTAAAATGAAGATCACATCGTCTTCTTATATGGACTGAAGACCTTGTCGAAAAAAATATTCAGATGCTTGCCCATAGCTTCACAGAGCTCTTCTATAAAGTAAGCTCGGTCTCCTTGCTTTCCGCTTGGCTGAGGATGATACACAACCCCATGCCAATCCGCATGGTTAATGTTTCTCTCCGGGAACAAAGCCTGTAACGTCTTGCCGTAGGTTACAGCTTGATCATTATTGAATAACACACGCCCCAATTCCTGTGAAAGTTGGAAAATGTCCTTTTGAATACCGGGCCCTGTTCCCATACCGGCAACAAGTTCTCGAGTAAAGCACTCGTAAAATATGAGATTGGGCTTGTCATATCCTACCTCGTTTTCGAAGAAGATGTCGCTCTCCAAGGAAGGTATGATGATGCGATCAAAGTTTTGAACAACCGGTAGATCGAAATCTACTTGTTCCAGGGTTCGATTCTTTAGTAAAACGTCCTGGATGTAGTAGATCCGGTTGAGTGCGCCAACAAGACCGTTTGGGTGCAACGGCTGTTCTCCAACGCCGGTATCTTTGACTTGTACGTAGAACTTCTTGATATCGATCGCGTCTTTCTGTTTGCGAAGATGCTGTTCTCGATAAGATTCTATTGCTTTTTGAAGTGGTACAGTCTTCTGTACTTTGGTAGTTGGATATACCACAGCCACTTTGATTGGAGATCTAGGTATCAAGTCCTTTCTTTCGAAGTTCCTGAACTCGGTGGCCACCCCTGCGTCTTTGAACTGATCGCCGGGCCCTGCATAGAGATTTTGAGGTTTGTGATCTACCGACTGCTGCAGCAGCTGGTACGTAGTACAGTCAATGACTGATTTAGAATTTGGTTCCATTCTTTAGCGCGTACAAAATTTTGTGAGTAGGTGAAGATCGTAGGGTTCTGGAGGATGTGTTGGTTTTTAAAAAAATCCAACTACCAACTTATCGACGGTACAAGAAGGCCTTATAAACTGGCTTGTGAGTCATTAAATTCAGTCAGTATTTGTCATCAGCATTCGTCTGATCATCCTGCGTTTGAAGACTGCTCGATTTTCTTTGTTTGTCCCCCGTTTCGCTGCTGTTTGAAGAACGCTCCAAACAAGCGAAAACAGCAATTGGATACCTCCGGAGCGTTTGAATGAAAGAACTTGAAGCTTCACCACTCCATCCAACTCATAGGCCTCAGAGCACCGTTTTCATATGTTTTGCCTTTTCTCATTGCATCACAGGACTAGCTATCCTTTATGAAGCTTTTCCCGCCCAGCTAGGCACTGAGATATGACGCTAGTTGATATTTACTCATACGGAGCAACATTTTCCACTGCAGACTGTATGATTGTACCTAGCTATGAGAACGTAGAAATCCCAAATTTAGGCACTTTCAATGATCATAATTCTGTGGTAAAATCTCAGAGAATATTCATAGACTCAGCTACAAAAAAATCGTATGACTATCCTCTTTGTACCAGGTACTGCAAGCCATTTACAGGTCATGTTTCTTGAATAGTACCTTGGATTCAATATAGGTGTACCATCGAGTCACCCTTGAGTTACACAGGGGCTTCTCGGATGTCGTTCCGCTGCAGGTTTACAAAACCAAAACCATAATCGAGGCTGATAAATTTCAATGATGGTTACACAGACTGGTCCCTCGTGACCATATAACTGTTTTGTGTCATCCAAATGGTCGCTGTAGCTCCATGAAATATACACAAGCGGTTTCTGTCACCACAAACAGTCTTTGTACCTTTTGCCATATTTTCAGGACCGTTCTACTTTCAATTTTCAAGAGGGCGCGTCAGTAGCCCGCTTTTCATGCTTTTATCCGTTCCTCAGACATATCGATTTAGTCCCCTGTACTAGAAGCCAAGCTAGTAATGATACATAATTATATTGAGCTGTTGATAGGACACGAATAATGGTAATAAAATGCCAATATGGTTAAAGGACTTCAGAAAACGCCCACAAATGACCTTATACATGATTATGGTACAGAAATGAAATATAGACATACCAATTTGTGTATTGAGAATTGCAGATAATCATGCGACAACAACACTGACAACACAGTATCTTATGACTAGGTACCTCATGAAGCAAGGGAACATGACCAATGGTTACCAAGCTTTATTGACAAGTTGCCGGTAACTTGTTAATGGAATTGTCACACGTCAGACTTTGGTAATTTTAGAAACGACTGAAGGTCTTAAATGGAAATGTGCCAGTACTTTTATCCAATTTCAGAACTTTGTGGCACTTGTGAGGAGCAACTTATCTGGAGTCACTCAAAGTGGTGTGTTTTCATGAGTACTGAACCATGGCATTATACCAGAAATTCGTTCTATCTTCCTCAACAGACACCACAACTAATATAGCAAATGGAGACTCTCATACTATAGCAAGGAAAATGAAAGGACCGGTGCGTTATGAGCTGTCAGACCTTGATCGACAAGCGCCAGATACGATCGTGAAATGTTTCACCTTTTGCAAGCTCCAGGATGCCCTTGACCTGGACAAGCTGACGGAAGCCTTGCAGCAAGGGCTGGATAATGCCATAAAACAACTTCCATTGATGGCCGGAAACATCTGTGTTGATTAGTTTGGCAAGCCTTATATTGAAGTTGTGCTAGAAACAGACGTGAAACTTCATGTTAAACACTATATACATGGCGAGCACATGTCTTTTACAGAGCTCGCGCAGAATTACTTTCGCCCAGATGATCTAGATTTAGCCATACTGCTACTTGAATTGCTAGCGGATCACATACCAGCATGTAGGCTGCAGCTGAACGTCATTGAAAGTGGTTTGATTCTTGCTTGCGCTGCGCATCACTTTGCGGTCGATTTCGGTTCCATGAAGGCCTTCCTAAGTGCCATACATCAGGGCAGCAAAGCATACTTCCATGGTTTCCCATTGCCCACATTTCCCGTCTCATTGGATAGGACACCATTCAACGCACAGCCAGTCCCAGAAGGCGTGTCGAAACAAGATTCAATGGACCAGTGTCCCAAGTATCGAGTCATCGACTTAAAACAAGCCCTTAATTGCCGGTCAAACAATGTGAACTTGGCCGACTACCAGATGAAGCTATACGAAACTAGAGAGGCGAGCATTGTAGAGCTCAAAGGTCAATGCCTTCTATCCGAAGGCGTGAAGTATGTTCCATCTTTCGACTGCATCTCAGCTGCACTCTGGAAGTATCGCCTACCCCCCAACGAAAAGCTCAGATTCGGCGCGGACTTTGAACGTACGGGCTTCCTGGTAAACAGCTGGTTCGTGGGAGCAGTAGAATACTTTGACTTTGGTGCTGGCTTGCCTCAAGCATTTCGCCCAAAACCAAATCCATTGCGAGTTGCTTTCTGCATGTTCCTTCCCAGTTTCCGCGATTCATCGAAGGGCACTCGGGAATTGCTGATTCAGCTTCGCGCCAAGGAACATGAGATGCTAATGGAAGACGACTTCTTCTCCAAGTATTTCAAGCTGGTTTCCTACCCTGCACTGTGAATATTGAGGGACATATGAGTCTATATAAGCAACAAAGGGTAGGTTGATCAGCCACTTGAGGGATCTTATTACAGATTGCTAGGTGGTGCTTCGGATTCTTTTGTAGGCTTAAGCTTCGGGAGTCTGACTCATTAGGTATCTTTTATACATGTATTGAAACTGATTCATTATTTGCTACAAGAACGAAAGCGTAATTTATCAACTGTGCTAATTTAACTGTATATATCACTTGCAAATAATTGTAACAAGCAATTGATATCAAGCTAAGCAAATAAACAATATAGCTTTCTCCTGTTTTTGAAGTTTTCTTGTACTTGAACACTTATTCACGCTTGCTTAGCACTCGTTTAATGGTCTGCTTCACACTTTCGGGCTCCAACCCTAATAGATCATTCGATAATTTTTCATCTGTGGCATAATTGGCGTGAAGAGCAGGGTCATTGGCGTAGCTTGTACCACGAACAAGGATTAAACCGCCGCTGAAGTCTCCATTACTAAGCCTTTTGAAAGCCTCCTTTTTTTGGGCATCTGATGTTGTATGAATTACTTTCCATTTTGAGTCGGTTTCTTCTTTAAGGGCCCGCAGTATCTCATTTTGTGTAACTTCGACTGAAGTAACGTAGAGGTATTTGTTGGCCGTTTCTTGAGGGTGTTTCAAGACCGAGACAACTGACTGGCCGAGTTCCCTTTCATTGACAAGCGTAAAACGCTTGTCTCCTCCGTCCCAGATTGTTGCGGTCCGGTTAGGTATGTCGTAGCCAAGAAATCCACTTGTCAACCCCTTTTATCGACGGGTATTAGTATACTTCAGAACATAAGAATTGGAAGCCATACCCAATCAAACAGCAGAGCAGTTGCAATGCCGGTCCAAGTCAGGCCAACTGACTCTTTGGACTTGAGATAGTCAAGAACCTCTTTTTTTTGGTTGAATAAGGGCAGCATCTGACGAACAGATTCATTGAGAGTATTTGAAGAGAACTCGGACGGTATGAACCTCTTGACGCCAGCATGGACTGCCGCTTCAATGAACTTCTTTTGCTCAGTAAACGCAGTCGCACCTACTGCGGAAATGACAACATCTTGGCCCTTGAAAGCGGAAAACAAGCCCGAGTGGGAAAAGTCTGTTCTATGTACGGTGACTTGCGAGGGGAAAGTGGCATTGCTAGTGTCCCGAGAAATCACTGTTACATTAATGTCAGGGGACTTGAGAAGTGCCTCAAGAATGATTTTGCCAACAGTTCCACTGCCCTATATGAGACAATGTAAGCGCATGAATAATCCTGGCTGATAATCATTTAGAAAAACTTACACCAATCAAGACAACATTTGTTAAAGGAGTTGACATTTTTATAGGTTGGTCTTGCAAACAATGTGTGCTGTATGCTGAACTGAAGTGATGAGATGGTTCTAAGGCTGCTGCGAAGGTAATTTCAGAACGCTTGTTTTGAGAGTCATTTCGATTGTCTAAATCGTTTCTTTTATACCTTGGAGGACTGAATGAAGCCTGTAAGCAATATTCTTTTTCGTTGTATAAGCATACCTTAATCTGCCTGACAAATGCGGCACCTTTCTCCGCTTTCTCCGCGATAGCCAATCGGACCTCCTCCGCTCACACGTCGCGTGAATTTCAGATTAATCATACAACACTCGATCGCTTCATTGTAAAGTAAATCTGGCTGTCAACACTCTTACTAATGTCTTCGCGGAGAATAATAGCAGCTGGCCGCTCATGCCTCGAATGCCGCCGCCGAAAGATCAAATGCGATCGGGCGTACCCATGTGCGTACTGTGTCAAAACGAAAACAAACTGTGCTTATCCTGCCCGAAGAACAACAACGAAAACAGATGACAATGTAGCTACTCGCTTGGAAAATATGGAAGACCGAATGGCCTCTTTTGAGACAGATGTCTCCGAGATCAAGCAAATATTACGGTCAATCGATACTTCCGTCACGTTGCACAGAGTGTCAACGCGAAATGACCTTATCACACAAAGTCATCAGAAACGCTCTCAAGGTGGTGATAATATGACAATAACACCAAACGTTGGTCCTTGAATATCTTGGATTAAAAGGTGACATACTAAAACACTACTAGGAAACCTCGGCCAACAACATCTCCGGCTCCAGTAACTACGACGGAGACGACAGAAATGCTATTCGTGCCTCATTGAGTGTTTTTAGTAGTGGGAAACAGCCCGATCCGTCTCATCCACACGCAAAATTAATATCATTTCTATGGTGGAAGTACTTAGAGGTTGTTGACCCTACTTTCAAAGTCTTCCATACGAATACCATACAGAAACTAGTGGTGGGCGCTATCAGAGGTCGGACACAGTTGACTATACCAGAAAGCTGTTTGCTTTTTTCGATTTATTACGCCTCTATAGTTGCAATGTCGGCATCTGAATGTTACAAGGAGGTTGAAGAAGAAAGACAAGTTCTGCTGGAGAGGTACGCCATACGAAGTTTATTGATTTGGATTCGCATAAATAACTGATGATGCAAGATACCAATTTGGCTTGAAACACTTTCTATCCCGATCAGAATTTATGGAGACGACAGATTTGACCGTTTTGCAAGCATTCGTGATATACTTGGTAAGAATTTGGGCCGAGCCTTCCCCGAATATATACTAATTATTACAGACTGCTGGCAGGTATGACGCTAATGGTCCAGACGTGCATAGCATGATAGGGCTGGCCGTGGGAAGAGCCATAAGGTTAGGTCTTCATCGTGATGGTGAAGTAACAGGTCTACCCCCGTTTGAAACGGAGATGCGTCGTCGTCTGTGGTGGCAGATTTGTACACTGGATGCGCAGACAGCTCAAGACCAAGGATCCGATCCTTGTGTGCTGGAGAGTTCTTTCAACACGAAATTACCTATGAATGTTTCAGACGCCAGCCTTGATCCAGATATGAGAAAATATTCCACAAGCCGACGTGAGAGAACGGAGATATTGCCCAGCTTGGTGCAGTTCGAAATAAACTATTTTTCACGGCAAATAGTCTTTTCCGAAAAGTTCGTTCAGGAGAACTCATATACGGCCTTGCCATATTCTCAAGTATGCACAGCTATTGATCTATTTCAGGAAAGAGTTCAGAAGCAATATCTTGTGTACTGTGACTCAAATATTCCAATGGATTTCATAACTATAAATCTGGTTCAACTCGGCATAGAAAAGATGAGGTTCATAGCCAGCAAGTCAAGCGACGGTCAAAGAAGGGTTACAGACCAGGTAGATGTCTGCATCCGGATTTCGCAGGTTGCTCGCCGATTGCGAGCCTACAGCAAGGGACGAAATTGGCTTTGGGTTTTGGAATCTCAATTAGAGTTGGAGGCTCTGATCTATTTGTTGACGTTTCTGTGCGGAGAAACCGGTGATAACCATGCGGAGTTGGCGTGGGCAGCAGTCAACGACTTGTATGATTATTGGAAACACAGCGCAGAACACAAGTCCCGAGATCAATGGACCCGAATAGAAGAACTTCGATCACAGGCACTTGTGGCTCATAATTTGGTACCAGGCCAAAATTAGGACAAACTTATATACGTCGGCATCGCCATGGACGGTTGTCACTATATCTCGTCGCTTGGCAGACTTAACTACAATCTGGGCAAGTTCATGGATCCTCTTTTTGAAATTCTATGAATGCATGATACATCTTCAATGCCTTGAAAGATGCCTATGCTACATTTTTGATGTCGGAAATCATTTTTAAAGTTCATGGTTAGCTACATTTGTCCTCGTGACGGAGACGTCTCGAAAAGCTCATACCAAAATTTCCGCTCGCGAAAGCAATCAGCCAGAGTGCCATAAGCAGACGGCACTCAACTATTCATATAAGCCAATGTCTGATAATACTTTTCTAGAAAATCCAACAGGTCCGTACCCCGCAATACGGGGAACCTGGGGATATGCACGCTTGGCAGAAAAGTAATCAGATAGACTGTGGAGTGAGTTGGCAAGAATGTTCTCCGCATAAAAGAGCTCAGCTAGCCACGAGCTAGTCGCACATACCATGACCCATGTCTATAGGAATTTCGAAACATTATTATACCGGGTTAAATGAACAATTGGACTACAAGGATTTCACAATGGCGGTCTATAAATCCAAGCAAGGGGTGCTTGCATTCCTGCAATCAAAGACCCCGGCAAGACATTAATCAGGGTGCATCTGTTCCAGGATGCATACTCAGTTACTCCTATCCATGGCACTTTCGGTGCTTGTGGCATAGGGAATCGGGACCAATGACCAAGTTGGTGCTAATATTAACCGCGGCACTTTCAAAAACCCATCATTGAATGTTCGGCCACGATTTCGATACTGAGTGAATGATGCGCCCTTGAACTTGACTTCTATCGCAGAACATATCAGGGACATTGGTCGCTCTAGAGCAGGAGGAGTTATATTACTGAGTAAAGCTTCAGTTACGGAATTTCCTATGCCCCAACGTATTCAAGATGAGGGGAATCCATAAAGAGAAGGGTTTATACCCGCCCATCGATGTCAGACCCGAGATGGCAATGGTCTCTCGATAATCAACAGTTTATCGCTCGTATATTGGGCCATTTATCACGACACAAGAAAATAAAATGATTGTTAGTCTATATACATCTAGTGGTCCAGTTTCTGGTACTCTATATACGTGGTTGGTGATCTGGCTCTGTATTTCATACACGATCGAACAAGAACGCAAATGAAAACAACCATAAACAACATAATCAAGACGATGTGGTCACCAACGGCCTTGAGGATACGGTAGTCCCAGTCTGCCCATGACTCTCCGGCGACCTGGTTAAAGAAGACCCACGGGTCGGCACCAGGGCGCATGTCCATGAGGATACGGTGAAGCGGCTTCCACCCGGTCTTAGCATCGGCGAAACCCCGGACGGTACCGTCAGGAGACAGATCCGAATGATACTTCTCCCACATTGCCGTCAAGAACCATTGCCCGCTACATAACATGACCGTGACGTAGGGCAGCAGATAGTTGAGCTTCCAGCGAATGAGGTTCTCGGTGATTATGACGAAAAATGGATGATTAGGTTTGCCTCCCATAATATTGTTGCTGAGAGCTCCGAGACCGCCATCGGTAGTGAATGCTGGGTAGTACGTGAGAGGTTCGAGGCTAGCAGAGCATCCCTTAGAATTGGACGTTCCGTCAGCCAAGGCCAAAAAAAAATCTTCTGCAGAAGCCATCGAGGTTCACTCTACTCACATTGTCCAAATCAATATAGATTCCTCCATAATGGCGCAGGACAAAGTACTTGGTGACGTCCACTCGCTGGACAGGATACCTGTAGCTTTTATATGTCGAAAGGAACCACGGATACTCTTTCTCGATGAATTTTTCGGACCTCTTGGCTGACCAGAACTAAATTCGACTTATATCAATTATTTTTCTCTTTTCTTTTTTGAAAGCCAATTCCCCTGCCAACAAATACTAGAATATAGAAAAGACCAAGGAAAAGAGGATAGCTATGCTCGGGATCAGTCTCACCATTTGTTCCCAGTCGGGGTTCGAGTCCAGACATGACTGTCGCGATGGTTGCCATTTCGCCGGAATGGTATCGTTATTCTCGTCATGCCAGTTGTGGAAGATTTGATGGATGATCTTGGGCACCATGGGACTGCGCGAGTCGGAACTCGTGCTGTTGTAGCGAGCGGCAATCTCAGCCTGTGTGTATCGAACACCAGCGTGGTCCTTAAAGATGCCAAACAGCTCAGCAAATGCAACAATGCGTGTGGCTGCGTATATAGATATGGCTACCCCAGCGACTGCAGCGACGACCGCGAGAAGACGCGTATGCCTGCGACGGCCGACCATTTCTGGCGTCCTTTGGCGTCGCTGCGCGACGTGGCACTTTGAGTGAAACTAATTTGCCAAATGTTCAACAACGAGAACAAAACACAATATTAATGTAGTCTTGCGCGAAGGACGTCCTCGCGAAGAGCAAAGGGGCGGACGGGAGTCTCGGGCGAATTAGGCAGACGAATAACTCCTAACGTATTTCATGGAAACGGGCCACCTTCAATTTTGTATGGTTTTCTACACAACTCTCAATATGTTATATCTCAACAAATCAATACATAAACTACATCTAACATTTAAATTTATATATTAACGATCTGTAAATAATCTAAATGTAACGTAATCGGTAAGCCACCCGCCCAACCCCATACACCATACAAAATGGCCATTCTTGAATCTTTAACCACCCAATCCAACATTTAAGTGTGACCGACGAGTCCTGAATAACACTGGCTACCAGGCCGTGCTTATCATCATTTTACAATCTCAACTACAGTCCAAATATTGTAGGTTCCATGCATCAACATCAAAAGAGTTTCATTAAGATTATATAGATTGTGTAGTCTATAAATGCAAGAAGACTATGTATACCTAGACCCCTGTCGAATCCAACGGGGACATTCCTTCCGTGAATTTGCAAACATCCCAAAACGCCAATAGAAAATGACGTCCCATACATATCCCAAACAGCACGTATCAATCATTAGAGATTAATCTGAGCCGACAGATGCCCGGATTGTCGGCGTCGGCTTTCGATATCAGTATATACACCGGAGTAACCTCACCTTATGCAGTACAGTTTTCGCATCCACAGGATTATGCCGGGACAGCAATAGGAGTAGACGCAAATGATGGTTTTTTGCTGACGCGATAAACCAGCCGATCGGTGAAGAAATGCGAGACTTCGGCTTGGATAGCAGGAATTGAGCCAAAGACAGTGCCTGCGATAGGGAAGCAGATGCGTTCAGCGAGTTGCTGGAGTTGGTACCACTTTCTGAAAGAGAATCCAGTGTCTTTCAAACCGGCTTTCGCCATGTCGTTTGAACGAGACCTAATGCAGATCGAATACCAACGATCGTACAAAGTAATACACGCGTTCATTCCAACAAACGACATTCCACGCAAAAACCCAGTAATAAAAAATGCCCAGGCTAACGTCGGATGAATATGCGCGGTGGGAACAAATGCGGTGTATAAAGCGGAGAACAATAGGAGGATTGTTAAATGGCTTGGCAGAAAATGCGCCTCGAACAGGAGATGCAGTAACGCCAAATGTCGGGTACGAAGACGCAGTCGCTGAGATCCTTTACCCGAAAGACCTCCCACACTTTGGCGAACAGAATAACCCGTGTCAAGTGCTCCCCACATGTGACGAAGAGCTTGGCGATAGCGAGCAAACAAGGTTGACGTATAAGGACCCCAATTTCCATCCCCAGCGCTCTCAATATTGCACTGGCTAGCCGGGCTAGCTATAACGTGTGTAATAACGTCTCCAGCTGTCTCAAAGTAGCATTTGAGAAGCATATGCATATCCTCACCGATGGATGTAGAGTCGCCGTCCCACCCACCGACTCTTCTTGCAAGGGCAAGTGGTAGAGAGTACACAGAAGTAGGGATGACAATTGCACAGCCAGGATACATGGCTGAGATACCAGCAAAGCCCCAGAGTAAATCAGCACATCGCACTAGGATTGGCACATCGTTCGAGTTGCGATCAAAGATAATGGGGGAGGCATAGAATGCACGCTCTGCATCGGCGTTCTCGCGCCAGTGGATTCGGCGAATTTCATTGAAGTAATCCTGCGAAAGATGGGTATCGGCTATGTATGGAGTGAGCATTGCAGGACCAACATGAAACTTAATCTTCGGTAACCTACCATCCATGACTGTGATGATCACGTCTCGTGCATCGATAGATGCATCCCGGCGCGTCTCCACGATATGCTTTGCGGCCCAAGCCACATTAGACCCTTTACCACTAATCTCCCTAGGTAGCCCAGCAGGATGAAAGGTGCCGCAAATATCACGAAACTGTCCTTGAAACGTCGATATGAGAGTTACTGCTTTCTCGGGAGCTTTGACTTCTTTCTGTTCCATAGCAAGGAAGATCTGAATGCGTATTAGTATTCTGGATAATCAATGTCATGTAAGAGAAATTTTCAGTTTACCTCATATTGAGTTGCGGCCCGTGGATGGCTTGCAAGAACCTTGAGCGTAGTCTGCAGTGTTTCTAAATCTTCGGAGTAGTTGGGCAGGATAATGGCATGCACGACTTCGCCGCCATCACCATTTTCGAGATCGTTTAGATCAAAGCTCATAGGATCCGAGAACTCGGATAGAGCTGGGGTCATGATCGGACTATCGGCAAAGGGAGGAGTCTCTGAACCGGCTGGGCTGCAGAAAGACTTGGTTGCTGGACGTCGACGCAACACGGCGCGAGTTGCATATGTCATTCGTGACAGCGCCCATGCCAACCTCCCCACGAAGGTGACGGCATTCAAGTGAACTAGTACGGTGTATCCGATGAAAATCTTCTGGGCCAGCGACAGGGGAAGCGGGTGTCGAGACGCTCCATGATGACCGTGATCGGGAGCCTTCGTCGTTGGCGCATTCCCCGACCAAGGCGCGAAATGGGAGATTCCACTTGTGATATCTGGAAAGGCCACGAGCAGCAGTGCTATCAGTGATAGCAAGCTTAAGCCAGGTACACAGCGCGAAAACCACGTCCACATCTTTGCCTTGGTGTCTCGAAATGTGTCAAGACAAGTGGGAATATAGTGACGGAGGAAGAAACAGACTGGAAAGAGAGAAGGGAAGAAAGATAGAAGAAGAAAGGAGAAGTGACCGATAAGCAGCTTGCGGACCGCGATTGTTCCGTGCAAAGGCCAGGAGTCAGGAGCACATCCATCCATCCCATCGTTGCTTTGTGGCTAATGAATACATGGCTTCGCAATCTCGCACGGCCCACTCGCTGGAGAACTACCCCAGGACAAAAAGAAAATGATGAAGCCTTGGTCCAATGAGATCGGACCTAGATAAATTCGCTAGGAGATTGGAGGCGGATCGAATACTGCGAGGAGCCACCGCTCGACGCATGATTGTCATGATCATCCGAAACGAGTAAGAGGGTATGACTGATTCAGGTAGGCAGGATGGTGGATGGTAGATTGCGACACGGGACGAGGGGACGAGGGTTTTTTTCTGAGGATGGAGGAGGAGGATCTCCTTAGGATCAACCACTCAGACGGCGGATTGCGGTACATGTGCTGGCTATTTGCAAGGAGCACACTCGAGATTTTTGCTTGTGGGAAGGTCAAGTGCTGAATGCGCAGTCAATCATCTGTTAGGCTAGAGATTAGAGGTTAGGTATTAGTTCGAGCCACCCAAAGCAACCGTCCAATGGTTGCTGCCCGTGTTTTGGCGAACATCAACCACGGGCGAGGTCCGATTATCTCAATAATGATAAAGCCATGGTGGCCCCCAATCCAATAGACTATCTTTAGACCCTGGTGATTGGGGCTCCTGGAGCGAAAGCTTTGTTTGTCAACCTTAATGGCCGGGGTTTCTCCTGTGGCCGTTGACGCCTCAAGTGAGACACAGTAAATTAGCCGACATGAGGTGCCAGGTCACCAGCTGTGATCGTTCACGATTCTACGTACGATGGCCGCCGGCATAATGATGGCATGGCCAGTGGGTATAGGCAATGGAGGCCGACGAGCGAGAGGTAGGAAATAGGAGGGGAGGTAGGACGAAGTTGACACAGGCAGACGGTCATTGGCCCAAAGCAGCAAAACGGGAACGAGGCTTGGCACGGGCATACGCCTTAGCGCGCCTTCCGGTAGCCTGGGCTAGCCGAAAGGGKCCTAACGCGGCGGTTCGTGGAGTCCACTGTCCAGTCAAAGGGCCTGAGGCTCGCACGCCGGGCAGTGTGCATTCTGACTATATCGCTCGCCATCTCGTGGACCCGGAGCAGTCAAGCACGCTGTTTGTGTTGGAGCGTGACTAGACTTGCACGTACACCGTCGCCGTATAGGACTATACGACGATAGATTAGCAAACTATAGCATGCATGTCGACAGCGAATCCTAGGGCGAGTTGCGAGCTTGTGCCGTGACTGCGGTGATCCTGAGTGGATGAACCGCACGGACAGGTCTATCGAGAGGCTTGGGCGAGGACCGTGAGTTGCTCTTTCAACACACACTCCGTAGGACATACATACTATGTAGTATGTAGTAATTGTACAGACACTGGCATGTCGCAATCCAGGAAAGCCGCCGTTGCCGGATTAACTACTTTTCCGATTTCCGCAGTGGCCATATTCTTGAGGCATCCGGGACGCTCTCCCCAGTTCACATTGCGAGCAGCAACACCCGTCGAACAAGACCTTCTACCAGAAAGAGTTGTCTGGCGGAAATGAATCTGTTATAACGGCCACGACCGTCGCTCGCACAGACGTCATTGCGTTGTTCTTTTGGCGCGACCACTCTCCCAGCCATGGCGATGAGTCAACCATTCCGCGTCGTCTCTACCACCACATTTCTTACCGCTCGTCGTTCCGTTGTGCTATTCCAACGCCACTCGCTGTCCGCAGTGTCTCGGAGATCGATCCATCGTTAAGCCATCACCGTACAAAGCGAACGTGGTGAAATGAAATAAGAACAAAGACAATCTCATGGCTTGATGAGTCCGTGTGTCTCTGTATGGCCTAGAGAGGAGAGCAACGTAAGGGGAACAGACAGCCGTTCGCAGACTAGTCGGTGTCTGTCGGCAGACTGTTTTGGCACGCGACACGAGCAGTCGCGCTTTTCATATCGGCAACTGTGACCGTAAGACTACACGTCTCATCGACATGCTTGACCAGAGTTGTCATAGTTCGTAAGAGATCAACAATCGATCAACCACGAAACGTCACCTTGGGATCTTTTGCCAAAGAAGCATCCGCCTTGCCATCAGTAAAATTTCTCCTCCGTCATGATTTCGTTTTGCGACCCTATTTCCTGAAGTTATGTGTATATGAGTATGATGAACTAATGGGAATAGCATGTTGACAAAAAGTAAAGATTTAAAAAAAGTAAGTTACTATTTGACTGGTTTCAACGTCCTTTTCACCGTCGAAGCAGGTTCCGGCGCATCCGGAGAGTAGCTGACGAGTCCCCTCAATAGTCCATCTTGGCGCTGGACGATGGCCAGTAAGCATCTATTGGGCCTTGAGCTAAGCGGGATGTTAGCATGGCTCGGATGTTAAGTCCCCGAATCTGTGCTGGTACACAGCAATCATAACGACATCAATAAGAGAGAGGGGTCAAATTACATCAGATACCCTCAATCATATCTACACCACCTATGACTATAGTCCGTGGATGTTGCTCAATCATAAAGTAGATACTTGACCTGCCACAAACATTGAATCAGGGCCGAAATAGGCGACGAAAGATGAACCTGGTTGATCCTACCAGCCCGGAGTCCTGTTATTTCCATGGATATTCGACGTCCGTCACTCGCTAACTTGGGAGGTAGCATGAATATACCTAGGTATGTATGAGCACCGAAGGCTTCTAAAGTTTCAAAAATTTTATTTATTCGAAATCGAGATAACTACGCAGAATCAGCACCATATGCAATATTGACTAGTCCAGGAACGCTGGAAGGAATGGGATTTGGCACCACCATGCTGCGGTTGCAAGAACGTCTTTCTGCCTAGGTGCCTGATAATCTCGACTCCCAAAGCTATACCGTTCCTACATGTAGGTATTTAACCATAGGTATCCGTTAAGCGAACACGTAGAAGCCGAATTATTTATAATATATAGATGACTAGGTACCCAAGCGGCTGATTACCTAGACAGTTCAAATCAGAATTCTGCCAGACATGCCAGACAGAGTTGATAGAGACCAAATAAACGCCATTCCACTATGATATGAAAGTCCAAACGACCTCCGGAACCTTGGCGAACCGAGAGCGAATAATGGAAATGATGATGACATCTCCAGTCAGGCGTCTGAATAAGCTAATTGAATACAGTCATCATTGGCACTGTTGTGCTAAATGAGACAAATATCAATCGTCATCACCATCTGACAGTTCCGCATCACTTTCGGCATCTGGGACAAAGTTACTATCAGAAGACAAATCGTCAAGCCCATGAACACCCTTATAGCCATCTCTATCTTCAATATCGGAGTCAGCGCCCAACGAATCCACTCCTGTACCAGGCGTGGTGCCATCGTCGAATAGAATATTAACGTCCTCTTTCTGTCCTTCATCGTTCGGTGCGTAGGCTTCATCATCCTCGTACTCCGGCTCCCTCTCATCCCAATCTTCCTGGTCAGGGTGCATGTGGTAGAATGTTGGTGCAATAGCCAAGATATCACCAGATAGGTGATCAAATTAGGGTAAAGCAGTTTTATAGGCATCTGGTAATCAGGGATATAGGTACCGCACAGGACTCAGATGTTTTCAATGTATGGCATCATCTGGCAGGCACCGTGGAGAACATTGAGTCCAATCGTCTTGATCGTAGTAGAGTCAGCCAAAAAAAGAAATGTGAATATTACCCCAACGTTCACAGACCTAGGACAATCTTTCGTACTGGGAAGTCACATAGGCGGATGACTACCCATTTACCTGGGTGTAACTGGACAAAATGCTTTTCTTTTCCCTGACATGGACGTTGTTCGAGCACACAAGAAGGACATCAAGTTGTGTCCACGGGTGGGGTGGACGATCGCAAAGACGAGGGGTTCATCCATCTCGACTGCATTTAGCTGTTGGCTTGGTTGACTTAGTATTGTGGTTTATGATAAAAGGAACTAAGTATTCTTAAGCCAAAAATCAGGACAGCTTCGGAGGAAATAGGCTAGGTACAAAAAGTGTTAAAGCTATCCAAAATATCAAGGCGATGAAACCAGCTTTCTAGAAGCTTCGGGCTATTCATGAGCTGAGAAGTTCACCCAAATATGGTCAGTACCGGACGGCCGGTTACAAAAGCTAATAGATCTACATTATGATAAGATTTTTAGACTGGCGCGGCATGTCATTTACAAGCTACAGCAGTTTGATGTTTATGAGGAACAGGACAATGATAAACCTAGAGAGATTTCCTACAAAACCCCACGCAGACAGAAGAGTATGGATTGTCTACCAGGTAGGTCTCAGCCCAATCTCCCAATAAACAGAATCTCGAACAACTTCTTACAAATTTGTAGGCAATGAGCGTAGAGACCTCTTTCACAACCTTAAATTCTATTGGATGTCCCATCGGATGCCCCATCGGAGTACCTCCGATGAGTCAGTTGGAATTATCGGCCGTATATCCGATAACAGGAACGACCCTACGTATTTGAAGGAAATCATCAAATAGAATCTTTGCTTTATTCATTTCTGCTTGATTGATTTCTTCAATAATAGCACGCGGATAGAGCTGAATTCATAGTAGAATTAAGATGCCGGTGTATCATATTGGTGAGTCACAGCACTAGACCTTCTGACTAAACCCTGACGAACTTCCCAGTCCTCTTCCACCTCAAGCCAGGCGTCACGCAAGAACAGCTCTCACAATGGAGAAGTCTGACGAAGAGTATGGTTGACAAGATTCCTGGTATGAGAATAGAACACACTTTTTGGTCCATTGGTGACTCATATTGTGCGCTTTATGTACAGGCCTCCTCTCTGTGGAAGCTAATGGGCCGCTGCCGATCTCGGTTCCTCGAGCGAAAGGCTTCGATATGGGCATTGTAGCGGTATTGGAGAAGCCAGAACATATTGCCAGTTATGCAATTCACCCAGCTCATTTAGAGTATGATCGTCTTTAATGTGATGAGCGTCAGCTATGTGACCAGCAATTACCTCAACGCTAACTGTCTTTATAGGGTGCATAAATTAAGGGAGGAGCTCTGTGACGACACTCTAGCCTATGACCTTGAGTTTTAAGATCTGGAAAGACTGGAGAAATAAAAAGACCCAAAAAGGAAGCGGATCATTTGAGACTTAGGCTTCGAGGATTCGAGTCTGTACGGTAGTTAGACTACTGAACAGTAAAGAATGATGCGAAAATGTGTATTTGATTACAATTAGGGCTTTCATCATCTATCTGAATGAAGATTACATCCAAACGATCAATTCTTCAATTGAAAATCGCAAGTTTAATGCATGCAGGGCGACAATTTTGATCACGATTTGATTTTGTCCTCTTAGTGTGATTGCGTCTCCTGTTATGTTTCAGGTGCTTTTCGCCCATACACGACGATACTTTTCTCATCGGTCAGAAACATTAAAAATCAGTGATGCGTACATCTGAACTTACAACTCATGATAGGCGTGATAGCTCGGGTTACGTAGAGCTTGTCTAACTTCCATCAAATATATTTCAACTTCTTCTCGTTTCCACTATTCGAGCACTTAGTCAGCTTTATATATATACCCAAGTAGACCACCACATTACCCTATTCGTACCTTGAGGATCTTCGTCAAAAGCATCATCGTCCACCCTTGAATGCCTTCTTTCCAGTAAAGCCGATTATAACGCCCCAGTTCCTTTAGATGAGGATCCCTCGCCCATGGTCCGATGGGGACCTTAAAACGGCGTTCCACAACGTCTACAAACCCTGCCGCAATGATCCTTTCTTTAGCCTCTTCAGATATTCGCAGAGTCTTGCCAAAAGCATCTCCAGCCTTAAGGGATACTGCACCCCATTTATCGAAGATAGTACCGTCTGTACTGCCATCTTGGGACTTTGGAACGACGGAAATCTCCGCTTGTTCCAAATAACCACCCGGTTTTAGGTGTCTACACATACGAATCAGCGATAAAAAGAAAGCTCTTTTTTTGATGTTGGGCCGTTCTCTAGATGACCTGACTTCAGCTTACCTCAACGCTCTTTTGTAAAATTCGTCCCAATCAGCAACACATCCATATAGACCACGTACGTGGACGAAGTCGAAAGTTTTCGGGGCGTAGGTCCACTCGTCACAGCAGTCATCAATCTCAAATTGGAGGTTTGGTGGCACTAAGCTGGGCTGAATTGGCGATAGATCAGTTCCAATCACTTTAGTTGATGGATGAAGACTTCCGAAGTCACTGGAGGCAAAATGAATGAGATCTTTTGCTTGATACATGATCTTGAATGAGCACGGCGAATAAATACTGACATTGCCCAGATGCCTGTGCCAGTCCCAACGTCTATGACGTTCTGCAAAACTGTCAGAAGGACTCAGCGGCCGATACAACTGGAGCTTGCCTGGGGATTTTTTGTAATTGGAGCCAAGTAAAGCTCTCCTTGTAAGACAAGATTATACAAATGATGACTGGGAAATCCTGTTATTGCGAGAAAATTGAATCTGCCATTTTGCGTCGAAGAGTCTTACCCTAGATCGAGATGATTCATGGCGCGCTCATCATTAGGCCCCCTAGGAGGTTCTTCAGTCAAAGAATTTTTCCATTGACGAATCTTTGCATACCAATAGGCACCTCGATGATACGCATGGTATCGTCGTCCGTTCTCGTAGTGGTAGTTCAAAATACTACTACGGAGTGATGTCAATTCTCTAAATGAGAGTAACGCATATGTTATTGATCCCGTTCACGAATAAGATTCCGTTCGCTACATACGATTCAATACTCCCACTGTAAACAGAATCATCTGTTGATTCTGTATCCTATTTCGGGGGTTTCACTCGGTCAGCGTATGATTATCCTAGCCGAGAAAACATGCTTCTCGTAATCCCTGCACATTGACTTACTGATAGAATAAAATCCTGTATCTCTGCCATGCTCAATACTCAATCGATGTATCGTCTGTTGTGTTATCTGTAAAATCGCGAATATTCCCAGTTATCTACCTCAATCATACAGTTCTACCACATGCAGTCGCCTGGTTTGATCGTGAATCTGGTATCCCAAGGTTTAAAGATGAAATTGCGGTCAGGAGGAGATCCTCGCAAAATTGACTAGAGCATGGTTTCTTCGGTGCGTTCGGGCTACATACATAGCTAGTTTAACTAAACTATATGACAAGGGTCCCGGGGAGATCACCGGTCTATCCGCTGCCAATAAACGTGCGAGCTCTCGCATATTCGTTTTGCCATCTCCACTTCTATGGCTTACGAATTGTCCATAACGAGTCTGAAGAACGAATGAGTCGAGCCAGGACTGACATAGATAGTCACCGTGCAGATGCCGAATGAGACACGTTTTAATTTGCAATCATCTCCTTCACGAATATCCTGTTCATCACACTATTGTTGCGTTTCTGTCTGGGTGAAAAGCAAGTCTATAAAACAACTGAAAAATAACAGCTCCTATTAAACATCATGTTTGATCCTAGCAAGCTATATGTTATTAGCCGTTATTGGCTCATACTAAGTGGGATTGTTGTCTACTTGGCCTATAACGCAGTTTCCAACCTCTTTTGGCATCCGTTGGCGGCTTTCCCCGGTCCATTTTTGCAGCCATTTCTACACTCTACAAGGCGTAGATTGATCTGGTAACAAAGGGGGTCCTTCGTACATACATTGGAGAAGCTACACAATCATTACGGTAGGTGCAAATCACAAAGTGTCCGAAAATGCATACTAGCCAGTCTAATGAGAAGCCACAATTTTGATCATTGTGGGAGCTGTTATTCGTGTGGGTCCGAATGAGGTATATTATCATACAGACACTGCTTCGAGATACAACTAGACATTGATTTGACTGCGTGAGAATGACAGATCCACTTTCGATCTCCTGCGGCGTACTTGAAAAAATATAACGTGTCAAAGAGATAGGATAAATGGAAAACCTCTGTACCATAGTTTCGGCAAAGATTGTTCTTCCTTCGGCGTCCTGACATACAACGAGGCTAAGGAGAGGAGGAATGTGTTGAGCAGATTATTCTCTCAAAAAACGATTTGCGGATATACAGTCGCTTGTTTTGGAAAAAGTACATATTCATTTGGGAGATATGATATTATTGCATATTTCCGTTTACCTACTATCAATGACTAATTCGACATTAGGTAGTCCAATTATGCGACTCATTTGAAAAATTGGGCTCCCGACCAGCAGATCTTTTTTATGCATATCGATTCACGGCTGTTGACGTGAATACCTGTGAGTAATTCCCGGAACTGGCTCCAAACTATCTACTGAAAACTTGTTCCACTGGAAGATCTTTGCTTTGGGAACACTATCAATGCGATCGATGCACGCGGCTTCGAAGCACCAATAATCCAGGCCATGGATGCTTCACTACCAGTGTTCATTGGTATCAAACACTCAATATTTTCAAAAGCAGCAATGATCAATTATCCCCAAATATCTCAAGGATCGTCAATCCCGCTACTTCAGGGCTTGTTGACCTGCAACAGGTTCGTCACTCTATGTCAGTTTTCGCCATTAACAAACTGATGCGGATTCTCAACACAGATCTTAAAAGCTCAAATAAGAGACTACGAAGAAAGCAGAAGGTTACGTGATTTACGCACCCAACAACCATATGTCACGAGTTACTTTGTCTTGAAGCATATCGAAGTAACACCGTCCCCAGCGCAGGTAGTCTATATGACGAAGCGCAGGCGCTTCTATCCGGACGCGCAGATACAACAGGAATGACACTAATGCACGGTTCTTATTACGTGTTAACTTCACCAAATGTTCATCAGAAGTTGAGAGAGGCGCTAGTCGCGTTGTCCCACCTCAAGGCGCAACTATAGACGAGATTTCACTACCTAGAGGAGTACGGAAAACCTTATGACTGTTCTTGAATGGCTAAACCTAACAGGATATCCATGAATTTCTAGTCGTTGGGGTGAGCAGTCACTTGGTACATCGCAACGATACCATCTTCCCAATCCTCATGAATTAATTCCCTATAGATGGCTTGAAGCTCAATGAAAGGACCTCGATAAGTGGCTTGTGGCCTTTTCCAAAGGTCCACGGAGCTGTCTTAGGATCAATTACGTGCTTTCCTCGACAACTTGAGTTCGGTTGGCTCAGTGACCATCTGCAGTCTCGCTTGGGCAGAACTTTATCTCTGCTTCGCGCTTGTTTTTCGGAAATTCGAGGTTCATATTGATCCCTCTAGGCCTGTGGTTCCCTCACAATCAATATTGTATGGATAGCTGATTTGTCTTGTTGCAGCCCCATGAGACTCAAGTAGAGGGATTGCTTATTGCCAGAGTATCATGAATCCCATCTGAAAACCAGACTGACTAAAGTGACAAGCTGAGCCATCCATTACGGGCTATGCTTGCTACAGGGAGACAACAAGAATAGTGCATAGATTGGTCCTGGAACATTAAGGCAAAATGACATTCCAAAGGAAATCTCAGAATTTTGGAGGTCGTCTGAAATACATTTCAGTGGCACATATATTTGATCATAAGACAATTTTTGTACGTTACTTTATGAAATTTGCACGCCTAGTTAAAGTTTTCCGTTGCCATACTTTGCTCGATAAGTATGATTCTAATCCAATTGGCAATATTTACAATATTAATCTCGGTTCTCCGGATCTCTAAGGACAGAAGTAGTACTTTTGTGGATGATGTATAAAGAAGTGCTATGATTTTGCGGTTGGGCTGAACTATATAATTTACCATACTTCGTTGAACGAGTAGGCGAATCATCGCCGGCCTTCACTTGCACCTATTTTTATCAATCAGAAACTGGTTCTTCTCAAATACACGCAGTCATTACTTCAGGAATAGCGCGGATCACATCAAAGACCTGAGTATCGAGATGATACCTGTTTAGCTGCTCCATCCAGACAGGTCATTTTCGAACGCCACTCGATATTCACAAATTCTCAAACGTGAGTTAGTGTTCATTGTCTGGAAGAGTACATGGACTGTATAAGATACTGTGAAGATGGTACATTTGACCTAACGAAGCTTATGTGTGATTTCTTCTACTTTCCAAACTCCGAGCATCTTTTACGAGCCGAGATCGTCAAATCACATATAATATAACGTTCCTACCTGTCCTGGAGAATCACTTGAAAGTTGAATCACTAGGGATCTTCAGGAGATGGTTGCTTTATGGCTGCCGGACTGCAAAATAATTGACATTCTTGGCTCTCGATTTTGCATTTCTTCTCTCCATTTTTTCTTATTACTTTGCCAAAAACGCTAAATTTGGTAGTTCTACATCTACGGTGCCACCGGAATCTACAATAATTGCCTAGAATTACAGACCAAAAGATGGTTTTTCTCAAACTCAAGGATCGGTCCACTGGTGCATATAGTTGATACTGACAGGATGGGACCGCTCTTAAGGGTGAGATCACACATATATACCTTTTTCTGCCTCTCGATCGACTTCAAATATTACGGTGATGTCTTAATTCTTTACGCCGGATAGTTATTGAAGAGGGCAATTGAAGACGAGTCCGGTTAAAATTTCAAAGACTCAATATATTTGTTATATGTTTCGAACTTCACGCCCAAGTGATGTTCTGATTGTGGGAGCTTGGCCAGCGAGTCTCACTCTAACACCAATTTTCACCACATATGGTCTTCGAGTCACAATCCTGGATCGTCAGGCGGTCTTCTATCCCCTTCTTAGGGCAGTCAATCTAAGTCATGATATCGCCAGGAATTGGGGATTAGGCCTACATGACGTCTTGTTCGAAGGTACCGTTGCAGATATTCGTGCGACAGTTTCTGACGAGGTTGAAATAATCGGCGCCACAGGAGAAGTTCTTCGTCGTGTTTCTAATAATGGGTCATCTAAGACCGGTACCGGCAGCATGTTCCGACTTTACCAGCCAGCTTTGGAAAAGGTCTTAGAGACAGCCTGCCAGCAAAGACATAGAGGACTTATTCCTTCTATGGAAGTTGAAAATGTCATTGATGTGGATTACCGTGTTCAGGTGTGATTCTACAGGGGTTCGAAAATGGCTAGCACTGTGTTGTAGGCTGTGATTTGGCAAATAGTCTTGTACGTCGGTCAAATGGAATATGATTTCACGGACTGTCCAGGGTCAAATATGACTTAGCTGGTTGTCGACGTTGTTCTTAAAGTTGACGTGGGGCTGCGGAGTAGTAGAAAGATTTTCACAACACGAGCGTTCACGTGAATCACTGTCGGCTGAATGCCTCGATATCTGGAACCCAAAAGCAAAGAAGATGGGGATTTATGCCGCTATCGGGAGAAGAAATCCGGCCACTGATAGAAAATCTGTATTGTCTTTGATCGCTGAACTTGAATGCAGTCCCGATAACGCTTGGATGGAGAAGAGTGCGGCATTCTTAGTTGAAGATGGATGGTGCAAGAACCTGCACAAACGCCACATCCTCCTGGCCGGAGACATAGCCCATTTGATACTAATCTTCTTAGGACAAGATGTTTAAAAATGGTATGCTAATTGTCTTTCCAGGAGGATTGATCTTGCCATCCAATACCCTCAAATCCACTCACCTCGCATGTTTCAAGACTAGACTACAGAGAGGCTAGGTGAATTCAAGAATTGATCAAAGCCTCCGTCGCAATGGACGCTCGCGTCACAATCACCGACTTGGAGCGGGCAATGCGCCGTGATCTAGAGTAAACTGAATGACCATTAGCTCCTCAAAAATCAGAGAAACTAGAAGCACCGGGCATCTAATCCCTTTATTCCAATCTAGACACATCATTGGATGATGCTGTTGGAAATCTCTTTATTGATGTACACTTTTGGATTGGGGACAAAGAAGGCCGACTATGTGATCATTTCGGTGCCCAGAGTTGATTGATTCCTTATTCGCCAGTAGGCGATGGCAATAGCACCACGCTATTATGGTCTGATATTGGGAGCCTTTTCTTTATTGTCACGGATGAAAAGATCGTCTCCATCGGCAGGGACCAGACTTGCGACACGAGGGACGTATTTTCCATGTGGTTTCTGACACACGGTGCCAGGGGGTCTTATTAGGGCCAGACCATTGTCTCCACGGCATAGTAAAGTCTACAACCGAGCTTGAACATCTTATACGAAATATGATTCATCATATAGGACTGTATGACGAGGAGGAGACTCTTACAGTAACAAGGGTTCAAGGGGGAATTGACAGTGCTGCTTGGGCACCTTAGTTAATTTAATGGATGGCTACCTAGTACCTAGAAATGATACCGCATATTCTGTTATAAGTTAAAGCGCCCTCTCTTTATTTATTTTTCGTTCTATCAAGACTAGACAACATCGTGGCTACATCGAGAAAAAAACAATACACCGCTACTTCTTATCAGGTTACATGGCATATAAATGGCGTCCTTGGCCTCGGTCTTGTCTTTTACGATTTGAGACTTGATGACGAGCGTCTAGGCCAGGATTGCGATAGGGAAACCTTTCGTGCATGAGTGACTATGTCAATAGGTTTGATCACCCAGCCCGATTTGGCCTCCCCCATAATTGAAATGATAGGCATTCGCCGATCAATTATTTCCCGGTATGCACCCCGGACAGATTTGGTCTATTACACGACTTGTGAATGGTCATCATAAGTGGCCAGTGGCTACTTTTCTGCTACGCCACGGAGATAACTTAGCCTAAACAAAGAATTTCCCGGTATGTCCGCATCACTATGCGGCGTCATACACCTCGCGTCGCCCCTGGAACGTCATGCAAGGGATCATTCAAAAATGCAAGTTTGGAGTTTACTAACAGTAGAGACTTTCAGATCAGCTTGTGATATCATAAAGGATGCAAATAATAGATCATTGGGCGATAACAAAGTGGAGGTAAACGGTCAGGATGTGGACAGGTTACGCTGTAGTAGTCGCATTGTCTCAACTTTTTTGTGAGATACTCAGACGTTTCTATTTACTATCTCCGATGTTATTTCCACCGCATGTTGATTCTTTGTATCGGTGGCAACTAATTTTCGGGAAATAGTACTATATATTGCATACCGACAACCTCAAAGTCTCACTAAAATCATTTACCAAACCCTAAACATCAGACTCTGTACCTCTAACCATGGCAACCTACCTCGTGACAGGCAGCGCCCGAGGAATTGGGCACGAATTGGTCCGACAGCTAGCGGCAAAAGCAGACAGCGAAATCAACACTGTCTTTGCGACTTCACGAGCGCAAAATGAACGCCTGAAGGCGCTCACTGAGCAATATCCTGGTCGGGTCATTTTCGTTCCTCTCATTGTTGGGGATGAAACAAGCATGCGTAATGCTGTGCCTATTATCGAGACTGCTCTGAAAGACAAAGGACTGAACGGGCTAGATGTCCTCATCAATAATGTTGGGGTCGTCGGAAGTGCTTACGCACAGGAGATGTACATCCTTCTTCTGTACTTGTAACCATTATTTACTAATATTTTTTGTAGGTCTGACTTGGACGAGACTTTCCATATCAACGTTACTGGCCCTCATACGATGATCCAGCTTTTCTTACCGTTATTGAGGAAGGGTGCCGAGAAAAAGGTCATCAACATGTTAGTGTCGCAGCTCCAATGTGGCTTTTCTGCTATCTGTTAACATATTGCCATCAGTTCAAGTTCTGTGGGCTCAATCACACGACAGCCTCGCTATAAAGAATTTCCTGCCGCAGCTTACAAGGTTACTAAAGCGGCCTTGAATATGTTGACGGTAGTATGGGCGCAGGAATTGGCTAACGAGGGTTTTACCATCATAAGTCAAAATCCAGGGGTAGGCTGCTCCTATCCCGTCATTGAAATATTTCGTGCTAGAGAACTTACACCCGACCAGTGGTTACAGACAGACGAGGCCAACGCGCATGCCGATCTTCCTGTTGGAACGGGCGTGAGCCAGATTCTGGAAATCGCCCAGAAAACTGGTCAGGAGGGCAGTGGGCGGTTTCGAAATATCCATGTGCCAGGTTGGGAGGACAAGCCAGGTCTACATCAATATGATGGCAAGGATCTACCGTGGTAGAATCATTCAGCATTAGATATAACCTTAAAATTATATTTGTCTGGAATTCGGTGAGCTCGAAGCGGTAAATTCGCTTGAGGAGTTATGTACTCGACTCTGTATTATTTTCTATTCTGCGTAAAGACTGAATATGAATTCGTCGTTAAGTACGCATCGATTATAGAAACATGAACATTGTTTACTGTACCAATAATATCCATAGATAAAATAACTGCAGGATCTCGATAGATTGGGCTGTAATTCGTGTCCTAATGTTCTTACATATCTATGCATATGAGCTCAGCTTCAAGCCCATCTCGCAACTCTAAAGTATATTTTTGGCGGTTCTCGACGGAGTTTATCAGACCAAAACATGCCAGAATCAATGGAAAAACGGTAAGGTACAACACCATCACCAGCTTCACTTTCTGGCTCGCGGAGTCCTGCATGATCTCGTAAGCGACGATAATATCTTTTTGAGGTTGAAGCCACTTGCAGTCTTGCTGATCTGCGGCACTGTTGTACCACTATTGGTGGAACCAAGGAGTAATATGAAGTTTGTGAGTGGTGTATCTAACGGTGTTGGCACGGAGTAAAATATAGGCAACAACAGATACTTGCTAGATTTCATACACGTTTGTTATTCAATGCACAGCTGGCTCCGTCAACGATTTTGAGAATTAATCAAGGTTCATTACCGAAGCAGCAGATGTCATAGGATATCAATTCCAAATCCGCCTCAGAGACTTTAAAGAGGAATATGTCCTCAACCGAATGGTGATAAAATTCATAGATGTTGTAGACTATCGGTATTGAGTAGCATCTTAACCCTGAACATCAATATCCAACCGAAATAGACGGATACTGAGCTGTGATAGACTTTATCTAGGGCTAATATCTTCTAGGACGTGTAGTCCATTTAGATTATGTCGTCGGCGGCGGCGACTCGTAGGAGCAAACATAACTGCCGCACGCATTCTGTGCAGCCGGGAGAACAGGATCAAGAACATGGGATCAAGAATATGGCTGGKAAGAATTCTTTTGTATCTGGAGGCTAGGATCCCATTCTACACGCTGGCTGCGGTGTGGAAGCTTGTACTTACTTTGCAACGAAATCTTCAGCTTTGCAGATCCCTAGTTCTTCTAGAATACCGTGTGACAAAACAAATCTGCCCAGTCATCGGTATGTCAAATCGAGGATGCAAAAAGTTGATGGTTTGAAGAATAATCTCCCTTCTGTTGCAATTTCCACAAGAGTGGGTCCGCTAAGGTAGAATGGGATAGAATATGGAAAGAAGCTACAAAAGGCGTTCGTGGAACTTCAATGTACCATTCTTAAAATTTAACATACGCGTTCTTGCAATTCGCTCTATGCCAAAGAAGGTATGGATGCTACAATACATGTAGTTAGGGTGTTGCACATATTGGTGTCTGTAGGTGGTGAACAAGAGTCTTGAAACGTAGTACTAAGAGGATCTTGGTTTGTGTTAGTAACGAGACCGAACCAAAGTTTGCCCTTGCTATGCATACTCATCAATCTGTATACAGTGAAATGTTAAGAGGCTTTTTAAAGCAATGGAGGTGATCCAACATCGCAAAATTCAATAATGATCAGACATGATATAGAACTACAACATTAACAAAAGCATTCATGTTATCAAGTTATATTGTTTTTATTTTCTGATTACGCTTCGCTATAGATAATGGCTCTTCAAGAACCAATGCTATATGATGCGCGAATGTAGCCATTCAGGTGAACCATGAGCTTTCGGTGTCTGAATCAGAGTCCAAGTGCACTCCATCTCCATCAAACCACAGAGATAAATGGCTCACAGCACGATTATGCAGTTGGGGTGACAATGACTCCATCATACGCTGAGTTAAAACTGGCCTCACAGAGGTATTGACCATTCTGGTATAGATAAATCTCATCTGCAGACTCTGCGCCCACCACTGTCCCAGTGCTGGTTGTACTGCTGGCCAAGGCAAAATAACTTGTTGGGAATTCAGCAAAGGGTACAAGACCGTTGGAAGTTAGATCTTCCAGAATCCATTCTGCTGAATGACCACAGAGTTGGCCAGGACCATCGGTAATGATCACAGAGACATCAACACCGGTGTTGGAGTTGTGAATTTCGCTATACATATCGTCTTGTTAATAGCCAGATCTGTCATCACAATAATTTTGGGGTACTAACACAATACCACTTGTTGTAGAGGTCATGGTTACATTGCCTGTGATTTGATCATTGATGCTGACTGGGTTTCTATATGTCAGCCACTCGAAAATGGGTCTAAAAGTGCTTCTTGGAAGGGATCTAATTACCAGCCATGTTGATAGTGACCAACGCGTCAGGTATGAACTCCCACCAAGCATAATTAGACTGGGAGCCATCACTTATTATCTATCCTTTCATCGTCAACAGTCTGCAATCGGAACGAACATTCGAAAAGAATCTAGGGCAATCAAAGCAGCTCTTTGACAAAGAGTGAACGGACCTCTGAAACGGTGCCGCCCTGAATTAGACCAGTGCCACACCCATCGCCATCAATGCCCACCCACTGTGCAATAGAGGGCTGATTTGCATTAGTCTGGCCGCTGCGGAGCGAAATTTGAGGAACGTTCCAGACACTCTCGACGTTGGTCCAGTGACCAGAAGGCGGGTTGACATTAGACATGCCACACCAGTTTGATGATGACGACTGGACGTTGCTTCGCCGATTTTTGCCAGGAGAACCAATTTTAACAGATCCGCTAGTTGATAAATCAGGCCGAGTACCCAACTCAATAGGCAACTCCGATCCATGCTGAGTCATTTTGATCTCATAATTGACCCCATTCTCGCTCGTATAATGTGTCACTGCTCGAGCTAGGCCTGAGGCAAGAAAGAAAATCGCGAACCTCTTCATTTTGTTTGTCGAATTGTGTTGACCAAATGGAACGTTTCTTGCTGTCTTGCTTTTCGACAGATATTCAGTCAATATGAGGAAGTAAACAGACTTTATGAGCGCTATCCTCCTCTTATATAGTGTGTAATGTGGAAATTGGGACTCAGCAGCAATTGTGACATTCCAACAGCAATATATTGTCGGGGAATACGATGCATATGACCACCATCCCGCTTATTTGTCAGATGTAATATAATTATACTTCGAAGCTATACTAGCACAGTTACCGTCGCTTACCCCGGAGCTCGTATGGACTAAGGCGTCTAGCTTCGCGGGGTGTCAATGACTACAAAAACATGAATATAATGCCAATATGGGCATATCATGCAGCCTATTCGAGTTTTAATAATATATGCCCAGCTATACCCAGTGCTTGAATTCTGGCCTCTTATTAGTTTCATAATCTGACATACATTCAAATATTCAAACAGGCACCACTGGGAACTAAATGTTGGAGCTGGCTCGCTGAAGTACCTAAGAATTCGTAACCTGAAGCTGTTCACCATAGGTGTGATCGTAATTTACAGCGTTGTAGTCGGATTACTACTCTGTTCGTTGGTCGAATCCAGAGGGGCTTCTCAATACGCATTAGCCACAAACAGGACACAACTAGACCAATTTTTCACTACAATAATTGGTAGAATTAAGTCATGAAAGTATGTTTCATCAATGAAGTGCCGTCGAGGCTTAAAAGGTCGACGTCCATTGCTCACTTTTCCATCTAAGATTGCTAGTCTAATGATTGGGAACAACATATGTTTGGGGGCTATTGCATGCCGCCGAATGGATGATCATTTTTGACTCTAAACAATGTTACATCGGGTATCATAGTCATATTAATGTGTTGGTTGTTGGTTGGTTGGTTGGTTGATTTATTGGTTCTGTGCGGTGAAGGGAACTTAGTCAATGCGGCGATTAAGAAGAACGACACAACCTTAAAATAAATGTAGGTGATACTGCATCATTGCATGTTGACCTAGTAAGCCTCGCAAGCTGCATACCTCAAATTTTGGATTTATGAACGACTTGGTATAGAACAGCTTGATGTCTTCTTACCCCTCTTTCTGCCAATTCAGGTTGCTAGCCGAATAGCTACACAAGGTTGCAACATTGTTGCAACTTCATTTTGTCTTTTTTTATTCTTGATTTTGGTTCTTCATGGGTTCCTTTGCCCTAGCTTTGCGGGCACACGGCATACAGGTTACCATAACTATAGCTTTATCCGGTTTGCTAGCTACAGGTAGGTTGTTCAACACACCACTAGTGCTACGAATCTGCTCTCATACCTTGATACAAGTCCTGTCACAAATCTCCAGCTAAGCTTATTCCATTTCCATGCGAGGACACCCTCCTTCGGAGGAATTCCGATTATGGTATTAGTCTTTTGTTCACAGTAATGGTAACCAAAGAGCTATGAGGAGCTTTCCTTTCTGTCGTCTTGGCTTCTCCGTCCATTTTTCTCTCTCCCTCGAAATTACATTGCCCATTCTCTTGGGCTAGCTGTTTTGGATATGTCAACTTTGCACCACCCTAAGGTCGCTCAACAACTAATTTGGTCACTGATATTCTATCCTTTTTCATCAAGTCGATGGCCTCCTGGATTCCTTCCAAACCATTCCTGCTCACGACCAGAGGTGGAGGGGCAACTTTGTAAGATCTACTAGCAAGAGCCTCGGGTAGATATCCCCCAAACGTGGCAGGTGTTGTTTCGAACCAACAGTGGGGGGGGKGCTTTAAAATTCCCGGCCGTCGGCTGCTTCACATTTACACCCTTTGGGATGTTATCTACGTTGCCGATAAAGCTAGAAGATGAAAGGTTAAGCTAAGAAGAAATGTGTCAGCTTTATGCATGGGAGATGGAATCAAGGTGCCTTCGTACCGTCTGTTTGCACGCTGACGCAATCTCGCATGCCATGACATTGCCATCCTCTAAACCGGCTGCCACAAAAATACCGGCACATTCGCCTCTGTCAAGCTCCTCAGCGAGTTTTGCAGTCACTTCAGCATGCGTGTAGTCAAAGACATCAACGGCGCCAAGGCGCTTTACGTAGTCAAAGTTCTTCTTTGAACAGGTGGTAATCACATCATAGCCTGCGGCCGTAGCTAGCTGGATAGCATTGCTACCAACTGCAGAACTGCCTCCCCAGATCAACACCGATTGTCCTTTCTTAGGTGCTCCGATCCTAGGGTAATCGAGGCGAAGGTAGTCCTTTCCAAACAGAAACATAGCACTGGTAGCACTGCATAGACCAAGAACCACAGCATCACGGTATGCCATGTCGTCCAGGACTTTAGTCAGCAGTTTGTCTTCCAAGGCCACATAATCCTGAAACCCATTGTTTGCGGTACAGCCTAAGATACGGTCCCCAATGCGGAAATTGGAGGCGGCCGTAGAGCCTGGAACCACATTCTCAACAACTCCGGCAATGTCGCAACCCAGGATGATGGGGTACTTGAACATATTCCTGTCCTGGAGTATATGGTCACAAGGATTGATGGCCCAGGCGTACACCTTGACAAGCACTTTGTGGTCACCAAGCTCGTCATTTGTAGGGAGTGAACTCTCGCGGACCACACCGGGAACACCAAACGTGTCTTGCCAGACGGCGCGGTTGATAGGAACCATAATTAGTCGACGTGTTCGGGTCAAAGTAGTAGCACAACAGGATAGGAATTGCGTTTGAAATAGGATTTATATCATCGAAAAAGAAAGAGATAGAAAATTTAGTAGTAGTTTGGGGAGAAAAGCGTCCCCCAGTCCTCGACACAAATAATACTTAAGCGGTCAATATATTTCTGAGCCTGCAACCAGCTGTTTTTTGAACAATCAACCCGTAGAAGGCTTACGTGAGACTTTAGTTGCAGTTTCGGGGCAGAGACATATAGCGATAACTGCCATTGGGTAATTTCCCCAAGCCCATAGCGACATGGTTATGGTGTTGTGTTGATACATTTCAACTGGTTCTCTCTGGACATCCCAAGAATCCACAGCCCCGGACTTAACGAACATTCCCGGGTTTATCAAGCAGTTTCGGATTTAGGCAGCGCTATAGCTGTTTGGAACGCATGCGCAGACCCCTCCCCCTTCCTAATATGGATTCTTTATCCATGTCACGTGTAAGAGGACGCTTGCTAATATATATGAGCAAGCTCTCTCACTGGATAGTTTAGAAAACTAATTCTCAATAAAATCTTCATACAGTATTATTGATCGCTTGCCTTAGGCTTCTTGGATACGCCTTATGTCCTTCACTGCTTCGCACTTTGCAGGCATAAAATGGTCAACAATGGCACTGCAGACATGCGTGTATAGCGCATTGTGAGTGCTTACACTGTTGGTAGCCGTGAGTAAGAAAACAGAAAAACTGTGTAAATATAATTAACTTTCAGTCAACAGCCGTACGTGCAACTACTAGAAGCAATTGCGCTTCGCCGACCCGGAGACTATAAAGCTAGAGATGAGAATGAAGCTAGGTGGGAAGGGTAGGTTGATTGATGGGTTTGCTTGTATTCGCATCTATCCGAGACATATCAAGTAACCCATGTTGTGTCGTGTAGTAGTGATGGGTGCTTGGTCAGGCTTCCAGAAGGGCTAGCTAAATAAGTAGAGAAGAGGCGCCGCGAAATTCAGGTTATCCGTGGTCACGTGAGCTCTGTCGGCGGTTACCAAGTTGTGTCACGTGCTCTGTTTTGTGGTTGGTCTGATTTACATACTCCATAGGATGTCCTGCCCCGACCGTGAAATGCCCCAGGCCATGACTCAGCGGCGCCGCCACTGTGGAGGAGACTTTCAACCCTATCTGCCACGCTCCTGCGAAGTATTAAGCCTCTTGACACTGATTCCACGGCTCAGTGAAGCATTCAATTCGTAGTGACGCAGCTAGTTAGCAATACCCGGCCATTCGAATACGGTTTCTTTTCAGTTCCCGACGGAGGAGGCACATACGGAGCACACTGTTCCTACGACCATCGGATTGTCTTCTCTCGGCTCGGGTGAGTTAATGTTAGTAATACTACGTAATCGATCTGATTTGCTCCGCGGCGCTTACCTAAGCGGTCCCTCGTTCCGAGCGCGGAAAGTAAGCCGAGGTTTGCCGCTCAGAATTTTCTGCATTACGTACCGGGCTTGCTGCAGGTGGGGATAACTACACTCTGCTACGTTACAAAGTATACTAGCACCTAGCACAGTTATTACTACAAACACCACTGCTAACTAGGCTGTGCGGCGTCTTTGTTATGGTGCCTTCTTCTTTTCTTCAATGTTCCCATCTCAGTCCGCTAGGCCTTGCCGATCCCGAGTGCAAAAACTGCGCATCATTCTACGGAGTAATTGAACAGTACGTAACACTTTTTGCGGGATGATAGCTGATCGGAATAACCCTACGATGAAAAGTTGAAAACGGCCTTCTTGCGCCCCCACCCCCAAGGCAACGTTCAGAAATTACGTGGGTACATACAAATTTCCTTACGACCGGGCCTCTTGTCGGTGCGGGCACAGCGAGATTCAGCCAAGAGCCGTTCCAAGATGCCGTGGTCCTCATTGGCTCGGATATGCTACACCGGGCTCTGTGGGAGGTTGGCTGAAAACGATGTGAACATTGAGTTCTTTAGCATGGAGAATGAACCAGTAAAACCTCTGACTCCGCGGATGGTGGCTTGCGCCACCCCGCTGCTGGAGAATACTGGGGACGGTCCCACGTCGCTATCAACTTTCATAGGGCTATGAGCATGATCGGCCTGTTTGTATGTTGACATTGATTGGTGGTACCTGTACGTTGGTCATCGAGCCTGGCGAAACTGGAAAATCTTTTTACACTTGCTCTCTAATTGGCAGTATTTGCTCATCACAACACCCACAAGCACCACATGGCAGCACCCGAAAGGGGCAGGCACATGCATCTCATGTTGTTACCCTTCATACATGTCGTCATGCCCCGCCTGTAGGTTCTTAGCTGTGGGCCAGCGATGTCTTGCTCGGAATGCCCGCAAAAGCCTTCCCGAAGGTGCCCTTATATCTATGCCCGCATTCCCCGTATTGTCTCCCACATTTTTCTTGTTTCTTTTCTACTTCATTCTTTTCCCTCTCATGATCGTTCCCTAGCCGTCGGCGAAAGAATAGAGCCTCAAAAAAAGTTGAAAATAGAAACAAAATGTGGACAACTACGTCCGGCCTCCGAGGCAAGAGCCTTCATCTGGCCATCACTATCACCTCCGTCATCGGCTTCTCTTTATTTGGCTACGACCAAGGTCTGATGTCTGGTATCATCTCCGGTGACCAGTTCGTGGCCGAATTCCCCGTCCTCGATGGCACCTCCACGCATGTCTCGGTCTTGCAAGGTGGCGTCACTTCCTCTTACGAGATTGGATGTTTCTTTGGTGCTATATTCACCCTTTGCTTCGGTCAACGCATCGGACGCACTCCCATCCTCGTTGCTGGTGGTCTCCTAATGGTTCTGGGAACGGTGATTTCGACCTGTTCTTTCCAGCCCCACTGGGGTTTGGGGCAGTTTGTTGTCGGCCGTGTCATTTCTGGCGTTGGAAACGGCATGGACACTGCAACTATTCCCGTGTGGCAATCTGAATGTTCCCGTGCCCACAACCGTGGCTTCCTCGTGTGCTTCGAGGGCGCTATCATTGCCGTCGGTACCTTCATCGCCTACTGGATCGATTTCGGTCTTTCTTACGTCGAAAGCTCAGTCCAGTGGCGCTTCCCCGTTGCTTTCCAGATCCTCTTCGCTATCCTTGTCGTTATTGGTGCTTTGATGCTGCCGGAGTCACCTCGTTGGTTCATCATGCACGGCAAAACCAAGGAGGCACTCCACGTTCTGGCCCAACTAAACGACAGTACTGAGGATGCTGAAGACGTGCTAAGAGATTTTAACCTCATGCAGGCTGACCTAAAGGCCCTTCAGGGTGCTGAGGCAGGAGGTTGGAGTACTCTTTTTACTTTCGGCAAGACCCAGGAATTTCAACGCATGATGATCGGGTGCTCTGGTCAGTTCTTTCAGCAGTTCACTGGTTGTAACGCCGCTATCTACTATTCCACACTTTTGTTCAAGAACAACCTACACATGACTGGCAAACTCCCTCTGGTTCTGGGCGGTGTTTTCGCTACTGTCTATGCACTTGCTACCATCCCCTCTTTCTTCATGGTTGAGAAGGTTGGTCGCCGAAATCTATTTTTGATCGGATTTTTAGGCCAGGGTCTCAGTTTCATCATTACCATGGGCTGCCTGATTGACGACAATGAGCAGAATGCTAAGGGTGCTGTAGTAGGCATCTTCTTGTTTATCGTCTTCTTTGCCTTCACCACCCTACCTCTGCCCTGGATCTACCCCCCTGAGATTAACCCTCTCCGCACCCGTACCATGGCAGCTTCTGCTTCGACTTGCGTCAACTGGATTTGCAACTTTGCCGTCGTCATGTTTACCCCGGTCTTCTCCAACAAAAGTGCTTGGGGTATTTATCTTTTCTTTGCTGCGATCAACTTTACTGCAATTCCTTTTGCTTATTTCTTCTACGTCGAAACCGCTGGTCGTGATTTGGAAGAGGTTGATATCATCTTCGCCAAGGCCCACGTCGAGAAGAAATGGCCCTTCCAGGTCGCTCAAGAGCTACCCAAGCTCAGCCACGAAGAAATTCAACATCACCTCTTTGATCTAGGTCTTGGCGCCTCGGATCACAGCTCGGCGTCTGATAACGAGAAGGTAGAGATCGGTGGCGGGAGCAGCAGTCCTGAGCATGCCAGCGCATCCAACTAAATCTCTTGGAGAGAGAAGAGTGGATGAGCCATGAGTTTGTAAACTGTGTTTTGGAACCTATTGAGTATACCCGACAATAGCCTTTTTGGCTTGCCATGAGGCATTGTGTCTTTAGGTTGCGCTTTTTGTGAGATTTTGTTTAGTCAGGTGCATGGCCATCTGTAGATTCTTGTAGATATTATTTCTTTGTTTGAGGAGTGGATCCTGGTTCTGGCTTAGAATTATAGACACAGCTGATAAGAGTATAGATGGTTGAAAATGAGATGTTTTGTTTTTTCTTACAATGTTGTATCTTCTCAGCACTAGCTGGGCATCGTTATCTACTTTCCAATTGGCGTTGGCAGTTTCCTTCCCTCTTGTAGCGGAAATGTGCTGTAGAAGTATATGCTTAAAAATTGGCAATACCAACCTGAAATATTACCTTTATAGCTCTACTTTCACCACATGCCTTGAAAAGGCTACTTGCGACAATCTGTTCAATAATGCATGTATAACTTTTCCTTGCAGTAGATTGGGAGCAGCCACGAGATATAATGCGTGGACAAAGTGGGAAAATGGAGCTATCCAAAGTATTGTACACAATTTGGCCTAGCAAGTCGCGCAAGAGACTAGATATGAAATTGTCCATTTCTCGTGCTTTGACTTCTTCTTCTCTTCTTCCTACAGTCAATGAATTTTCCCATCGTAACGACACCTGTCTTGTAAAGCTTGTGCTCTTCAGAAAGGACCTACTTACTAATCAATAAGCCCAAGAGCAGTGCTACACCAGCAAGTGCGTTATAAAATATCTAATTTAGTAATATTCTCAGTAAACCTTATCAATGATGAGTCTCTTGTTATTGGGCAAAGTTTGGATTGGATTTATTGCTCTTGATGCTTTCTTATGTATAACATCTATTCTACTATTTCGGGTGGGCGAGTAGCAGTAATTGTGCCCACCTACTGTAAAATACGGTTATGAAAGATAAAGCTTTTAAATATAATCGATATGGCAGTTGCAATGTCACGGCTGAAAAGAAGTGTCGTTGTTGCCACCGCAATAGCTGCATGTTTTAATAGGGAAGAATCAGTGAACTAAGTCGGGGAAGACTCTGGCAGCAAGGTTCTTCATGCTTTCCACGATGATCTTCACCGAAGACACGAATACTAGTTACGCCCTGGATCACTTTGCAGAGACAACAAGTAATAGCTAATTATGTTTCAGAAATAAGTCAGCGTTTAAATTCATAATGAATTACGGATACCATGCTGTGATTGGGACGAATCATATAAACGGAGTGGAGAGGGGTTGACCCGCGACCTGTGCGCTATGAGTACCTCCAGTGTTGAGTGATACGTCTAAATAATTTCCAAAAGTCCGGAGCTTCATAGATTGGTGAGACTCTCTCATCTATATTTGCGGTAAATTGCCTAGTTAGGCTCGTCCGCTTTCACCACAGGCCGGAATACTGCTCCATCGGGCTAGATGCCGCAATCTGGGACAACAGCGACAGCGAGCTTCTAGATCTGGGTTTTTTATGATTAAATCCTGGTTGATCATTGGTTCTTATGACATACACGTCTTCCAGGTAAGATGCCGCAAGATATGATATATAAACCTTAGGCGGGAAGCAAGATGTTTGGAATCTGTCCATATGCAGGGTTATACAACATTACACAGTTCGAGTATCATCATGTTTAGGAGCGTGTCTTCCGATTGCTTGAAATGCCCTACCTTCCGCGCAGGAAAATGCGCAGGAACACTGAAGCGGTTGATGGCGACTGAAACGTCGCAGATCGCTCGCAAAGACAAAAAAGAGGGGGATATTTCCTCTGTATTCTCAACTTTCTCCGGTAGAAAGAGTTCTCCACTGCCTGAAGGTTTCCGGGACCTGAAGCGTAACCTGACCACCGGATTTGAAGAACAGATTCAAAAGTCATGGGATGAGCTTGTTGAGGTTCTGAAAATCCGAACTGAGGAAGTCGCTACCAAACGAGAGGCGGTACGTATATTTCATAAATCAGCTGAGATCATGCAATATACTAAAAGAAGTAGATCATTCCTCAGATAAAATTTTCTGACGTTCAGGCTGGGAATGTATCTCCAGATGATGTTACTGCCATCCGACGGACTGGTGTTGCTGTTATCAGAGGTGTTGTGGGCAAAGATGTCACAGAAGCGCTTCTCGCTGATGTTCGACAATACCTGACATCTCGACCTTTCAAAGGCTTTCCGTCTACTTCGGATAAGAAGGTGATGCTTGATCACCAATCTTCATAATCTGAAGCTTACCTTGTTTTAGGTTATCTACGAATCTTATTGGAGTCCTTCACAAGTGAAAGCGAGGTCGCATCCCAATATGCTTGCCACACAATCGTGGATGAATCAGCTCTATTCTGCCGATGCAGATCAAAAGGGTAATATCATGCACATGAGGTAACCTGTGGGCGTTTACTGACCACTCTTCTTAAAGTTGATCTCACCGTCCCGCTCACCTACTGCGATCGTGTTCAAATTCGCCCACCTGGCGATAAGCATTTTGGACTCCCGCCTCACGTTGATGGTGGAGGAGTGGAAAGATGGGAAGATCCAGCTTATAATCATACATATCGAAAGATATTTCAAGGACAGGTGTGTCGATTGTCTACACTACTTCTCTAAAACTGAGAACTAACATCACGACAGTGGCAAGAGTACGACCCATGGGATATCACTGGCCGCCTTGACGCTGATATGAACATGTATGATGGACCAGGAGGTTGCTCGGTCTTCCGAAGCTTCCAAAGCTGGCTCGGACTATCGCGCCATGGACCTCAGCAAGGTAAGTCAATCCGGAATTTGGCGTCTCACCCGATGCTGACCACTTGTGACATCAGGTACTCTCGTCGTTCACCCTATTTTGCAACCCAGCACTGCTTATTGGTTGCTTCGGCCCTTCTTTAAACCCACCCGGAAAGATTCTTTAGACGGATGGAAGTTTTCTCTTGATGATGAGGAGGGCAACATTTATCTTCATGGTGCCAATCCGGGAACTGCACAAGAGCACACTCCCGCACACCATCCTCATTTGAGACTGACTGAAACTATGATTCCCTATCCGACTGTGGAGCCTGGTGATACAGGTGGGTCTATCCCCTTCCCATAAAGCGGATTAAGCGGATGAAGCTAACGGGTAGGACTAGTTTTCTGGAGTGCTGATACCATTCATGGAACAGAGATGGACAACACAGGCGATATTGATGCTTGTGTGTTTTACATTCCATCTGTTCCATTGACCCCTAATAATATGGTAAGAGAACATTTTCGAATTCTAAATGCGCATAATTGTCACTAACATCACAAAGCGATATGTCGCACAACAAAAAGAGGCTTTCTTGAAAGGAATTCCTCCACCAGATTTTCCAGGTGGTCTTGGAGAGTCAGGGTATTCCGATCGAGCTACAAACGAGGATATTCAATGTGAAGCAGGCAAAGTTGCCATGGGATTAAGCCCTGTCAGACTTCAGGGTAAGGATGAGAGATCAAGGAAACTTGAAGAAGAAGTCAATAAAATCCTCGGCTTTTAGGGGTATATCTGAGCTCAAGCTTCACGTCTCCTTCGATAATCGGCCTACAACTTCACTTTGGAATTAATAAGACGGTTGTACGTAGAGTTTGAGTTATTAAAGGCAGTGTGGTAGTTTAATTGATGTACCTACTACAGCTAGTTAGGTATAGTACCAACTACCAGTACCCGATCACCCCATTCGGTTCGATTGATAACCCCAGCGATTGCGCGTTTTGTGCAATACGGAGAGTTTTGACTGGTCCAGGTACACCACCAAACCCACCATTCTGAACTATACTATATTATAACTACCCAATGAGACTATACGTTTTGGATCGGCTCAATCAATTTGAAAACGTCCAATAACCGTTTCCAAAGGCTTGTGAGAAGTTGTGTGACTCGGCTTGTGAACATTGTTGGAGCGTCATCTCTCACTCAACATTTGTTCAAGTATGACAATTTTCGGAAATGACATATCTAAATACTTGAATAACTACTTGTCCTCTGTTTGCTGTGCATAGGCCACGGATAGGAGTTATTATTAGCACATTGCTCTTCCCTTCACAAAATCCGTCGAAATGGCGAAATCACTCTACTTACCTGAAATCAACGTAAGATGAGTCTGACTGACTGATGGGTCACGGAATGATATACGATGAAAGATGCCTCAAGACTCACATATTCACCTGCCAATGTTCCTGTGGGAGCTCATAGACATCCATCCGTTTTCCAAGCATGAAGTAACGTATTGCAGTTTAGTCCCTCTTGTAGTTACAGAGCGATGTGTGGTTACAGGCATTGTGGAATTGAGTCTCCCAAGCCATTTGGCTCTGGAGACCTTTCTAACATTCACCATATAGTCATTTAACTTTTCAATCTACTCAGCACTGACTTTAAATTAAAGCAAAAAGAGCTTTAAATGTATGAATATATTACCATAGAGCAGTACATGATATGCCAAACAAAACCCATATAAAAGAGCGGGAATGTGCACATCTTGCCAAACCCATATGAATCTGATATATCGGAGCCCTGAAATCTTTAGAGTAAAGCGAGAGAAAACCAGAAGACTTTTCAATACAATTCTTCAAGCATTTTCAACCACCTGATACCGGAGCCAGGGGCCAGCAGGCGTGCATGAGCCATTAGTGATACTGTTGCTCTCACGATATCCCTCTTCGTCATTATCCACCAGACAGCCAGCGTTCTGCCAAAGATATGCCAGCCAAAAATCCGTGTATATCTCGTCTTCAGTTTGAACATAGCAATAATCATAACTGCCGCCCAAGTTTACGCAAGTATCCGACCCCACAGAGCCGGAAGCCACGAGCGTGCCGTCTGAGCACTAGATGATAAGATAGTTCAGTTTAATAGAAATACAGTAAGATTATATTAGGACTTACAGAGTCGCCGCAGAAGATAGACCACTCCCCTAACGTGGCAGCTGCTGCTATAGTGGTGAGAGCCATAAGAGAGAAATAAGTAATAGCCATAATTCTGGTCTTCAGGAAGTTATAAGAATATAGGCGCTGGAAGTATAGAGGAAGTGTACTGATCAATCTTTTACTCGAAATGATTGAGCGGTCTTGATTAATTGATAACTAGTTTTCCATTATCATGGGGAAGTCTTCGTTATTTATGTACTTTTTTTAGGTCTAGTTATCCGATGCTGACAGACAGTCTTTCAATCACTACGTAGTATATTAACGATAGTTAGTGCTTACTATGTACTCTTTTATCATCTATGAGTGGTGCGTAGCTATGTGGGGTCCTCTTTTGCTTTCTTAACAATATTATTGTGATGAAAAATCCAATGAACGCATAACAAGCATAATTTGGCCTACATCCGTACTATGTACAAGTTGCGAGAGCGTCCTGTCACAGCGGCACCACCAGTCGAAAAATGCCAGTTGGGGGCTATCGTAATTCGAATTTACCTCGCTCAGCCTTGAGAGCTGATAGATTACTGTATATGTCTTAGTCAAAAGCGGGGAAATCAGTCAACAATATAGGCCCCTTTTTAGGTTATTGTAATATCTACTACGAAGTATTAATACCTAGAGCTTAGAGCCCTAGGTTGAGCTACGTTGGGTAAGAAGTTCCGGCGCCCGTACAGAGCTATCGAAAAGGTTCTTTCACACCACTCCCCTCTCATCAAGACCCTTGTCCGCAAGCGTCTGAAACTGGCAAATCATTCTTTTCGTGATCATCCACGAGTGATCCTCCTTAGCGGCATGTATCCATTCCTCAAGCCAAAGTGGCAGCTCACATGAGTGCGGTTGCCTGTCACGGAATGCCTTCAATGCCGATAGCACAATCTTCATATAGTTAGCGGAATGCTACTTGGATTAGTTACTACGCTTCCTACATCATTCGCCAAGTAAAAAGTCATCGATTGCCTATTCCGACTGACTGTAATATTCAGATCTGAGATTTGATTCTCAATCTCAGCTGTTTTTTGTCATAATGGTAAAATCGAGAGGTCAGCAGGTAATAATTTTTTGAGGTGTATTAGCACAACAAGCTCAATGTCATCAAAGATTTGGTGCGCAGAACTTGCTTGTATTGTCTTTGCTCGCTCTTAGTTTTGCAAGCCGGAAAAGGAGCGGTATGTTTATCCTATGCAAGCTATTACACGGTCGACCGTCCTCGATGTAATATCGTAAACGTTAAGCAATGTCTTACCCGCCAAACGGATTTCTCAGAGACTTCTTTCCAGACGACAAGTCACGTGTCTGTCCTAGTCATCCATCTAATTCTAGTGCTACGTACTTCCATCCCGATTACATGCAAAGCATTCCACCTTACCTTGCCAATGAGAAGCATGATGAAGTGAAGTACATAACTCACAAATGAATGTTGGTATATGTGATACTTCAACCCTTGGTCATATTCCCGTTTGTGGGCGACCAGTTGCTCCAATTGACGAAACATGAAGTTGCTAAATATTCCACGACTTTTCCTGAACGGAACCGGGCTGATCTAACCACTCAATTTGCCTTCGCTCGCCAGTCCGATCGTTGCCATAGATGTCATGAGTCCCGGCTTCGACGGGGAGACACGGCTACATTCCACGAACCCTGTATATGAGCCTTTATATAGGCCCGTATATAAGGTTTCGTACAAAACTCTATTAAGTCTCTATAGGTTTCTATGTAGTAATTAAAATTAGGTAAACTTGGTCTATTAGCCAATGAACGTATGTAGTGTAGAGTGTGGAAAAATAAAATTAGTAATATATGAAATTTGTCGCCAAAGTCGATATAGTTCACGGTAGATGTGCCACTTGCGTCAAGTGGGCCGATGGGACTTGCAGGGTCTTCATGTTCCCCGTCTACCCGATGATTCCCCGAGGCCTCAGGCCCTGACGACCAACCAACCAATCAATCAACCACGGAGTCTCGAAAGGGAGAGAGAATGAAAAAGTTAATCTGCGTACGTCGAGATGAAACCGTATAAAGTAGTCATGACGTTATCCTCACCTCTGCTTACTAATAGCGAATCTTGAAGAAAAAGGAGAGAAAAAAAAAGTGAGGGGAAATAAAAGCCACTTTGCTCGCGTCGAGATAAAATCGTAATAAGCAGTCATCACGTTATCTCGCGAAATCCCTCCTTGATCTCACACAACATCTTACTCCCACTCATCAGTCACCATGTCGCAACTCATCGACAAGCCGCTCCTTGGACCCCTGGTCGCCCTCAATGGTTGGGTTTTCGCCATGGAAGGTCTCCTATACAAACGCAGAATCCCAGCGCTCAAGAAGTACGGCGTTACTTTCGATCCAGCTACTGTCAAGAAGCAAAAGGCAGAGAAATTGCCTCCTTTTGTGAACTGGGCGGCGGACAACTTCAACAACTTACAAGAGCAACCCACCCAATACTACGCAGTAGTGCTTGCGTTGACCTTCTTGAATATCAAGGACAAGACGACCGTTAGCTTGGCATGGGCTTACGTTGGTCTGCGAGTCCTGCACAGCTTAATTCATGTGTCGACGAATAACCCTGGTATCCGCTTCCCGATTTTCGCTGCGAGCTCCTTTGCGCTTTTGGGGATGACAGCCAAGGCGGCTTTGGAACTTTTCTTCTAGCTCACATCTGGGGGTATCTCATGTAACAATTCTTCTTGTATTGTAGTACCGGGTTTACACCAGGCAGCTTGGCTGCTAACAATCATTATATCTGAATGCGAGCAGTTTTTCAATCCGGATAATACGTTGATTTGGAGAGTATTGATGTTAGCGCGTATACACATGCTTTGAGTGTTTTTTGCAAAGGCATGCGTAGGCTTTTTGACTCTTAGTTATTTGTCTTCTAAGATATAGGATTAACTTAGTCATATCTTTCTATCTCTGTCTTTTCTTGACTCATTAGAGAGGATGTTGAGGACATGGATGCTAGGTATGGTGAAAAAACGTTGATTATTCCCCATTCATAGAGATCTTTGCGGATATTGAAGGACTACTTCTTGGCAAGCATCTTTATGCATCTATAGCTAGAGACAATATTCTTCAGTGCTAAATATAGAGAGAATAGGGGTAATATATCTAGCTATAAGGTGAAACTATCAATAAACGGTGTTAATTTAGCTACTAGACTAGTGATTTATGAGATATAAGCGGCTCTTTAGAAGAGAGTGCTGAGTAGGATTTAATAAATCTACTCTTTGGACTGATGGCAGTGATCCTTTGCTGTAAGTGTGATGAAGAGTAACTAGTGAAGCTCTGAGCCTGGGAATAGAGGTAGTAGCCTTGAACTCTATATAAGCTTTGAAAGTATTTCAAGAAGATAATGGAATTTAAGTCTTCTAGGTCACTTTAAGAAGAGATAGACTCCCGCTTACTTGAGGAAGAGTTTAATGTAACTAGCTACCGCTACTTAACGCGTGCAGGACATGAGTGGGCTTCAGACTTTGGGCATGCTTCATTTGACTCCCGACCATATGACTGTTAAACCTAACCCGTGCCTGACCTTGCCTTCTTGAGATAAATCTTTATTCTCTCCATATCAACAATCCTACGAGAAGTGGCAGAGATGCACCTGGATTAACCTGGGCCCTTCTCTACCGTATTTCTGACGTGTCGGCCGATATTATACGAAGTATGATTCCGGCAGCCGGGCCGTGACCGTTCTTTCCCCGGACTGACGAGCCGTAATCCTGCCCAAGCTGACACGACGCTTTCCTCGAATCATCTGTAGGCATGGGACTTCTGCACCACTCACATTCCCATATTTCTGACTAGACAACCGATTTTTATTCTTCATCAATTACTTTCTTGTACAAGCCCCTTCCAAGGAAAAAGAACGACCTCTAGATTAGATGGCGAGATGCTGCCGCTAGGACATTGAGCTCCTTAGTAGGCCCTGACGGTAACATTAGTTCAAAACTTCCAACTTAGTTTCATTATTACTCGAGCTTAGATGTGAACGGACGCCCAAGTCAGTTCTCCAATATCAAGGCTTTGCGATGGCTGTCGGTGACTTGGATGCCGAAAAGGCCTGTGAACATCAGAGTCCGCTATCCGTCCACTCAGATACAACCACGACTTCGAATCTGAAACTGAATCACGAGATGAATGCTACCCGAGGTCAGAGCGACATTGAAACCATTTACGCAAGCGTTACTGGTGAACCTTCGGGGAAGATAGGTGATGAGTTAGCTTGCACCGACAATATTCAGTCCCGCAGTCAGTCACGGACTCCATCTACTCGCTCCCACCCGCTGTCTATTGTCCAGCGCTCCAAGCGGCGTGGGATCCTTGGACGCTTCGCGATCATACCCGAAGTCAATAACCCGTATGACTACCACAAATCCACAAAATGGGGTATCACGGCCACCGTCTCTTTGGCAACAGCTGTAGCACCTATGGGTTCATCCATCTTCTACCGTATGCACACTTCTGCGCTTAGCCTATTAACGAGAACTGTCTCATCCTCGATGACCGGTTGAATAACCTGACTGACCTGTCTTCGCAGCCGCCCTTGGTGCTCTAGTTGACGAGCTTGACACTTCCGAGACCATCATCAATATGTCCGTCGCCTTGTACATGCTCTCCATGTCTATCTTCCCTATCTGGTGGTCAGCATTTTCCGAGCAGTTTGGCCGCCGCAGTATCTACCTCCTCTCCTTCGCCCTATTCATCGTATTCTCCATCCTCTGTGCTGTCAGCACCAATGCGCCCATGCTTATCATTTTCCGTCTCTTGGCCGGAGGCGCTTCAGCCAGTGTGCAGGTCATTGGTGCAGGTACCATCGCTGACATTTGGGAATCCCATGACCGAGGCCGCGCTATGTCTCTCTTCTACTTAGGACCTATGCTTGGGCCCCTCTTTGGTCCGCTCCTTGGTGGTGTTTTGACGCAGTACTTGGGCTGGCGATCAACCATGTGGTTCCTGACCATCTACGGCTTTGCCATTATTGTGGCGATCTTCTTCCTGCTTCCGGAGACGTTAGCTCGCAAGAACGAGCCTGCCATGACCCACCAGCTCACACGCATGTCCACTCGGGAGTCTATCAGGGTCAAGAGGAAGAAGTTCACGACGTCACTCAATCACTACCTAATCGAACCTCTGAGCGTTCTCCTACTCCTACGCTTCCCACCCGTGTTTCTCACAGTATTGATCGCCGCCATCACCTTTAGCTCCGTATACGTCCTTAACATTGTCATCCAATACGGCTTTGCTCGCCCTCCGTACAACTTCAACGAAACGACCGTAGGAGTGACATATATGGCTACCGGGCTGGGATACGTCGCCTCGTCAATGGTCGGTGGTCGCTGGATGGATTCGATTATGGCAAGGGAGGCTCGCAAGGCCGAGAGATATGATACGCAAGGGAAGCTTATTTACCTACCGGAAGATCGGATGAAGGAGAATGCTTGGGTAGCGAATGCCATATATCCGCTTTCATTGTTGTGGTTTGGATGGTCAATGTATTATAGAGTGCAGTATATGGTGCCTATCAGTGCGCTTTTCATCTTCGGGTTCTCTTCGATGCTTCAGTTTGTAAGTCCAGAAACTCTCTCTTTATGTCTGTCGTTCAGAATGCGCCGTCATTGCAGTCCTTGAAACTTTTCATGCTAACATCTTTCATCCAGACCCTCAGCACAACCATGCTCACGGAATTTGTCCACAAACGTAGTTCTGCCGGCGTCGCTGTCAATAACTTTGTCCGAAATATCTTGAGTTGCGGCGGGACTATAGTTGCCGCGCCTTGGATCGAGGGKGTGGGTGTGGGCTATATGATGACGACACTGTGTGTTATTTGCTTGCTGTTGGGGTTCTTGGGTATCTGGCTTATTAGCAGCAACGCGCAGAAGTGGAGGGCGGCGATGGATGAGGCATTGAAGAAGATGGATTGAGCTGGAGGATAATCGATGTATGCTCTCCGTCCCTCGCGTCCTTGGTAATCAATATCGAGGGAAAAAAAATAGAGATGAAGCCTTGAGCTTGAGAATAAATTTTGGCTCATGACGCACCGCCTGATACTGGCAGAATAGTATTGCTTCATTGGTTGCTTCAATTCAACCCACAGAGCAGTATTCGAGGTTTACTTTACCCCTATATTAACCATACTACATAGTATACGCTAGGAGAATCTTCTATTCTTCTTTCTTTCCTCCCTTTCCTTCTTTATGTATGCTGTCTACCAGAGCATGAACCTATAGCGTTACGTAAGGCGGGACTGGCTCSTAACAACCATGCCGCGAAAACATCTTAATAGATTGAATAATTAAATGCTATGATTGCTTATTATTGGGCTAATATTAGACTTTTCTTGTAGCTGTACAGAGAATAATGCTCCAAGTATGGGCTCATATGAGCCTTAATCGGTTGATCTAACGCGTTTCGAAATATTTGTGATTTTTCGGGATTTGGGGAGAGATCGGGTATCGTGCGGGAATAGGGCATTTGCCGATGCTCCTTCTCTATAGCTGTTTTCATCCTTTGACCATGTATAGATATCTTGTCCAAAAACCTTAATCTCAAGTCACTCACTGTATCTGAATTTATCCCAAGCAAGATGTCGAAGCTCTTCCAGCCTCTAGAGGTGGCTGGCTGCCATCTCCAGCATCGCATGGTCATGGCGCCTCTCACCCGTTTCCGTGCCGATGATGATTATGTTCCTACGGACATCATGAAAGGTGTGTTCGGTTAAGTTTTCATGCGATTATTCTGACCACCCTTTAGAGTACTACACTCAGCGAGCTTCTGTGCCCGGGACTCTTCTCATTACCGAAGGCACGCAAATTTCTCAGCGAAGTATTGGAATAAAGAATGTCCCAGGAATCTGGTCCAGCTCCCAGATTGCCGCCTGGCGCGAGATCACTGACGCTGTCCATGCCAAAGGATCTTACATCTGGTGCCAGTTTTGGGTCCTAGGTCGTGCGAGCAACCCCGCTCTCCGGCGCGAGCTGGGTCTGAAGCTTCTCGGCCCCAGCCCCGTAGCGAGCTCCCCAGATCATCCATTTCCTGAAGAGATGTCTGAGGAGGAGATCCAAGAAGTGATCGAGGACCATCGCATTGCTGCGAGAAACGCTATTGAGGCCGGGTTCGATGGCGTCGAGATTCAAGGGGGCGGTGGATACTTGCCTGATCAGTTTCTCCAAGATGTCACCAATAAGAGGACAGATCATTGGGGTGGCAGCATTGAAAACCGCGCCAGGTTCCCCATTGAGGTCACCAGGGCAATCTCTCAGGAGATCGGATCCAGAAAAGTCGCGATACGCTTAAGCCCGTGGAGCGACTTCATAGGCATGGGGATGGATGATCCTATCCCGACCTTCACCTACCTGGTCAAGCAGCTCCGCAACCTGGATATTGGATTTCTTGACCTGATCGAGGCACGTATCCGAGGAAACGATGATGCCGACTGCGGCGGGGATAACGATGTATCATTTGCTGTTCATGCGTGGGGCAAGGAAGCGCCGGTTATGGTCGGTGGCGGATTTAATAGTGAGTCTGCGCAAACGGCAGCCGATAAGACTTACAAGGACTATAAGCTGGCGATCATATTTGGTCGCTACTGGACAAGCAACCCAGATCTGCCCTTCCGTGTAAAGATGAACATTCCGCTCGTCAAATATGACCGCTCAACTTTCTACACGCCGAAGAGTAGCAAAGGCTACAACGATTGGGGATTCAGTGAGGAGTTTTTGGCATTGGGCGGCGCTGCTAGGCTCACGTAAACGATGACAGGGATCCTATAAATTGAGCAGTTATTAGTTTAGACATGTTGTCGGAACTTCAATATCAAAAACCGGTACCAAGCAACTACTCCCTCGGCATACGAGCTTCTGGTGATGGTGATCCTACGTACGACGTACGTGATAGTTCACATGGCACCAGGCCCCGACACCTGTGGTCGTAGCGATCAAGCAGATTATTAGGTATCAAAACGCATTCCAATTTGCTTCACGTAGAAGGCTCGTCGGAATAGCCTTTCCCAATTGAAATCTCACATATGAGGCCTCAATTTGGTGCTCGAATTTGGTGCTCGAATTTGGTGTGCGAATTCTACATCTTATTAATGTGCACTTATTTACAGATATGAGCCCACGTACGAGGCCTTGGGGAGCTAAACTAAATACGCGAATAGGCACGCGCGCTCACGTACAAGGCCCCAGTCTAGTATTGAATTTGGTGCGTGAATCCTCCCAACCCTCATTCTAGTTGACATGCGCGCTCACGTACAAATCTAGGGCATGAATCTATATTGAGCCTACGAATGAGCTTCCGTACGTACGAGATTGGTGGTAGATGTGGTGCTGGTCGTGGTGATGTTGGATGTGATGTTGGGTGTTATGTATATTTATATGTAGGAGTATCAATGCGTCTCATAGCTATAATCTAAGTTAATATTCACACGTAAAATACATCATAGTTCTAATAAAGAAATGGGAAATTATTATAATATCACTGTCATCTGTCATGCCTTACTATAGCGTTACCTGTAGCCTTACCGTCATATTACAGAGATCTGTTGTATATCAAATCTCGTAATAATCACCTATATTTTAACCTTTTTCGCCAGATAACAGCCCGCCGTAGTATCACAGGGCTGTCGCCTGGCCTTACTGGCCCTTACTGGGCCCTTATAAATATCCATATAATTCCACTATTGATATATATAAAGACTCAAAACACAATGAGCTTGGACGACCATGCTCTAGATATCCCCCTGCCTAGTGGCTAGCTAGATACAAAGATTATTCAAGCATGACTCGCATACAAAGGATGTTGACGGAAATTTCCAACACAAAACCCTAAGGTACATTGACCCATGTACAGCTGTCTAACATAGGACTTGTGAAGGTCTAGCTCTTACCACCCAGTCGTACATCTTAAATTCATTACCTAAATATGGATCAGTTCTATACAAATCAAATAGATACATAGCTTGTTAAATTCATATTATTTGCATTCGTATAGGACTTGATATTGGACTTTTGCCTGTGGGCGACGGCCCCCGCCCATGGGAGTCCATGGGACTTGGAAAGGACATTGCAATATCACGTGGCCCTGTTATCTCAGCACCAACACAGTGAAAGTAATTCGCTCAGTGGATTTTAAAGGTTTGATACCTCTCACGAACTTAGTTGATAGACATGCGGCGACGAATAGATCCGCTTAATCGATCCAACTTTCAATCGTTGTGAGCGATAATCCAGGTTCGAGGCTTCAGCTGCGGGGCTGGGGGAACGACCGGCATTCTCGGGGAGCAAGAGTGGGCATATAAGTTGCTTCAACGCCAATAATGATTCGCCGCTCGGTAGAATAGATAGGATACGGGGCAGAGTAGGCATCAATTGTGATAACGATAACGATAGGGAATGGCCTAGCGGAAGTTACCAACTTCCTTAAAGTAGCTGGGCAATTGTGGTGAAAATGGAATCTGTGACGCAAGTATCTTTCTAGAAGATCTGACATACAATCGCAAATACCCTGCACACAACATCAAGATGGTCAAGACGATCTCTTTTGTTGATGGCTTGGATGTTCCAGTGCCTGGCTTTGGTGCCATGGGCATTAGCTTCGCATTGGGCAAGAACCTAAGTTACGAGGAGGCTGAGCCGGTTCTTCTGAAGGCCCTGGAGCTAGGATGCACATTCTGGGACACTGCTGTATCCTACCGAGCTGGCGTCAATGAGAAACTCCTCGGTGACTTCATCCGCAAGCACAACTGCCGAGACAAGCTTTTTAGTATGCAATGTTCGTCTCACGCCCAACCCGCACTGGCTAATACGTGGTTCTGTAGTTGCCTCAAAATGCGGTGTTGCTGTTTTTGAGGACGGCGCTGTCACCAATAAAGCCGCTCATATCAAGAGTTACATCGAGGGCACCATTGAGCGACTTGGGTTCACTCCTGATCTCTACTACCTCCACCGCATTGACCCTCGTCAGTATCCCGTACTTCTGGCGCCACCGCTGTAGCTGACTCTTCGATCTTAGATACCCCTCTAGAAGAGTCTATCACAGCCTTGGACTCGCTTCGCAAAGAAGGCAAGACAAAGTACATTGGACTTTCTGAATGCTCTGCGGCGACCCTGAGAAAGGCGAATTCCAGTAAGTCCCTGTCACGACTTGGATCTTCTACAGCTCTCCCTGATACGCTGCTGCAGTCGCGAAGATCCATGCTATCCAAGCAGAATACTCCGCCTTCGAGACACTTCATGAGGTAGACGGACTTATCGACACAGCGCGCGAGCTGGACGTCGCTTACGTTTCCTATGGTCCCCTCGGTCATGGCTGGCTAGTCGAGAACTTTCCCTACAACTCGCCTGAAGACTTTAAGGAGGGGGACTATCGTCGCGAAAGTAAGTCAGGGGGTGCTCTGTCTATTGTTTCACCTCATTTCATACTGACATGTCCTTCCCAGTTCCTAAGTTCCAAGGCGAGAACTTCTACGCAAATAAAAAGATTAGCGAGGGCTTCAAGGAGCTTGCGAACCGCAGAGGCTGCACGGTGACGCAGGTTGCGCTTGCATGGGTGGCTGTTCAGGGTATGATCGCCATTCCGGGTACCACGAACCCATCGCGACTGGAGGAGAACTGGGCTTCGAGAGACATTGACTTGACAGAGGAGGAAGTAGAGAAAATGCGCGCCACAATCAATAAGCTGAGACCACGGGGTGACAGATACAACGAGGAAGCAGCGAAAGCCATTGGAAACTGAGAAATGTAGATTCACCAACAGTATAGCATAATGGCACATCTGTTTCGAACATTCTGTACCAGTGCCATCATATAAACTCATTAATCACATTTAGCTCATCTCGCCCAGAAGAACGATGAATACAGAACGACAAACTGAGCTCATCATGGCAGGGTGCAAACTTGCCAGTGCCTACAAGGACGAATACACGTAAGATTTGACTCTCAGACTGAAAGGAGACCACCACGAAAAATCACGCGAAGACAAAAAATACGACAATGCCCCATGTAACCAGACGCTAAAGTATCACTGTTGACTAGCCTTAGCCAGTCCCTCACTGCCTGGGTCAAACTCATTGAGCCAACCCCATCTGGTCTTGTCTTTCCAGCCCTTGGCGAACCAGTCATTCGCTGGCTCTGGATAAACATCGATAGCGCCGTACAGGCTGTTGTCGTGAGCAATGACAGGGAAGATGTTCTCGTAAGCATCGAACTCGGTCAGCTTGTCAATGCTGCGTTTTGCCTGGTGGGCACAGTAATGCCACGAACCCTCGGCGGTGGTTGGGTCGAAGAAGGGCACTGTGCGGCTCTTCTTGTGATGAATCTCAACGAAAATGTCACCAGGGCAAGTAAGGGCTGGACGTGCCAAAGTGCGGTTGAACGGGTTGGGCGAGATCGCGGCGGGTAGAGGCATATACGGCGTCGGCCGAAACTCTCCTCCCTGGTGTGCGATATCTCCACCCATGAAGATGAATGTCGGAGGATCAACCGTTGTGCGGGCAAGGGCGGAAAGATGGCCGATGGTGTGACCGGGGGTATTGAGGAGGTAGAAGCTTCCGTCGCCATAGAAGTCAAGAGCATCAAACTGGCCAATCTTGAGACCTTTTCCTTCTGCCGCGAAGTCAATCTCGCGCAGTGTGCGACCTTCCCATGCCTTCTCATCAATGTGAGAGTCGGGAACTGTGGGCCAGGCAGGTACATGCGCTTTCTTGAACCCAGGTCCAACGATCACATCCGTCGCATCTGGGAACGTCTGGACATCACCGACATGGTCAAAATGCCAGTGTGACCAGATGATACCTCCCACCTCGGACAGATCTCGTCCATTCTCCTTTAGAATGGTGGCAACGTCCTTCTGAACCTCAATCTTGCAGCCACCTTCCTTGATACCTTGGACGAAGGATGTCGGTAAGTTTTCCCAGTCTTTGCGCACCCCAAGATCAAAGAGCAACGTGTCGTACTTGTTGCCACTCTTGGGGTGTTCAACGATGAATGAAAAGTCGCAGCCTTTCATCTCCTCGTGCCCAGGCATCAACGGATCGACGAAAGCCCACATGGGAAAATTGCTCATATAGCTGGTAGTATCAATGATTGACACCTTCACGGCGACCTGTGAATCTGGGATATGCAAGTCCGGAGGCGTCTCAGGAAGGATGGCTGAGTCTGTGTCCATGATGGAAGTATCTGGGACGGAATGATTTTGATGTGGGAGTGCAATAAGCATTGTGACAGGGTCGAAGGGAAATGCAATAGATGCAGGCCTGTGTGTGTTTAGGGTAGCCTGATTCTTTTTCCCTTTCTTTTCCCGCCGTTGCTCAGATGAGCTTATTGGATCCAGGTATACGAAAGACGAGGATCTAGGATAGCAAATGAACTGTACACACGCCTGTCAAGCGATTTTATGATATAAAATGTAGTCATTCTGTACTGTATCAATAAGACGTACGTCTTATCAACTATCAGAGCCAGTCAATGGTCCGACCCTCTGGTACGCGCGCGAGTCCCCATCCCACAGGCCAGATGATAAGGATCCCAAAAAAGTTGCAGCAGGATCTTGATAACGCACAATCGAACTGATAACCTGAAACTCTGCGGTGGACGGCGTTATCACCAGCGTCTCAAAAGCAATAGGCGAGGGTGGGGATTGTATTAGCCTTTTCTAAAAAGGCGGGTGGAAGGTAGCAACGGGAGTTGCGTTGAGCCTGGAAATTGGTCAAAGCCCAAAATGGTCTTAGCATGGGGACGATGTGGGCAGGGACGAGGCAGCTCAGTTGTGAAAGGATGTTCCCGTACGAGGCCAACTTCGGGGCAAGGCCGGATGAGCACGGAGATAAGCATTTTTGCCCAATCATCGTCTGGGAGAAAAAAGATAAGTATCTCTGGCTAATCCTCGTATGTGATAAGAACTAGATAAGCGCAGCTTCTAAGGACTACTGTACGGGTGAACGCTTTCTCGAACCAGGCCCAGTGTTAGCAGCCAACCGAAATATCCCCGTCCTGCAAGCAAACAGCCCATGATCTTCCGATGTGTAGAATGATAATGAGCGTCACGTCTTGTCCTCCTTGATAAAAGGGACCAATCTTGAGTGTTGAGCCTCTTGATCAGTAACTACCCTACGACAATCGCGCTTCAACAGTTCATAGCCGTGAACATCCTACCCAACATGGCAGTCCAATCGAACGAATTCAATGTCGCAATCGTTGGTAAGCAGGCATTCCATCACTCATTTGAGGTCCTTTCTAACAGCATGACCAACAGGTGCTGGTGTCGCCGGCCTTGCACTGGCCATGGGTCTTCACAGGAAGGGGGTGCCATTCACCATCTACGAGGAAGCAAAGGAGTACTCCGTTGTTGGGTGAGTTTCCCAGTGCTTGGAGCCCAGAATCACCAGAGTCTTACTGTATTGACACTCTCGCGACAGTGCCGGTATCGGATTCGGCCCAAATGGCATGCAAGCGTTGGATATGATTGAGCCTCGCTTCCGTCCTCTCTACGAGAATCTTTGTGTTGGAAATAAAGGCGTCGACGCGCAATGGGTGTTCTTCGAAGGTTTACTGCTCGAGCCTGGTCTCGGCCAAGATCAGGCCTGGAATGGCAACCTTAAGTCGGCGTGGGGACATCCGGATTACCTTCGCAAGTCTGTAGGTAACCCTGCCTACTTTTGAGAACATTCAACCATGTTTTACTAACCATCGCAAAGGCTCACAGAAAGGAGTTGCTCGATGTCATGACCAGCTTCATTCCCATCGGCAGCGTCAAGTTCAACAAGAAGCTCACCGCTATCAGGGAGGAACCTGAGAGAGTTATCTTAGGGTTTGCGGATGGTGAGGTTGCTAGCCACACTATCCTAGCAGGTTCCGACGGTATCGCAAGTATTGTGCGAGAATATCTCCTGAAGCCAATTCACCCTGAGGAAGCACTTCCCGTGTATTCTGGTGCCCATTGCTACCGAGCTGTCATTCCAATGACCGAGGCGTACGAAATTATTGGCGACGTGACTGATGTTGCGAAGGTTTTTTTCGGTCATAACAAGGGTGCTGTGTCATACCGAATTACTGGAGGCAAAGTAGGTGGTTCATACCAATAGCAGCGCCAAGAGAAGCATATACTGATAAGAATATTCATTCGTAGGAGTGGAACTTCCTTCTCATCAAGGCTACTCCAAACGAAGCCTGGCCATACCCGGGCAGGGTCACCAAGCAGGTCACTCATCAGGAGATGATGGCTGATTTCGATATCCCCGGCATTGATGATCGATTCCGAAAACTTGTGGCCAAGGCAAAAACGGTCAAGTGGGGTTTGTTCCATCATTCTAAGACCTCGACGTATTACAGAGACAGAATTTGTCTCCTTGGTGATAGTGCCCACGCCTCAATGCCGTTCCAGGCCGCTGGAGCTGCCCAGGGTGTAGAAGATGCGCTCGTTCTCACTTACGTTCTCGAGGAGCTTGCGAAGAGCTCTGCTAGAGGTTCTGAGCAACTTATTGAGATCAATGCAGGCCTCAAGGCGTATGATGCGGTCAGGAGACCTCGGGCGCAAAGGCAGCTCGATCGGGCCTTCGAGGTTGGGAAAATGATCTACTTCCAGCATCCGGAGTGCGGAGATGATATAAACAAGATTCTTCACAAATTGCAGAACGGCTGGTTGGACTGGCTATGGTTCCCCGACTTGCAGGCTGATGTTGACACAGCTTTGTCTCAAACACGACTGGAAATGCAAAGAAAAAAAAAAGCAAAATTGCTGAAAGAGAATCAGCAAGGCTCAGTATGATAATCAAAAAATGGCGTTCCGTCCAAACTATAAGGGGAAATACTGGAACCTAGCTATTACAATGGATAGACAAGTGTGTTTTTTAATGACTCACCTTATGTAGATATTTGTTCATGTATAAATTTTCATATAAGATCATATCTCCTTGAGGGGGTGAATCTACCCAATCTAACTGGTAATGGCAGAGATCAATTTGTTTAGTGCATTATAAAGGACATTATAAAACATCTGCCAGTAAAGGAATAAAATCAAGAGATACTGATAATGAGTGAGGGAAAAAGTAGGATAGTTAGTATACTATCCTACTTAACTCTAATTCCTGGCTTTTTGTTTCACCCACTCAAAAAGCACTTATCGCAGCACAGATATGACTGTGCCTCGGCTATACTACTGCCCCAACAAAGCCGAACCTTCGCGGAGAAAGATGCTTCACTATCAGTGAGCTCGGGTTGCCTTTCTCTCGCGGCCCACCCGCAGAGACCGGGATTGCTGACGCTTCCTATAATTTGGTATATCTACGGGTCCATCTGTGCTTAGCTGATTCTCATTTTACGCTAGATAAAGAAGAGCACGTATCGTCCATTCGTCGCTTGGCAGCGTGCATGCGCTGATTGACGCTGATTGATGCTGATTGACGTCAATTGAAGCTGAATATGCATGCAATTCTTTGACGGGGAAAGACAGGGAACGAAGGGGCAACGAGTACCAGCCATGCTTATCTTCCTTGGCAATTATTGTGGCTTGCCATGCCAAAGAAGCCTTATCGCTAGCTTCAGATCGCTCTACTGACTGCACTGCCATTAGTCTCCTCTAATCCGGAGTCCGCGCGGAGCGTTATCATACCACGACTACCTAGTTAGACGACTCTTGAGCAATTGCATCCGATCTGGCCAGCATGTATATATCCCTGCACTTCGTGATCGCTCTGTCTCCTTTTTGTTCTTGCCTCAAGATGCTGTCTAGTTCCATTTACTTACCTTTTCACCCTTCCACTCTTCTACGTATATCACTTCAACCATGACGATCGAGCCCTCCCCTTGTGATGAGAAGTGCCACTCTTCTGATAAGATGGACATGGCCCGTGCTGAATCCATCAAGGCCGGTTCTGTGAGCCGTGTAGTCGACCTGGAGTCCCGCGAGGTTTTTCAGACGGGTGATGACGTTCTGGAATTCAGAACGGTCAGTTGGCAGCGCGCTACCATCATGTTCTGCAAGATCAACTTTGCCATGAGCATTCTTGCCATCCCTAATGCGATTTCGTCAGTTGGTGCCGTTGGCGGTTCTATTATTCTTGTTGGTTTTACATCTCTGAACGTCTGTAAGTATCAGTGTCATACAATTCCATAGTCCTTTCCATCATTTTGTACTAATAAGCCTCAGACACTGCCCTCATCCTTGGCAGTTTCTGCAACAGGCACCCAGAGTGTCACAGTAAGCAATCCCCAATGTTCTGAAAGTCCCGAAAAGACTTTAGCTAATGCCACCCTTTCAGTGTTGGCTGACATGATGGGCCACATTTGGGGCAAAATTGGTCGTGAATTCGTCGGTATTCAAACCATCGTCCTTCAGGTTATTATTACTGCTGGCGGTGTCGTCACCACAGCCGTAGGCCTCAACGCCCTTTCCAACCACTCACAATGCACGGCCGTATTTGGCCTGGTGAGCGCGATTTTAATTACTGCTTGTTCCTCTGTCCGTACTTTCTCAAAGCTCGGCTGGATCACTTGGTTTGGCATGATTACCTTCACTATCGGGGTTTTTGTCTTCACTGTCGCTGTTACCCAGCAAGACCGGCCTGCTGGAGCCCCTCAAACTGGCGACTTTGACCTCGGCTGGAAAGCCATTGCATATCCCGGTTTTGTTGTGGGCATGGTCAGCTCTGTGAATCTCTTCATTTGCACAAGCGGCTCATCGATGTTCCTTCCCATCATCTCCGAGATGCGTCGGCCCCAGGATTACCGTAAGGCCTGCCTTTTGGCTGGTCTCATCGTAGGCGTTTTATATCTTGTACTAAGTCTTGTCATCTATCGCTACTGTGGAAGCTGGCTCTCTGTTCCCGCTTTCGGCAGCGCGGGGCCGCTCTTTAAGAAGATCTCATACGGTATCTCGCTGCCTGGCCTGATCATCGGCCTCGGCATCTATCAGCATGTCGCCGCAAAGTACGTCTTCGTTCGACTTCTTAGAGACTCAGACCATCTTCAAAAGAACACTTTTGTCCACTGGGGCCTATGGCTCGGCATCAATATCGCCCTTGGCACTGCTGCCTTTATTGTGGCTGAGGCTGTGCCTATTCTGAATTACTTACTCGCCTTGGCTGGTGCTCTCTGCGCCGCCCCTTTCAGCCTGATCTTCCCTTGTCTTCTCTGGATGTATGACTTTAAGGGTTATAGATCTGGCACCCTCGTGCAAAAGTTGCAGTACGCTGTACACGCCCTTATAGCCCTAATCGGCCTCTTCATGGTTGTTGGAACAGCGTAAGTCTTCTATGTCTTTTACTTCTGAAGGATAACACAGGGAACTAACAGTGATTTTCTAAGCTATGCCGTCGCTGTTGCCATCAAAACCGCCTTTGAGACTGGCATGATTACTCGTGTATTCGATTGCGCTGATAACTCTGGTTCCAGCTGAAGGGAAAAAGCACGTAGTCAGGGAAAGTGATTCGAGATCGAGAGATGAAATTTAGACACAGCGGAGGAAGGAGCTGTATCGTGTCTTATAGTTTAGCACTGCTTGTACTTCGGACTCTACACAGGACAGCAGCGGCAATAAAGTACTTAGATTATATCATCTCCAATACCAGCGCAAATGAGAATTGTATTTTCTCCGTTACCGAGATTCGAGCTCAGCATTTGAGGACGGTGAGACCTTTCCAGCAGCGATTCAGACTTCACGATTTCAGTGACTTTCTAAGAGACGATAAGATAGCGGGATAACATAACCCCTTTACTCCAATATGATGGAATTTCAAAAGTCCTTCTATTCTATCTCTATCTTGATTTTCCCGATTCCCCGATCAACACAGCTTTGAAGAGCGTGTCCCTTCTGGTTCGAGAGAAGGCACGTGCTCTTATAGTCAACCTCTCCTTGATATAGTGTGACCTTGCATGCGCCACACGCACCGTGCAGGCACGAGGCGGTGACATCAAAACCAGCATCGGTTAGGACGTCGAGCAGTGACTTATTCGCTGGAACAGTCAGGTGATCGTGTCTGTTCTCATCTTGGTCATAAACCTCGACATCAAAAGGATCGCCAAAGTCACCTCCTTCTCCACTGCCAAAATCTTCGTAATGAACCATGTGCTCAGGGTAGCCGTACTCGCCAGTAATGCGGGAACATTCCTTCATCATGCGTCCTGGCCCACATGAGAAAATCCGGGCTTTCGGTTTGCCGTCAGCATCCAGCCTTGGAATGATAGCTTTGATATCAAGCTTCTTTCCCTCCTCGGATGCATACAGTGTTGTTTTGTCTTTGGCTAGACGGTTCAGGAGGGCTGCATCCTTTTGACTGCGTACAGCGTAATGTAGATGCCAAGGAAAGCCTTTCTTCTCACAGTCCTCAATCAATCGGATAAAAGCAGTGATTCCAATGCCTCCAACGATCAGAATATGCGGAGGTCCTTGGTCACACCTTTGATAGTTCTCCTTGGCAAGGGGATTGTCTCCTGGTGCCATAGTAATCTCATCCCCAACCTTGATTTCCTCGTGAATGTACGCCGAGCCTCCTCTAGAATTGCGGTCAAGAGATACGCAAAGGGTGAACTTGTATAGGTTGCCTTCAACAATGGAGTAAGATCGGCTGAACTTGCCATCGGGTCCAAAGGTGATCATAGCAAATGCGAAAGAGTCGAACTCGGGCTCTGTCAACACGAGTGGTTCCTTCAGTTCGAAAGTGAGTTTCCGGACGCGTGGCGTAATGAGCTCGGCGTCAACTAGGATATACGGTTTCGGAGCGCGCCTCAATCTATTGTTGGCAATTCCCAGCCACAGATCAGGCATGGGAAGCTGGATGCATCTCGAAAGGAGGTGGAGGGAGACATGCTTGCTTCTGATCACTCGTTGCACGTTGAGGATGGACCACTCCGGATACGGTCGCTCCAACAGAACCATTTTGTCGCTCTTGCAAATATATCCGCTCCTCAGTACTCGCATGTTCCAGCCTGAACGTCCGGTATTTATGGTTCGCTTCAACATTCTCGGGTACTCGAAGCGTGCATTGAGCTTGAAACATGGATGTCTCGGTTCGCTGACCTCCAGCAAGACTTCACTGCCAAGTTGATATATGTCCCCAATGCAAACGTTGTGTTCGCTCAAAGCTGTCGTAGTTATGTTCTCCCCAAACGCACCAGTCTCATACAGGTGAGGATTCGGAACTCGTTCTGATCGCCAGTCAGGGTAGTGGCTTGAGTCATACTGATGCACTGCTCGCTCTGTGCCGCCGTGTGACTGAGCAGCGTGTTCATCGCCCTGCAATCCAGTTGATCCGCAAAAGATTGGTCCATCACATTCCTTCTTGTAAATCGCGGATGTGATTTCTCCTCCTAGGGCGGCTTTCTTGACTTTGCCAGTTCTTGTTTGAAGCAAAGTCGCTTCCTCAGGCCACGGCGCATGCTCTAGCTTTGTCACTGTCTCCTTCGAGATGTTTGTCGAGGAGAGACCGGTCATGGTACAGAGAACGAAGCAAAGCGTCCGGGTAGGAAGTCGAATCTGAGAGGTTGATAGAGCAGGATTTCATCCACTCCGGTGCATCGTAGTCCGTGTCGACGTTAATGGTGGATTGTCTTCATCTTCTTCGCGCATGAGGTTTTGCAACGCTTGGTGTATGGTGGCGTGTTCCCGAAGCTCCGCGAAGTTGCCCCGCTATTAGTTGTGTGTTGCCAGCAGCCGTAGACTGGTTGTGGCAGCTCGCATTCAACCCAGCATTCTAGATAACGAAGGCTGATGGGCACGTCCCTTGTAAATGATAAGCGATGGATAATTTTTCGATACTGGGGCTCGCGATACTCACACTACACAGAACAGACCTGGAGCTCTGGCTCAGCAGCTATCCGAAGGCAGCCGAGTTCCCCAAGGCCGTCTTCACCTCAATCAAGGAGATAAACATGCAGTTATTGTGAATGGCTCCAGCTAATAATACACAACTTGTACTACTCGTAGTATATACGCTGGATGTGTAGAGATAGCAAGTTCTGGACAGCTCACTCAGTCGATCGGCAAGCATTGATGCTATTATTCTATTGGCCCCAAGCAGTGGGACCCAGCCGCGTGCCCGTGTTTTCGTAGACTCCGTAGATAAGAAAATTCGCAACTGCTGTCGAGACTGCGTGACCTATCCATCTCTCTTCTCTTGAGTCCATTAGATACCAGTCATTCGATCAGCTCTGTCGTAAATTGGAAAGCCGAGATAAGACTCGTCCTCGTGTCCCCGCTCGATTGCCAGAAAAATCCAGGTGCTTGCCCTCCCGGCTTCTGCTTAAGAATCAGCTACCCGAGCATTGCCGCCTGTCGCCATTCTCCAGTTCTTATTTCCCATTCTCCCCCCGTCACCCGGACCACACGAGTGACAGTAATGGCGCCGTCAACCGAGAAGGAAACGGACCAGGCACCGGTCCCTGCTGCCAAAAGACGGCGAATTGCTCTCGCATGTACTGCTTGTCGTCTGCGCAAATCCAGGTATGCGACAGCTCTCATTGGTCAATTTCCCCGTTTAGGGTTGTTTGTCTCTGTACCTGGTGCGCTGACTCTGGCCGCTGGGCTGTGATGCCGCAGATGCGATGGTACACGCCCTTCGTGTGCATCATGCATTGCCCTTGGGTTTGACTGTCAATATGAGCCCGGCGAGTCTGCGGCCAACGTAATTGTTCGTAAGGATTACATGTCAGATTTGGATTCACGTGTCTCCAATGTCGAGCAGGTGGTCCAACGACTCAATTATGTTCTTGAAGGCCATCTCTCGGCCTGCGCTGGCAATGCTGGGTATCGGTCGTCCAGTCTACTCCCACCTAGACCGCTATCAGCGGCTTCAGATCAAACCAATGATAGCCTTCCGCGTGCAACCGGCCTTGAGGAGCCTCAAGACGAAGATGCTACTACCAATGGAATGGCTATGACCTTCATTGAGGAGCACACTTCGGCATTCTTTGGTGGCTCTTCTAACATCTATTTCACACGTCTTCTCCTCAGTGCGGTGAATCACATCCGCAACCGTGCGCGGCGAGAAGAGGTGTCTATGGACCGACAGCAGGACCTCAACGAATACAACATGGCGAAAGCCTCCCGGTATTATGCGAACCCGCTTGCAGTATCACCAGGTACGGACCGCAAAGAAATGACCGCCCTTCCCTCAGCTGAAGAGATGGACAGAATGCTTGATGTGTATTTCGACACCGGTGGCACAGTTTTTCCTTTCATTAATAGAGAATCGATGAGGAAGACGTACATGGGTTGCAAGGCAAATGGTTGGACGAGAGTCCAAAGGACCTTTCTGGGCACTCTCAACGTCATCTTTGCCACAGTTATTAGCCTTGACCGGGACACCATCCCATCGGCTCSAGAACGCCAAGAGAGGGCGAACATCTTCTTCAAAAGAGCCACAGGTCTCTGTGGTGAGCTGTCAAAGCAGGTAATTAGCCTTGAGATTGTCCAGTATCTCGTTCTGGTCGTCCTTCATTGTCAGGGTGCTCAACGCTCGGTGCAAGCATGGAATATTCACGGGCTGGCCGTCCGATCAGCCATGGCTTTAGGACTTCATAGCGCCCAAACCCGGGCAGGCTTTGACGCATTGCAGGCCGAGTATGGTCGACGAACATGGGTTGTAATATATTGTATGGACAAGGTCTTAAGTGTTGCATTTGGGCGTCCAGCCATCGTTCCTGATGAGTACATGGTGGACAGCTGGCCACCACCCCAGCGTGCCTTATCATCTCCAGATGGCTTAAGCACCAACCTTGATATTCATGGCGATTTCCTCGCTGTTTCCTTCCGACTATATCAAATCATGAGCGGTTCTCTCAAGCAGCAATACGGCGGCAATATCGATAATGTTGAGCCCGAGCCTGATGATATGGCGCCTCTGCAGGCTTCAGGTCAATTCAGAAAGCAACTCCGCTCATGGTCAGCGACCCTGCCACCGAACCTTCGACTATGCGAGACCAAATCAAAGATGCTTCTAGAAAATAGTCAATTGAATCGCCTTAGGGTCATTCTTACACTAAGGTACCACAACATCAATATCCTCATCCACAGACCCCTTCTTTGCAATACCATTCGACACCTCTTTGGCGGGGACCAAATGTCTGTCGGCAACCCATCCTATCTCATTCAACTTGCGATGGGAGAGGCTCACGAGTGCGTTCGATCGGCGCAGAGCACTATTGAACTCGTGCATACCATACTCATGGCCGATCGATCGGGGAATAACAACCTAGGCGTTGGCTACTACACGCTTTACTATGGTCAGCTCTACTTTATCTGTGTAATGGCTTTACCAAATCATTGACTAATCAACCTGACGAACAGTGTTCACAGCCTCATTGGTCGTTCTTGGCCGCATTCTCTGGACGCAGCATGGACAAGGTGCAGCGGACGAAACTGCTTTGACAATCTGCAAGTTGCTTATAGGGCAAGTAGAGACCATTTTCCAGAGGCTGGATCATGACAACGGTCTCGTCTTAAGCTGTTCAAAATACATCACCAACATGTTGGAAGTGTGCACAGCCGAAGGTACGTGAAACTCATTTTACTTCGACGATGGAACATAATGGCCTGACACCATATCCAGATGCTACTGTCGCGGCCCAGAATGAGGGGTCAGATGGCCTGTCGTCAATGGCTGGCCCAAATTTTGACCATCAGCCGGCGTCCGCTTCTGCTCCAAATCCATTGGAAACGATGATGCATCTTGGAATAGGAGATATGGAGATGTTCCACCTTTATTCATCGGAGATCTACGACCCGGGGCTCGTTGAGGGCTTGGATAGGTAATCTGCTGCGTCAACCACGGCAATGAATATCGAATGGTAAAACTCATAAAAGAATCTGAATCAATGTACTTACGATAATTGGGTGAAGGAGTTTGGGCCTGTATCTATGACTTTCTAGCTATACCTCTTGCAACTTATGGATCCGTCTATTTCTCACGTATTGTGAGCGCTTAGCTTCAATTAATGTGAGCCCATTTAATCTCACCTATATTTTATTATTGGTTTAATTAGAACTCAATTCGCCCAAATATTGTTTCGCCGTCATAAAAATTAGGCCTTCAATGCGTCTGCGATGACCTCAGTAGCCATCAGCGTCTGTTCATCCTGAAACCGCCATCCAACCAGCTGGAAGCCCGTTGGTGCGCCATCAACGACGCTCGCATCATCTAGAGACATGATTAATAGCGGAACACAGGAGATCTGAGTAGGGGTGACTCACATCCGTCTTTGGAGTCGACAGTCTTGTCGGCCTTGCCGAAAGGAACAACACTACAGGGGAACTATGGTAGTTGGTCAGTGACTGATCACGTATTGATCTGAAGTAAATGAGACAAAATTGGGTAACATACATCGAGTAAGTTCCATAGGATCGTGTACATCAGTGGACCGAACTCTCCGTGTGGAACGGCTGAGCCACGGCTGGCGGGGCAAAGCAAGACGTCGATACCAGCATCGTGCCAGATCTTCGCCCACTCCTCTCGATAGTCATGTATATCGGCACTGATGCGAATATTCTCGTTAAGGTCTGGAATGAATCCAGGGTCCAAGAATTTGCCAGGGTCCATGGCATCTAGGTCCGCTATAGGGCTTTCGCCACCGTTTTTGAGGAATTTGAAGGGTAGGTTTACTTGGTCCAATGCGAACCAGCGCATGGCAATCTTCATTGCCTTCATGGTTGGTGGAGCCTTGATGACTTCAATTGTATGCCCTGCAGCTCTGAGCTTGTCCACTGCTGAAGTTATGGTCCTCGCAATAGGTGGGAAAACGGGGAACTCGGGATCTTGCGACCATACTCCAATAGTCAACTTCTCCTTCCTGGGAGCATCGTGCCACGGTATGGCAAACGCTGTGGAATCGTAACGCCAAGGCTCAGCTTGAATCACAGTCTTCATGAACAATGTGAGGTCCTGTGCTGTGTGAGCTATTGGGCCAAGGGTTGGTTGAACACCCTGCCATCCCTTAGAGGCAAGATCCGCCTGTTTCGAGAATGGTAGTCTGTTAACTGTAGGCCGGAATCCGTAGACTCCAGTGAACAATGCAGGTACTCGCACTGAGCCAGCGATATCCGACCCAACACCCATGACGGATCCGCGGAGACCTATCTGGGCTGCTTCACCTGAGCTGCTGCCACCGGGCGTAAGGCAAAGCTTGTAGGGGTTTAGGGTTCTCCCAAACACATTGTTGAAACTCTCACAGACCTACAGAATGGGCAGTCAGATCTCATGATGAAGAACTTCTATAGCACGAATCGACTACTTACAAAGAGTGTCTGAGGGACATTGGTCTTGCAGTAAAACACGGCTCCTGCAGCTTCGAGCATTTCGGCGATCACGGCATGCTCATCTGCAACAGGATACTTGAGATGATCGACGAAACCCATCGTAGAGTACTCGCCTTTCACATGAATCATATCCTAGCCAAAGCTTAGCTAAGGAGTCATTGGTGGCGGGTCCGCTATCGGCAACGCAGTTCTTCTAATCAACTACTCAGAGGTAACGTATACATACCTTGAGAGTGATGGGCAGGCCGTGAAAGGGTCCGACTGTTTTACCTTCCTTGACGAAGTATTCGTCAAGCCATTGCGCGCGTTTGAGCKCCTTGTCATAGAAGATCTCCGTCAGGGAGTTCGTCTAATGGACAATTGGAGTCAGCTCGGACCGGCCATCACGAGAGGGAACGTCTGTTTCTGGATAAGAAATGCGCAGTGCAGAAGCGGCATACCAATTGATGTACGAGTGCTGCCCGCTTACAGAATGCCGCGGCGACGTCGTATGATGAAAGCTTACCCGAGGCGATCTTTGCTGTTAGACTAGTTGCAGTGTTGTTTTCTGTGATGTTGATTTCGCGATCAGTCAGGAGCCCAGCTTCATTTAGCAAGTCGAAGGCGCTGTGCGAGCTCTCCGGGGAGACCTTTTCAGTAATCGTCGTCGGCAGCCGCCATTCTGCGGGAATGAGGGCATCTCTTACTGCCCTCTTCCTCTGAATCAGTTCTTGCCAATTTACTTCAGCCATTATAGCACAGTGCTAGCGGGAGATACTGTTGGGCAGATGCTGGGCTTTCACCGGTAGGAGTGCTTTGTCGTTCGCTTGGATTTGTCTGGTATAATATCAGGCTCTGGATCCGAAGCACCAAGAAGAGAAGACACTGAGGATTAAAGCTTTTGCTCAGCCATCCCACGCTTTGCATCACCCGATTATCGCTGACGACCAGCTGCTATCTACACCGAGGAGTCTTCGGGGGAAATTCGGAATGTGGACAGTGTCCCCTATCGAAAGCATCGACAGAACCCCACATTTCGTTAGGCCTTAGCGATAAGGGAATCGTGTAGAGAAAATAGATGCACCGGAGTTGGCCCTATCTGTGATATCTCTTCTCTAGAGTGCCTGCAATATGCCGCACAGGTCCGCAGGCATCCAGCGCTACACCGCGTCTCACATTGCTCTCGGTATGGGCCACCAGATTCACTGCCCGACTCACATCCGAGATTGGTATTGAATACCTCCATTGACGGCTTCTGGTCACGAGGAATGTTGGCGCGAGACTGACAGTGGCTATATTATGTGACCTGACATCTATTATCATGGGCTTGAGGTTATCTTTAAGCATCTATAGTCTGAAACTTCTATTTTTACTCCAATACTCCTTCTGATTATACTAATGTAGGTTATAAACATCCAGAAAAGAAACTATTGAATTCTCGACCTTGTTCTGCTGCTGGTTGTCAGAATTCAATCATGCATTTCATTATCCTCTAACCTTCCGGCCTTGCGCGCATCCACACGCTCATGAACCGTGAATTTAGCCAGTAAGATCAGCCCGCTTCCTCCAAGACTCATCGTTGGCCAGTCCCACATAGTCTTCGTGGAACAAGCATGTAGCAACGAACATGTCCCCGTTGCGGTTCTTTGGCATGATGTACGTCAAATCAGGGACAGGCGACATGCGTGCACGCCTAACGAAGTCTGGGCTACCAAGACCCTTGCCAAAATTGCATTTGTTTAGCCAGTGAAGCTGGGCCCACGAGGAGCACAAGAAATCTCTCCCGGGTTTGATGCGGGCTCCGTAGAAGATTGTGGTCTTATCTTCGGTATTGTTAATTAGTGTGGCGAGACTACGAACGAAGTGATCGTCGACCTTCTTGAGTGACTCTCGACTTTCAACTGCAACGTCGGCTAATGAGGCATCAGCGAGCTCTTGTGCAGTCTTCCATGTCGTGTCGGCGAGGGCGACAAGGTGACCAAGGTAGCCGTCCTCGACAGGAGGATTCAGAATCGACCGGGAGTCGACCGCCCGTTGCAGCTGAACGATCTCGTCTTTTGCAACTCGTCCTTCGCGGACGCGAACTGCAGTGAGGCGTAGGACGAGGAAAGCGGTGAGAGCGTCGTTGGTGGAAACCCAGGTGCGTCCACTTGAAGCTTCCTCTTTCAGGTCTTCAAGCACCTTCGCCGAAAAGCGCCAATAGTGCCAGTCGATTGGTCTTGGAGACTTCATTGGTCCAGGAGCGGCGTTAAGTGTTGAGGCACGACGCATGCAGTCGTGATCGGCAGACAGCTCCCCAGGCTTCAGAAGAGGCACGATCGTATCGGCGTCCCGATTACCCGCTGCTACCAACTTCGCATTATACTCCTCGCCCCTGCCTGCGGCAGCAAACATCTTCAAGACAGTCCCTTGACCATTCATGTCGAGGGCATTGTGCATGGAGGCGACGCAGAGTAAAATGCCACCATCGACGAAGTTGGCCTGTGCGATGAAGACTGGCAATTCGGTGCCTGCCTCGTACCGGTAGCCCATGCCTTTGACTGGACAGAGAATACCGCCATCCAGCATAGCAAAGGGAGCGTCCGCCTTGACAATGTCCCCATACGCAGGACAAAGCTCTGTGCAGTCTTTGCGGAGTACGGGTGATTTTCCCTGGTGCGGCAGATAAGGCACGATCTCATATTTGCCAGAGTTGGTGGCAGTTTGGCCCGTCTTGATCACTTGGCCAGCAAGCGATGGGTACGCTTCGAGCAACTTGAGCGCGCTCTTATCCAGAGTAGCCAGGACATCGTCGCGAGTGGTCCCGGGCTGGTCTGGGAAACCGAGGATAATAACGGTGTATGTGTCCCAGCAAAGTTGGCCGAAGATACCAGGTTGTCGCAGCTTTTGCTCCATTTGATCGGCTAACTAGAGGATGCAAGAGAGCAAAGAGAGAACGCTATCTATAGAGGAGCAGACTCTGACAGTGTGCCTTTTGACGATAAGAGAGGTCAGTTGGGCGGGATTGAGGAGCTGGCCGAGAAATCACCTATACCAGTGCGGAAATACTCTTCTCCAATACATTAAGAGGATACCTTGGCTGCGCTGTTGGAGAAATCGCTGCCTGGCGGTTCGGTCACGGGACCTATGGCGTGGGGTTTGTGGGATGTTACCGTGTCTCCCCGTCGAAGCCGCGACTCATGGGGATCTAAGATAAGGGGGTCGGACTTGCGATCGAGAACAACTCAGTGATAGATAAGTCCATTTCCACCCTGGAAAAGTTATGTAGTGCTTAGTAACTTTAAGTGCAGCATTTTATTGATCAACAATCTTGGGGGGGAGCAACCTCTTTGGCGCAACTAAGGAAGTACTTAATTGATAGACTTGATCCACTAACTATAATGACAATTCTTACGACTTGAATCTATGCATAGAACAAGCTCATAACGCTCAAATAAGAAACGTATGACTCGCGACTATGCAAGATTAAAATCTAATCTTCAAAATGGCATATGTATCTTTGATATATTTCCTCGTTCAGTCATTCACTTGCTTGTAATCCTATTATACGCTTGTAGTAGGATCAATATTGATGAGTATGGGCATTCTGCTAGTAGCCTCTTTGATATCGTTTTTAATATCATGGTACCAGAGCCCATGCATGGTCAGCTGATGATATGGGGGGACGTTTTGGGTTTTTCTTGTACTATCACTCGAGGTAAAATCAAGTAGATGTGTCATATTTGTCTCGACTTTTATCAATCCAACTTTGTAAATTGTGTGAGTTTACCTTCTCACTTGCGTCAAGCGTAGACAAGATATGAGAAAACTCGTGCAGGTACTCTCTGACTTGTTGTGCATGTTGCCCATGAGCATCGTATGGACATGCTAGAAGCGAAGTGGCAACATCACGAACTTTGTAGACCTAAATATCCATGAAAAAATTAGCCTTAGCGTCAAAATCACTTGTTACTTTTCCAATCTTTTTTTAACCGCTTTCGTCGTGACGTGCGAATATTCTGAGAGTCGGTGGATTCATGTACTTACCAAAGAAAGTCCATTCGGTTCTAGAACCGAGTGAGAGAAAGATCTTAGAGTGTGCAAGAGTTGACAACTGATGGCTTCTCGTTCATCCCAAGAAGTGGTGTCTGGTGTTAATTGAGCAGTGAATTTCAACAGATCTGCGGCACCTTGGGATGATGAGACTGATTGTGTGTGTGCAGCTATAAGTGCATCAATCTTTTCGCGGAGCATTGTCTGAAGCCACAAATGCGTCACATGAACATTGGCTCGGATAACCTCGCGTTGGGTGTTTGCGACTTCGTCAAGATCCGTAGTGATGGCACTGGTAGTGGTACCCGCAGCGTTGGTCTTCCAAGGCTGGAACGCAGGATTTACCTCATCAAGCATATGCTTGAGCTGAGCCAGGCGATCCTTGAGAGCAGCAAGCAGTCGCACAGGGTCTTTTGTTTCGCAGCAAATACAACTCTGTTTGGCATTGGCACAAGGCGGATCAAGTACGGCGGCGAAGATGCGTGAATGGAGGTTGAAGCCTGCGGTCAAGGATGTGGAAGCTACTTCATCGGGACACGGAAGTATACCATTGACCGAGATGAACTCGTCATCCACAGGGGTAGGCATAAGATCTTCGAGATTAATATGCCGCAGGATAGTGGTGTCGAGATACGCAAGCCGTTCATGTCGCAAACTGTACGTTTGGTGAATATAGCCGTAAAACATCAACCAGAAAGCTTTTTTTCGGAGCTGACATTCAATGGCATCGAGCCCCTTATAGCTTGAAATATGATGTACCTCGAGTAGACGCGACAATTGCATAGCTTCCACCTCAAACATCCGCCAAAGATTGGTGTTACCAGTTTGCTGAAAGGCGAGGCCAAGAAGAAATGAACTGGCCCATTTCTGATGGCTAACGCTATCGAAATAGCTTGTATTTCGAAATTGTTGGTTCAGCTTGTAGCAGTGGTTCACCATGTCTGTGCGCGTGACAAATGGCAGAAGACTCGATGCATCCCGATACTTTTGCAACCTTGAAGGTAAAATAGCGACTGTAAAGGCACACAATGAAATGATCAATGTGACAAAGTCCTCATCCTGGGGATCGCGATACAGACTAAAGTCCACCTCAAAGGATGGTCTGTGGATCACTGGAACCAACGGGTAGACATGTCACGTAATCGTTTAGAATAAACCTCAGAAGCTCTCGTGAGAATAGATCATCGATTGTATACAGAGGTGCGAATGTGGCATGTGATTCTGATGTTCCTTCTGAAGGCTCTGCAAGCAACGCAGAGCTGTTGCAGACGTAAGGCAAAGGTTCTGAGAAGGATTGTTGAGAGAGCGGACTTTGATTACTGATCACACTGGCGTCGATGGCTAGATCTCCTTCCGAAGGAGTGGAATGGGCTATGTTTTGTCCGTAGTCCATTTTCCTTTTTGGCCCGCGAGTTCTCAAGGGCAATGCATATGTACACTGAGAGTCCCACCTCTTGCAGTTATTACATCTGATGCCTGAGTCTGATGTCTGCGTCGCGTTTGTCCATTGAATGCTAGCATTCCCGCCAAATATACATTTCCTTTTTCGAAGACGGCATGTGTCACATGCATGTCGCGCAACGGTCCTTGTTGGTGCACTCGCAGGAGACACCACAGCGTCGGCTGTCGGGCTTGATACCATCGTGGGCGCAAAGAAGCACCATCTTGCTCTTAGAGAGCAAGACTCAGTTCAAAGCCAGTGACGACAGTCCCCGATTATTCTTCTTGGATGATGCTTGTGGTGGTAAGTACACAGACATATTAACCCCGTTATCCAGGTCCGTCCGAGATCTCCCCGCTTCCCGAGATCCTCGCCCCAGTCTTCGGCTAAACACCCGAGGAGCCAGACTGCCAGGTTTCTCTTGTCACATACAAACCTTCAAGAATTCTTTTATTAAAGGATCAAGATTTCCAAGCGATATCCACTGGGATATTAAAAGGATATCTGAAGGTGGAATAAAATCTCATAGATTACCGCGTGTTTCTGGTAGTTGCCTTGAACAACAATATCAAGCTATTCAGTTCGCAAGATACCAATATCCATCCGGTTGATGGATTGAGAACCTCATTCCACAATGTACCCTTGTAGCTTTTTTTTTGACTGAATGAGTGATATAAAAAACATACCTAAATATGAAGCACTTATTGCATTATAATAATATATGGAGCCCCCTTCTGCTGGCAACAACCAATCAATTCAAGACTACTGGGTAAAGTATGGTGTTTCCAACGAAGCGAAACTCAAAAAGCAGACCCATCTGGCGATCAACCCTGATGATAAGGCCAGTGATGATGTATGAAAGCGGGTCCAGTTCCGTGGCTTTTGGCCTACATTTTGGATCAGCTGGAATTGAGCCACTGGAAACTATATGGACAGAGTAACTTGTGGGCAGAAATAGGACTTCGATTTCATACCTACGTGTAATGAATTACTAAGGTGACACGCTTTAGGGACTAAAGATAAAGAGATTTCAAAATGTTGACTGGTTTTAAATGGTCTCTTCTTGTCCCCTGGTTTACACTGCTAATGGCTTTGAGAAAATGCTGGAAGAACTTATCTATATCCGGTATAATCGTATCTCATCATCCTGCTCACTGGTCAATGTGAGGTGCAAGACCTTTCCAATATTTTGTCTTGTCCACAGTGAACTTTACCATCAGCGGAGTCACTGCGCTGCTTGTACCAACTAATAGCTTATACTCACCAGCCTCACTGCACCATTTCTCACGGCTTTCGTTCCAGTAGCTCGTTGCGGACACGGCATCCAAATTTACAGTAATATGCTTGGTCTCTTGTGATTCAAGATATACCTTGCGAAAGGCTTTAAGCTCCTTCACCGGGCGTTCAACTAGGCACGTCAACGGCGGCGCGACGTAGAATTGAACAACTTCAGCTCCAGCGCGGGATCCCCTATTTGTTACTTGCAGCGTAATCTCGATAATATCACCACCGTGGACATGCAGATTACCTAGCTCAAAGGTGGAGTAGGATAGCCCATGGCCAAAAGAGAATAAAGGCTCGGTATCGACCTTCTCATAGTAACGGTATCCAACATATACCTCTTCGCCGTAGAGAACACGCCCGAACTCGCTTCGGAAGTTGAAGTAAGTTGGATTATCTTGAAGTCGATGTGGAATCGTTAGCGGCAGTTTGCCAGACTAGGAGTCAAAGTGTCAGCCTTATCTTCTCGAGATACGTTGCTAAGGTTTCGATCGTCTTACTGGGTTCACTTCACCGAACAACACGTCCGCAAGAGCATTTCCCGTCTCATTACCGCCATACCAGGCATGGCAAACTGCCTTAGCCTCATCTATCCACGGCATGCCGACCGGTGTCCCCGATTGGACTACCACCGCAGTATTGGGGTTTTCTGCGAGCACCTTGGACACGAGAGCATTGGTGTAGACACTCATTTCCATAGTCTTGCGGTCTGTTCCTTCAGATTCTAGCTCTCCATTTAGTCCCACAACGAGCACGACTTGATCAGCATTTCTCGCTACCTCTGCGGCTGCGTCAATGGCTTCAACGGGATCAATTCTCTTGCAGGCACCGAATCTTAGACCGCCGTGTCCACCGCCCACGGGACCACGCGATGGTAGTTTGCTTGTTGCGGCACAGGCCCATTCAACTCGAATTATGTAGTCTTCGCCTGCAACGAGTTCTCTGCTGCCAATTTCCTCCACTGTGCCAGATCCGAAAAGAGTCTCTCCTGGTCTCTGATTCTCGACATTTCTGATCAATAGTGTATCGTTGACGTAAAGCTCGCCCGTGCCCTCCACGCCTAGACCAAAGTCATAAAGGCCACTTTCGTCAGGGGTGAAGATGCCTTCGGTTTGGCAATACCATACAGGCGCCAACTTTTCGTTTTCATAGTCCAGGTAGAAGATGTTTGAGTCTGTCAGGATGCGCTCGTCGATTGGATTTCGATCTTGGGTAGTTGTGGGTTCATTGTATGCTCTCCACTCAAAACCTTGTTGACCACACTTCGTCCTGAGAGATTCACCTAACAGCGGCAGCATCTGATGGTCCATGGCGCCCTGTGAGAAGATAACGGACTCGCACTGTTTTATAATGCCGTCATACGGTGAAATGCTATAGTATGGGAGAAGGGATGCGCTGCCACCGCCGCAGAAACGGGAAACTTTGGCGTTTGGTCCGATGACTGCTGTCGTCTTGCACTTTGCAAATGGCAAGATGTTATCTTCGTTTTTGAGAAGGACGATGGCCTGTGATGCTGCCCGTCGTAAAAGTGCTTGGTCTTCAAGGCGGTTGAGATGCTGCTCTGGAGCATTCTCAGGGACTCCAGAAGCTTTTGTATAGTTGATAAGGTCGAAAATATGCTTTACACGGTCATTAATCTGCTCCTCAGTGACCTTGTTTGACATGACAGCATGTTGTAAGGCTCCCCCTCTCCATCTGGTTGGGCCAGGCATCTCTAAATCGACTCCAGCTTGAATCGACTCCGTCGTGCTGTAGGTTCCGAACCTGAGAAGAAAGCAACCGGTGTTAGATAGAGCTCTATAACGGTTTACCAGCTAACGTGTATCGTCTTACCAATCACTCATGACGAGACCGTTAAACTTCCATTCATGTCTGAGGATGTTTTGTAGTAATGCCTTGCTTTCCGAGACATGTGTGCCGTTAACCTTATTGTATGCCGTCATGATTGCCCGCGGGTTTCCAATGGAAATGGCTAGCATAAAAGGTAGCATGTAGATCTCACGCATAGTACGTTTAGTGACGAGAACGTTGACAGCCATACGCTCGTCCTCCATGTCATTACAGACAAAATGCTTCAGAGTCGCCGCAACGTTCTCATGTTGAACGCCTCGGACATAATGTCCAGCCAAGAGGCCAGAAAGGAGCGGATCTTCTGAAAAAGACTCAAAGCCACGACCACCCAATGGACCCCTTTGTATATTGAGCGTCGGACCAAGGACAACCACGGCTCCCTTTACTTTTGCCTCCTGTCCTTGCAACTGTCCCAGTTCGTACATCAGGTCCGTATCGAATGTAGCACCCAGTGCCGTTCCGCAAGGAAGACACGAAGATCGTACACTGTCAAAGATCCTTGTGCCACGGATGCCATTCGGTCCATCTGAGAGGCGTATAGATGGTATACCATGAGCAGGGAGTGGTGTCGTGTGCCAAAAGTCCTTGCCTGATTCCGAAGAGTCAATGGGAAACCTAACTTTTCGCGCGCTTGAAATTCTCTGGTGCTTACCTGCGAGAACGGCAACCTTTTCGTCAAGTGTAAGGTTAGAGAGAAGCTCATCTACGAGAAGCTCTCCCTGCCGTGCATTGTTCATGAAGGGAGACATGGCGATGGTTTCTAATCAAAAGTCCCGAAGAAGCTAAGATAGGACTACCAGGCTTTGTCGGAATCATTTATAAAATCAAGGACAAGTATGAATATTTATTCTTTAAGTGAGATATTAGCTACTCTCATGAGGATTGTATATTGAAAATCAATAATCACGTAGAAAGTTTCCTAAGACTAGTCGACACACCAATATTCCTCCACCTAAATTTCGGGGAACTGGCGCGGAGTTCCGGAGCCGTTCGGAACGTGTAAACTTAAACCGTTAAAAATGCCCTAAATCTCATTTGAACCTGTCCGTTTATTGAAGTATCCAAGTTCCTCAAATTTTAGCGACATTAGCCTACTGGGTCTAATAGCTTCATTCAATCCAAGGCGTCAATTTTTAGCTAGCATCACTCACTCGGTGTTTGTGAGGAAAGTTGATCAATATTCTCCACAGAATCTAAGTGTCGGTATATAAGAGCTTAACATTATTTGACTTCTTGGTGAGATTTAGTTAATTCTAGAAACACAGTTGAGCGCAACTTCAAGTACCATTATTGAAAGCAGACATCAGATCAGGAATGCTCGTGCATCACTAGCGCGTAGCGAGCTTAGCTTCACAGATAACATACTCCACTAAGAAGACTCTAGCAAACCCTTCGACGTCGAAGTCAAAGACCCGGACGAGAACAGACATGACAGCCCGACCAAATTTTCCAACAAGTCCCTGCTTGACGTATATACAGAGTCAGGGTTCCAGGTAATGTCCTCTTGTCTTAGCGGCGCATGCGGTGCTTGCAAGGTGACTAGTGGTCTACAGAAGTACCGCTCTCCTCTCATATCAGAAAGGTATGGCAAAATGGCATACGATATAAGACTTTGTGAACCGTACAGTCGGGAAGACCATGATAGAGATTGATTAGAAGAATGGTACGTAAAGACTAAGATTACAGACGAATAAATCCAAAAGGGGCATTTCTCTAGAAGTCATGGTTTCTACGGTCATCTATGCTTGCACTATGATGATCTCTCAATATTGGTGTTATTTTCTCTTCTGTCTTTCCTTGTCGTGAGCACTCTTTTGTCTATCGCTTTATAACAGTTAAAAATTCTACTAAAAAGAAAATMCCCGCCATGTCCCCTAAACCTAACTCTGAACCATCACCGCTTACCATTTTGCGGATGGTAGACTCGGCCGAGACCTGAGCTGTTGAAGCTAGGGTGTTCATAGCTCCTTATCAATTTCCAAATCAACTGTAGAGATGTCTCTGATAGCTGACCTAGCCGCGACTCCCCGTGTTCCCCGCAATTGAATGATTCCCGGACATATGAGAACCCTTTTTAATGTCAGCCAATCGGCTCGTAGAAAGCGTCAAGATTGTAAGGCACCTTTCTTGTTCTGGTAATTCTCCGCCTGCGCTGCGTTATCTCTTTATCGCTCACAAATATTTCCCCCTCAGTTCACAGCCAAACTTGCCCAAAGCGCCGAGGTCTGTCACTAGGATTTGCCGCACCTATCACCAGCTCTGGATCCAACCCTCAGACTGGCCCCTATCAAGATACTCCCACTGAATCCGATTATTTGATAATGTTAGAGCTCCATACATGCCAGCTCTCCAGTCGAGTCAGACGATAAGATCGGGCTGCGTATAAATTTGACACCAATCCCCTGGGATTTTGCCTTCCCTTCCATCCTCGTCATCATAGCAACTAGACTTACAATTGACCTTTCCCTCAAATTATTTAACCATTACAACATGGGTGCGCCCGACGTTTCAGTCAATTCAGATGACATTGTCCCTGTCCATTTGGAATCAGTGTTGCCTTCAGATGGACGGCCTTGGTATCGTAGAGCCCATCTTTTAAGGCTCAATTTCTTCATTTTGTCATTGATCCTGTTCTGTAAGTCACACTATAATCACCGTTTGCAGACTTGAGTAGCTGATCTCGAAAGCGTCCTCCAATGGATACGACGGAGCTTTGATGAACGGCCTCCAAGCGCTTCCTCGGTGGAACGAGTTTATGAACATGCCAAGAGGCGCTTGGCTTGGATTCATAAACGCAATCTACTGGTTCATGAACGGTGTTTCCTTCTTCGTCGCTGCTTCGATATGCAACAGATATGGCCGCAAACCTGGCCTCTACATCGGCTGCTTCTTTCTCGTTATCGGCACCGCGGTCCAAACATCTGCCCAAAACCCAGCAGCCTTTATTGTGTCGCGTGGTCTGATTGGTATTGCTACAGGGTGGTATTATAGTTGTGCGCCCTTGCTCATTACCGAAATTGCCTACCCGACCCATCGAGCCATCGCGTCCTCTTGCTTTCAGTGCGGCTACTACCTTGGCAGTGTCCTCTCAGCTTGGATAACATTTGCAACGAGGAATTACGGTAACTCCTGGGACTGGAGAATCCCATCGCTTTTGCAAATCCTATTCCCGGCTCTAGCGTTCGCTGGCCTTTTTATGGCGCCAGAGTCTCCTAGATGGCTTGTATCTATGGATCGTAACGAAGAAGCAGCACAGGTTATTGCAAAACATCATGCGGGTGGAGATATTAACTCCCCATTAGTCCAGTTCGAGAGTGCGGAAATTATAAACACCATTAAGGCCGAACAGCAAGCCCGTTCCAATTCCAGCTATGCGGATATGCTTAAAACAAAAGGCAACAGGTGGAGACTCCTTATTTCAGTTACTCTAGGAATTTTTAGTCAATGGAGTGGCAATGGTGTTGTTTCGTACTATCTCTCTCTCGTCCTCGAGACTGTCGGCATCACCAGTGTTACTGACCAGACACTTATCTCTGCCTGCTTGCAGCTCTGGAATCTCATTTGGGCTGTCGCTGCCGCAGTATCTGTCGAAAAGATAGGACGACGACCTTTGTTCCTTACTTCTGCCGCAACTATGTTGGCCAGCTATATTGTTATTACTGGACTTTCAGGTTCATTCGCGAACACAGGAAATTCTGCCGTAGGCATTGCGGTCATTCCTCTCCTTTTTGTCTTCTTTTGGGGCTATGACATTGCCCTGTAAGCCGAAACATACCTCTGTCCGCGTACCCTGCTAATATAATCTAGAACACCACTAGTCATCTCATACCCGCTTGAAATCTGGCCATACCAGCTCCGATCCAGGGGCTTCAATGTCATGTGGAGCGCAGGTATTTCCGCAGGCATATTCAATATGTTTGTTAACCCCATCGCGCTTGGGAGTATTGGCTGGAAGTACTACTTTACGTTTGTCTTTTTTCTCCTTTCCTTCCTCGTGATGGCCTTTTTGTTCTACCCTGAGACGCGCGGCCGCACCCTTGAACAGGTGGCCTTTATCTTCGATCCAGAAGAGACTTCTGATCCGCAGACGGAGGGCAAAGTTTCTAGTCGTGGAAGTGATTGATAAATACAAACCTTGTTTTGCTCCCGGCAACAATTACAGATGATAATGACGGTGACAAGATTGTTTGTTTAGTCCTATATCGGGTAAGTTCGGACTTTACTTACGCAACGTACTGGAAAGCTTCATGTTTGAAATCGTATGTATGTATCTGATCACTCTTGCTATTGTGGATTTTGTGATTCCTTAAGAACAGGACAGTGATTCTCCAGATGCTCTTATGCCAAATACAGGATATATATAATCTATACCATAAATCTCATTTACATCGTAAGTGTGCAACTGAATAATTCCCACTATATTTGTGCTGTGTAAGGTAGAAGACGTGAAGACGAGATATAGCACGCGTAATAAAGCCGATAGGGCACTTTTGATCGCTCTTGACTATAGAACAATCTATCCTTGCTCGGTAGCTTAAGAGATCGGTGTCACTGATGCCACAGACTGGCATCTTCTTGGCCCTATCTCGTTGTGGAACGTCGTGTAAAGGCTGATTCCAGCGCAAGATCCTAAGAACCAATCCGATTGCGCAAAGGGTTGATGCCAGCAATTTAAGGCAGAATTGTAAACGTGCAATATCTTGATGACGAATTCAGATTTCCCTCATGCATGGTACCGCTTAAACATCGGGTCGCACATGTATGTAAGGAGCGAAGGTCCCTGTCGAGTGGTAAGAAATGAATCAAGCAATTATCTTAGTACAATCCCAACACCTACCATTACTCTGTCTATTCTTACACTCTGCGTACCAAGTTCTCATAGTAATCGGCTCAGCAAGTGTTCTGTAGCCAATACCCACGTTCAAACTATCATTTAACCCACTTCTTTACAAAAATCTGGTGGTCCTAAATATATATCAATCCATATCAAATGTAGTGTGTCCTATTTGGTCTTTACCTTTATATCGGTAGCCAATAAGTAGCTTGAAACTGTGTCGTCTTATAGATAGCATGGAGCACTGTCCTATTGTCGATATCAAAGATATTAATAATAAAAGTATAATTGAAGTAGAGCATCTTGTAGAATAAAATTGAATTGCTCTAGTGATTTTCCATATTTTTGACAATGGTTGTAAAACTTGCGAACGTACTTAATTGTACCCTTGTCGGCTTCGTGTCCCGTGTGATCACATACGTGTCATTATAGACTATATACGCTTTCTATCTGACTTCTTATAAAAAGAAATGCTAGAGTGAATAAAGCATAGGTATAGCAAGTATCTCAGGTTGAATATGTTCATTTTAGCTGCATGATACCCAGCAGGCTTATTCACTATATATACTATCTATACTGTATCACACCATTCCCCAAATAAGGATCACCAGAAAGTGAGAATATGCATTGGTGTCCGGCTCTGAATAAGTATCCCTATTCACATCACCAAGCAGGAGAGAACACCTCGTCAACAACACCTCTGATTCGAATTAAATCGTGTCTTCAATGCTTTGCTTTCCGCGACATACCCTTCTCTTCAGATGGTCCTCATCAACAGCTCAATTCACCATCATGGCGGAGAGGTACCATCATTTATTGTATCGAAACCGCATGGTTCATGTTCTCGGTTGCCGTTTAGCTGAATGGAGGTAGGGCGATCAATCATCTCCTCAAAGAATGAAGACTTGTGGATTTCGGGCAAGGCGCTTTCGAATATCACTGTAGCTAGTTTCCCACTTGGCCAGAAATTGGGTCTCTCATCAAAACAGCCCTTGGAGCATACAGTACTTACCGCTCTCGCCAGAAACGTCATGTTGTCGGTCTTCTTAGGTGTACCACGATTTTGATGGCATTTGACCTTGCCTCACACTCGACCGCGCGAAACTCTGCGTATTTCTATTTGAGTATTTGTTACGCCCCTCGCTATCTAGCATATATCAAAATACAGTATGAGGTTATATAAGGTTGTATAACTAGCTACTCTTAATAGCTCTGGTCTATCTTTTAGAACTACTCTCATTATCAAGAACTTTGATATGATTCTTAATAAAAAGCGGTAGAATTTCTAAAATTATAAATTAAGTTGTTCTTCAGTTCGTCAGTCTCAGTTTCATATTTTGAAATAGTTTCTTTTGTAAATATTACTGAAAATTCTGCTATGTACGAACTGTTACAGCTTGAGCTACGGAACCCTACGAGGGAAGCCTGATGTGATGGCGCGGTTTAGCAGACTCGAACTTCCGGAGAGCAAGAGCCACATGGCTTCCTTTCACAGAGTAGGGGAAACAGCCCAGATATATTGAGGCCGCAGGACCGAAGCTTCCTAGTGAGTGGCGAATAGCTCTGAACAATACAGACACCTACGTTTTACTAGCCATATACTCGACCCATACTACTACGCTCTCGTAACACCCCTCTTACAAAAAGACTAGGCCCTTTGAACATGTGTAAAACTTTTACTTGCATGCTTCTAGGCGTCCACCTTGCAGCAGTCTATTTCATTTCTTTACATGGAAAGTCATGGAAAGTGAAGAAAAGAAGAACGATTATGTGACACCAGTGGCTGGTTATAATAGCGAAAGCAATTTTGGCGATGAAATGCTATGCCCCTGTTCGGAATGAATGTTCCGTTTGAGGTCACTGGACGTTTGTTGTTTAGGTCTCACTAGACAAACTCAGTAGGAGCTTGGATATGATACCTGATCTGATGTACAAGGAACGCCAGACGAAAGAAGAGACCTAGTTATTCTTCCAATTACAAGAATCTAGCAGTTGTTACGACACAGCGGTGTAGACCGGAGCGAGTTCGTGCGTGAGACGGACTCCGTTCTCCTGGACATTCTTTCCTCGTTCTTAGATTCACAGCGTTTGGAATGATAAAAAATCCAAGAAGGTTATATACTGCTGATTACAGTCTAGGAGCCCCAACTTTTGTGCGAACATCTACGACGTTGCGCAGCACTATTCTATCAAGTCCTCGATCAGTTCGTCTACGATAACGGCCATGTTCAGAAGGCTTTCAGTAATTCAGTAATTCAAAGTAAAACTTAGCATGACCCTAAAGATTTTCATATTGGCTGCTTAGAACGCTCCATGAGCTCGTACGGGCAAAGAAAGTATGTATCCCCAAATGCCAAGTTGTTACTACTATGTTCTATATTCCCGAGCTTTTGTATTGTCGCTACCATCGAACCCATCAGCAGCTAATACACTTTAGCCTCGTTGCCTGATCATGCCTGAGCCATCCAGAAGTCAAGCCATTCGATGAATCCCTTGAAGTGCTGTTCTTTGGCCCATAACTCGTAAGGATCCGTAAGTCGCGTTCGTGACTGCTCGTTTTTGTTAGACATCATCCCGATATTTAGATGCGGACGGTTGGTGTTGACCTTACCGCAAAGCCGTGGCCAACATGGGAGAATATTTGCATATTGAATCGTTGCTGTTTTTCAGTGCAGATCTCAATCACTCTCGTGCGTGACTCATTTGGAAACAGTTTGTCGGTGGCTGGGACTGAGAAGGCGACGGGTGCTATTGCCATCCGTTAGCTATCTGAACTCTCTGAGACCACCAGCCGTATGTTGAGGAACTCCACCCTTTGACTTCTGCACATGGCTTTCATTTATAAAAGAGGGATGAGCGATAGCCCCAGCCAAGCAGATGCCATCATCAGACAGTTGTTGTAAGACGATTCGTGCGCCCCAGCTACTTTGGATCAGCACACGCTACCTGCGCACTTACCGGAATTTAGGCAGACTCACCAGTAGCCAACACAGCCAAACTTGGCCTTGCCATCATTGCCGTAGTTGGCCTTGACATTCTTCACCCACTCTCGCGCAACCTCCTCTGAGTGTTGCAGGTGCTTGGCGGACCAAGCTGCCATGTCGAACTTAGGATCATTTAGCGGTGAAGTGGTATACTTTGTCACAGCATCCTAAGTTCCAGGCATATTAACAGAAGGTTCTCCAAGGGAACTGTAGTTTCTAATGATGCATGCACATACGCCAAGAAAGTAGTCGACACCGAGTGTAAGGTATCCACAAGCAGCGTAGGCGTCCATCATCAAGTTGCTGTTGATGTGCAGTCCGAAAGCGTCAGGGAAGAAAAGCAAAACATTTCCGTTGGCAACCTTTTGATGGGGCGTGGCCACGTAGGTATCAACGCCTCCGATCTGGGTGATGTTTCCTGTGGGCTGACCGTTGTGAATGTCGCCTTTGAGACAACACAAATCAGCTGCCTTCGCTAGTACGGGGTCGTTGATGTCTACCATATTTTTCGATATCGCTAGGTTGACTGAATAGTGATGGAAGATTCAGTTGAGATGACGTGAAGGGCTCATTGTTTGTACTTAAGTTCACTTTGGAGCTCCAAAGATGAGCTAGCATGCTCGGATTCCTTATGTTGTAACTTGGGCGGGGCTACACCGGCTACACCGGCTCTGGTCGGGAGCAGAGCTGGTGGAGGAAATACAGACCAAGAGTCGCCAAATAATACGTAATGTGAAGCCAGAATGCCTATCAATCAGGACCCCTACACTCTCTAGAGATTCGAGAGCATGATAAGGGTCTCCAAAGTCGAGTCATTCGGGGTCGAATTCGAATGCTGTCGACTTGGCATCACCTACAAACTGGCAAGGCAGCTTTGCCTTCCATCCACGTACCTTTTCCTAACGTTCTAAGCATATCATTAGTTATTGCTCTGCTCTGCCAAACTTCGATTTTGTTTAAGATGGTACATCTATGGACAGATATTGCCGCTAAGAAGCGCGCATTACGCGATGAGAAACTTGCAAAGTCCTATGGCGAAGATGCACCAGCTGATCCTCGCATCCTTGCTGCGAAGGATATCCAAGACTTGACCAAGCTATTAGAAGCACGAGAGGTCACATCCGAGGCCATTGTTCTTGCGCACATTGCTAAGTAAGATCTCAATAACGTAGCAATCATCCTCACTGTCGCTGATCAATCCTGTCATAGAGCCAAGGAAGCCCATCAGAGAGTACGCTTGTCGTCTTGAACAAATTTACTCGAGGATGCTGCTAAGAAATTCATACTAGACAAACTGTTTGACAGAAATTTCCTTTGATGAGGCTCTGATCCAGGCGAGGGAGCTCGATGTCTTTCAACAAGAAAATGGGCAGTTAAAGGGTCCCCTACACGGTGTGCCAGTCTCGCTCAAGGATCAATTCAACGTCGAAGGGCTGGACTCGACACTGGGCTACGTTGGACGCTCTTTTCATCCCGCCGAAGAGGACTGTGTTTTGGTCAAGGTGCTCAAACAGCTTGGCGCCGTCATCATCGCCAAAACGAACCTGCCTCAGAGTATTTTGGTACAGATATATGTTACCTATATAGAACCAAACTAATGAACTGACTTCTGGTAGTGGGGGGAAACAGAGAATCCGCTTTGGGGCCTGACTACTCACCCAATGAACCCTGATTTCACTCCAGGCGGCTCAACGGGAGGCGAGGGAGCTCTCCTGGCCCTCAATGGCTCAGCGATTGGCTGGGGAACTGATATTGGCGGKTCTATCCGTATTCCATCTCACATGAATGGCTTATGGGGTTTCAAACCAAGTGTAAGCGATCCTGGGCTTTATCCATCTTCTGCTTGTGCCTGAATTGTTAACATGACGCAGAGTGGCAGGKTTTCGTATGAAGGKGTAGCGGTCTCCCMGGATGGGCAACAGCAGGTACCGTCTTCAATTGGCCCTATGGCAAGAACTCTCAACACTCTTGTATTGGTTTCGAAAGCTGTGATCGAGGCTGAGTGTTGGACACTGGATCCTCAGCTGCCGCCTATGCCATGGAAAGAAGAAGCATTTCAAGAATATTCAAAAAAGCAGTTGGTTATTGGTATCATGGTAGATGATGGAACAGTGAAACCACATCCACCGGTGGAAAGGATATTCAATGAACTTTGCCAAAAGCTGGAGGCAGCTGGACACGAACTCGTCCCCTGGGATACATCCTTGAACGCCGAGTGCGTCGACCTTATGGTAAGCGCAAATTCCTTTTCAAGGGAAAACTTCGATGTATGTGATGATACGCTAACCATAACAGAGTGAGCATTACACCGTTGATGGAGGCTTTGATATTCGACGCGATGTTGCCGCAGCGGGCGAGCCATTCCTCCCCCATGTCCAAAGATTGGTGGACAGCGGCTCAGCGATCTCGGTCTACGAATATTGGCAGCTGAACAAGAGGAAGAAGGCCAAACAAGCTGCCTATAACAATATGTGGAACGCCATAACGTCGCGATCAGGTCGGCCTGTTGATGTTTTACTCGTACCCACTATGCCGCATACCGCAATTCCGCATCGGACAATGCGCCATGCTGGCTACACGAAGCTCTTCAACTTCCTTGACTACACTGCGCTTTCTTTCCCAGCTGGCAAGGCTTCGAAAGCACATGATCCTCCTTCGCCGGAATATGTGCCTCGTAACGATGCTGATGCTTGGAACTGGGGTCTATATGACATCGAGAAAATGGACGGTTTCAGCGTTGGTCTACAGATCGTGGGTCGACGCATGGAGGAGGAAAAGGTTTTGGGGGTTGCTCACCAGTTCCAGAAGCTGTTATAGATAGGTGCCCACCACGGGGTTTCAAACCCTTAAGAGAACATGAGCGAAATTGTTGTGTATTTCATTGTCCATAGTGAGGCTAATGTTGTATTGGCAAAAACTAAAGAGCGTGCGTGGAAAAATTATTGCATTTGCCACCGTTGATTGATTCATTCCTTTTTATCAATGGTTATTACTTGCGACTACTAATGCTCCTCCTCCTTATTCTTTCGGCATCGCCGAAGACATCCGAAATCAAATCCTTCTTGTTCACCTTGCCCATCGCATTGCGTTTAATAGACTCAACAATCTCCAGATCCTGGGGGATCTTGAAGGGTGGGATATGAGCCTTCAGGTCACGTCGCATCTCTTTTACTCCCCACGGTTTAGTGCTCGTCTTCCCTGCCTCTGACAAGACAACCACTGCCGCGACCTTCTGGCCCCAAGCCACTGATGGCAAGCCAACCACTGCGCATTCACTGACGTTCGGATGGCTGAGTAACTCACGCTCAATTTCTAGTGCGGAAATCTTCTCTCCACCGCTCTTGATAATGTCCGCGCTCCGACGGCCTTGGATGAAGTATGCTGGGCCACGAGCCCATGAGCCAGATTTTCCCTCACCTGAGCCCGGAACTGCGCGGCGAATCGCAATATCACCAGTCTTGAACCACCCATCAGGCGTGAACTCCCTCTCAGTTGCGGTAGGGTTTCGCCAGTACTCGGAGAAAAGGGTTGGTCCCCAGACCTGGATCTCTCCTTGTTTCTCCTCGCCTGTCGCAGAGTCCACTTCCTCTCCATGCGCAATGATAGTCTCCTCCCCCGTCTCATCATTCTTCTCAACGAGACGGACCTTGACGGAAGGTAGAGGCCAGCCAACAGAACTCTCAACGCGGTCGCTATAGTCTAGGCCACATGAGATGGCCATACCAATCTCGGTCATACCGTAACGTTCGAGCAGAACGTTACCTCCAGAGAGCTCGGTCCAAGCATCACGGGTTGGGGCAGGAAGTGCAGCTGAACCAGAGATGTTGAGGCGAAGGTGCCTCACGGAGATTGCCTCCTTGCCAGCGATCTGAAGCTCAGGAGACAAGGAAGTAAAGACATCTAGCATACGAGCCCAGACTGTAGGCACAGCTGTGAAAAAAGTAATAGGTCTGGATATTGTCTTGCTGCTGGTGCCGTTGGTCATGCTGTTGATCATGCCGTTCCCGTTGATAGGCAGGAATGGTGCTGCCAGTCGAAACCAGACTTGTTCGGCATTGAATCCAATCATGAATTCGACGCTCGAACCTGCAAGAAGAGGTGCGAGGAGAGAATTGACGGTGCCATGAATATGGTGCAGAGGCAGAATATGCAGAAGCCGATCCGATGGCTGATATTTCCAGGCTGCATGAAGGCTGTGCGCTTGGGCAAGCAGGCTCGCTTCTCTGAGCAATACACCCTTGGGACGTGCTGTTGTACCAGAGGTGTAGAGCATCATGCCAGAGGTGACATCACTGGGTGCGTCTGTCCAATCCGTTTCGATTGCCTCTTCATTTTGCTTGTCGAATGTGTCAAGTTTGTGGAGAACAGGGACATTATCCAATCCCTCTTGGAGAACTTGTTCAGCCTGCTTGACATATGTAGCGGATGACATCAGCACCGTTGCCGCACTATCGTTGAGAATGTAAAGCAACTCACTCGAAGGGTGAGAAGGTGCCAAAGGCAGGGCGATGGCACTGGAAGCCAGGATGGCCAAGAATGTGACTATTACTTCATTAGCAACTACGGTCGTTTCGCGAAGTCCACTGCATTTGAGGTGCATTCATACCTACGTAACCATAACCATTCTCGACCATGAATCCAATCCGCTCGCCTGTCAATGAACGGTCGCCGACGGATTTCAAGAGTCGATGCCGCGCTCGTGCAACGTCACGAAGCAGTGACCCATACGAGAATGCTGTGCCAGAGCTCTGATTGACAATGGCAATTGAAGAGGCGTCCTGCTCGCTGAGAACCTTCAACAGGGGTGTCCGGTGAATGCTGGCTGACATTTTGAAGATCAGTTGAATGCGTTACGCAAAGGAGGTGTTAACATAACGGCTCAATTATCTGTATAGTCGGATTAGCCTGTTGGTGTTTCATATCTCAATCATGTCTACTATTGCCAAACGAGGAAATCCGCTTTGACGCAGGTCCGTCAATGGCACAATGCTCACGCATGCGGATAAGGCCGGGGAGTCATCGGGTTTCCTCGCCTACGGCTTGTTCGGGTGTCGCCATTGGGCCCCACACCCACTTTATTTACCTTATCTAGAACTCACAGTATCCGTATCGGAGTCTACGTGGTGATGCGAGACCATGCGACGCCACGGTTTCGAGTTGTACCGAGCTTTTCTGTTATGTCAGATGGCCGGATTCCTAGTGAGCAATCCGGGTGAACGGAAATGGCGGTCATACAATGTTATACTAGATCTAGCTCGGCCCTAGGCTAGAACAGGAGCGGGGTTCAAATTCACATTAAAACGCTATTAGAGTATCATTCTGTGACGTTCGAGATTTTGCGTCAACGCAAACCGTACATGTATCAGAGTCTAGTTCAGGTTGTCAGCATTTTGAGACCCTCCAGTGTAAAGACTTGTTCCAGCGCATGATCTGAATCGCCATGGCATACCGAAAGCAAAGCTACATCTTCGATGCTGGCCGGCTGGGGCAGATCGAAGGCCTAACCTTGAGTCTGTGTGACGAATCAGCGGTACACTACTTTGGCGGCATTCCCTACGCTCTACCACCGACAGGCAAATTCCGTTTTCGTGCTCCTCGAAAGTTGCCCGAGGAGTATAGATATGGCACAGTTTCGAACCCAGGTCGGTTCACTGGGGGAACAGCAATCTGCCCGCAGCCTCCAGCTCGTACTCCACAAGACGAGACCCTCTTCGATGAGGACTGTCTGCAACTAAATATCTGGATACCTGCAGAGCCTGCACCTAAGGATGGCTGGCCCGTTTTTGTCTATTTCCATGGCGGTTTCCTGCAAGTCGGTAGTGCAAACTGGGGTCCAGGGTCATTGGTGCCACTCCTGAGGGATTCGGCCTTTAGCGCGATAATGGTGTTTCCTGCTTTCAGATTGAATGCCTTCGGATTTCTTGCAAGTGAAGAGCTAACTCATGACGCAAGGATCCACGGTGAGTGCAATGGCAACATGGGCTTGTGGGATCAGAGAACTGCTCTGGAGTGGACGTACACGAACATTTCATTGTTCGGGGGGAACCCATCGAATATTACCGCTGCTGGATACTCGGCCGGCGGCTACTCAGCTTTCCAGCAATTGGCACACGAGCTGTACTCTGTACCACAAGGAAAACATGTCATCAAGAGAATCGCTATGTTCTCGAACGGCCCTGGCGTGACACCCAAGACACTGGCGGAACAGCAAAAGCAGTTCGACGAGTTTATCACGAGATTGGGCATTTCCCTTGAGCTTCCATCCGCCCAGAAGGTAAAAATGCTTCGAAGCCTTCCGTACCAAAAGTTAATCGAGGTACAAAAGGAGATGAAAATCCACGAATTTCGACTTCTTGACGATGGCTCGTTTCTACCCAAGGACCTTATATCCAAGGTGAACAATGGGGACTTCGGAAAGAGAATGAAGGAACGTGGAATCACCCTTCTAAGTGGAGAATGCAAAGATGAACACACCATTTATCGGTCTTGGCGATCACCCGAAGACTCTTATGACGCTGTCTACTCTCGCCTCTGTGCAGAGTTCCCAGAAAATACTGCGAGAAAGCTCATGGGGCATTTTTGCAGCTCGAAGAAGAATCTCCCACCTGGTTATGATGATTGGAAGGATTTTTTTGGTAAGATCTATGCCAATATCCAAGTCCATGCCCTTCAGCGTGGACTTCACAACGCCCTGTTTCGAAGCGGCCTCCTTCCCGGTGTCGACGTTCTGCGGTACCGCTTTGACAAGCGCCTGGAGTGCATCAGCGGAAGTTACCCGGTTGAATTGGGTGTGACACACTCAAGTGATGTGCCTATCTGGTTCTGGGGTGCGAACTTCTCGGGTGGCCTGACTGACCAGGAGAAGGCAATGCTCAGTGGCTGGAATCAAGGCTTCGCTTCTTTCGTCAAGGGCGATAAAGTAGAATGGGGTCCAAAGCAACCCAAAGAAATGAGGCGGTGGAGGAGCGATGGAGAGACGGACGTTTGGACAGATGACAATTGGGAGCAGGGTCTAGAGTTTTGGGATTTGCTCAATAAGCCATGACAAGGTTATGAAATAAACATGGAACAAACTGAAACTTTTTAAGACTTTAAAAAGGCTCGGTGCTAGTCTGCGATTCAGACTCTTAACAGACGCACGGGAGTGTGCACTATCGGCCAGACGCGTTTAATGTCATCCGGGCAATTTGATAATGCCTGAATATAATGGAAGGATCCAGAGATGAATGACAGTTGCCCTAGTCTGTGGGAAACTGTTCCTCACGGCATCTGTCCTCAAAATTGTTGACATATCATTCAATAACCTCTGTCTCGGCGATCTCGAGCAGCGACTGCACTACTTCAAGATGCATATCTTTCAACTCAACGCCTGAAATATAGTATTCTAGTCCTGTATTGTGACTACAATTACTTCTCTTGAGGCGACCAAGACTTCAATATCGGTGAGGAGACCTCACCGGGCCATACTGTGATGCTATGTCCTGCCACCTCAGGACAGGCATCTTTGCTGGCCACGAATTTAAATTTCTTACCACAACACACCAGCAAGTCCCCAACATCAAAATAGGGAAATCACATGGAAAGTCTGGTCCTATTTCCACAATCAGTAGACAGTTAAAACTTCAAGGTTGTTCGCCATTCTTTGGATAAGTGGAGCATACAGTCGTTCCTTTCCATAGATTTTACGGGTTCTCATGGACGGGTCCGATAGGTGTGATTCATTCAGTATAGTTACCATTTTATGATTTAAGAAAACCAGACTGCTTAAAGAAAATTTCCTCCTAATGCATAGTAGTTTTTTCAGTCTGTGCTATAGTTCCAATATTAAAGTCCAAACGGCAAGTATTCTAACATTCTCCATCATTGCGACTTCCATCATGACTTCCTTGAAGATGTTTCTGGTATATTTGGGGCGACCTATAATATCAAACATTAAAAGAATTGCGAGAAGAAACTCCATATCTGTCCTGGAGTCCAAGAAGAACTTGCGCCAGCATCTGTCGCCAGAGGTTCATGGGGCCCGTCAAAGGCCACCCACCACACTGGGTGGCCTGATGAGCACCCTGAATATTCTGTTTTGATGTGGGTACCACTGCCGGCAGCAGGCGCGGGAGGATTTGTGGCGGTACAGGCATTGTCCTTGACAAACGTGTCTCTTATCTGTTCGCCTAAAGTGAAAGGTAGGACACTATCACTGACACCGTGCTGTGCATAATACGCCACAGGCTGAGAGCCAGGGCTGCAGCCGCTTAGATTTGCCCCGGACATGACAGCAACAGCGCGGAAGACATCAGGACGTGCGCATGCTAGCGCATAAGACATAGCACCGCCGTAACTCCAGCCCATAGAATAGACCTGAGTCTTATCAATGCAAAGAGCATTTTCGAGAGTTGACAACATCTGGTCAGTGAATGTTATATCTTCACCTCCTGAGTTTGCCCACCCGTTATTTAAGCCCTGAGGAGCTACAAATACGGCACTGTTTCCGGCAAGCGGTTCTATGCCGTAGTATGATCCACTGACGACATCCTGCATTGTCCCACCAAGCCAGTGGTAACCAAACATTAACTTGTAGGGCTCACTTGGATTGTAGCCCTGGGGGATCGTCAGCGTGTATTGGCGTTGTTTTCCATTGACAGTGGTTGTATATGTACCGCTATGCAATGTTAATGCCTTTCCGCATCCAGAAGAGATAGTGCTCGGTGATGAATGCTCGCCCATCACGGTCATTGCAAATTGGAAGAGCAGGGTTCCCACGATACCCGTGAAGATCATGATGATCCAAATGAATGCTGGTAAATATTAGAGAAGGGTTTCAAATGGACATAAGCGAGTCTTTCTTGAATTATTATAAAGTCTGAATGAAAATCCGGAATTTGTAGAAGCGTTTTGTGCTACTTATATCTTCATAAGAAGGTAAGGCAAGATTGGATCTTGTGCTCTGTTTTCGCCCTCAATGGCACATGAAAGCATACTATCTGCCGATGCCCATGCTTCGGCTAAATAATGTCGTCCAGATATCGATTATATTCTTGAGTTTTCTTGTCTGTTCGGGGAGTATCGCATTATTTTTGTACCAAGAGTTTAATGTTGTTCTTAGTTACTGAAGAAAATCCCCATACTATTTAGCTTATCTGTAACTGGAACCTAATTGAGCTGCCCCAAGGAAGATAGACAGAATTGATATGTGTAGTAGTTGGATGCCAGGTAGGCATCTCCTCAAATTTGAAGCAACATCGACAGGTCCATGTAACAGGCCGCCTACTAACAGGATCTTGTTCAGTAAAGCCTGTAGGGTAACGAACATAAAACCTCAACTCAAGCAGCATGAGAAGGAGATGATCATCTACCACTTTGGCATTTACAAATTTCGCGTAGTATCGGGCTTGATCAGAGATTCTGAATGAAGGATAAATATCATATCCTCGTGGTAAATTTCTTGCCCCAAATTCCCCCCCCCCCATCGGGCCTTTATTGAGGCGAGCCAAGAAAAAAAAATAGCCGTGGACKAATTGGATACCGCATAGTTGGCCAGAAGAATGTAGATAGCTCAGCGGGGTGTATTCATTCATGGATTTGCAGGCGCCAGTGACTCCTCAGGGGCTGTATGGCTGAAAATAGGTATGCATAAATAGCAGAGCATTTCCTGATCTAGCTACAGCCAGCGGAGAAGGAAGAAATGCGGGGTGCAGATCCCTCGGATAAATGCCGGAAAACCCTAGCTCAATGTCGCAAAAATACGGTAGAACGGGTGTACTACTAAAAATTGTACGTAACATGATGTCTAATCAGTCCAAGTTCTTTACTCCGTTGAACTGAAGAATTACATGGTGTCTATCCTTTTTAACCCCTAGTATAGGATTCTATTTCATCTTACTGTCTGCGTACGAAAATAGTGACATAGCGTCGGTTTAAGTTGATATAGATCGTCGTCTTGCTGAGACTTGCAGGTCCTCAGCTTCTTGAGCGACTGAGAAAAAAACGCTGCCTTCATATTGGGTAAGAAAAGTTTTCACATAATATTTACTATTCTAACACCTGTTACATGCGGTATTTCTTTTGCAGAAGCACAGCCAATTATTTCCCCTTGGATCCTTTCAGACCTTGAATTTACCATAGAAGGACAAAATCAGGAATGTGCCTCGGTAGATGGTGGCTCAATATGCACTGGCACCGTAAAATTATAATGAGAATCAGGCATGAGAAGCGTATCTATCACCACTGGATTTCCTCTCAACGAAAATTCAAAAGTCAAGCTCTCGGAAATGTCAAGCGCGATCTTGTAGTTTCCCGGGTAAATTTGAAGGTTCCCTTTTTCATCAGCCCTAGCTAATGAGCCAAGAGTTAGAGGAAATTCTAATGTTCCTTTGGTTCCCGGTGAGAGGCCGTGAATACGTGTGTAAGACACCAGGGATCTATTTGGTCGTGGTGATGGGCCTGCATCTCCACTAAAAATGAATAACAGGCCGACATAATCGGAAGCTTCAGATCCAACATTTTTGACACGGGCTTTAATAGTTGCAAAAGGCGTACTGTCGTTAATAGGACCGTCGGATCGGCACGAGGCAACGAGGTTCTGAATATTATACCCATGGTCCAAAGTCTGCTCCCACTCAAAGTCGAAGTGAGTATAATGCAGGCCGTACCCGAACGGTATCACAGGCTTCCCCGTATACCATTTATATGTCCTTCCCGGATAAGAACCGTTCAAAGCAGGGCGAAGATTAATATCAAAAATACTCACTTGATCGGCATAACTTGCTGGATACTGTGTGACTGGCAGTCTGCCAGCGATCGACTTTTTGCCTGTAAGCACGTCAAGCAAGGCAGTGCCGCCACTTTGACTAGGATATCCTGCCCAAACCAGAGCTTGGACGCCCTCGTTTTGTAGAAGGGAGCTATCATCAAGCTGCCCGCCCCCAAATTGGACAACAATTAGAGGCTTGTGAAGATGTGATAATTGTGTGACCATGTCCAGTTGGTTTCCTGGCCAAGTAAGGGAAGTGCGGTCGAGTGTTTCGGCCTCAATGGAATTGTCAATACCACCAAGGTAAATTGTCAAATCTGACTTCTCCGCGGCTGCAAGAGCTGGACCAAATCCAGCAGTGCTCTGATTGTTGATTCCTGTACCCACAGAATAGTTGATCTCCCACTCAGAATGGGTTTCAAATGCTTGCAATGGGCTAATCAAATACGGCGGAACACCAGAATAATCGCCTTGCATCTGAGTCGTAGCGTTTGCAAACGGCCCAATTAGGGCAATACTCTTGTAATTATGCGAAGAACGTATAGGAAGAAGATTCTGGTCGTTTTTGAGGAGTGTCATGCCTTCAACTGCTGCCTGGTAAGCGAGGGCCTGAGCTTCGGGGGTCGAAACGTCCGAGAAATCCAACCCACTGTACTTTCCGCCGTCAAAGAAGCCTACGGTGAACAATGCCGAATATAGCCTTGTCAATGACCGATCTATACTCCGGGCCGTTATTTGACTCGCTGCAAGCGATTCATTCAGCTTGAGATACGAGGAGCCGCATTCCAAATCCGTTCCAGCGTTCATAGCTACGGATGCAGCAGCTTCCTCGGTGTCGGTAAAATTGTGGTATCTCCAGATATCGGTGACCGCATCACAGTCAGATACCACGTAGTTATAGTCTGCAGTAAAATTCCACTGCTGTCTTAGGACCTGTTCAAGGAGGTATTCGCTCGCACAGGATGGAATGCCGTCGACTGCATTGTACGCACACATAACGCTCCCAACTCCCGTGTCCCGAACGCAGGTCTTGAATGGAGCCAAGAAATAGTCGGCCAAGTCCTGCTGACTAGGGTTATAGTCATTGCCATATCGGCCCGTCTCCAGATCGTAGACGGCGTAGTGCTTGCAGGTGGCAATAACCTGCTTTTCCTCGGGATCATTACCCTGAAGCCCTGGGATAAAATTGCGGATATAGCTCTGCACAACAAAAGTATCCTCGCCGGGGGTCTCTTGTCCTCTTCCCCACCGAGGATCCCTGAAAGGATTGATGTTTGGAGCCCAGAAATCGAAGCCAGAGAACCCGTTATTGGCAAATGCCCTTCCTTCTTTGCCAATAACACCGGCTATTTTGCGCACTAGACCATCGTCAAAGGAGGCCGCTGTCAAGATCGGTGCAGGGAAGCTGGTGGCATAACTGAAATTGGCGGGTTTTTCGGTAAACTGAACACCCGGCGCAGAGCCAACTCCGTGTGTTGCTTCATTGCACCATTCGTGTGGCGGTAAACCGAGGCGTGCAGATCCGGCTGAAGCATCGACAACGTTGAGGATTTTCTCCTCCAACGTCAGAGAATCAACAAGTGATTTTACTCGCTCGGTAATGCTCAATGAAGTATCACAGACTTTGTGACTACAGAGAGGAGAAGTTTGACAGACTGGTATGAAGCCAGTGTTCGTTGTGCTTCTTTGTGGATTAAAAATCTGATACAAAGACATGCTAATGTGTGTAATATCAGCAATGACATCCGCGTCGTTCTCCTATTGATCGCTAGTTGACTTACACATATGTCCCTCCGCATGAGCTGGATGGCTCTGTCACACACATGGAGCTGCAGCTGCTGTCATTTGTCTTGCTCGATGAGCTGAAGTTGGGCGTATTACCGCAAAAACATTGCCTTTTCTAGGTATTAGCTTTGAATTGTACTATTGAACAGAGACAGTATATCCTTACGTTCCGAATTCTATGCCTCCGTATGCAAACCCTTTTTGACCACACCAGCTAGTACAGTACTCCGGCGTCATGATAATTGTGCTAAGCTTCGCTGCCGTCAAGATCGACACGTTGGGGTCCAGGTAACACCCGACATAGTCATATGATGCATTGTAAGCCACCTCCGTTGCTGAGACATTGTTCACGTTGCACATAGACGACGCCTGGACACTGGTTAGTACAGACAATACTGCTCTAACACCAAACCCGAAGATTCTTTTGGCAGGTAGAACCATTTTTCTTCTACCTATCACTAAGATTTAGAACATCAATAAAGGGACGATAGGTCGTATTTATTATGACTATAACTTCTTTTTTCTCTTTTTTCAGTAGAGAATTTTTACTGCAATATTTATCCGACGATTCTCTAACTTCCTCAGTGAATGATTAGGCTAAATTGCAAATCTAGCACCCAGCTATGACACAGCGGTATTATCCATCTCTAAAATGTGGGGGAAATGATCTACCTCGTCCCCACAGTTCGCGGCAATTCAACCGCGGGTGTGAGGGGGGTAACGGGCTTAGATTTGGCGTATATAACCAGGTTACCAGGGTCACGTCATTCTAATATTTGTATCATATTACCCGCAGGCAGGGACCTTAATGCCCATAGATTACAACGTACATGTCAGATCTTATAGAATTTGGTTCTATAAGTTTAGAATTGATATATATATATATATATATATATATTTTTTTTTTTTTGTGGAAGGAGCAAGGTTGTGGAAGGGCTAACCTTGCTCTTGTGTAGTGTATCTGCCAGGGACACTTGGGCATGCTTATAGGCCACTATATCCATAAGGAAGAAGCAAGCGGCTTGCATTATAAACGACATGACGTCTGAAAGTGTATTATTCTTCTTTTTCAAGAAACTCCCAGAGTCAAAATGAGCTATTGACAAGCATGTCGTATAAACGAACCAGAAAGCCGGGTATCAAGTCCCATAATCGGTTCATGTTAAAAGATATCTCGGGTGTCCTCAAGTATTGGGGACGGTCCCAACATTTCTGGACAACTATCAGGACACTATCATAATTTATGTATTACTGGCGGTTTCCACAATTTACTCTTGCACATTGATCGGCTCTGCCATACTTTTATCCGAGATTGTCCATTTTGGGCCCGAGTTTTGTACGATTCTCTAAGCATGAATCGTGTAAAGCATTGGTAAATATTATCTATTGGGAACGTTGAGAAGAACCTGTATACCATTGAGGAGGCTGAGGAGGCTTTATCGCTCCGATCTGCAACATAATAGCGAAGATATCGGGCAACCCGGTCTCTTCTAAAATCTTATCCTCATAGAATCGGTAAATATTCATCGCGCGTGCTTGGATCTTCCTCCCGGTAGGGGGAACCCCGAAAAATTCCCCTTTATGGGTTCCGCTCAGAGTGAACTTCGCGACAACTTTATCACCTTCGATGACTGTTTCATCAATCGACCATTGAACATCCGGGAAGGATGATCGCATCATCCCAAGAATTTGCATGTATCCAGCCAGCCCTGTCAATGGTTGCTCCGAGAAAGGAACATGAAAGACGGCGGACTCGGATACAACTTCCCGACCAATGGACTCATCGCCTGAATTAATGAAGTCGAGAAAACGGTCCATTCTCTGCCGCAAATTGGCTGCCATCATGCTGTGTGCGGAATGTTCTGTTAGTCTTTTACTTTGTAGAAAAGAAAAGTCCCACGTGCTGACTCACCCTCGGGGTTATTGAGAACACGGAAGTGATCTGTTTAGGAGTATTTCGAAGCGGGTACGCTAAGTCAAACGAGAATCAGTTACTGAAGGACACGGCATGCAGGATGAATCCAGAGATAGAACAGCGAGTAAATACAGGCAGCTTTTCTGCTCGCATTGATCGGTACTACGAGACGCTAGCAATTGACGGATGGATCATTCTTACCTTGCTTGGAAAGGGCCGGTATAAATTATGTACGTACGCTTAGGAGGAATTGAACCTTTCTTGCCCAGTGTTGGTACATTTATGGGTCGGGTGCTTATATATAAATCTAGTAGGATAAGCATTTACCAGGATGACTTGTTTGATACATTTGCATACTTTGCAAAGAGGCGTCATCACCCTTTTCCTCCGGCTTCGCGGTGGGGACTCGGAATTGCGGTTTGCTCTTGCATTGAATTGTTTGCACGGCTTACAGAATACTTCCGCGACCGGTCACTTATCTGAGGCTTTTTGTATCCACCTTTTTTCAGGTGTATCATTCAACGCTCTGGTCCGTACATACAAAATTTGGCACACTCCAAGCAAAGGTGAAATTTGCAGGGCTCAAATCCAATCACAGTCAAGCTCAATCTGAATGAGAGCTGTATTTTTTCTTCTATTGGTAAGAAGTGTGTTTGATGCCGTCCGAGACAAACTCGATCTGCTGGGCACGGTTGTCTGGACTCAACTCACCAATGGGCACGCCCGCAACGTCCCCGAAAAATCTCCCCCTGGTCGATAAATGGTCGGGACGTTGGTCTAGAATCTCAGTAGAGGCCAATGGGAATGCTTAGAACCTCCCCGATTTGGCACCCCGCTGTCAGGGATGACCATCATGACGCCACACAGTAGCATGCATCGTCGCCGTGAGAACTACTCCATAGTAATGTACGGTGTGACCCGTTCTCGTGGCAGTTGACTGTTTCCATACTACTATACAAATGACATTCCGCTCGATCCATGAGGCATTGTGATACAATGGCTCTGCTACAGGGCTTTATATAATGTCTTCATTGCGAACATACTCGAATCAGTCAGCTCAGATGCGCAGTCATATAACATGGTAGTTGTTTCACCTAGTTCATCTAAAATGAGATCTCCTTCTCCAATTGTTAGCGATCTGCCCTGAAGACATCTTATAGAAATGGCGCTCAATCGCGGAACATTAGAGACAATCAAAGTCAACCGTGTCCATGGAAAGATCGCACTAGAAGAGGCCGTAGGCTCTTCCTACTTCGTTGCTCATGGAACGTATCCGCCAACTCCAATGATCTTAGGAATGCAAGGCACTCTTCCTCCATACAACCAAAGTTTTCTGCACGATATTGATGATCGACTCGATGATATTCCCAAGCGATTGAAGTCAATGGGTGCCAGTGGTATCGAGTATGCTATAGTTTCACTGACATGCCCGGGCATCGAGGGTGTCTTGAACGCAGACGAAGCGGTCAGGTTGGCAAAATTAACCAACGACGACATATACGAGAAGTACGTCAAAGCCCATCCGACACGATTCGGGTTTTTTGCATGTGTGCCTATGCAGAAGCCAGAAGAAGCAGCAAAAGAGTTAGATCGTGCAGTGACCGTGTTGGGCGCTAAGGGAGTTCTGATCAACGGCTTCACCAACATGGATGAGAAGGATTTGAGCAAAGTTCAATACCTGGATGATCCGAGATGCGAGCCATTCTGGAAGAAATCAAGTGAATTGAACGTTCCATTATACCTACACCCTCGAATTCCACCATTTGGCCAACAACGGATCTATGAGAAATACCCGAATCTGTCTCAGGCAGCTTACGGCTTTGGTGTTGAGACTGCAGGGCATACACTCCGCATCATGTGCTCCGGAGTGTTCGACAGATATCCCAATGTTCAACTTATTCTGGGACACTGTGCGGAGTCATTGCCATTTTTGGCCCACCGTATAGACCACCGGATGGCAATCGGAGAAGCAGGCGGTAATGGGCCGTACAAGAAATCCATAATGCATTATCTTCAGAACAACATCATCGCAACCCTGGCCGGAGTACGGCGCGAAAGTACCATGCGCAACACCATTGACGAAATGGGTGAAGCGCGTGTGCTCTTCAGTGTCGATTATCCATATGAAAGTAATGAAGACGCTGCGGATTGGTTTGATGGAATGCAGCTGAATGAGAATACACGCGCGGCAGTAGCTCGTGGAAACGCCAGCAAAACCTTTGGTTTGATCTAAATGGATGATTTGTGAGGGTAGTCCAACTATTGATGGGGGCTGTCTCCTGCTGCGTGTCAAATTGCTTTCATGCGTCAGGGGAAAGTCGCGTAATCCCATGTCTAGTCCTTTCTGTGATGCAGCAATTTTTCGATTTCGATAGCCCTTTATCATTCATATTATCGTTTCTAAATCTGTATAAAGTATCGAGTCTTCTCTATTAGTAAGCTTTAATTGACGTATCGGTCCAGCGAATTTTTCATCTAATTCAAAGACTCTATAGGCAATCAAGGTAGCCAAGTTCTTGGGTAATCCAGGCATCGGGAAATTCACCCCAATCTAGTTGGGCGAACGACTCGTCTAATAGATCTGATGAGGATTGTGTACCGTCTGGTCTATGCTTCAAACTACTGTCATTATTCCCTGCATCTATTCCCCCTTTTTGACCTAAACAAGTGTCAACGAAAGGAATCGTAGTAGCGCTAACAGAGACCCACCTAACCCATTTTCGTCAGATACTTGGCTTTTGAAATAATTCAAGACCCTTATCGCCCGTGAAGCAGCTTGTATTTGTACGCTGTAATGCTTCATTAAGGAGATGCAACGAGTCCATGACAACTCAAATGAAGCATCGTCGTTCAATGTATCATAGAAAGAGCACTTTCTAGCGGCCAAAAGAGTTACAGCAGATGAAAACAAAGTTATAAATTAAGCCTAATCAAGAAGAGCTAAACTTAATTAAATAATAGTAACTACAGTATGATTCATTCCCTATATAATGCCGAGTATATGTCTTAGAAATCCTATGAAGCCTTGATTAAAGTACATGTCCTCTTCGTCACTTCTCTGCTCAGATTAAATATATTGTGACGGCTTTCCATTATGGCTTTGTGATCGGTCATGTCCGATACTCTCTGAGCTATACGTACGAGTTAGAATTTTGTATATAGTGTGATAACGGTCGAACTCGATATATTCACCTAGGCTAAGATAACGTACAAAAGGCACTACTCACGAGAATAACAAGTAGACTCATTAAGGACTGAACCTGAACTGCGGCCCTAGACCGCACCAGTCCACGAAAATGTCAACGTACACTACGCGCCAATAACAATAAATTGACTCAATTTGGAAAGGAATCGCTCGTTAAATGGTGCTTGATATAGATGAACGTGGATTACCCCCCACTCCCCGGCAGATCTCGGCTACCATCTACAAATCAACGTTTAGGAGGGACAAGGGGTATAATCGTATTCAACGTCATTCTAGATGGTTCATTCCTACTAATAGATAGACACATAATTACAGGAATCTATTGGCTGTAGTTTCTTGAATCTTCTGACATATAAGAGTTTCTTTGCAAACCCTCAAAGTACGGAACGATGGATATCCATTGAAGCTCAAGAACTGGATTTAAGCGCTGCTATCATCAAATCAGGAATAGCAGTAACGTAATCCTGTCAAGTCTAAGGCTCCATTTATGCTTGGCGCTCAATTCCGTACCCCAGTCCTCTGGTATACTGGTCATATATCTGCAGATATGGATCTGAGAGCTGATCATACAGGCTGTTGTTACCTGATTGGTCGTCCCTTTCTGTCATCCAAGACATGTTTTGAGCTGAATCCGCGAAGTTACTCCTGCCATGTTCATTAGTAGGATGGTCGTCGAATACCGAACCTTGTGGTCTATCTTGTTGAGCTGGTGACATTGTTGGTCTCGTGTTACCCCGTTGTGTCTTCCTCAGTTCTTCGAGATTAGGGTCTTGAGTTTGTTTTTTCATCTGAGGAATCAAACTTCATGTTTCTTATCTCTTCGAGGAAGCTATTTTCGGAGTATACCTGCCTCGAACGCAAGCTAAACCCTTTCTCGATAGTGGCATATGGTGAACTGCCAAGCTCTAGACTTTCGAGGTCGCACTCAGGTCTGTTCATCGATCGGTGAATACTAATTCTGACAAAGGAGAATGTATGTACCTAATCAGGGCTGAGCTTTGCTCTACACTGTGAACCAGATCAAGAATCCTGCCACGCTTGCAAACCGCCAGAACATTCAAGGGGTAAACACTTACCAGTAACTGTGAAGTCGGATAGAGCTCGAACACCTTCTCAAGTATATCATAACAAGCCTTTATTTTGACAAGAATATCATTTCGGTCCAGGGGAACAGCGGCAATCGGCCCTAGATACGTAATAATCCGAGCGCATTGAAGTGAACATATTGCCAATGCGGCGTCTGTGATGCAAAGTCATTTGTCCATCCTCCGTATAGTCATAAATATGCTGGCTAAAGTACATGCATAATCCAAGAATAGCGTCTGGCAGCCGCTGACGAAAGTTCCAGACAATGCCTGTAGGACTTTGTCCGGCAGCGCTTCTCGGAAGCCTGGAATAACAAAACGGTAGAGGTCACAGTAGCACAAGTGCCACCAGACGTGTAGCATGACAGAACTCGTCCTTTGGGGCAAGTAGGCGTGAAAGGAAAGGTTTCGCTTGTTAAACGCGTACGATGCGGGGAGCATGTCGTAGAACTTTTGCAGCTCCTTTTCTAAACCTTCAATCTCGACATAGCAGACGGGCTAAATTTGCTGGTGGTCAACAATTCGATGTGTGAGCCTGTAGAATAAGGCGTAGGCTTAGCTTTATCATGGCACTCTTTTAATAACTTACTGCTGGATTTGCACTCGAATTAATTCCTAGTATTATGATTAGATATGCCATGGTCTCTATGTTTTGGCGGTTTCCAAGGCCTTGGTTTGGTTTCAGGGCTTCTGTTTCCACTGGAATTTCAAAAGCGAAAGATCTTCCATGACATGGTCGGGGTTGGATGAGGTGTAACGTGCTGAGGCACCACAAATAGCTCGAAGCAGATTCTGATCATGTGAACATTTGTCCAGTTCGTTCCGCAGGCACGTGGATTGATATAGAAAGCTCTGATAGGGGATTGGATAGATGTATTCAAAGAAAGCATCGATGTGTTGTCTCATGATAGCTATCTCCGGACGTATTTGTCCGAAAGAAAATATTTCAGTCAAAATGCAAAATGACATCCCAGGTAACTCACAAATCAAGATATGTAGAGGTAGCCAATGAGCCCACGAAGGGAGACGATATATTGGTCTCGTCGTCCACATGACGGGATGTCGGAGCAGACCTTCCAGTCCTGTTAGATTCCTTTGAGGATCTTTGTGATGTCTTGCGTCGAGMCCCTCGAGCCACACCCCCTACCACCTTGTCTTAATGGCATTCAAGTCCGCGTCCACGAGATCTTTGACAAGCTGGAGATTCTCCGGAAAACTTTGATTTGTGCATTTGATATTTCAGGTAAGCTCTGGCAGTACGTTTCCGCTCTAAGCCAGGATAATCATGAGCGGAACGATCATCTGGTGCTGCAACACTTGGTAGGTCATCGTGAGTAGGCTCTGACTGTCTTCCTGAGCGAAGTTGGAGAAAGAGCACGCAAACTGGAGTCTTCTGCAGTTCTCGCAGGCGCCCACGCCCCCATCAGGTCAGAAAACCGCAACATACCCAAAAATCATGACATACTCTACGATGGCGCTACTGAAACTATATTTTATCAGCCACCATATCGTTCGCCGATATCCAGAGGTCAGCACGTATGTGTATAGTACAGCATTAAGTGCTGGTGCTGTGTCGCCGAGGAGACAACCGGAAGGTAAGGATAACGAGGGAAAGGTGATGAGTAGGCATTCGAGTGGTAATATGCGCTATAATCACCATATCCGGGATAGCCGTAAAATGATCCAGTCGCAAATTCACTCACGAAACTTCATATCCAAAAATAGCGTTATTGCCTTTTGCAACGCAAGATAGAAATGCCAAACTTCATGTTATTTGCTTTCGTGATCAATTGTCCACAGCCTGTTGCTCACTCTGCGGTCATTCATAGCCCAGATGTAATATAACCCCTTCATTCCATTTACATTGAAAATGAAAGATGCATCTAACCACCCACCTTTTGAGGACTCCAGCGTTTGGGTGCCTTATCGATATTCCAACCAAATTCGGGGCTATTGTTTTCGTCGTTGCACTCAAAATGACAACGGTTGCGCATTGCAATTCTTTACATTTGGGTCTGGAGGAAGACTGGCAATATTCTCCTAACCCAAAGGTATTGGCTAGTATGGTTTCTAGAGCTCGTCAGACCACTAAATTCGCATCTTACTGCGGGGTTTGTTCCTGTCACTGCCCCTCCCAGTTCGTCAACCGCAGCCAAGACAGGATAAAATTTGAGTTTAGGTGGCTAGTCCAAGTGGACTCTAGAACAAAACATTGAGTCATGTGATTGATTCTTGAACTTTGCCTGTAAGTTTCTGTAGGGTATACTTTTACATCACATAAATGCAGCAGCATCCCGCCATCGCATGCGACACCAGCGGCAACCCCCTCTTATTTCCGCTATCTCAATAAGCAGCATGGCATCAGAACATCCGATCCAGATTCCCGTGCTTCAGGGTCATGCTCTGTCGATCACTCCATCAATCACTGAGAGACGAGGTGCGAAGTTTGTAGGTGATCTTCCTCTCATCTGTAAATCCCTCTCAAGCATTGTCAAATCTAATATGTGATGAACTTTTGTCGGGGTTCAATGCCTAGGAGTTATAAATTGGACTGACTTGAATTTTTAACAGGGGGACGCCAAAAGCATGACAGAGCCATCGTCAGTTCTCGCTGTATATTCTACGGCGGGCTACTATGTCGACATTAGAGTAGCAAAAGCGGGTGATCAGAACATCTTAGACCTTGCAACATCTAATTTGAACGCTCCACTTTCCGATGATTTGGAATGGGCTTTCGCAGGAAAGGTCGAAGTCCGCCTCCCTGATCAGCAAGATACCAAAGCGATCGCCCAGGCGCATGCGCGTGCCAGATGGAACCGAATAATCGACAGCCAACTGAGTTATCTACCGGATGAGACCGACGAAGCTGATCTTACCTTGCAGCCAGATGGAAGTATCTTGGAAGCTGGGGGCTTCCCTAATCCTACCACAGGCGAGGAGGAACCTTTCCAGGAAATCTGGTACCTTATACCCCAGTTGCCTTTGACAGGTAATTGCGTCGTTTTGAAGGCAGACCATCAAGATATACATGTCCGTGGACTTATTGTACGGGTTGGGCAGTGGTGCCAGGGTATCCTGTATCGATCGAAAGATGACAAAGTTGTGGAGCGGTGGCACCTTGAGGCGCCTGGGAACTGGATAAGAGATTTACGGATCGGTGAATCCACTGTATCTTTACCTTGCACAAACACCTTCGCACACCTGGAAATAGGTGGGACTATCGAACTGGACGGGATTACCTGGGTGGTCGTGGAGTGATGTGACAGGAAGCTGTCTACAGGACTAGCAAACAAACTTCTACATGAGCAGCTTTCGGTTATTTCATTCAGTAATATTTGTCTGTCTTAAAGCAGTTTTTTCACCCCGGCTTCTGTGCGCATGCTATCGATGTATTGATAGGGTACACTTTCTCCTTTTGGACTAGTGGACTTTATACACCCATCCACAACTACAGTGCCATGAAAAATGTGTTAACACCCCTCATATCCGACCGCTACCCGAAGCTTAATAATATAGTGATAAACCACCCGTGCCGTAAGGGCTTTTAGGGGGTTCAGGGGGCACCCATGCCGCTAAGCCCGCACCTAGTAGCTTCATTTTCCTCGGCAGAATACCCGGCGGTGTGGAAATTTCGGATACGGGGGGTGTTAACACATTTTTCATCCCACTGTACGACTAGTGTAAGGACTCTGAGTCCTTATTGGCTCGCTTTGGCCACCAATCACATACAAGGCCAAGAGTTACTCCCGCCTGACCCCTTTTGCTAGATTAGCCCATATATCCACTAATACATGTCTAATTTAGATCTTAGATTCTATGGTAATACTTGGGCAAGGGTACGGAAACTTGTTTCATGTGACAGCAGTATAATTGAACACGGTGGTTTTTTTAGAGCATCTTTTATCCTTAAGTCATACAAATGCTTCTGGTCTTGGCTATTTGAGCGACGTTATCGGCCGCTTTGCCATCGGACGATGACGTGACTGACAAATATATCCAAACTAGACTTACTACGTAGTAGATCAGATACGTAATACAGAAATCGTAGAGGTTTACCTAGTACGGTATGACTTGTTGAGGTTTTGTGTGATAACGAACTCTATCATTTGAATTACTGCCGTTAATTGCCTGAAAGCTCATCGCGGATGTTCACATTCACCTGCCGTCAACCTTCACAGCAGCCAGAGGTAGGACCAGATCAAGATGGGCTGGAGTATTTTGAAAAGAGGGGTCGCGGTAGTCAATGGTTGGCTGACATAGTGATTCAGAAAATCCTAATCCGATCGAAAGCTGTTGTCAACCTGTCCTCCGGAGTACGGGACAAATTCTTTTTTATGTTTTAAAGTCTTTTCCCCCAAAGTCTCAGAACATATAAATATGATTATATTTGAAAAAATAGAGCAGTACACATGCAATAAAAACCTTACTTTCTGCCCTTCAACCGCATATCCGTGTGCCAATAAACTCATCAAAGTCCCAGCTTCTCTACTTACCACTTAAACTTTTCTTGCCTCGCGACAGTTGGTATTTTGTGCCCTAGGTTTGGTGGCAGCGCCTTATAGGTCTTTCGCAGGTATCAGCAATCTCCCTAATAATATGAACAGGATAATGGATTGGAAGGATAAGTCTAACTATCTGTTCCAGATGTCTGAGAACACTAAGTATTCTTCCCCCTCTTTCCTCACGGTTCATTGCTTCTTCTTTTGCGGTGTATTCAAGGTTTTTCTTCTCCAGCCTATTTCGGCATAGCATATCTTCAACCAACCCAGTTCGCAACTGAGAGTCTTCTTGAATGCTGGGAACTTACCTGAGAAGCCTGCTTGCCTTCTTCACAGACACATTTTATGAACCAGCTCTACTGGTCATATATGCAAACAGACTTATAAATAGAAGTCAGATAGCGCTATCTTCGATTCGTGCTAGGCTCTCGGTTACTATTTCATATTCAATGTTTAGCCCTGAAGCGAGTTATTTGTCGAATTGCAATTGAGAAGCTTAGGTTGGAAGAGCTACATTTCCCTTGGCCATTCTCATATCCACTAGAAAATGATGCTTCAGATCAGGCTACGGATAATGATCCTATAAAGTCCCCAGTCAAGGTCGCCAGCTGGTTGTACTACCTCTGAGAGACTTCACTCAGAAGGTCACGCAATAAGATAACCGAATTTTTATAGTCAGATGCACCAGCGTTTTCAATTGACAATATTAAAGCTTTTCGTGTAGAGGCAATCCAGCTTAAACAGCAAGTGCAAGCCTAATAAAAGCTAAGTTCTTATATGAGTAAAATAAGACAAGGGTTACTAATCTTACAACTACTATTAGAGCCAAGCATCTACCCAAATACATTGCTATTGATGGCGAGTTCGAACGATCCTCAAATGAGCTAGCTCTACATATCAGGAGCAAGGCTCTTAAATATCAATCCTAGATTTGTCAACCTTACATATATTATATGATTTACGCACCATATACTGGCCTCTCCGAATATCATAGACTTATTAAGCCACTTACCTACACAGCTCTTAAGTGCTCAGTAGACCTGATCAGATTTAGAACATACCGCCACCATCACAGTACGTGGTTTACCACTCACATTACTTTCGGTGCCGCTCTTTGTCTCCTCACAGCTGCACGCAAGAGCTAGATTTCTATGCCACGAGCTTAGGAGAACGATGTTAAATGAGCAATCGCGGTGATTGATTTCTGGGCACCCAAGTCGCCGAATCTTCTGGCCAGCAAAGAGATTCTGGAAAGACTTTTCATGGTGGCGACCTCACAAGCAATTTAATATTGACTAGATAGTATCTCACGAATGGGAGGACACATCGGGGTATTCCAATCAAGTCTAAGACCCAGGATGAAGCACAGCCTCTAACAAATATTTTCGGTTGGTAAGACAACGACGGCGCCATTGATTCAAAACAGCGTGGTTGGTAGGAGAGCGAAGACTAGATTCCAAAGACCTTGCTTAAAGCCTGCTAATGCTCGTTGATACCTCGTTGATACCTCGTCTCTAGCTCTTTCAATTTCTTCGGTCTTTTGAAAGCAAGCCGCAGGTCGCTAAAGCTCGTCGGCGTAGAGAGCAAAGTTGTCGTGCTCATCATGCTGCAAGATGAGCTGGGGACGACGTGATTCCCCCCTCTACTCAACCTCTTTCTTTCTCCACACTACAACAGTGAATGAAATAAAACAAGAGATACTTCCTTCTGCTCAACAACCATCCCTTTCTACCGGTCATGTAAAGAGTCATTGCATATCTGCACCCGGATCCTCTGGCTGTCATTAGTACAGACAATTTCTCTACCCTGGATCCATTGACTACGATCAAGAATCGATTTCTCCGTTTTATGCAACCGAGAACCGTATTGTCGACTCCGGAACCCCTGGCCTTCAGGAGTAAACGTTCCAGTGCTAACCAAAACCCCTACTGTAATACTTTTTTCCTGTAAACTTACGCTCTGCTGTAACTTCAGTGGACCAATGCACCGTAGGCACGTCGTATTCTTTAGAGATTCGAAATTTGAGAATTCGTGCGGAATGGCACACACTACTCTCTACGTTTCACGGATGATATTCTCAGTTCGATGACTTTCGATTAGTCGTGTTAAATAATAGTAATAGTTGAAGACAAGCGTAGAATGCCATGCGTCCTCGCTCAGCGAGACAGTCTATCAAATAGCGTGGGCGTCGAAGGGGAGAAGAGGTGAAATATGTGAAACTAAGCTGGTATTATTGTGATGTTGTTGTTGTTGTTGTTTCAGCTACGGTCCGTATCACGAAGCATAGACGGTAGCAACGCACGAATATGAAGCGGCCTAATATGAGCTAGACAAAATGACATTTATTGATTCCAAATATTGCGACTGATTCCCAAGAGCGCCTGCCCCATGAACCAACTAATCCAGTGTCGGAACAAATATAGGCACATATATAACTACAGCTTCATCCACCTTGCTGAGATAATCCGCCTCCTTAGCAGCGCGCTTGATTGGGTTGCCGGAGTTTTTGTTCAATGGGGTGTGTCGTTTAGTACTTATAAATGATGTACCTGTAGAATGAAATTATAAGCGATGAACGGATTTCAATTTCAGGAAAAATACCTACAAGGCGTGGATAATACCGGGAATGTAACCCACAATGGTCAAGCAGATGTTGATGAGCAAGTCTGCACCACATCCACGCTCCAGAAAGACACCTACCGGAGGCAGGATGATGGCCAAGATGATCTTACAAATATCACTTTGAAGGATGTTAGCAGGACGATACAACCCAATTTGTGCTGTCGTATTCGATCGAGTCTTGACTCTTATTGGCACAGTCGCCATAACCAACTGCTGAGATCGGATAGACTTACGATGCAATAAAAGGCATGTTTGAAGATTGAATGGAAGAATCAAGAAAGAAAAGGTCGGGAGTTGTGCTTCTGAAGCTGAAGATAGAGCCGCTGATATGAATAAGGCTAGTGATGAGGTTACTAGAAGATTGACGGGGGAAGAACAAGATGCAGAAAATGAGGAAAGTTGAGTCGGCTTAAATGGATAGATTCGAATCCTCCTTATACTTTCTGCACACGCTCTCTTTCATCAGTAGATAAAGAGTTTAATGTATTATTACCACCACTAGTACACTATAAAGTTCCTTTATTCACATTATTATCCATGCTTCTATATGGACCCTCATAAACTATTAATCTAGTCCTTAAAAGTGGAGATGCATACTGAAACCAACTTCGAGCAAAATACGACACAGCCAATAGTGCGTCGTTCTATCTCCCTTGTTTTGTGGGTCGCGATGAAAATGTTACGGCAAACCCGAGTGTGGAATTGTAACTAGCATCCACCGTTTGCCTTGGCGTATCGCCCTAGAAGGCGTGAGACGATGCTTGGTCCTACTATAGTATGTAGTCCCAAGCTTACCTAGTCTCTTCAGATACATACAGCGCGATAGATATCCTCGACCCGGAAGAAAATCCATAGCCCACGGTGAACCATTTGTGGCATGATATCCGAGACATACGGGACGCATCAATGTCTGATAGATGCTCGGTTAGTTTGTGATCTCCTTTCTGTCCAATGTGAGCAGAAGAAAAACTGTATTCCATATTGACTCAATTCTACTACTCAAGCCAACCCAAACGGCCCACGGTCGTGCTAATACCTAATAGGTAATGCTCTTCCACCTGGCAACTTCATTACCAGATATCCCCCGGTGAGTATTGTTGGCCTTGTTGGCTGTTTTTTTGGGACCACTCTTTGCTTGCGGCCTAGTCCATGTCATTAAAGAAGGAGGAAGTTCATACACAGATAGCACAATTTCTAATACAATTCTCATTACGGAAATCGAATGATACACCCCATATGTATATATAGACTCAGCTTTTTATCCGGAAGTAATAGAGTTATTTCCTTCTTCCTTCTTCCCATACCCTGCAAAGGTTGCCTTGTGACGCTGCCAGCATTGCAATGTATGCAAAAGACACTCCCCTCAATCGAGATGGCTTTGGACTGCAAGGTACGAATACTCAGCTTCGCCAGTCTAATGGCTGCCCAGACCAGTCTTCCAGATCTGTCAAGCAAACCAATCATCCCAATGAATTCGAGAACTCAGAATTGCCTGTCGCAGCCCGGTTTATGCACCCTGGAGAAATATCGAACAAGACTAACGTGCTATGTGGTCCCCTGTTGAACTACCGATCGATGCAAGGTAATACCTGGGAGGGAAGCATTCTCATTGTGACAAGAAGTGAAAGAAAATCTCCGACCGAAACACCAATCTTGACCCTTGATCGACTTGATTCTGGTGATGTCGATGAGGGTCTTTGCTCGACGGCGTTACCTCACCTTCGCACCAAAGGACGCTTACTGTACTCAGACTTGGGTCACAGCTTCTGGAGGTTTGATATACGTCTTACAATGGAATCATTTACCACTATGTGGCAGTATACCGTTGACAACGTGTATTTCCTCAACCGGACTAGCGGATTAGCTCACTCGTTTGCCGTCCCCTCAAGAGACGAATCCATGCGCATCATGTTCTACTCGTGCAATGGTTGGTGTGATGGTGCGGAAAACCGGGAGTGGAATCATCTCTCACTGTGGAAGGATGTGCTCAGACAACACAGTCACCGGGCATTCCATGTCATGTAAGATCCATCTTGAATTGAAAGCCTTATAGCAACCGGAAGTATGCTTACTGCCCGAGTTTCAGGATCGGCGGAGGCGACCAGATCTATAGCGACGGAATTTATACTTCGCAAGACCCCTCTCCGTTGTTGAACCCTATTACCTGCCTGAGCTAATGCCTGATTCTTAGGGGTCCTCTGCTGGACTGGACCAAGACTGAGAACCTACAAGAGCGACTTAGGTATGAATGCACAGAGCAACTCGAACTTGCCTGTAGCACTTGGTATTTAGAAAATTATATCAACTGGTATTCATTATCTATCAGGGCATACACCGCGTCACCGCTGAAAAAATATCTACCATATCTAGGTACAGCAAGGAGCCATTTGCCTCTGCTCTGTCTCAAATACCTTCGCTAAATATGTGGGACGACCATGATGTACGTTATCTCGCGGTGTATATCTTTGTTTAACCCTGTCGTTCATTCCTTCTTTAGATTATCGATGGATTTGGCTCATATGCGAAGGAGACGATGGAATGCTCGGTATGTGTGCCACGTTATTTTCTTGATATTTTTAAACTCACCTCAAAAACTAGGTTTTCCGGATGATTGGTGCCCTCGCTCATAAGTTCTACATGATTTTCCAGCATCATCTTCCCCCAAGCAAGTCCCATCATGACGGTCAGGAGGAGTCCACAACAATCCCATTGCCCGAGTTACAATATGTTCTTGGCTCTAAGCTAGGGGTAGGTCTTTGCTACAGGGGCTCATACCCCAGCACGTAATAACCGAATATTCAAACTAACGCAGTCAAATAGCCATATATTAAAGCTCCATCTCATAATATTGTGACTAGGTTAGGAGCTCGGATAGCCTTTTTGGGGATCGATGCTCGCACGGAGGTAAGAGAAACCGCTACGAAGCAATCATGGTGACTAAAATCAAATTACTCATCGCATCGGATTGTAGAGAACTCGTGAGCAAACAAACTATCGTGATACTTACGACGCTGTATTCGCCAGAGTACATGCAGATTTAGCCGTGGCGAAGGGCTCCGGCCGCCCGATGAAGCACTTGGTGATACTTCTGGGCATACCCATCGCTTATCCGGTATGGAATTTGTTGTACTTCATGACCAATTACATGCTCTGACTTGCCTTTCTCAGCCTCTGACCTGGGTCGAGGGTGCTATTGAAGGATCACTTGGTAGGATGTTCCAGAGGGTGAGTAGGACCTTTGGCGTTGGTAAGCCCTCTCTACTCTGCCACACCTGGAGCAATGTATTCTCTGACGGCTTGGGCATCAGGTGAAAACTCCATAAACCACTTTGATGACGCCATTGAACTGCTGGACGACCTCAACGACCACTATACATCCAAAGCCCATCAACAGGAAAGATGTTATCTAGTTCAACAGATCCAAGCAGTATGCGCCGCACACTCTGTGCGAGCCACCATTCTTAGTGGTGATGTCCATCTGGCTGCCGTAGGAAGATTCTTCACGAAACAAAGGGGTGCTACTCTACCGGTGGAAGAAGATTTTCGCTTCATGAACAATATCATATCGTCGGCTATTGTCAACCAACCGCCTCCCCCAGTTGTGGCCAACGTGATTACGCAAAGCGACAAATCCCGAAACTTAGATACCTACACCGAAGAGATTCTGTTTAAGCTTTTCAGGGCAAACCCGAGCGATTGTCGCAAAGACCCAGAAGGTACCTCTGTGGCTATGCCTCGTCGGAACTATACTGTGATTACGGAGAACTCTCCCAATAATGCTGGGCGCAATGAAGGGATCGATAAAATCTCCTTTGGACAATTTTTCGCTAGACGCGGCCACCGACCTCTTCATTTCGGAGAAGCCAACGCAGGCCCCCAACATCATGCTGCGTCGGATCAGCACGGGAAGGGAAACGACGGCAGTCTTGACATTTGTATCCATGTGGAGGCAGATCATCAAAGTCATCGAGGKCAAACTGTCGCTTATGGCTTCAGCATCCCGGCCCTTCAATATACTGGTCCTGTGATTGCAGAACCGACATGGCCCGAGTCGTCGACCGACATCATTGAATAGCTGTTGCCAGGCCGTGGGAGGTCGACTTTAGTATTAGGTTGAAGACTTTCGGGGTTAGGGTTAGGGTTAGGGTTAGGGTTAGGGTTAGGGTTAGGGTTAGGGTTAGGGTTAGGGTTAGGGTTAGGGTTAG